CCTTATTTATTTTACTACCTATACCTCTCTAATTTAGAGAGTAGGTTTAGGCGATTAGAACTATTTTAGTATAGGTTTAGGCGACCTCGGGGTTCTAGGATTATTTACCTAAAATAGGTAAATTTTTCCTTGGTTATAGTATATTTATCTTTAGTTATACCTTAACTAGATCTTAACTAGATCTTAGCTGGATCTTAGCTAGATCTTAGCTAGATCTTAGCTAGATCTTAACTAGATCTTAACTAGATCTTAGTTAGAGTATTATAGGATAATATTCATAATAATACTATTAATATATTTACTAATAAGATTTCTTTCTATATACTACTAAAATATAATCCTAATTTCTAAGTCTAAGTCTTAGAAGAAATACTTAAAAAAAGAAGCTCTAAATACTAAAGAATAGGTAATTTATCTTTAAAATATTTATAAAGAGACTATAAAAAAGCTTTAAATTATATAGAAAATATAGTAGAAGTTATATAATAAGATCTATAAACTAAAAAAATTTTAAAGTTAGAAGCCTTATATCTTTTTTAATAAAAAATCTTTATTTTAAAGCTAAAGAAAAAAAGTTATTTCCCTAGTAAATTAGATTTTTCTATATTCTTATAAAGATTAATATCTAGGTATACTATATTATATTACTAAAGAAATATTTAAAACTATATAATATTTCCTCTATTTTTCTTTTTAAGCTATAGAATAGCTAAACTAAAGATAATTTACTAATACTAATACTTTAACTTAAAGATAAAGAGAAATTAAAAATTAAAAAATCTTTAATATAGTACTATACTACTATATAAAATAGACTAAATAATTTTTAGAATATAATTAATAAAAATCTATAGAGTATTTAAAAAATATAAAAAATATAAAATCTTTATTTAGAAAGAAATAAACTTAAAAAACTATATTCTAATAATAATAAAATATCTCTAAAACTTCTTTAAACTATATCTAAATTAATACTAAAAAAAGCTATTAAACTTCTACTAAATAAGACTATTTAATTATAAAAAGAAAGAATAAGTAAAATAAATAATAAAAACTACTAAGAAAATCTATATAAATCTAAAAGTATCTTAATCTAGTTAATAATCTATACTATAGCTAGAGTTAAAATAATACTATTTAGAGTTATATTATATTTAAACCCTACTATAATCTCTAAGAAAAAGAATCAAATAGTATTTTATTAGAGATTAAAATTAGTATTACTAATCTATAGCTATAGAAGATTATTAGGATAACTAAAGGGCTAAATAAAAAATAAGCTAGCCTTAGTATTTAATTTTTATTATTATTTAATAATAAATATAGTATATTCTTCTATAGTTTAATCTATATTTTTTATATTAAAATAGAGCTTATACTAAAAAAGATAGATAAAGATTATCTTTTAAAATAATACTAAAAAATAAATAGATTTTTTAATAACTATAGTCTTACTTTCTATATCCTAAATAAATATAGTACTATTATTCTAAACTTTATATATCTAGTTAAAGATTAACTAAAGTTAGTATAAATTACTATAGATTTTATAGAGTATCTAAAATAAATTAGTATTAAATTAAATATAAATTAGAAAAGCCTTATATCTAAAAGTAAGTCTTTCTATCTCTCTTATATAGAGTATAGATAATTAAGTTAGAATAATCCTAGTTATATTAGATTATAAAAATAATACTAATAAAAAAATAAAGAATTACTTTAGCTATATACTTAATATAGAAGATAAATAAAGAATAGATAATTTAGTTATAAAGAGAATAAAGACTAAGAACAGTACTAACTATACTTCTAGGGCTATTATTATTACTATCTCTATCCCTAGCTTTAGTATAATCTTTATCTTTAGCTATATAATAACTATCCTAATAACTATTAGAAGAATAAATAATATCTACAGAAGAAGGATTACTAAATTTAGCAATAGTAGAACTAATAATAGTAGATATAGTAAAGGATTATAATTTAATAAAAAAAAAGAATAAGGTAAGGTAAAGATAAAAGAAAAGTAAAAGTTAAAGACAGAAAGATAGAAGCTTTTATCTTAAAGATATTAAAGAGATTATATTACTTTATTTATATCTATATATAGATATACCTAAAGCAGTACTTATCCTAGGCCTTTATATAAGATAACACTATTTAGCTTAGATTATCTAATCTAACTCTAACCTTTATTAATAGTTAAGTTAACTATCTCTAAGAGAAAAGAATAAATTATTATAGGATTTAAAGTATATAATACCCTAGACTCTTAAGGCTGATTTATAGATAAATCCTCTTTAAGTTATCTATATATTAATATCTACCCAAACCCTAATATAATTTAAGATCCTATAAGTATTTAGGATTCTTGATCTTCTTAAGAATCAGTCTCTGTATTAACTGCCTAATCTGATCTCTACTGTCTGATATCCTTACCTAGTTATAGGTCTCTAGCCTGATAACTTAGTAATTATTATAGTATCTATATATATTTATATTTATTTTAACTATAATAAATATTATTTCTGAAAAATTAAGATTCTTACTAAGGATACTAAAGGAATTAATCAACAGAGCTTGCTGTAAGTTTCTTATAGAGTACGATCTTTCTCTAAATCTATAGCTAATATTAAATTAATAAACCTAATTATCTAGATATTAAGAGATTAGCCTTAATTAAAGACTTTAAATAATACCTAGGCTTAGTATATAATTATAATATAGTTAATAGTCTGGAAATACTATTTTTTGTATAATATTATAATAGATCTACCAGAATTCTATACTATAGTTTATAGCTTTATAGGGAGCCAAACTATATCTATAAATTTTTTCTGCTATATTTAAAAATTTATTAAGCAAAGGAATTAGTACCTTAGGGATTAATTAGCACTAAAGATAAGGTCAGGGAGAATATACTTTATATCTTATAGGGAGTTACTTCTAAAGACAGCCCTAATATTTAAGAGCTAGTTTTATTTTTAGCAAAATAATTAATAATTATGTCTATTCTTAAAATTACCTTGACTAAAATATACTGACTAACTCTTTACAGACCCCTTTACTAAGATATTAGTATATAATATTTAGTAGGTAAGCTACAGCAAATTAAGGGCTATAACAAAAGATACCTTTAAATACTATTTTACAGTAAACATTAAGATTTAGCTATCTATAAGAATCTAACATTTTAATTTAAACCTTATCATTACTAACAAAGTATAGTATTTAAACAAAATATACCTATAATATATTTTGATACTTTCTAAAAGTAATATATACTAAAAACCTATATATTAGTCAGTCCTTAATTTATTACTGACTGTTTAATAAATAATAAGGCTAAGGTCTTAGTAATAGGTTATAAATATAGTAAGTCAAACTAATTTTAAGAATAACTATAGTAGGGTCTATTTACTCTTTAATTACTGTTCTCTTCAGTATATAGCTAATTCTTTTTTATTCAGAAAGAAACTATTATATCTAGAATCTTTTGTTAAATTAATTTAACTTTATAATACTTAAGATAAAGTTTGAGAGAATACTTTATCCCCTTCTATACTGAAGAAGCTATTTGCAGACCTTAAAGAAGAGCTTTTGTACTATGAGAAAAATTATTGTGTTTTTATTATATAAAAGGTATTAATAGATAGGATAATTATAATAACTTATTGGCTCTTTTCTACCTTATCTTAAGAAACAATATAAGAGGAATACTTCTGTAATTTAAGCCTGTATTTTTTCTTTCTTAATTTACCTCTCTACCTTAAATTATCTAATAGAGAGAGATACTAGATAGAGATATATATTAAGTATATAAAACTGATTTATCTACCGCTGGTATTTAAGGTCTATAAACCTTAATAATATACCCTCTAAGATACTATCCTAAAGAACCTAGGTTTACTATTAAGATTATTAGCAGAGTATTAATTATTATATTATACTTATTAAAGTTAATATATATATGCCAGTAATTCTTTACAATAACAGACTTTAAATTTGAAGCTGTATAGGTCTATATAGTAATAATAGTAAAATAGAAATAGTCTCTTCTAAATAGCTAGGAGGAATACCTTCTCTGCTTATAAATATAGCAAAAGCTCTATTAAAAAGACTTATACTATAACAAAAAAAGAATCCTTATCCTAATTATTCTTATACTGAAACAGAGAAACATCCTAATAAAGATCCAGGGAAATCAGATCGTTGATATAACCTCAGAAGGTATACCAGAGTAGGAGGTTGGTTTTAAAACTATTCAGTCTATTGACAGGCCTCTTTCGAAACCAACTAGAATATTTAAGATTACGGCCTCCTTTACCGGCTATCTAAATATAGCTTTTATAAAGAGAACCCTTAGAGAAATAGCCAGAACTTTCTGTTTTCCTCCCTAAGGTCATTCTAAGTAAGGAGAATTCAATACAAGAGTTGAAAAAGAAAACGACAGATCCTATGCCTTGTTGAGATTAAGCTCAGATGGGTCATGAGGTAAAAAGAACCACCATAAGACATGCCTAGGTTATGGAATGCAGGGGGGGGGGAATATGACAAAATGTGGGCCTAAGTACAGTATTCTGTATTTTAGTCTTCAGCGTGTACCATAACAGGCCAAACTCCACATGTTTCATCAATGGCCTCATTTAAAGCCGGATGTTCTATATATTTTTGGCGAACCATCACCCTTATCTTCCCCGGCTGCCTACCAGAAATACAAACAGATGACTGGCACAGGTATTGGTGGCAGTGGAGGATTGACTAGTGGCCATGTGCAAGGATCTACCCTACGGTGTGGCTATATGGTTTCTATGGAACTTGTTCAATAAATTGCTGAAGCTGGTACCGGTTTTTGAGTCGAAAATTCCATTCTCGGAGTTGCAAGCTTCAAATTTTCAACGGGCGTGGGAGCAAGTTCTTCATCACGAACGCGTATCGATCGAGAAACAATGGGAGGCACACGCCAATTGTTGAAATATGACGTGTCATACCTATGGCCTCTACTCTTCGATATATGTCATATATGCGTTGTTTTCCACACTGAAGTCTCCGTGCACTCCAAACTTGCTCAGCATCAGGGTCGAACCATCACCCTCATAGCGCTGCACCATAGCAATAGGGCTTCCAGATTCATCACATAGAGTCAATTCAACCTCCTTGCCGTTATCAATGTCACCCTTCACCTGCCTTGCGCCAGCCTGTCTAAACATGAACTTGCTAGCACGACTCTTTCGAGCATAAAACATGTAACCGAAGAATGTTTCTTTGTAGCTGCCAGATGTATCTGCACACAGATAGCGTTGGTGCTTGACTGTGCGGATAAGATAAGGCACGTTGTATTGGAGCTTCATAGGCGGATCAGCAGGTAAAATCAGATATGAAAGAAATCAGAAATACTTACCTTGGGGGCTCGGTTAAGCTCTCCTTGTAGTTCAACTTCGAAGTCACACTCATCGTCATATTGATCAATTCCGACATACTCCTTGAAGTTATTTGTAAAGGATTCACTCTTGACTCGCTCTTGAAATTGGTTGGAGAAAAAGATCGCACTATAATATTCAGAAGAGGCGTGACCATCTTTCATTATGATTTCCGCCAGCAAACGTTGAGAGTACTTAAGCAACAATGGCTCTGCATCCCTATTAGCAGGAACTAATCAATTTTGAATACTGTCGAAACATACCAAGTCGTCTCTTTGAGGCATGTTCACGCAGGCCATAGTATTCATTTGCTCCAACATACTCTGTTTCTTTAGCTCGAAGACGGAACCGACGATTAACAGGCTTTCTAGTCCCCGCTACAATATCTGCAAAGAGTTTGGGAATGTGCGAGAAATCAGTGAAGCGTCCGATAAAATCCACCAATGGTAGCACATCTTGTTGCTACTTATATTCAGTACATTGACACTTGAGTCTCTCAATAGCAGGAATACTTACGTTGATCACTCTCCAGTGATTGAACGGCTTAACAGTGTGGCACCAATTCGGGGGACTTGAGAAAATTATGTGTTAGTAATATGCCTACCTGCATGGCAGGGACTGTGTTTTGCGGGTCTAACTCACTCATTGCACAGAATTGTGTCACCGCCCTGGGCTTCCCATGTGAGAGAATTTGACATTCTGCTGCTTTGATTTGAGCCTGATGACTTTCCATTCTCTTCATAGCTTACGCTGGCCGAAGCTTGGAATGTTCCATAGGAGAAGGAAGCTTGAGCGCTAGCCTTCATTGCATTTGATTTCTCTTCTGCACTCGCAGATTCTGAAGAGGTGAATTGCTCAGAGGCATAGAGCTTCCCACCTAGCTGAAGATTGGTAGAAAAGAAATGTCCTGTGAAGAGGAGTTAGACATTGAAGTTAACACATAGGTATAGCTCTGTGAGCTATAATGTGTTAACATACCAAAATCATGGTGGAATTGGACAAGAGTTGCTTCGTCCGTCACTCCTTGCACGGCGGTTTTACATTCATCTGTCAGCTCCAGACTTCTTGGGTCAAGATGCAAGACAACTCTCGGAAACTGAACAATAGGAAGATCTAATTAGACTTTGCTCAAGGCATCGTTCAAACGAAGCCAGCTTACATTGTAAGTGATGTTCATGGTTCTTGCCGAAGATGATTGAGATGAAGCCATAGCCTGGCTTTCACTCTGGCTGAAACCGGCCTTTACAGATAGACTGGCACCGAAAACATTTCCTCCACTGAGGACGATCAGTAATAAAACTTCAGTCTTCATGTCTTAGATAACTCACGCTGAGGCTTCGATATCCATTTGAGAGAAAGAACTCGATGCAACACTTTTAGAAAGTGCAGTTGACGTTTCAAAGACGTTGACATAGGAGTCATCAGTCACAACGTATCTAGGGATTCGGTATTCGGTCTGATATTTGTTAGCCAAGAACTTAGATTCATAACGCTCTAGTATAGAAGTGGTGATGAAATTATTAGTTACTTCAAGTTTGATGCTTTTATCGGCCTTTTCCATGCTGGTCATTTTTCTGGGTTTGATAGAGAATGCTTCATAAAAATATCAGAGAACATAACCACATAAGCGTAGTCGGTGATCTACTACACTTACCAGTATAGGGAGCCTTATCAATCCTCTTGAATCCTTTAGTGCCATTTGCATAGGTGGTAAAAACCATTCTATGGCCGTTCAGGAATTGGGTATTCCGAAGAACCGAGTCCCAGTCTTCTTCAGACATGCTGCCAGCAACCCTATTTCCTTAATATCTTAGCCAAGTGGTCTAGAATTAATTTGCCATTGAGAACTTCCAGCGTTCAGGTTCAGCACTTACACAACACTCTCCTTAGAGACGCCGGCCTTGAAGTTGGCATGGTTATACTTGCTAGCAAGCTCTTTCAGCGTTGCAGATATCAACTCCGGTTTATTTTTCTGCACGCGCACATGGTCAGTTTCGAAAATCATAATGCATGGATGAAATTCATTCCATACCATCAAATCCATATCCAGATCGCTATCCAAGACCTTCTGAGCTGCCGCGCTTAGCTCCTTCTTCTTCTCCTCCTTTTCCTCGGGCAACTCAAGATACACATCAAGGATCTGAATGTCATTGGAAGACTTTGATACGTCCTGGACCGCGTTCTGATGTTAGCATTCAAGTCCTCTACGACCTTGTGTGGCTTCTTGTCGCATATATGTATACCTTTTCGTCCCCCTTGACTATCGCTTGATATACACTCCACTTCATGTCATCACCCACACGAGCACCATCCTTACTGCAGAACGCAAGTCGAGCCCTTTTCCAAATGTTTAGACTTGAATCTCACGGAGATCCATATCCAGGCTATAGAACACCTACTTTCCTGAGTTAAGTTTCTTTTCCTTTGCCAGCACGTTTCGAACCGTGCCTAGGGTGGCTTTTGCATCGATTTCCGCCTCAGTACTGATGCGGTTAGTCAACTTCTCTTCTCCAGAGGAATCAACAGTCCTGATGTTGAAGAGTCGGGTTATTGCAGGCATGATCGTAGGAAATTCGATGAGCAAAAATGATCGTGTCTAAGCTCTAAACTGGTAGCAGCGAAGCTTCATAGCAGTTTTTTTTTTATATACCTACGTAAAGGGCGGTGAATGTAGCTCATCCAGCCCATTCCGCTCCACAGTTCAGCTGAGATCTATCATCTCGTGGAGGAGACCCATCCAGAAAACTCAAAATCCGATGGACGATATGCGATCTACATAAAGTACCTATGGGTGCGCAATTGAATTGGTTTTGCATTCAATACCACTGCGTGGCGACCAAATTACTTCGAAGAAATTCATGCTGCCACCGGATTGAACGCCCACTCATTTAAAAACGAGTTCCGACCCATAGAAAATAGCTTCCTAGCTCTAGAGTGCACTTTACCCTCTCTGGCAGCATGTGTCTGCTCTCCACTCATGTACCCGCTTTCCACCCCCCGCCTCGATTTTAGCTGTAAAATATAACAGGACAAAACCGAGATATTCCATTGGTGATTGACCAAATTTCGTCGAGGGGTACTAGGTAATACAATATGCTATGTCATAGTAGGCATCTAAAGTGGAGAATAGATCTTGCGATCCACCGTGCGAACCCAACACGCAAGCGAACCGAACGCCTCAAAACACCATAGTAAATGCGATTTTTCCTTCCTCGATGTCTCAATTACCATTAGACCTTCTTGATAAGATTCAATTAACATATAAATCGGAAGATGGCTAGGATCTGGGAGTACAACAGGTCGGGCGCTGGCTAGCTATCGCGGCACGCCCCGTCGCGCCAGTTTGTTTTGAACGAAAAGCAAATGCATGCAGCTTCTTTCGGGAACCGAGTGTGGGGCAGACCGGGGGGAAGGGGAGGTGGAGTGCAACAGGATAAGCAGAAGCTTTGACTACAGTAAAAACAGCATAATAACAATAAATTAGCCGATGATCGAGAATTGGAAAAGGTTGGGAGAAGTTGAGAAATACAATAAGGATGGGCATGGAAGTGTCGGTGTGGCAGAGTGGAGTCATAATGGCCACCGCAACATCCATCACCCCATCCACCCCATTTAGGGCCCTCGTTTTTGACTCATTGGGCTTCAATTCTCCTGGCTCTTATCCCGTCGTGCGCTTCAGTGCCCGTACATACTGCAATATACTTGAATCGCTGCAGGACTTCTGCCAGGATATCGGTCCAGAAATAACTTTGTAACTTCCGACCACGGCCGTCGCCGATCTTTTCTCAGTCCCTTCAAATAGTCTATCTCCTTTGAGGACCACCGCACGCGTCTCCTAGATGTTTTCTGGGCTTCGTTTTCACCTCCGCAAAATAACGAGCTTCGTAGCATCTCTGTTGGTCTTCCATTTTCCCTCTCACAGGCTGTAGATATACTTCGTATACAACGTTTCCCATGTCCGACCTGCTGCATGATGTCATTCTGGGAAGGTTTTCCATCGCGTAGAGGCTGCTCACTAGCTGTTTCAGATGGCTTAGACGGATAGTGAGAAGCCTCTGGCAAGAATGTCATGAAATAGGCATACCACCCTCTGAAGACATTTGAGACTGACTGGCGTATTTTCCTACGAAAGCATCGCTCGAAGTCAAGTAACCCTTCTTCGTCCTCTTCGGCCGTTTTGATAATACATCATCATGTTGCGTCTGTTTTTCGCTCAGCTAAAGTTTTAAATTTCCTTATACAACTTGGTTGCGATGCCAATCAGCCTGACAGGGACGGAAACCCACCCCTAGGTCTTTATTTGAGCTCATTTCACCTATCAAGTCGGAGTGAAATATTTCATTCGCTTGTATAGGAAGGTGCTGATCCGCTCTGGATCAATGAACACGGAAAAATCTTGGCACATCTCACGATGCATCATAAGTGAGCAGATACCACGATCCTTGATTATCTGATTGCTGTGGGTGTGGATCCAGTGACCAGAGAATTTATGGGAAAACATTGATGCATCACGGAGGGATTCATGGTGTTTTCACCGAGGATCTGATAAACTTTCTTGCTTGACAAGGTGTCTTGGACGTTTGTGCCACGGCCACAGACCTATTCCGCAAGACTCCGCTCGACGTGAGCATCACTCCACGCTCAGAAGTGTCGATAATCTTCTTAATTTGCTCTTCAGCCCAGGGAAATGTAAAGAGGCGGAAGCGATAAATCGACTGGCACTAGAATGATATGTAAAGGCGTTTGGATGTAAACATCCGAAAGGATTACTACAGTACTCTCGATATTCTTTTGACTTCCTGGATCAACACGAGAAACGTGAAGGGTCTTCATAATCCCAGCGATACATAGTACTCGGGCAGCGTATATCGAGATACAATATTTATACTTGATCATCTTTCGAGCAGCATTTTATACTCTCCTCACGTACACAACAAGCAACAGGCGTCAGCTTGTCCGTTCCACAATTGGCGCTTCCGAATGGAATTCATAGCCTTCTTGCTCGCCGTAAACTCTTCAAAATACTCTCTACGCCCCTGAAACTCAAGACCCCCGTCCTTTCTCGAGTAGCTGTCCCGTGGATGTCCGGACATGTCCGACGAGCCCTTACGCTCGACCTGCCCGGTCACGACTTCATAGAGGAACGCGTCTACCTCGGCCAAGAAGTCGGCCGCGTCTATGCTGGAGGTGATATGACTGCATGATATCTTTGCGCGTTGTTCTGTTCTCGTCAGCCTCTTGTGGTTACGGCTTATGTGAGTGGTCAGGCTTACCTGTCTCGGCATTGAATCGTCTGACGAGCTGCCTCATTTTGCCGATCGACTCGCTGTACCTGATGACGCTCTGTGTCTCAAATAAGAAGATGGGCGCGTGCTGATACATAGAGTCGCCGACGAATAGTATTCTCTCGTGTGAATCCCATATGGCAATCTCGTCCGGTGTGTGGCCGGGTATGTGGTACACCGTCAGGTGAAGATCGTGCCCAACTCTGTCAATTACCTGCTGTCCGTCGCTGCACCAATTGGTTACTGTATATTCTGGTGTTTTGATATTGAGTTTGTCACAGAGGGACGTGCTTGGTAGTCGGGTTGGGCTGAGATAGTCTTTGTCATAATCGCTGGCCCAGACGGTACTGCCGTCCGTTTCGACAAACTGCTCGATGCCGCCTTACGGTATTAACAAGAATGAAATATATTGAAAGAATCCAACCACCAAGTAATTTAATATCATGATACTCACCAATATGATCAAAGTGGCAATGTGTGCAAATAACAAGATACTCTCTCTCCCCACCAGAGTTGAGAGGAGCTTCGCTATTGTCTTTCACGGGAACCGTCTCGAGGAAACTACGTAGCGACCTGAGCTCGACGCTGGGATCGCGCGCCGCGCCACCGCACCCAGTATCCAAGAGCACAAGGACAGATGGGTACACCTTGGCGTATATTATAGGCATCTCGAGGAACTTATCGTCCTCGACGATCTGGAATGTGGTGTCATTGAGCCTGCTGGCTGTGAAACATGTCGAGCCGGGGTTGGCGGGCTCGGGGGTCGGGCTGGCCGCTTTTCTGGGAATCATATCGATACACATTTCAAGAAGAGCAACTGGATTCTCGGAGCATCGGAAGCTAGAGCGGAATAACTGTCTATGAGTTGTACTTGGAAGCGTTGCGAATGGGTGGCAGAGGCAGACCCCGCAGAACAGCAATGCTATGGTCCAAAGCGGCAGCCGAAAGGGGCCAACTGAACAATGTGCTCTGAAACGAACGAAGTGAGAGAAAGGATTGTTGGTCACGCTGACATGTGGTGTGTGAGGCGTGGAAAGAAGGTCAATTTAGAATGTCTTGCCACGCACTTCTCTAATTTGCTTCTGTACCTTCCTGCCCCCACCTCCACACCCCCCCCCACCTGCTAGTGCCTCCTAAATTTCCTTCCTCGGACTGGCCTGTCTTGGCTTAGGGCTGCAGGTCTATATCTGCTGGTATATGCAAGATTCTGCTCTCTTAGTGCTTCGCTGGCTGGATGTTTATTGGCTTTTACACTTGTTGAACTTTATGCTATTGCCACTGATCTTGCCTGGGGGGGGGCTCGATTTTTTTCTTTCTACGCTTTCGCTCTCCACATTGTGATGAGCCCTCTTTTTCTAAATGAAAAGGGAACTGTTTGTCTAAATAGTAATGAGGTTGCTATCCCTTTAGATGTTTCTGGTTCACTTACACTCATTGCTGATGGGCAATCATTCACTGTGGGTAGAGAGTTTAATAGTGGCAGTGGTGATGGTGGTTGCGACTCAAGCATATCTAGTTTAATCGATATGATCTCTGACTTAAGCGATACCTTGATTTCGAGCTCTTTTTCTTCATGTCTGGACAAAATTGTCAATACCATTAAGTCCTGGCCCTCCGGAGTATATGGAGTGAAATAAGTTCGCGTTTAGGGCCTATTAACTCAGCAGTCGAAAGTTTAGACCAATTTCTAAGCCCTATAAGAAAGATCTTATAGTTGCAAAGCTCTAGAAGTAAGCTACAGAATCAAAATTAATCACAAATAGTCTCCGGTAAAATCTGATACTTATCCTGATCTGGAAAGAGGCCGTAATATTCCGAGGTCGATGAAGAAGTTATTGAATAACCCTCTGGTGCTTCATGCCACTACCACCACTACCCATAATGTCAAGAATTATGTTTCTCTACACAGAGAAATGTGGTAGAATCCTACTTGGGACAGAAGTGTCCAGAATCTGAAAGAATACTCATAGGTCGATTCCTTGCCAGTAGCAGCCATGGCTACCCCATAACCGCTCAAGAAGCCCGAACCACTTCTAAGGTGTGCACCACTATAACTAGATCAGCGGCAGATTCCTCTACACACCTTATTATAACCAAGCGCGGCACATCTCTCTCCAAGTTCAAGACTTTTTGTTGATGACCTCGACGGTGGCGCCGGATATCAAATCACAAGGTCAGACAGAGGTTGACCACCAAGCCTATCAAACACAGCTCACAGCAATCCAGGCTGCTACATCGAAGCACTTCCTTTCATTAGAGATGTCGTTCATCTTATACCTTCGAGTGAAATGGATTCGGACGAAGATTGGTAGAGTCAGAAGAACGTCTCCATGAAATTGAAAATAGGGCAAAGCTGATAAGGGATTTTATTTTACATCAGATACTAAATACTATATTGATCTTTAGTTACTACAATATTGATGACCTAGGGGGGTGTATATACATAGTCAAAATCGTGGGGTAACCATACCAAACATACATACATACTGTATGCACCAAGTTCTCCGGCCAACTCCGCCTGGACCAATCACAATGCAAGTCATTCGCCTTACCCGCGTTCCTCGGCATGACCGGTCACATTCCCGCCCTCCGATTCCGCCACTGGCCCCCGCCCTCCATCTTAAAAATCTCTCCTTCTTCTCTATCCCCAGCACAATCAATCCTGGGCCCAATTCCCCCAAACACCCAAAATGTCCTTCTCAAATCTTGTTTCCGACATCGCATTTCGCGACTCAAACGCAGATGAGCGTGGTTCGACAATCTCCCACGCCCAGTCACGCGCTGCTCGATCATACGCCAGCACCACAGCCACCAGTGTCAGCATCTCTGGGGATATTTCCAGCCAGCTTCATGCTGGATACAGTCACCCTCTGAGCCGGTCATGGCAAGCAGAGCGTCAATTGACAAAGGTACACCACCACACCAATACCATGGGGAGGGGAGAATCCACACAGAATCCATCCCAAAATGACTCCTCATTCTACCAATCCCTCCTTTACTAACAATCCACCAGGACATGCTCATCTACCCCCTCTTCATAACCGACAATCCCGACGAAGAAACACCAATCCCTTCCCTCCCAAACCAATACCGCCGAGGCGTCAACAAATTAATCCCCTTCCTCGCCCCTCTAATCCGAAAGGGCCTAAGCTCAGTAATGCTCTTCGGCGTCCCTTTACACCCCTCCGCAAAAGACGCCCTCGGCACATCCGCCGACGACCCCTCCGGCCCCGTAATCTCCGCAATCCGACTCCTACGCACCCGATTCCCAAAACTCTACATAACAACCGACGTCTGTCTCTGCGAATACACATCCCACGGCCACTGCGGCATCCTCCGCGAAGACGGAACCCTCGATAACGCCCAATCCGTGGACCGAATCGCAGACGTAGCTCTAGCCTACGCAATCGCCGGCGCACACTGCGTCGCACCATCAGACATGAACGACGGACGCGTTCGCGGCATCAAACTAAAACTCATCGAAGCAGGCGTCGCCCACCGCGTCCTACTCATGTCCTACTCAGCCAAATTCAGCGGATGTCTGTACGGTCCCTTCCGCGATGCTGCGGGTTCTTGTCCCAGTTTTGGCGATCGGCGGTGCTACCAATTACCCCCCGCGGACGAGGCCTTGCGCGGCGTGCGATTGTTCGCGATATGAACGAGGGAGCGGATATTATTATGGTTAAGCCTGCTAGTAGCTACCTGGATATTATTCGGGATGCGAAGGATTTGGCGCAGGATTTGCCTGTTGCTGCTTATCAGGTTAGTGGAGAATTTGCAATGATCCATGCGGGAGCCAAGGCGGGGGTATTTGATTTGAAGAGCATGGCTTTTGAGAGTACTGAGGGGATTTTGAGAGCTGGGGCTGGAATCGTGGTTAGTTATTTCACGCCTGAGTTTCTTGATTGGCTGTGAGATGTGGCTACGGCACTTCTTATATATGCATTTGGCATATCAGCTTGAACATCTGGGCTGGGCTGGGCTAGGCTGGGCTGAGCTGGCATGGAACGAACGACACAACACGACCCAACCCATTCATAATTCCCAACAACAAAACCAAGATACCCACCATATGACTTTTTATTATTCACGAGCCGGTTGTATCTACAATTCATCCCCTCTCTTCTCTTGTCTCCTCTTTATTTCTGTTCTCTACTTTGGCATTTTGACATCTCGGCATTTTGGCATTTTCATAATGGCAATGAAAAATAAAAGCTTGAACAATATTCATATTCACATTTGTAGATATATACTAAGTATTGCAACAAGGAAAATAGTAGAGAGAAGAATGAGGAATGAAATAAAGCATAAAATAACAATAGAAGAACAATAGGGGGTGTAAACACGACGTCAAATCGCCTAGATGGGGTGTCACAGATAAGAGAAACAAAATCAACTTCCAAGGGTATGTATGGCCACTGGTTACATCGGGCACATCGCATCCTTGGGGAAAAAAATAGCAAACAAGTAGAAAACAAAATTGAAACAAAATTGGGGGGAATCACACCCCCTCCAGCGGGGGTCTCATCATTAGCACATCTTTAATCTTCACTCCACTCCACTTCACCTCATCTCATCTCACATATAGCTAGGCTTAAACCCCTGGAAGCCATAAGCAACAATATGAGTCTTCACCACCTCTCCAGGCGCAATATAAGCCCCACGACCCAGGTGCACGCCAGGATAAATCGTACAACCAGCACCAAGATAGCAATCCTCTTCAATAGTAACCGGTCTCCCCTGGTATCGACTCTGCGATCCCTTGCGCTCCTGCATACTAGAATGAGCCATAGAACTGAGCAAAGTAACATTGGGCCCGATCCAGGTATGAGCCCCGATATTGATAATGCAGTCATCAACAAATAAACAACCTTGGGATATCATCACATCTTCACCGATGTGGATATTATACCCGTAGTTGCACGTAAACGAACTCTCAACGACGGCACCTTGACCGATCGAGCCAATGGAGCGAGGCGCACCAGACATGCCCGACGGCGAGTTGGTGACGGAATCAGAAGGCGGAACGAGAATCTCCTTCAGGAGGCGATTTTGCTCTTTCGAACTCAGGCCGTGGACGGGGTTGCAGGCGTTATTGAATCGCCACAACGCGCGGCGGCATCGATCGCGCTCTTCGACTAATTGCACGTCGAAAGGACGGTAAAGTTCTCCTCGGATCATTTTCTCTTTTTCGGTCTCTTCTCCGGAAACCGCGCGGCCGGAAATTTGATGCTCGATGCTCAGTGCCATTCGGGCTTGTGCTTGCGGGCTGTTTGTATCCATTGGCGCTGTGGGCGGGAGGGATGGCCGTTGTTGTTGTTGCTCGACTCCCCCGCCTTGGAATAGAGGCATGCTGGCTTTGGGATGAGGGCCTGGCGGAACTTCGCGAATTGGGGGTACGACCGCGTAGTCTGGTTTCGGGGGGCCTTCTCGAGGTGGCATTTCGTGAACGGGTGGAACTTCTCGATAATCTGGCTTTGGGATGTGCTCGGGGACGTAAGCGGGCTGGGCTGCACCGGCCCATCCCCGTTTCGACCATGACGCATGGGTGCCAGTTGGGCTGGTGGTATACTGCTGTTGCTGCGGTGGTGGTGGTGGTGGTGGCGGCGGCGGCGGCTGTTGCTGCGGTTGTGGTTGTGGTTGCGGTTGTGGTTGCGTCTGCTGTGGTAGGGGTTGTGGTTGTGGTGGAGGGGGTGGATGTTGGTGTTGGTGCTGAGGCTGGTGCTGGTGCTGGTGCTGATGCTGGTGTTGTTGTTGGGCTGACCGCTCCCCTCATCGACCACCGCAGGTCGCATCTTGCGTTCCGCGTGTGCGTGTTCGACCATTCCCGCCGGCCGCTCGTGAGGTTGGGGAGTTTCTGGTAGATACTGACCACCAACCTCCGCGTAGCCATCTTTAGACTGCAATGGAACGGGTCCTTTGGCACTGGAAGGCTTCTGCCACATACTCCGCGACGTGTAACCTTCACATAGAAAGCCTCCACGAATGCAATTGTTGCCTAATATGCATTGTTAACGATTAATCCTCCACAATCCCATTGCCTAATGAGATCTTCCATAAGCAGTATCACTTACAGGCAGGGTGTTGTTCATCACATTTCTTTTTCCGCCGACGACATGTCATACAGCCAGTCTTGGTTCGATTGCTGAAGACGCGCTTCCTCTTTGGTGCCACCTGGACGGCAGCCGGTGAGCGGTCCGATGGATATGTCGAAGAAGTTGGTGGTCCAATCGATGATGACGGGAGGAGGCGAGTGCCTAAGTCCCGTTCTTGACCTTGTGCTTCACGTTGCAGGGCATCCGCCAGATGAGCATCGGACGGATCGAACTGCTGGGCGCGTTGTGCCTGACTGATCAACTGGGAATCATAATCGGGCCACGGCCCCGTGGAGGACGGTGCATCATTGGTGTCGGATCGATGGGCCGATGCAGGTCCATGATGGGATGTTTCGAACTCTGAGATTGAGCCCGAGCCCGAGCCGGACACTGACCCCGCTCCATTGGAAGCGGGCGGGCCGTCGACATCGACGGGACGATCTAAAGGGCCACGGTTGAAGCCCGTCAGATCGCGTGGGGAATGATCTTGCAGCTCCCTGGATTCAGATCGCTTTCGCTTGTGGTGATTGGAGTTGGGGTTGGGTGATGGTGATGGGCGAAAATTGCCGCTGCCGCGATCGTGGTCCTGGCGCTCAGCCGAGTTCGAGTGTCCCAGTCCCAGGCTTGGTTCTCTCGGGCCGGACGATGAATCTTGATCACTGTTCCCGGGAGGTTTTGACGACGATGGACCCGATGCTGATTCCCTTCCATTTACCGCAGTGAAGCGCGAGGGACTGTGGTCGGAACCGTTCTCGTGGTTGCTCATCACGGGGGCGGTTGCGACGGCCGTCATGGTCCACTCTCTCGCGCGCGCGCTCTGCTCTGCTCAGCTCAGCACACGCACTCACTCCCTTCTTTTCCCCGCACAGAATACGGGAGGGAGTCTCGGAAGTGACCGAGTCAATATGTATGAAAGTCAAGAAAGAGGGAGAGGGATGGCAAAGGTAGCCTCAGAAAGCCCGAATAGAAGCAACCGCCCAGAGGCGCCGAAAAGCGGCAACGGGGCAAACCCCGGGCGTCGCAGGATGCGCTTGAGGCCGAGCTGAGATGGTCAATGCACCCCAGGTAGAACCCAGAAAAGGTTTTTTTGTTTTTCTTTTGTGACAACAGATTTGTTTTTTGTATTCCCTTATTTATTTTTTGATGTTTCTGGGGGGGAAGGGTTCCTTTTTTTTGTTCTGTGTTGTTTTGTAGGACCGTTCTACACGCTCGCCCGGTTAAGGGGGGGAAATCGCGGTAACCTCGCCTGGGTGGGGCGAAGCCGAGCGGATAGTGTTCAGCGCCAAATAATGGGAATCGATGAACCAGGATCAAAGGAAAGGATAAAGGATGAGATATCAGAAATGTAGAGAGTAGGCGCCAGATTCTAATATAGAGAGTATAGAGGGGGAAGTGGGGAGGAGAATTATAGAAGTAAAAAGAGAAGAGAAGGGGGTGGGGGGGAGAGGAGGGGAGGGGGGAAGATAGGAAGAAAAGGTAGGAGGGAAGAGAAGAGAAGAGAGAAGAGGGGAATTGAATCAGAGGGAGAGGGTGGAGTGTAGGAGGAGGGAGTGTAGGAGAAGGAGTGAAGGAGTGAAGGAAGAGGAAGAGAGAGAGAAGAAGGAAGAGGAAACTTGAAAGAAAGTGCTATACCACTCTACACCAGAGAAAGTGCTGGTGACCAGAAAAGTACTCCGTACTTCCGAGGGGGGAGGCCCCCTCTGACTCTCTCTCTCTCTCTAGTTACTTTCTCTCCCCCGCCCACTCCTTCCGGTCTATCCTTTCTGGAATTGGGGCCATGGTACGGAGTAGAGGAGAACCCTTCCCCCATACAGTTCAACTTATTGAGTATATATATATACGAGTAGTACTACTCCCTCCACCATAATGACTCTTCGGTTGCATCCAATTCTCGAGCCATCCACCCACCATTTCCCCCAACCTCCCTAAACCCTCCGGAATCCCCTCTAGATTCGGGCCAGACTAATGGCCCCCAGTAGGCTAGCGGCCAAAAAAAAAGAGGAAAGGGGAGTTGGCGCGCGAGATCGGCAAAGGACGGCGTCACGGCGGCCGCCAATCGGAAGGCGAAAGCGCCATACGCAGTGAGGTGTGCGCGGGTCTGAGACAACTATCATTTCCCAGGCGACCGGAGCGACGATGGCGCGCGTTCCCAGGCGCCCCGTGTGGCTTGGTGGAGAAGCTGACCTGCGGGCACGGCTGACGGCGCCAACATAGCGCGGGTGCGGGTTGGGCGGTTATCCATCGCTTATCAGTGGTAGCCGGGGCGGTGATGTGATAGTGATAGTAATAGTAATACTCGTAGTAATCGTAATAGCAGAACTTAGGGCACTGGTTTAGGGTTCCCTAAATAATACATAATGCTCTTTTTATAACCCCTAAACCCCTACGTCACCCTATAACTACTATATTATAGTTAGTAGGCGCTATCGCTAGTATATGCTGTCCACTCCCGCCAGAGCTGTGGCACTCCCGCTCTGCTCCTTGGGGATAGTCTTTATTTAGGGCACTGGTTTAGGGTTCCCTAAATAAAAATATTATTCTTTTTGTAATCCCTAAAACCCTAAGTCACCCTATCACTATTGTTAGTATACACTGCATATCCAGCTATGTTACGGCACTCTGCTCTCGCTGACTAAGATCACCAACAACAGACACGCGCCCTCACCGCCAGTGTGATTCGCTCCTCTAGATCTTCCTCTTCCTTTTTTTTGTGGTTTTTTGCTCAGAATAGACCTGGTCTGTCCTTTCTCTCCTCTAGTCTCCATTACCTGGAGCTCCATCCAATCACCCTTCCTCTTTCCCTAGAGTAGTGCGTGCTGGCAAAAAAACCCCTCCCTTAGCCTTACCTTAACACTTCCTGGCCGACCTACCCCACCAGGTTTAGTCTTCGCTCTAACATCATCTTCCCCTCCGCCCACCTGCTTCCCCTTCCATCCATCAAATCACCGTCCACCACCGAGCCAACCGCCTTTGGCAGCTCCTGCAACTCTCATCCCCCCCATCCCGTGTCTAGCCTTCCTTCCAGATTGTCTGTCTGGCTAGCTCTTTGGTGATATCGGCGAATTCGCCAATCTCTGCGGCGTCATGTCTCTTTCCGTTTCAGAGCTGGACAACACTGTCCGAGCCTTCTTTGAAGGCAAAGGTGACGTGGTATGTGACGAGTTCACCCTGACCTATCCTGCAACTTCCCACAGCTAACATCCTGATCCAGCAAAAACAAGCCCAACAATCTTTGACCGAAGTAAGCTTGCCCTGGCCCGGCGCGCGCGCGCTTTCTCCCCTCCCCGAACCCCCCCGACGCGAAGGCGAAGATCCTGAAGATCCTGCGTCTCCCCCGATCCTCGTCTTCATTCCCCCTCGTCCGCCTGCTGCGGTACTGATCCGATCGACCAACCTTCTAGTTCAAACAAAATCCCGATGCCTGGGTCACCGTGGGTAATATCCTTCAAGAGGCAACCTACCCTCAAACGAAGTGTAAGTTTCGGAGTTCGGCGCTTTGCCTTCTCTTTGATGATGATCAGGCTGACTCTGGTTTAGATATTGCCCTGCAAGTTCTCGACGATGTGATTATGACCCGCTGGAAGGTCCTGCCCAGGGACCAGTGCCAAGGTACCAAACCATCCCCAATTCCAATTCCCTGAGGGGAAATTTCCGCAGTTCTCCTCCTCAAATCTTCCTTACTGACAATCCGTCTTTTTCCTTCCCCGCTATAGGAATCCGCAATTTCATCGTGAACTTCATCATCGAAAACTCCGGCTCCGAGGAGAAGCTCCGCACTGAGCGCGCCTTCTTGAACAAACTCAACCTGGTCCTGGTTTCAATCTTGAAGCAGGAGTGGCCACACAACTGGCCAACCTTTATCAACGAGATCATTTCGTCATGCCACGCCAGCCTTTCCATCTGCGAAAACAACATGGCCATTCTCCGTTTGTTGTCAGAGGAGGTCTTCGATTTCTCCCAAGACCAGATGACCTCGGTTAAGGCGAGAAACCTGAAGACTTCTATGACCCAAGAGTTTGCCTCCATTTTCCAGCTCTGTTCCGAAGTCCTTAATACCGCCAACCAGACCAGCCTGGTCAAGGCAACCCTCGAGACTCTCCTGCGTTTCCTGAATTGGATCCCGCTGGGCTACATCTTCGAAACCCCCATCATCAATACCCTTCTCACCCGGTTCCTGGATGTTCCCGAGTTCCGAAATGTTACGCTCAAGTGCTTGACCGAGATCGGCGGTTTGCAGATTGGCGCTCCCTACAACTACGATGAGAAGTTGGTGTTCATGTTCACTGAAACACTAACCAAGGTCTCAAATGTCATTCCCCTGACAATGGATTTGAAGGAGACATATGCCCAGAGTAACGGCAGAGACCAAGAATTTGTCTCGAACTTGGCCCTCTTCCTCTCGAGTTTCTTCAGTGCTCACTTGGATGTACGTGCTAAGACCGATTTGATCCCCCACCCTCCCCCACGCAGTACATGCGCTGACACTCTATCTCTCTAGCTCGTCGAGAAGTTGCCCAACCAAGATTACCTCACCCACGCCCACTTCTACTTGATTCGAGTCAGCCAAATTGACGACCGCGAAGTTTTCAAGATCTGCTTGGATTACTGGACCCGGCTGGTGCAGGAGCTATACGAGGAGATGCAGCAGCTTCCAATTACCGATATCAACCCCCCTAGTCACAATGGGCGTTAGCGGCCTCTCCAACGGCGGTGCCCCCCCACCCAAGCACCCTGGCCAACTATCCCCTGCGCAAGCACAAGTACGAGACCGTTCTCTCCAACCTTCGCACTGTAATGATCGAGAAGATGGTCCGTCCCGAGGAGGTTCTGATCGTCGAGAATGACGAGGGAGAGATCGTGCGTGAATTTGTGAAGGAAAGTGATACCATTCAGCTTTACAAGACTATTCGCGAGTGCTTGGTCTACCTGACGCACTTGGACGTGGTGGACACCGAAACGATCATGATCGATAAATTGGCCAAGCAAGTCGATGGGTCCGAGTGGTCGTGGGTCAACTGCAACACTCTGTGCTGGGCCATCGGCTCCATTTCCGGCGCTATGAATGAAGAGACCGAGAAGCGGTTCCTGGTCACTGTTATCAAAGACCTTCTGGGCCTGACCGAGCAAAAGCGCGGAAAGGACAATAAGGCCGTCGTCGCAAGTAATATCATGTACATCGTGGGCCAGTACCCGCGCTTCTTGAAGGCTCACTGGAAATTCCTGAAGACAGTCGTGAACAAGCTCTTTGAGTTTATGCACGAGACCCACGAAGGTGTCCAGGATATGGCCTGCGATACATTTATTAAGATTGCTAACAAATGCCGACGCCACTTCGTGGCTCTGCAGCCTGGAGAGAACGAGCCCTTCATCGAGGAAATCGTTCGCAACATGCGCAAAATCACGATGGACCTTTCACCGCAGCAGATCCACACTTTCTACGAGGCTTGCGGTTATATGATTTCCGCCCAGGGTCAAAAGACTCTCCAGGACCGCCTGATCGAGAACCTGATGGCGTTGCCCAACTCGGCTTGGGACCAGATCATTGGCGAGGCCAACCAGAATGCGGCCATTCTCCAGGATTCAAACACCATCAAGATCATCGGAAACATCATGAAGACCAATGTTGCGGCTTGCTCTTCTATCGGAACATACTTCTATTCCCAAATTGGTCGAATCTACCTTGACATGCTGAACATGTATCGAGCCTCCAGCCAGCTCATCAACGATGCCGTCGCGAATGATGGACACATTGCTCCTAAAACTCCTAAAGTTCGGGGTCTGCGAACCATCAAGAAGGAAATCTTGAAGCTGATCGATACCTATGTTGAAAAGTCCGACGATCTCGAGATGGTCAACGCCAACATGGTGCCGCCCCTCCTTGAGGCAGTACTCCTCGACTACAACCGCAACGTACCCGACGCGCGCGAGGCGGAGGTTCTGAACGTGATGACGACCATCATCCACAAGCTCCACAACCTGATGGAGGATAAGATCCCTAGCATCATGGACTGTGTGTTCAGCTGCACTTTGGAGATGATCAACAAGGATTTCCACGAGTATCCGGAGCATCGCGTGCAATTCTTCAAGCTCCTTCAGGCGGTCAACCTGTACTGTTTCCCCGCATTGCTGAAGCTCGATGCCACTCAGTTCAAGTTTGTCATTGATTCTTGCATGTGGGCTTCCAAGCACGATAACCGCGAGGTTGAGAATACCGGTCTCACTATGTGTCTCGAATTGATGAACAACATGGCCGAGACGGACCCGCAAACATCGGCCATCTTCTTCCGCCAATTCTACATCCCAATTCTCCAGGATGTGTTCTTCGTTCTGACTGATAGCGATCACAAGGCTGGTTCGTTCGACCCTCTTCCCTCTTCCCTCTCCCCCTTTGTCTCCAGCTAACACTCACATGTTCGTCAATCTAGGCTTCAAATCACAAGCCATGCTGCTGTCTCGCATGTTCATGTTCGTCGAATCCGGAAAGATCCAAGAACCCATCTATACCGCGGAGCAGGCGCCCGCAGGAACCTCGAACAAGGACTTCCTGCAGGAATACGTCGCAAATCTACTCCAGAGCGCATTTAAGAACCTGCAAGAGTGAGTCAACCCTTCACAGCGGAGAATTTATTCCAAGACTTTGGTGCATTGCTAACTGTTTTTTTTTTCAGCGCCCAAATCAAGCAATTTGTGATCGGTCTATTCGCCTACACCGACGACTTGAACAAGTTCAAGACCCACCTCCGTGATTTCTTGATCTCCCTGAAGGAATTCTCCGACGATAACGCCGAGCTCTACGCCGAGGAACGCGAACAAGCCGTGCGCGACGCACAAGCCACCGAGCGCGAGCGCGCGATGAAGGTTGGAGGTCTATTGAAACCTTCGGAGATGGAGCAAGAAGATGAGCTCTGACTGGATCGTGAATACCGTACCGAATTTGGACCGTCGGAATCCGAATCCGAATCCAGGATGAAAATGACTGCGAGTTCGACTGTGACAGCGAATGACGGCCTTGATGGCTGGTCTCTTTATGAGCTTTGATCTAGATCGTGGAGCGCTTTCTCTAGAGCCATACCCCCAGGGGTGCATGCATTTCTCCTTTCTGATCTGATCTGATCTGATCTGAGATTCGACTTCGAGATGGCGTAACATCCTATGCGATAATGCAAACTCAACCAACCTAAACTAAACCAAACCAAACCATTTGATCCCCCTTTGTAACTCTGCTGCACTGCACTACTATTCCCAGTGATCAGGTCGTGTCTGATATTTTCAAGATAGCTTTCCCTGAAACAAAAAGAATTTTCTATTAAATCTGACCTAGTCCTAACCTTAGAATGCCAGTGTAGACTGTGAATATGTAGCCAGAGCACTAGTATATTCTAGCCAATATTCTAACCAACATATTCTAGTAGCTGATATATTTTAGTTAATACTCTTTCGCCTTGTGGCCGTTAACAGCCGCAACTGAGACATATGTCATGACCACCTGGCACCTGAATCGGAGCCAAAAGTGACTTACTTCATGGAATCTTGCCTTTGCCCAGGTGTGTATATTAGTTACAGCCATACATGTTCATGTTTATGGATATATATCACTCTAACATCTCGCACTAACTACTACTACTACTTACTCAGTCCTATAGTACATATCACCCTACCAAGCCCCGCAGCCAAAGGCGGTGAGCTTATCAATCGCATCATAAGGTCCAAAAGTTTTGCCTCAACTTCCCACCAAGCTCTCTCCCTTCCAACTTGAACACTTCCAACCTCTAATAAAGAACTTGAATAAAATGTCCCGATCCCGCCGAACCGAAAGAACCCCACAACTAGCATCCGCAACCGAAACAGAAACATCCCGAGACTCCTCCGCCACAGGCCTCCGACCTGGATTCGGATTCCCACAAACACTCCGACTACGAGGCGACGATACATCCACATCTACACCCAGCGCAAGCGTTGAACCCTCCCCATCAGAATCAGCATCCCGCCGCATTAGATGGAGCGAAGACGTCGTTGATAATGAGGGGATGGGGAAGAAGAGTTCGAAAGGTACACCCCACCCCGCCCTACACCAACTCACCCATTCATTTTACCCTACGGCGAGAAACAGAAACAGAAGCAGAAAAGAAAAGAAAAAGAAAAGTGTGGAACAATCACTAACGCTCATCTCATCTCACAGTATGCTGCATATACCACAAAGCCCGCCCCATCGGCGAGAGTAGTTCCGAAGAATCCTCCTCCTCCTCCAGCGGTAGCGACAGCGAGAGTGAGAATGAGGCTGATCGGCGACGATTAGCCGCGAACCGGGCTCGGGGGAGGAAGCCTGTTGGCGATGGCCATGGACATGAGCATGGGCATGACTCTGACGCCGATTCATCTTGCGAACACCAGCACCAGCACCAACCCAGCAAGCGAAAGGCCCATAAGCCTAGGAGAAAACCCAGCCCGAATGCTTATGAGAAAATGCCCAAGCCTTCGAATAAACCCGCCGCACCCGCGCAGGGTCCTTGATTGATTTGAGATTGGAATTGTTGACAAACAATGCAATACAATACAATGGTTGTGGACCTGGTTCTGTTTGGCTTCCACTTCCACTGGCAGACGAAGCAAATCTTTCGTCACTCTGCTCCTATATACGACTGTAGCGAGACTTGAATGTGTTTTATTCGATTATGAATGATCATATCATATCATATCATACATACGTTGACGTCGAGACGGGACGGGACGGGACGGGACTCAAACCCCCAACCCAACCCAACCCAACCCAATCCTCGACATCATCATACTAATGCGATGCGCATCAATAAAATGCAATGCAATGCACCCCCAGTGAGAGCTGGGTCGGGTCATGGTGGGACTATGTACATTAGACACCGCAATGATCTAGCATTGCGAAGAGAAGACGCTGAAGTTCATTTCGTTGTTATGGTCTAGACACCCATGGAGAACAGAACAAGCATGCATATATAGTTCCGTTCTCACAGTACGATAAACGAGGATAAACGGGGGGCGAGACTTAGCCTCGTTAGGATAGCTCAGCATGGCGAATGAGGATATCTCATTCAATCCTACAACTCGAACAACAATGATACATTTACTTCGCTTTGGACTACATGCAGAAAGAAATGAGATGAGGTAAAGCAAAGCAAAGAAATACCGCTGATTCGCAAGATCTGGAACGCAAGAGGGTATCTGTAACACCAACATCAACACCAACACCAACGCCACTGCAACAGGCAGTCTAAAATGTAAATACAACGATTATCCAATCCAACCAATTTACCAATTAAGAGCCCACAATCACAAAAGCTCAGTTTTCTTTCATCTTCAGACCATCATACTTCTCCTCCGAGCACCAATCCGAGTTTCTCTCCGACCAGCATCGATGGCAGGGGGCAGTTTCCATCCATTCCCATTCAAGTCATCGTTATCAAAGCTGCTGTCCGCTTGAGAGGACCACGACTCATCCACATCCACATTAATGTAACTGCTCTTTGGATTTGAGGAGTGTCGACGAGATTGTCGTTGAGAATAGACAGGTTCAGGTTCGGGTTCACGGGCGTTGTCCGAAGTGTCGAAAATATCGTCCTTTTTATTCGTATTCGCGGTTGACACTTTGCGTCTGCGGCGGGATACTGTTGCAATCATATCCTCTGAACCACCGTCACCATCTTTGGACAATATATCCGGCAAGATCGCATCGGCATGATATCCACGTCCACTAGATGGGGTACGTGAACTGTCCTCGGTTCCCAGTTCTGGTTTTCTTTCAACAAACTGATCATCCCCATCAAGACTTTCACGACCGAGCTGGAAACTGGATGACCGGCGATCCGCCACCGCATCGGCCATATCTTTCGTCGAGCGACGCATTTTAGCCCGAAGACTGGGCTCCGCATAGCTGACCACCGCACCGCGACGTCGGGAAGGACGTGAGGCACCCGTCTCGTCAGACATATCCTCCATGCTCTCTCTCGATTTTGCGATCGGGGAGTCCTTAGAAACATTGACGATCGTGGTCTTGGTCTTGGTCTGATTTGGCGTAGCATCTTCCGTGGTCATCGTTTGGTTGGCACGTTTAGGTTTCTGCAACAAAGAAGGCGGGCGTCCACGAGGTCGCCCGGATGGTGTTTTTGATTTTTGGCTTGCCACGTCCTTGGGCTTTTGGGGGGATGGCAAGTTCTCGTCTTGTCCGATATTTGGGCGGGTCTTGTTATCTAGTTGGGAGGCGGCGCGGGACTTCTTTGGGGAACCCAGGTGGGAATTTGCGCTTTCTGTCGTGGTTGTCAGTAAGTTCATTGTGGACCATAGTGTCAATGGGAATAATGGGGGGGTTCTCACTTGGTTCAAGAACTTTCCGCTTCGTGGTACTGTTATTCGCAGACCCTTGCTTCATGCTCACAGGTGTTTTACTAGGAGAAATCGAAGTCTCCCGGGCCAAGAACTGGAATGTATCTTTCTGTTTCTGGGGACTGCGATTCAGTCGACTAAACTGAAAATCGTCCTCAGGAGCCAGATCGAACAAGGCATCGTCATCAAGACTAAACTTGCGCTTGGAGCCAAATTTCGAAGAAGTTCCTGCGCTCGCCTCTGAAATCGAAGTTGCTGTTACTGTATGTCCACTCTCCACATCATTATCACTGGAGGCGGCTGCGACTTCGGGTCTTCTCTTTTTCTTGCGGGTCTCGAGGGTAGGGGGGAGGTAGGCTTCGGAGCTCGGCGAGAGATTGAATTTATTACCCGAAGGCGTTTCGTCTGGTCTGGAAGTCGTGTCTTCAGTCGCGGTCGCGGGGTCCAAATAATCCATCTGGGGCGCTTCTGACATGCAAGAATTGCCTTCCATGAGATCATGAACTTCTTGCGGTCTGCACAAGCATAAGTTAGCGTGGACCCTTTAAGCCTCGCTTCGGCTCTAATGGCAGACAGAAACTCACTCTAGCGTTTTGCGGGGAAAATATTTGTCTTCCAAGATAGCGGGTAATTTTCCATCCTCAGTCTCTGCATTGTAGTCCGGGTCATTCGCCCGTGGCGGCGCCTCTGCTGTCTTGAGACGGTCGGAGTTGGTATCGAAAGATTTATCCTTGAACATCTTCCCAGCTTTACGAGGAAGTGTTCCAAGATCCGACACGAGGCCATTTAATTCCGCAAGCTTCGCATCGAGACGAGCTTTGATTTCGTAAACCCCGTTCTGAAGCGCCTTGGCGGAACCCAATCGCTCATTTTCCTGGGTGAGGGTGATGATTTGGCCGCGGAGTGAGACGTTTTCGCTGAGGAGATGCGACACTTCTGATTCTAGGCTGCGAATGCGCATCGATTGCATGGAGTTGACTCGCATGATTTCGCGATTTTGTCGGACGAATCTCCGCTTGACTGAGCGAAGCACGATGATTAGTCCAAAGGGCGAAGGCGAAGGCGGGCAAGGCAAGGCAAATAAACTTACGAGCGTCGACCGACTCGGCTGGAGCCGCATAGTCATTCAGTCGGGCCATGGTGGGATGGCACCGAGATCGAACGCGGACAGGACGAGGGTGGTGTGGATGGTGAGCGGCGTACTCGTACTGCGAATGCAGATGCAGAGAGGTCAACGGCTGAGGTAAACATCTCTGTTGATGTTTGTCCTCTTCGGGTTTAGCCCCATAACTGGCTGACTCATCCAGCCCCTCCGAGTGGGTCACGGGAACAAAGGTCACGGGATCCCGTCCCACTAAGATAGGCCGCTTTATTGATATGACGGTGGACTCGCGTACTGGAATGATTTGTTTGCCTCTGCCTTTGCCTTTGCCTGCCCATCACGCATCGCATCGCATTCGCGTTTCTTCCCCACGCTTGCAAACGCCACATTCCTCCCCTCACTGCAATGGCCTACTCGTCCCGACCAACCTCAATGCTTCCTGGCGGACTACGCCAGCCAGCCAGCCAGCCATCATCGGCGCTGTCGACGCGTATCGCGGCCAAAAAGGCCGAGCTCGAGAACCTCCGCCAGCTACGCGATTTGAGCGGTACCCTGGCCATGCAAATGCAGGCGCTCGAGAGCAAGATTGCCACGTTGAAGGATGGCACGGAAGGTATGATTTTCTAATTCCAGTCCTGCGATTCGATTTGATTCCCTAGGGCCGGGTTGTACCACCCCCGCTGATACTGATACTGATTCGATCCAACCTTATCCAGCGGTTGCGTGCGTTCTTGCCAATTGGGATAATGTTCTTCGTGCTATCAGCCTTGCATCCAGTAAGCATCAGCGATACCCTATCCGATATCCTTTATCCTTATCAGGAGGGGTTATCAGGGGAGTGTTAGACACTAACGTCATGCGCAGAGAAAGCTAGTGGTCTTGACGACGCCGCCGGAGCCGAGGGGGCCGATGACCAGACTGAGACTCGCTTGCCAGCCACCTTGGTTCGCATCCCTGCCGAGTCAAGCGAGAAGGCTGGTGAGTGAAACCGAGAGGAGGAGGAGCAGCAGCAGCAGCAGCAGCATCGGCAGCATGAGCAATTCCCTCCCTCAGTCTGATTGAACGTCCCCCGGATCTCTGCAATCCGAGTCGGCTCAAGTCGAGTTGAAGTACAGTACAATTATTCCTAACCCTCTCTCCGCCTGCCACATATCCCACTCCAGTCCAGCTCCGCCGATTCGACTCGATTCCGTCATTTCACCCAGTCACATCGAATGCGGAGGAAATGCTCGGCCCGGTTGGGATGAGCATGCAGCAGCCAGAGCCAGCTTGCTTCAGGTACTGCACTGTACGGAGTACTGTAGGTACCTGTGGTTCTGTTGGGTACCTTGGCCTTCTTCCCCCACTTTTCCATCCCTTTTCTACGGCTTACATGTCACCACATCGCCCCTGGGCCACGGACGCCACGATAACCCTGAGCGGATCATGTAGCGGGTCCTCCTGGGTCCTCATAGGGTCGGGAAGGATAAGATTAGAGGAAGAGGGGGGGGGGGTTTAGGGGGGAGCACGACCCAAGCACGAACCTTCCCCCGCATTTGACGGCACTGGATGTACGGATTGCAGCATGGATTCGCAGCATTCCTCACGTTCATCGCGTGACGATGGCAGTCACTAGTGTGTTAGCGGGTTAGCGTGAATGTCCATGCAGCTAAGTTTATCGAGGGGACGTGCAGGAGGGAGTGCGACAAGGTTTCAAGACCAAAAATGAAAAACCAATGAGGGAAGGGGAATCTTGTACCCTTGTACCCTAGGCACATGTACACTACTGTACGTATCCCTCCTACGTAGTGTTAGACCAAGTGTAGTTAGACATGAAACCGCACAGACTCGCCATCGTCGTACCAACCAGGGAGGGGAGTCCCTCGCTAGGATCTCCACTTTATACGTATGGCGTACATCTGTGCCAGTACTTGTATCGCCCCCAGGCACGCTCAGACCGCATGTGCGCATATGACAGGCCCGCGAGGCCATGGTGGAGTCCGACGATAATTGCCCGTTCGAGGTTCCTGCAGGAATTCGCTCAGGTCCGTTACGTTTTTCTTTTCGTCGTAAGCGCCCGAACCACGCCATATTCTGTTCGTGCAGGTGTGCAGCGAGAGTCAATAATTGGCGCAGTACTGCGCAGTACTGCGGGGGAACTCAGTAGACTGCGGGATTTAGTGTGAGGATACAGGTAGATCGAAGTATTCCTTCATGTGTACTCAGGTACTCCATACTCGTACCTGATGTGCGTAGAGTGGATCCAATACATGCCTTGTTGCCCGTTGCCCACTGCCCTCATTGCATTGCACATTTGCCTACGGATGTGGCATGACTGTCCTACAGTGTGGGGCCCCTATGAGGTGATGCTGATCGTGATTGTGATCGTGATCGCTGTTGGTCTGTGGTCTGTGGTCTGTACATATTTACGCTCGTTCCGCCTTCATCATCTTGACTTTTTCTTTTCCCCCTCTAATCCTCTAATCCTCCCCACCACCACCACCACTACCATGACCAACATGTCCACCGAATGGTCTCTAGATTTCTGCCTCGCCTGTGATAGTCAAACATCCGGAGGTCCCTACTGCTCTCAAACATGTCGACTCGCTGAACTGGATCGTCCAACTGAAGATGCTTTATCTACATCTCGACCAGCTGGCCCCCCTCATTCGAGGTCATCTACCCTCGACTCGACTCGATCATCTCGAAGTTTATCCGCTTCATCCTCTCAAACCTCCCTCTCCTCCTTGAAAAGCCATTCCTCCGATACAACCATTTCCGATCAACTCCAAGATGAGCTACGCGATTATGCGAGTTCCTTTGATCCCGTGCGGGATTTGAAGCGACGCCTGACTACCTCTTAATTCCAACAAGAATTCCCTCATCTCAGCAAATAATTCCCTCACCTCAGCCGAGATTACGAAACACTCCACATCCACTCTTCCAACCTCGAGTTGCTTCCAGAGAAGCAGCCCCACCTCCCTAAACCTCTCCTCTCATCTCATCTCATCGACTTTACCTCACCTTACCTTACTTTCGGGCACACGCCCCAGCGAAACACAACATTGCATATCTTGGGAGGAAAAAAACCAAAGGCGTCTCGTTTGTGCAAAACTATTAGGATTTGCAATATGAAATATGGATTATCATGGGCAACTCGCCCACCACATCACCTGGCTTTTATTTTGACTCTGTTCCCCACGACTTCCCACCCACACCTATGTATACCCCCTACTTCTATTCTACACTGTGATATCCCGGAGTTGCAAGGATCGGATCTAATGGACACCCCTTCAATACATCGACCAGACCAGACTGTTTGACTGTTGTTTTAACAAAGCTCAGGCCATCGACGCTTCGCTTTATTGTTTGATTCTTTTTTTTCTTTCTTTTTTCTGTTTCACAGCTACGCACAAGGGACCACAGGACCACGATTGGTGCAGAATGTAGATTATCTGATATAGCTCAATTCAAGGCAGACGCTCAAAGCAGCGCATCATCAATACTCCACCCTCCACCCTCTACCCTCCCCCCGCCAGATAGATCTTCTTCAGTCGTACCATGTACCATGTACCATGTACATACAGACGTATCATATCATATACATCTACTCCGTAGCAGAATGCGTTGTATGTATAGAGTGGAGTAGGCACGTTGAAGACCCTCGAGCCACAACCACGGCTCCACCGAACGGGTGGATCGTCTTCCGCGATCCACAAGGCCAACTGAAGCCGGGTGTTTTTTCCATCCCCAGTCTCTCCATGGAGGGTGGAGTGGAGTGGAGCGTAGTTCTTTCCCATACTTTGGTGTACATAGATATACTTTCCCCCATCCCCTCCAATTGGCGAATCCTCTCCAATCCCATCCCACTCACGCCTTCGCAACAATCTCGCCCAACGCCTTCGCATCCTTGGGCACAAACCGCACCTTATACCTCTGCGGAATAGCCACAAGACTAGTCGGATCCGAGTTGCCCCGAACAGGGTGCCAATCCGCATCTTCATTTGGTTCAATGCGGAAACTATTCAGGGTCCGCATGAAGACGAGGTAGAGCTCACGGTTGGCTAGCAGGGATCCCGCACACATGCGGTAGCCCATGCCGTATGTGAACATTGGCGCGTCTGGTTGTTCGAGCCATCGCTCCGGGCGGAATTCTTCTGGGTCTGTCCAGACGTCTGGGTCTATTGGGAATTAGTTTTTTTTTTCCCTTTCGTACATAAGGCATGGTGAGGCATGGTAATTTGACCAGGTAATTCAATTTGTCTTGTGTTGGAGAGGGTGGGGAGATGAGGGGATGGGGATGGGAGATGGGAGATGGAGAGCTGATATTTTGCAATTGGTGGTGTGTACTTACCCATATTGCAGGCCCAGGCATTGAGGAAAAAGACCGTTCCTTTGGGGATCACGACACCCTCGTAAGTAATATCCCGAATCGAGGTTCGGGGTAGAGCCAGTCGGAGGACACAAAAGTATCTAAAAGAGTGGTCAGTGGACATTCCTTTCCTTTCTCCCTCTCTTTTCGTAGAGCCACTGCTCTCAGTTTTTCTTTTCAAACCTACCTCAAACACTCTCTCACCAAAGCCGCAACATAAGCACACTTCTGATCATCATCAGCCGAACACATCGGCTCCCCCTTCCCATAAAACTCCTCAATAGCCTTAGCAGCCTTATCCTGCACATCAGACCTAGTCGAGATCAACCCAATACTCCAAGCAACAAGTGTAGTAACCGTATCAAGACCCCCACTCAACATCGTCAAACTAATACTAGTAAGCTCCTCACTATTCAACTTAGCCTCCTTATCAAGGATAACATTAGCCTGAATACAAGGATCATGCGTGCCCTTCTGCATCCGCTCATCAAGATCCCTATTCAAATTACCCAGATACTTATCCCTCCTCAACCGCATTTCCGCCGCCTTCTTCGAATTAGAACTAAACGGATTCAATCGCAGGAGGGGGATATAATCCTGTAAATTCCCAGTCGTGCTGCGGAATTTACTAATTTCTTCCTCGACGTGCGTGATTTCGTCGAATAGGTCTTCTTCTTGTGAGGCGATGCGTACGCCCCAGTTTAGCGTTAGGGCGAGGCTTAGACTCAGGCGTTGGATCATTGGCATTGGGTCGACGGGGGCTTTGCCCGCTTTCCCGTAGCGGTAGAGTTCTTCCACGAAGGATTTTGATTCGATGTCTAAGTGTGAGACGTAGGATTCGACGGAGGGGCGGTTGAGTGCTGAGGCGGCGCCCTTGCGTCGGCGTTTTAGAGAGTCGCTGTAGGGGGATGTTCCGATTGTTGTGCCGGCGGTGTTTGATACGATCTAGTTATAGTGGGGAGGGTGGTTAGTGTCAGTCTCTCGTCTCATTTCTTAATACAACCCCGAAGTTCTGGCTGGCTGGTTCGCCAAATCTAGTCTTTTGACTAGGGTAGTCAAAAGCCACGACAAAAAGCCAAGCCAACAAAGCCGCAACCAAAACTCACCTTATGAAAAGTATAAAACTCGGGTCTGGAACTAAGAGCCTGCGCATTCTGACCGAAAAGAACCTTAGCCGAAGCAGCCGAGTTGACTACAACGACAGGAACATTCCCTAACTGAATCTGATAAACGGCACCATGTTTCCTCGACCAAATACGATACTGCTCCGCAGCATTGACACGAATCTGAGCCAAGTTTCCGATCAGCGGTAAACCAGTCGGTCCACTGAGACCCTTGACACGGGCTGAGGAGCGGATGAACTCGTTCAGGATGACATAGAGGATAGGGACCAAGATGGCTGCGACACCGAGGGACTGGAGTGGAGACTCGAGGATGTGGCCTTGTAGGGTTGATAATATAGATGCGATGGCCATGGTGAAGAACTAGCCTAGCTAGGCAAGGGAGAATAAGAGAGAGAGGGAGAGAGGGGTTGGGTGAAGGTTGATGACTGGTGAGGTCCGGCGAGAGGCTATATTCTATAAAGGACCAAGGTTGGCGCCGGCTACACGAGAATGGAATATTTCCGTGGCTAAAGTGCGCAGGTGTCCCGGATGAGTGTTGAGTGTATACAATGCAATGCTACCCCACACTTTCTACCCCAGGTGTGGGTGGCCAGATTCCGCACTGTGTTACCGGCATCTTGCATTTGCCTGGGAGATGGATGGAGGTTCGAATGTCATGGTCAGATTGTATATTGCTAGTGTTTTTGAAGAATGAGGACCAGCTGCACATTCCATTTGATGAGCTCATACGGACTCGGAGTATATCCAATAGATGTAGACCTGTAGATGTGTAGCGATATGTCTATGACACTCTCCCGTTTCCTCGGTTGGTTATTGGCCGAAACCCCCAAGCGGTGAATATGAGGACTCTTTCTGCCGTCGCAGCACGGAATTTGGCCGCTCCCCCGGAAAGCTTGCGCTCACCATGCAATGAACTTGAACCTCTTTGAACCTCGGTCTTCATAGAGGTAGGTCTCCTGTACAAAGAGTATATATTGCTGTAGATGTCTATATATATTGATTCAGCGAAGAGGTCCCCATAGCCTCCGCATTGCAGGACAAATGTGTTTCTGCACTAAAAAGACATTGTGTTCGCAAAGCCCACGGTACACATGGCCACTGCACTTGTACCTATCTGGATGCAATTGAGAAGTGAAGCCGCACCAGATGAAGCCAGAATGGGCAGAAACCCTGACGATGCTCTGCAGGGACCCTGGTGCATTGACTGGCCGCTGATCGTACAGCTAGGTCCGGCGCTAGTGACAATGGCCCAATATAGGTACGGAGCATAAATATGTTTAGATATAAATATAATTTCCTATGCAAATCTCCTACTGATAACAATCAGCTGCCTCCCAAAGGTCCACCTGGGCACCCAAAGGAAAAGGAAAGTATGGAGTAAAGCACGGGAGAAAAAAAGATAAAGGACCGGCTCCACTAAGGATACACAAGAGAATGCCCTAATCACATTCCACCCGAAATCCTGCAAGGAGGAGACAAACCTGGAATTGAAATCTGTTCCCACTACTACTACTCGTAATCCTCCATGCCTCCAAAGTCCAACACCATCCCGGTTTTGAGGGAAAGAGGTACAAACCGGTCGGCAGTGGGAAATGACAACATTAAAGCGCACCAAGTGGGTGGATCGACCAAGGTGCGCCCCTGAAAACCGGGGCAGCGATCTGGAAGTGGATCGAGCCGCAAGTCAGCTGCGCATGCAGAGATTTGTTGGGTCCAGACTGTACAGTACTGGAGTTCTGGATGTCTTCTTTAGGGTAAGGAGGGGATCCGCTTAAGAGTTCGGGAATGTCCCCCGAAACTGTCCCCTTGACCCAGGCCCAAGCCAAATAGAAATAGAAATTTCTGCGCGGTCACATGTAGTCAGAGTGGAACTGTCGAGTCCACAGTCGAGCACCTTGAGCTCTGAGCCGAAGATCTGATTGGTGGGACAATGAGCACTCTCATCCAGTTTGTGTGGTGCATGGACACCAGTCACCGTCATGCTGATCCACCTGCCAATGCCAATGCCAATCAATGCTGTACCGCAAGCTGGAAGGCGAATGACGCAGGCGTAGAGAGAGGCGTGCTTGGCCCAGAAAAAAAGGAAATCGAAAATAGGGCAATCATACTCCGTAGTGGAAAAAAGGAAAAAGGGAAGGGGTGGGGGAACCGGTTTATTTGGCAAAGAAGGTGTAGCGATCTCGCAAATCCTGCCTGTCTGAGAACTCACTCAAGTCACTTGGAGTCACGTAGTCACGACACTTTTTCCCCTTCGCCCCCTCTCACTCTCTATCTCTCCAAATCTATTCTCCCTTCCTATTTTCCTCCCCTTCCTACTCTCCACTCTTCCATCGCATCTCGTCCTCATCACGACGAACTCGGTCCAGTTCCAATTGATCCGAGCCATCCTCTTCCTTAACTCCGAAACCTCGACCTCAACCTCCCCGGTCATCCTACACATAGCGCCTGGATAATGGCCTCTCGTCATTCGCGCAAGCTCCTGCGACCTCTGCTCTACACCTCCGCGGCAGCCGCCGCCGGAGCGGGCGTTCTCTACATCTCCTACCGTCCTCGTAATATCCCCGGTTTCGAAGCACCCGCAGTTCCTCCCCCCCCGGATATCACGAGGGCAAGCTGGTCCCTCCCAGCTTCCCTCGCATCAAATCTCGCCTCGAACAGATCCAAGACTTGAAGAAGAGTCAGAAAGAAGAGGAGCCTTATGACCTGTTGGTGATTGGCGCCGGTGCTACCGGCTCCGGTATCGCTCTCGATGCTGCGACACGAGGTTTGCGGGTCGCTATGGTTGAGCGCGACGATTTCAGTTCCGGAACTTCCAGTAAGAGTACTAAGCTGGTACACGGTGGCGTTCGTTACTTGGAGAAGGCTTTCTGGGAATTGGATTACAACCAGTGAGTTTTTCCTTTGCCCTGCTAGATTTGTGGCCGGCCACGAATTCCGCTCCCCCAGCGCCCTAGCGCAAGTGGCCACGATTGCCCATACTAATCCGATGTTTCTTAGGTACGCATTGGTGAAGGAGGCTCTTCGCGAGCGTCGCTGGTTCTTGAACACAGCTCCACACCTGTCATCATGGCTACCCATCATGGTGCCGCTGCAAAAATGGTGGCAGGCACCCTACTTCTGGGCGGGTTGCAAGGCCTATGACCTTCTGGCTGGCTCCGAGGGCATTGAGAGCTCTTACTTCCTGACCAAGAGTAAGGCCATTGACTCATTCCCCATGCTGAAGCGTGAAAATATGGTCGGTGCCATGGTCTACTACGATGGTGCTCACAACGATTCTCGCATGAACGTTTCCCTGGCTATGACCGCTGCCCTCTACGGTAGTACCGTGGTGAACCACATGGAGGTCACCGGTCTGACCAAGGACGCGGATGGCAAGCTGTGCGGTGCCGTTATGAAGGACGTGATCCCCGGCATGGATGGTAAGGAGAGCGAAGAGTTCACGATTCGCGCCAAGGGTATCATCAATGCCACTGGTCCCTTCTGTGACTCCATTCGTAAGATGGACGAGCCCGATACCAAGGAAATCGTTGCGCCCAGCTCCGGTGTTCACATTATCCTCCCCGGTTACTACAGCCCTTCGGACATGGGTCTCATTGATCCGTCTACCTCTGACGGCCGTGTCATCTTCTTCCTTCCCTGGCAGGGCAACACCATCGCCGGTACCACCGATGCCCCCACCGAGATCACCGCCAACCCTGAGCCATCCGAGGAGGATATCAATTGGATTCTGAAGGAGATTCGTGGCTACCTGGCTTCCGATATCAACGTGGAGCGTGGAGATGTCCTGGCCGCTTGGTCCGGTATCCGTCCCTTGGTGCGCGACCCCAACAAGAGCAGCTCCCAGGCTCTGGTCCGCAACCACCTGGTCTCCGTCTCTGCTTCCGGCCTGTTGACCTGCGCCGGTGGTAAGTGGACCACCTACCGCCAGATGGCCGAGGAGGCTGTCGATGAGGCTATCAGCTCGTTCAACCTGAAGCCCCGCTCCCTGACCAATGTCCCGGATATCAGTGGTGTTGGTGGCAGCGGCCTTGTGGCTGACGGTGCCACCCTGAACGGTACCTGCCAGACCCACCAGGTGCGCCTGATCGGTGCCCACGGTTTCTCCAAGACTCTTTTCATCAACCTGATCCAACACTTCGGTCTCGAGACCGACGTCGCTAAGCACCTCACCGAGTCCTACGGTGACCGTGCCTGGCAAGTTGCTGCCCTCTCCTCCCCGACCCACGAGCGTTTCCCCGTCCGTGGCTGCCGTATCTCTCCCCTGTACCCCTTCGTCGATGGTGAGGTCCGTTACGCCGTCCGTCACGAGTATGCTCAGACTGCCGTCGACGTCATTGCCCGCCGTACCCGTTTGGCCTTCCTGAACGCCGAGGCTGCCCTGGAAGCCCTTCCCCAGGTTATCGATCTGATGGGCGATGAGCTGAACTGGACCCCCCTCGCGCAAGGATGTCGAGTGGAAGGACTCACTCAGCTACCTGGCCTCCATGGGTCTCCCTCAGACTTTCATGAAGCTGTCCCGGAAGGAGGTGCAGAGTGGCCGAGTGATGGAGCTTGATGAGGAAGCATACAAGAACTTCTCTCGCACTGGTGAGTTACCGTCCCCCCTCCCGACCTTTTACCTAACAATGAACACTGCTAACCATCCCCAGAACCCCCTGCCGACATCCTCCAGCATGATACCATCGCCACACCTGAGACCGCCTCGGTTGATGCTTCCAAATAGATATTCTCTTATATATAAACCCGACTTGTACAAATAGAAATGTTTCCTTACTGTTCACCCGTGTTCACCTGTGGTTTCCCTTGCTCTAGGGTATTTTATATGCAACGGCAAGTGCGCCTCGCTCCGTTGGTGTTGACCACCAAAAAAGTATGACCGGTCAAATGTGACTTCCCCCCGTGAGATTTCTGTCTTCCAACTACACACCTCACCTTTTATTCCCCTCCCCCCCGAATTCCTTATTTTTGCAATGGCATCGATAATCCAGTGGGTTTACAATACCCCGCGCCAACTTGAGGCAAATGAGATCGACAGTGTGGATGTCAAACCGACAGATTTCCCGGCCGAGCAAGACCCATTCGGCGATGAACGCGAGGAGACGGTGAAGTATAAGACCATGACATGGTGGTGAGTGAGATCTGATCTGATCTGATCACCTTGTCATGCCTCTTCTCTCCATCGACTTCATTGACATTGATCTCCGTTTCATCCAGGCAAGCCAGCATGAGTACGTTCACCGTTTTTTCAGCCATAATAATCGTGTCGCTGGAGCTGATAGTGTCAGTCATGATCGCCGAAACAATCTCCCTTGGCATCCTCTCTCTACCAAAGGCGTTGTCCATTCTAGGTCTTCTTCCGTACGGATCCTCTCTGCTTTACGCTGCTCCATCCTGCGGCTCATGCTGATCTGACCTGCTCCACAGAGGCATTTTTACTATCATCCTGGTCGGAATGATCTCCACATACACCGGATACACAATCGGAAGACTCAAAACCCAACACCCAGGAATCCACTCCATGGCCGACGCAGGCGATCTACTCCTGGGAAAAGCCGGCCGTCATGTCCTCGGATTCGGCCAACTAGTCTTCTTCATCTTCGTAATGGGAAGCCACATCCTAACCTTCTCAATCATGATGAACGTCCTCAGCGACCACTCAGCCTGCACAATCCTCTACTCATCAATGGGCCTCCTAATCTCATTTCTATTAACTCTTCCCCGCCGACTGGAGCGCCTATCCCACCTCTCAACCGTGAGTTTCATCAGCATCATCGGCGCAGTTCTAACAAGCATGATCGGCGTATCAGCAAGCAAAATGGTCATCAGTCCTGTCCCGCTTTTCGCCCCGGTACCGACAGTACACGATGCTTGCCTTGCGATCGCGAATATCATTTTCGCTTATGCGGGTCACGTCGCGTTTTTCACTCTGTTCTCGGAACTCAGGGATATCAAGGATTTTCCGAAGGCTCTTTCGCTGCTCCAGATGTGCGAAATGGTTATGTATACGATTTCCGCTATCGTGATATATCTCTACGTTGGTGCGTCTGTCACATCGCCTGCTTTGAATTCTGGAGGAATTCTTTTTCGCAAGATCTCGTATGGTATTGCGATTCCGACGGTATGTATATTTGTTTTGCAGCGAATTCGCCCTTGCTGACTTGCCTTGACTTGATTCGCTCTAGATCGTAATCGGAGGCGTCGTAAACGCCCACGTCGCAGTCAAATTTATCTACGTCCGCCTCTTCCGAGGAACCAATTCAATGCATACCCAATCATTTGCGGCCCGGGCCGCGTGGGCCGGCATATGTGCTGCGCTTTGGATCGTCTCGTGGCTGATTGCAGAAGGAATTCCTGTTTTCAACGATGTGCTCGGTCTTGCGGTATGTCTACCCCGGTCCAAACATTGCAGCAGTTGAAATCTAGTTTCATTTCTGATTGGTCTTTTCAGAGCTCCCTCTTCGCTAGCTGGTTCTCTTTCGGTCTGCCGGGCTTCTTCTGGTTATATTTGAATCGATTGAACAAGGACATTGCCATTGCCGTTCCGAGATGGAGGCAGAAGGCTTTGTATTGGTTTAATGTTTTTTTGGTGGTTCTTGGGATCGTCTTTGTAAGTTCATCCACAGGTTTCAAGAGATGAGAGTTCTGACCGATCTTGCTACTAGTGTGTGATCGGTCTTTATTCTTCCATTCGATCCATTATTTACAATTTGCATGAAGGGATTGGAGGTGGGAGTTTCTCTTGTGGAGACAATTCGATATACTAGACCGCAACACATTTCTGGACTTCGTTCTCATTCCTGAAAGACGCAGGCGCCCTGTTATCTTGTTTTGTTTTGACAGCCCAGCCAGCCTCTTTCCCCACTTTCTTTTGGATGTAAGCAGAAGCAGAGCAGACAAACAATACATTGTTGTCACTAGGGCTTGGGCGCCCCGGCTAATATTAATACCAATACCGCAACGGTCAGGCCAAGACCCATTGGTAGAAATCATGCAGGGCCGGGATTTGAATCAAGTCGGTCAGGTTACGAGTAGCCTTGTACATAAAACCCATGCAGACAAGACCGTAGGGATCTAAACCCTCTTTCTCTCACCGTCTTGTCTGCCTGCACCTCGTAACTGCAGCTTTGTGGCTTGGCAAAAGACCACAAAGGAGAAAAGAACACGCTTTCACCGGTTGTGATCAGCATTTCTCTGAGAAGCCGCAGAGCCGCCCTCGATTGACACTGACATCACATAAATAACCCGTGTACTAGTTAGCCCAGAGGCCCATTTTACCAGACTATGAATGTACATGTAACAACTTAACAAAATGACGAGCTTTCAAATCTAGCATATATTAAACGCACACCATAAACACCACACTAGTACCTATCCTATCTCTATCTTATGATCGTTAATTTAATACCTACCCTAGTGGCCGATAACTACGAGTACCGACTACGACTACGTAGTAGCTAACCTAACCGACAGCCCCAAAACTTTAGTGCTAAAGGACAGAGCCAGTCGGAGAATTCCTGATGGATCCCCATAGCTAGTTAGTACTAGTGACTGCTGTAGTAACTAGTACCACCACCCCGCGGCGATGTCATACCGCGGCTCTCCGGTTTAGTTGTACCCGGTTCAATCTTGGTTTATAAATACTAGCATAAAATAGCATGGGCATGGGCATGGGTAAAAGATGACCTAATCCAACTTGATGGTTTAAGTTTTATGTGTTCCCGCAACGGTTATACTATTGTCTATGTCTTGTTTGAGAAAGATAATTAATTTATTTCTTTTCTTAATTTCTCGTACTCCGTATCATATGATTATGATGCCGGAGATTGAATATATGTACATAAGTATGGCTATATGGATGGATAAATATTTGTACATAGTATGCATGATGCCTTTCGCTGAGCAAGGGAAGGGGAAGGGAAGGGAAGAGGAAGCAAGAAAAAAGAGACAAGACAAGACAAGACAAGACAAGACAAGACAAGACAAGACAAGTCGTCCAGTCCCCGCCCTCCCAACCACTTGAAAATTCAATTTCGATCAGATCCCTCCCCACGCCATAAATGCTCGTATGCGGAGATGCCGATGCCCTGCCCTGCCCAACCCAACGCATGTCTTCCCGACAAGTGACAGGGATGTCAAACTGCTTGCCTGCTGGCTGCACCTTGCTGGCAAAACAAAAACGTAACAGCATGCATACCAAATTTCTATTCTATCCCCACTTTCTGCTGGGAATCGGTGGTTTGATTTTGAATTTTGATCGTAATCGTAAGGCTCAGATCAGATCAGGGGCTGGCTGCGCCAAGTTGGATTGGACTTCTTTCTTTCTTTCTCTTGCCAATTTTTTTTAAAAAAACTCCCCCGCAAAGCAAAGCGCTTGAAGATTCTGTCCTGTCCTGTCCTGTCCTGTCGTCCTGATCTAATGCCAATGCCAATGCCAACGCCAACGCCGTCGAAGATGAATTTTCTCCTCCCTTTCCCCCATTTAATCCCACACGTCCCGAATGTGCCGAAGAGAGGAGAGTGGAGAGTGGAGAGTGGAGAGTGGAGAGTGGAGAGAATGCGTATGTGTAGTTGTTGTTATATCGATAGCCCGGGGCTGAAGTGGGGTGGTGGCAAGGAAACAACCATGTCCTGGTCGGGGGTTGCGGTTTGGGCTGCGGTTCGCAGTTTGCGCCATCCGGCGTCGTAGAAATGCAGGTTGATCATCATTGTCATCTCTCGACCGCCTCGAGAGATGTACATGGTAAGAAGGTGCATGGATATGGTACATGGTGATGTAGGTGTAGGTGTAGGTGCATGGTGGGTGCAGATGCATGATGAACGCTGGGCTGGACTGCCTCACCTCGCCTCGCATCGCAGCGCAGCCCAACAAGCGAAAATAGAATAGTAAACAAAAAAGAGCACACACGCACACAGACAGCACACGCACCACCACCACCAGCCAGCCACCAGCCAGCCACCAGCTCACGAAATGAACCAAACCAAGCCAATCCAGTTGTGCCGTGGGTTGTGATTCATTTCAAGTCCGCATTCGGGGAACCATGGTAGTTATTCCAAAAGCGCGCCACGGCCCGTTGTGCCACGGTGGAGCCGCGGTATCGTTCGAGGAAGTAGTTGAAGAGGGCGAACTCGTCTCGAGTAAGGACGTAGGTGTCCGGATCGCGTTGGATTCTCGTCCATAGTTCTGTGATGGCGGCTTCGAGGAGGGCGGTTGTTTGCGTGTCTACCGCGCCATCTTCGCAATTTCGGGCACGTTCTAGCGCTTGTCGAATGGCTGTTGGATCTTTGGACATGGCGAGGAGAGGAGAGGAGAGAGGAGGGAGTTGGTAGAAGTGGTTGGCAGAAGTGGTGTGGATGAATGAATTATAGAACAAATGTGCTCTTGAAATGAAAAAGACAGGGAGAATGCGTATACTTGTTTTGGGTAGATTCTCGTTTGTTGTATTGTATCCTCGACCGTTGTTCAAGGGTATCAAAGGTTGTAGGTTGTAGGTTGTGGTTGTAGAAGGAAGCGAAAGTTTGCCGCAGACCGCAGCGGATTGAAGGAGGGCGCCCGAAGGGCTAAATTTGAAGAAGAAAACGTCTTCACGGGAAAAATGAATTCTGCATGCGACCAGACGGAAATCCGAATCTTTTCAATTATAAAACGGAGCCGAAGTGGAGCAAGGGAAAGGGGGGGGGAGGGGAGGGACCCAGCCCAGTAGCTCCGAGATACTAAGAGTAATACCCGGGAAGTGGAAAGGACCAGCAGGAGAATAGGATTTATTTTAACCAGGCCCTGTTGCACAAGGACAGGCACAATGCGGTCTTCATCCCGACACCAGCAGGAAAGATAGCAAGGTAAGGTAAAAAGGAAGTGGAAAAAGTATCAATGCGGATGCATATTGATTATACCAAGTACATATCGGGAAGTCCGAGTGAAAACAGAAAAAAAACAGAACCTGAACCTCTGGAAACAAATGGTAAGAACAGGATGCGCACATCCTGGTGCACCACCGGGGCCACCTGCAATTAAGACAAAAAGAGCAACGTGGTGGGGGTGTGGTTTGCCATGGACGGGCTCGCCCGCGCGGTGGAAGCGTTAATGCGTTAATGCGTTAGCACAAGGGCCCTTGGCGTAACGGTTTTTTCGGGCCAGAAAATGACATGCTCCGGCTAGGATCGAACTAGCCGGGGGGGGATCGAGGCGAGACCACGTCGGCGGAGTCCGTGATTCGTTAATTTCCTATAGGGTTCAAGGGTCGGACATATCGCTAAAAGCCATTAGATTAGTGGCGTGGCCAATCCAACTCGCCTGTGGGAACGGCTGGATGCATGTACCCTCGGTGGTCCCCCCAGTGGTCCATCCAGTGGTCCCCCCCCCCAGGAAGGTCCAACAAGTCCGGTGCATCAGACAAGTGGGGATTCTATAGGGCCCGCCGGCCGGGGAGGATGGATGGATGGATGGATGGATGGATGGGGGACTCCCATGTTCTGACTTGCTTTGTGAGGCTCCTTCAATGATTGCGCTTGGTCTCCCTCATTTCCACCCCCATCTTTAGTGCTGCGAATCATCGTTGCCCGCTTGGAAACATCCTTGTCCCGGGGCAGTAGCCTTGTACATCCGGTACGATGTGGTTCGTTTGGCCCTTCCCACCGAAGGGATCGTCGATGGAGGCAAAGCCTGTTGTGCGTTTTTTGCGGGCCCCATGTATGTACCCATGTGTATGTACCTGAGTCAGGCGGAGAAGCTCTCACACTCACAAGATTACATAGCTCGGCAATTCGGAAGCCCGTCAGGGGTCTAAGTGGGTTTCGACTTGCCGTCTGCCGGCGACCAGTACGGAGGATGGAGTACGGAGGACGGAGTATTGTGTCAAATTTTCCGATGCTCTCAATTTCCAGATATGTAGAAGACGAATACGCGCGATACGGCGGTCGTGTTGTGCTGGTGCTGTGCTGCTCGTCAGCTAACAGGGGAGTGCTCCCTGCTACAGGGGTCGTACTACTCTCATGACTCGCATCATCTCTAGGCGGCTCCATCACTGCGCATCTATACCCAGCGAGACATTTTGAAACAGGCCAGGAAGCACAAGATCATCAAGGACGATCCTGAATTTTATCCTGCAGGAGAGGCGGGATTGGGGATCGGAAAGCTCCATCTGAGCCGAAAAAAAGACAGACATCCGAGTACTCCGTCGAGGGTAACCATCTCGGAAGCACCCATGTCCATGCTCATGCCCATTCCCACGCGATTATGGAGTCCGTCTTGCGCGGCCAGCAGAGGCTCAGGGGAGTGGGGGGAGCAGAGTCAAAAAGTGCATCGGCAGAGCGCCCAGATACCCAAATAGGGATATTGCGCCGGAATGAAAGTTCAACGTTCTCTCCACGTCTGCCGAGCGGACCTGGTTCTTTTTCATTTATCCGCCTCGCTTTGTTTCGGTTTTTATTTTTTATTTTTTATTTTTATTTTATTTTATCTTAGGGGCGGCCAGTTTCTGTTTCAGGATGGAAAGCCCTAAAGGAGGGTCTGAGCTTGTGCCTGGCAGCTCCACCATAACTTTAAAAAATGCGTGGAGCGGTGGTATGGTTCCGGAACAAGGGCCGAGGAGCCACATTCCACTCGACGCTAGCCTGTGTTTGATATTTCTTCTTCTTTGGAGAGGGTTGTAAGGCAATTGGTAACACAGGCCAGTCTCCTGTTGAGTTGGAGGCGAGAGCCGCGGGATGCTCGGGGAGGAGGACTCGGGTGATCCTCGGCCGAGCCAAAGAGCTAGCTAGCTTCAAGTTCGCGCTGGTGGTATAGTACATCGGCTGGTTATGTACGCTTCAAGTTGATTGATGTGTATATCTTTAGCGGCCAGCACAACCTGGTACATAAAATCTTTTAGTATTCTAGAGGATTCAATGTGGTGTGGGTGTGCTCTACAATGCATATAATATTCGATCCGGATTATCCGGGTTTGCAACACAGCCTCTGTACTAGTACAACTATGATGTCAATAGAGGAATGTTTCATCTTTAGCCTGGAGCCTGAAACACTGCTTGGAGAGCTTGAACCTCAGGGTAGCTATTACTATTCGGCAGCTCTATGCATCGCCCGACGACGCCGAGGCCACGGGTATATAGTATAGCCTATTAGCTAGAATGGCGCAGTACTTCAAATTTGTCTACGCCTTCGACATATCGCCATCATAGCTATTTTTCTCTCCTTCACCATCAATTCCATGCTATCTCTATCTCCTTCATGTAGCATGCCTATGTATAGCCGCCTTCTCGAGTAGGCAGATAATCCCATTCCAGAAGATGTACATAAGCACAAAGTGACAATGGCCGCAACTTGAACATAATGGACCCTTACTCTAAGCACAGCCAGTTAATTTCTATAACAATACGTTGCATTATACATCTTGAACCGCCCATCTTGAACATCGTTTACTCATTCTTCGCTGCTGACTAATCATATAAATCTTCCCGCAAGAATTCCCCACCAAGAACATCTCCAACGAACTCAACTGCGCCGAGCGTGCTAATTCCCTTGCTACTTTCTACCTCTACGGAATCTCTCGCCATGGTATACTACTTTACATCAAACGTGGTCTCCCCCTCCGCGTTTATATACGTCGGAAAGGACAAGTTCGAGAGTATGTCAACTTGAATCTCCAACTAGCCCCGCGGGGAAGTGAACATTGAACATTCCTAACGGGTTTGCTTGACTAGACGAGGACCTAATCAGTTACGGGTTGGACGAGGATGTTTGGTATGTGATATCATCTTAAAAGAGCCCAGGAATTTCGTGGTGTGACCAGAATATGATACTAACCACATTCTGACGCAGGGTTGGTATCCTTACCTCGAAACAAACACATTGCGCCGAGCGCTAACGCCATGCCCGATTCCATAGTTCCACGTTGATAACCTATCGAGTGCCCACGTCTACGTACGCCTACGCGAAGGAGAAACATGGGACAACATCGAAGGTCCACTTTTAGAAGACTGCGCGCAGCTCACAAAGGCCAATTCCATTGAGGGTTCGTATAAAATTGCCCCGGGTGCCCCAGAATGCCGCCGCTCCGCACCGCATCAGAGAATCTCGCGAGAGAGAAACAGACAAACCGACGGAGGGATTGATTGACGGAACGGAAGCTAATTATCAACGTTACGCAGGAAACAAAAAAGACAATATCACAATCATCTACACGCCATGGTCGAATCTCAAAAAGGACGGCTCCATGGCAACAGGCCAAGTCTCCTTTCACAACCAGAAACTCGTCCGCAAGATCCTAGTCCGTGAGCGCGAGAACGCGATCGTCAACCGACTAAACAAAACCCGAGTCGAGAAATTCCCCGACCTTCGTTCCGAGAAGGAAGAGGCGGCGAAGAAGAAGCGCAATAGCGAGCGCAAGTCGCGCGATCAGAGGATGGAGAGGGAGAAACTTGAGAAGAGGGAGCGGGAACAGATCAAGTGGCAGAAGGCTCATGCTTATGATGATATGTTTAGTGATGAGGCTATGATGAATAGCAGTAACCAGGATCGTGGGGAGGATTTCGAGGATGATTTTATGTGATTGCAATGCCTATTGTCGCAGGTACATAGGTGAATCTGGGCAAGCAAATGAAGACACGACCTCCTTATGCATATACAAAAGCATTGCGATTGAAGAGAATATGTGCAAATACCCAAGGCTAGGCTAGGAGATTGGAAAGGAGGAGTGAGGTTGAAATACTGAATAATGCTTCCATTCTAGATCTTTATACAGCGTGTTTCCCGTAGTCGATCCTGGCTACAGAGAATGACCAGTAGTACAGGATAATAGCCAGTAGCAAAATAATTGACTTTCAATACCCTGTGGTGGATAATCGTAGATTAATCATCGCAATGCGCAATGCTCCCACTTGGCAGGGCGGAAGGGCCCCAGCCACGCTAGCGGAGATGTTGACAGCTTCCTGAGATCGGCTAAGACTATCTGTTCGACCATCCCCACCTCCCTCTTGGACTTCGACACAACACCATGCCCGAAGACAATCCCCCGTCTGCTGTTCAAGGTACATTCCCCTGGTACACTACACTCCCCTGAGTCTCTATTCTGACTAACCCCGCCCCCGCCGGTCACAGGCGCGAAATCCAAGAAGAACAAGAAGAAGGGCGCAAAGGCGAAGGCCAATAATGCCCAACACATTGGCAATGACGATCAGGGGCCTGATACTACAACGAACCCAGATAATGACACTCACGTAAGTTGTGCATTTCTACCCGCCATGCCATTGTTACCCTCTGCTGAACGCCCTAGGACGATCCCAACCCCGAAGCCGAGGACGACGATGTGACGAATTCCACCGGCGACGGAGACAACAGACCCAATACAGCCGATAGCAGTGCACCAAGCCAAACACAACCTGCCGATGACCAGAAACCCGTCGACGTTCCAATTCGAGTGCCTGAACACCCCGCGTCGAACGATGCCGAGCCCGAACCCAAAGACCGCTTCGACGCCCTGGTGCGGGACCGAGACTCACTCCGTGCCGAAGTCACCGACATGCGGAAGTCGCTCGAGGAGATCCAATCGAAACACAAGGCGGACATGGAGGCGCTACAGCAGAAATTGGACGACACCGAGACAAAGAAGGAGCAGGCAGAAACGCAATTCCAGAAGCTCGTGGAGCGAGTCAATGCGATCAAGTCACAGCTCGGCGAACGACTCAAAGAGGACGAGGTGCGTTAAATTACTCCCCGTGGATACTACTACCCAAGGGTATTGGTGGCCTTTACTGATATCCCCCCAGGAAGAATTAGCCAACGCGCGATCCCAGATCGAGGACCTAGAAGACGAAAACGCATCCCTGAAGTCACAGCTCGAAACCAAGTCCACAGAACTAGTTGAACTCTCCGAAGAATCAGCCGAGAAATCAAAGGAGATCGCCACACTACGGGACCGATCGACACTGTCCCAGCAGAACTGGCTGAAGGAGAAAGATGAGCTGGCAGCGCAAGAATCATATCTTCAATCCGAATTCGAGCAGGCAAAAGAAGCAATGCACAACTGGGAAGTCCTCGCAATGGAAGAACGATCCATTCGCGAAAACATGGGAGAGAAGGTCGCAGACCTCGAAGAGCAATTGGGCAACCTTCGAGAGGCTTACGAGAAAGCCGCTGGTGATCGTGACAGTCAGCAATCTACGGTTGATGGTCTTCAGCGAGCGCTGCAAGAGATTCAAACAGCGCGGAAGCAGGAGCTCAGAGAACTTGTGGAAAGTTCCGACACCCAGCTCGAAGAGCTGAGACGGTCCCTACGTGAGGCGCAGCAGCAAGCCGGTGATGCGGATAAGAATCTCCAAGCGGCGCAAGAGGAGCTTGAGCGGGCACGACCTTTTGAAAAGGAAGTCAAGGAGAAGAACCTTCTTATCGGAAAGCTTCGTCATGAAGCTGTTACTTTGAATGACCATTTGACAAAGGCCCTGCGTTTTTTGAAGAAAGGAAAGCCCGAAGATAATGTGGATCGGTATGTTTCCCTGCTGGTCGTCTTGATATACACTGGGCAATGGAGAATGCGCTAACATTTGACATCAGTCATATTGTAACCAATCATTTACTACATTTCCTCGCACTGGATCGGTCAGACCCAAAGAAGTTCCAGATTCTTCAGCTTATCGCGGCCCTTCTAGGCTGGGATGATGGTGAGTCTTCGCCCATACACTTTTGTAAACGAACCCCCCCGGCTAATGCAGATTCCAGAACAACGAGAACAGGCCGGCCTTGCACGACCTGGCACCTCAAGTACTGGAAAACTTCGAGTACCAGGCACTCCTCTCCGCACCCCCAGTACGCCAAACCTAGCCACAGAATTCATGGACAACGGCGCATCAAGCAAAGAAACCCTCGCAGAGTTATGGTCAAACTTCTTGGAACAGGAAGCCGAGGTTGGAAAGATAAGCGCAATGCGGCGAGGAAGTCATCCAGGTCCGCCGTCCCAGTGAAGTGAGACGGCATCATGTTTTCATATTCATGTATAGAGAGAGCTTTCAAAGAGAGATGTCAAACCAATGTTCACTACACACTACACACTACACACTACCTACACACAACTATAGAAATCCTGAGGCTATTAAGATCGGATCGGCTGACCGCCTTTATTCTGCCGGACGTTTTCGTAAATTGTGGAACTTTCAACACATCCCCAACTCATCCATGCATTATTTCGCTTTCGCGCGTGCTCTTCCTTCTTTCTCGAGATCTTTCACTAGTACAAGCGCAATCCGCTCTGCATATAAAATGTCTAGTGCCGGTATGTCTATCTATGCCCTGGCTGTGTCCACACCATCATTCCTTTCCGTTCCCCGCAACCTTACCTACCCACGCAAACCAACACAACGACAACAACACCCCCTCAAAATCGAGCCAAAAAGCCGAATTGAACAAATGCTAACAACAAACCCCATTCAAACAGTCCAAAACTTCCGACCCGTGGTAATCTCCGGCCCCAGCGGCACCGGAAAATCCACCCTATTGAAACGCCTCTTCGCCGAATACCCCGATAAATTCGGCTTCAGCGTCTCACACACAACCCGCTCCCCGCGCACTGGCGAAATCGACGGAAGAGACTACAACTTCGTAACACGCGAATCCTTCCAATCCCTCATCACCGCAAACGGCTTCATCGAACACGCCCAATTCGGCAGCAACCTGTACGGCACAAGCGTAGCCGCAATCAAGAGCGTCGCAGAACAAGAACGAATTTGTATCCTGGACATTGAAATGGAAGGCGTGAAGCAGGTTAAAGGTCGGGAAGATCTGAATGCGCGATTCGTATTTCTCGCACCGCCTTCTATGGAGGAACTTGAGCGACGGCTTCGGGGGAGAAATACGGAGACGGAGGATAGTTTGCAGCAACGGTTGGCGCAGGCTAGGAATGAGTTGGCTTTTTCTCAGACTCCGGGCGCGCATGATAAGATTGTTGTAAATGATGATCTTGAGCAGGCTTATGGGGAGTTGAAGGAGTTTATTGTTGATGGGGGGGAGGTTTGGGGCTGCGCAATGAGGATAGGATGCATATGCATAGGCATAAGAAAGGGCCAGACAATGGCTTGGATAGATCTTGTGTTCATTAAAATACCTTGTAGAGTCGATGGTGGAATTAATTCCTCGATAGCAGTATATAATTGCAGAGTTCATAGTAGCTCCTTACACCTTACCGGTAACCACCTGTACCTTGTTCCTACCTTCTTCTTCTTCTTCCTCCTCCTCTTCTTTCCAGGTTTTTTATCCTCGTCAAGCTATTATCACACGTTGCCTGAGCATCCTTATACTCACCTATATACACGAAATCACCAGCAAGAATTATGGCATCGCGTTACTGGCATCAGATCTCGGACCGCTCGCCTCGGTATCTCAAGCAAGATGGGGAAAAGGGATGCCGTGCCCAGAACTGAATGCGCTACTGCCGAGACTGCTGCCAGTTCGCAAGACTAAATCATATTAAGTCTCACCCATTCACGTCAAAAGCTTTTGAGACGTTCGAACTTTATCCAGAGAATCCCTCCACCGAAGGGTAAATATTGCGGTGTGGTTCCGCGTCATATACGGGACACCTTTAAATCTCTACGGAAAGAGCTATGCTATCGACCAATGTGGAAGTCGAAAATTATATACTACTAGTACCACGCACAGGACTCGGAGCACAAAGCGACGGACTACCATAAACGCTCCCCTTGAATAAGTTACACAGTTCGTCCGATATGTGTATATAAATAATTACTTATCAACTACCAACTACCAACTACCAACTACCAGGATCGATCTACCCTAAGGCTAGAAGTTAAATTGGACACATGAAATTGAAAGCCGGAATGAGAATATTATTAACCCCAGTAAAGCTAGGAGATTACACCTGCTCCCCATACCATACCCTCGATCCATAATTTTGCAAAATACAAAAGCCTTGGCAAGACCTTAGCCTTAGCAATCAGCCTCAGCCAAGAATGACAAGTTTCTCATGAGGGATAATTAAGGAAACTAAGTACATGGAAAAAAAACCAGATACCGAATGTGAATGTTCAGCGCTGATTGCCAGACTCTTATGGTTATCCCCGGCAAGACAAAAATCCTAGATAATAAAGGGGTGGCCCGAGCCCAGCCTGGATGGACCCGAGCCGTGCTGTGGATACAGAATATCGGAGACAATAACACGCAAAGTAAAAAGAGAAAATAAAAAGGGATATCTGCAAGGGCCTGCTGGCGTCGAAAGGGACAGGAAGTTTTCGGAGGGAGAGGGTGGGTGAGAGCGAGAGCGAGCCTGGCCGAGCTGAGGGTTTGTTTGATATCGTTGGCGCATCAAAGGCGGCGGTGCGCACACTTTCACCATGGTGGCTGAGCTGTGGCTGAGAGTACCGCAGCAACACCATTCAAGGAGAGAAGTCAATCTAGTAACCGTTCATGCCACCGCGTTGGGAGTTGCGGCTCAGCTCCCGCTCCGCAGAGGGACTGATGGGTCGGCTGCCACCGGTGGAGTGGCCGCCCTGGGCGCTGCTCTCCTTCAGAGCAAGCAGCTGCTTGGCACGGAAGGTCTCGTAGTGGATCTGACTGGTGGTCTCGACCAGGTCCTGCAGGTGGGTGCGGGTGAGGAAGTTGCGGAGGTAGACGAACTCGCAGTGAGTCTCGTCCTCGACGTTGATCACGCCCCAGCGGTTCTGGCGGCCGCGGACCTGCTTGCCGTTGACGACGATGGTCTTCTCACTGCCGACAACGGAGAAGGGGATGATCTCCTGTGTGATTGTCAGAAACAGAAACAGAAACAAGCTTGCTTGCTTTCGTTGTCAAGTCAACAAGGCGGGGTGGGGATTTATGTCCCTACCTTAATTTGAGCGTCGATAGAGCGCTCCTCATCATCGAGCTCCTCATTATCGTAGGGGTACATCTTGAGGTTGTGGAAGGCGAACTCCTCCTTAATGCGCTCCTTGAAGGCCTGGCGCTCCTCAAGGGTCAGGGAGTCGGACTTGGCGATAACGGGGACGACGTTGACAACGTCGGACAGCTTCTTGAGAACGACGATATCGATGGGCTTGAGACTGAATGCCGGAATAATCAATTAGTACACAGAGGGTATCGGCGGGGTAGCAGAAATTCGCGGGAAGAGAGGAACTCACGCATGGCCAGAGGGCTGGATGAAGAACAAGCAGCAGTGGATACGGGTATCTTGGATATAACGCTCACGCTGCGCGGTAAGCTCCTTGCGGAGGTATGCCGAGTGCTGGTCCTTGATGTACTTGACAATGGGGTCCCAGCTGAGAAGTGTTAGTAGAGGTGTCCCGCTGTTGATATGTTGTCTGGTGTGGGTGATGCGTACCATCGGTCATTGTTCACCTGGTCACCGTAACCGGGTGTGTCGACGATGTTCAGACGGAGGCGAACACCGTTCTCCTCGATGACTAGTATATCCGGTCAGCGATCGATCCAATGCGCAGTCCAATGATTCCTTGCAATCATAAATTCTCCCCGGCACACGTACTATGCGAAACAGTCTGGATCTCGGTGGTAGAGCGGACGGGCTCTTGAGGGGTGAGACGACCCTTGGAGTCGATCAGGTGGGATGCGAAGATGGTGTTGACCAGGGTGGATTTGCCCAGGCCGGTTTGACCTGGAGGGGGCTGTTAGTTGAATGAATTGCAATAGATCTCATGAATTTCATGAAATCTCCACGCAGATAGGCATCACTCACCAACACACATGACATTGAACTGGAAACCACGCTTCAACAGCTTCCGCTCGATCTGGGAGGTGATGCTGTCGAAACCGACATGGCTGTGGGGGAAAACGGTGGGCTGCTGAGCCGAAGCAGCAGTAGAAGCGGCGGCCATTATGTGAGGGAGGTGGAGGAGTGGAGGTAAAAGAGGGACCAGAATGACCAAAGTGACCAGATGAAAGAAAGAAATTCGATTTCCCCAGGTGAAGATGGAGAGAGCCCCTTAAGGTCGAATGTTATTTCCCTTCCCAATGGGAACTCAGGGGTGGCCCTTGCCTGTTTGGGTTTAGCGTGTCCGTCTGTCTTTTTCATCTTCAACCAACACCAACACCACCTTTAAACATTGACACTTCACACCACCACCACCACCACCACCATGGCTCTTCGTCTTTTCGCCCCGGCGCCCCTGCGCATGTCGCCCTCCATTCTCCCCTTTGCATTCGCCCTCCCCATCTCCATCACCATCCCTCCGCTCCTCGCCGATCTCTGGGAATCCGTCCTCCGCGCCGTCCCCAAGAAGAAGACCTCCCACATGAAGAAGCGCCACCGTCAAATGGCCGGAAAGGCCCTGAAGGATGTCCAGTCTCTGAACAAATGCCCAGGATGTGGTCAGATCAAGCGCGCCCACTTGTTGTGTCCTCACTGTGTGAGAGGTACGTACGGAAACAACCGGAGCCTCTGAGCCATCACATCACCTATATGATGGCTCACATGGTGATCGTGTTGATACCCAATTGGTCCGGCCCGAATCAAAAGCTAACCCACTGCCAATTCTACAGATATCAGGGACTCGTGGAAGACGGCGCAGACCGCATAAAGGCGATTGGATTGATCACGACAAATGATCACGAAGAGCTCGACTCGGCTCGGCTTTCCACGACAAAGCTTCGCCGATGACTGAAGCTGAAACTGGAGCTGGAGCTGAAGCTAAAGCTCAGGAGGGAAATGAAGGGAAATGCAAGAGCATTGAGTGTATTTCTAGAATTGGGATGTGGCTACGATCCACACTGCATGGCACCTGGCGTTTGAATTCCCGGCAAAAAATGATTCACCTGTGATTTACTATAGTATAGTACTGTATTCCACACAATTGGTCCAATTGGCCAAATAAACAAAAATTCAAATAAACAATCAATTAAATCAATTCAAACACTCCGTAGAAACCCATAAGATATAATCAAAGCAAGAGTTCCCCACTCCATCCATCCCCCTCTAACCAAATACTGCGGAGGAGGGGATCGGCCTCAGGCGCAAAGGCGGAACTGCAGCTTCTCTCCACCAAACGTCATCATCCACCAGGAAATAAACCGAACAACCACTCGGAAAAAAGCAGAATGGTGAGCAGAGCACAAACATGATCTGATCTGATCTGAATATTCCAGGAAAAAAACATACAGCTGCTAATTTCCCTACCCCTCTCCAGTCACGACAATATCTGGCGTGGGGCACCGCCGATAATGGTAGGTGGTTCATTTCACTGCGCCTTGAAACGTCCGTTGCTAACAAAGCCAGCACACCCCGTGGACATCTTCTCGGTAGCCGTAACAGACAAGCACGTCCTGTCGGCATCAGGAGCTCCATCCATCAAAGTCCACTCGACCCTCGACACGGAATTCCCACTGGTGCAGTCTCTCGACGGCGCGCACACACTGGGCTGCCACCACGTCGTCACCGGCGCCAAGGGCACGCGCGCCATCAGTGCGGGTTTTGCTGGCGAGGTCAAGGCCTGGGTCTGTCAAGATGGGCATTGGTCGGCTGATCAGGTAGTCTCAGGTAGGACTCAGTCCGTCCATTCTGCCCTGTTGGGCGCAAGTACTGATATATGATGTTCCCCGCAGCGAATCTCACAAACGTGGATGCGTGGGCAATTGCCTTATCTGAAGATGGCCAGTATCTGGCTGGTGTTTCTCAAGACGGTCATGTCCGGGTTTGGGATCTCAATGATAATGGGACTCAAATACGAGACCATGAGACCAAGGGTAGCTTTGGCACATGTATTGACCTGGTAGGCATTTATTTTATTGCATTGCATCTGCATTACCTGCTTACAGAGCATATTTCTGACGCTGATATTGACATGACAGTCCCCCGATGGAAAATTCATAGCCAGCGGTCATGAAAATGGCGCTGTTTATATCTTCAAGACTGAAGATGGCCGGATGCCCTTCTCTTTGTCTGGTGCGTTGCATGCCATGCCCCGAGCAGCCATTCCTTCATTCATGTATTCGTCGTAATTAACCCACCCCAGGCCTGGTCAAACCCGTCCGAAGCGTCGCCTTCTCACCAGGAGGAAAGATCCTCGCAGCAGCCGGAGACTCCAAAGTGATCGTGCTCTACGACACATCTTCTGGTCTGCAGATTGCCAATCTTTCTGGCCATAGCGCCTGGATCTTGTCTCTGTCATGGAGTGACTCTGGCGAGTACCTTCTGAGCAGGTGAGTAGACTGCATCGCTGCCCTGAGAGACACCACAACATTTTTTTATCAAAATTCAAGAACTAACAGCCTCTCCAGTTCATTTGACGGTAAGGTGAAGGTCTGGTCAATCGACACCAAGAGCTGCGTCGCTACCCACTCGGAGACCGAGAAGGCTGTCTGGAGCGCTAAGTGGCTACCCAAGGCGAACAGGTCAGAGGGATTCGCGACTGGAGGTGCGAACAAGAGCATTGCTTTCTACCGGGAGGCTACTGGTGGTTGAATGGGAGGCGAGGGTATTTATCGACACCTTGATGATCAATAATGAAACCGGTTATCCTGTGTATAGAATACAGAAAATTTCATATCAAAAGGATATTCCTAATGCCCGAGTGGTCATATCCAGTCCAGTCCAGTCCAGCCCAGTTCCGTTCAATTCATAGTCTCCGCAAAAAGCTTCCTCATTCTCTTAAGAAAAGCCCCAAAATCTCGATCTTCATTAACAAGATCCACCTCCCGTTCCAAAGCATCAGCATCCAACTTCGGCCTCGAATGAAAAACCTCATAATCCCGACTAGCAGTACCCAATTCAAACCAAGCCTCAGCCTCCCAATCCTTCTCAGAAAGATGAGAATAAACAAACTTCAACCGATCCTCCCGGCCCGCCCCCTCAATCCTCAAACAAAGATAATCCTGCCAAAAGTCCAACTCGGGATTATTCAGTCTAGATTGGGCATCGAGATTTTTCGCGTGAGCCTTTTGCGCCTCGACGCGCTGGTTGATGGATTTCTGCGTCTCGGCAATTTGCTGTTTAAGTCTGTCGCGCTTTGAGAGGCGTGTGTCGCGCTCGACGGTTATAGAGGAAATTGCTGCGTGCATTTCGGCGGCTTCGGCGGATTCTTTTTGGAGGGTTTGGGTGTGGGTTTGGGATTTTAGATTTATTATTTCGATGTCTCGTTGGCGCATGCGTTCGTCCTCTATGAAATCGGAAATAATATCAAATTAGTGGTTTGGTCACAACAAAACCCTCCCCCTCCCCCTCCTCCCCAGATATTAATTCGTACCTTGTAGTTCGGCGAGGTTGATGTGGAATTGATTGCGCTCTTCTAGAACTTGTTTGCGGCCGCGTTCAATCACGGCATCAAATTTGGCAGTGAACTGGGCCATGCGATTGCGTAGATCGTCGAAACCGAAGTTGATGCTGGGTAGGGAGTCGGCCATTGAGGGGGCGTCTGCTGAGGCGAGGGGCGGGCGCATGCCACTCGTCGAGAGTGATGGGTCGAAATTAGAGGAGGCCATAGTGTAGACCAAGCACAGTTGTTAAGTAGGGGAAATGAGGTTGACTACTTCTTTGCAATACGATGCGATGCGATGCGATGCGGCGGAGAGAGGAAGTTGAGTTGACGCGGTGTGGATGTTAATGTTTTGGGTTCCCACCGCAACGGGCTTATCGATAAGCAGCCCACCTCAAAAAATCCAATCGGGAGACCTCCCCGTCACCTTAAAGTATCCTCGATTTAACTACTTCTACTTTATTCGATATTCAGGCGCATCCCCTGGCTTGGAGTTGACGTCCTTTTCTTGACCTTTCTCTTCGGGACTCGCTCTGCACCCCGCAGATTCGGACTTCAACTTCCCATCTCATCGACATGTCCTGGCGGGGCCTTGCGCATATTGCGAAGCGCCAGCGCAAGGCAAGAAGGTCCCATGGATGAACATTTCGAGAGTGCTCTACACTATGGGCACACAGGAAGGGCCATCTATCTGCCCGACACGCGCTCCTGGTCCTTTACTCGTTCATTTAAACGGCCTTCCTTAATCTCAAATACCGGGTTGACTCGAACAACCGTTCCGTCACCACTTGCCCCAGCCCAACGTCAACAGTTCATCGAGCATCTGCCTTCTGCAGGCCAGGGTCTGATTCCGAAAGTACTGCCCGATCTTGCATCTGATTGGTCCTCTGTGCGAAATGATTCGTTTTCACGAGCAGTCACGAATACGATCAAGTCTTACGATCCCCAAGCATCTACTTTACTCGATCTTGGATACGCTGATCCTGCCCTGGAGAATCTGAATGCTCGGCAGAACGTCGCTATTGCCGCTGCCGTGACTGGCGAATGCGGCAATATAATCACTTTCCGTGTAATGGAAGAAGATCATATCCAACTAGATGACGACCACCCACTGCATATTCCATGTATCGGCGATGACGATGGCGATGACACCGAATGGTCGAGACGAGGAGCCCCGATCCTCCAAGTCTGCTTTGCACGATCATTGGAGGAAAGACCACACTGGATGGCAGCTCGACTGCCCGACGTAACAGTGATATTTCGCCCTCGTTTATATCGTCGTGAGGCTGTGCCGATATACGTTCCCGAAAACGACATTTCAGAATTTGCAGTTCCGCGTCGAAATTCCCCGCTTGATGCAAACCCCGTATTGGAAATATCAATCATGCAGACTGGAGGCGCACCGCATGCTGATGTTACGTTCAATCCTTGGTATCCTCGTCAATTTGGCATCGTCGATACTGAGGGGCATTGGAGTATTTGGGAGATTACTGGTCACCCTCGGAAACGGAAGTCGGCTTTTGCGGCGAAATGTCTGAAGAGGGGCTCGCTGCCTTGGATGGATCAGTTTCAGGATCCGAATGGTCCTCAGTATGATGGGTGGTCATCGATCGAGTGGGTCGGTGATGTTTCAACGGTCCTTGTCTCTGATCGTCGTTGTGTCATGGTCTCTCCAATAGTCGGCGAGGATAGTCAAGCTTATCCTGTTGAATTGGGGTTGACTTTGCAGTCTGAATGGGTCCTGGAAGTACTCAGAAGTGCCCAGAATACATCACACTTCTTCGTTCTCACCACCACTCGACTGCTCTGGTTTGATATGGGAAATGCACGGCCGAATAGGAGCGGGGAGATGCAACCTCTGGGGGCTCGGCTGGCCTGGCGTCACTTCCGAGATCCCGAGGACCTCACATTACGTCTAAGTAGTGTGCAGATGGGAAACAATCTACAGATCGTCCTTTACTCCCGCCTCACCACACTTGTGCAGACATTTCAAGTTCCTGTGATCAACGAGGAACAGACTGAGTCTGGCTCTGTATCCGACTCCGTTATGCTCGATATCCCATCAACAATCGAGGTATCTTCTCTCGGAGAAATTTCTCATACGCCTTATTCGACCTTTGTATTCCGACAAGTTGGCTATGCTCCCATCAACCCAGCAATCACAGAGTACAACACTGACATGACTCTCGTCAAATTATTCTGGTCAGACTCAAACTTTGCTGTCCACGAAACTCTATTTCGAGGTGCAGATGCAAAGAGCGACGAGCAGGATGAACTTGGCGAGGAGAGCCATGGAAGTCATGTCTTACAATTGAGAAAGAAGCTACCTAACTTACGTTCAAAGTTGAAAGACGACGATGACAACGACGAGTTTATTGTCGATGACTGGGATGAATCTACGGTTGCTCCCCCCACGCGCGGGTATTCGGAACAGCTCCTCAAGAAAAGGAGAACCCTCATTCGATTCGCAATGGACATTGAACATGACCACTATATACGAAGCCGTGGTGACGAATTTGCTAGCTGACACAAATCGGAGTGATTCCGAGTCGCTTCTACGGCCTACTCTGAGCCAATTGGCCAAGGGGTTACAAAACAATACTCTGAGCACGCTCACCGAGTGGAACGCCACTGAAACAATGCTCGAGTTAAGTGATGGCCGGCCCTTACTGGATGATATCGACCAGGGTGCCGAGGATCTAGCTGGACTAGTCGCAACTGCTCTGAGATTCGAGGATACCGAAGCCCAGAGAAGCTTTATGGTTTTGCCGCTCCATCTTTCGAAATTATTTCATGGCGTTCTTAACGTACCCCAGGGAGCCCGCTCCGGATTGGATTTCTTGGATACATATGAACAGCTTGTCACGGATTGGGTCACCAGTCTTCCCCATGGAATAAATGGTATACCCGACCAAACCCGAATTCTGAAGGAGAAAATGATCCGCCAAATAGCTCTCGACCTCTGCCTGGCACGCCTTATCCGAATTTCCAATACAACCGACTCCAAAGCGGCCCGGACCGTGGCCGTCGAATCGACGAACCAACATCAACCTCCCGTGAATCCAACGAAATCATCTTCAGGAAATGCCATCCAATTACCCTCCTCTCAGTGGCAGCTACCGAGCAGTCAGATATTGCCTACGCAACAGGACAGCTCGAGTCAGGTGCCGCCAAGCTCGGCACCCTCCGCACCCGAGGAACCCGTCCATGAGAACCAGAACAAACTATACAGCAACCTGGCCGCATTCACAACCTTCCGAGAACCACGTCGACAACCACGAAACGTAGCCATGCTCCTCTCCCACTGGAAACCCGGCACAGACCCATCAACCTACGAATGGAACAAAACATCACAAATGCTAGAGAACGAGGAAAGCCAAAGAATGTCCGCACCCGGGACCCCACGACGTAGCCGAAGCCAAAGCAAGCGATCCCGATCCCGATCAAAGTCTGTCGCGCCGGAGGCTTCAACTTCAACTTCGGCTTCGGCTTCGGCTTCAGCTACGGCTACAAGTGCAAGTGCAACAGCCCTGCCACCTACCCCCGTCGCACCCATGATACGGGCAAGAGCAAGTCAACCCAGTTGGACGGCTGTCACCTCTTCTTTACCAATGGCTAGCAGTCAACCGACACTCGATGAAGTGCCAATGACTCAAATTGAACGCGGGCCGTTTGGGGCGCGCGAAGGGTTGAAGAAGACGCCTAAGGCGAAAAAGAAGAGGCGAGCTGCTGGGTTTTAGTGAAGTCTAAATGCTCGAACGAGCCATATAATACAAAATAATCAAGACGTAACTTTTACCCTAAAGATCATGATAAAATGTTCTATTGAAGTATGTAAAACTCAGCGCACGAAAAACTTAAAGGCTTAGTTTAGCTTAGCATAAGTATCGCTGTACGAATACATGAATCAGTACTAGTAAGTTAGAGACCAGATTCTTCGACAATGCTGCTTTGAGGATTTTCACAATGAAAGCAGTAGTCCTTCTTTTGCTGGATCCTTGGATGTAATCGAGGTTTCACTCACAATGATAATCTCCGGGCGCATATAAAAAGATAAATGAAGAAAGGTGGCCGTAACTTGTACGTGCCAGAATTAGGTAAGGATAGCCCTGTTTTCGATTCGGCATTTGATGGCTGGTGAGACGAAAGCTCGAAAGGACACATCGAAGACTAGTTGAAGAGGCCAAGACCTCCAGTGTAACCGGCAACTGGTCTCAGCAGAGCGCAAGAGCTCCAGTTATTATCGCCTATCGCTGGACCTTTGACACAATCTCCTTTTATGCTAACACTGGAGGACTTCATTCCTAGTATGGATTGACATACGATAAGTAGTATGATTGAAGAATGGACGGATAGACGTACGTTTTTATTTGCCCTAATATCTTATCACGATTACATGAAGCCTATCGCAACTATATACTCAAATTCGAAAGTGGCTTCCACGTTTTACACAGAGGAATTTTTTCTGGTACCCCCGATTGAAACACACTACGCGGGATGAAGTTAGCACAGATGCAGGGCTCGATCGCCAAGCTTTCAGCGTAATGTGGGTGATGGTAGAAAGGACGCTTGTTCTGGCGCCTTTTCCTGAGTGTTTCCAGCCCGTGGTTCTGGGGGCGCCTTGGGTACCTGTTCCCTTGCACGTGACTTTTGGAGCTAATGCATGCCCCATTCAGTTTGGTTGGCTCTCGGTGGTCCGTCAGTAAGTTGCGGCCCCTCATGTCGCATGGTCCGTAACATAAGATTCTATAGATATTCAGGATTCTTAATCACTTCAAGAATCAGTCTATATAGTAACTGTCTAACCTGATCTCTACTATCCAATATCCTTGCCTAGTCACAGGTCTCTAGCCTGACAACTTAGTAACCATTACGTATATCTATAAAAAATTTGAATTTTCTACATAATATTTAAAACATATATTAAACCTCTATTTGTTAAAAATTTAACAGATAGTTCAAGCTTTAAATCGCTAATTACCTTAAATAATAGGTAGATTCCAATATATACAGAATTTAAATATAAAAATTACTTTAAACTTGGTCTGTGCAGAAATCAAAGTTACGGGTAACTCGGACCCGCGGAGTCGCGGGTTTGCCGCAGCCTAGTGGCGTGCGGCCGCAAAACCTTGTCAATATGATACTAGTAAATGGGAAGTATTACTAGCTTAAGCGAAACAGGGGTCCATCATCACCCCTCAGGTCAATACGAACGAACAGGCACTACTGCGGCGCTAGCCCAAAATGAGAATCTTCTCCGCTGCAACGTGAGATCCCTGTACATGGGAGTCAGAGCCCCAATAACAGACTTGTCTATCGGGGTACCGCGCATCCCCCAGCTGCGGCTTGGTCCTTTAAACTTATCTTTTTTCTCTCATTCCAGCAACCACATCCATAATGAAATTTCTCAACCCAAGGTCTCTTCTAAAGTCATCGCAAGCCTCAGAACAAGCAAGGGTTTACTCTAATGGAACAAACGACCAAGCCATGAGGGGTTCGAGAATTCGGACAGGGGATGTCCAACTCACTTCTGTCAATGACGAAACTGGTGCGCTCCAAAAAGCACTGAATCACGTTCTTATTCAGCTTCATGAGGTCAAGCGGCTACGTCAAGCTAAGGAGAGCTTACTTGAACGCGACGAGAAAGTCTGGGTGGACAGTACCATCAACGATGTTGCAGATGCAACTAGAGAGGTCGCCATTTTACTGGAACCCACACGGGTCGAGAAAGAAACAAGAAGCGGCAGGTTGAGCATTGGGAGTCAGCTTCGGTGGAAATATCGGCACAGCCAACGAGCGAAAGACAAGAAGGATAGAATGATGACATGCCATAACAGCCTCATGAGCGTCTTGGGTCATCTCCAGCGAATGGAAACCCCCAAAACTACTACTATCCATGAGCTGGGATCGGAAATTCTTCCAAAGGGATCTCTCTACAGCATCCGAAATCTTTCAAGGCTCGATGTCGGGTCAGATGTCTGTTTCGAAGATGCGAAGGAAGTAGAGAAATTCGATTGTAAATCACAAGAAATGAATGACCTTCTTGCCTGGCGTCGGTCGAAAGGGTCGCCAAAGGATACCAGAAAGGAGAGTGAACTAGCAGATTGTATACAGAAGCAATAAAGAGAATAAAGTCCCTCTCTCTTGACATAAAACGAAGGAAAAAGAAAAGGAAAAGCTAGGTGACAACAAAAGATTTTCAGAGCTTCAAGTCCGGACAGGTTCACTCCTGCCTATGCCTGCATCCTGCGTTCTTCCACTACCTTCTGAATATTTTCCAATCGTCTTCCTTGTTCGTCGCACACCTTCATAGCAGAAGGGAATATTATCAAATGGTTGTGATTTCGACCAGTAGCGCCTGACCCCCAATCAAACCGGAACGCACACGGTTGAGAGAAGAGCCAAATTCCAAGATCTGAAGTTGCTTTAACAACACTTCTCAGGTGAGCCATCTGTTGCGACTCAGAAAACTCGGGATTCCTATAGGGGGAGAAGGTTGAAATAAATTCCCCAGGGAGGTTGTCCGTAGTTTCATTATGCTGAGCTGAAGAGTTGGAGGGATTGGTAGTGTTCAAATGCGATACTAACATCCGCCAAGCAAAGGTATACTCGTCTTGAGCGGCTGATGAAAACAGTTGTTAGTATTGTAGATAACCTGAAGGTGCTTGGAAAGGATCAGAGATTACCACGTTCAGAGGGGGCGAGTCGGGTGGTGCTGGGCGCCCATCGAAAAAATGGCGGAAGAAGAGATCCAGATCCGCTTTCAGGTCGTATTGCCTCTAAAAGGAGATAGGCGAGCGCGTGTGTTAATGCAGCTCGTTGGGTCTTGTTGTTGGAAAGAAAGGAGAACAAAGACCGAGGAAGCAGGGACGAATCATATTGGCCAATAGCATCAACCTTTGCTGAAGTAATAGACGAGCTTTCATCAAGACGAACGTAGTAGTTATCAATATGAAGGCTTATTTGATCGAAAAGTGATTCGATCTTCGTGGACACAGTCTGATCATCCGCAGGTGGAGGAATAGATGGGATTTTGAAAGATGTCGCAGCGAAGGCTGCCGGGGCGTCGAACGCATCATTTGTCGGGTATGAGACAGTTGAAGGATAGAGATTCTTTCCAAATACGGCAGCTGCTCCTTTTGTGGCAGCATCGGAAGTTGGATGGGAACTTTGAGTCGCATGGACTGGGGCCTCTCTCTGTCTCCGCTTGCGAAAGAAAAGAAACGCGACGAGGAAGGCTAACAGACACCCACCTACAAATGCGCCTACAATACCTCCAGCTAGTGCACCAGTGCTAATCTGGCCACTGGATGAAGATTTGTGTGAGCTACTCGCAGAAGGTTTTGCTGTCGCGCTCCCTGCTATGCTCCCGCTGGAGGCTGGTGTCGTAGTTTTCGATGGTATTAGGGAGGAGGACGATGTTGAGTGCGTTGTTTGGGCCTCTCCTGATTTGGATTCGGATTCTGATGTTGATGTAGCTGTCACGGAGGTCGATGAAGCATTATTCGCTGGTGTTATAGTGAAAATGACAGAGGATGAGCTTCCTAAGGGCCCTATAGGCCCATAGGAAGTTGTAACTTGCGTATTCTCTGACATCACGAAAGCCATTGAACTTTTTGATCGGAATCAGAAATAGAGGATAATCTGCTGGTCAATGTGAATTGACACATACTAACTAACAAATGTGGATTATAGAGTAGAAAACTTCTCTTTTGAGGGAATTTGGGGGCCAATGCATGACCTCGGCCTATCTACCATATTTGGGTAAGTCAATAAATCAATTCGAATTGCATCCCCATAACGAGCGGGGAAGTATCATGCGGAATGCCATTAGGTCGAAACTAAGCGCTGTCCAGCTGTGATGGGAACAACATCCATGCTAGTCTGATGGGGGCCAAAATGGCTCTACATAGGGGCTACCAACAAACAAAAGTACGGATTGTGATTGTGAGATAGCCGTGTCGGCACACCTCAGGGGCTGCAACGTGAACATCGCTCTGAAATCAGCTTCCCATCAGGCGCACCAGCAGTGCAAATATGAACGAAAAAGAAGTCGTGTTCCCACAAGCGGAAGAATTGGACCATGAATGGATGCCAGATATTGTAGTTGGTATTGATTTTGGGATGACATTTACTGGTATCGAAGACGTGTCTTTTCTCTTCTTCTAAGCACAATATATGCTAATTGTGAAAGGCGTTGCATATTCATGTGCACCTGAATGGCATCCTCCAAAAACTATCCAGCGATGGCCTGGGAAGCTGCCTGGGGAACTTGCCAATAAAGTACCTACGTGTATTCAGTATGAAGAGGGAACAAATACAGTCAAAAACTGGGGGTTCAGTTGCGACCATGACGAGGATGCAGCAGATATTCAAGAGTTCTTCAAACTGCACCTTGCGCCAAACTACCGTGGAAACTACCCTGGCGAGCCGAGCCGTCAGGACGCCCAACGATGGTTCACAGATTATATTCAGTGTATCTATCAGCATGTTGTCTCTCATTTCAACGCCACGATTCCCCAATTCTCTTGCCGTCAAGTCGAGTTTCTTTTCAGTGTCCCGACGACCTGGAAGGATGTGCGGATGGTGGAGGAAACCAGAGCACTACTCAAACGGGCCGTCTGTGCTAAGACACCCGCTCACCATGTCTCAATTGGACTTACCGAAGCGGAGGCAGCTGCAGTCTATGCAGGAAATGAGCATTACAAGGTTTTTTGGTCTCCGTCCATATTTTGCCTGTACCTTTGCAGCTGATTTAACATCTCAATATAGGAGGGTGATACCCTGATTGTCTGTGATTCGGGTGGTGGGACTACGGTATGAAAGTTCCGCTCCAGATACTAAGAGAAGAGAGTCTAATTTCAAAAATAGGACGTAAATGTCTTAAAGCTGATATCACCACTGGGTGAACCAACCCGACTTGAACAGCTTGGACAGGTGGAAGGTAAACCCGTCGCAGAAGGGGTAGCCCAAATTTAATCTGGAAATTGCGATCTGATCATTTTTAGGACAACCCATCGGCTCTGTCTTCATCGATAGGCATGTGCATCAAATTATTTCTCGGAACTTGGAGGGTATACGAGACCACCTGCGATATTCACCTAGTGAGACTGCGTGGAGGATTATCACGGGCCGCTTCCAGCGGTTCAAATGTGGTTTTGGCAGCGAAGCCACATCAACGCCATATCTCAAGTTGGATATTCCTGGTCTGGACCCGGGCTTAGATTTTCCAGAGGAAAAGATATTTGACTCCCAACTGAGCATTGCATGGTAAGAAAAAGGAAATGCTTTTTGGGGAGTATAAGTGCTGAACATAAAGAAGGGCGGACATCCAGCAGGTATTCGATACTAAGATCGACGCTATTTGTTTCCTACTCGACGATCACGTGCGCCAAATGTCGGCTAGGTACCCGTTTGACGAGATAGTAGGTACCAGTACTGGCCAATTAGTACTATTGAATCTTCCAGTCGCTAACGTTTTCCTCAAAGAAATATTTGATTTTGTCCGGGGGATTTGGTAGCTCTCAGTATCTACGAGAGCGCTTAATACAACATTATACGGAATCAGAAAGCGATAACAAGTCTAATACCGGTGGAATTCAGATTCTTGTCGCAGATGAGCCGTAAGTTAATAGAAACGGAGTAATAGAGGGCTTCGATGAGATAAAGGCTAACTTAAAGGCTACAGTCAACTTGTTGTTGTACACGGTCTGGTTTTGGACAGGGTCCAGCAACTCAAAAAAGGTGTAATCACGTTCGGCTCTCGGTGTTCCCCTATGAGCTATGGAATAGTGTGTGATAAACTATATGATCCTGAAAAGCATATTTCAGAGCCCGTTCGACTTGATCCCCGTGACAAGAAGACGTACGTTGTGGACCAAGTTGACTGGCTTGTGATTCAGGTAAGTAGCAAAATCCATCAAGTCATTCCTAATATTTCGAACTAATATCCAACCTCAATGCCACATAGGGAACACCTATTCCATATACTGGATTGACGAAGCAATTTCAGTTGAAGATGGACCCAGGGCAAGAGAGCCGCCCCTGGAAGGTCCATATCGTTATGTCAAGTTTACCCCCCCGAGCAACTACCGCAGAATCTCAGACAGAAAGGGGCCCACAGTGTCTGTCATTTGGATATCCTCACCGAAGGTGTTGATAGAAAGTTGAAGAATCGACACTGGTATAGCATAAAGCCAACATTCTGGCGTACTGTGTTCGACGTGAAGGTGGTTGTTGGGCCCGCCGATCTTTCATTTCAACTTTGGTCCAAGGACAAGAGAATCAGAAGCACTAGTCATGAACCCATCGCTGTGAAATGGATGCCAGCCAAAGATCTAGATTAGAACTGTATTTCTCATTTGACATGTCATAGCTCCTTTGCTGGCAAGATGCATTTGATTTCGAGATCGTGTCATCGTTCGTGAAGTTTGTTCGTGATTCTAGATCCACTAGAAGAATAGCAATTAGATTTAAGCTATGACGGGTTATCTTCGCTCATTATCCCGCAGGCCCCCAACAATAGATGGATTCACAAGCAGACATTTTGCTTCAACGGCAAGGCCTGAATAGTCCTTGAGCGACTCCCATGCTGTAAGCAGAATATTCCCAAACCCCCATCTAGAAGCGACTGTCCGCTCATACGCAGCTTGGAGACAACCGAAGAGAGTCCACTCAATCCCCGCGCCCTAATGAATATGACCGAATACGTGTAGCCTTGGCTGAACCCTCCATTGGGTTTGTAGAAGATAAGGACATCCCTATTTAAGTAAGTCGAGATGAGCAAGTGGTGGTCCATGGGTGATCAGAATGTCAATTCCTTCTGGTACCGAGTTTTCCCATACATCTTGGCTTCGTGTGTATTGAAAGGCCTAGTTTCCGTGGACAGTTGAATAAGGGCTTCTATAAGCCCTGAGTTGTCGACCATTCGGACAGCAGATTGTCGCTTCGTTATTTTCCAAGTAGATTATGTCACCCTAGTCTAGTTTCGCCCGATCTGAGATTGTCCGTATGGATTGGCTATTAAGCTTGGTGTCAAGCAATAGGTCGTGGTTGTCAGCGATGCCGATTTCGATGGGATGGGATAGGGCACGTATTCAGTGAGTGCTTCCTGGCGCTCCTTGAAAGATCCGGATTGTGTCAGATCAACCGTATGAGTAAATAGGAGCTTTATTATTTCAAGTATCTTAAATAACCAGATCTGCTTCTCCGTTACGATCTGCTAATATTTCGAAATTCTCCTATCAAAGCCGGATTTTGCTCTTTTTATCTTAGAAATAAATATTTCGCTCTGTCAAGAAGAATAACTTAATTTATTATAAGTGCCCTAGGATGGTACGACCATATTGAATTTTATTTAGCTTATTTGACAAATTTCCGATATCAGCATCCAGCTTGCCAGCTTCAGTTTCACAGCAAAGAGCAATTAATCTATCACCTTATAGATACACATTGCTGGACTCCAAGAAAAAATTCATCCAAGAAAAGAAAACGTGATTTAGACAGCCCATAGCCTATAAAAATTCCATACTTGCTTTCATCAAAGATAACAACGATTTTCCCTTCTTAAGTTCTAGTTGTACACTCGGCATAAAACGAACGCATTTTCATTGGAATATTGAGTTCAAGCACATGAGTCTCTGAGATACTAGTACAACTAATTGATGTATTGAATGTTTTTCAGATACCCCCCCATCATAATGTAATATTAAAACCAGGTTGTGTACAGCGCCCCACCCTGGACAGGCTTATGAAAAATCAGCCGGGGCAATTTTTTTACCATCTCCTTTATACCTCGGTGATACAAAATATCTTTTACTGGCCACGAAGCCAATTCTCGTCACTTTAAACACTTGGCTCTCCACAGGCTTTGGTCCCTAGCTATATATTCATTGAACTAACCGTCAGATCCGCTGTTTGGCAGCCTATAATTCTCTTTGAACAAGCACCAAGCTAACCAAATTAGATATACTCTAGCGGTTATGGTATTGCTATTTGGCCCGCTCATTACCTGCAACCTTGGCAATATGGGTCACTTGTTTTTATGATATTAATGTGTTATACGGGTTTCCTTCGTATCAACCTCGCGAAGTAGGGGCGGTCAGGGCAGGTGGCTCAAGCTTGCAACAGCTTTGCAGCAATCCTAATTTATCTGCCTGAAATGATCCCGGAGAAACAGCTTTCTAGTCGTCATATCTCAAAATTTCTCGCAAAGCCACGTGGAAGTGAATGGATTAGAATGTTCTCATGATCATTTAACATGATTCTAGGACGCTCCAGCTTTAGGAAGACAACGTAACGGTCATGCTTGAGATATGTTCTGGCGATTACCCTGAATTGGAGGAAACGCTTCGCTATTGAATCAACGAACAATTGTCGTTCTTGTCCATTTTGAAATGCATCTCGAAGCTGAAACAGGTTCATCATGTACTGGGGTATGGGCGACCCGCTATCAAGGAGCTAGTAGACCGGAGAGAGGAATACGACTCGAATGTTGTGAAACTATAGTCTTTCACGAAGAATTTCATTTTTACCCGCGGGGGACTGTAGTAATAGGACTCGCACAAGGTCGCATCGGTCATTTTCTCCCACGATTCCAAGATCCTCGCATCAGCTTCATAAGATCGCACTGTCATGGTATGGGATGCCGACAGCGGTCAGTGCCTACAAACCTTTAAGGGCCATGACCGTCCGGTTAAGTCGGTCGTGTTCTCTCACGATAACAAGGTGCTCGCCTCAGCTTTAGAAGATCGCACTGTCAAGGTGTGGGATGTCCGCAGCGGCCAGTGCCTGCAGTCCTTCAATATTTTAAGAGTTGTTTTAGTGAAATCATTCGACGATACCAACTCCTATCTTGAAACAGACATGGGTACTATCTATTTATCTTCAGTTTCAAAGAGAGTACCGGAAAAAAACCAACCCCGACGTGCCACGATTCAAGAAATATAGTATCATGTCCGATGGCACATGGGTCACTTGGAACTCGCAGCAGCTACTGTAGTTACCACCGGAGTACCGCCCGCTGACTTCTGCTGTGTCGCAATCGGCACTATGTCTTGGCTGTTATTCAGGACGAGTGATATTCTTCACTTTTGATTCCTCTGGACTAATAGATCTCCTTGTTGGGCACTGAATTCCGTTTATATTGAGCTGCACTTATGGAAATCCCTTTGCAAAGTGAGAGTAGGCTCGCTGATGAATCTGACTTAGATTGTTTATCCCATGCACTTCCATTTGTACGCGCAAACACAGGATCAAAACTCTGCTGGTGGGACAAATTTTGGTGCAAGGAGGGTAAATAATTCACCATTTATGTATGTCCTCGGAATCGAATGAGAGCCGATTACTGATGACGTCCATTCACGGTCTGGGTGAGCAGGGTTGGGGGCATACGAGGGAGTCCATCCGCATAGATCGGGCAGTTCATGTCGGTTAGCATCATCAGCATCGTTAAAAGGAGTGTAAGTCATCCCCACAAAGCAGAGAATGCCACTGAGGTGTCTATTAACATACTTGTGTGTTAGCTTCCACGAAGAGTGTTATAGGTGTCAAAAAGAGACGACTGTGGCTGACAGGCTGAGTACTATGATAAGCAGGCTCATGAGTAGTCTGCAGGTAAAGTAAGCAGATAATGCAAGAATGCAAGTCACTATTTCCAAGGTCCGGTGCCGAGTAAGCCCCCTTTCCCAGATCGTCAATTGGACGTAGAACCGGGAATCGACTTTAAATGATGTCAAATCCTCAGGAATAACTTTGAGGACATCTCGCGATTCCGATGTACATTCCTCATTCTCCCGCTTTATCCATAAGAAGGTGGGCGGATAACAGGCATGTTCTTTCGGAAAAATACTCCGCAACTGCATCACTCCATGTCTCAACCTCCCAAGCCACCAATCCAATGCCGTCAATAACATTCTGCTGAGAAGATACTCTATGAGTAGAAGGCCCCCCGGGTTGATCTTTATACCTTTCCTTAGGCATTACAAGGGCTGTATGGAATCTCTCACATGTGTAACCAACGATCACTGTGTGATCGTTAGGCGAGCCTAGGACAAAGCCTTTAGCGAGGACAAATCGGGACTCCCGCTGAGTGCTTTGACGAACAGTGTCTAATGGGACACTCTGTTTCCAAAAGGCAATTTCTGCTTCTTGCGCTCTGGATCTATGCCAAAAGAAGAATAACTGGTCATAGATGACTCTGCTTCAGATAGTTTCTCTTCATATTCTCCTTCAGACTCCCCGTCGAATGATCGCTCCTCAGATGCCTCTCCCTCGGACAAATCCCCCTCAGATAATTCACCCCCAGACGACTCTCCTTCGGATGATTCACCGCTGGGCAGGATAACTAGGACGATCTTATGGTGGAAGATTATGCCCGTGCAGTACGTGTTATGATTGACCCCCGAATGATTTGCCATATTCGTGAACTTGTCTGCCCCAGATGTCGTCAAAAGTCTCCAAGACAGCGTCATATTCCAAGGCTGAGATAAAGAAAATACCAATGGTGAAATGGGAACGATTAGTCGGTCTCGAATAGGAGGAGTGTTCAGTCTTTTCCTCTAGTACGGGCTTCGCTTCAGCTGCAGGTAGTTCCGATGACGAGGTATCTTTGAGAGCGGAGGAGTCCGCGAGGTGCTCATAAGCGAAGCTTGTTTCGATGGAACTTTGGTATCTCGGTCGTGGGTTAACTTTCGCGCTGGCAGATACTTTTCGGATCTGATAGTACTTGTCCTTTTCCAGGTCGTCTGAGACTTTAACTCGAAGGGCTCATCCCCATAGGCGTTCACGGTGCAGGGGTTTACTCTAGCCTTAAGTAGCAGTCTCACGACTTCAATGTTTCTATTTTCTACATTGTCAATAAGAAGAGTGTGTCTTTTGTCGACATCCCAAGTATTAATTACGCAGCCAGCTTCTGTCAGGAATTTTGCGATTGACTCTTGTCCATTTAGGGGTGCGATTTGGAGAGGGGTGTTGCCGGCTTTGTCGGGGACGTTCTATTTCTCAGGACAGTCGCCATAGTGCCTGACAACCAGGTTATAATCTTGCTGGAAACATGCCCTGGCAAGAGGTATTCTACCACTTTGTCGTGCAACATCCTGGGGCGTGCTTGTTCCGTAGGTGAAGCGGACGTGACCTCTCCAGAACTGAGTCGGCGGAGGTGAGTACTGGGCAGAAAAACATCGTTGGTAATCATGCTGAGAAGTTGGATCCGCATGGGTAGGTAGACGATACTCGGGTCCTCTAATGGCAAGGCTGACATTCCCGCCCGGATAGCCCTCACCTCAGTCTCAAACAGGTCCTTCCGTTTTTCGAGATTTTCTTGCGATAAAGGCATTTTGTCTTTATTCTCATCGCTAGAGCTCGGAAAATGGGGTGTTGAAGTGAAGCTTTCAAAAGGAATTGGGGACGTTTCCTAATCGTTGTAACCAGACGACAAAGGCACATATATACCTAAGTATCATCAGGAAGTTTAGTTACTCCATCAACGGCGGTAGTCACATCGCTTGCCCAGAAGATGTCGGCAGATTTCCAGAGGTTGGCACGGTCCCGTTGGTCAGACTCGTACAGCGAGCCTCGACTCCCCAAAATATGACCGGTAGAGCTGTTGTCTTTTATCACTGGTGACAGATTCGGGTTTTCTGCCTCTTCACTGACCATTTCCAACCAATTTTTCATACCCAACTGCTCTGAACTACCACGTGCTGCTTTATCAAGAGCATTCTCCGTTAACTGATGTAGCTGGCCGTGTGTTAAATTGGCCGATTCCCCAAGATCTGAGCCGGCAATGCTTCCTGAATCTGTAGTCAGGGATGACACTCCCAATGAACCCGATGCGGCGTCCGACAGGGATCTATCAACGTCAAAATACGGATGTTTTTTGAAATAGTTACCGTAGTCTTCCTCTTCCTGTTCTTCCCCCAAGCGTTCGGTCGGAGCCCACGGCAACGACCCCAGCGAGAATGAGTGAACATGCTCAGCTGTGTGGTCGATCAGAACGTTTTGATCATCACTCTGAAAAACGCAGAGTGGACACGCGGTAATTTTGAGAGGGACTTTACGCCGCCATGCCGAAAGTAGCATGGGTATCTGCTGTGGCCTAACTCCCTTGCTATGCTGCTGTTCCAGGTGTGCAGTGAACTCAGTCGATTCCTTAAAGGTGGCACTGATATTCTTTTGGGAGCACGCATGACAAACCCACTGCTCCGTACCCCCGTGTGCTTTGTCCATGTGGCTTAACCAGGTCTCCTTCGTCATATAAAATTTCTCCATCTCAAGGCAATCCTCGATAATGCACGTGTATGGTAAAATATCTGCCATCAGATGCTTCCTGTCCAGAAAACCGAACAAATTAGGCCAGCGCACTAGTTTTAGGAAGGTAAACTTACTTCCACTGGCTGCTTTGCCTTACGGAAGCAGGAAGGGACTGGCAGCAACAAGGACAGGTGAAAAGCAATTGACGATCGTGGATAGCCGGAGGCTTTGGGTACGTGATTCGAGAGCTTGTTACTGACAAGACCGTCGTTACAGCCGTCATTACCGGCAAGGGTGGAAGGACAATCGGCTCATCCATCACCGTGGCAGTTGTGGTACTTTGAGTTTGCGGGTCCTTCTTCGAAACTATCTTCTGTTCCTGCAAAGAGGTAGTCGTCTGGGCGACATCTGGATTTGGCTTTTGGTTTACTAACGTTGGCTCCTCACTTTGCGTGTTTTTTGGGCGTCCGTAATTAATTCCTAATTTCTGAGCATGTTTCTGGGCATATAAGAAGCGACTACGCCGCCGTAAATTTGCATCGATCAGCCGTAACTGTATCTTTGTCAATCGTGCAGTGTCAAGCTGCTGTTTGTTTGAATCTGAATTCCCATTTTCGTCAGGATGCACCAGGAGAAGGAGTTCAAGGTGTTGTCGCAGGGAGCAAATCTGGGAACAACTGGGATCAAATGAGGAGTCGGCTTTTTGCAGTCGAGACCGTGTCCCGGCTTTTCGGATCGCAACGGTAAGCCTTGTAATTTGACTCAAACTGTCTTCAACATCTGTCAACCTGGCTAACTCCTTGTCAGACAGCTCCACGGTGGTATAGATTTCACTAGCTAGTGCGTTGTGTCAGATTGCGAAGGGAGCTCCATGTAAGGTGGCACAGATACGTACCTCCAGCTATACATCTATGTATCAGAATCTTCAACATCAACAAGAGATTGATAAGGATAGTGTGCGCTTCCGGGTTGGCGCGTAGTCGATGATCCAGTGAGGCTTTCCCCATCGTATAGGCGCCGACGCCAGTAGACCAGAGATTGAAATCGGCCAGCCTATTTTCAGCCCATTCATTTTGCATTAACCGTGGAGCTGCTATCGCTATCCTAAATGTGAGTCGACATGCTGTGGCAGCTTCAAGGATCGTAGAGGGTTCAGACATGGCAGGCGTTCCTGCTCACAGCAATATGCCGGCTTGTAGGGGTAAAGGAGTTATCAACGGAGTCTCAAAATTATGAGAATCAACATTATCGTACTTTTGATTCTCTCAGACAAACTAACGCGCCTTCGCTTACAGGGATCTGTTTACCCCTCAGTGCTAGGTCAGCAAACCCGTGGGCGGGTTGTCATCTGGGAAACCCTGTTGGAATATCCGGTTGCTGAGATAATAATGAGGCTGGGATCAAGTGCATACATTCCTACCTCTCGCTTCACTTGTATCTTAGACGTGCAACATAACACACAATCAACTCCCCTCAATAACATGAACATTGAAGCATCACTTGATAAATCCACAAAGGTCAAAACCCGTGGTGGGTTGCCCGTGGGCGGGTAAAGAAAATGAAAACATAGCCCAAGCCCGCGCTTGGCGAGGTCTACCCCTCACTACGAGGCTGTTACTTCTGTTACTTCTCGACACGTGATCTGACTGTCGCTTTTCAGCTTTGATCTTCTTCTTCCAGAGAAAGCCCATCACTACCGGCAGGTGAAAGAAGGGGGTGATATTAGTAGCATCTAAATGGCCGAGATACAGAATCTGTGCCAGGATGTCTTTCCCTGGATTAGCAAGCAAGCAATATGTCTCGGCCAGGAAAGGCAGGATAACCGCTTCGCCCAGCTGGGTGGGGAACTCTTCATCTTGAGTCAACAAATCCACTTTTCAAGAGGTATGGAACCCAAGTTGGTCAAAATTGCAGGGCTGGTTAACACGTCTTGTACTGTGAGTTATTGGTCAGTTTGCCGCACCGTGCCCGAAACTTACCACTGGGGGAAATGATAGATACCGACAACCAAACGCGTGAGAAACGCCGGGTTGTTGGATGCACTTTGGAGGATATCGGAGTGCAAGGACTCGAAAACCCCTGCTGAGGGAATTTTAATTAACGAAGTTCGACGCAGTCTGCCACATTTCATCCAGGAGAACCCGGAGTATCCTTCCCTCTTACGTTTCATCGCCGATTGCCTGCACACAACCGAGTTACCGGATGGCCTTCCGATCCCTGATGAGCAAGCGCATCTGAATAACAAGGATACTCAGTATCCAGCGCAGGTGAACGACACCCTTTATACACAACTCCGATTGTATTCAACCTGCTCGTGTAGCACGCAACATCTGGAATATGCGCGGCTGCGACTCGATCCTGAACATGGTATTGAAGATGATGCGGACATCCCATTTGATCTGTTGTTTTCGGCGGGGGACACATCGTGTCGTACAACCAACTGTCATTCACGGTGGCAGGAAGCCAAAATATTCGTTGCTCGGTATGACGATTTGAGAACTTCTGGGAACGGTGAAGCTAGCTAACATTGTCCTTTTCACGCGTGCATAGACGAAATGAACTATCGAGGAAGAGCCGAGTCTCGTTCGCACCCGAAAGTCCATCACAATCACCCAGGACGAGGCGCAAGCTGCGTTCGCCGAGTCGTGCCAGGAAGGTCGAGATCGGAGAGTTTTGCAGGCTTATCGCTAGCGAGAAAAACCAAGCCATCCATTTCCACATTCACAATAACGAGATGAAGCTCGCGGACACTGCCCAAGGGGTTATCTGGCGAAAATTTCTTCCACAGCCCAGTGTCCCTCTTGCAGAATGGCTGGAACAGACCCTGCATCTCTCAAATAGAGTGAAGGTAACGCTAGCATACACTATTGCAAGATCGGTGTGGCAGTACTATAACTCCTATTGGATGACGAAACCGTGGACACATGAGAATATCCAAATGATGAAGGAGACTATCAGCGATCGAAACCAGATCAGACCGCATCCTTACTTCACGACGAAACTTCACAAGTTCAAGTGTCAGAAATTGGACTACTGCGTCGCGGATGATCTCTTCCATTTGTATCCAAGTATTCTTGCGCTCGGGGTTGTTCTCATTGAGATTGCAACCAAACAGCCTTTCCGACCGGAGAGCCCCCATTACATCTGGGACGAAACCACGATCAATGATTACTACGAGTGGGCATGGACCACGGCAAATCTCAGTAAACTGAGGAACACAATCGGAGCTGCTTATGAATCAGTAGTCAACAACTGTCTCGACAGCGAACTATTCAGACTCGACTCCATTGACCCGTCGAGATCCGACAACGATCTTCAAAGCAGACAGTCTATTCTCTATGAAAAGGTCGTGCTGCCTCTTCAGGAGCTATATCATGCCTACAAAGATGACTGGGAAATCCAGGATATCTCCAGGTCGGTACTTACCCTCCCTAGAAACTTCCAAGGTTGCAAATTCCTCTGATAGAATAACCCTGACTCTTCCGATAACTTTTCCAGCCTAGCCAACTTGAACCTAGGGTCGATGTATATTACTAACCAAGCCCAACGGGACGAGGCCGAGAACTCCGAAGTGACAACCGCAACGCAAACCTTCCCGCATATAACAACGCTTCAATCAGATCCTCCCTCTGCAATGCCAAATCCAATGGATTACAATGTAGGTTGGATTTGCGCCATAACTACAGAATACGTCGCCGCCCAGGCATTTCTCGACGAAAGGCATGACTGGCCCGGGTATTTTCCGCCTCTTACCAAAAATGACTACACTTTGGGTAGAATTGGGAAGCACAACGTCGTCATCTCTGTTCTTCCAATGGGAGAGTATGGCATCTCCTCGGCAGCACGAGTGGCGGAGGAGATGACGCATAGCTTCCCAAACATTCGCATTCGTCTCATGGTCGGTATCGGTGGTGGCGTGCCAAGCTCAAAGCATGATATCCGCCTCGGAGATGTGGTAGTCAGCATTCCCAACAATGGCCAGGCCGGTGTGCTTCAGTATGACTTTGGCAAGTCGATACAAGGCCAAAGCTTCAAGATGACTGGTCGCCTCGACCAGCCACCCACTGCCTTACGTTCCGCCGTAGGTGGACTAGTAGCTCAGTATGAGAGCAAAGGCCACCAGCTTCAGAATACAGTTGACGAAGCCCTAAAAGAAGACCCCACGTCTACAAAAAAGATATGGTCGCCCGGATCCAGCTAGTGATCGGCTATATCGAAGTCATATTCTCCACCCTTCAGACGGTGGGTCGTGTGCTTTGGAGTGCGGCGATGATCCATCGCGCATAGTTTCGCGACGACCACGGACTAAAGCCGATGATGATCCCGCGATTCATTACGGGTTGATAGCATCGGGTAATCAACTCATGACGGACGCCTTGATTCGAGACAAACTGGGAATTCAAGACGATATTCTGTGCTTTGAAATGGAAGCAGCAGGGCTCATGAATAACTTTCCTTGCCTCGTGATTCGCGGGATCTGCGATTACGCTGACTCCCACAAGAACAAAACGTGGCAGGGGTATGCAGCGATGGTCGCAGCAGCGTATGCCAAGGACCTTTTATATAGAATCGCCTCCCAATAGAGAGGGCAGTGGGCGAAGATGAATATTTCGAGAGAACACCGCCCTGATCTGCACCTTCCTACGGTGGACTAGAACCTACTCAGGATGGAATAGATTGGATACTCTTTTCAATCTCAGGTAGGTACTGCCATTAAAAGGTCAATAATGGCGGGCAACATGTTGGAGAGTTTTGGCGCTGTATTACTTAATCCTCTTACAGAAGATAGTCTATATAATCTGCCTCTAACTAAATGAAAAACCTATTCTCGTAAGTTAACCCTACCTACAGTACCTAATTCTAGGGATACTCCTACTTACTTTCGTCAGTAGCGCTTAACAATAGTAATACCTAGTAAGGTCCTTGGTACGAAGTTTAGAGGTAGCCATCCAGAACAACAGAAATATTCCAGTCTAGCTTGAGTTTCCTTATAAAGGATAGAGTCAGTCTAGTATTAGTGCTTATCTTCCTAAACTAGCTAAATAAGCAGAGGTACCATTGAGAAAAGTAAGGATTAATAACCAAGGTACGGATCTAGAGTCATGGACAATAAGGTTACCGAAGTTAATTTAAGGAGTAAGCATTGGTAGTAAAGAGAGACTTAGGTTCACTGAGAGAGGGAGAGAGAGAGCAGAGGCATCTTATAAGCACCCAGCGAGATAAGACAAAAAGAGAGGGCCTCTATACAGGGCTGCAAAGGGAAGCCATTGTCAGCGTCGTTTGGTAGCAGGTAGAATCGTAGGGAAGTAAGTAAATATCGAACAGACGCCAATCTCGTCGCCAGACGGTGACTAAGAGTGTTGGGTGGGTACAAAATAGATGGGTACTGGAAAGGGGGGCGGTCAAGCGGCGGCTCGTTTTCCAAAGTTGCGGGTGGAAAGGCGGCCGTTTCTGGCGCCAAAAGCGGCCATTTTCGGCGTCGATTTCACCGGTCCTCATATTCACTTCGTAATTATGGCTCTGCCTATGCGAAGGCACATTTTTCCAGATATCTCAGTGCCACAAGCCAAAATCAGCCGTTGCCTGTATTACGTGCCTGACCATATAACCTACAACCGTCTATTCCATTTGTACCATGCGATTATAAGAGCATCTCTCTCTTCTTTCTTCCTCAGCTCTATATTATTTCATTAATACTATATAATATCCAATTTATCTTAAGTCATTATACGTAGAGTTATGGATAAGGAGGTCTGATCTATATATTTGTGGTCTTTATTGAGTTCGCAGACCACCATGCTCCCTCAATTTTCCTTCCTCCTCCTTTTCCAAGAGGCGCTCTCATCTGATTGTTTTAATGCATCGTGACAGGTCAAATACCACGAGTTGGGCCCTCCGGGATAGGATTATTCATCGTTCACACAACACGAAGCGCACTAATGCCTCATGCACCGTGACTGAACCTATCATGGCTCGTTGCGTGGAGCCAATCACAATAGTGATTGTTTGCGAGGCTGAGCGAGAGACGCGCCTAAATCTGCGATCGATTGGGCCTGTCTCGACAAAGTTTCCACTTCGACGCTAACCACCCTTACCGTGCCAGCAGAATGTTAACAAAATTCCGTGCGAAACTCAGTCGCAGCAAGCTGAAAGACGCGGACACGGTTGTGCAGCGCCCCCACCATGTCAGCCGTGCGGATGGGAGCGACAAGACACACAATAGCGAGGTAAACACGGCCCACGACGTCCTCACCGTGAGCAACAACGAGACACCCGTAGCGATACCCGATAATTATGACCCGTCTGTGTCACCCGAGGCCAAGAGAGACAGTGAACAGGACCGGCTGTGGGATATGGCATTTTCCAGCCTGGATGACGATACCAAGGCCCTGCTGGATCCGGGGGATACTATAAACCCGGAAGACGCGATCGAGCGAGTAAAGAAAGACATCGAGGAGAAGTACGAGGAGTATAAGAAAGGGGGATTGCAGATTCGGAAGCGCAACGGATCCTCGTTCAATTTCCGAGATGCCACTAGTCGCATCTTGAGCGCTGTACTTAAGGCCAAGCCGATCTTTTCGTCGGTCGCATCTTTGGATCCAACAGGTCATGGTATGCAAACATCTCTGAGCAAAGGTCACATATGGACATGGGGCTGATCATACATGCAGCTTCCTCCGCGTGGACGATTATATCGCTGGGATTGACGGTAAGGAGGAGTCGCCAAGCGGTGTACAGTATGTATGTCGGATCTGACCTTGACTGATAGATGGTTGAAAATGATATCGACCGCCGAGACGCTATTTTCGAAGCATGCGAGTTCCTCGCCGACAAACTCGCCTATTACTCGATTATTGACGATTATTGCTGGAGACACCGGGGTCAAACTCACGAGAGAATCCGACAGTCTCTGATCGGTATTTACACCGCAATCTTCTGTTATACTGCCGAGGTGAAGAAGAGGAGCAATGAGAATTACGGAGGTATCGTCAATACGACCAATATCTCAACTTATTAAAGTCTGTGACTGACAGCTATGAAGTTCGCCTGGTAAAAGGCTTGGTGGCAATGACTGAACAACCTCTTGCCAAGCTGAAAACAGCTGTGATCGATCATGGACAGATTGTAGATCGCTGGGTCAATTGTTCAACTTATATAGGTCAGGAACTCCCCCCGTGGCTTTGGTGCAGATAATTGAATGGCGGCTGATAATCAAAAAGATCAGATGGAAGCCGGCGAAGCGATCCTCCAACGCATCGACGAAACCGTCAGTCGACTCAAGGCAATTCAAGATAAAACATTGAGTATGGTGATACCGCATTCCCCAAAGCACTGTCACTGATAATCCCAGGTGCGGAGGAGGAAAGGATTCTTGACTGGCTCTCCAGGGCATCCTTTTCTGATATTCAAAACGGCCACCAAGAACGTCGGGCCGCAAACACGGGCGACTGGTTTCTCGACACAGCTCCGTACCAGGATTGGATAGAGAACCCCGGAATTCTATATTGGTTGCATGGCGTGGGTGAGTTTTGCCCAATACCGTGATAAGTGCGTAATTGACCAAATGGGAATAGCTGGCTGCGGAAAATCAATTATTTGGTATGAACCCTTGCCGTTGGTGACCAAGTTAAGATCATTAGGCTAACACTCACCAGCTCCACGATTATCAAGGACATTAAGAAACACTGTCAAAAGCCCTCTAGCACGCCCCGCCACCTTGCCTACTGGTACTTTCAATTTAGTAATGGCGAGACGCAAGAGATACCCAACGTTCTCAAGTCCCTGCTTCGCCAGCTCAGCTCAGCACCCCTCCCCCCCTTCAATTACCAAGCTTTGGGAGTCGCACAGTCGACCCGGTACCAAGCCAGACCAACAGACCCTCTGTGAAGCTCTGGATGAGGCCCTTCGGGACCTGGAGGGCCAGGTATTCCTAGTCCTTGATGCGCTGGATGAGTGTCCTAATGCCCCCGGCCGGTATCAAAGAAACTTCGCATTAGACTTTCTACTCAAGCTGCAAGCCTCTCACCCGACAAAGCTCCACATCCTGGCAACCAGTCGGCCCGAGCCTGATATCCGGTCCCGGTTTGAGGGCTGTAGGACATTAGACCTGGAGATGAAATTGGGTGGCGACGTTGAAACGTTTGTTCGTGCGCAAGTGGCCGGGGGTCCAATCAAAGAATTTGATTCGTCCATTCAGAACAAAGTTATTGAAAAGTTATTGGATACGCCAGAACGGTACGTTCCAGGGCTACTACCTAAGAAGCTCTATTTGATCATAATACTAAACTAAATTTCTGGTAGACGCTTCCGTTGGGCCGATTTACAGATCAAGCGGCTCGAGGAGTGCTTTGACGAAGATGAAATCAATCACGCACTGGAAACGATTCCTGATTCCCTCGAGGCAACATACAGAGACATCCTCAACAGGATGGCAGAGAAAAATCGAGTTCGAGCGTGCAAAATCCTAATGTGGATAAGCATGTCTATTGTACCTGTTACGTTAGATACAGTCGCTGCAGCAGTGCACCTGCCATCTCCAAACCATATTATCAACATCTGCACGACGTCTCTTGTCACCGTGAACACCGCAGATGACACGGTCAAGCTCGCTCACTTTTCCGTCCAGGAATTCTTGGTTCTGGAGGACGCCCAGCAGCCAGGTAGCCACGAATGGTATCAGTTTTCTATACCAGCGGCCCATTACAATTTGGCAGTCACGGCGTTACAGTGCCTTCTTGACAGAAATGAGCCTATTCCAATGAAACATGCTCTCAAAGAGTCTTTCCTGGTCTATGCTGCCCGCTATTGGGATGAGCATGTGGCAAAGGTGGGGGATCTTTCGAATCACCCAGTCTTACTTCGCCAGATCGAAGGTCTTCTCAGTGAAGAGTTCTCGCAGAGCTACCTCAACTGGCTCAATGTATTGGCACCAAAATACGATAATGATATATTGAAGTTGCGTCTGGACGAAGGCCAGATGACTTTAGAAGAGTGCCATCCGCCTATATATCATGCTGCAGGTCTGGGACTGGAGGATGTGGTGGTGAAGCTTCTTGGCCAAGGCGTTGATCCCTTGGTTAGCTCGAGTGCATGGAACTTCAAACCCGGCCGTTCGCTCATCGTCGCTGCTCGTAACGGTCACCTTAATATTCTCGAGAAGATGCTCGAAAGGTGCGGACATGTCCCGCAGGAGGTGGCTGAAGAGATAATACAGAATGTCGACCATCGGGAGGCCGGAAGCGAGTGGCTGGAGCGCATCATGCAAGCATTGTGGATATGCGGTGCCTTCTTCGAGCAATCGCAAGATCGCACGAAGGTGATAAGTCACAGGTTGGTACTTGCTGCGATTATGAATGAACATGCAGGTTTAGAGTCGATGCGCTTCTTTCTTGATCGGCAGCAGGAATCGTTGGTGACGATTGCCACCGACACCAAAATATTCTGGGAAACCGTGCGGATCCACACAGCCAATGCGGCTCGAATATTAGAGCTGCTGTTTGAAAGACAATTGACAGATATTTGGTTCAACAGTCTGGATTTCTTAGGATACTTGGCAGGCAACCCGCATACGTATGCCTTGTTCAAACAAATCATTCAACACGAGAAAATGAGGCTAAAGCTTGGTGACGCTATAGCCCACGCTGTGGCGAGATACGGGACATCTCAAGCAATGGGAACAGTCATTCAGATTCTGGAACCCAATTTCGAAGTCACCGAGAAAATACTGCTGCTTGCTGTTGAGAATCGTGGAAGCGGACCCGAGGTACTCCGTCAGCTTCTGGGAATTGGAGGCTCCAGACAATTCAGCCACAAACTGCTTTTTACCGCAGCAAACAACTATCACAACTGTCTCGAGCTTCTCAATATTTTACTTGACGAAGTTGGTCCCCACTTTCCAATCGGTGAAGAAGTCATGATTGCGATAGTACCTAATCAAGACGCCGTGGAGATAATTACCAATTTCTTGACAAGGCAGCAGGCTGGATTTGTAGTCTCTGAGAGAGTAATAACTAGTGCGATCAGCAATTGGAACTTCGCAGTTGATATCCTTCAGCTGCTTATGAAAAATGGAGGATCGGATATTCAAGTGACCGATGAAATGATATGCGCGGCAGCAGCCAAAAAATTTCAGGGAGATTCGGTACTGAAATACTTATCCGACGTTAACGGGCCCTACTCACACATACCGAACGAAGCATTTTTGAAGGCCGTGGAAAGCCCGCGAAGTCTGGAGATCCTCTTCGCCCTGCAGCCTGGAACCCGTGTTTCTGACGAAATGTTTATCGCGGCCTGCCAAGATCGCGAGGCCATGTCACTTCTTTTGGGCCAGCAGTATGAGTCTCTTCCCATCGAGAAAATGTTGGAAGAGATAGGTCGTTATGGATACCTTACGGCGGGCGCCTTTGATGTACTCTTGAGTCGACAAGTCATTGAGATGAATGAATGGGTGCTGGAAAGGGTCGCTTGCAACAGGGTAGTAATGGGGGATGTCCTGGCCAAGCACCCAAATGTGGCCATCACACAAAAGGCCTTCGAAAATGCAGCGAAGTCAGGATCTCCAGAGCTTGTGCGGGCAATTCTTGAAACCAGGTTCGACGGTCTCACTGTCACGGAACAGGTCATGGAGGCCCCTTTTGATACCAGTGCAGTCGCGGGTCTCAATGAATTTACGACAAGTATGCTAAAAGTGTTCATTGTTCGTCTCGGGTCAGAGGTTCCCATTACAAAGAACCTTCTCCAAATTGCCTGTGAATATGAGGACATGAGACCCTTGAAATTGCTGCTAGACCAGCGACGCAAGATAGACCTTCAGTCAGTTTGGGAAAGGATATGGCAGGCTGAAAAGTCTAAACGATGGAAGCTTAGAGTGACAGATATTCTGTTGCAATATGAGACACTTGTTGTTTCTGAAGCCATGTTGGAAGCAATTCCTTTCGATTGGAAGGAGACGGACAAAGACCGATCTGAGCCAAGTGATACAGATGGAGACGATTCTGATTTTGAGACACTGATTCAGTTCAGTCTCAAGAAGAGCATAGCTATTGTCGAGACCGAAAGAGTCGTGGAACTTGTCGTGCAACGATGCTCCGAGGAGACCGTCAAGGAGTTTCTTGATTCCAAGCCGAATCTGAAAATAACTGAGAAGACCCTCCGAGCCGCAGAGAAAAATTCAGTTGCGATGAAGGAACGTTTGGCCGCATTGTCTGTTGTCGAAAAGATCAAATGATGCTTGGGTCCCTCCTGAGATCTGTGAATATGCAGGGCGGCTATCGGGACTGCGAGAGGCCAGAATTGTTGCTAAGACTGTTGTTGGTTTACCGAAAGTGTCAGCCGTTAACGCACGGCTGACACTTTCGGTAGAGGATCTGATGCCTTGCTCAACGAGTTCGTCCAGTGGGGATTGATGGCGGTTAGGCGGTTTGCGAGACTTAAGGATGCTATCGGGTGCGATCCAATTCAATTCTATTGAATTAAGATTATAGTAACCTGATGCAGCCTAACGTAAAACTTATGTCTATGCAGGTGTTTCCTCCATAATAAATCAGAGCCTGTCCAAACAATCAAGATATGACCATGACCATGACCATGACCATAACCATAAACATAGCCCTAAACTGTTTGTATGTAAAAATAGCACGCAAAAAAGGGCTCAGCTCGTCAGCTAAGCCCAGCTACCTGAACTCAGCCCATCTTAGCTCAACCTAGCTTGCGAGTGCCAGAAGATCGTGGCTCAAAAAGTAACCTGACTCACCCTATCTGGGCAGAACAATGTGACATGCTACTTTTGATCTACACACATTGCACTTTAATACCTCAAATCAAAACCGTAATCCCTTTATACTCTCAGGTCTTTTATTAATCACTAGTGGTCCCGCGTCCATATTCGGATGGCAAGGCTATTTCAAACATACATAACTTGAATGGTATCCAGAAGAATAACGAAATATATTGACGATTTTCTTTTTTCGCGAGGATCAACAAGAAGGCTTTTCAGAATATGCGGTCGCAAAAAAGGTGATATATTGCCATAGTCGGAGAGCAAAAATGTTCCCTATAGGTACGGAGTATTTCGCTCAGAGGGGTAAGGGCCTATTGAGCTTGGCAGGAAATCACACAGATTTCTGTATGCAGTTATATACACAGGATTTTGTCTGCTGGGTGGGGCTTTCCTGTCTGGGCTGCCGCCGCTTTAACGAGAGCGCTCAGACTCAGGCTCAGTGAGTAATTATCAGTATATTAAATAGCTATACCACTTTATTTATAGGGGTAATTTCCTTATATTTAATAGTCTGCAAATCTACTAGTTGTAATACAATAAAAAAATGTTATGAATTATAGGAGCGTCAAGACCAAATATATCGATCAGGTTCTCTGAGCTTGCAATATCCTATATGCAACTTGAACAAAGTCTGTATATAACATCTTTCGCCAGGTCCAGCATGGCAAATTGCTCAAAGAGGAGACGTAGTACCTTCACGTGGGGAAATGAGAGCCTGACTAGGCGCAAGAAGACCACCACTGACTACCGGAGACGCATGTGTACGGAGGGGAACACTGGGTCGGACCGGTATATCCCTGGCCGCCGCACTGACCCCACTGAGAAACAAGGCTTCCACTTGGTGAGCTAGAACTAGTGGTCGAAGTTGTTTTGGTGAGTGTTGTTCCTGGTGATGTGGTTGGTTTAGACGTGGTTGTTGTGGATGTTATAGGAGTGACAGATACCGCAAGATCACTAACAACCTGGTCGAGGAAGCCGCTATTCGCATAAAGCTGTGACATATCCCACATCATGACCCCTCCGAAACTACTATACTGCTTACAGTAAGCAATAGCGGCCTGAAGCTGAGTACCACTGGTATAGCCTGCGCCGGCGGCACCGGTATTTGCGGGAATGCCGAGGAAGACTTTCACATTGGGGTTCAGGCTGCCCTTGGCCCAATTATCCCACGTTGCGAAATTGAACGAAGACTGAGTGCTTGATCCAACCTGGAAGTTTGATGTTTCACACCAGTTGTTATAGAATTGCACCATAACAAGATCAAAAGCAACACTATCAAGTGTGGTGCCACCAGCAGCATCAGGGAAAGGACACTGGGGCGCAGCGGACAGGTAATACTTCTTGTCGGTTGCGGCGTTCATCAAGCTGCGAAGCTCAGCACCAAATGCCGGGAGATTGTTCGTGGTCGACTCAAAATCAAAATCAAAGCCATCAACAACGGCATTTCCAAAAGGACGGTCACTTTGGACGCTGGGGACTGGGCCGAACATATTCCACACGGACTGTGCCGCATTTTGAGCGGCGGTAGTCGAAGACCATCCTCCCTGCGTATAGGTAGCGCCTCCAAGAGACAGGAGAATTGTTTTACCGTAAGTCTTCTGGCATGTTATTATATCATTCCTAGAAAGCGATCAGAGAGGACCATGGCCATTGTGGAGGCTTGTATTAACCTACGCAATCTGGGGACAGTTCAAGAGGTTAGGATTGTCACTGAAGGTGGTGCAGTTGTTTCCAGCGTTGGCGAAGTTTGTAATTGCTGGAGTAATGCCGTCCATGAATGCAAGGGGGATGATCTAGGGCTATTAGTTAGAGTAATCCTGGATGTACTGTGACGAGTTCTCACATTGATTTCAGTGTCTAGATGCATAGTAATACTCCCAGTTAGCCAAGGTCTTGATCTGGTATACAGCACCTGCCTGTTCCGGAGTACATACTGGAGCAATATGTGGCAAGATTCTGCTGCGCGTATGGGCCACTGCCCTGGTTATACGAATTCTGCCCTACACATTGGAAAATTCTGTTAGCTTTTGAAATAGTGTTTGCTGGTATGTAGAAGCCTAATGTTACCCCAATATACTGCAATGTTGGAGGAAGAGCCAGGGTTGAAGCCAGCACTCGCAGCTCTAACCAGGGCCATGGCAAAGCCTGCAATACCCAAGACACGGTACATGATTGAGAAAGATAAAATGATAAAGATGCTGTCAAAATTGTCAAGAAGCTGAAGGTTGATAGCAAATTCACACTGGCGATTTGGATTGATATTGTCGATTTTCAACATTTCAATGCAGCTGTGAGTCCTTGCCTATTTATACCTTTATTTCAACTTGAACATGATAGACTAGCTTCCATGAATCCTATCCAGAGTAAAACCACCCTCTGGTCGCATGAGAAGGTAACATAGAGTGAAGCTCTCCGTGATTATAGTATGTGACCCTGACATACCGGAGTGCCTCCTGAAAGTAGATTCGGATCGACGGAAACCCAACCAGTATCAATGATGTGATAGCAAATACTACTCTATAACTAATGGCAATCTCTGTGGCAGAATATCTTCAGTCCAGCATCACAACGCCGATGCTGCCGTAATTTGCAACCCTCATTGGCATTTGTGATTAACGAGATCCATGGATTCTGAGCGATCCTGAGGATATGCAACATTGAAGAGACGGATGCTAGAGAAAAAAGCGGCGCTAGTATGAACGCTCTCTCTTCGTAGCCCCAGAAGTCGGATGAGTTCCAAGAGAACTACTATTTTACAGATCGCTTTGATCAAAGGAAGGCTGCCTTATCTGTGCACCTCTGCATGACATTTCATCACCAGTGTGACATGCTCAGGCAGAGCTTAGTGGCTTTAGTGATCACGATGGAACTAGGTGGCTGAACGAATCAGGGCTCATATTCCCTATTAAAAGTTATCGTAATTCCGCTAATGATATTTTGGCTTAGTTAACGTTGCATCCCAACTTTAAGCGGGATTGGAGGACCGTTCGCTGGAGGTCATTTCCTTAATTCTTCTATCTCCACAACGTGGTCTTGTGTTTCATCCGAGTGCAGAAATGTGGAATACCCTTCTTCCCCTGCATAAGGTGGTGCTCGTGATTTTCAGGTCCATTTTGTGAAGTCTGATCACCTTTTCTTCACGAATCTCGGGTAGTAAAGAAAGCCAGAAATTAAGAGGCGCTGGTCCCGCTCTTCGTTAACCCCGCTTTGCTGATGCCTCAAGTTGGTAGTATTTCCGAATTCCATCGACTGGGATACATGAGAGGTGCCATCCGCGGCAATGCGACAAGATAATAAAGATATCACATACATGTGTTATGCTGATTAAGATTATATTATAGCCTTTGGTCCGAAAGCATGGTACTAATGGAATTCCAGGAGTAAATCATGCATTAGCGATATTTAGTCAAGTATAACAAAGATACAGCGTGATCCACTGGCTTTAATTATTTATACCTGTTCGGTGTCAAGTGGTATCTCTCGGTTTCAACCACAAGGGTTTAGATTCTTTAAAAGATGTGGCTGGCCGGTGTATGAAATGGTATTATTAAGTCTACGTTTCCGTATCATAATAAATAAGTACAAAGTTCCCTATTTCAAGGCAAGAATGGGTTTTCAACACGTGATAGATACAGTTCCACATTGCAAATCACTGAACGAGCTAAATTACTATTCACTTCGAGCATATGCTAGTTAACAGCCCCTCCCTCAGCTGCCATAAATCATGACCAACGAGGATGTGGTAAGCTATATGCATAATTCCAATTTCCATTCTTTCACTCTTCTATACTCATACCCATACCATGACAGTAATTCAAAAATTGGCGTGGTTCAAAAAAAGCTCAGCATGCGCGTTTATTGCGTGATGACAAACCAAACACCTTAACTACACTGTAATCCCGGCCACTCGCGGAAATCTCTCAGAATGACAAATTGCACCATATCCATTTCGATTTCGTAGATTTAAAGCTTTAAGGGGAATAAAATCCAGCCTCTGTTCTCCTATTTTCCTTTCCTTTCTTTCTTACGTGAACTTGAACTTGAACTAGCCACCCCCTTGCTTTGTTTCACCACGCGGCCACCTTCAAATTCAACCCACTCCACCTCCGCTTCCACTTCCCACTTCCGCTCCACCGCTCCCTTCCTCCTAAACACACTCATACACACACACAATGTCCGACCACCAATACACCTTCAACATCTCCATGAGCTGCGGCGGCTGCTCCGGCGCTGTCGAGCGTGTTCTGAAGAAGCTCCAAGGTATGCAGAATACCCCACCCCCGCCTTCCCCCCTCACCCGGCGCAGCGCACATCCCTATCGCTGTTTCTATTCCTCACAGGAGCTATTAGCTAACATTCCCTTCTCACCTCACCACAGGCGTCAAAACCTTCGACGTGAACCTCGAATCGCAAACCGCAAAGATCACCACAGAGCCGAGCCTTTCGTACGACACCGTTCTGGCTACTATTAAGAAGACTGGCAAGGCTGTTAATAGTGGGGAGGCCGATGGGGAGAAGCAGGCTGTTTAAGCTGAGCTGAGCTGAGCTGAGCTGAGCTGAGAAATGAGGATGTGTTGTTGAGGATGGAGTACAACAAAGTTTGAACTTTCTGAGACACAGAACAAACACACATACTTTGATGGGCTGGGCTGGGCTGGGCTGGGATCTTATCTGATCAGTCCCAAGTCCCTTGTTATTTGAGATCGTTACGATCATTTTATCAGCGAAATATACCTCTGCATTTTTCCCTCGTTGGGACCATTATATTCAACTTGAAGTTAACAGACTAAGCCAAAGAACTATTTAAATCTAGATCTAGATAAATCTACTAGTACTAGTAGTAGTTAAAACGAAAGAGCGGACATGGAACTTGAACAGGGAACGGATATAATGTAATAATGTAATACCATAGGCATAGCCATAGGCAAATCTTGCACTGCAAGAAGCTTCGATTGAAACCTTCCTATGAGAAGGGCGATCTAATCTAAAGACAAGATGGATGGGTATCATGTAGACGAGACGAGACGAAACGAAACGGAACAAGGCGGGACCAAAACAATCGCAGAGAACAGAGAAACAACCATGGAAATGCAAATGCAAATGAAAGTGCAAATGCGATGTCATCGCAATCCCGCAGCCGCAACCGCAACCGCGATCAGAATCATTATCAAAAGCCACAGGCGCAACCACAAGCGCTAATCAAACGCCACTCCACTCCACTCCAGGAATATTCGTATTCGTAAAAAAAAAACATCAATCAATCAACAATAACAACGTGTCTGCTGCCCTCAGGCATGGGTTGTGGTGTCTGCGACTCCACTCTTTGAACGTAGATGGGCCGACTTTGTTCGGCCATTTGGAAAGCACGGGGGTCGTGGACGCGTCTGTGAAAAGGAAAGTGTTAGTTTACCCCCTCTCTCAAAGTACGAAAGGGAATCGAATCATTCCAGCGCCCGGGGAAGTTTGGCGAGACTGGTCGGTCTGGTCTATCTTACCGCTTCGGGCCGGGCCCGCTCCCAGGACGTCTCTCACGAGCGCCTACGAGAGGTTGTCCTCGGGGCTGGCGATTTCCAGGCATAGGCATAGCCTCCGCATGAGGAAGAGTCTGAACGTGAGAACTGTGAGTAGCTCGGGAAGCTGGAAGTAGGTGCTGCTGCTCCGGTGGAGGCTGGGGCAAGGAGTGAGACTGAGAAAGATCCTTGGGGATGAAGTGCTCAGGAATCCTAGCTCTGAAGGACTGGCCTTGGCCTTGGCCGATGGGATCTCCGGCGCGCGGTTGCTGCGCTCTTGGGCGTGGGACGAAGTACTCGACCGGACGAACTTCGCGGAAATCAACGTGGCGGACAAAGCCGTCAGCGTACAGTTTCCCATCCAAGGGAGCACCGGGGACTTGAGGATAGGCATGAGGATGATCACTATCTTTCGAGGCACGAGGAGGATCAGTCACTGCAGGTCGGGTGTGAGGGCTACGATCACCATAGTAAGCAGGGCGAGAAGAAGCGCCGAGGCCGGCTGTGGCTCTGGGAATGCGATCATCTCAGGATCATCCCACTGGTTCCAGGGGGACCGGACTGTGAGTGCATATCGGCGAAACGAATCCGATCCATTGCTGGTCTAGCATCCTGGGGAGCCTGAACCTGTCTCTCTCTCTTGTATGGATCTGCGGGAGCGAGGTATTCCCGACGAACAATATTCCCGTCCATTACGCGATACTCGGGACCGAGATCATCGCGGCGGTATTGACCCCTTGAAGCCAACCCCTCGGAAACGGAAACCGGCATAGCAATGGGCCTTGCGTTCCAAGGATCGGGGCGTGATTCCTGGGATAGGGGCGGGGGTACGTGGTAAGCCAGTCGTCGTCTCTTGGAGTTTGGGTCATCTGGACTGCCAGGCTGAGACTGCTCTCCCGGTTGCTTGGGTGTTACGGAACGAAGACTCATCCGTTTTGTCATGTTCTCAAGACGGAGTTCCATCTTTCGCTTGTCCAGTGCTTCGATTGAGGGTAGTACGTAATCCTGGGTAGCACCTGGCCTGGCCGCATGAGGGATTGGAGCCTCGGCCCGGGCGCCAAACTGATTCTGGCTAATCGAATGCAGTTCCTTGTGCGCGTTAACGAAAACTGGCGAGTTTGCGCTTTTATTGGTGGGGATCCGCTCGGTACGAGCATTGGAATTCAAGTGGGCTTTGCCTGGAGATGGAGGGTACGGAGCATTCCCAACGGATCGAGGACTTCTATCCAAAAGGTGAACTTCAGATGAATTCTGTGTGGTTAGTACTGGTCGTCCATTGGTCCCATGTTGCTGGGACACAGTTCGTTGACCCTCCAAAGGCCCGCGTCTGTCATGGATACCTACATGGCCGTTCCCTGCTGGGCGTTCTGGAGCAGCGGCCGTACGGTGCACAGTGTTTTCAAAACGACTGGGGCCTGAAATGACCCTAGGGGCAACTTCTAACGGCGGGGGAAGAATCTCACGGCGCCTGGGAGAGTCTGCAAGTTCACGAGCAGGGGCCAGGGGACGTTTTCCGTGGCGTGGGCTTTGCTGTTCGGCCGTGCCACCGTTCAGGTGGGCCTGTTCAGTGCCATGTGCGGTGCCATTAGTCCCGTATTTGGTCATAGCGCGGTTCCACGCCTGGTATCTGCTAAATCCTCGACGATCGACGGTCTTCTTGGGCACGCTATGCACAAATCGGAAACCAGGCGGTGCTTCTTCGGACAACTCGCGCAAGGGGTCCAGGGTTGAGGTGTTCACAAAGCTAACGGGTTGAGTTTGAATGTCATGGACCCTGGCATGACTGGAAAGGATTTCCACGCTTTGATCTAGGTTATCTCTTGAGGCGAGGACTTCCTCCTCGGTTTCACTGTCATCATCGTCATCGGATATGACGATGACCTCCCGGAACACATCTTCCAGGGCCTTTTGGCCATTCTCGTCATCACCACGCCAGGCCACGAGCTTGGCTAGAGTTGGCTGTTCCACGGTAGATCTCGCCTCGTGGAATGAGCCCGATTTCAAAAGCTTGTCGTAATCGGTGTAGAGATGGCGGATATGAGCCACTACGGCAAGCTGTGCACGACGAGCCAGTGGCAACTCGGAAGCGGTGCCCACTTTTCGCTGACCCTATACAGCAAAGCTATCAGGTATTCCCGGTCTTTCAAGTTCCGTCTGGTGAGTTCCGGAAGACGTACCTTTTGAAATGCAGTTTTAATGATCTGATGTAGATCATTCAGTGGAATATTAGGGAAGAGATCTGTGATTGCATCCCTTGCCTCCGTGTTGATAGTCAGTTGGTCTTTGTTGGCATCAGGTGTCGGACGAGTCTCTCTAGAGCTCATAGTATGGAAAGGCACCGCCTTGCCAGTACTGGTGAGGTAGAGTCCCAACTCCGAACAGACCGCTGCAACCACGGTACTCGGAAAATGATAACCTATGCGATGAACGTGGAGGGATAGGTTATGGGTGGTGGTATGCGGGGTGGTCTAACTGAGCATGAGTAGAGTCCAAGGGTCATGCATAGAATGCACGAGATGAGATCAATATCCTCCTACCGAGACCGCATAGATCTGTGATCCTTCCTTTCGGCATCTTTCTTTGCAAGCTGTAGTGAGATGCGGATTGCCAGCCGGGATGAAGGTGTAACCGGTTGGAGCGCGTGCCTCGAAGCAGATCTATATCTCGAGTTAGCAGTGTCGAGAGGAAGAAACGAATGGAGACGAGTATATTGGTATATAGATCAGGACAGGACAAGACTCCTCGCTAATATATATCTCAAGAAAGGGAAACACACCACACTCTGAAGCTTCTTCTTCTCTTGCGTAACCGACTCCATGATCACTTTATGTTTTCGAGCTCTCCGCTGAATAGCGCGACTGGGGGCCCGCCTGACCGAAGCCGAGGCGGCCCTCCTGACAACGCGAGCCATTCTGTAGGGTTGGTTCCTTGGAAGCAACCTCCTAGAGAAGCCTTTCACACATAGTTTCGGGGGTCTGAGTAGGTGGCTGGGGGTGATATGACGGAAGTCGGAGAACGCGGGCGGTCAGAGCATAAAAGTACGAGAGGGACGGGTTGGGCCGAGTGTTAAGGTGAGTTTTGGGGTGGACGCGTAAGGGGAATAAAAAAGGGACCCCGTCCTGTGTCCGGGGAGAAGGGTGCAGGAATGCAGCAAGTTAAGTCAAGTCGAGTCAAAAAAAGGGCTAGCAAAAAGGGTATCGTGCAGGGAGTGGATGTTTGGAGTAAATGTTGAAGGTGGGGGGGGTGAAGGTAAAGAATCGCCCCGGTACTCGCAGTCGGTGCCCAAAGTTGCCCGGCTCGTTTGGGTTTAGCGTGGCACCACTGGGAAGGAGCGGAGGAACATGAACAGCTGTGCATTTACACTATTTACACTTCCACTGACACACTTATATTGACATCTACACTACATACCTCTCTTGACTGGACTGCCTGCACAGCTGCTGTATAGCTGTATACATACAATGGCCACCGCTGTCCCTTCAAGGACTGCCGTGCTTCATGCATACCGCCATCTCTTTCGACAGGGCCTGAAGGTCATTCGATACTCCACCCCGGCCGCTATACTCTACGTACCATTATGAGAAGGTCTTTTCGCTCATCCTCCGAGCAATTTGACGCGCCGCGCATTGCCAACACTTTGCGCTTCCTCGAACGGGCTACGGCCGCCGCCAACATGGAACACAAAATTGTGAAAAACATCCTGATCACTCGATATTGGGAAACTACCCCGATTGGCAAGGACTCTCGCATGTAAGTGGAAATCAAAATGGCCCCATCCAATGCGGCCCAGTGGGGAAAGGGAAAGGGAATGAGAAACATCCTGATTCTGATTGCTAACTTTGCACTCCAGGCTGCGGAGCTTGGGACTCTTCAAGGGGGAGGTGGTCCTCCGCCAAAGTGCTTATGAGCATTTCAATTTGACCCTCGAACGATTGAATGAGAGCCTGGGAACTTGTCTAAGATGAGCTCGAGATGAGCTCGAGTATATTCACTTCTGTTCATCCCGACCTAAAGCATGGTTGTCGATCTCATTTGCTACTTCCCCTACGTTGGGCGCCCGCACCTTTCTTGGGCAGGAATCCAGGATCCAGATGCAGTGAGGAAGCAGCCGACCTAAAAGGGTATCCAGCCACCAGAGTTCGTCCGTTCTAGAATTCTGGTCGCCTGTTCTCTCCTTGCGGCCCGGTATCGTTGGGTACAATGGTTCCTCCTTTTACCTTTTCGTCATCTACATGCTTTCGGGTTTGACGTCTGACCAGCCACCTGCACTAGCGGAGGAACCCTGTTATCACCATCAAACTTGCAGCACACCCCCTATTGCTTTCCTTCGAACAGTTCTTCGTCAGAGAGTTTTCTCAAGGTCGGCAATCAGATTGGCTGCAGAAGAGGCTGCAGATCGGATGATTTTTGCGGGGAAGGACAAATTGGTCAAAAGGAGAATATCAAATGGTATCATGGAATAGTGCACTAGTCTACTAGATATCTACAATATAGGACTCAAGTCTGTGTATACTGTACCTCTTTCTACCACATACACACCTCTCTCTCTGTGTCCCATTCATCTCTTATTTTGGGGCAGTGTTGAACGGGGTAACTTTATTAGCGCCGATCCGCGGATGATTCAGCAGAACGTCACATGCCAACAACCTCCGATCATTTCCTCCCCCCCCAAAGGCCACAGGCCCTTGAACATAGACTGGACGTTTCTCTCGTATACGTCCATGGTCACTGCATTTGATGTGATCCCATTCAGCCCTTCATGAGCAGTTACGTCAACTCGCTGCTGGTCGAACTCGGAATCCGTGCCGCCCCCCACCACCCAGACGAAGCGGAGCACTCTCGGGGCGACGAATCAACAAAGCTGCCTAACAACAACGATCCTGTTCACTCCCCGGACCAAGATCGTATTGTATCGGATCTACCTGCTGGAAATGCAGGGTCGCTGCATGGACCTAGCCCTCCTTTCTTCACGCCTCTCCTGAAAGACATGGATCGCCGAACTTCGGAGCGCGGGCGCCAGCACCAGCACCAGCACCAGCACCCTCGACACGATGGCGAGTTCTCCAGCCAGGACCAGTCGACTCCAGTCATCACTACCAATAACATAATTGATAATCCACACCATATTGATATGAGCGTACCAAGCCTTGGAAACATGCCCCTGCAGGAGGACGAATCGGGCGCCGGACAAAATGAACGATCTATTGGAGGAGATGCACAGTCAAGACGAGGATCGCAAGAGGGGTCAGGGCAGAACTCGGGCAATACACTCAATGCAGATGTGCTGGCTCCAACGTCTTTGCCTGCTGATGATGGAATGGGATGGTTGAGGAAAAAGATCATTGCAATCCGGGATCGAGACCTTGACAACAACGAGAAGGCGCGGATGGTCCACGATCTCATGACGGAGAAGTACAACAGATGGTCCCACGCAACGATGCTGAAATCTCCAACCTTAAGCAACTCTCCCATGCATCATCTTCCCAGCTCACCATTACTCGCAATGAATTTATCGCCAGATCCTTGTCATACGACCCCGAGCCCCACATCGGACATGCCAGCCCCTCCATACGAGAATCATTTCTCCCTCACCGCTGAAGATTTGCAACCAACATATGTCCCACGAGTCGAACCCGACTCCCCAGCCGTTGAGACCGGCGATGAAGCCGGCGATGAAGCCGGCGACCAGGACACAGAAGAATTGGACGAGGCCTCTCTAGGCTGCCAGCATTATAAAAGAAACGTCAAGCTTCAATGCTTCACTTGCAAGAAGTGGTACACATGCAGGTTCTGCCATGATGAAGTTGAGGATCATCCATTGGTTCGCCGAGATACGGAGAACATGCTCTGCATGCTCTGTGGACATGCCCAGCCTGCAGCCCAAAATTGCCATCAATGCGGGGAAGATACAGCTCACTACTATTGCGATATCTGCAAGCTATGGGACAACGACAGCAAGAAAAGTATCTATCATTGCCACGATTGTGGGATTTGCCGAATTGGACAAGGACTTGGGAAAGATTTCTTCCATTGCAAGGTGAGTGATTTGCTTATGTGGCTATCGTTGTCCGTACTAACACCTACCTCATAGACCTGTTGTGTGTGCTTGCCCATATCCATAGAGGATACTCACCGATGCATCGAAAGATCCACCCAGTGTGATTGTCCCATCTGCGGGGACTACATGTTTACCTCCCCAGAGACGGTAGTCGTAATGCGATGCGGCCATAGTCTTCATCACAAATGCCTTTCTGAACATTCAAAAACATCCTTCCGATGTCCAATCTGCAGCAAGACCATAACCAACATGGAATCGACATTCCGAAACCTAGACCGCACAATCGAGAGTCAGCCAATGCCCGCCGAATTCACAGATACCAAAGGACTCGTCTATTGCAACGACTGCGGCGCCAAATCGATCGTCAAATATCATTGGCTGGGATTGAAATGTGACTTATGTGAATCTTATAATACAGCCCAGATCCGCATCCTGCAAGGGGACGTTTCTGCGGTCCTCGAGGAAGAGGGCGTGAACGAGTCCGAGCCCCAGCCCCAGCCCGAGCCCGAGCCCAACGAGCCCCCCCTACCGGCTGCGATCAGCATCATTGCAGGTGGGAGAGGAGGCCTCGACATCTCTGGCAGCACTGCATATGAACAACACCCCGCCTTCACAGTCCCGTCTCAGTGTACCGGGATCAGCTGGTTCCGATAACCGATTCGTCTCCTACAACATGACTCACAACCGAGCAATTTCGCCAGTAGTCAGCAATTACTTTGGTCTACCCACCGAGCGCGAATCAGAGAAACCCTCATCGTTGCCATTCTTTGGAAGCCCGCTCCGATCCGAAGGCGACACTGATTACGGGGCATTGAATTTTCTAAGTAAAAAGCTTCGGGATCGTTATGGATTTCTTTCAAACGACGCAGCAACCGTTGAAAGAAAGGGGGGAGCTGGGGGTGAAGGTGAAGGTGATGAAGAGGATGACGACGATGAAGCAGAGTCCTCTTCCTCTTCTTCCGGATCTGACAACGAAAATGATGACGATGATGATGACGATGGAATTGACCCCATCGACCTCCTCGGCCACCGATGATCTGAATTGAAGATCCCGTCATTATCATTGATTATCGATTATGCACAGCCCCATCTGTGAACCATTTGATCTTTTTAGAGAGATCACTCATGTTGGAAGTGATCTTGTCTTATTCCCCATCAGCGTATCGAACCGCATCACATCGCGCACTGCCAGGCAACTGGGCCGCAGACGCAGACTGCGAGATCATTTCCCGCAACTCACATTTCATCATCGACTCATAGCCTTGGGCATACGCCTGCATTCACGAATTTTGGATCAAACCCAGTTCTCGCAAGGGGTGCCTTTCTCTTCTCACCCCTCCAAATAAAGATGAAATTGAATTGACTCCCCAAGAGCCTGGCCCGAGTCCGAGCCTGTTCGGGGGGCTGCTCTAGAGGATATTACTGTATGCCTTTCCCATGTTCTTGGTTCGCCGGGGCAATCTGGCATGTCCATACATAGCCCGCTTTAAGCAAGGCCACACTGCATATCTTATGTCGAATTTAGAAAACTTGCATAGCATCACGACGGAATGAAAACATATTCCCTGAGACCCTGATACATTTTCATTTTCATTTCTATTCTCTTGGGCAGCGAAACGAACTTTGAAAACAACAGTACTAGTACTGGTAGTTGATTATACAGAGGATCTGATAGGTAGTGACTGTTGCGTTTGTGGCACATCTTCCATGTGCGCGGTAGGAGTTTTGTCCTCGGTCTTTTCGCCTTCGCCTTCGCCTGCGACTGTTCTGGCTTCACGTTTCTCAGAACCACCTTCGCACTCTCCAGCTTCAACAAAGTCCACGCCGCCAAATATCTTTTCCATTCGTTCCAATGATACACCCTTTGTTTCTGGGAGGATGAAGTAGACAGATACCTAGCTTGTGTATTAGCATCGCCACTTGCAAGCAGGATCAAGATAACGTGGAAGGATCCGGAGAAGTATAGCTACTACTAGGGGACACTAGGGAATGTGACTTACACCCGCCGCAACATTGAGACCAAATAACAGCCAATAACTATGACCCCCGACCTTAGCATTAAAAGAAGGCCAAGACTGAGTCAACATAATAAGCCAGCATGTTTGTCCAAGCATTGACAGACCAAATCCCTATACAATTATATCATTAGCATTAAATTCCGACTCCTCATTTCATCGAAATCGCAATTCCGCCCACGGGTGTTCTGTACTCACCTTATCACGAACATGCTGAGGAAAGATCTCCGCAACGACAGCAGCAGCAATAGGCCCATTGGACCAACAATAAGTAAGCCCGACAATAAACAGCATTGCCACTTCAACAATAGCAGCAGCTTTATTCCCATTCGTTGGGAATGCAGTCGTAAGACAAGACATGATCAAAAGGGCGAGCGATTGAATCGTAAATCCAGCGAGGAGAAGACCTCTCCTTCCAAAGCGTTCCACAGTAAATGTATTGACCAGGACGATGAGTAGTTGGAGAACAGCCTGGATCCCGTTGATGGATAGTGCCTGTGATCCGGAGGCCCATCCGAGACTTTGGTAGATGAGAGTGGCGTACATAGTTAATGCTGCAATTCCACCGCACTAAAGCATAAAGCAGAAAGCGTTAGGTGAGAAAATTGTAACTTGGGCCAAAAAAGAAATAGGCAATGAAACCAGGGATGGAGAGATCCGTTCGTGGCATGGCATTTACCTGTTGAAGACCCGCAGCATAAAACCCATAAGCAAGACGCTTCCTCATACTCTTATTCTTAAGTAACCCAATATACCCCGTATCATATCTCTTCCGAAAATCCCGCGAAACGATCAGTTCATGGAACTCGACACGAATACGTTCATCTGTAGGCGCACCGGACCGAAGTCGACACAAAACTTTTAAACACAGCTCAGGTGTATCTGGGTACTTTTCCAGCATGAAGCGAGGACTTTCCGGATACCAGAATGAAACGAAGATGAAAGCCAGACCAATCGGGATCTGAATGAGGTTTGAAACTCGCCAGGCGATATTGTATGGTGATTTATGGAAGGACATTCCATAACCGGCCCAAAATGCTATTAGCGTTCCTAACTGGTATCCGAACTGGGAGACGGTGCCGACAAAACTACCTCGCAGTTTTGTGGGGGCGCATTCGGCGACGTAGAGGTTTGTAGCGATGTAGACGCAGCCAAATCCGAGTCCGCTGGGAGAAGAAAAGTCTTAGTATTAGAACTTTCGTAAATGATTGGGATTGCGGAGACCATGAAGTAGGGTAGGGTCGAGAAGAACTCACGTCAAAAGTCGACCTAGAATTAGGACGCCGAAGTTGTTGGGGACGACCTGCACCACTCTATATGTCGGACATACTAGTCAGTGTATCTAGCTGTAAAGGATTCGACACGGGGAGAAATAGCCTCATACACTCCAATAATCATAATGCAAATGGAAATCCGCAATGCCCATAGACGCCCCAGCCATCCAGCAAGGGATCCACCCAGCCAAAGCTGTGCCAATCCTATAAGAATATGGAGATTAGTCTTTATACAAAAAGTAGAAAAGAAAGCTGTCCATGCGGGATAAATACCAGTCATGGCCCAAGGTATAGTCGCGACCAAGCCTGATCTATTGGCATCAATGCTATAGTAGTCGATAAACTGCTTATCAGCCAGGATCACAGTCATGATTCCTGCATCGTAGCCATTAAAGCAAGTTGAAAACACCATGCCATAGAGGAGCAATGCCGCGAAGCTGGAAAAGATCGAAGGTTAGCGGTAGCGGGGTCACAGACGCAACTTGGGCGTCCTCAGGGCTCGGGCTATAAGTGTCCCTACCGGTCATCTTTAGGAAGGAACTTCTCCACGATACCCATTTTGACACAAGTTGCTCCAGAGCTGTCGAATATTAATCAAACGTAGTGACTTCAAAGCCAAGGGCATGATCTGACGTTACAGCCCCGGAGCGCAACCACGCGATCAGCAAGTTGGTATATATATGCAGCAGAAACCGGAGTTTCGGGTCTCCACATCTAGGGGCATCTGGGGTGATTATCTGGGGTACATAACAATTCAGGAAGTACCAACCAATAACAGCTCTTACCTAGGTACTAGTCAAGACTTCTCTTGCGGGGCCGAGGAGGTCGACAGGTAAACTTGAGTAGTACCCAAGCCGGGATTGACCCCGGCATCGGCATCGCTTCCCCCGCCGGAGCGTCTCCGCCGGAGTCTTGCCATGCGGGCATCCCACTCGGAGAAAGTGCCATTGCCGGCGGGGAGTTGGGGCATCACGGCATCTCTGCATCTCTAACAGGCCGAATAGAATGAGATGGGCCCGCTCGAGATCCGAGAGGCACCCCGGACCCTTCAGCATATAAAAAAGCAAACTGCGCGCGGCTGTTTTCTGATTTCGATTCGACTTTATCCCGACATCTCAAGTATACACTGCATCCACCCCACGATGGAGTACCCGCAAGAGAGTTTCGCAGACACCACCTTCACCCCAGGATCATTCTGGGCCCGTCGTCGCGAGGTAGTCCGTGCCCAAACACTCCGTCACCAACTTGAGATGCTCAAAAAGACCGGACGATACGAAGCACTTAAATTAGGATGGCATCCGAGCTATTCAGATCCTCCAACCGTCTACCCTGTTCCTAATCACCAATTCTGGGATTCCGATGTAGCGAAGTGGATCGAAGGTGCTTGCTACTTGCTCACGGATCACTTTGATGCCGAAATAGATGAAGCTGTGCAGGAATTGGTGCGGATGATTCAAGGGGCGCAGCAGGGGGATGGATATTTGAATATTCATTACTCTGTTGTTGAGCCTGGGAAACGATTTACTAATTTACGGGATATGCATGAATTGTATGTAAGACTTAAACTTGAACTGAGCCTGTCATTTTCCTTGACCAGGTCCGGCGAGGCGTTTGTGCAAAAGATTTAACATTTAATGCCATTCCTCTAGGTATAATGCAGGCCACCTCATCGAAGGAGCCCTCGCCCACCATCAATTCTACAAAAACGACGGAATGCTCGCACCAATTTTGAAATACGTCGATCTACTAGCCAATACATTTGGAGCATCGGACAGTCAAATCCCTGGTTACCCAGGCCACCCAGAAATCGAATTAGCGCTACTACGCCTGTACAAAGTAACCCAAGACCCCAAACACTTCCAACTAGCCCGATTCTTCATCGAGGAGAGAGGCAACCCACATGGCGGGAAAGAAAAACGACACTTTTACGACGTGGAGAGAGAGGCTAGAGGTGAAAGTGAACACGAATTACCCATGTATTATCCCGCGGCAAGAAGTTACTGGTAGGTTTTATCTTTACCCTCGTTGATATGTGGCACCTAGCACCTAGCATCTAGCATCTGGAGTATATACTGACGGCTAGCTCTTCAGGTACCAACAAGCCCATACACCAATAATCAGCCAAGAAACGATCGAAGGACATTCAGTTCGAGCAATGTACCTCCTCACCGCAGTGGCAGATATGATCCGAATTTCCGATTCCGATTCCGATTCCTCGCTCGATAACGCAAGTGAGCTCGGAAGTAAATATTTACCCGCTCTCCATCGACTATGGTCAAACATGGTCGAAAAGAAATCTTACGTTACGGGGGGTATTGGGGCTATGAAGAAATGGGAAGGTTTTGGAATCGACTACTTCCTTCCTCACGGAACGGATGAGGGCGGGTGCTATGCTGAAACGTGTGCGGCGATTGGTGTTATGATGTTGGCTGAACGATTGTTGCAGGTATGATGATATTATAATTACCCTATGCTTCACGGTTGATGAGAGGGTGAGTGGTGTGGTTTCATATCTAACCATAAAACAGATTGAATTAAAGAGTGAATACGCAGATATAATGGAACTCTGCCTTTATAATGCAGTTCTCACTGGCATGAGTCTGGACGGGAAGGCATTCACTTATGTGAATCAACTAGCCTCATCTGATGCGGATCTATCGCAGCGCCATGAATGGTTTGAGTGTGCTTGTTGTCCGCCTAATGTTACCCGGACGCTGGGGTTTCTTGGTGGTTATGTCTGGAGTCAGCGCATCGAGGAGTCGGAAAAAGCTGTAACTGAGACTGCAACTGTCAATGTGCACTTGTATACCTCTGCGACACTGCGTCTAGAGACAAAGAGATCCAAGTCCGGCGCGATCCAGATAATTCAAAAAACGGATTGGCCTTGGAATGGAGATGTTGATTTCGATATTTCTGCCGAGGAATCGGAATCGGAAACAGAATTCGAACTTGAACTCGAGCTGCGATTGAGAATTCCTGGCTGGGCATCTGAATCTTGGGAAGTAAGTTTAATGACCCTATTCCAGAAAGAATTATACCATGCAGCTGAATCTGAATCTGGATCTAACTCCGACTAACTTTAACCAAAAGATAACCCCCCGTCCCAATAAAATCAACATCCAAGATGGATATCTCTACCTAGACAAAGAATGGATCCACGAACATCCAAAATTCCGATTCTCATGCCCAATGCAAGCACGCATAGTCCGACCTCATCCACTAACCATGCAACGAGTCGCATATATTACCCGGGGTCCGATTGTGTACTGTGTGGAGGACATCGATCACCCATGGGAACAAGATCATTTCAAGGTAAAACCGCGTATACGCTACCAAATTTGGCTAGTGAGATATTTTTTACTCATGCTAATAATATAACTTGAATACACAGCGAATCGTATTCGATCCTAAAGCGCCGTTGCGAGAGGAGAGACGGTCCGATCCTGATGCCTATGTCGCTATTATTGCGGAGAAAGGTGCTTTGGGACAACTTGAGACTTCGGCATGGGATGGCAAGATCGTGGCTGGCGGCGAGGGCGAGGGCAAAGGCCAAGGCACAGCTGTAGGGGAGCCGAGAGATCTTTGTTTCATCCCTTATTATCTGCGCGCAAATCGAGGAGGAAGAGGGCAGATGAGGGTGGGATTACGGGACATATGATGGGAAATTCTGATAGAAGATCTTGAATCGTAAAGGATATGAAAAAGCAAAGTTAAACTACAACACACAGCAATGCAAACACTTTCCAGAACACCGTCTCGTAGATTCATGTTTATAGTAAAAAATGCCATTCCATTCCATTCGTCATGATAGTATCAACCCCGAAATCCACATCCAATCCATGTCATGACCAAACCATAAACCACAATGTCGTACGCCACAATAGGAAATCATTCATGCATACCCTTTTAGGATTGTTTGGAATCGCATCGCGCTCACGCTCACACCTGCACCTCACACTTAAGAAGTAGGGAGAGTGACCTGAGCAACGCCATCGGTAACCTTCTCAACAGCGTCCGCGTCAACACTAGGACTCTCAGCACCACCCTTAGCAGTAGCCTCAACGCCCTTCTTCTCCTTCTTCTCCTTCTTCTTAGCCTTGGCAGCGGCCTTCTTAGCAGCAGCCTTGGCAGCCTCCTCTTCCTTCTTCGCGCGGTCGGCCTGAGACCCACCGAATGAATCGCGCCACTCATCAGCCTTCTTGGGATCGATGCGAGAGAAGAGATACTTGGCCTTGCCAAGCTTGTGACCGCCCTTCAGGGTGGTGGGCTTCCAGCCATCCTTGAGATCGTCCAGGGACGGGATGTGAATGAAAGGAGCCTCGAGCTGCTCCAGGATAGACTTCGCAGTCGTGGGCATGTATGGGGAAAAGACGGCAGAGAGCAGGTGGATCAGGTTAAGCACGGAACCGACGACGGCAGCAGCGCGCTCGGGTTCGTTAGCAATCAACGAGTTATCCAAGCGGTTAGCTTGGATCAGACCGTTACCGGCCTCGGCAATTTTCATAGCAGTGGCAACACCAGCACGGAGGTGAACGCTCTCCATCTCGTCGATATACTGACGGGTCAGAGTGGTGACTTCCTCTAGGAAAGGGTTGAAGTCCTCCGGGACGGTGAATTCGGGAATAACGCCACCGTAGGAGGCAGCGACAAGCTTGATGACTCGGTTAACAAGGTTGCCCAGCTTAGCCAGCAACTCGCTGTTGTTGCTGTCGACGAAAAGAGCGCCACTCGAATTGGGTATCGCCAGTCTCGGGGCGGTTCTTGAGGAGGTAGTAGCGCCACACGTCAGCGGGGACGCCGGTATCCTTAGCATTTGTACCGAAGACACCAACACCACGGGACTTGCTGAACTTGCCGCCCTCGTAGTTGAGATACTCAGTGGCGCTCAAGTGGTGGTTCATAGTCCATCTATCCCGGGTACCGATCTGGGTAGCGGGGAAGATAACACTGTGGAAAGGCACGTTGTCCTTGCCCAGGAATTGGTAGAGTTGGACCTCTTCAGGGTTGCGCCACCACTGCTCCCAATCCTTTGTGTAGTTGGCAGTGATCGAGGGGTATCCGATACAGGCTTCGAACCAGACGTACAGCACCTTGTTATCATATCCGTCCAGGGGAACGGGAACACCCCACTTCAGATCACGAGTGATACCACGATCCTTCAGACCCTCCTTCAACCAAGACTCGGTAATAACGCGGGAGTTCTTGGGCCAGTCACCCTTCGAGATAGACTCAGCAGACCACTTCTCAACCTCGGGCTGGAGCTTGTCGAGAAGAAGGTGGATGTGTTTCGTCTCACGGCGCACTGGGGTAGCACCATCGAGCTTGCAGCGGGGCTTGATAAGGTCGAAAGGATCGAGAAGGTGACCACACTTGTCGCACTGGTCACCGCGCGCATCGTCGTAGTGGCAGCGGGGACACTCGCCCTCGACGTAACGATCAGCCAAGAAGGAACCGTGCTGCTCGCAGAATGGCTGCTCGGCGGTTCGCTCGCCCAGGAAGCCGTTATCGTAAAGACGCTTGAAGATGGCCTGGGAGATTTCGGTGTGCTTTTCGGTAGGGGTACGTCCGAAGTGGTCGAATCCGATGCCGAACCATTCGTAGACTTCTTGATGGATCTTGTTGTACTTGGCGCAAAGCTCCTGCGGGGTCACTTTCTCCTCCAACGCCTTTGTTTCTGTCGCTGTGCCGTACTCATCGGTACCGCAGATGTATAATGTAGAGCGTCCGCAAGACTTGTGGTATCTAATAATATAACAATAATGGTTAGGAATTGGAGTTGTCATATAGACTGGTGGGGGTTCCCATATTGGCTGATTGAGTCATACCTCGCAAATACATCGGCACTCAGCACAGAGCCGACGACGTTACCCAAATGAGGGACATTGTTGACATAGGGTAAAGCGCTAGTCACAAGGATATTGCGCTCGCCCTTCTTGGGCAGAATTGGGTCTGAAGTCATGTTGGTTGGGGGGTGATGTAAAAAGAGCGTTGGAGGGGTTGCGGCGGGAAAATGGAAAAGTGGGCATCTCGTGACATTCGCCCCGCATATCAAAAATTAATTCCACGGAAGCTCTTTGTTGCCTTGCTTTCACCCAACAGATCCTTGCATATATCTGATATCTGATTGATCATGGACTCAAATATACTGGACAGTCTTCTTGACATTGAGGAGGACTTTTATAAAGAAGGTTATGACCTGGGAGTCGCCGATGGCGCTCATGCCGGCTATACCGAAGGCAGCGTCTTCGCCGTGGAGAAGGGATTCGAGAAGTTTATAGAGCTGGGTCGTCTCTACGGGAAATCACTCGTCTGGGCTCAACGACTAGCGGACTCTGAGACGAAAGCTGAGACATCCGAGCAGTCACAGACTGCGCCTGTCAAAGTCAAGACCGACGACGCCTTGTCTCTCGACCCATTGATAAGCAAAGAAATGCCCCAATTGCCTGCACACAGCGCGCGACTCGCCAGAAATCTGCAAACTCTCATGGAACTGGTTGACCCGGCCTCTTTGGATATGAGCAATACCGAAGAGGCCGTGAACGACGTGGATGAACGGCTGAGAGGTGCGGCCGTCAAAGCTAAGCTGATCCAACGAGCTATGGGCGAAAGCGAAGACGGTATCGGATCGATTACCAAGGATGGACAAAAGCCGGGAGATGGCACTGGAAGCATTGAAGATATCAGTGCATTGAATGTTCGTCACTGAGAGCATCTATTCATGGGGCTGTCAAGCAACTTCACCTATCGAATCCCATCATTTATCTCAATCTGAGATGTCACATCTGGCATATGAAGGCGTCAGCTACGCTCGGTCAAAGCGCGAACATCAAATGCCAACAGCAATTGCAGTCTCATCTGCGGTTTATGCCAGCGGCGCCTGAGAAGACGAAATAACGGACACGAAGCTAAGCCCAAGGTCATACTCTATGAGCCACCCGCGCGCCAAGCGGCTATCTTAGCTACAAACTTGAAGCTACGCCAACCGATCATTGATGTTTTCGTCAAGGAATATTTCGCCCAATCTTCGAAAAAAGGAGGCCATCCCATGGGATCATGGCCAATAACCGGCGGCACTACACATGATAGTTTATATATATATGTATACCAGCCATTAAAGCCTTACATTGCGATATGAGGTCAAAAAACTTGAATATATTGATATTGATATCGTTAATGAACCCTTTAAACAAAAAGAAGGTATAACTTTTACATTCGTGCCATTTCAATCGTAAAAACCCCTACAGGCCCAAGCTACGAACAGCCATAGCCATAGCACCCTCCTTGGTCTTATGACCACCAATGAAACCACTAGCATGAACAAAGACCGCACCAGCAGGCAACTTATCCTGGCCAGCCTTCTCAGCCTCAGTAGCCATAACACCATCAAGGTCCTGGTCGCGCACGCCGCGCCACGCCTCAGGAAGAGGCTTACGGGAGACAAAGCTACCCTCAGACTCCGAGACACACTGCACGCGCCACTTAGCATCCTCAGCCGCACTCTCAGGATACAAAACGTAGTAAACCTGCTCCGCACCGGCAGCCTCCGCCTCCTGCTCGAAGTTGTACAGGTGTTCCTTCCAGGGAACGCCGCCCTGGGGCAAGATCAAGATACGGCCGGACGAGTGGGCCTCGGCGCGAGACTTGTAAGCATTGCCGACGGTTGTGCGAGCGGGCATCCATGAGTTGCAAGCCTGGTGCAGCTTGCGGGCGAAAACGTTTCCGATCAAGGTACTAGCGCGGCCGAAGAGAGAGTCCTCATCCTGGGGCTCACCGGGCGGGCTGGTCGGGTCCGGGTTGTTCATGTCGTTCACGATGGAGGCGAAGGTGACGCCGCCGTCCTTGAAGAGCTTCTCTAGGTTTGCGGCGGACAGGGCGGCGGGATCGTAGGCGGAGATGCCGTTGTCATTGGCGTCAATGGCTTCGATGAAGTCGGTGTACAGCTTCTCGTACAGTAGGTCGACGTCCGCGTGGTCTTCGGGCAGGGATAGGTGTTGGGCGATGATGGCGCGGCCGAAGTGCATGTACACCAGACCGGCGGAGGAGAGCTTGGTCTCATGCTTGGGGAAGAAGGTGGAGAAGGTCCGCTGGTGGTGATCATAGCGGTTGATGGCGGCGTCGTAGACACCGCCGACATCGACGACGGTGTGGCATTCTTCCAGCTGGGCGGGATCGCGGGTGCGCACGAGTGGGGAGGAGGCGTAGGTGGGCAAGAGACGGAGCAGGTAGACGGCCAGAGCTTCGTCGGCGTGGAAGTGGCCGCTAGAAAGGACGGAAGTTAGCTTTCTATATAGCTCTTGGGAAGCGGGGCAATGGTCCAGGCAAGGGCAAGGGCAAGCTTACTTGTGAGTCCCGATCAAGGGGGAGGAGGTCTTGAGCTTCTTTGCAACAGTTTCGGCCATTTTGAAGTATTGACGAGCACGAAACATGCAACTTAATTGGAGAATGAATTGAGTATAGAAAAAGCGGCGGGCTCCCGGGCTATTATGAACTGCTCAACGCTGGCTGGTCCGTCTTATCGCAGTGTCCGGATTGGGTAATTAGGGCAAGAGATGGGGGCTATCAGCTATCACGTGGATTGTCACGTGCAAATGCATTGTTCCCCCCACGGAGAGAAAGTACGGGCCAGTACAGGCAAGTACCAGTACTTACACCTCCCGCAATATCAATATGTACCTTCAAGTACCACTACATGCATCGAGTTGATGCAGTCCAATCTGATCACTCTCCACGATCCAGTGAGAGCACGAGTGCAGACGATCGTGGTTATGTACATCTTGCACATCACAAGGTGATAGATCATACCAGCAGGCATCTGGGCACCACTACTAACTAGGCACTAGACATACTTTAGGTACCCCCATTCAGTAGCCTCTCACTGGGACTATCTCGTAATTCAGCATCGCCAGATCGTGCTTTGACCGCCACTAATCTCGAATCTCTCTACCTCATTATCCTGCTTTTTCGCTCTATTCCTCAGACATTCTTTTCTCATATTTCTTCATACCATAAATACTATTCTCTACTTGAAATAGTGCTTGCCAGTGCATACCATACCATACATACCTCCCCTCTCCACCGCCCTTCCGCACGTGAAAGAAAGGGCTGATAAGCTCAAGAACAGAAAAAGAAAAATAAAGTCATCAGTCGTGTGCCTCCCCTCCCTCTCTTCCTTCCCACCACCTCCGTCCCCTTTGCGCGCCCCGCGCCTCTCCCTCTCTCTCCATGTGGCTCTTTCGGGTCTTCTCGTCGGCCATCTTCCTCGCCGTGACCGTCTCCTCCATCCCGCTGGCCTTCGACGTGGGAGGCAAGACGTGCGGTCTGGCCTTTTCGCTATCCCTGGCCACCTTCTACTTCCTCTTCTCCTTGTTGAGGCTGACCACCCCCGAGCGCTCATGGATTCGTTCTTCTGTGATCGTCGTCATTCGTTCTACGCAATGGATCCTCATCCCCGTCTTGTTGATCTGGTCCCTGAACCGCTTCTCTGTTGATCCCGACAATAACGGTGGTTGGGTCGAGCGTACCTTTACTGGGAAACGCGCGCAGGACAGCTCCGTCAGCGAATGGCTTTTCGGTCGCGATGGCTTGGTGGAAACGGTCACTCTGGGTAACTGGGATCGTTTGTTGCGATGGTCTACCCCCGTCTTTCAACTGGCCGAAGGCTTCTGTAGCTTGTTGGTCATTCAGGCCGCCGGGCAGATCACTCGATGGCTCGTGAATCGCGGTGGTCGAAGTGATAGCTGGATGGTATGTTGAGAACTCCCCAGGCGCGGTGATCGCGAATGAACAAGTGAACTGAACTGACCTCTTTGACTCGCACAGATCGGTCTACTCGTCCTCTCAGCAACAGTCATCTCAAGCTCCGTCTATTTCCTCTGGCGCGTCCTCCAATTCCCCGAGATCTCCAATGTCGATGCGGCTCTAATCGGCGTCTCGGTGACCTGCGCTGTGATCCTATGCGCCTGGGGAATCGGCAGCGGCCGCGGTAACCCCGTCGAGAGCTCCCTACTCTTCGCCTACATCGTGCTCTGCATCTACCAGATCTTCACCGACTACCAGTCCTCGCATCCAACCGAGCAGATCCCTTCACCTTCGCAGGCGGGCGATTTCCCCCCCTCTCCCGCCCATCTTCATGGCTTCGTACACGACTCTCATGCACGCGCTCTCTCTTCTCCCTTCGATCATCCACGCCGGGTTCAACGTCTTCACCGCGGTCTTCAGCGCCGTCACACCATCCGTCCTCATTTCGCTCGCCTACCGCCTTTTGGTCCTGTACGCATCTACTCGCATTATTCCGGCCGTGCGTGAAGCTGGTGCTCGCGCTATTTCCCAGGAGGCTTCTCTCGACGACTCGGATGCGGCGGGGCAAGTTCTTGGCTTCATGAGCTACTTCGCCCCGTCCATCCTCATCGCTGTCTACACTAGTCTCTTGATGCAGCACTTCGCATCTGCCTCTCAAGCAATGGGAGGCAGCGGCGAGTGGTGGAGTAGCCAGGGCGGCGGTGGAGGCAATATGTGGCGATGGATCAATCTGGCCTGCACTATGGGTCTGTACGCCGTTGAGCTTTGGCTTGGAGAAAATGATGATCTCGATCACGGTCTCGCTGGACATTGGAAGACAGACTGATTTGTTATCGACTTGTCCCACCCTGGCGTACTCCAGGTCTCGCAAGGTCGTCTCGATCTTCTTTTATCTCTATCCGCGACAAGGCAGAATAGATATGCTGCGGTGGTCGTCCCATCTCCGAACCAACCCCCACTGGCATACCCGCCGCAAAACAGCAAGCACCTTGGACCGTGAATTACGGTCTTATAGCTTGTCTAGCTTGGTTGAACAAGACCAGGGACCCGACCCCATCCTCCATTCCCCGGTGTCTCCACTTTCGATTCGATTTCCCGGCGCCATCTATTCCGCATGTCCACGAGCATTTGGAATGGATCTAACCAAGGTGAATAATCCCCCTTTTGTCCGGATCGCGACTAGCACCACCACCCGCCCACCCTACCTCCACCTGGCGATTTCCCCATATGACGCTATACACGGGCGCGTTTGGATAACCCCCACCACCCCTGCCTGACCTTTGTGACACTTCGCTTTCCTCTCTGTGCATGTATAACCCATTCCCAAGTCCCGTCCCATGTCTCGAGGCAGCTTATAATACCCCCCATTTCTGTACGGGCAACGCATGGAATTTCCTGCGTCCCACGTTCCACGTCCTACGTCTCGTCATCCGTGACTTTTCTCGGAGACTATCCTATCCACCACCCTACCTACCTACCCATTTCATGACCCAATCGCAATGATACCAGACGCAATTCTCTTTGCTATTTTTCTTTTCTTACCTTATCCCCTGCCCACTTATCCCGGGCATGTTGGCTTGGCACTACAGTACACTACACTACTTATACCCTTTATCGCTTTATCCAATCTGGCTCGCTTCGCTTCGTTCAATCGACTCGACTCGACTCGATCATAATACTTCCCATGCCCGGGCCTCGGTAATGTCGTGCCGTGATCATCACCTCTTGCTTGGCTGTGCTGTGCTGTGCTGTGTACATAAAATACCCTGATAATTTCGGGCATAGTAAGAAAATAACATAAATCTGTGAGCGTGACTGTTCTTCGTATGAAACGTTCATGAAGGATCAGAATCAGACGGACCATGTCAGAATTGATCGAGGGATCTTTCCAATCATCCTGGGGATAGAGGACGAGGATGTTCGGCCTGTTATGTCATTCTATCTAGTAGACTAAGGTACCTTAAGGTAGCCTGTATGGCTATCTATCCCGGACCAACTACTGGGGTACCTTACCTAAATCCGAGGCACTGGGAAGTAAGGATAAGGAATGTTCAAGTTTTGGAGCTCTAAGTAAACCTTGATCTGACAGTGCTAGTGCTAGTAACAAGTTGAAAACCACGAACTTGAATCTATCAAGATAAAGTATACCATCCCATACATAGACCTTGGACAGTGGAACAATGAATACACAGGCAGAGGCATAGTTACTTGCTATACTACTGTTACTAGTACTGTTTCATGTATATAGACAAATTGTGAAGAGAAGAGAGAAGCAAAGAAAAGAAGAGAAGACTCGAAGATAGGTAGAGACGAGAAAGACGAAAGAAAAAAAAGGAAACAGGTTCGAACATTCACTCTTCCCCATTTCTCACTTCTTGCTCTGCCCTGCCCTGGCCCTCAATGCTTTGCCATGCCTTGCTATGCCATGCTATGCCATGCACTGCACCGCACGACAATGCCAAAGAAAAAGAAAAACAAAAACCCGAACTCATCATCCCCATAGCGCCAGGCTTTTTAAAATAAAAACCAAAGAGTGAAAAATAAAAATAAAGGAATCATGAATCCCAGCCCGTCAAAACGATAAAACATAACACAGACTCGAAGACAAGATTTCACAAATAAAACGACACAACAGAACAAAACAAAACCATGCAATGCATCTCGATGATGATAGGAAAAGAAAAGACGTAGATAGAAAGGAAAGAAAAAGGCGGGGTTCTCGGTCGTGAGTATGAGCGTGAGCGTCAGCGTCGGAATGGACATGGGCATAGGCATGGGCATGGGCATCAAATCAACCAACCAACGAATCAGTTAATCAATCAAACCCGAGAACAGGGGCTGCCCAGCCCAGCCCACGCAGTCGACACTCCCTGCCACTCCACTCAATATTCAACTTCAACTTCAAACCCTTACCCCCAACTCCCTCGCTTCATCGCTGAATAGGAACACCCCCCCCCTCACCACGGGGGGGACTAACACTCCCGTCCTTCTCCTCCTCACCCCCATCCTTCCCAAAATCACCGGGACCACTCGACCCCTCACTGAGACTACTACCCCGATGCAAAAAGCCCCCCCTCCTTAGCGGGACTGCCACGGTTCTGAAATCCCACAGAACCAGGATGACCGCTAAGAGTTCCTGGAATCTGCTGGCCGCCTTGGGAGCTGATGCTGCCGCTGCCGGCAGCGGCAGAGGCGGCGGGGTTGTTGGCTCCCGGGGATGTAGCGGTTAGGTGGGGGATGTTTTCTGGGACGGGGTGTCGGGATCCGATGCTTGTTACGTCGGAGGCTTTGCCGGCTTTGCTTAGGGCGTAGTCGCCTGAGTCGAAGTATTTGCGTTCCTGTGGTAGGGGTGGGTTGTTAGGTTGGGAGTCGGAGTAGCGGTGACGTTGGTGAGCGGGAGGGGAGGTGGAGGTGGTGGTCATCCATCACTAGGCACTAGCTGATGGAGAGGGAGTTGAAGGCTCAGCTCAGCTCAGGTCTGACTCACCTTGAGTTTATTCTGGAGAAGGTCTTTCTTGTTGGGCATTTTGCCGTAGAGGCGGAATAGGCGCTGTTCGTCCTCGGACATAGCCTGGAGGGGTCAATACAATACAATACAATTTGAATAGAGAGGTTGCTGCGACCGGTGGGGATGGGAGATGGGAGATGGGAACTCACGCTAATGTCGACCTTGTTCTGCTGATGAGGATTCATGATGGGTGGATGGATGGTAGGAGGGGAGGATGGTGGAGGAGGGAGAAGAGAAGGAGAGTTCCAAGTCCGAAGTCCATGACGGTGGAGTCCCCTCAAGCTGTGCCGCCGACTTCGATAAAGCGCGGGGTGAGTGCAGCAGTACAGCGGTTTACATTACAGTAGTCTACTGTTTATGTATTCTACAGCTAAACTATATTTATTTATTTTAAACTAAAGTATTATATATCATTAATACTTGATTTAAATAGTATTCAAACTACACTTACACTCTACCTATACCTACCCTCCACCGCCGTATCTCATCGACATCGACCCGCATCCGCACATTCCTCCATCACACTTTTCTCCCAACCCCGCCACCATGAGCCAAACGACACAAAGGGCCTTCGTGGTCGAACACCTTGACCCCGAGTTGGGCCCATGGTCCGCCCTCGAATACGGCTGCATTGCTCGCGAATCGCATGATCGTGGCGCTCGATTCCTGCTCAGTTCCGTGCCCGCAGAGCTGCAGATGCCCGCCGACCTGGCGGCCACCAAGGGCCTCGAGGTGGAACAGCGTAGTGTCGAGGATATTTTCGCTGATAAGAAGGAGCGTGTTTGTCTGCTGGACCCCGCTGCCCAGGTTGAGTTGAGTCCTGAGGATGGTGATAATTTTGATGTCTTTCTCTTTGGCGGTATTCTCGGTATGAAATGAACCCATCCAGCTTACTTTTAAATTGGGATGTGGTTATGGACTGCAATCTATGTTCTTGCTAGAACTCTCCCACGCAGCATTGAGTTTGGAGGCTAACATGTTCCTTTATTTCCTGGGTGACTGCAGGCGATGATCCTCCTCGCGGTAAGTTGCTCCCTTCTCCCAGCTGTATGGAGTACATGTATGTACTCTGTCTGTATCAGGGTATGTCTCGCTGACGACAATATTCATTTTAGATCGCACCTCAGAATTGAGGAAGAAGGGTTATGTCGGCCGCCGCCTGGGACCTAAGCAGATGACAACCGACACAGCGGTGCGCGTTACTCGTCTAGTCGTTCATGAAAAGGGTAAATTTCTACTACCTCTTTATATATACCCTAACTATGTATATAAAGCTTTTTCTAACTCACTCCAGTCCCCCTGGAACAAATCTCTTACGTCGACTACCCGGAAATTCTGATCAACGAGCACGAACGGACTGAAATGCCATTCCGCTATGTGAAAGATGCCGCTGGCCAGCCAATCATGCCTCCGGTGAGTGCCCCTCCAGCAACGCTAAGATATTTAGGACCTAGGGGCTTGTGCTGAGACTCTTCAGGGGATGGTGGATCTGATTAAGAAGGACGCCGACAAGTCCATCGATCTATTCTAAACATGCGCGCAAGGCCACCGGGCTTGGCCGAGCTGTTCCACCGGTTAGATCAAAAGTATTTATATCTGTTTCATACATATACCTTTTCTCCTCCGTACTCGTATTCATGCTCTCCTCCTATCTTTCTCCTATCTTATTCTGCTCCTCTTTAGGCCAGTGTTTTTCTATAGACCGCCCGAACAGGCAAGGGGCAGTGAGCATCATTCAGTTAAATACAGTATCGTAATGGTATAACAGTAATACCAGCAGCACATTTCAGTAATACACACATAATACCAATACCTTACCACACACCCAACAAGGCCACGCCAGCCTGTCCGTTTCGTCATCCTTTGAACCGCCTTCACCTTCACCTTCACCCTTTTACTCTTGCAACACACACTTACACTTCTTGTACCTTCATTTGCAACTCCCAAGTTTTCCGCTCTTTCCCTTCTTTTCATCCCGGCTTCGACGATCGCTTGATTCGCGCATCGTCTGCGCCGGGCCTCTGCATTTGCGTCCCATCCCTTCCCTACCCAAATACGAGCGAGTACCCTATGATTGCGACCATCGCCCACACCAACGCCAACACCAACACCAACCCGCCGAGATGATCCCCATACCTTCCTTCGCCCGTTCAAAGGGCAGCGCCTTGGTCGCGCTATCTTGGACCCTCGCTCTATTATCGCCCTCACTAGTAGCCGCCAAATCAGCCGCCGATTACTATGTTCGCGATCTTCCGGGCGCGCCGACGGATGGGCCGCTCTTGAAGATGCACGCTGGGTGAGTGATGCGCGGAGGGAAACATCATCTTCGTTATGCCTACCTACCCATGCTTCCCTTTGAGATTCCCCATACCTAAGTATTCTTTCATTCTAATCATTCTTCAATTCCAGCCACATCGAAGTCGACCCAAAATCAAACGGCAACCTATTCTTCTGGCACTACCAAAACCGCCACATCGCAAACCGACAGCGAACGGTGATATGGTTGAACGGTGGTCCGGGGTGTAGTTCCATGGACGGTGCATTGATGGAAGTTGGCCCCTACCGTGTGACGGAAAATCAGACATTGGAATATAATAAGGGTTCTTGGGATGAATTCGCCAATTTGCTCTTTGTTGATCAGCCTGTTGGAACGGGATTCAGTTATGCGGAGACGAATAGCTACCTGAAGGATTTGGATCCATTGTCGGCTCATTTTATGGTTTTTTTGGAAAAGTTCTTTGGCTTGTTTCCGGAGTATGAGAATGATGATGTGCGTGAAACCCTTTCTGAGAAGGCTGTTTGGGAGGCCAAAAAAGAAAGAAAAAACAAAGACAAGCTAATACTAATGCTAATTGGTAACAGATTTATCTCGCTGGCGAGTCTTGGGCCGGTCAATCTATCCCATACATCGCCAAAGCAATCCAAGAACGAAACAAAGCCGCAAAGCTAGAGGGTAAATCGAAATGGCCGCTCAAAGGCCTACTTATTGGCAACGGCTGGATCTCGCCCAAGGACCAATACCCGTCATACTTCGACTTCCTCGAACGAGAAGCCCTCATCGAGCAGGGAACTGATAATTACAAGAAACTCGACGCACTGAACAAGTACTGCAAGACGAAATTGGGAGAATCCGAATACAAAGACTCTCTCAATGTGGAACCTTGCGAACTCGTCCTGAGGAGTTTCCTGGATCTGACCAAGGAAGCAGGCGAATGCTTCAACATGTACGACGTGCGTCTCAAGGACAAAGTCATTAATGGCTGTGGCATGGGGTGGCCTCTTGATCTGGACGACGTGACCCCACCTACCTCCGACGAAACGATGTCATTAAAGCTCTAAACATCAACCCGGCGAAGGCATCTGGCTGGGACGAGTGCAACGGTGACGTCGGGAGTGCGATGTCAACACTGAATTCCAAGCCTGCCATCTCACTTCTCCCCGATCTAATCGAGTCCGGCATCAACATCCTTCTTTTCAGCGGCGACAAGGATCTCATCTGTAACCACATCGGAACAGAGACAATGATCCACAACATGAAGTGGAAGGGAGCCTCCGGTTTCGAAACAGCACCCGGAGTCTGGGCCCCACGCCATGACTGGACCTTCGAAGGCGAACCAGCCGGCTACTACCAGCACGCCCGAAACCTAACCTACGTCCTCTTCTACAATTCCAGTCACATGGTCCCCTACGACCAACCCCGACAAACCCGCGACATGCTAGACCGCTTCATGAAAGTTGACATCGCCAGCATAGGCGGCAAACCAGCCGACTCACGCATCGACGGGGAAAAATTACCCCAAACTTCCGTCGGCGGTCAAACAAACAGTACAGCGGCAGAACAGCAGGAAGAGAAGAAACTCAAAGAAACCGAAATGCACGCATACACCAAGTCCGGCGAGGCAATTCTAGTCGTCGTCATTATCGGAGTCCTCATTTGGGGCTTTTTCATCTGGCGCAGTCGTCGCTCGCCCAAGGGGTACTATGGCGTTCACAATACCAGTACTTCTGAGATCATGCCGCGGTCTGTTCTGGATCGATTCGGTAATAAGCGCTCAACTAATGATGTCGAGGCTGGCGATTTTGATGAATCTGAATTGGATGATCTTCAATCTCCTGGTATTGACCGTGAGCATTATGCTGTTGGTGATGTTAGTGATGAGGAAGTGGAAGCGGGGGAGAGTTATGACCTCCATGATACTACTCGTGCTGAGGGAAAACGTGGTAGTCAACAATGATTTGAAACAGCATATCGCAGGCGTAGGCAAGGGTGCCTTTCGTTTTTTGTTGCTTTTTGTGTGTGATTCCCCATTTTTGATGTGCATATCACAGAGCCGGGTCGGGCCGAGCGTCTAGTTTACCTGAGGTATGGATGGAGTCCTATACTGGGAACAGTCTTGGTACTAACTAACTAGTACGTCGGATTTGACTCGGACATTTCTATAGAATAAATGTTAAATATATCCATTGCTATGTATTATTTGGTACCCACTGCCAGTGGCAATTAATGAGTCATTTGCTCATGGGAGTATTAATTAGCGTGGTAGGCTGATCTTATCTGATCAGCCGGATCCGATCCGATATCTGGTTCCCGCCAGTGCCAGTATACGCATCGATCGTTTGAAAGCATGAACTTTGAACACCGCTTCCTGGACCCGAGCCGGGTTTTCTATTTCTATTCTTTTAAATCATGATATCCCCGGCATCTCAGACAACGTCCCCATGGAGGTGCGTCCTGGTCTAGATGCTGGGTGTTTATAAGAATTCACCTCATCATGACCAGGACCAGGACCAGGATGAGACAGTATCCTCGGCATATTTGAAGATCATTAGTCTTCGCCGCATATTAGATTCTATTCTTATACAGTAGTAGTATATCGCTGTCGAGATTCCACTGAGGCTGGTCGGCCTCAGGCCTAGCGGCATGCCAGCTCACACTTCATGTATCATGCATGCAGGACCAGGGTCTATATCCTTGGGGGTGCGGCTCTCCAGGCCTACTAGTACTAAAGCAACCAGATTGCAGACTCCTCGTCGGTTGCTGCATCGTCCACTCAAAGTCCTTCAAAGTCTACATCCCGTGAGTACATAAAGATCAACGGGTTTCTAATCAGCTAACCATGTATTCCAGGTGCTTAACTAGTGAAATTGGCGATTGGGAGAGGGAGTGGTAATGTAATATAATTGTAGCAGTGTAGATAACAGAGGTCTTTTTATCTTGCCGTGTTCTCTTCGTGGGCAGCATTACTCAAATGCATATATTCAGATCAATATGTAGGGACATAATAATTATCCTTACAAATGCCCAGCCTTCTCAGTTCACATTCCGTTACATGGGGGCGTTCAAAGTTAGGATCGAATGAATCCTTCAGCATGCCGGTCCCGTATGGAAGTTGAAGGGGAGCTGATTCCTTAAAAGGGTTTTCCCCATCATCGTAGATGAAATTTTCCACCTCTTTTTCAACCCATATAACTCTTCCATAATTGGGGGGGACATTTTTCAAGCCCATCTGACACCCCGATCGTAATCGTGGGTCTGGAGGTTGGATTCAAGTCTCGCCACGGCGTACTGTCGAATACCATTCGGCGGATCATTTTGAGCATTCTATACCAGTCCCCAACTTCATAGAATTCCAGCATAGTAAGCTCAATAGAGCGAATGGATTTGGGCAGGGTGGGGAGAAAGGAAATGCAATCATTCTCTGAGATAACAAAGCCGGAGAGTTCAAAGTGGCGCAGATTCGACCATTTTTCAACAGGGACGATATCATTCAAAGATATCATTGGGTATTCTCCAAACTCATGAATATTTACATCATATGTTGTATGCAGCCTGAATTCCTCAATTTCTGTTGCGCCACTTAGTGCATGGCGTAGACGACCATTCTGCAAAGATCGCCAGCATGCTTCAAGGTCTGACTCCAGTTCTCCGCCAACGAGGAGTGAGATATCAAGACGACGAAACCCCGGGTTCTTCAGCACCTTGACAAATTGATCATACTCTTCGCAGGGCTCGTCGAACATTCTGCAGTTAATTCCCGTGGGTAGGTAGCTGGACGTCATCACGAGCTCAGAAACAGAATTTGGTTCATTGGCGAGTACTCGCATTACAGTGCTGAAGCCCCGGTACCGTGCTCTGAGTTCAGGGTAATGGTTCCATGCGTACGCAGTAGCAGGTGTATTGTTTTTATCACGGTACAGCCAACCATACGGAATAGGGTAATTAAACCCTTTCGGGAAGGCTCGGATCATTGGGGTCGGATAAAGCGGAGAGAAGAGGTAACCGTGGGCCGCAGGTGTGATGGTGACTCTTTTCAGAGCAGGGAACTGTTTCACGCCAAATAAGAATGCTTCATAATCGCTATCACCGGCAAGAACCTCTTTTTGCTGACGCAGCAAATGCTGATAATGTTGCCAGCACTGCACCAGCGGAGGCTGAGCGAGGATCTGCTCTCTGTACACAGTATGCTCGGGCCTTTCTTTGTCGGCTCCTTTACGGCTCGTTATAACGCAAAGGTTTCCTTCACAGGCATCTTTGAACCATTTGGGACACGCGCTCTCTTTATCAGATTCATGTCGCTCCATCATTTTCTCTTTGAAGTAGCCGTAGTAACGTTCAGCCCACTCTCTGGTGTTATTGGGCTCATCTTCGTCCGAGAGTAATTCGTGGCCGTCGTCAGTTTGTTCCAATCGTTTTGGACCCCGTGGTAAGCGTGTCTCATCCCATATAACCTCAGTCACTGAATGGCGGAGCTTCTCGTGGGATGCAATATTGCGAAAGACCTCTATATTAAGTGGGTTTGCGGATAGAAAAACACGGTCAAGGCGTAGAGGGACTGCGTTGTTGAATAGAGTACATGTCAGGCGTAAAGTCTTGATATCGGCATTGGACAAGTAGAATGCGATGCAGCCCCATAGCTCGAATGGAAGGGGGGGTGAGGCTTGCACAAGTCATGATATACTAGAATTTTGGAAGTCGGTTGGGGGTATAGCGCCGCTTTATACCTCTGGCAACTGCTTCAGCCCCCACTGTTTACCGCCCGCGTTCAACACCACTGTTACCAACGTGAGTTGACTTCGTTCTTTGAGTCGGGCATTTTGACACGTTGAACAGTTGCTCGAGACCCTTTCCCAATTGGGCTCGGTGAGCTACATAATAGTTTGGACTTGTGAAAGCTGGGCGTATGTGCTCAGCCCATCCCGAGGTCCTAAATTATTAGGATGAAAATTCTGACTATAATGGACAGCCAATCTGTTTCTTTGTCCTCTGGCTTAGAATCAAGTATCTGTGCGTGCTGAAAAAAAGCGGATAAAACAATTCGCACTTCTAGGTGTAATTTAATAGCCGTACATCCTAGGAGTTTAGACTGCGGAAAGACAAACAAACTCAGATGGATTTTCCCCGTATCTATTGAGATTGCTTCGTATGTTTTTGACATTCTGTATTATAGATGCCCGGCGTCTTTGTAATAGCGCTTTGCACCATCATGAAGCGGAATTGGTGTTTGAGCCATCTTGGTAGGATCAAGTGGATAGGTTAAGGGAGACCTGTTAGGTTTGAGGTGCATATATTGACCTTCAATCGCGGACCTAGTCTCCACTAGGCACCAGGTCAAGAGATGAGCGACATCCTCCGGTAGATCATTACGAACCAATATGACAAAGTCCGAAAAGTCGAGCGTATGGAGGGGCTCAGTGAGGGTGGACCAGAATCCCGCCGGGATAGGATAGGTCGTCAGATTCGCCGTATTAGGGTACTTGTTGCCGAAGCGCGCCAGAGCCGCTGGCTCACTGGCCAAGGCATCGTATTTGCGATCCTCCATGATATCCGCCCACCAAGGCGTCATGATAGCCTCCTGTAGAAGCGCATCAGCTTCACCAGTCTGAACGAGGCCGATCGCCTGCTCAGGACGATGTGCCGTGACATACTTGCCACCCCAAGACTCGAGAACGTCAGCCGTAATACCATGGCATTCCATGAAAGCATAAGCTGTGAAGCCTATGAAGTTGGTACCGTCGTGGGTAGACGTGGCAATGCGCAGGGGAGGACGTTTCTGGCGCAAGTCCTCAAATGATTTAATCCCATACTTGGGGTGGATGGCGAGAAGCATACGGTCATTTTGCGGTAGCACACCAAGAGCACGCAACGAGGGCATAGGACCGTGAGGGGCAAAGATGCCTTGTCCGGTGAGAGCAGTGCTCATCATCTGTGCGGGCGTCACAATGGCAAGCTGTGCCTCTCCGCGGAACACCTCCAGAACTGCTTCAATGCCGCCATAGCGTACATTCCAAATCCCCACGCGACTATCCGGCCCTGCTCGATCGCAAAACTGCTGCGTCAACCACGAGCATATGCGATGGAAGTTGGCCATGCCCCAGTCGCCCACAAAGTTCAATCTAATGGACCGTTCAAGTCGAGGGCCGCGACCTTGCTGTTCGATCATGTCCTTCACATTGGGCGTGGCCATTTTTGCCTTTCAATTGGTAGTTAGATGATAGGGTAGGATTGGACCTTACAACCTTTTATTTTTGAGAAGAACCCGACAGATGAAATTTCAACCCAATAATAGTGATTCGAATCATTAAGATGATCGACTAGTCAAATACTACGTGCGTACCCTTGGCATTTATTCAAAGGCAAGTCTATATTGCCGCTAGTTCCGTTCGTTCCCCGACACATGAACTGCTCCGACTCGGAGGTCCAATTTTCTCACTACACACTTTCTGCATCCTAAGGGATATCTAGCCGTATCGTAGAAATTATGAAGATTCAATGATTTTCAAGCTTACTGTGCTCTATCAAGACAATAATTTCGAAGTTGACGAACTAAATAAGTGATTGAGAATGTTCTCAGCGGCCACTTGATGTCGCACGGGTTTTGGGTCGGGTTTTGGGTACCCGCGGGTTTACGTGATGTAGGAATAGATACTAGTAAATTCAAACCTAAGACATGACTGTAATAAAATCTACATTGAGTGCTCAATATAAAGAAATTTATTTTCAACTCTGACGGTATGGACTATCAATATGGCGTCGTATTTATCGTAATTGTGATTGACGTGTTGGGGTCAGTTCATGTATAGTATTGAGCTATTATCGAATACTTTCGTGGACTTGGACGTTTAATCTTCTGTATGTGAATAAATTAATCCTTTTTATCCGCGACTGTTGTGAGACTCCACATAGTTATAGTAAGTTGAACTGTACTCTTTTACTGGATTCTGCGAGAGCTATGGTATAACTACTTGAGGGTCTCTAGTCATACCGAGGTAGAAGGACTGGATTTTGGATGAGTTCATCTTGGAGACATAGTTTCTATGATGGTAGGAGATAACTGAGTAGGGCTGGAGATACAACAAGCAACATGATCTCATAATTTATATCTTCAATCTCGTTAAATTACCCCGATGTTTATTGAAATACAAATTCGCCAAAAGACCCCTAAACGCCCCAGCCTAAGCCTTGATATCCCCCAATTTTTTTGGTGACTATTTTCAATAACTATCCCTGAGCACTTGAGCACCCTTTAGCAGGAGTAACTTCAGGCAAGACTGAGCATAATTACTCTTTGAAAATCATGTCAAAAGTATCCGTGAACTGCCTTTAACTTCATTTGTATGTTCTCATTTTATTTATAAAATTTTGAGGGATTTTTCTTCAAACTAAATCAGGTGTGTTGTGGGCGGCACAGTGTGATGTTGAAAAAGTGTTAAATTATCAAAATTTGATCGGACTCCGAAACCCCAAACGCCGCGATGTGTGGAGACTTCAGTGGAGACTTCCAGTGGGTGGGCTGCTCACTTCTCTGGCAAGGTAGTAGTGTAAACACGGACAAAAAGAAACAAAATTGAGACCTATTCTTTTTAAAACAGAGAACCTTACAAAGCAAAATTTGATCCCTGTTCATTTTTAACATCAAAAGCTCTCCGCTGGTTCCCCGGACACCCGGGCCCGAGCCGACCTGATTAAACTAGCTGGTGGAATGGTTCAAATAGTTCCAACTTCCAAGTGGGCACTTGAACGACAGAAATCCGGTATATTTCTTAATCTACGGGTACCTCACCTCATTCCTCTTTTATTCTGTCTGCGCTGCCTTTCAAGGACTTCTGTTCACTATGACGACAATGTTGGCTTTACATGCGCAAGACGCCTCATCTGGGCTGGAGCTGAAGCAGCTGCCCATACCCTCGCTAGGACCTGAAGATGTACTGATCAAGGTATACTCGGCGGGAATTACGCCAGGTGTAATAAAGCTGCTAAAGATGGGCCAGTCGGCCGTTCCAACCACTGTGGGCCACGAGGCCGCCGGTGTTGTAGAAAGTCTTGGTGACAAGGTCAAGGACGGCTTGAATGTCGGTGATCGCGTGCGCCTCCATCCCATTCTGTCATGTGGTAAATGTTCCCAGTGCCAGCTCGGGTTCGACTCCATGTGCGATGAGGCGGCACAGATGGGGTTTGCCAAGTTTGGAGGAAGGACAGGCCTCTATGCACAATATCACGACGGGGCGCTCGCCGAGTATGTCCGTGTGCCGCGCAGGTTCGTTGATCGCCTCCCTGACAACGTTTCCTTCGACATTGGTGCCAAGTTACACGATGTTGCAACTGCCTTGCGTGTCCTCAAGTTGGCTGAGGTTAACCAGCCCAACTCGACTATAATTCTCACAGCACCAACAGGAACCATGGGCACGGCAACACTGAAGCTGGCAAAGTTCTTCCCCAATATTAAGAAGATAATCCTTGTGGGACGGAGAAAGGAACGTCTTGAATCCATCAAACACTTGTCCGAGGTTGAGACTGTTGTTTTTCCCATCTCAGCACCACCCCAAGATTCCAAGCCTTCACCGGGGCCTCCAGCGGGAGCCCTCTCTGGCCCTCCTCTGCCCTCCCCGATCGTCCAGCAACTAAAGGAGCTGGCACCGGAGGGTATCTCTGCAATCATTGATTACATTCCCGCTGGACCAACTCTCGGCCAGATCCTACCAGCCCTAGCTACCCGTGGAACCATTGTCCATATGGGCGGGAATCCCACCCCTTTGCAGGTTCCCCTGGTTTTTATCATGAGCAAGGCCTGGCGCCTTGTGGGCAATCGTGCCCACACTAGGGATGACGCTCAGCAAATCCTGAATTGGCTACAAAATGAAGAGTTTGTCATATCCGACCTCATCACGCACCGTTTCCCGTTAAAGGAAGCTCATCGTGCTATCGATACCATAGAGACACGGGATGAGGCTCTATGGATGACCATTATCGAAGTTATTCCAGAGAAAGTCTAAGCGAGAAGCCAGTATAACCGATTTTACCCTTGCGGAAGGAGAAGAAGACCAGGAAAGAATCATGTTATGCAATTATTGCCCTCTATTTTCCTCCATTATGTATCTTGTGGCAATGAACAACCTCTTGTTTCGGCAATGAATTCTATTTCACTTCCTGAGAGACTTACTTAGAAAGGTTATCACTCGCCCTTGGATGCAGTAGAATGTAGAAGCCAATCTGTCCATCTATTTCGTCAAAATTGAATATTTTCCGTCAACTCGAAAAAGTACTCATCCAATTGAAAACCAAAAGGATGTTTAGCAATCCTAATGACCAAAAGATAAAACATGAGAAGTTACGGCGGAGCCTATAATTTGGTGGTCTAACATTTGAATTAGGAACAGAGTGCGACACGACTCCAATTGTCTTCATTCTGGCTGCCAGATTTCCAGGTGATGTCTATTCTGGATATTAGGAAGCGGCGTCTTTCCTGATCGCTTCCACCATCTCCATTGAGGTCTCACTGGCCATTTTGCAGTAGGGGGCCTTGACCGATGCTATTTCGCTTGTCAATATCACAACGTACTGACACGTGCCCTTGCTAATGTTCGTGTATGCACAGCCTTTGGGAATGCAGATGTAGTCCCCCGGGTGCATTTCAATAGTGCCACGCTGAGTTACAAGGGTCCGAGAACCCTCTAGCTGGTACTGTATAGCGTCGGCTCGACGATGACGGCTATAGACCTTTCCGTCTGTCTTGTCGAGGTTGACGTTACCGATCCAGACGGTAGCCGATTTGTATAACCACTCGGGGTGCTGTTGCTGGCTACCAGATACGCGTGGAGCGGTAGCGCGCTGGACAACAAGAGCTTCCCCAGACCTAGCGAACGATGTGGATTGAGCAAGAGACGGGTCGAGTAATAAATCCTCGTCAGCCATGGACACGACTATGTCGCACCCACGGGCTCCAAGACATTCGGTCATCATCTCGATGGCGGACGGGGTGGCCTTCTTCCAACCAGGAAAAGGTCCTTCTTTCTTTACCTCGGATCGAAGGGCGACATGACCAAGATCAGTCACCGGGGCGATAATATAGAAGAGCAGATGAACCTCCTTGCGGCCGAAATTGTCATGAGCCACGCCAACGGGTATCCTTGAGAAGTCACCGGGGCGCAGCTCGACACTACCTAGCTCCGTCATCAATGTGCGCTCCCCGGAGACCTGGAGGGAAATCTCGTCGACGTCAGCGTTGCGGTGGTAAAAGGGCTGACGGGCATTCATCTGCTGCCACTCAAGACGCAACGTATCGCCACAAAAGATATCTTTGGGGGGTGAGAAGTCGGCGGCAATGTACTCGTTTGGAAAATGGACTGCCTGGAGCAGACTATGCTCCCGCCACATCTTCATGGCTGTCTCGGGTGGTGGCTGCAGCAAGAGGTTCTCCCGCCGAGGGATGATGCGAATGTCATCGGCCAAGGGCCAGGCATCCAGTAGTTCAGTGACAGTAGTCATGTCCAAGATTATGATTGAGGAATAGACAATAGATCTGGCACTTCCCTTAGGGTGAGGATGGCTCTATACAAGCTAGGGGTCGGGGTATGGTTGATATATGAGCATAAGTAACAGGGGGCAGAAAACTAAACAAAACGAGAGGCAAAGTACTTGGCGAATTATGACAGAAGTTGCATTTGACAGAGCCAGTGCCTCATCATGTCCAGTAGAAAAAACTCAGAATACGCGGATTTGCCGTCCTCCCGACCTGACCGGTAGGTACAGCCCCTGTATTCGCTTTCTCGGGGCAAAGCCGGAATCCTCGGACTTCGGCCTTTGGAGATGATGAACATCCGCATTGACGCAAAGACAACAATCATGTGAAGGTAGTATTTGCAGCGATCAGCTATGCCCGATGGCGGTAATGGACCATTTTTGGCACCATTAACCCCGATATACCGGCCCTGCCACCGTGTATGATACGTTCCGAATACACTGACACATCTGCTCTACATGGATTCCGCTATAGTGCGCGGAAACACCTCTTCTTGATAAATATCATGTTGGTAAATTCGCGAAATACATTCACCAAGGCCCGTTATCAACCACCCCCGACTTTTCTCTCGCGGAACTATCATATACGGCTGTCCACGGCAAGAGAATATCATGATGTCCCCAGGAATCTCTCTACAGCAGACAGCTGAGAAAGCAGCGCTTGAGCAAGCATACTATCGGAAATTTGTGGACGGCTCTCATATTCTGCACTACCACAACGTCCTCGATGCATACGGCCATCTCTCCTTCAGACACCCCTACAAGCCCGACGTGTTCGTCATGTCACGGAACCTTGCACCTGCGTCTATCTCCTCGGTGGTTGACCTCGTTAGCTACAGAATTGAGGACGCCGAACCGCTCGACCAGGGAGCCGCCAAGGGGTACGCTGAGCGTTTGATTCATTCTGAGATATATAAGCGACACGCTCATGTCGGAGCTGTCGTTCATAGCCACTCGGAGGCCGTGGTACCCTTTACCATATCCCAAGTGCCTTTGAAAGCCTGTTACCATATGGCACCATGGCTTGGGACCGACAGGCTCAGCGGCAATGGCCCGGATAGCACGGCGCCACCTGTCTTTGATGTGATTGAGCATCTGCGTCCTAGCGATGTGCCAGACATGCTCATCAAATTATCTCATTTGGGCTTGGCGTTGGCTCAATGCTTTGATGGTGGTAATGCAGTCACCTTGATGCGCGGTCATGGCATGACAATTGTAGCCCCTAGCATTGAGAGCGCAGTGCTACGGGCTGTCTATACTCAGAAGAACGCCGCCATCCAAACTACAGCGCTGTTGATGCAAGCCGCCTATTTCGGGAGTGGCACGAGAACGCACACTGCAAGTAACATTGACTCTGCTGAGGTCAATGCCACCACTACTGGTGAGGGGATCCATCTTCATTATCTCAGCCCTCAAGAGTCTGCTGCGGCTACGGAAGCGACGATTTGGTCCGTTCAACGGCCTTGGGATCTATGGCGTAAAGAGGTGGAGGCGTGCGAGTTATACTCGAACTCCATATAGTCGATTTTACAAACTTGCAAGGACAACGTCATTGCTGGTCCTTTCCTGTCGCGGCACGATGTGATGATCGAAAGTAGTTTGAAATCTTTGTGTCCTGTACTGGAGTTGCTTATGCTGATGGTAACAACATGCTGTGGCTATATTGGCCACCGGCTAGTAACTTTTAGAGCATCACTCATATTTGCTTATGCAAGTGAAGTGATATTTTCCAATACGTGCAACTAACGCCTCGGCAAGCTTCAAGCTTGCTTGCCTTTGACAACCTGGGCAGCACAATACAAATTGTCGTAACCCTCTGTTAGTGAAAATTTTTCACTGGTTTGGAATGAAGAGAAGAGTATATAGCTTTGATGTTACGACACGGGCCCGAGAGATCTGTACTAGTAAAGACTGTCTCGGATAGGTTCGTCTGAGGAACTGACACCGGGATGCAGCCATACCCAGTCCGCAAGGGTTCTGCAAGCAGGGCATTCTACCCGTTGTATCCCCGTTTACCAATATGTAGTTCGAATTGTGAAAATACTTGCCCGTTGTAACTTTCAACTGAAAAGCAAGACTACTACAGCGAACTGCATTCGTCGACCGCCGCAAGAACATATTTCTCTGTAGGTTGAAAATGGCTTCCAACCCTCCTAGTCACTGCTGCACCTATGGATGCAAACACGAGTAAGTTGAGCTTGAGTTCTGTCTATTCTATTCTCAATATTCCTACTTGAATGTCTCCCAGCCCCCTATGATCAGGGCTTGTCAATCTTGCTACTCTCTCATTACATTGCTCTGCAACTACTCGAGTCACGGGCTGACTGGTGTCGGTTTTCATCAGAGGAGAGCCTGTCGGATCAATGAGTAAGATATCAGGTGGAATCAATGCTTATCTTGCGGCCCCCGCTGCCGGACAGGAAAAGAAGTTCGGGACGGCATTGTTGTATATTCCAGACATCATGGGCATTTGGCACAACGCCAAGCTCCTTGCCGACCAGTATGCCGCTCATGGCTATCTCTGTCTAGTTCCCGACATTTTCCTCGGTGATCCCGTCCCTATAAATCGACCTACTGACTTTGATGTCAAGAAATGGATCATGAAGGGTTCTGACGGGAGCTCCCCTCACACACCAGAGATTGTCGATGCAGTTGTGAAGGAGGCCATTTTGTATCTCAACAGTCAGCATGGCGTTGTTAAGCTAGGTGCTATAGGGATTTGCCTTGGAGCTAAGGTCAGTACCTCTCTCCAACCTTATTATTCACGTCAAAGATGACCGACCATCCAATTTTGCAGTACGTTGCTCGTCACTTCAGCTCTGGGATAGCGGTGGGCTTCATTGCTCACCCTGCATTTATGGAGGAAGTGGAGTTGGAAAACATCACAGGGCCTCTCTCTATCGCTGCCGCTGAGGATGACGATATATTCACCATCTCAAAGCGCCACAAATCGGAGGAAATTCTCTTTAATAAGACTCCCAAGTTCCCGTACCAGCTGTGTCTGTACTCGGGTACTACTCATGGATTTGCAGTTCGTTGCGATCTGAGCATTCAGGAGCAGAGATATGCCAAAGAACAGGCGTTTTTGCAGGCTATTAACTGGTTTGATGAATATCTTCTCGGCTATCTTGGATAAGTGCTCGAAAGATTGGGTCTGTTATTTGACACATGTAGTTATATACGCTGTCTTGAATATTGTAACGAACTTTAGTTAGTTGCTACCTTGTTGCCTTGATACCTCGATCGACCCCGGCACAACCATTCTGTACCTAGTTCCTGCTTCATCTGATTCCTCCTATTTTATCTAAGCTTATTAGTTTGGTCGAACCGCTGATACACGTTGCCTGGTATTCATTCGGCGTACTTGAGGTGTCAACAATCATATAATCTGAGATTTCAGTTTAGCTAACCATGAATACTATTTCTCGGACCGAGAAACACCATTCTACTTCGAACTGAGTTCGAAATACCTTTTCGCTGTTAATATACAATCACCTTAAAGTAATAGGCACTTAATAGTTATGGGTTTTTGGTATTTAGGATGACCGGGAACTACTAACGTGTTTTACCTACGACTCGGCCACCCTGGAACACCATATTAAAAACGATAAATTACAATTCGATATCTCAACAACCATGATATTTAGAAGCTCAATATTGAAGTTCTATAAACTTAGATATGTTCTTGTCATAAAAACATACTGGAAATAGCTTACATATATATATATGTAGCGAAATATACCTATTTTAGATAAACTACATAAATTACAATGTATTAACTGGTAAGCCAATAAAACAGTCGATAAAATTATTTTAAAATAAAAAATCCTGATCTCTATCTTGAAATAAAAGCATGTGATAGAATATAGCCTGAAAAAAAGTATGATTGTGGAGATATCGAGTTTTCATGTATCGCTTTTAACATGGTGTTCTAGGGTGGCCGAGTCATAGGTAAAACACGTTACTACGTAGAGCCGTAGATTACCTTTGTTGACAAATAAAATTCATTCCTTGTCAACAATGTCAACAAACTAGCCAGCAGATTCAGAAACGCCTAAAACCAAATACCGTAGCGGGCTTTGGGGGCTTTGGGTCGGGTTTTGGCGGGCTTTGGGAAATGAGGCTTTCCCGTTGTTTCCCCGATGCCGTCATAGTTTCCTTTTGGCGTTACCCTGCCACCTGCGATACATAGAAGTCCAAATAGATACACGTTGTCGCTTTTGCTTGTCATATCACCTGTATTAATTCTCGCTAGGCCTATGAAGAGCACATAAAAGAACCAACTTACATCATCTCCGGCGCAAGGTGGGCCTGCTTCGCTGAAAGTTCCATGTAAGTGACCCGAACTAAGTTTTATATAAGCCGTTTCTGAATGAAGTCTCATGTCTCACGAGGCCTTTTCTCTCTACTTGATTAGGGCGTAGAAATCTCTGAAATCTCTGGAAGGTCGCAGAACATTGTCCAACGTCTATATCCCGATCCCCGAGGTGGACTCGAAGCTTCAGATTTGATATTTGTCTACGCTATTTATCTCACCCTTATCGCCGCTTCCACAAATCGCACTCTATCAAATATGGCGGTCTTCTTAAACGACTCGGACATTGGTCCCGCCAAGGCGACTCTGTTGTGTGGCATTGCCGGAGTCGTTCTGAGCTCTATATTTTACAGCATGAACACAACCATCAACTATTTGACCTTCCCGACAATTCTTCTGGGTCAACCCCCCCAACCCAGGATCAAAAGCCGCTAGTGACTTCTTTGTCCCCGCTATGGATGTCCCAGCGAGCAGCGTGCCGCACCTGAATCGACAGTGGCAGGAGATATACTTTCGAGGACACCACGTCGGCCCAGCGTTGGCCATCATAGGAGGAACTGTGTTCAGCACCGCTTCATACCTTGCTGATCAGGGGTTTGCCAAGCAAGTCTTCGCAGCGGCTACTGTATCATCATTTGCCATCATTCCCTACACCCTTTTTTTCATGGTCTCGACCAATGACGAGCTTCATCGGCGCTCATTCGCCATCGCGAAAGATCCGTTGACTTCGGATAACATGGATGAAACAGAGACGGCTATTCTACTGTCAAAATGGCTTTCTTTGAACAAGACTCGGGCAAAAATTTCATTATTAAGTGCATGCCTCGGTACCATCGGTATCGTACTAGTAGTCTTGAGCTGAACAGCTAGTTATTTTGAACAATGCCTGAAGTATATACCACCATTGAAAATTTGATAATATCACACTACCGCTAAGACAGTGCGCTCTGTAAGGAGATTAGATCACTGATTAACTAAAGGAATTACAGTTCCTTAGAACGCTACTACTAGTTAGTACATGGTGTAGCCGAAGTCGAGCGCGTTTAAATCCTCCTAGTTCATTTGATGCGACATTTCTCTTTTTACGCACTGGCAGCGTATCCAGCAGCTACTAGTGACAGCTCGAGTAGTAGGAGCATATATAGTTATCGACTACTAGTAGTATCCTAGTATATCTGCATGTTCTTGCGTTGCTTACCTAACCACCACGTGCCTTTTTCTATTTTACTGCAGTACAGTACAGTATAACAGAACAAGAATATTTTCAATCTAAAATAATAGTAGTTAGTGCTAGTACTAAATTTTAAACTTAGTCCATAAATTAAACCCCCCATTATCCGATACTACTGTCTTGCTACTTTATTGCTACTATTGTGCTACTATTGACACCCCTTCTAGTAAGAAGCTAATTGCGGCCAAAATTTCCCCTCCACCCACTTTCCTCCGCACGACCACCACCTTCACCCCTCACCCTCACCACTCACACTCACCCTCACTTCCACCCTCCCCACACAGCCATTCCCACCATGGCGCAACCAACCCCCAATTCACACCTCACTTTCCTCTCAGACCTAACACCCCCCCTCCCTCGAACGAACGTGGCTCACATCCCCACACCCCACCCTCCCAATCGTCGCAACATGCAGCTCCGACAAAACAGTCCGAATCTACTCCCTCACAAACTTCAAGCTCCTCTCCACAATAACCGGAGGCCACAAACGCAGCGTCCGCACGGCTGCCTGGAAACCACACATATCCGGCGAAAGCGTTCTCGCCACGGGCTCCTTCGACGCAACAGTCGGTATCTGGAGACGATGGGATAATTACGGCACCAACACCACCGAAGACCACACCAACCTTACAGATGACGGTTTAGTCGACGCCGACGCTGACGCCGAAGATGAAGAATGGCGCTTCGCCGTCCTCCTAGACGGCCACGATTCCGAAGTAAAATCCGTCTCCTGGTCTCCCTCAGGAATGTTACTCGCAACCTGCGCACGAGACAAATCAATCTGGATCTGGGAAGATCTCGATGACGGCGATAACAATTTCGAAACTGTCGCCGTGATGCAGGAACATGGTGGTGATGTGAAATGCGTTTCTTGGCACCCTGTTGAAGAGTGTCTTGCGTCTGCGGGATACGATGATACGATTCGGCTTTGGAGGGAGGATCTTGATGATTGGGGTCAGGTTGCTTGTATCAAGGGCCATGGGGGGGACGGTTTGGTTTTTGGATTGGGAGGGTGTTGATACTGCTCCTGCTTCGCCTGCAGCAGCAGCAGCTTCTACAGCAGCTTCTGCAGAGCTGCAACGCCAATGGCGTGAACAAGTTGCCCTCTCCGGTCCAAGACTAGTCACCTGCTCCGACGACCGCACAGCGCGAATTTGGCGCCGAGTTCCGAAAGAAAGTGCCAGTGCGGCGGCGCTGTCTTCTGCCGCGACGGGAATTCCGAGTATCATTCGGCCGACGGGCACGGACGAGAATTGGGAGGAAGATGCTTTGCTTCCTCATGCGCATGAGTTGGCTATTTATGCTGTTGCTTGGAGTCGGCGGACGGGAATTATTTCGTCTGTTGGTGCTGATGGGCGGATTGTGCTTTATGAAGAGCGATTCGTGGAGGCTGGGCCTAATACCTCTGATGCTGGTGCTGGTGCTGATGCTGATGCTATGGATACGACTGATGACGCCGCTCCGTCTTCGTCTTTGCGGACGGAGTGGTCGATTGTTGCAGTTGTGGATGGGGCGCATGGGATTTATGAGATTAATCATGCGGCTTGGGCGAAGAGGGCGGATCGGGGTTCTGAGAGTACTGCTACTGGTACTAGTGAGGAGGAAGTGCTCGTTACGACTGCGGATGATGGGAGTGTCAAGGTGTGGAGTTTCCAGCGGTAAATGGATTCTGTAAATGAGATGGATGGGATGGGATGCATATATCATGTCATGACTTAGAGAACTGGATCGAATTAAGGCCGCTTGCACTCTCCACTGGCAAGATCTGGTATAAAAATGAATGTTGCGGAGTTCAGGTTGTCTCTGAACGCACTGGCAGACACTCACCAACCTTGGAACATAGTACTAGTACTAGTACTGCCTGTCTAACTACATTCCAACTACAATATAAAATACAAATAAAAGTAAACATTAATTGAGTGCTTGATATAATCATCCTTATTACCGCGCATGAATAAATTGAATTGCAGAACCTCAGTTAAAAACCGATCTGATCTGATCATCTAAACGCCTATTGCCTATACAAAATGGCGCAATACCTGCCAATCTGCCCGATCATCCCATTCCAGCATATTCACTTAAAAAAACTAAACTTGAAAAACTTCAAAGAACGCCCCCCGATCCCATTAGAAAAACAACCTATATGTATGATAGATGGATGGATGCAAAATCCAAACCAAGCTAAACGCCACGCCGGGCCCATTACTGCGAAACGCCTTCTTCATATACACGTTCATAAACAGCTCCATGACAGAGCCAATCCACCTCCCGAACCTTCTCAAGCTCATCAACCAGTTTGCCCACCTCATTCACAAACTCAGGCATACCGGCACCCGCGAGACTCTGGCTAGCTGTTGTCGTTGCCCGGACTCGCTCCGAGGCACTGGATGCACTGAGACGGGAGAGGACGTGGCTCCGTAGGCGTGAGAGCATTAACTTTGCGACGGGGTCTGAGAAGCTAGGCGCTGATGGTGCATTTCCGTTTCCAACCCCATTCTCAGCGAGTCGAGCGAGATCCGGATTGATTTGCACGACCTGCGGGGCAGCGGTAACGGCGGCCTTAGCAACAGGAGCCAGGACCCGACGAATCGTCGAAGAAAGTTGTGCGCTGGCATTCGGTGGCATTGGGTGTGTGGATTCCAAAATGGACTGGACACGCTCGGCACTTATTTCATTAAAGTCCAGAGACATGATACGGTCAGCCTCGGCCTTCCAATGCGAGCGAGCATCTCTTTTCAACAAATTCTTGGCCGTCAGCAAGATCGACGCCGTCGCAACGAGTTGGAATGCTTTGGCGTGTAATCGCTCCAGGCGCTGCTGATCAAGTACCAATGTCTCGGGAATTAGATCCTCAGAGACAACGGCGTTACTCAGGACCAGATCTGCGAGACCGTAGGCGTAGACTCGTGATGCGGATGGTTGAGGCTCGCCGTGGATACTCTCCGGATCTCGTTTCTTCATTTCATCGATAATCATCTTGCGATTGGTTCGCCAGAAGCGGCGTGTTTTGCCTAGACTGATTGAGCCATCGGTAATGCCCTTCTCAAAGGTTCGCTGCTCGTAACCCGGTGCTTCTTGGATCAGTTGAGGTGCTGCAACTTGTATCATGAAGTTCGTATGATCTAGCGAAAGTAGATCGATGATTCCCATCAGTCGAGCCAGCTTGTCAATAGCGTCTCCTGAGGTGTCTTCGGCAAAAGCTTTAACTGCGGGATCACGGTATGGAGCGCATAGACGGGGCAAGATATTGTTCATGAAATCGAAAAAGTTCTCATAAGAGAAGCTTCCCGCTTTGCACTGGCTTTCAACCAATTTTGGATCCAGCACTTCGCTGATGAGTACGTAAAGGGAGTTGCCGGGTCGCAATGAGCGCAACAGTCGGTCCTGAATGACAGTGGCCATGGCAACAGTCCAGCCGGTGCCATGTCCTGCTTCGACATCCTGCCTCATTTGCTCACACATATGTTCCATAATTCTTTCTCGAGGACCTGTGTATGAATTTTCCTCAATCTTAAACTCTTTATTTAAAAGCAGTTCATGAACTAGCTCTCGGTTATCAGGCAGAGCTGTGAGGATCTTGGTAAACCGCTCGTGCGGCGATGTTCGCTGCTTCTCGAGTTCGTGAAGAACCGTGGAATCAATATTGTTGAATGATTCACTTATGGGAGATGTGATGTTTTCAGACAAAACATCCGTTGACGAAGCTTCCGCCACTTCGGCGGATCGAGGGATAGCTTGCTTGGAGGAAGACCGCCTCTTCTCTCGCTTTGCCTTCTTGAGCGAAACCCGGATCATTTCCATGGCACGATCGGATCCCGTGAGTCGCTTGAGTCGGGCTAGAAGGAGAATCTGGTTCTGTCGGATACCCTGTCGATAATCTTCCGCAACGCCTCCAGCTTGATCGTCTTTGACGGTCTGCCAGATGAGCTCCAATTCAACAAACTGCGCGAGCATAATCTCAATCAAGACGGTTGAATCATGCGACTTCCAGGCATGGAAAGCCGAGAAAAACACATTATGCGACTCGCTTAATATTTGGAGATCGGCGGTGATCACTGTCGGCGAACAGCAACCAGACGAAAGCAGCGCAGTGACCTGATCAAAGGCCACGAGGAGCTCCCGAGCCTTGGAAATGAGATCCTGCTCCTGTTCACCATCACCACTCAAAACCTCGGCCGGATGCGTGACAATCAGATAGCTACTGAGGAACGTGCGCACCGCACCACGCTCCCCCATCGCTCCACCTTCCATATCCTGCAGCCCGCATAGTCGAAGAACCTTGGTCATGGTATCCAAAACATCCCGGTTTGAAAGAAATGCGCCCACCTTCTCAAAAGACATTTCCCGCACCTGTTCCACAGACAACTTCAACGCCTTAAACTCCTGCATTACAGCCTTGGCATGATGGGTCCTCCAAACACGCTGGATCTTCCTCGCCGCCGCATCTCGCGTCAGCGACTTGGTCACCACACGCGACATCTTCTTCTCTTCCGTGACAGGCAAACTACTCGTACGCTGACGACGATGAGTCTGCTGATAAGCCGTGCGTCTCTTCTCCGCCTCAGCCAATTTCTCTGCCATTTCCAGACGAATCCGAGCGTACTCGGCGGCCTGTTTATCCCGCTGATCTTCAGCTTTCTTCTTCGCCCGTTTAACCTGGTCCTCGCACTTAGCCGCAATGTCTGCAAGGAGGCGTTCCCGGGCTTGCTGGGCAGCCAGCGCTCGTTCTTCGATATGCAAGTTCCGGGTAGCCGCCTTTGAAAGCGCGGCGCGCAATCTCACCTTCTCTGCATGTAGGGCACGATCGGCCAGTCGCGCCTTGCGGGTTTCTATGATGGTGGTTCGGCGGAGGTGTTGGGCGATATTGTCGGCGCTTGTGGAGCCGTTCGATGAGGCGGAGTGGATGGATGAAATGGAGCTGCGGCGCGAGGAGGCGGTTGAGCCGCGACGGACTTTACTGCTGCGGCGGTAGAAGCGTGCGGCGATGTGTGGTGGGAGTGTTAATGGTGGTGCCGCGGGTTCGTCGGAAAGCATTTCCACGTCTGGCTCGCTGACCGTTTCTGGAGAGAGGGGGGGTTGGACCCGCATCGGGGAGTTGGATTTCGATATCCGAGTTGCGACGCATCTCGGACAAAGTGAGTAGTGTAGCTCGGGGCGAAACTGCGGTGCTGTGCTTTGCTGGTGGTAGGTAGGGTTGGCCTCCTAGGCTGAGGGGCAACAGTTCGGACTGATAAGCGATTAGGGAAACAAGGGGATAGTCAGAATCGCAGAGGCGCAGTTGTGCGTAGGAATAGATTCAGTGTCGTAGTGGAGATCTTATACTCGTATGAATGTTCAAGATCTTGAAAGGAGGAGGAGTATGGACGCCTGAAACTGGGGGGGAAGGAGTATGCTCGTGGCTGTGGTTGTGCTCGTGCTCGTGTCCGGCCGGGGTTGCGGAGGGATCTGTGCAGTGTTTCAGAGTGAAGGAGAAAAAGGAGAGATTAAATCAGGGAAATGCAGGAGAAACAAGGGATAGAAAGAAAGCAAGTTGACCGGACTCGAACTCGCCAGCACGAAAACAGTCAAGCAGTCAAGCAGAGTTCCCCGTTGTAGCAGATGGAATCCCACCGCATGCAGCAGAAGACGTCAACAATGCTTAGCTAAGCTGATGTCGAGCAGATTAGGAAGTATAACAATGTATAAGTAAGATACTCGAAGGTTTGTAAGAATGTATTATATTATACTAGTATCTAATCTAAATTTATTCAAGCTAACGGGAATACCATATTCTAGTTACTCTTACCTAGGTGCTGCTGTCTAGTTGATCCTCGTGTTTCTATAGTTCGGCTTCCCCAAAGGTTGCAGATGCAATTAGTCAGACAGCCACGCGTGCTTATTATGGGGAATATGTACTAGCACTTACGAAATAAATATATGTACTGTACTAAGTACTAGTATGTAGCACATGCTTGGCTGTTTCAGATCACCTGTTTGATCGTCATGATCTCATCATTTCCTCTCATCTCATCCCTGACAATCATATCCACTGGTGCTGACAGCTGACCACCGGCCGTATATTTACACTTTACATTTTACATTTTACATTTTAATCACGATATACCAGGCTGAAAGATCCCATTTGAAATTCTCTTTTAAAAGTAAAATACACGCCGGTGTGATAAAAAAGGTTCATTACATGCTCATAGCGCCAACGGCCCCAGGACGCTCTGGAGAAAGCGAAACGCCCAGCCAAATTCCTCCCTTCCCCAACATTTGCACTGTCATTTCAATCAACGCTTGCGAGCTCCACCAGGTCGAGGCTTCATCTCATCCGGCCCCACAGGGTGCAGCATCACCTTGTTTGTAGTCTGCGGAGTATTGGCCGAGTATCCCTTACTCCAATCGTAGCTAACAGCATAGGCAAAGATATTGCCATTGCGGCTGAAAGCAGTGCTGGAAATCGGACCCTGGACAGACGGGTACCCCTTGAGCCGGTGCTTAGCATCCTTATCCCAGAAGTGGAACGTGCCGTCACTACCGGCAGTGCTAAATGTTCCGTGTACAGGGTGAAAGTTGATCGAGTTCACGGAGTAAATGTTGCAGATATCCCGGTTGGCGGGCGGGGTTTCACGGTGACACTTGAACGAGAAGTTGGAAGCAGAATCCTTCTCCTCCACGTACTGAATCGCACAGCGGCCCTCGATACTGCCGACGGCGAAACCGCTCGCGTCGGCGAAGCAGCTGACTACCCGCGTCTGCCACTTGAGGGGGGATTGCATGGTCTTGTAGAATTTGGTTGGGTTATCGAGGTTGACGATGTTGATGTATCGATCCGCGGTACCAATGACTAGCAACTTGTTCTTAACGTCCATTGTGTACACGCGGTCCTGGCATTCAATCTGTGCGATCGGGTTCGACTGTCGCAGATCCCAGTATTTGACTGTTTTATCCCACGAGCCGGTCACGAGAAGCGGAGATCCGCCGACGGACGGGTTGGGAATCATGTGGACGCTTCGAATGGGCGCATCGTGCGCGGCGACCTGTACGGGGGTCGTAGCTCCGGCGCCTAGGTCAAGCATGCGGGCAGCCTTGTCGGCACCAGCACCGACGACCTTCGATCCATCCTAGAAAAGTACAGCCCGTTAGTTTAGCAGCTCGGGCGGGGGCAGAGCATATAGACAAGGGAAAACTTACCGGAGACCAGCAGCAGCTCAAGACAGGGGCCTCGTGCTCGAACAGAGCTTTTCCCTCACTCATGCCTTGTTCGTTAATCTCGTAGATGCGGACCTTCTTATCCCACGATGCAACAGCCAAGTGATCGGAGGCGGGCGAGAAAGCCATATCAGAGATGCCGTCCTCGGGAGGTTGGTTGAGAGTCACATCTTTTGAGATGTCACCTGTCGTATTCGCCGCACCGGCGGACGCGGACGCAGCGCTGGCGCCGCCGCCAAAGAGAGTCGACATCACAAGGGCGCGCTGTGATTTGTTTGAAAGGTGAGCGAGGTGCGAGGATCGGAATGGGAGAGAAAGTGTGATGAGCTGTAGCGTGGCTCACACTTTGACGAAACCCCAGCGAAGGGTGAAAAGACGTGTGGGTGAAGGAGGATGGGAGTGTTTGGAGAGAGCTGGAAAAAGTAATTCGTGAAGCTGGTTGAAGCCGGCGAATCTCAAGCGCGATGCCCGGCAGAATGTGCAGACCGCCTTCTGTTTACAACCGCCAACTAAAAACACTACTTTTTGGTCAAGAATAACTTGTTTTTTTTTCTTTTTGATTTTTTCACTTAATTTAAATTCTAAAGCGATGAATCAAGAAGTTCCTCGAAATAGACATGCTCATTGACCACTTTGTTAAAAAAGTAGTTTCGTATCTCTAATCCATTGGCCAGATCTACCAGGCGAATATGAAACTCCCGCAGCAGTTGTGGGACAAGTTTATAAATTTTACTCAATGCAATCTGGAATTTCGTTTCCGTCAGTCAAAGCTTGCAAAATACATGAGACAAAAAGTCTTACATTTTTTTTAATGTAAATACGAGTCCTAACCCCAAAATGTAACATCGTCTTTTCTATCTGCTGTGCATCTGCCCCTAACCAGCGATCAGGATTATATTGTTCAGAATCTAGCCGAAATAAATTCTTAGTATACTGAACAACTGCCAGATTTTTACTGACAACGTATTACTCTAGAATATAAACATCATCGATTATCGTCCCACTAGATAGAACGTGTCAAGATATGGTCAAACCAACACTCGGAGGTAAGCGTATTCCTTTATTTATGTATACTCACAGGTATGGGAGCTTGATAGCCTCTTTATATCTAATAGGCATAGATAGTGTGCCATACGCAGTGGAAGTGTCAATTTCACTGGTTAGCGTTTCATTCTCAAGCGATGTCTCAATTTAGAGTCTGTCGTTTCAACGGCCTCCTCTTTCAACGACCGCTCCCAGACTGCGCCTTTTTATCCTGACCGACAAGAGGTCAATCAAATCGGCAGTGGCCTACAAGGCGCTATCTTTGAGGTTGTTGGACATACCCATGTCTTCAAAAAGGAAAATCCAGGCAACGAATTACTATCATCGAATCTCAAACGCGAGTACAAAACCCACCGCGATGTTTCGGCCGCATTTGAACTGTACAAGATTCCCACTCTTAGCATAGTCCAAGTTCCCAAGCCCAATAGTTTTGTTCCTAAAATTCAAAACAAATGGTTCTGGGATTACATCTTGCCAGTAATACCCCAGGGATATCGCACACGCGGGGATATCATCACCATGGAACGGATTCTTCCGTTGCCAAAGGTCGTACGAAGAGCGCTCCTCACTCATTTCTATGCTGGTGAAAGGAATTGGGGGTGTAGTAAGCCTGATGTCGAATACCTTCTCAGTAACCAGGAGAACAAGCACTGCCTTGCCCGAGTCTATTTGGGCAAAGCCAATTGTTCATTTAATCAGGATAACCCAGCCCCGCTCAGAAAGTTCCCGCTCTATCTCAATTCTATGAAGGGACTTGGCATGGATACCCTTGTCCTAGCCCAGGAAATGGGTAAGACATATGCAATCATGCACTGGGGTGCTGCCACAAATGGTGACGATGTGGAGTTCGTACTTGGCACCTGGGCCTTAAAGAAATCGGTAGCGCGCATAGAATCGTCCGAACGCTCAGCATCGTGCCATTGGATTATGTCTTCTCAACTTCGGCCAATGTGAGGCGGTTGACTCGACGCGGGATTGTGATGTCGTTTACCAAGAATTCAAAGGGGGTATGGTAATGGGTGATAATCAGCTTTTCATCCCGCAAGTCTCGAAAAGCCCGGAATTGTTCGCATCCTTCAAGAAGGGAACATTGATGCTGGTAATGTCATCCTATCAGACAAGAAACTCAACGACAAGTTCAGCATGGAGGACTTTATGCAATAGTATGAATAATATGCCGAGGGTTTTGTGTATTAGCTTCCAAGGATACTTTCAGCCATGAAGCTTGAGAAGGAGTTGAAGTCTAGCTTGTGGTTCTGGCTTATCGACTGTGTGTTCGGGGATAGCTTCAATTAGCTACGAAAATGAATTTATGGTTTAGTCCATTCTATGGTGTTATCTGCGTAAATAATCCACCTATACACTTGGCTCTAGTATCACGGGCTTGGTATCTTGCTAGTTTGTGCGTTACCATTGTGACGCAGTACGGCGCTCCGTAAGCGCAGGTGGTCAGTAGTCTTATGTAGGGGTATTTTAAAGTGGTGTTGCAATAGTCTGAAACCCCCCTATTGCCAATCATTTCGGACCTCCTCCTAATGGCAGACCAGTAGCTACCCAAGATGTAATAGGTTGTCCAATCGATTCCATCCTGGGTAGCTACTAGTCTGCCATTGGGAAGGCGGAGACTAAGCTTGTCAGGAATGGCTTGGAAGCTTTGTGGCGCCACTGTAAAATACCCAACTACTGACCACCCTGCGCTTACTGAGCGCCGTAACACAGCCTAACCTTTAATTTTGGACGTCTTTAACCGAACATGCAACACAAGAATTTGACTTGAGACAACCGGTGATGCACAAATCCAAGTGGTAATTCGAACGCCGGATCTGTATATCATTTAGATAGACTACGTGACCAATTATTAGGTTTAGATCTTGTCATTATTATTTCAAGGATCGCCAGGACAGGTGATTCTGCGGATACTCAAATTGCTCGCTGCACGTGAAAGAGGTAAGCATTCAAATTTGAGTTTGCTCCACTTTAAACTGGCGATCATCGGGGAGTTAATTGGTCCGAACAAAGGTATATGAGCAATGCCACTCCCACACTATGCGGCCGCTACTCATTACCCAGTCTAGAAGAGGGCAGAATCGGGCCTCCTTGTCAAAAAAAAACCCCAAGTATGGCGAGCTTTGTTGCGGCATTCGCTAACCCGTTCAACTATCTCGGTGGTGTCAGTTTCAACCCCGAAAAGGATATTCATGACTTATCTGGGAAGGTCGCGCTAGTAACAGGCGGTACGTTGAGGTTGAAGCCCTTCAATATGCTTTGGATCATCGAAAAGCAGAGAATCTGCGAACAAAAATCCTAACTGGCTCCAGGCAACGCTGGCCTCGGCAAAGAAACAATCCTACAACTTTCAAAACATAAGCCAAGCAAGATTTTTCTGGGCGCACGATCGGAATCAAAAGCTACAGAGGCAATTAAGTCCATCAAATCTTCAGTATCCACTGATGTCGAAATAATCTGGCTCCCGTTAGATCTGGCATCTTGCGATTCGGTCCAGAATGCGGCCGAACAGTTCAATTCCCAGTCAGATAGACTTGATATCCTCGTCCTCAATGCTGGAGTCATGGCTCTGCCCCCCGGAGAAACCGAATTGGGCCACGAAATCCAACTCGGAACCAACCACACCGGCCACTTTCTGTTGACCAAGCTTTTGCTACCAGCATTGCTGAAGACGGCAGAGGAACCCAATTCAGATGTCCGTGTTGTGTCGCTTGCCTCAGTCGGGCACAATTACGCTCCTTGCTTCGATACGATACTTAACCAAGAAAAGCTCAAGAAGGTGGATACGTCCGCCCGATATGGCGCTTCAAAGGCAGCCAACATTCTGTTCGCAGCAGAACTCAGTCGGCGCCATCCATCGATCACCTCGGTATCCGTTCATCCTGGTATTATTTTGACCGATCTGTACGGCGCTATTAGCCAGCGTTCTTCTATTGTTGCCCTTGGCTCCAAGACGTTGAACTTTTTCGGGTCCTCAGTCGCCGAGGGGGCCTATAATGAGTTATGGGCAGCGGCGGGTGCCAAGAAAGAGGAACTGGTCAATGGAGCCTACTATGTCCCTGTGGGCATTCACAAACCGCATAACAAGTATGTTCGGAGTGAGAAAATGGGGAAGGAGTTATGGGACTGGACTGAAACCGAACTCAGTAAAGTCAATCTCTGATCGGTTACCCAGCCCCTATGATAAACCTTTTGCATTTTGTATCGCAGTGTAATTAAGAAAGAATAGATATGTAAACGAACTGAACATATGTTTTTTGTGCAATTTAATACTAATAAATTTGGTCAAAATTTCGAAATATGACGTCAGGGCTGTAACGCAGGCCACAGACAACCAAATTATGCTCACTTTCAAGGTTCAATTTAATCAATTTGATCAATTGCATTGCGTAATGCCAAGCAAATTTTCTTTTTCGCGTTGACAGGAATTTAATCAATTTAATCTCTTCTGAAGCTACTTGCGAGCGAGCCGAGGCATAGATAGCGATACAATGTGGTGGAGCATGTCGCGTCGCGGTCGCGGCTCAACAATCTTTCCGGCAAATTTGATGTCCAACAGCCATTGACTCGTCGTGATGCTTTCATCTTGTAGAGGCAGTATAGATTCTGCCGAATGATTCACATATTAACGGATTAATCTAATTATCTGCCTCGTTTTAGGAAAATATGGTTATGCCGGGCTCAATGATGTCGTAATAAACATGACTGACATAATACAAATTTCTCATAGACTTAATTGAATTAAAGGAAGATGGTTTAACAATTGGCGGACGAATTATTTTTCATCTCTTCAATTTCAATTTTTCTCCTGAGAAACCTTGAGTAACCAACATGCCCTATTTGAAACTTCGAGATGGTGCCGAACTCTTCTATAAGGACTGGGGCAACCCAAAAGGAGTAGTCACTTTCTCACACGGATGACCTCTTAGCACTGATAACTGGGAGAGCCAAATGGATTTCCTGGTTAGCCATGGCTACCGCGTGATTGCCCACGACCAGCGTGGCCATGGACGTTCAACGCAAAATTGGACCGAACATAACATGGAGATATTCGTGGATGACCTCGAAGAGCTTTACAAGCATCTTGACATCAAGAATGCTATGATAGTCGGAAATTCACATGGCGGAGGCGAAGTTACTCGCTTTCTCGGAAAGCACGGCACAAGTCGAGTAAAGAAAGCTGTCCTTGTTGGAGCGGTGCCACCTCTCATGTTAAAGAGCTCAGCCAACCCGGGGGAACCGAAAAGTCTGTCTTCGATTCCTTCAGAGAGGCGATGAGCAAGAACCGTGCCTCAATTATTTCTGGACGTTCAAACCGGGCCGTTCTTTGGATTTAATCGACCTAACGCGGCGAAGAGTAAGGGTCAAATTCGAAGCTGGTGGGAACAGGGTATGAGAACGAGCTTCAGGGCCGCGTACGATTCCATCAAAGACTTTTCGGAAACGGACTTCACCAAGGACCTCAAAAGCATCGATATTCCCGTTCTTGTTCTTCATGGCGATGACGACCAGATTGTGCCCATTGGCGCAGCTGGTTTGAAGTTGGCAAAGCTTCCGCCCCAAGGGAAGCTTCAGATTTATCCCGGGGGCTCTCACGCAATTCACAACGTCAGCGTTGATGAAGTGAACAAAGATTTACTAGATTTCATCAAGTCTTGAGTGTGAATTGAGAAGCCAGGAGGATATTGGTTTTCTTTTTTTTTTCTTTGGCTGCTCAACATTCTTTCTGATGTTGTGACATGGTCACTCCTTACTCCAGTAATTTGTAATCGCCGTATCAACTCAACCAAGCATTCTACCGGGCCAGCGTAGCACCGACTCGTCCTGTAATATACGAGCCGCTATGTTTAGGCCAAGATCTTCATTCAATGCGGAGGATGATATAAAGACGCTCCTTAATGGTGATACGCATATCGCTAGGTTTACAATCTTTGATACCGGTAGCCAAAACTTAACGTCTCTGTCGTTTATGCGAACAACGTCACGCGAAGACAACGACTAGCCTATATCCAATTATGAGCTTCCTATTTCTTCTCTTCCCGAGGACATATCACCGATCCCAAAGACTGTACCCTTCTATCCCAAAATTTGTCCTTCGAAACTCACTTTGACGCACTCACTAATTTAACATTTTTCTACCCCCGATTTGAACGTAAACCAAAACCCCACCTGCGCTCGTCTTTTGTATTCAAGTCTGACACAAATATTGGATTTGAGACTACACGTGGTCAGTGATGTTCGCTGACCAGAGACATGTGCCTTGCGTCTAGTCAATACTCGGGGTTCGTTGCAACTGAAAACTTTGACCTTTTGCTGCTCGCGGAAAGCGAATCTTCTACAAATATTACGGCGAAATACTCTCTCGGGGAAGATAGCAAAGATTATGCACTAAATCTATGGTGCCACCATCGGCGATTTAAAAAAAAAACAATTTCCATAGCATTTTCGATTCAAAAGGGTGGCCGCCTTATTCGAACAGGAACAGCCTATTCCGTTTCGGGACGCCGCGCATAGACTCACCATAAACCGAGTATGAGTCAGATTCTTACTTTATTGTTTATAAAATGCTGATTATGACTCGGACAAGCATCGAAGAAATACTGCTGCGGCCATTACTTTCAAGATCGAAAACAAGAACATCGCATGTGTTGCTCTACCGGCAAGGCTAGTGAAGACTCCACTCTCCAAAATGGCGATGCGCAGCCTGCTCCGTGTCCACAAGGAGATCGGAGATGTTAATACCGATTTCCATTCTCTCAGGACTGTTTTGAAGGAGACAGCAAACAAAGCCAAATGGAATTTTGTCATGTTCCCGAATGATGGTGCGCTGTCACATCTTCCTCTGATCGGCGAACTCATCATCCCCGAGGATTACCCGAACTGCCCTCCTGTACTTCACCTTTTTACTCGTACTTTCCGATACAATGTCGATGTCTATCAAAATAACATCAACAATGACAATCACAGCACGATGTGCTTTGACATTCTATCCAGTAAATCTAGGGGAGGTACCTGGGTAAACGACTACACAATATCCTGTCTCTTTGCAAGCCTGATGCTGGCTTTGGTGACACAAAGAGTTCCACAGACTTATGGCCCCGATCAGGCAGAATTTGTCACCATGGGCACGCTCGATCAGATCAAAAAGTCCGTACATAAAACCTATCAGAAGCACAAAAATCGCCTTCCCTATCTTCCAACTATACCCACGATTCGGGCTGTCTCGGTCGCAGCCAAGCCATTCATTTTCACACGACTCGAGGACGAAACTCCACTTGATTCACTTCAATTCCAAGCCGAGGACAAATACGTCAGTCAGCCATTCTATCTTCAAGATGCTCAACATCCGCAGTCTTGGTCAACCGCTCTAGACCTGCGAAACCTACATCCCGGTGTTGTCTTCTCCGTGATACTTTCAAACAAGCGGGGAACCGATGTTACCGGTAGGAAGAACGATACTATATTGCTTCGAAATGGCGTGACTGGAACCGCGGCAAAAAAGCGAAAAAATGAACCCATCCGCTGGTTCTATCATGGAAAACCATTGAATGATCAAAATCTCTCAGTCTGCGTGACTGTGACTGGCGACCAGTTTGTGATTTGCTACAAGGACGACGATTCCAACACCTTCATTGTCCATGGAGACACTCCGATATCAAAACTTGGAGAGACACAAATTGGAAATGTCGCAGGTATGCCGTTTTACATAACGATCTTGCTAAAACGAAAGTCCGGGGCGGAAGGGTTTATCAATGTTCTCGATCAAAAGCAAGTTGGATTCATTCATGCCAACCGAATCGAGACCCCCATGGCAATTCGCAGGAAATATCCAACGTCAGTGAACCTGACCTTGGGCAGTGAGCAAACAGCTCGTCTTCAAGGGGTCATTGACTTCTATGGTTTGGGGCTGGACTTTAAGATCCAAAGAAATGTCTGGTTCCCCGCACATTATACGCTCATTTCTTCAACGGACTATCCTAAGGAGGAATATACTAAGACGATCGATGAAATATATACTCCAATACGTGGAAAGGCGGTAGAGGTGACTATTGTTGCTATCATAGCGGATGGTGACTGCGTTGCTCTCTTGACAGATATCTATCGATGCCCTGAAGATCGAGTGGAGCTACAGTCATTCCCTGAGACGAGTTTCTCCACTTTGACAATGCGTTTACGGAACGATAAGGTGAAGGCAAGTTGCGTTGATGAATTGCTCGGACGAGTATCCGAAGACCCTCAAAAAGACTGGGTTCATGTTGGGGACTTTTATATCAAGCTACCACAGCCAATCAAGGTTATATGTCATTTGCAGTTTCAACTTTGAAGTTGGACCTCGGATAGGGAATAGTAATACATCAATATTGGTCAACTCAACTTGACCTTGCAGGAGTTCGCAAATAATGAAAAAGATGGAGGATTAATAAAGATTTCTTTCTTCACACAAGTCAAATTTGCGATGTAATAGTTCTCATATGCTCGCATGTTCTATTGCAATGAGACTTTTTCACCTCGATGCCACGTTGTCGGAACTACCAAGGTCGAGCTCTGAGATTAACATAGATTAGGAATCAAATTGAAAAACCCAGCTTCCAGCACGACGTGAATTCCCCCGTTTTTGCCCTTCTGGTTAGCCAAATCCCCACCGCCATCATCCCTTTCCCCCAAAATAATGAGCGTTCCCGAAAACAACACCAGAGCAACCAGAATTGTACCCATTTCATGGTCCTAACAAGGCCAAAGGTTGACACCAAATCGTGTTCTCGAAACTACCATATCACTGGAAGGATCCTGTCTGGTCTTTGAAAAGTTAATTACTTGACCGAAATAACAAAATAGCGAAGATCACTGTTGTGAAACGGCAAATGTTTTCGTGTCTAGTTATCTCCAAGCAACTTGAAGTCCACGAACTTGAAATCCTCATAACCACTACTGCGTACATGTATTGCAGGAACAGAATTGGGTATCATCTGCAGAACCTATTCTGAAGCAGTGGCATACATCGCTCATATCTATAAGGACTAATTTCCCCGCTTAAGATGAAACATTTGCCATAGGTCTGTTCACCCTGAAGATATGTCAGATATAGACATGAAAAGAAAACCTGCTATCAAATTCGACCTATCTGATCCAATTCTTGTGACTTTGGTCACTATGTTGCAAAGGGGAATCAAGATAAAATTTCAAATATCAGTCGCAATACCGTCAAAGACGCGCATCCAAGCAACCTGTATTTACGACATTCGATATTAAAACTAGCTATGTGGTGAGAGTATCTCAGATCGGGTTGAAACCAAGAAACTCCGAGCACGGAGCCTCCATTTGTTGAGAGGGGCCCTGGGGGAACTTGACAGCCTCGAAAACATGCAATAAACTTGAATATAGCTCCTCCTTGTGGAGTCGCTTACATTAGAATGCAGGTGTCGGTACGGCTTCCTATTGGTGTCGTCAACATTCAGCGACATTATTCCTGATATGTGTCCAAAGTACCCCGTAAAACCTTCACTAGCAACAATGCTCAGGGGCTACCTTTTTTTTTCTACGGCCTAGATTCATGATGGCCCTAACATCCTGATGACAAAGTACCGCAAGTGGCGCTAGCCTCCTCGTGCATTAGTGACAGCGGGCCACCCGAGCCAACGAGAAGGAGCGGAAATTGTGACCAAGCGAGCCGGGAGAACACGAGGGTTGCCCACGAGACTTTAGTTGACAGTTGATATGTCGACTGCACAGACATTGATCGACGACATTGTGCTACATATTTACGCCTCAGAAACCAAAATTCCAGCGTGGGCCCCTCACCCTGAAAATGATGTGTCCTAAAATTAAACTCTTCCAACTCTTTAATTAAGCATAGCTTAAGTAGTAAAGTTGATCTGAGCACAAAGTGAGGCATTATGGTACTCTGGATTTGGATATGAATGACATCGAATTCAGGCAACGATTTCCTACACCAATGTATTGGCCCTCACAAAAGTACGTTTTCATGCGGGTTAAGGCCGATCCTCGTGTTCTTTTTGTTTCGGTCCAATCATTCGCTTTCGGTGGCCGTTGCCTGTTTCATCGTTAATATCCTTAAATGTACTTATGTCGTCGACCCATCACAATCTGTGATTCAAGCTCTTGCAATATTTTTTTTCTTCAATCAAGGATATCAGAACAACAATATCCTGTACTTATATTCGGATGGTGCAACAGCATGAATTTTGTGGCAGCAACCTCCAAGAGAGTCTGACCTTTCCCTTTCAATCCAGTTACTTGAGGACTTTTGCCTGGCGATACAATCCAAAATGATGGGCGGCAAAGGACCTCGTTCCATTGCGGTAATGTGGCTGATGACATTCCTCTCTTTGATTCTGGTTATCCTCAGACTGTATACAAGAATGTTTGTTGTCAAAGCAGTCGGGGTAGACGATCATGTTTTCAACTTGGCCTGGGTATGCTATGTCTCGTCGTGACATTCGATAACAGGTAACCGGATAATACAGTACTGAATAGTTTATAGGTTTTTTTGTTGATATACACGATATTCATGACTATCTCAGCGATCTATGGATTCGGGCAGCCCATAACAAACTTACAGATTGACTCGGCTGCTAAAGCTGTGTACTATGAGATGATCGGCCAGACATTTGCTGTGATCGGAATGGCGATTGCGAAGATTTCACTCGGTCTTTTCCTACTTCGCATTGTGGTGAGGCAATGGCATCGAATTTCTATATGGTTTTGCATGATGACTTTGGCTGCGATCTCGGTAACGACAAGTATTACATTCTGGCTTCAACGATTCCCAGCTGAGTCCATCTACGATCCGCGCGTGCCAGGCCGCACTTTGCTATCTGTCACGCCTTTCGCACTTGCGCTTGGGAGTAAGTCCCCCTATTTTGCTTATATAAATGGGTAATGGTATATTGGCTGACAAACAATGTTATTTTTTTCTAGTTTGGTGTGCTGTTGTGGACTTCTATCTTGCTCTTCTTCCATGGATTTTCATTTGGAATTTGAACATGAAATTTAAGGAGAAGATGTCCATTGCAATAAGTCTGAGCTTAGGCTTCATGTGTGTTGTCTTGGAATGACCGATTGCGAGGATATTGACTAATCTCTATTTACAGAGCCTGTGCCTGCGGAATTATCCGATCGGTTGATATTATGGGCATGAACAGTAGCAATTACACCGGTAAGCAATCCTGTCCGCTGGTAAAACTGATCCCAAAATGCTAATTGTGATTTGCTTCTCTCTTAATTAGAGGCTACCATTGGTCTCATTGTTTGGTCGGCTGTCGAGTTAGCTGTCACCCTCATCTGTGTCGGTATTCCTACAGTCCGACCCCTCTATCGTGTCATCGTACATAGGTCAAAACCGGAAAGCTCGAATGACAGGTATAACCAGCAACCTGGATCGGATCATTCATCGCGTTTCCGCATGCGAAACCTGATGAAAGACAACAGTTTGTTTAGCATGACACAGGAGGGACAAACGCAGTCATATATCACCCGCAATGACAATAAGAGTGACGAGGAAGTTTTGGTGGGTCATAATGGAACCACACATGATGGCATTATTGTCCGAGAGGATGTGACCGTGGAAACAGGGAGACGATATTGATCAAATTGACGATTAAGAAAAGCATTTTCATTGGGTCTCTGCTCAAGCCAGAAAATATCTAAAATTCGAGATATATGACTTATGGAATCCTAGTGATTGGTAGTAAGCCCAAGGTGTCTGTTTAATTCATGCACTTCTTTATAGCATTCTTGAGTAACCCAAAGCCCAACAAATCAAAAAAAAAAAAAACCATACAACAGATATTGTACGTCACTGGCCACCTAGCGCCCCGTCCTAGGCGGCTCGTCGCTCTAGTGGGGCGCCCCTTCTTCAGCTCTTCACCTGAAGTGTCTGAACTGATATGCAAAAATTACCTTTAGACATTCTGGCAGGGAAAGACTTAATGAGGTACCAGAATATAGATGAGGGATAAAATGAACGATTTTTGCTTTCATTTACCGGGCCATCTTGACTGTAGATCTCTTAGTTAGTTGTCTTGTTACAGTAGCGATCGTTATCGCCTTCTACGTCGGAAGCGTATAAGATGCTCTTTCAAACCCTAGTCACATGATCTGAGATGTTTAATAATATCAGCGCGTAACTAAATAACCCGTTCTGTAACTACAATGTAACAATAACGAGTTTTACGTGATACCTTTATGAAAGGTACATGAGTCTGCCGTAGAACTGAGGCGCTTGGCAGACTGGAAGGTTCAATGCAAACAGAGCAAACTTGGGTCCTCAATCCGTCCCAACTTCTCTTCGCTTCTCGCAATAGATGCACTGTAGAGAGCCTGGGGTTCTTGGGTTGCCCAGGAAGAACAAAAATTCTGACAGGTACCAAACGGATTGAATTGATACTAATGAGCTGCTACTTGAAGGGTCTATTTGCCACCAGAGGCCTTTACATCATAAAGCAGTTCCTCATGTTCTCCATCCACGAACCCGAAAACGTTCTCCACTGCATTATCACTGAAAAGCACTTCTTCACTCTCCGCGCTGCGCCGGATCAAGTCCCGACCGCGCTCAAACATTTCCTCTTCATACGAAGACAGGGCCTCTTCCAAGCTTGCTTCCTGGACGCTTGCAATATCCGGATGCTTGCCAAAGAGCTCACGGAGACGTTTAAACAGCAGCACAGCATCGTACATGGCGCAATTCACTCCTTCGCCCACAAAAGGTGTTGAAAGATGCGCTGCATCTCCGAGTAGCGTCACACCTGGAGCTGCATCGCGTTTCCAACCGACTTCTTCTGGTCTCAGGTAGTGCAAACTCCAGGCACGGAAGGGACCTTCTGCATTTGCAGCGATAGCTTTGAGTTGCGGTGCCCAGTTTGCGTAGAATTTCTCCGAAGATAGCATCAACTGTCGTACAGCTTCGGACTTTTCCGTAGCACTGCTATTGCGGTGTTGGTAAAAGTCTTCAGGAACGACGACACCAAAGTACATTCTATACGTGCCATCAGCCCCTTGCTGCAATGCCAAGCTCTTGTTTGGACCCATCGCCATCATCATTCCCGGGCCGGCCAACTCGTGGGCTGCTTTGTAGCTCGCGTTGCTGTGCGAGATCGTGCCTTCTATGTACATTTTTCCGGAATACACTGGCTGGGCTGTTGAGATCTGCATATTGCGATCATCAGTTAGGATCAGAATTCCTATTGATTCTGTGGGCTTATTTGACTTACCAAGGGACGGACTTTGCTCCAACCCCCGTCAGCTCCAACAATAAGCTTGAACCCAGTGGCCGAGTTGCCATTAGAAAAATGAATAACGCAGCCATTACCAACATCGTCGGGACTGTTGGTCTTCCTCCCATCAATAGAGCGCACACCGTGACCCCACCGGATCTTGTGCGCGGGTATAGAGCTAAGTAGAAGTTGACGTAGCTGCAGGCGATCGATCTCGGGCGCATCACGGCCCTCACCAAAGCGCCCTACTGTCTCTCCAGAGGACCTAAGTATGTGCACCCGCGAGGCATCCCAGCGTGCGTAGACCGCATTGAATTCCTCGAACAAACCCGCTTCCTTGAGTGCCTGCTGACCTGACGGGCCATGAAGATCCAGGGAGCCGCCTTGCTGCCACGGGCCTGGGATGGACGATTCATCACGCTCGTAAACAACGTAGTCCTTGAGTCCATTCACCTCAAGGAGACGGGCGAAGAGAAGACCACTCGGTCCGGCACCGATTATTGCGATAGAGGGTGGCGGATGCATGGTGGGATGTATCTGAATAAGATGAGCAATGGATGGGAATAAAAGAGAATAGAGAAAATGTACACTTCGAATCAATCGGCTTTATATAAACGCGATGTTCTATATGTGGCAACGGAAATTTGTATAATTCCAGCTCCAGCTTTACCCCTTCTCATTGGTCGAGGCCGGAACCGATCCGGGATCAATGTCCGGAGACGACCACTCACCACCGCACAACCTTTACTTCATACACTTCGCCATCTTCACTCAGAGCTCCATAATATTGGTAAAGAACCCTGTGACCTTCGAAAGAGTTATGGAAGCCGCCGGATCTTCAAAGACAGCCTCCAGGAGCGGCTTTGCTCGGTTCGCTGTAAGTACGGAGCGCGGGCAGCGATCGGGAATCTGCGAAAACTGACAGCGCCAGTGCGACTTTTGTCGAGTGAAAAAACTGAAGTATGTCGCACTCTTGCATGACCCCAGGTGAGGTTTCAGACTTGGCTAATTTATTAAAAGGTGTTCGCGAGAGTTGCCGAAATGCAGTGGTTGCAAGCCGTGGCCAAGTAGCTGCGTATATTCGCGAGAAGTGTCGTCATTTAACGCGAACGGTAAAAGACTTCATGTTGCCGAGGTCTCTAGTAAATATACAAAAGCCAGCATTGAGAGTCGCCTCGAAGGCCTGGAGCGCACAGTCCAGTCTCTAACCAGCTCGGTTGAAGAAGCCTTGCGTGTCTTGTCCGCGGCAGCCCCACGAAGAGACTTATCCAAAATACCTATTACATCCAACCAGACGATTGTGAATGAGGCAGACGGATCCGATTCAGAGCTGTATATCGGCCCATCGCATTCGTTCTCTTTCCTTCAAGAGGCGCCCGCGGGCATCGAGCGTCTAGCCCGACAAGGTGTCGAAGATTCTCGACAGTGTGCCATTTCAGAGATTCACAACATGTCATCAAGTCTGACATCAGCAAGAACTGGAAATCCGACGAAAGCTTCAACAGGCTTTCATATACCATCGAGATCTGCAGGATATGCCCTCCTCGGCAGTGAGCTCACTCCCCTCCCTTCCCCCTTCACTGTTGTTAGATCGTTCTACTAACTTCAGACTCATCGAAATAGAGTTTCTGGAGCATTGCGAGCTTGGTGAGCCATTTTTTCGTTTCCCGTCGGACGAAGTCCTCAGACAGATTGTTTTCGAACCTGAAAAGGTTCGGGAAAAGGCGTGGATTGTTTCCTTCAACTATATACTACTTGCTGCCATATCTACGCAGCAGGATGAGCATGAAGACAAACTCCGGCAAAATTCCCAACTGGCACTGAATGATAGCCAGATTTTCCTCGAACCATCCTTGGCTAATGTACAGACTCTGGCCTTGCTCGCTGTTCACGGTGAAGACTTTGCTTCGCCCAACATATCATGGATGCTGTTGAGTCATGCCTGTCGCCAGGCCGAAGCTTTGGGCTTGCATATCAAGACCAGCAAGGGTAGATTTGATGAATCGCAGCACAAGCTGTGTTTATTTTGGATGCTCTTCACGCTGGACAAATCTTGCGCGCTGGCATTTGGTCGGCCTGCCTTCCTACCATTCTCCTTGTATCGTTATGTTCCGCTTCCCGACGAAGAGTTTATGCGGAAATTCAGTCCTCATGACACGGAGGACCCTGGTAATCAACAGCAGAAATCCCAAAACTCCGGTTTCGGTGCCCTGATGTTTAAAAATACTGTTGAGCTGGCTAAGTTGATGAGCGATGTTTTGGATGTTCTGGGCGTGAGCAACTCAGAGAAATCCAAGGATGAGACACGATCAAAGTTGGAAGGTTGGTTCTCAATCACAAATATGGTAAGAGTCACACTGTATTGTCCATTTGTCCGGACACTGAAATATCTAATTCATAAATTCAGACATTGACGCAAGCCATGGAGAACGAGCGCATATCAGCAGATGCAGATCAAATTCATGAAATGAAACTGGGAATCAATAGTGTCAAGTTTCAATATTTGCACATTCTAACTCTATTACTGAAAGGCGATCGGACCTCAGATCTTCGTCTATCCTTTGCTCGCGAAGCAATTTCCTTACTTCCCTCTTTGGTATCGAACTGGGGATCAGTATATAACGGAGTTGTCTGGTATGAGAAAACTTTCACTGTTTTAGACCCTGCTAACCGCAAAATTCACATAGGCAACTTCTCTATTATCCTTTCGCCCCTTTCTTCGTTATTTTCGAGAACTTAGTGCACCAGCATAGCCACTATCCGAAACATGACGAGGATCTGCGCTTATTGGCTACGACGGTAAACTACTTTGCCGAGATGAGGTCCCAAATGCGACTTCTTGCTGGTTTATGCCGCAAGCTCCAGCATACTGCGGCTGTTTTTCTCCAGCTGGCTCAATCTCATACCCGCCATGGCAACTCGACAAAGCCAGCCGGCAATACAGCCCCCTTATCCCAGCAGCAGAAAAGCTCAGCGCTTGGCGAGCAGGCCACACAGCCATGGGATGACCTGATCGACGTTGATTTGGGTGATCATGACTTCATTACCTATTTGAATTGGTTGCCGGTTGACATGAATGCTACGTCCCGGATACTTGAAACTGAGCTTCAAGGTCCAAAATCCCATCATCCGGACCGCGGCCAGGAAAGTAGTCTACCACACCCTCAAAAGCCGATGTCGGACCGTACCTTTGATTGGTTCTTATGGGATGACTATTATGGCAGTACCAACGTGGGGTTCGAATGATGTTTCACCCACCACACAGTGAAAACTTGGCGCACCTTCTGACAACGCAGTTTTCGGAACACGTATACTATTCCGACTGTATCACTTGCAATCTGATGATCCGACACAAAGAATTGGCCCTGGAACCGGACCAGAGGGCACTCATAAACCGGGGAGCTGGCAGAGTAAATGGGCAGGGATAGGGAAATCGACGGGAGTTGATTTCCAATTTTACCATCTTAGTGGCATTGCAGTATCTTTTATGAACAACAAAAACCCGGGAGGCGTGAACCGTCTTGTACCAAATGCAGGAAATTCAAGCTAGCTACTGCAATTCAGCCTACTGTAATCGAAACGCGAGCCAGTAGTATGTGTCGTTCAGCGAGGGGCAAGGATGAATTAGATGACACCTATTAAACTCTAATTGGGGCGATCATTAAGCTTACCTTCTGTCTCGAACAGCATTCGCGGTCGTATGCAACTAATAATGTGCTCAGTCGATGGCCATTGACGAAGTCAAACCTTCAAAATAATTCAAAAAGTGCATTTATTCCCTAAGATAAGCGTACCGGCTCTAGGCGCCGCCATTGGGCTTGTTAGAATAGCGACCTACTCTCAGTAACCGGGCTGCAGCCTAAGACTAGAAGGAAGACATCACCCTAACAGGTGATATCGGAGGATAAAGTGATAGAAAGTTGGTCACTTTATAGTACCATTTCGTGAAAACACCAGGTATTGTAGGACGAAGAATATGAATCAGCAACTGGATGCAGAACGGTGTGTGGTGCCTGGACGGATGCCCGATGGCCAATCTAACAGCCCCGTGATTCTCTACGCTATAGTCCATTGTGCGTGAGTGAGATCACTCATCGGCCATTTGCGGCATTCTCATTGGTTGAAATATAAAAATAATTACATTTACTGGTCCTTGGGCACCTCAGGGTCGTGCTGACCCGCGAACTTTCGCGGAGATGGAGTGAGCCGGCGGAACCCTCCTCGGTGACGGACACTGCCGTCAAAAGGCCCGGCGCGGGGTCTCTCCAGCTCCTCCGTGCGGACTATGATGTCGCTTATTTTCTTCTCGGCATCCTCCTGGTTGGAGGTGATCCGCTCATTCATCCGATCCATCCTCTCAGCCATCCTCAACAGCTTGCTGTTGGCCATTTCGGCCCCCAAGACACCGAGCTCTACATCGGTGATGCCATTGGCTTCGGCCTTGGCCTTCTTGGCCTTGGCCCAGTTCCTGCCCCAATTCCAGGGGTTTACGGCCCTTGTGGCCCAAAGTTCGGGCGAGTACTTGAAGACCCAGACGACGAAAACTACGGCCACTGGGGCAAGGATTTTAACGCCTTGCACCCACTGCAGAATCTTGCTTGATATGTCGAGCTGGCTCGGGAGCCTTTTCAGCTCGGTCGACTCCTTATCATCTGACTGCTCTATTTCAATATCGTCAGCGCCTATTTAATTGCCAGTGTATCTCTATCTACTGGTAAATAAACATTTACAGACCGATTCAAGCTACACCTCATCGAGTTTACATCAGACAAGAATCATCGATGCAGATGATACGAAATGTAATATCTATCCATCCAGCTCAAGATTTACACGAGAAAATTTACAGATTGGGGATGGCTACTGACTGGATTCGGCACAGAAGGAGAGGGCGAAGGAGAGAAGTTCCTCGGGGGTCTGCGAGTAGCGACCATCGGGCCCAAGAGGGGGCAGGGGAACAGCACCGGCCTCGAAAAGGAAGAGCTACAGTTGCAGAGCGATGAGATTAGCAAATTTTCAATTTTTTGTAATCATTGTGGAAGGGGATTGCTTTCAGAGCCACACATGCACGCGGCGTTTTGACTCTTTCCGTAGTTGAGGACTCTGGCTTGACGGAATCATCACATCAACATTCGCCGGGCCTGGGAGTGCAGCCATACGAACATCTCTGCGTACGTGCTCCGATGTCATTCTGGCCATTCCGAACAGCTCAATGGCACCCGGTACATTTTTACCGAGCCCAGACATGGAGTGTAGCTTGAGAGCGAGCGGTCTCGAAGGAAGTCATCGCAGTTCCGGCGAATATGACAGATGCGCGTCTGGTATATCCTTTTTGAGGCAATCGAAAGTCCGAAAGTCCGAAATGAATTTGCAATGGCTTTTTGAAGAAAGAGACAGCTTGAAGAAGCATTCGGTCTGCATGGCGGCGTGGATCTTGTCCGAAGCGGCGTGGGAAAATGCAATGACCCAAAATTCGTCTCGCCTGCTTTTCAGGGAAGTTCGCAAGCGTGAAAAAGGCGTGAAAAACACGTGACGAAAGCAATTGGCCTCCAGGTCGGCGTCGAATTGAGTCTCTTCACCGCGTACATGTGTGTCTGTTCAGAAATTAGGTGCAATTGACTTACGAGGAGGAGGAAAAAGAGCGGGAGAAGAACTTTAAGTTTGGCCATCTCGGCCAATCTCCCGGAGATTTGATGAAGTCAATTGATTGGATAGTAAGCGATCAGACGGAATTGCAGCGATTGGTTGACCATCATAAAATGAGAGAACCGATGATTCCAATTGCCCTCACGTCGTCCTGCAGTCACGGGATCCACCAAGGCCTGTTTGGTCCATCGGGGTCGCTCCTTCCCTACGTATCCTATACCCGGTACCTTCCCAATCGGGGATACCCCAAAAGGTTATTGTGATTGGTAATCAACCTACAAGTATGTTGTCGTAGGTGAGATTAATCCTGCTTAGACCAACCTCACTCTCCAGGGCTGAATCGTGTGGGCTTTGCTGAATAGTATAATCTTTCAAAAGTACCTGGTCATGGTTGAGGCTATCCACACCGTATAAAAGGTAACGTATAGCACGCTTGAACTTATAGCACCTGGGCACACAGAATTACTAACTAATAAAGAGAAGAATTACGATACTAGATTATACTATGGACTGTAGATAAGAGACTAAGGCTACCGAAGAACTACTACATATACCCTTAAGTAGCGATGTAGACTAACTAATCCATATCTAAGGTCTCTGCAACCAGCAACGCTACCAAAAGGTGCCTAAAGAATGGAATGATATCCATAATCTTCTATCTAGGCATATGCCTTTCTAAAGTCCTTCATCTTGATGACTAGAAGCGACATGGGGTATTAGGGGAATCGGTGTATTGGTGAAGCTATGGAAGGCTCGAGCTCTTACATATGTGGTGAAGCCTGACTAGGTAGTGAGGCCTCAGGCCTATAGGGCCTCTCAACACATCAGGCTACTACGTTTCAGGGCTATGCTATATATTCGAAGCTAGATATGAAGGTTCCGAAGAGTTGGATACCGCTGTTCTGATCCGTGGTTCCTTCCCGCTCCCGAAGCTACTAGGCTTCTAAGGGAGATCATCGTATAGTTTTAAAAGCCCGTGCCAACGTCAATATTACGCATACTTTTCCATGCTGTACATATTTGAAGTCGGGTGTTCGAATACGTCTTCGGGGTATCCTCCTACTCGAAGCATTAACTCGCTTTTGATAAGATACTTACAACACTCCTTCCTCACCACTCCAGAGCTGAATTTCCGTTATTCCCCATCCCTTGACCATCCTATATTTACTTTCAAGATGATGGATCTACGCTACATGTGGATTGAATCCCCCAAGGGAATTTTTCGCCCAATGTGCTCTAGCACCACTGGCGAATTCCTTCATCGGTTCCGCTTTGAATTTGAGGGATATACTTGCGAATGTCCTTCCAAAATGATCAGTGACTTTCTGCTTACAGAATATCAATTTAGAGTTATTCTTCAACTCAAAGATGGTGAAAAAGGAGACCGCGAGAATGAAGGAATGCGTGATGGAATTAATACCGAATATGTTCGGTGCGAGAGAAACCTGTATTTCAAAGATTCCGCTCTACCCTCTTTAACACTTGACGAGATGCGCAGATTCGCTATGAAGGATTCCAAATGGTATATACGTAATACCCTTACTAACCACTGCTGTCTCAATGGTGGTTGTTGCGGTCAAAATTGTGGTTGCTGCGAAAAGCGTGCAGGTCACTTACCCCTAAAAGGCATAAATGGACACTGTACATGGGCCTGCCGTTGCTGTATAGAGAGGAAAGGATTCGGTTTTAAAGATTACGATGGCAATATCTTTGAACGGCAGTACAAGGACGAACTTGAAAGCGATAATCCAGTCCTTCTGCTTCGAATGGCAGATGGCTATTTCTCCGCGCCTAAATCACGACCAAGTTTAAAACCGGAATCCAATAGTGATTCTACGTATAACTCGCAGTCTACTTCCCAAGACATTCCCCAAGATGCAAATAATGATGCAAAGGCCATGGCTAAGGAGGAAATCCAAGACAGTGCCGCGAATATAATTTCCGATCCTTGTCCACCGCCATATAAGGAGATTGCGAAAGATGACGAGGAGAGAAAGCAAAGGTGAACCTGGCTCTGGAAGAGATTTTGACAAATAGTTTTGTTCTTGTGAACCGCGAGTACTGGACCGGTTGCCATTATAGAGTTCCGTCACGACGATTCCCATTTTTGCTTCTCAGGCCAAATATCTCATGTCAAATCGGGGTTTTCAGTCCACAATTCTATATATAGATTTTTGATAGCCGTATCCTAAAGTATGGAGATCATCATCTGCCTAATTCTAAGTCGGTATTTGCTGTAATGAGCTGGGTTGCTAACATCGATGTTTATGCCCGACGCAGATGGCATCCACGTAGGTATCCAATACCTACACCTGTATGTAACTTTCGTCCGTTATTCTTTCTCTATCCTCATACTTCTATCGAGCTGCTACTATTACTTTGCCCAATATCGGCGCCCTCTTGTTAGCACAAGGTTGGGAGATCAGATCTGCACCTTGTTCAGTACCCCTTATCCCAGACTATCTCGGTGAATGAAGAGAAAAGCAGTCCTTTTACAGAATTAAGCTAGTTATATTGCTACGCGAAAGGATTCCAATGGAGGACTTTCATCAGATCGCAGCTGGAATGTATTCCGGCCGAGTTGGGAATACCAAGGTGCAAGTGGCTGAGTCCGTGAATGCGTTGGTAGAAAATTCCTTTACCTGAAACACCGAAAACATATTAATACCATTATTAGACTGGGTTGTGAGGAGGTGACATGGTTCATAGACATCAAATTGGCAAGTTTGCACGACATCTTGCGTGTAGTGCTGCACGATATCAAGGCCATTAGCCTGATGGAGGACAAGCAATCGGTGATTGAGATAAAGGCTTTTCACTAGCAGAATGCTGATGTGGATTTCAATCGAGCAAAACCACCTTTTCCATTTCCTTCCTGAGCTTGAAAGATGTGCGGAGAACATGAACAACAGCTCGGACTATGAATCGACACATGCACAGCATCTTCGCCTGCTCATCGATCCCCTCAAGCATACATATACTTCTATCTCACAGCGTCGCGACTCAATGTTGCAGCACAGTCATATTACTTATGACCTTCTCTGGGCGCTTTTCAAACCGGGTTCCCATGTTTTCACAACATGCATTGGCACAAAAGAGCCGCGATGTGTCAGATTCGACGCAGGGGAAGAGATGACATAAAATGACTAGTCGTGGTGGAATCTCGGGTGCCGATTCATTGATAATAACGGAGTTAATTTCGGCGATGCCGGAATATTTCTGGGTGTGACAAAGTTCCGGGGGTCAAGGCCGATCGAGATCATTGAGGCCTTCCCTCTCCGCTACCATCCAAGGCACGAGGAATTCCGGAAAGACTTGATCGAAAGAGGCCAAAAGTTTTGGGATTTGGCCAGCTCGCACATTTGGCATTGCAAAGGCAGCGCGTTCTCTATGAACAAGGGGGATGCTATCAAAGTCAAGGTCAACAGTCGAGTGGCAGCGGATGCGGCATTTTTCCTTGAAATTCAGCCAAACTACCCCCGACTATCACTCCGCGACCTAGGGGTCAAGGAAAAGGATGTAATTGCAGTTATCGACATAGGTGCGATGCTGATGGAGGACGGCGAGCGAGAGAAGGAAAAAATTGCAAGGAGACGGCGTGGACGCACAAAAACTGAGCAAGACCGATTTCTTGGTCGGCGGCCCAACAGTATGCTAAATCAGTTTGAAGGAGAAAATATTCTGTAGGTGAGACGACTGAAAATTGCTTGGCGTCCGACTAATTTGATCCTAATGGAGTGCGCAGTTACGTTAGTACTCTTCGGGACGTGGATTGGTCACCCGAATCATTCGACTCCCTGCAGATCCCTTCAGAGACCAAGACAATGCCCCTATCATTGGCGAATAGTCGCCTGGGTCTAATACCGACTGTATCGTTCGACAACGTAATTGATGGAAAATATGAAGGGCTCAACATCCTTCTAAAGCATGTCAGCAGAGTGTCTGTATGATCCTGAGCTGGTCTGGAACGCAGCTTCACCATGCCATCAGTGATGGGAATTCCAGCTTCTTTCACCAAGAGCGCGACAAAGCCCTTGGCATGCTCCGGTCGCGCGGAATTATCCACAGCGACAGTGGATGGCGTAATATGCTGTGGGATAACCTAAGTGATCGTTTGGTTGTCCTTGACTTGGAGGATGTGAAATGGTTGAAGCACCCCTCGGGCCCTTGAACCCACTTCTGGCAACACACGACGCAGTCATTGGGCCGGCGCATGGGAATAAAAGCATGGCTTGAAAAGAGTAGAAATTTGCGATACAGCGGTCCCTTAAGGTTCTGGCTGTTCAATTTGTTCATTTGAAGACAATGCAAAACTTTACGCCACAAATCTTCGACAAGAAGACCGTGTTGTCTCGGAGAATGAGGATGGAAGTCCTGGATTTTCTGGGCCCGGTTGTGGAGATCCATCTCATGTCTTTTCGCATCTAGCCGCTCGTAGCTGCTATGTATGCAAACTTTATGGGATCCATGTGTCTTCGTTGTCCCGAAGCAGACTCTTGCCTATGCATGGACTCCAATCCGCATCTCAAATGTAAACAGACAGTTTCGGTTGCGATTTGAAGGCATGTATTGATGAGATGCTGGAAGTGAGAGACAGTTGAACTGACTTAGGTGGTCGGAATCGCCAAACTGGGGACAGGTTCGTCTATTGTACCTTCAAATATGGTTGGTAAGAATCGATCCACATCAGCGTTCAGTAGTTCTTTACAGTTAGGAATCCATCTCTCTGTCTGTCTTTATTAGTAAGAGGCTATAGATTTATCCACCTATCTCCGGAGAATGCTGATAACCAGGCTCCTGCTGCATATTGTTCGTCATACTCCAAAGGATCCTCTAGGAAATACCGGAAATGACGACATTCCTATAACCCACAAAGTTGATACACGGAAAGAGATGCTCTGATGCATTTTTCAGATAAGACTAAACCGGGAGGAGTAGATATTTTGGCTTTAAAGGACAACACTCTGTATCCTTACTGAGATCTGATAGTAGGAACTTATGATACCAAGCTTGACAAGTAGCGGCTTCCAAGTTGCCGCGGCCATCGTAATTATACTTATCGCCAGCTCTATTATCGACCAAAAAATAACTGCAATGTTTTGCAGCAGCTTGTTTGTTAACCCAATACTGTCCACAATGTATGGGATGCGTATAACCGTTGCGATGCTCGCGCTTTGGTTTGGGATTAGCTTAACGTAAAATAAAATAAAAGCGAGTAACACTGACATCGAACCCAGACCTAATAAAATGTGCACCGAAATCTTTACCTTTGAAGGTAACTTCATCCCCCAAAGTAGCATGATCGGTATAACAAGTCCCACGGTTATATCAGTGACAAGAACCCATGCCGTAAAGACAAGCTTCACAACTTTTATGGTCCAAATGCTTTGGCAAGAACCTTCCCGATCTGGATAGACCACACGTTCCCAACCGTACGACACAGGGTGGCAAAAGAGGAGCATATGGAGTTCCGCTGCAACTAGTATGACTGTTCCAGTACCTGCTATTAGGTACAAAACGAGTCGATACGTTCCGGGTTGCGTAACACGAAGGAGAGTCCAAATGAAGCATATTTTTGCTAGATAGGTACCTATCGGGTACAGAATCTCGCAGATGAAGAAAGTCTGCTTCGTAAAATTTCATCTACTTAGTAGAGGAAGTAATTTCACATATTCAAACAAACTTACTCTAAGGGTTTCTGCTATGATTTCAGGGGATGTGTTGATGGTGTCGGTCGACTTAGCATTTCGGAATTTCCAACCCCCAACAAGAAATTGTACGGTAAGGCCCGTATAGACTAGCTAGGTGTACAACGATGTTAGTCTTTGCGTAATGTATCGGACTCCATTGGCAAACCGTTGCAAGTATCGCGAGGATTTCTTCAACGAAAGACCCTGTCTGAAAGCGCCATCGGACATATAATCGTATCAGGAGGAAGATCCAGACAAGGATGGTGAAACCGATGCAGGCGGCTAGACACTGCACTATGCTATATGCCATGGTGGCATGTAGCGTCGGCGTCGGAGGCAAGTCTGCTGGGAAGAACTTATGTAAAATGAATATATTGTGCAAATTAAATAGTGTGGAAATTCGAACCCAATAGTCGTGATGTCACGAGACTAGATGTCAATGTCACGAGGCTAGATGAATCTAGACCCAGCATATTGCTGGTACTGTACTTGAATTTATCCCCTGGTTCAAACTCTAACGTAATCCCCCCTCCCGTCTCGCTCGCGCAGAACATCATAGTAAAAGCGGTTTTTCAGGTGCTAATATATCAACAATAACAGGATGTTTTCACTTGGTTTATGTAAGCTTTAATTAATTATATTAAAGATACTTTGGTATAAGTGGCATGTTCAAAATAACTGTTATTTATCTGCAATACCAAAAATACCCTGCGATATAGCAAGGTACAGGAATATGTATCTCTATAAATTTACATCCTAAATATTTCCTGGGCAATAAACATCCCTAGGATGATAAATTCAATATTTAGATAACTCAAGTCTATAAAGTTAGCTCTAAGTGTTGAGATATGAATTTATGAAGTCTTCTATTGACTGTGGTGTTCTGGGTGATGATCGAGACTCAGCGCAGCTCGCCTGCCATTTGCGTCGTAAGCGGTTAATTTCTGCTTGTTGGGATTTAAGGTCTGCGGCGAACCATCGCCTCGAGTAGGGAGAAGGTCGTAGATCTGGTGTGTGGCGATCGACCGCTATTGCTGTCGCCTTGGTGAGTTTGTCCACGACCGAATCCAGCAGTTCAGCTGTGTTTGTTTCTTCCCACGGTTCCATGGCACTCTTAACTCCGCCCCGATCTTCTCCTAATTATTGCAGTCGTAGGCGTTCCTTATAGCCGTAGGGTTGCGCCTCGTTCGCAGAATATATTCCAAGTAGGTTACTTTGTGGCCCGAGCCATAGTTGTCGTGGTAGAGGTGACATTTGATGAGCAGGTTTGGTTGGTCTGTCACAGCTTGGTCGATGGTGGAATTCCTTCCCGGGTGCCTTCGCGACCAAAACGTTGGTGTGCCTCAGGGGAGGCAACCTTGAAGGCCGTAGGTATTAAAAAAGTCGATTAGCTCGCCGGCGTCCTCAATAAACCGAGGCTGTATGTGGTTGCCACTCAACACTGGGTGGTGGCGGTTGAAGTCTCCGGATGATATTATGCTGGTCGTCTTGCTTTGTCCCGGAGGTTGTTTTGTATTGTCTCGCAGAAGGCAGCTACAAACAGCTGCACCTACTCACATAGTTTGAGAATGATCATCACACTTGTACCTCAATCCAGGGTCTCAGCTGTAGAGGCGAGGGGTCAGGGTAAATGAAATCATCATCATCATCAGCTGTAATAAGATACGGTCGGCTACGGTTGTTTGGCAATATCACAGCCCAGTATTCATATTATTGGACAGATGGAGGAAAAGGTGTAAGCCTTAAAGTGACATCTTGACAGGAGATGTAAAAGGAATTATTCACCGGTAGTTCACACAGGGTTTCCTTTGTTAGATCTAATGGATAAATTACAGGTGATCCATCCGGTAGCCTGTCCCTTTCATCTAGGCCAGTTATTTCGACGCTGTATGTGAGCAAAGCTGGCGCTGATGCCGGGCTTGATGATGTTTCCCTATGGACATGGATTTTAGGTAGGCCGAACGTGAAAACTGCTGCATTGATGGTATTCTTGATACAGGGAGAGACCTTTTCTGGGGCTATTCCATGGCTCAAATGCAAAGAGCCAGTTGACAACGGGCCTGATTTTGTCATTGGGTCTCCAGTGGACGAATTTTGTGAAGGAAGATGCCAACCTAAATCACTTACTGTTGTCGAAGAAACGAAAATGGAAGCAAAGTGGAAGCAGAGTACTTTTGTATTGGGGGGGGGGGGGGAGATATGCCCATGACTCTTAAACCTCGCACCAATAATCTGTTGGGCCCTTTTCAGGATTAATCTGTTGAAATATTTCTGTGTGCCCTTCATTTGCAAAAGGTTGGGTAATCTCCAGCCCGGGTATAATTTTCCATGAGTTCGTGATGTGTGTAAGTTTCCATGCATCAATATAAAAGCATTGCATAGAGAGCAGGTGTCTTTGCTTGACGCAATGACCCGTGGAAAAAAGTCAAGAGTTGATTCGATCTCGCAATAGGCAATTAGCTGCATCTCCGAGTAAATCTTCTGAGTCTTTTAAAGTCTTCTGGACTTCTCGGGAAAAAGTCTCATTGGGATTTTTTTGGGGTTCTCTGAGAGATTGATATGCTGTGATATCTGGGAGACATCATAACTATGGCCATTGACGACGCCTAGAAGTGGTCCGATATTCTGAAAATCTGGTAAGTAGCTGGGGTTGTTTACCCTGTCGTATACTTCTCGCAGGAGGACGGTTAGCTGAAGCTTCAAATTTTGCACCGCTGGAAATCTTTTGGCAAATTTGTATAATATGCTCGCTGCCTCATGATATCTGGATATGTTGCCCACAATATTGAGAAGGCAGCTCGCAAATCTTGAATCCTGGACCACACTAGATGCACCAGTCGGAATAAGTTGCAACAGATCAGACAGGTTCGGGAGCTCATTCAAACGACCACTTGTTCCCAAAAGCGAGAGAAGGCGAGACTGGACCTGGTGTTTGAGCCATTTGTTGGCCAATAGTATGACTTCCTTTGATAGTGATTTGAACCCAGACAAGGTGACACATAAGTTCGATCTTTGGAACTTTTGGGGGCTTATTTGACCGATACCTTCTATTGCTGTCTGCAATAGGTCTGTTATTGACGGTCTCATTCCGTTTCGTTTGCTTGGAATCAGACGTAATCGACAAGGAATCCTTGAGGAGTACAGGGCAAGAACATGTCTAAGGATTGCTTCTTTAATAACTTAAGACTTGCCACCCCCCTAGCTGAAATTAATAAAGCAATCGAATGCTGTAATACAAGTCATGTTCATAAACCACGGAAAAGATCATGATGTTGACGTCGTAGAACCCTTTTAGGTAGATATCAAGACTCAAGACGCAATGATGTACCGTGAATTGTGCAACCTAACCATTGCTATTCAATATCCTGTATCGCACGTGGGGTTTCCTGATCTTTAACTGATCCTGCAGAGTCTTCCGGACTCAGACAGGTACTCAGACCTGACAATATCATGTGAAGGTTGCAAGTTCAAGGTTCGCCGTGCGTTTGTTTGTTCCCAGTTATCTTTTTTCGATGCTGTAGCCAAAGGAGGATATAAGGTAAATTCTATCGTTATTTCCAAAGTTAGTGAATATGAGTAACAGTGTCACAAGGAGGTCTCTTTATCACAAGTTGACCTGTCCGATGAACTAGCAACCATTCAACGAGAGTTATCTCGTTTCTCTATGTTCAAGACTACGAAGACACAAGCAGTCCAGACTTACAGGACAAAAAGGGTGGTTTAGATGAAGTTATAGAGCCTCATACGGCTATGTAGAATAATCTCGGAGATTTTATGGCAGCTGACAAAGTCGACATTTTATTTCTAAGACATCTTGCGAGAACCCGCCTTATCAGCTAGATTGACAAAAATACACATGGATTTACATTAGTTGTGCAAAAGATCTGGAAAACCATTCCACATCCTGAGACTGAGCTTCACGACGCCATAATCAATGCAGTTTAAGGTCATGCCAAGCAATTCCTCCCATATTGATCGATCGAAAAGGGTAAAAGCAAACGAAAAAGAATGAGAAAACTAAGTACTAGATAACCCCAAACTTTCACCGGAAATTCAGTCAGGCAAGTCTTCAAAGTCGGACTCCTGATGTGTTCACTTCTGCTTCATGCCAGCAGTTCGTTTACAACCAAGCGGAAGTCATACCGGGGCCGCTCATGTAAACATTGATCTGCATGGCCTGGAGCTTGCCGTTGTAGAACTGGAGAACCTCGAGAGTATCACCGGTGGCGTTCATGGGAGAAAGAACAGGCAGAGTTGCCTTAGCCTTCATCTCGGCGACCCACACATCCTGAGCAGCCTGCGCCTCGGACATCCTGTCAGGGATGAAGGCAGAAACGTTGCCGTTGTAGGGGTAGACCTTGCCGGGGATCATGCCGCTGGTGACAATGAATCCCAGTTCCTCGTCAATAACCAAGTTCACACGAGCATTGTCGTCAGTAGGGTGGCTGGTAGGCCAGCTGCAGCCGAGAGTCTCGGTGGTGCCGTTTCCGTACACTCCAGTGTCGACAACCTTCCAGCCGAGCTCAGTAAACTGGCAGTTGTCATCGACAATAACTTCCGTCTTGCTAGAAGTAGCAAACAGAGCTTTGCTCACAGCCTTGAGGGTCTTACGGCTATCCTTGGTGCGACTAGCCGGGGGCATCATAAGAGAGTTGTAGTTGGACGGAAGCTGAGTAGAGTTGAAGGAGAAGCCGTGATCACCACGGTTACGGTTGAGGAACAACTCGAGTTCGGTGATCTTCTGGTTGACAACCGCAATACGACCACGAAGAATGGATAACACATCGTTATTGCCCTCGCTGACATCGAGGGCGAAGTACCCAGTACCCTGAGCGACGTCTATAGCCAGCAGGCTAGGGGGGGGCAATGTTGACGATAGTGCGCCACGAGGTCATCATACTCAGCGCAGCTGGGTGCGAGTTTTCAGTGGCCTTGTAGACGGTGGCCAATGGCAGAGTTGACGGGTCATGGGCCACCATGGAGTCTAAAACTTCGGTGATTATAGCGGTCATACAGGCTCGAGAGCAGGAGCTCGTGGCAGCCCGAGCAGCAAGCTCAGCATCATGCGGCAAAGTTGCCCCGCCCACGGCAAACATGGCCATTGCGAGGCCCACTGAGAGGTTGAAGAAATCGGAAGGGGCTGGAAAGCGCATCTTTGTGTTGGTAAATCAACTGAGTCGAGAGACTTGAGGATGTGTGCTGGAACGGACAGAGTGAGGAGATGATTGCTGATGAGGGAAAGAAACCCCAGGAAGTCCACGCCTTTATACTCTTTTCTGTATTCTAGGTAACGCGTGCAACTCACATTGTGGAGAACTAGCACATTATCAGGCTTGACGCCAAGCTGGGTAGATCGTCAGGAGATTACTCAAATTCGCGCATTCGCAAGCTTCTCGTCCCATTTCCCCATGTTGGGCCCCACTTCGGTTCTCCGGCTCCTCGGGTCGTTGCTCAGTCCACCCCGGCAGACGTTCGGGTCCACACCCTATTAAAGTTGGTGCAACCGATTGATTCTACGGGTCACATGAGCCTACTATCCCAGACAGCAAATACCTGCGCAATCAGCGGCTACAGAAAGGAGACAAAGTGCGAAGGTCGCTAATCTGTGGGCTCTCTACATACGGTGAAGCGTACTCATCAGGGGAGTATATCCCCCCTAAGCTAACTCCATCCAAATTTATTCTTATGCAGATAGCTTATGGTCTTGCACACACCCTGACAGAGATACTGTACCTGATTAATTTTGCCGATGAAAAGGAGCAGTTGACGCGCTGAAAATAAATTGTGAGCTTCTGAACGTATTAAACCTATAGAAAGACGATGACATTCCCAAGCATGGCTATAGCTGTCCACCTCTGCTGCTGATTTCGAAAGAGCTATTTAGAAGGCTCTACAATGGCAGAAAAGATCTGCTTAGTACATACAAAGGTTCTCGGTGAGGTGCTTCTAAAATTTCAAGAGCGCTCCGGTAGACTATTCTATTACACCAGATACACGTTAAAGATCTGGCTCGGATTTGCTATTGTTACAGCATCTTTAAGGGTTGATTGATACTCAATGACTGAGTTTAACAGATACCTGGCTTCTTACCCGGAGTGTCGGTATAGTCATTGCATATTGTCCATGATAACGCAACCAGGCACACTTAGACAATCAATACAGCCATAAAGGTGCATCGGGGCGGAGACAAGATATTAATGCGGAGGTAATAACAGGGTAGCACTATGGACCTACAAGCGAGTCGAACTAGCTAAAGCCAGTGGTTCCTACCGTAAACCATATACGGAGTAGAGTACTAACAACTACAGAGATAGTAAACCTGATCCTATTGTTCTGTTTCCTCTAAAAAAGAATTATGGTATAAAGTATTATTTTAAGACTTAAGAGTCACAGCTAAGATAGGTTATTTTAAAGGAATATGCCTGAAATTAATTTCAAGCCTTTCCGGTAAATCTTTTCTCGTTATCAACAGCAGCACATCTAACTAGTTAATGCTGATAAATTATCACCTAATATTATAGGCAAAAAAGGAGCAACGAGACTTTTACACAGAATACAATAATATCATAAAACTAGGTGCCCATAATGTTCACAGTATCCATAAATATAGGTTTTCACCCTATAACGATGGGTAAGAATCAAAAACATGGCTTAGTTATCTCTTCTACTCAACAGATAAATATGAGTCACAATGCCTAATTTCGGGAGCAATCCGCCACCTACTTTTAAGTTTATAGGTTACGTGTTCTACGGTTAAAGCTAATAATGTGCGTGCCAAGCTGCGTCGCCCAGAAAAGTATTAGATAAGAACAGTATGTAATATATCCTAAAGCTTATAGGTAAAGGCGGTCAAAAGTATATTAGATTGCGCATTAGGTTCAAAGTCCACATTTATCCTATAACCGGGATGTGGACCTCTTCCCCCAGACTGTGTGGGGTCCCCGTGGGAGAGTCTCGCAAGCAACTCCTTACTCCGGTACCTACGCCTGTGACCATATAGTAAGTCGATACGATGCATATTTCTTCTAATACCTCTCTAAGTTTATACCACCTTTAAGACAACCCGATAAGATGAGTATTACTCAAAATCACCCTGACAGCCTTACAGGGCTGGAGAAGACTAACAGCAGCAATGCGAAGACGCTGGGCCATCTTCGTCTGCGGCATGCTGAGACCAACGAGATTATCCTAGTCCCGGCGCCGTCTTCAGACCCTAAGGACCCTCTCAATTGGTAATTCGCATAGTTCGGCGCTATCTCCCCCGAATCATTTCTCTCTGACTTCTTCCTAGGCCGAGGTGGTTCAAGATGTACACGGCAGTCGCTGTGTGCTTTGCTATGATTCTGTGCAATTTTCTTGCGGCAGGTCCCACGCTGGCCATTCTCCAGACTGCACAGGACTTCTTCCCCGATTGGATGGAGACTGGCATGGCTAGCCCTATCGCAAAGACTGCTTATTTTTTCAGCTCCACCGCACTATTCCAGGGTTTGGGTAATCTACTCTGGATGCCCCTGACCAATAAGTATGGTCGTCGCCCCGTTTATGTGGTTGCCTTTACCTTGTATACAGTCACTGCCATCTGGTGTGCTGTCGGCAAGGGCTACGCAAATTTCTTAGTGGCAAGAATTTTCATGGGATTTGCCGCTGGGGCAGGAGAGTGCCTTGCCCCTGTTACCATTACGGACGTCTACTTCCTCCATGAGCGTGGATCTATTACCGCGTAAGTCTCCTTTCTGCTGAAGACTACAGGATCATGGCTAATTAGTTCCTAGGTTGTATAACGCCTCTCTTAACCTTGGTGTCGCTGCTGGAGCTATTATCGACGGCTTCATCGTTAAGTACCACCCATGGCGCTATATCTACTACGTCGCTATTGCTCTCATCGGCGGTGTTACCCTTATCGTATACGTGACATTCCCAGAGACGGCGTTTATCAGAAAACCAGCGTCTGGAGATGATGTTACTACATTGACTGCCTCTAGTGAACGTGTCTGTCGCGTTACAAAAGGTGAAGAGGCCGGTCATTCCGAAAACCTCGAAGTTATTATCCCTAATGAGCCTGCTCAAAACCGCGGCTGGTTGAAACAAGGTCTCAAGTTGTACCACGGCACCTATACCGATGAGCCGATTTGGAAAATGGCGATTCGTCTGATTGGACTCTTGATCCTTCCACCAGTTCTTTGGGCGACGCTGGTTATGTCGGTGACTATTGGTTTTATCGTGGCTGTCACTTCTAATGTTTCACCAGCATTCAATACGGCTTATGGCTTTGAAGCTTGGCAATCTGGACTCTGCTTCTTTTCCGCTATCATTGGAGCATTGATTGGCGTTTTCCTTGGAGGCCATTTCTCTGACTGGGTCGCTGACTACTTTACTCGCCGTAACGGTGGTATTCGAGAGCCGGAGATGCGTCTTCCTGCTATCATGATCGGTACTATTACCGGACCTCTTGCCCTGGCTCTGTACGGCTGCGGTATCCACTGGAAGATGCACTGGATTGTTCCTACTATTGGCATTGGCTTGAGTAAGTCTTTCTCCCTATGGTATCCTACGTTGAATCCTTTCTCATGCTCTACAGTCAACTTCACCATCACCCAGGCCACAAACGTATCCCTAGTGTACACTATTGATAGTTACCGTCCTGTCGCCGGCGAGGTTGTTGTCACCCAGCTTGCTTTCAAGTCTGCCTTCGGGTTTTTGCTAGGATTCTACACGAACCCATGGGTTGACGAGGATGGTTACAATGTGGCCTACGGCGAAATGGCCGCGATCTGTGGCGCTGTCCTCATGCTCTGGGTCCCACTCTTCATTTGGGGCAAACAGATTCGCGAGAAGTCTATTAGCTGGCGGGTTATGCGGTGGGCGCAGTGGAATACCGACCGAGAGGTTGGCGAGTAAGGTGTTTTATGCCCACCCGATTACAACCTCAGCTCGACCGACACGATCGGGCGGGTGGATTTCCAGCGCAGATCTAGATTCATTGTTTCCTGATATATTTGGGCCTTGTAGGGGGGGTGGGTACCGATGAAATCTTCGACAGGGTTGGAGAGAATGAGAAGATTTTGTCGCATAGCCCCTACTTAGGTTCAGCAAATCTTAACAAAGTCTTTGAACTGGGGTCACTATCATAATATTATTTTATAAATGATCATTGGATAATGACATTAGGGTGTGTCACTCTTGTGAATCCAGGTAAATTGAATTTTCTTTTTCTCCTTGTCCTTTTTTAAAATCAGGATGTAAAACTGCTTTGGCATCTCACTTCTAGACTCAATCCATGGCCGCCACGAATTTACATCGTTTGCATTCTCTTATTAGTAGATACAGTATAGGTCTTCTGCCTTGTAGGCCAATGTGTCCTAGTGTTACAGGTGAAATCACGGACAAATAAAGCTCGCTTTAGATGTAGAATTTGCAGTGTCGCGCCTGTCAAGATTCGATAGGCCATTGTGTTGAAAGAAGTAACTCATCTGACTATCGTTCCAGTACTGGGTCTGGCTCTAAAGCACTTTAGCGAAACAAGTACAGTTTTTCTCACATGTCGGTCGGAACTACTTCGTGACAAAATGCCATTTGCAGCACCTTCAATCTCATAGGGAAGAGGTGAGAGATTAGCACGATCGAAATCACGTATTGTAGTGGGGGAATCGCTCTGGTGATATCAGGTGACGTTGTAGGCCTTCGGCCTGGCCTTCAAGTATATAAGCCCTCGACGATAGTTAACTTACACACACCATCGACCTTTCGGGTCACCAATGTTATTTTCGTTATTTCGGATTTCTAGCATTCGAGCAAGGGCTCGAATGTTCTGAAACGCTGTTTTCCTCAGTAGGGCACCGCCTTGTCTACTACTCTCCTGCACTCTGCGAGTGTGGTGGTTTTGTCCTCTTGCGATCGACCCGTCTGCCAACGCAGACTGCCAGCGAGCATTCTCATCTTTCATCATGTATTATAGAATGTATTGAAATTGATTTCATCACTTGCACGCAAAGATGCTTTCTTAAACTCTCCTGTGAAACTTAGTAAAACTAGTAAATTTACTCTACATCTGGTCCTATCTGTAGTATCTCAATATAGTGTAGAGTGTAGGTAGAGACTGAAAATATGTGTTCATTTTCAACTCATCTACACTCAAAAGCTGGTGAAAAAAAAGATATATGTTCAAGTATGGATGCCCTCCATCTCTTAATTCAAGTCACCCGACGTCACTGCCAATTAAAATTAGGACTGGGAGAATGAATAGGACCCGTGTATGTAGTTGCAGTTACATCAATTGTAAAAAAGCAGTATTAGCGATGCTGAAAGATTAAAATTCAAGCGAAGCACATGGCACAGAGAGCCATTCTGGTATTGCGATATAAAAAACTGCCAAGAAATATTCGATATCCTGAAGATCCTACATCAGACCACCATACGTATCTCCTTCCTCCTCCTCTTCTTCTTCCTTGTGATACCAGTTCAAATATTTTTCTTTCTCACTTTCCTTGGGCGCCGTATTCTGTTTTGGCTCTGTCGGCAATTCCTGCTTCTTCTCATCACCGTGTTGGTGATGTTGACCGTGATGTTCAAAAATTCTTTCCATCATGCCTTCATGGTGTGGTTGGTTGGATTGATTTTCTGCACTTATTCAGTGAAGGAAACCAAGAGTTTTAAGGAAATTGCAACTTACGCTGAGACTGGGACATGTTGCTTCAATGTTTTCAATGTTCACTTCAAGTTGCCAAAGAGAATCCAAATTATTATCATTAAAACGCATGTTCGCTTAATCGAAGTATATATATTTTTAAGTGGATAAAACTGAGCATTAAAAGTATGATGTCAAGCCTTAGTATCATTACATCACGAGTAGGAGGAGCCGAATCAGAAATATCTTACAATTACATCATCTCCTTTGGTACAAAGTTCATGGTTCCGCCGGCTTGAATTGAGTTGGGTGAACTTTGATTTGACCATTCATGAGTACATAGAAAATTCCACCCCTCCCAATGGTAGACCAATTGATCTGCATACCATGACTCTCATTGAGATTTTCATAATAAACTAGAATATCTGTGCTCTGTCATCTTTTCATATTAGGTGCCATTAGCATGTACACGCTTCAAGCACATGTTGCACAGAAAATTATGAATACTTGGAAATTACAACGTAGTATTTTGTACAAGGTACCTAATCTCTACTACCAGCAAGGGTTATTTAGAAGGACAGATGGATTTCAACTGAAGTCAAGTAATTGGCCTTTGTGGGATACTTGGTCTTGCTGATACGATGATGAAATTGAAGTTCGAATTGGAGTATGAACTGCATTCACCTGGATGGCTCTTGATTCCCATTGGAAGATTTAAAAACTGCATCTAATCGAGTACGCAAATGATATAAAGCCGCTTGTCGAGCAGAAAGGTTGCCTGTTGTCATTGCGGCCCGGGCGGCAGTAGTCATATTTGGTTGTCGATTAGTTCTCCAAGGTTGCTTGGTTCATCTTTACTTTTCTTATTCTCCTTCGTGTTTTTCTCTTCGTCCTCTTTGTAGTACTCTTCCAAATTTTCGTCATCTTTTTTTAAGTAGTCTTCATATGTCTTAGGTTCGGCCGGACTACTATGTGAGTCACTGTGTTTAGGAGAATGAGAAGGAGAACTTCAAGAAAAGTGACATAAAAACCTTTTGATCTTAGATTTTTCTCGATTCGGATTCTCATGGAAGTCTGGGTCATCGTTAATTCCGTATGTATTTCAGAATTGGATTACACGGACGGACTTTCAGACATAGCAAAAGGTTGACAGTCTACAGTCTTTCCTTTCTTTTCTATTATCAGAAATGAAGAGTTTCGTGACTAAAAGACTGGATCACAGGTTGATGTCTGGAAGTATTTGCTTTATTCTCGTTGGTGTACGCACCTCCTTATATCTTGAGGCCTGGGTGGATATGGGCGGATATCGATACCATGACGTCGAGACATCTTTGACATCTAGAATGAAAATTCAATTGGCTTTTTGATAAAAAAGCTTAATTCTATCCACGGTACTATACCGCCGCAAAAGTAACCCTTGAACCGAGCGAACTTTCACAGCCAGTATTACCGGTTTACTCTCAAGATTAATTTTTCATATTTATGTATAAAACATTTTGACCAGTCACATTTAAGATACTTTCGAAATTTCAATTCTACGAAATGGAGGCCCAAGCAATTTGTTGCAAATATCAAAGACATAGTCGTCAGAGAAAAGAGAAGCTTGTCTTTTTGGGAATGCACTGAACAGAAATGACGAAATCTCAAATGTAGAAGCTGAAATGTGCGAAAACTGGTTGAAGGAAACTAAGTATTACGACGCAATCTTACCTCGTGTGGCAGAGAGATTTAATTCAAGAAAAAAACCATTTATTCCTGAAAAGAGCCTTTCCACACAACCGACTCTACAAGCTGAAAGATTTGAGGTTGAATAAGAAATAGAATCTCAGTTTGGAAATAGTATTTGTTCAATGATATTAGTTTATACATACCATATGTAAATTTTATTCTCTGGACTTCTGTTGATCCCGGTCAATTTGATTCGCTGATAATGCAGGCTTGCAACATAAAAGAAAAAGCTAACAACTCATAACGAGCGTGGTGCTGAAGTGGAATAAGCAGCTTTTCACTAGAATCATGGATCCTAATCCACGGTATAGATGCCAGGTAATATCCGAAGAACGCCTATCCATCTTGGGCTTTGCTTGGATTTATCGGGTATGTGGGGAAATTCTCATCATGGCCATGGAACATTGAGCTAACATTCGGATTCAAGACCTGGATTTGGGGATGTAAACGGAACTAATTTCCGGCGGGTTTTCAGAAAAGACCAATGGATCGAATTTCATTTCCAATTATCCGCTCTGGATGGCCTTCTGTTATGCGAACGGTAAATGACGTAATACATCTAACACATGGAGTGATTATGGTAACCACTCAGCTAACTCACCACCAGCTGATATTGGGGAGGAAATACTAACTAGCTGTATGGTAATGACGCCTATAAATTTTAAACAAGAGCCCACGTTTAATGTTCAAGTTCTATGAATCTTCAATTGCAGAAGCTTTATCATCTCACATCTTATCATGTCCGCAGACAAATATTATACCCTTGCTGAAGGTGAGTGAAGCAAATAATAAAAGAATAGCCTGAATTGCCTTCGTTTTCCTAGCTTACCCAGACAAAAAGGATGCCCCTTTGCAAGCAGTAGCACTGCTGTGCTTATGCGAAACAGAGATGGAGGGGGTCTCGGACTCCTCCAAGATACGCAGCTCATCGAAACATTGGCGCATTTCTCGCGGGAGAGGATTCCGGAGCGGTAAATCGCCAATATAAGAAATTTTGTGTATTAGCTGACACTGTAGGGGATTGGAAGAGTTGTTCATGCCAAAGCTGTTGGGTAAGGCTCAAAGAGGTTTCTTCGCAGATCAAGTCCTAATAAACATCCCCATTCAAAGCGCATACGGAGAATTCGAAGCCACTGCCGATTGCTCTGACCTGACATTTGCCAGCTTTCTCAGTGAAGTTGGCAAAAAAACCCCTGTTTTACTTCGTGTCTCTACTGTTGGTCCCGAAGCAGGGTCGGCTGATACTTCTCGAGATGTTCATGGATGGGGCATGAAACTTTATACCGATGAAGGCAACCTTGATTGGGTTTTCAATAACACCGTGAGATTACTAAAATCCATCGATAAATTCCCTACTTATACCAGATTCAGCCTGTTTTCTTTATTCGTGACCCTATTAAATTCCCTTCCATGAATCGCTCTCACAAGAGACACCCACAGACCCACCTTCCCGATGCGAATATGGTAAGTTTAAGTGATCCAGCTCAAGTTATATAACAAGACTGACATGGTCTTAGTTTTGGGAGTAGGTCCAGGTAGCTTTCTTTACCTCTTCATCGCTTACATAGTATAGCTTCCATGTGGGCAATCCTGAAGGAATCCACCAGCTCTTGGTTCTTTTCAGTGACCGTGGAACTCCCCAATCTATCCGCTTTCTGAACTCCTACAGTGGTCACACATACAAGTTTACTCAAAAGGTTCGACTTCCAGCATATGACTCTCACACTAGCTAAGACTATGGAACTAGGATGGTTCTTTCAAATATATTAAAATTCACATAAAAACCCGACAAGGAGTCAAGAACTTCAGTCGACAAGAAGCTACCAAAATTGCTGGTGAGGACCCAGATTACATGATTCGAGACATGTTTGAAGCTATTGAGAGAAAGAATTACCCTGTTTGGGATGTCTTTGTACAGGTTATGGATCCCTCAGAGGCCGAAAACTATCGTTGGAATATCTTCGATATGACCAAAGTTTGGCCACATGAAGACTTCCCGTTGAGAAATATTGGCAAACTTACCCTAAACCGGAACGTACGTTACCAATTCCCCCTTGTAATATATCGATATGTTGATTGTTGACTTTTTTACAGCCTGGTAATTATTTCGCCGATATTGAACAAGCAGCATTCTCCCCATCTAATATGGTGCCTGGGTTTGCTGCTTCTGCTGATCCAGGTTAGTACCCTCAGAAGCCCCCTGAGGTTTGGAAAAGGAAGATTTAAATCTCACTTCTATCCCTTATAGTCCTTCAAGCACGACTGTTTGCATATCCAGATGCGGCTCGTTACCGTCTTGGTGTCAACTACCAGCAACTTCCAACCAACGCAGCCAAGGCACCTGTTTATTGCCCGTTTGAGAGAGATGGTAAAATGAGGTTCGATGGAAACTATGGAGGTGATCCAAATTATGTGAATTCTTCTCTTCAGCCAACAAGATTCTATCCCGAAGTTAAGGGAGTAAGCCCAAATTCGCTGAGCTTACATACCGAGCACGAGAAGTGGGTTGGTGAGGTCACCACCTACACCAGTCACATGAAGGAAGATGATTTTGTTCAGCCTGCTGCATTGTGGGAAGTCATCGGCCGTGAACCTGGACATCAGGACCGAACTATCGAAAACATTGCTCAGAGTGTTAAAGATGTCAAATCACCCAAGTTGCGAGATGGAGTATACGGTTTGTTCTCACTTAAAGTAGCGGCGTAATAGAAACTGACCCTATTATAGATCTGTTTGGTCGAGTCAGCCTGGACCTCGGGACTAAAATCAAGCGTGCGACTGAGGCCTTAATCAAAAAATGAGGAGGTCCTCATAAACTTCATTATTTATTTCTTATTTTTTAAGATATTTTCACTTTTGACACGAAAATTGGAAAATTGGTTTCATTAATTCGATGCAAACTTGTCCCAATAAATCCTAACACCACGTTATCCACGGGCCCACGTTCCTGGTTTTATAATCTAGTATATCAAATACTCGCACGGCAAACCTCCTAAAATTGCACCATTTTACCACGCGAAAAATGTGAATATTGTGAGGAGCTCAGATATTACAGAGATCAGGATACGGTGTAGCGTAGCAAGCAAAGGAAATAGTAGCGTTCGACGAAAGTAATAGCTTGAGGAGAAAAAGAAGGAAGCTAAGATGGAAGGCTAGATACACAGGTGTAGGCGTGGATGCCTAGAGTGGTGCCGTAGGAATGAGGCATCCACGAATGGTAACAACACCAGTTCGTTACAAATATGCTAAGCAACTAATAAAAGATGGTCTTCTAACCAGTATGTTGCCCCACCCAAATTATCAGGCATGACTCTCTGTCAGAGTAATGTAACGCGAGGAAGTGCAGTGGCACCACCGACAATAAAGTCAAATTCAATCTCCTTTATACATAGCCGCATCATCACATGTTGCATAGTAGATCTAATAGATACAAGGAGATTGATGAGAGCTAGTCTTTAATGATTCCGGCCGTATTTGAGAAATGAAAGTATTTTTCAGCCTATTCAGGCCATATACCCCCTCAATGATGCTGGGAAAATTGGTCCAGTGATTTCCATATTTCGGTATTGGTAGAAGACACTTCATAAGCGTTTCAGACTTAATACTGGCGCGTTTGATCTATATGTGCATATGGTGCATTGGTTGTTGAAAAAAAAAAGGAATTAATAGATCATATAGTTAAGAGGGTTATAAAATAGTATTAGAGTGTGTAAAAACTATCTATTAACTGGCGCTGTGCTGTGGGCTTGTAATACTAAGCTAGGCGGTCTTCGGTAGCGGCTCTCCGGGCCTTAGCGTTGAACGTCTGAGGCTCAAGGGGCTATACTGCTAACATGGGTCCTCTACTTTGCCATGTGAATGTTCGAGCTTAATTGATAGAAAGAGACCAAATCGTCAAATTGTGGGGGATAAGAAGTCGAGGCTGGTGTCGCCGTATTAGGCACTCAAGTGATCCGAGCAACTGAAGTTTGACGTTTCCCAATGACAAGTCGTATCATTAACTCCCAACAGCTCGGATATTCTAATGATTTATATTTACACTTCTCCCAAGTACCACACTTTTTATGTAAGCTCATTGGCGAAAGGCTCGTTTCGAGTGATTGCCAGATACAGATGATAATTCTTCGTGTCAAAGTAGCTATGTTCCTACAGAGAGCTGTAACTTCGAAGCTAACAATGCAACTAATAATAAAAACGACGCTGAGAAAAAGAAATCTCTGAAAGTAGCCATCATCATATTCTTGATAATTTCTCTCCATTGGAAATTTCTACGCCACAGTCGTCTTCATCGCAGGAATTATGGAAGCATCCGATCCTCGACGCATACCAGAGACCGCACTTTTGGGTACGAATCGTAGCCCGAAGACAATCATGCTTAAGATGAGTACCCCGACAAGAACACCTAAAGTTACCATTGCCCCGATAACACCTGCCACTCCCAGACTCATTCCTCTGCCCGAGCAAGAACCAGCAGAGGAATTAGGCGACGAATTATCACCGGCACCAGAGCTCGATGCGCAAATCCCAGTGCTATTTCCACATGCTTGACACCATTCCTTCTGTGATAGAATGGCAGTTCTCTTCGTCTCCTCCACGAATTGCGCCCACGGGAGCTCGACCGTCGATTGGCCAAAAAGCGGATAAGCCTGCAGCTGTGTCGAACCCTCGATGCTAGTTCCATTGTGGAACAGGAAACGCACTCTGATGTCTGAAGTGACGGGTATCTCAGTTCCCTCGTCATCTGTCACAAGCTCCCACGCCATGGATGAAGCATAGTTAGGAATGCCAGTGAAATTGACTGTGGTGGCTGAGAGCTCAACCAGACCAAAATATGACAGGAAAGAGGCGTACGCACCAAACTGGACGTTTAGCTTGGATTTGCCGCCAGATGTGATTGTTTCGTTAAGGGCTGTCAGAACTTCGCCTGCCAGAGTCATACCCGCAATAGCACGGATGGTGTCAGAGCTATTGTACGCCAGATTGAACTCGTGCTCGTTCGCGAGAACAAGCAGCTCTCGCATGACTGTGTCGTTGATGATGGTCGATGAAGGGAAACTTGCGGTAGAGTTGTGTATGAGAGCCACGTAGAGTAAATCCCATACAGTGTATGCATTCTTGTAGCTCAGCTCGCTGGCACTGAATGTCTCATTCACCAACGGCTCAAGTGACTGGTAGAGCCTGCGAGTGTCTGAAAACAGGCTCTCATAGGAGTTCGAGTAGAAGTAGTTATTACTGCTGACTATGGCCTTGCCACAGGAAGAGGTGCTTTGCAGCCACGTGTTGTCCTCACTCCCGCTGCCAGATTGTACATCTGACATCGGGATTAGCTGATATCCATTCAGCGGAACCTCGACGATTGATCCATTGCGCAGAGTCTCCGTGGCAATCGAACCGACGGGAGGGTAAAGCCCTTGGAGGAATCCCACTCCGGAGTTGTCGATCACATCATCTTGCGGCGCACTCGCAGTGATCTGGGCCAAGTTTACGATGTCGGTACTGATCCCATCAATCTTATAGGAAGAATTGGCCGAGATATAGCGGTCATGGAAAAATTCCCCCGTCATATACTCCTGGCTGTACCCTAGACTGGTCAACTTGGTCGGTGGCCAGGATTTTGCGGTGCGATCTCCATGACGCTGGAAGATATATGCCCCCAGAACCCGTTCTGCGTTGGTCAGGTCTGCAAGGAGCAGGGATACCGCAACAGTGAGTGTGGTGAACGGAGACATGTTTAACAGCACTCGCCTTCGCTGTCTACTGGTAAAAGGCGTATATTACGCTTCATGCTATTACTGAGGGGGTCCCGACTTTATGAATCGCCGGCCTCGTGCGGGGAATGCTAACACCCACCGCTTGATGCAGCGAAAGGTAAGTTTCGCCACTAACTAGTCGGATAGCGGCGGAGAATTTCGCTTTGATTTCAAGGTTCTGGCCGACGAAGTCGGTTTCAATTCGAGGAGGCTATACTATCACGTTTTGCTTAGAAATAGTTCTTAAAGACATGGTATCACCGTCCAGTTCAGAGGTAGAGTTTGTAGGGTGGGTGAAAACATAGAGGGCTTTCCGAAGCGAGCTAGATCCATGTGCTTCCTCAATCTATCGACAATCTAGGTATGGAAGTTCCCTGGATCTAGTCACTCGCTCGACACAAGATGAAATATACACAGACCAATAATATGCAGGGATCGGAGGAATCCATCCCGCTTTCGCTCGGGCCTACCGAAGTTTAATCACTGGTCTTAGCTGCAGGGAGGGTAGTATTCAAGTGTATTTGACAAGTGTGAGCCGGATTTTTCGAGATGTGATTGGGTTTATCCCGCCAGTGCCGCCATTATCTGCTCCTCTTGACTTGGATCCCTTGCGGTCGGGGCGTAATTCTTCTAACAGTAGACATGATTCGCTCAATAGTCCTACCTAGATTGGCACAAATTTCCAGCTTGAATGCTTGGTACGGACACCTACAACAATTTGGTTAAATTGGTGATTCATGATGCAGGAAGGGTGATGAGCTGGCATATAGCCCAAGATTTGGAAGTGCAAAGTTTGGAAATAAGAAATGATGCATCTCTGGCCTCGATAGGTCATCTTTTCTCATTAAACTGGCACCGTCTGATCGAAGACAGGATAGGTAGCTCTGCTAGAATAGCCCTACAAGCACGGGACACTACAATCAGCACAGGTATAGCAGAACACTACCACACAATGCGTTCGAAACGGGGGCTGATCAAGTTTAGAACACATGCTCTCGCGAATTGAAATCGGTATCTTCCATACAGATTCATGAAAAATACGGAGGACGTAAATGATTTCCCTCATAACACGAATTTCCATATCTACCCACCAATAAGAATCATGGGGCGATTCTTCATATTCTTCAGCTCATCCATGCCGGCATGTTTCGCCTTTTTGCGCTTCACGGCCATACCAATGATCTTTAAAATCTCGCGTTTCCTTTCATGGACTGGTTCCCCATTGCCATCATGGCGAGACGGGTTGTCCATACTTTCTAGAAAGCCAAGGCTTTTCAAGGTCTCGTTGTCGATGGGCAGCCCGTGATTTTCCTTGCGTATGATATCCCGTAGTGATACCTCTGAGTTGCCGAAAAGACAGACTTTTAAGTTGCCGTCACTGGTGATGCGGAGTCGATTGCAAGTGCCGCAGAAATTGTGCGTCATACTCGTAATAAAGCCAATGTGACCTTCAAATTCTGGGACCTTATGTGTTTTGCTTGTATCATTTTCATGATCAGCAATCTTCATTAATCCCAGATATTCACGTCTAATAACCGCAAGCATCTCTTGGTATAAGAACATCTTCTTTCGGTTCCACTTGTTCCCATAAAATGGCATATATTCAATAAATCGGATCTCAATAGGCATTTCACGACTCATTTTGACAAATGGGATAATCTCACGGTCGTTCAATCCACGCATTACAACGCAATTTATCTTGAGCTTAATGCCGGCACCAAGTCGGTTTAGTTCCAGTATGCGATCGATACTCTTCATCACAGCCTCAAACCCACTCCGACGGGTCATGATCTGGAACTGAAAGGGATCCAGGGTATCCAAGCTTAAATTCACACCCGTCAGGCCTGCTTGTACCATATCGTCTAGCTTCCGGTGTAGTGAGACGCCATTTGTGGTCAAACAAAGCTCACGAAGCCCGTTTTGCCGTAGCTGGCCAATTCCTTGCATCAACGGTACGATATCCTTCCGGACGGTTGGCTCCCCCCCCAGTTAGACGAATCTTTTTGACGCCCTGGGAGACAAAAAGTGATGATAGGTATAGTATTTTTGGCGTGGTCAACAGTTGGGCCGGTGGTGACAGCTCGATGCCTTCCTCGGGCATACAGTACAAACATCGTAAATTGCACCGCTATGTGACGCTGATCCGGAGATAGTCATGCTGGCGATAAAATCGGTCTGTGAGAAAGTCTGAGAACGGCTTGGTCGTCAATCTATCAAAGGATCGCAGAGGCCGAGATGTCTATCAAGAGAATTTGGTCAGATTACGTGACTGCTCGATTTTCAATACGAACCGAGACGCACGGGAGGTGCCCCACTTGATGTCTGTAAGCATCGTCGCCCTCCCTTCACAACTCGGAAAGTGTGTTGGATGGGAAGATTCGAGGAGAAGAGACGGAGACACGCTGTCCACTTTTTGAATTTTTGCTGGGCCATGATACACACTATCATGTTCTGGAAAAGAGAACTTACTAGGCGAAGCGGCAATCATTTCAGGTGGCCTCGGGCGAGGTCTGAGCACAGCGCCAACGCATAATACACAAATGTCTTTCATCGGACCTCGAGGTGACGTCGCATTTCTATGAAAGACGAGAAGGTTGAATATATTACCGAAGTGGTTTACAGGATATTGGCCACAACACACCGCCTATCAGAACCGGTGCTAAAGTATCGGTGACTGATCGGTCGGCTTTTGCATCCTTCGGCTGTCCGACAGCAGCTCAAAACTGTAGCGTGATGCATTACACTGATTTTATTGTTCTTGGATGATGACTCCATCGGATATTCCAACAGAAGAAACCCTCTCTGGAGAGAGCAAGAGGTTTCAGTTATAGTTCACAGATAAATCCAAGTCGATCGATTGGGTACCATGAAAATCTAAAACGAGCCAGTATTGAGGTATATTTGATGTATCTCGCACTAAGCACGGGGGGCGGGGGGGGCGGGGGCGCGGGGGGCGATAAAGTTCACATAGTTCCGCCGATTGCCATTTTTCATCAAGTCATGTCTGGCTGGCCATTCTACGGTAAAAATTGAATACAATAATAGTTCATCCGAAAATCGAGGAAACCAGCTTTTCATGAAAGCGGGGACTCGGAGACTTGGGAATACGAGATCCTTGCAGGGCAAAAAACAACCGGAGACGTTGCTAATCCAGACTTTCGTAATGTGGGAAATGCAATTGGGTGTCTTGACTAACTCCTATTCTGACCTCGGCTTTACTATCATTCAGTGGCTACAATGTTTAGGGTCGAACCACGAAAGGTGTTGCAAAGTGCCAAGTCGGAACTGGGCAGAAGGGACTGGGTGCTTTTCTGAGCCATGACTGCCAAAAATCAGTTAGGGATTAAGCGGTCGTGCCCGATGACAGATGCAGATGATTCGGTAAGGGGTATGCATGGGTACCACCATCCTTTGCTCATCAGTTGACTACTTCCTGTACATCATTCTGGTTTGAGGGGTTCTGACAGCGCGAACAACATTCACCACAGTCTACTAGTACTTGCTTAGGGAATGTGTCAATTCGCACTACACTAATCTGACATCTTTACCCACCTACTCATGTGATTATTTCGCCCAACAATATCTACAAGGTGTTCTGCTTTTATGACGAGATTGTGGTTAATGTCGAGATTCTCCATGAAAAATTATATATCGGTGACTGTTGAATTTAAGAGGTGAGCGGGGGTGTCTTACATGGGCAGACCCATGCCCTATAACTATTCGGATGAATGTTCGATTAGATGCCCCACCACATGGTGTGTACGCCAATTACAAAGGTAATTTAACGATTGAAAAAATTAACAGAATCTAGACCGCCTATTGTATTCTATATAGATCAGAGATTCATTGGTAGAGAGAGATAGTTATTTACTCGACTGCCGACCGTAAATCATGAATATTTGTCTCTTCCGAGACAACCGAACGCCTCGCAACTTGATAGTGTTGCGACGATTCAGCATTTCCTTTATTGACTAAAAATTTAACTACTACTATCCAATTGACTTCTTCCTATTTGGGATATCTTGAAGTTATCTCCAGTCTCCTGAGCCATCATTTTGTAACCAATAAAAGAGATGCCAGGTGGTTGTGAACCGCATTCCAGACAATTCCCTATCATGAAATGACTACTAGTACCATCTAAAACAAGTCGCAAGAAGGGGTATTATTATACTCGTCATTAACAGGATTGGGGGCGCGTTGTGTCCGACGGAATGTTACAGGGTACGCTTCAGAAGTCATGATGTCAATCTCTCGATTGGGGTCCTCAAGCCTTTTATGATATCTTCTATGCTGCTAGCCCGGATCGAGTCGGCATTTAAAGAAGAGAGTAATTAATTGTTTTTCCACCAGTAATTTCATTCAATAATGGATCTGTCTCGTATTTTTTGTGTAAATTAGCAACATGGTTCTGTAACATTCCCAGCCCCATAGAAAAAGTATTATAACCTATTTTAAGTTATCTTCTCGCTTCTGTGGCATGAAACAAACACATTATCAGCCATATGACGCTGTACACAAACTCTGATTTTGAACACCCAAGACAAGGATTGAATGAGATCCATGTATGACAAATACGAGAAATGATTTAGACTCTACCCAGGTGTACACTACAAGCAAGGGCTGAAATGTCGGTCTGTAGGTCCTGTAGTCAGCCAGGTATATAACTTGGTACAGATCACTTGTCTGGAAATTATTTGTTTCAAGCATTCCCCATTTTCTGATTCCATATGTCCACCCCACATCGTTCCAATATGGAGACTCGAACCAAGTATACAAAACCGATCAATAACCGCCCTGATGAGTGGAAAGTTGAGCAAGGTCTTGCTGCTTACAAACTTCCAATCCTTGATCAAAGCGGAAAATCAGTCTCCTTCGTTGCTCCGCCCCCGGAACAACCGGTCACAAAAAATGAAAAGGCCATCCGCGCTATTGGTGACCGAAGTAAACTTTTTGCCCGTGAAAAGCCGGGCTGGACAGGGTACAGTCTTCCATGAGATGACAATGTATGGCTAGATTTACCTCGACTGATCAATCACGGGACTATTTAGATACGTTGAGTGGGAGGCGTACCCCGAAAAGAAAGCCAAAGCACATGATGTTTTAACATCGCAAACTTTTGCCCCTTGTCCAGACTTTCAATGGGGACCTATACCTCCTACCAACCCTGTGTTACCCGGCGATGACTTCAAGTCATGGCATGCCGCACTAGGGGGGGGGGAGTTAACTAAAGTCCCCGATGATTCCTGGAAGACGGTTCTGAAAGAGAAACACCCTGAAATGCTGCACCTGCTGCAATTCCCGTACAACGGAGAGCCACCCAAACGATTGGTTACAGCTAAGGCTATTACTCCAAACTCGCTTCACTTTGTGCGTAATCACGGTGGTATCCCGCTTATCGACGAGAAAAAATTTGAGTTACAACTCGATGGTCTTGTCAAGTCCCCCAAAACATATACTATGAAGGATTTGATGAACGAGTCGGTTTTTCCACAGATGGAGAAGACAATTACTATGCAATGCTCAGGAACTCGTCGGATTGAGCAGATCTCTCTGTACGCTGGTCAAGGCGACGAAGTTCCCCAGGCACCGTGGGCCGAAGGTGCCATAGGCACTGCGAGATACAAAGGCATAAGTCTCAAAAAGCTGATCAAAGATTGTGGAGGGCTGGTCAGCAACGCCAAGCACCTTGAATTCTATGGCGTTGACACCTATGTGAAAGACCTTAATGTCGGTAACTACGTTGTCAGTGTCCCATGGTCCAAGGTCAAGAGCAATGAAGTTATTCTTGCCTGGGAGATGAATGGTGAGCCACTTCCTAAGATTCACGGATTCCCATTACGAGTGATCGTGATGGGATATATTGGAGCTCGCAGTGTGAAATGGCTGTATCGAATTAAGGCCATTAAGAGTCCATCCCTGGCACCTGTTCAAAGCAGAGAGTATCTGTACTTCAACCAGCAGATGGGTAAGTATAACCAACGCCCTATGGATGGAATCCAGATCCAAGAGATGCCTGTAAGCTCTGCTATCATGTCTCCATGGCAGAATCAAGTGATTATGCATAGTGGTAAGATCTGTTGCAAGGGCTGGGCTTATTCTGGTGGTGGCCGGTGGCCTGAACGTGTGGAGTTATCAGCCGATGGAGGTTTCAGTTGGTACGCTGTTCCAGAAGAGAATCTATCGAAGAAGGGAAAATGGGCTTGGAGATCATGGGAAATCGATCTTCCTTGCGATGTAGAAGGTTGGATTGAGATTGTGTGCAGATGTTGGGACAATTCTTTGAATACCCAACCACTTAATGTGCGAGCAGCCTGGAACTGGGGTCTACATGTCACGTCCTCAGCACACCGCATCAAGGTCTACAGCGTGAACAAAACCCACAAGCTCACACAACAAAAGTTGGCGCAATTTGAAGAGCATGACATTCCACTCGCTCCTCTGACCAGATACGACTCTGTTCCGGGCATTACCGACCGGGAAATTGCAAAGTACCAGGACTCCCACCCTCGCGATGTCGACGAATGATATTGACGTTCTCTTTTCGAATTCGACAAGTCTTGCAACAAAACTTCTTCAACTTAAAATACACAGAAAATTTTTGTTCACGAAGAAAATCTATCCTTAGCCAAACACACGCGTCTTCCGCCAGAGCTTGTTTGGGGCACATCAAGTCGGGCAATCAATTGCGAATGGGGTTATTGAGAGATTTTTAATCATTCGAGGCCCTTTTTCGGGCCAAAAAGTTTTAGTATCTACCAATAGGTTAAATGGCCATCCTCGGGGATAGATAGCAGCAATTTAAATCGAATCCTTGCAAGTTGAGAAACTATATGAACTTTTTGAACAAGCCAGTGTACTCGTGAAAACTGTGCTAGAAAAGGCTCGGAGGCAAACACCTGGGATTGTTGCTATTATACGTCCAAGTGGAGCTCTATGTGAGTCTAGTGAGGAAGAAGTACTCAAGTTCTCTTCGATCATGTCTTCACTGAACAATTTGGAATGTTTCTGGCGGGAATTGGGGTTTCGATATATAGGCTCTTCGGTATAGTTTGGACCTTTCTTGAATCTAAAATACGTAAACCATCGTCTAGACGCTGCTTACAACTTTAAGACCCTGACATCCTCACTAACGACTGGGATCGATCGATAATAGAAATAGTGACACTATTTGCACTTTGCTATTGTTAGCATTAAGCCTAACTGCATACGATAGATTTTAGATAAGGATAAGCCACTTCTTTAGATACGTAATTTCCATCGTGAAACCCTATTAGATACTCTCGTCACTAAAATAAAGGAAAAAGAACTACATATTGTAAGATGGGAATGCTCGCTGGCAGTCTGTCAAGCAGACGGGTCGATCACAAGAGGACAAAACCACCAGACTCGCAGAGTGCAGGAGAGAGTAGCAGTAGACAAAGCGTGACGCTATCGAGATGCGACTAATAAGACATTCGAGTCTTTATGGACATGCGATACACCGATACCGCAACCTCAGCCTCAGTAGACTCCGCAGAAAGAATAATTCATTGGTGACCCCAAAGGTGTTGTGTAAGTTAACTATCATCGAGGGCTTATATACTGCATGTAAGGCCTAAGCTAAGGCCTACAACGTCACCTGACATCACCAGAGCGGATTCCCCACTACAATATCACTATGATACTATGGTTGAAGATTTTTCAGATAATTTTGCTAGATTAAGTGATCCTAATGTTGATTGTCTTATACGACTTGGGCTCCAATAGAGTCAAGTTTAAGGCTCGAAAACTAACAACAGCATTCAACACGATAAGCCATGGCAGGCAACGCAGCTCCGTTCCGAGCGATGGACTAAGGCACGGTACAGTGAAACTAACCAAGTGCCCCCGCGCACTCTGGGGGGAGGCTGCATTACGCGAACAACAACGTTATCGAACTCTCGATCCCCCCCCTGCTCTCGATCTTTATTTCTGACACCTGGGGAGCCGCAGCACCGGCACACTGCTACGGTAACCAGGCATGTTGTTGACCTGAAATGTTGATGAGAGCCGCTACAGCGAGCGGCTGAGGTGCCGAGGGCTTTAACGACAATTGATCGATCCCCCGGTACACCATGCCCACCTACCCCCCCTTCGCTACAAGACCCCCGTGCACAGTGACCGATACACAGCTATCAGAGCCCGACAACGTTATGATACCGGGCCTCCACCGCCGCACGATGGAAATGGAAGCAGGAGCACTCACGGGTGGGGGGCAGGGAAGCGTGACAGCGGCGGCCTACATACGTGTAAGAGTTACACGCGTGTAGAAAGGCTTACACGCATGTAAGATGGCATGCGCAAGACCGACAGTTGACAACTGGCGAGTTTACGAGGACATTTTGGTGCAAACTGGTGCAAATGGATGGCATGTAGGGCAATTTCTATATATAAACCACCTCAGTGGCAAGATGTAGCTGCCGTCAGCGACACTGGAAGAGCCCTTCGGGAGCTGATAAACGGTGTATAATGCAACTCTCTCTCTCTCTCTCTCCCTCTCTCTCTCTCTCTCCCTCTCTCTCTCTCTCTCCCCCCTCTCTCTCTCTCTCCCTCTCTCTCTCTCTCTCCCTCTCTCTCTACGCTGCGCTGATCTCCGTTGTATGCGTCTGGGTGAAGATGGCAAAAATTATTCCATTGGTGTATATCTGGCAGATGTTGCACATAGTACTTTTGTCCGGGTTAAGGTCGATTGTTTACCAGGTAATTATATTACCTGATACTGTCTCGGAGCTATCATCACCGAAATTATCGGAGTTGTCTACAATATATGTCCAGCAAGGATTCCATCAACGACACCGAATTGGGACTATGCAGGTCGCAAGCTACTAGCAAATCCTAGTAGTCCTAATATTCTGAGGCATCTAACGATTCGCCGAACGTGGAGAGGGAACTGGCAGGTTCACTACAACGATGAACAAGGTACTCGACGCATGCTTTTCTGCACAATGGAAGCAAACTGGCTATCTACAGATGTTGATGAATCATGTAGATTGAATGACGAAAGCAGGGCGCTTCTTGTCTCAAGTAATCTCCTCGATCATATTACAGCGTAAATCTCTCTTGGACGTTCTCGTGTGGTTCTGGCCAGCGAGGCTATGGCCCTGAAGGATACCTATTTTTCACGAGCAATTACTTCTAAGTTTAGGGCCTATGTTGTCTCAATGTTGTATAGGTAACTCTAACAACTTCGGACTGAAAAGCGCTACATTAAGAAGGTAGTCCAATAAGAGAGTGACCTAATATTCAAGTTTTTTTCAAATGTTTAGATTAAATAAAAACATGACCTCATGGGTTTGGAGCGCAGAAAGGCGTCCGAAAAGGGAGACTTCGATATTCAATTCAATTAGCCCGATACAGCCTAACTTATAGCGGAATTGAAATTAAAGCGTTCCCTCCATCGCCTAGTGGGACCTCCAAAGGGATCCGGAGAAGGGAAAGAAATCTCCATTTCTTGCGAATCAATCAGCGAGAGCAAAGCTCTTCTTCTCGCTTCCTGATCGCTTGCTTCATCAGAATAGGTCGAGTAGTCTCCATCTGGAGTCAACCTTTTCTCAATTGGAGGCTCCATCAATCCTGCAGAGTAATATCGCCAAGGGTCCCAAATGTAGATACCAAGTGGTTTGAAAGAATTCCAGTCATCCTTAGAGGTGTAAACTTTGCTGATGGCACCTTGTCTCGGGAGTTTGTCGAAATCATCAACTCGCTCTGTAGTCAAATGCCGATATCTTGGACTCAAATACCAAGAGTCACCGACCTCGTCGTCCAGTGGGAGGATCGGCGGCGGGGCCCATATAGGGAAATCAATACCTTTCTTTAGCTCGAGGCTCAAGAGAAATGGAAGATAATCATAAAATTTGTCTTGAAATCTTGGAGGGATCGCTGGAGGCGACGGAATGACGACTTCTTTCAAAACTTCGTAAACAGTTCTAACTTCTTCGGTCATAGCATGTGAAAGGCCCCTTTTATGTGCGTATCCTTCAAGTGCCCATTCGTACTCCTTGTTCCACCCTGTCGAACGAACTGCTGCGTATATATCGGAATATATCTGCAAAATCCAGAGCGCCCTGTAGACGCGGAGCTCTTCTATCCAAGAAAATGGACCAAAAGCAGCGTGGGCACGACGAACATGGATATCTGGAGCCCCTTTGATCGCATCCTCTAGGTTTCCCAGCATCAGGCACAGACAGGCACAAGCTAAGCGTTGTATTTGGGCAGCGACCTTGATCATTCCTCGCATCACATCAGATGCCTCGGACTGACTCCTACCACGAAAGTGCAGACTGAGACACCTTTCCGATGAAATCGACATGGTAGTGGAGATACTCAGTTCCGGGAACTTGGAGCGAAATGAAGGAGTGCGGATACAGACAATTTCTCGAAAGAATCGATGTATGTCACAGCTGAAAGTGTTGGGTATGCTCAGAGAAGAATCCTGATCTCTGCTGGGGTTTAGAATATCACGGTCTATTAGGCCGACCTTGGGTAAAGGTTTTGTTATTGAACAAGCACGAAGAACCTTCTCTGTTATCCTGACACTGTGGGTCTGGAAGATGATTGCAGCTCGGGGTAAGCACCGGAGCAGACTATCGAGTCCATAGAAATCATCTACATGCTCGATGATTATGATAAGAACCTCTGTGGGTATTCGCTCGAGTCCATCCATTGTGTGATAAACGAAGATCAAAGAAATGGAATGTGATAGGTTAAGGGGCGGGGCAATGTCAGACTCAGACTGTTTGGGGCCTCTATTTGGGGCCACTCTGGATTGGGTTTAGTTGGGATAGCGAGGGTACATCTCAAGCGTTTCAGAATTCGCGGATCAGAGTAGTAGTGTAGGTATTTCGCACATTTGGGAAGATCGATATGAGATAAATTAGAAAAGATGATCAATTAAAGATCAACCTAGAAATTCTCGAATAAATGATTGTGGCTGGGAGATGCATCAATATCAATTTCCTTGTCGTCCGTTTGTACTGGTCTGGGCGCCAAGACTTTAGGCTGCTTGCCTTCTGCCACTCATCTTTGCTCGTTCGCAACTTCAATTTTACCAAAGACATACTTCTGTCTGGCTTGAAATCGACAATGTCTACTGCAAGCCCTCATAGGGTTCTGGTAAGACCTAGAGGTCGTCCTTGTAAATCTTCTACCGGTACAGTCGACTCAGTACGGGCATCTCTCCCCCTTTTCCGTGCGGCGCTCACCGGATCCACAGGAACGAAGGAGACAGATTCGCGATGCTCAAAGAGCCTATAGATCGCGTCAACAAAGCCTACTTGAATCTCTTAAGGAACGAAACGCACAACTGGAGAATGTTATCGGCCAACTCTCTGAGATCATGCACTCGTTCCATGAAGCCAAAGCGAACCCACATCTTCCGTTATCAAACCTTTCAAAGGCGGTTGATCTGCTCGAAGACGAGATCACACTTCAATTGAAACGTGCAGAAAAATCTCCTTTAAGAGAAAATCCTCATAGCCCTACGCAATTGCCAATTTTCAAGGAAAGAATGCAGAACCTTCTGGTTCAGCCTTCTTTGGTCCTGGCGAAGACAGGTTATCCGCCGCCTTCCATTATAAAGCAATCCGATTCTCCGTTCTGGACATCATTTCTTCAAACATCTCATCCACTCATCCCGAGTGCTGTGCGCACACCAATCAACGCTTCTTTCGATGTATCTACAGCCACGCTGGGTCTCCACGACCAGTCAATTCCCTACGCAACCACTCACTTCACACAAAAGCTCTTTCAGGCGTGTGCTGAAAGTGGCCATCGCTATCTAACAAATGAGGCTGTTACTGATCACGAAATGTGGCATGAATTCGGTCTCATGCTGCAAAAGGTCCCGAGGGCCCAAATCACGTCTTACTTCCAACGAGTCCTAGCAGCAACACCCTGCAACCCTGTCGAGGACTTTCAGTTTCCGTTCATTAGCCTCGGCGGTGCAGGTACACACTTTCCCCGCACAAAACGAATGTCGATCGGTGCATCCGGATTGCAGAATCTACTTCCATTCCAGACGACAAATGGAATTATGGAACTGCCTTCCGATGAGCAATGGTTCGATGTTCATGACGTTGAGGGCTTCTTATCAAGCCGAGGGATCTTGATGGAATCCAACCGGTCGCTTCCGACAAATCCTGAATTGGCTGGCACACAATCGATGTCTCTGAGACCCTTGCAGCCTTCCTTTGAGCAAACCGTGGAAAATGAATACCTTTCTTTCGACCAGAATTCTTCTATAATGCCGAATTTGAGCATAGATGAGAGTTTTATTATCACAGGTAAATACAAAACTTCTAATATTTAAATCTGCCCTGTTGACATCGAAACAGAACTCAGTCGGCTTTGCATTTGTATTGGATGTGCAGCTGCGTTTCGCCGACGCGATGTGGAGGCTCTTATCTCCCATGGTGTTCAAAAAATTCCAGACACGAACCTCGCGTCTATCGACATATGAAGCCTTTTTCAGAAGTCCATTGTCATTTTCGATTGTAAAATGAGAAAGTCGAGGTTGATCAAAAGCCAATCCGACTAATTTTGCTCGATCATTTGATTGCCTTTCTCCGGCTCATCACATCTTCACGCCAGAACCACAAGGCTGCAGCGCTGGCACCTGGCCCAATAAGCACAAATCCGGCCATCAAGTAGCCGAGCCCAGCTTTCCAATCAACCCGTGACAGTCCTGCTCTGTGGAGATCAGCAATATTCACCAAGCTCCATATGAAGCTAGCTGCTGTCACGAGAAGAAAGTCATTCTGGAAGAAAACAAATACACCGTCCGCCAACGTTTCAACTCTAGCAAATGAATCTCCGGGAACAAAGATCTGCATCAGCGAAATTTCGTTCGAAATGAAACAGCCAATGACAACGCTGAGATGGATACAGGCTGCGATCGTTCCAGTTGTCTGATAAATGGCACGCAAGTGAAACATGTCATCTCCGGGTGACCCTGGATTCTGCCCACTTGGTTTCTTCACCACCGCATTGGCGAGCTTTGCAAAGACATATGTGAAGCAAGAGACTAGTGCAGGTGCAGGCTGCCAGGCCGCAATAACGGCCTGTAGGCTCTCAGTGTCCTTGAATGGAAAGAAGAGCAGAATGGTGGGCACGATGAATCCAAGTATGAGCGCTGGGAGAATGAACTTGGCCACAAGTACCTCTCGGCCGGGTACGAGGAGGAATATAGATTTCCGCGAGACGAAAAGGCTGGCAGCGAAGTACAGTGGTGCGATGAATCCAATTCCGCGCAGCTGGTACAAAATACCCCAAATGCTGGGACTGTATGGGGAATTAGCAAAGTTCAAGTTCTATGTTGGGGCTTTTTTACCTTGCTATCATGGACCACCTGTTCTTCTGTCGATATCCCTCGATAGTAAAAATGGCAATGAGCGGCAGCATCGACGACAAGAAATACAGAAGCTGCAATGGCTGCTCTTGTCGAGGGCTGGTAATAGCCGGTAGGAAGATTGACACGAGTGTCATGAGAATTTTGTCAACAGATTGCACGCCTGTGTAAGACTCACGCAAGCTTCCACTCAAGTCGCCAATTGAGCGACTGATGACTGCTTCATGGACCAGAGACCAGGTGCCATTTACCTTTCCAGCTGCGAACAGTAGTTGAAATGCAACTACCGCGAAGGCCGCAAAGACGATGTACAACAGATATCCAAATGGTCCACGAGCGGATGGGGCTCTGAGCAACTCGTCGTAGAAAGGGATTGTATGGTCCCTCTCAGGTGCCGGAAGCATGTTTAAGGAAACACCCGAAGCATATGTGTCGACCCATCGATCTGTCAGCACGCTTTTTGGAACATACGGTATGACGTATCTAGCGACGAATTTCAAAACAGAAGTCTCCATGCATTCCATGCGCTGTCTGGCATGCGACTGTTTGACGAGAGACCAAGTACGATCCTCGCGTTGTCGCTGAGTTTTCTCGAAAATAGACGCGATTTCTGTTGTTGACAGGTTTCCCGAATCGCTCTTCTTCAAAGACGCGACCAAATGATTGGCCAAGGATGCTGCAGTTTCAATTGCATTATTGCCTCCTTGCCCGGTCAATGGCTCGAACTAAATCGTTATTGTTAGAGACTGTCCAAAATTCCCAAAAGTCGTAATACATACCTTGTGTGCTGCATCACCAGTGGTCATGATTCTTTGAAAATACCATTTCTTGTACACGTACTCCGGTAGAGCTGTGTACACGGAGCTTATCTTGTGTTTGTATAAGTCTGAGAATTGCAGTGTCGGGGTGATATAGTCGTCCCAGTGTTCCTTGACAAGCTTTTCCTCGTCTTCTTTCGTGTAACGTGGAATCTCAGAACCATGGAGTGTTTTGCCCATGTTTTTAACTAGAAACCAATAAGTCCTGTCTCCCGGACCGCTTGGGACCAGGTAAGAGAAATGCTCGTTGAAAACCGAGTTCAGAGTTCCTTTCTCCACACCCGGTCCTCCTTTCGATATACCGAAGATGCACGCGTATGTTGCTGGGAGGGCTTTTATTCAAGTCAGCTTCCGGCATCTCAGTGGTTACAAAAGGGTGTCGCACCATCTTTCTCGGACGGATCGATCCATGTTGGATCTAACTTCTGCGCGCTCTCCCACATCTGTTGTCGAACAGCCGAATGGATACCATCTGCGCCAACAACGAATGTTCCCGTGAATTCCTTTCCGGACTGTGTAGTAATCGCCACATGGGTGGGGTGGTTTTTCACAGTAACTACTCTCTCGGAAGTTAGGATCTTGTCTTTTTGCTGAATCTTGTCATACAAGATTTGAATCAACATGCGCCGGTCGAAAAACACGCATGGGTAACCATGTCTTCGGAATGTTAGCAAGAGTCCTCGAATATCATTCATTCCTCAGAATGGTACGGATATGGAATCACAAACCTTTCAGAGATTCTTTCATTGAAATCCTCAAAAGACCAGAACACTTTTCCACGCGAATCACGAAAGGTCACCTTTTCGACTGGGTATTCAGATTCGGCGAGAACTCGTTCGTAGCACCCTAGTTGATCAAGAATTCGCAGACCATTTGGTAAAAGACCAATGCTTGCTCCAGCCTGGGGCGCAATGTCGCGATAAGCTTCCAATACCAGAAAGTCAATGCCGTTCTTCTCCAGCATCAATGCCAGAGATAGACCAGCGATGCTTCCCCCCCGCAATGATCACCTTCATGTCTTTGGGGGACATAATGAAATAAGAATGGGGCCAAAATACTGGACAGACTTTCTCTACGTACTCCGAATGAGAACTAGACAATCATTTATAGTCTTGAATTGGCCCACAGCTGAATCTGGGGGCTCCCCTGATTTGTATGGCGGTTCCACATTTTTTCCGGCAGCCTTGCGCGCACTTCCTCAGCTGGGCCAAGTTGCGGGATTCACACACATTAACCGTCGTCGAAATTGCCCCGAGTCCTCCATGATCAATAATCAAGCCAATCATATTGCGGATAAGAGTGGATAAGGGTGAACTTCTGACTGTGGGTCTACTCCGTTCCTACGGCCGCGGCTGATCACAATCAACCGAGATTCCCAATCGTAAAGTTCGAGGCTGATAAACATTGAAACAACCCGTATTCATAAATTGATATAGAGAGGCACATTTGTTGAGCCATCATCTTCGACCATTGTGCGACATTCAACTCATACACCTCTCGGCGTACTATATACTTTCCGAGCGAGAGAGAATGTGAACTGCAGGAGATCTGCCAGAGCACGAGAAATTAATTCTGCCTAAGAAAATCAATTATAAGTCCAGAAATTTCTTCCGGCTTATCATGCTGCGAGAAATGCCCCGCACCGTCCACAACATCAAGCTTCGATCCAGGAATCGTCTCGTTCAATTTATACGCCCAATCAACAACCTGCCAAGCATCATCCTTGCCCCAAATTAGGTGAACCGGCAATTGACCCAGAGTCGGAAGTTGATCAGCGATCTCCATCGTATGCTTCGGATCATAGTGTCGAATTTGATGCTGGAAATAACTGCCCTGTCCGATGGGGCCAGAGATATATTCAAGGAAAGTGTCCAAAGTGCCCTCATTCTCGAACTTCTTTTTCTCATATACCCCGGACAAAAGCCATTCTCTAAAATGGGCCCGATGGTCCCCATCTGAAGCGGTTATCATGTTCTCAAGACCATTCTCCATCAATTGCTTTGTTCTCGGGGACGGATAACTGTCAAAAGAGACCGTGTCGATAAGTGTCAAAGACTTAACACGCTCTGGTGAACGAATACTAAAGCGCTGTGCAATGGCGCCGCCAAAATCGTGCGCCAGGATATGTGTCTTGTCTATATTCCAGAAAGAAAGAAGACCCTCGAAGATCGGAACTTGCGCTGTTGGAGATGTGTCGGTTGATTGATTCCAGGGACGCTCGGATAGTCCGTATCCGAGAAGGTCAAAGAGGTGGACTTTGTAGCCAGCTTTCACTAGATTGGGGACAATGTCACGCCAGACGAGTGAAGAAAAGGGCGTACCATGAAGTAAGACAATCGGTTCGCCGTCTCCGAATATGCCATAGGCGATGCGATTCCCGTTGATGAGAGTATTCTGAGTAGCAAGGGGCTCCATTTTTCTGATCAGATGTTTATCGGCTGACTCTGAAGTTTGTCAATGGGCATTGATTTATATATCTGTCTTGGATTATTTGTAAGCTCAGTTTATTTGGTTTAATTCTACGTCATACCAGATTCAAGTATGAATCTACGAAAATACGAGGTTGATTTCAAAGCATGAGGGGTTGGCGTGGGGCCCCGCTATAGTTATACCAGTACCGATATCGATTAAGTTTGTGACCAACTCATTTATAGTGGGCCACCCTGAACCATATCAAGCAACGTCGTTTTAATCTTCACATATGCATAATCGTACGATGACTCATATTTAATCATGCCGTCGTGGCTACTATTGATCAATATGTGTGGCGAGAGTCGTTGGAACGAAGGCTATCCACAATACAAAAGGTTAGCAACAATAAGGAATGCAATCTTGTCTCTGAATAATTATTGGAATATGTTACCGGAGTTTCTCTACCGGGAGAGCCATGTAGCTGAGCACATTCATATGCGAAACAAGTTCTAAACTCATTCGCAATCAAGCAATATCTTTCGAGCACGGACAGCATCCAGCGTGCTTCTTCAAAGTCGGCGTTTTGCTGTTGCGGTGATTTCTCAAGGAGACTAATATACCTTTTCAAACCATCAAGCCTGGAATCTAATTCAGGTGTTCCCATGAAAATAGTCACACGTGTCGAAAGGCTTATACTGCGAAGATTTGTAGCCAAGGACCTTGCATCGGTTGGGTCTTTCGATGCTGAATATAGTATTGCCTAATAACAGGTATCAACATGAATATAAATCTTCGGAATTCTAGCACGCTTGTAGAAGGTTTACATACACTTTTGACTACAGTGCCGCCTTGGCTATGGGCAATGAATATTATAGGGCGCGAATGTGTCTGTGGTTGGGATTTAGCCTGCACTACCTCTCTCTAAAAACGAGTTTTATGAACATACTTCATCTAAGCCTCTCACGTTGCATAGCTCCTCGACTAATCTTTCGGAAATTGTTTGGAAGACCGGTGCTTGAGAGCCGACATTCGTGGTCTGCGTATCGTAGCCCCAGGTATAGATTCTTGAATTGGGTAGATCCGATGGTAAAAGACTCTGAAGCCAATTCACTCCATTTGAAGCAGTCCATGATTTTTCGCGGTGCCCGTTCAAGCCATGGACCGCGACGATACTGTCAAGTGATATTAGTTGGGTCAAATGCTTTTTCAAATATCTTGAGATGGTCGTCCTACTCCACTTTAGCACTGGATCTATTGTAAAGCAATTTCAATCCAGTTTCGTCAAGTTTAGCTATATTTTCGGTCTAACGCGGAAGTTCGTTAATTTGAATAACCTTAACGTTGTCAAGGCCATTTGCAATGCTTGCTTACCTGTTTGTTTTCTGGTGACTCATCTTCTCTATATTTGAAGAGCTGAGAGAATTTATGGATTAAACGTCTCATTTTCGAATTAGTGAATTGTATGGTCACAGGTGCACTAAAAATTCCTTTCCACATTCGCACAAACTTGTTGATGATGCAAGAAGATTGTTGATTTGGATTGATCCCCGCCACTTGAAAGTTGCTCGGATGATAAGCAACGATAAGCTTGTAGTTCCCCTCATCACGTGGGGCAAGCATCCACCAAAAATTTCACATCTTTAACTCACCCTTCAATCCCAACTCTTCAGAAAAAATCGAATTATATACAATGTCACCAAATTCAGGCAATCCATGCCAAGCACCCGGGGCAGAATCAGTCCCCGCCGACTCCAAAATCAACCATGAAGCCTCCATCAACTACTGGAGCAGCTTACCAAGTACGAACAGTAACATGCTAGGCATGCTCGGTACATATCCGTGGTATACACGAATTGAACTCCAAGGATCAAAAGCCTTCCTCACAAAAGTCCGGCGGTTAATACCTGGTCTGCCCACGAGCGGTAAATTCGCACTTGGGGCAGATTGTGGTGCGGGAGTGGGGCGCGTTACGGAGGGCTTTTTATCCCATGTCTGTGAGGTTGTCGATGCGGTAGAACCAGTCAAGAAATTCACGGATGTTTTGGCAAACAGTCAGCTCAAGACGGATGGTGTTGTTGGAGATATATACACCGTTGGTTTGGAGAATTGGTATCCGGAAGTTGAAGGAAAGAAATACGACCTCATCTGGACCCAGTGGTGTGTGGGTCATTTGACGGATGTGCAATTGATTGATTATATCGTGCGATGCCGGAGTTCGCTTGCTGAGAGTGGATTGGTGGTTTTGAAGGAGAATTTGTCTACGGATCCTCAGGGGCTGGATATGTTTGATGAGGAGGATAGTAGTGTCACGCGTACCGACAAAAAGTTCAAGCAGATATTTGAGGCGGCGGGAATGGATGTCATCAAGTCGGAGATTCAGACGGGTTTTCCGAAGCAGTTTAAATTGCTTCCGGTTAAATCTTATGCGCTGCGACCAAAGTCTTGAAGCTGAGTTAGCTTTCTTGATATTCTGAATGTGGGGATGATTGTCCATTCAGACATTCGAGCATTCACTCATGACCAATTGCAAACTATGGATTGCTGCAACGGTCTTGTCATTTATATCAACTGCTGTTGATCCATACCCGGGCGAAGTCCTTTGAAAGGAATATCCATAGCAAACGCAACAAACCAAAGTGGCAGCGATCGAAAGAGATACTATTGCCACCGGGCCTCCCACGGTTTCCGGTAATACTTCGATCTCTCGATAGATATATGGGAAATATCATTGCAACCGTACTTTTCAGCTCATACCCGACGACTCGGAACAGCCTTGGAATCGAACATTGGATTGCGACAGGATCTGCTCTTCTTTATCAAACAGAGTATCATGGATTAATACCAAAATCGTCCGAATCGCTTTCCTAGCCAGATTGATTCGGTGTGATAAAAGCCGTTAAGCTTTAGTAAAGGGTCCAAGATCAGCTCTATGCTGAGCAGAAATAGTGTTTTAGGATGCTGTGGTCTCTTTCATTTTCCATCAAGAATAGCACCACATAGTCCACGGGCTTAGCTGAACTACATCACAGTTTGTAGATTTAGGCCACACCAAACAAACAGAAAATAGTACTAATATTAGACGCAGTATATGTACGTTCGTTCCATTCCGATTCTCGTTCTCCGATAAACAAGACAAGAATGTATTATGAATAAACAGTTGTTTAGAAAGGGAGGGGGGGGGGGGGTGTAGCCTCATCTCATTCATCGTTCCCTATGTCCACCATGAACCAATTGTTTTTCTTGGTTTTCCACTTGCAAGAAAGGAACCCTTCGCTTCTAAAAGAGCAGAAAAAGGGAAAAACACAAAACACAAAACAAAAACTCCCTTTACACCTACAAGCCACTCCATAGTTACAGAAAAATGTGGAGAAACAAGTCATGCTTTATGCTCATGCTTCGCCTTCGCCGCGGCGCAAGGCCAGCAATGCCCGGACATCGGTGACATATTGCAGTGCCTCGAACGTAGGAATTAGGTGCAGCAGACCGTTATCCGTTGGGTCGTTGATCCAGCCCTCGATCGGAACAGCATTGTCTAGAACAGACGAGAGGCGTTAGTGTGGAGATAAATTATGCGAGTGCAAATGCAGATCCATACCTTCGTGGAAAATGTAGCTCATCGGGCTGTTGTCCAAGATCATGACCTTGCTCAGGTCGGGCTCTACAGAGCTGAGGTCCTTGATATACGCACCCTGGCGGAATGTACAGTGCTGTCGGTAATAGCGGGCCTGGAAGTACTTGCGCTCCTGCTCGAGCCAGTCGATCACGGGGTCGGCATACTCCTGGACACTGGCAGTGAAGATGACCAGTTTGTACCACTTGGAGACCTTGCGCAAGAACTCATCGCAATGCGGCCGTTTATGAACATAGTACAAGATAGGATGTTGAGGTCCCAGGGTAGCCTGCGGCCCACCCGGTGTCAAGGCGGTGGTCATGGGCATGGATAGCTTAACCTCGACCATATGGCCACTAGACATACGGCCGCCTTTGGCAAGCGAGTGGATGAGGGTCTCGTCGAGATCCAAGACCAGCGTCTTTTGTGGGAGTCGGGCATTGCGCGGGGCTGCGGTATATGAAGGTAGTCGCGGGGGGAGGAGAGGCCGCGGCGGATCGGGGGAAGAATGTGGGTATTTGGTGATGCGATGAACAGAGGAAGAGGTGGGGGATTTCAAGCTATCGGCGCCCTGAACGCGGGTCACACCCTCAGGCATTGGATGACCAAGATCTGCACTCTGAGTCCGGCGCTGCCTCTGTCGTTTGGAAACTTCCTCGTTATGTAGCTTGATGCGGATCGACCGGCGCGGAGTATTATCATCTGGATTGGTATCGGGGAAAGGTTCGATATCCACGCTCGGGGTCCTGCTGGAATTTCTGCTATGTCGAGGTTTCGCGCTTGGAGTGCCTTTGATATTCCGTTTATCTGTATCCGATTCCGAGGTTGTCGATATGATGGAATCTCGTGATGTTTGCGATTTCAACTTGCGGGTGGAGTCACTGCGCCGCCGACCTTCTACCCGAGGAGAGGCCCCTTTATCCGACCGGATCCTGGAGTCGGCAGAAGGATGGCGCCAAATTTTCCTCACTGGAGCTAAAAGCGAATAGTGCCCGTCATCGTTTTGGAAGCATTGGGCTAAGTAAATTCCTGGTGCCGCTAGCGTAGATAGAATGAAGTGTATCGTTTCCGTGATCGCATCGAAGATTCGGTGGGTGAAAAGTCGCCAGGTACTTTTAGTTACCAGAGTTCCATCCTTTTGAATTCCGTGGAGTAAAGTCGATTTCTCGTCATATGAGTGGTGATTATCGTCGTCGTCGTCGTCTTGGTCATCGGCTGATGCGACACCGTCGTAACTCTTGTCAAAAGCAACACTAGACCGGAAGTTGTCGCTACTGTAAGATCGATGCTTTGCGAAGTCGCCGGGCAAGGTCTTGCGCCTTTTCTCGCCCTGGGATTGTGATCGCGGACGCGGTGAGCTGGAAGACTGGCCGATGACTCGCGAGGAAAGGATGTTCAGCGAGTTCATCTTCCAACGAGGCCCACGGGGACAAAAACAAGGAGGTCTAAATAAAAGATGATCGTGAGTGAGTCGTCACCACATAAGGTAGGCCATGGGCCAAGATGAAGTTCGTCAAAGGTCGTTCGGGGGGTGGTTCTCAAGGGGAAAGAGACATGGGCAAGGAGGAAGCTAGTGCAAGTGCAAGGTGAGCAGGGTGAGCGTTGGGACCAACCTCGATGCGCCAGTCACCCGAGCCTCGGAACTACTTCCACGACGCCCAGTCCGATATCTACCGTGGAGGGGCGGAAATGCAGTAGAACCCAAAAGTAATCAAAGAAACAAAGGGTAGTAAGAAATTCGATGCTGGTCTATAAGGAAAAAAAGAAAAGAAAATGGGGGGGGGGGACAAAGATGAGGAGAGAAAGAGAAGAGGAGAGGTTCGCAAGTGTGGGGAAGCGGACAAAGTCGAACGGCAGAAAATCAACTTGACCTTCTTTTTGCTGCTTGCCCACTTTGACATACTGCAATACTCTTCTGCACGAGAAAGGGTTGGGAAGATTCCAAAGACGATCAAGAGGAATAGTATGTTAATCTCAGTGCTCATGTCTATGCTCACTATATACGGAATCCTATATCCTATATTCCACCTGCTTATAATCTTCTTCAGCTCCTCTACAACCATCCCACATGCCGTCCACGTCGTTGGCCCTGACACCAGGCCTGTCGTCTTTTCTCAAATCTCTCAAGTCCAATCCTATTGATACTTCAATCGAGAATCTCATCTCGTACGTCTCATACCTCTCAACGTGCTTTGCGCTGTGCGCTGTGCGATATGCGCGACGCTGTATTCCCCCTGCTAATGACTCAACGCCAGACTCCTAAAACGCCGCCAAATCTGCCATTCACGATCCTCCGCTACCGCAACCGCCTACCTACTCCGCAGTGTGGTCTCTCTATGTCGGACGTCCGAGTCGTCTAAGCTCATCGAGCGAGTGCAGAGTGTGGGCCGCCGCCTCATGGCCGCGCAGCCGCGCGAGATGGTGGTGGGGAATATTGTGCGACGAGTCCTCGGTCTCATTCGCGACGAAGCAGAGGACGATCGCGAGGCAGAATTCGCCCTCAGTGAATCGGAGAGTCAACCTCAAACCCCTCGGGCTTTCGATGGTGAGTGTACTAGTCTGCCGTAAATATACGCTTGGGAATTCAGCCCCGCTAACCCAGACCAAATAGATGCATCATTGCCCTTGGATCGCGATTCTCTCGCCTTAGGCGCAGAACGCCCCAGTCGTCCCCCACTAACATCCATGTTCAGTCTTCTTTCTCACCCCGAACCAGAAGCCTCCCTGCCCAGCACACCAGGCTCTCAATCTCCGGGCGGACAAAACAACTTCACAAAGGATCTCCGTGCCGAGGTGCTGGAGGGTATCAATGAAATCATCGACGAGCTCGGCCAAGTCGACGAGCAGATCTCAAACTACGCCCTCGAGCACATCCACTCCAACGAGATCATCCTAACCCACACATCCTCCACCACCGTGCAAAAGTTCCTCCTCCGAGCCGCAACCAAGCGCAAGTTCACCGTCATCCACGCAGAGTCATACCCCAACAACCACGAGGTCACACACGCCACCGTTGGCGGTAACCTCCGCGACGATTACGAGCTGCTGAGCTTCGAATCCTTCCAGAAACCCCTCATCGCCCACGGCATCACGGTCATCCTGATCCCAGACTCTGCCGTCTTCGCCATGATGTCCCGAGTCAACAAGGTCATCCTGGGCACGCACTCCGTCCTTGCTAACGGTGGTCTCGTCGCGGCCGCTGGTACCCGTGTCATTGCGCGCGCAGCAAAGGTCCACCAAACCCCCGTCGTAGTGGTTAGCGGCGTCTACAAACTGAGTCCAGTATATCCGTTCGACTTCGACTCTCTCATCGAATATGGTGATGCCAGCAAGGTCCTTCCCTACGAGGACGGCGATCTTGTCGACCAAATTGATGTTCAGAACCCGCTCTACGATTACGTTCCTGCGGAGCTGGTGGATCTTTACATTACCAATCTGTGCGTATCCCTTTTACTGCTATATACTTTCATCACAACCATTTTTAACGTTTTCGCAGCGGTGGCCATGCTCCATCATATCTCTACAGGATTGTCTCTGACCATTACCGGAAGGAGGATATTAGCTTCTGAGCGGTTATGAATAGTTACGTAGTATAGAGACAAAAAGTGACCAGGTTAACGAAAGAATATGAGCTTCTTATGAGGTGCATTTTAAATTTGCATTTAAAAAAACTTTTCACCGGTTATACCTAGTAGTAAATTGAATGTACTAGAGATCAGTACTAGTATGCAAATAGTAGCCCTGAACTCCTAGAGTAACAGTAGAAATCTACAGTTGTTTACCTAGGTATGAGGTCGGCCGAGCAGCCTGGAACCAACCATACCAAGGTATGAGCATAGGGTATTTAATTAATAGTAAGTCATTACTAATACTAGTATGGGAATACTGAATTTTTATTAGAATATAGTTACAGCAGCGGTATTATGGTACTCCAGGGCTAGTACTATCATTCTGGACAAGTTCAAGTTGATTTTTGGCGGCATGGTGGGAGTCAACCCGAACTAAAAATATATATCAAGCCCTGGAGTGGAACATATGCATAAAGCAAACCATAAAATGATTCCTGATGTTCAACTTGAAGGTTTAATGCTTCTACTATATTATCTAATTGATCAGGATAATCTATGATTGTGAGAACAAGGTGTTCCGAGTGGCTATAACCACCTGGGCGTGACGAAGTGATAGAAAATCTAGATATCTCAAGGTTGACTCAGATCCGTAGAGCCACTGCAAGTGGCATTCTCCACAAATCAGAATTATCGTAGCTGGCCATTAGCACCCAATAAACTGCTAGCGAAGTCAAAAATAAACAATAGATGACAACATTAGGAGCTCTTGGTATCTGATCACAGAAAGTACATAGTAACCACCAGATACGAGAAGTAGTTACAAACTGGGGTCTCCCAACACTCGCGGACCTGGACATGTCCCATGAATATCATCCGGGGCAATAAATGCAATTACATCGCTACAAAGCATATACACGCGGGGCCGTCTTATCAAACCGCGGGGAGACAGTCAAGTCCCCTTAGAACCAAGAAGAAAGTGTTTGAAAGGTCGTAGCGCCAAATTTTTGGAATTGTATCGAAATCGTGGTTAATTCACATCAAACCAGCACCAGACCGGAAGTCCGCCCCTAGAGGGGTAGTAATTCCCAAAAAAAAATTCTCATGAAATCCAGGCGCTAACATGGAACGGAACTTCCAGTCTGGCCACACACACACACATCCACAGACATCCTCCCTCTTGCCTGAGTTGCTTTTAAAGTTTTGAGATGCATTTGCGCAACTCCCTTAAGAGCGGGGCTTCTCCTTCTTCTCCTTCCACAGAGCGGCGAGACCGACACCGGAGACCTTGACGACCTTGAAACGGACACCGGGAATATCACCCTTGGCCTTGCCCTTGCGACCGAAACCGGCCAGGAGAACCTCGTCGTTCTCGTCGATGAAGTTCAGGCAACCGTCATTGGGGACTAGAAACATAAGAAAATGAGAGATTAGCGATGTGTGTCGGGGTGAATGAAACGCATGTCGGGTGTTGTTGTTGATTTATTGTTCGACCCGACATTGTATGCGAATCGTTTGTTGGAGAGAGAGGAAACCCACCGAAAGCAGCGACCTTCTTGCCGTTCTTGATCAGCTGGACCTTGACACACTTGCGAATGGCGGAGTTGGGCTGCTTGGCCTCAACACCGACCTTCTCGAGGACGATACCCTTGGCGTGGGAAGCACCACCGAAGGGGGAGGACTTGTAGGCGGTTCCGAGGAGACGCTTCTTGAAGTTGAGGTCGGCCCACTTCTGCTCCTTGCGGTGCGCCTGGAGCTTGCGAGCGGCGTTAAGACCACGAGGTTGTCCCTTACCCATGTTGGCGGATGATTGAACGTCTGGAGGGAGAGTTCGTTAGTATATTCTGGAGCGCGTAGTTGAATCGGTGTGTGGTAGAGAGGTTTCGATCGTGGTGCGAATGCGAGTTGTGGTGTGCAGTGTTGGAGTGTATGGGGGTGGTTCGATGGTGGGAGATCTGGGAATTTTTGTGCGTGCAAGTCGATTCGAGATCGGGTTGGTTTTGACGGTGTCGAATTATCGCCAGGAAACCGAGGAATGCAAACCAAACACGCACAATAGGAATTTCCAGAGGGGTATTCTCCCACCTTCGTGAAGGGATGGTCGAATACGTACCGACTGAAAATGGGTGTTGTCGCTGAAGGGTTGTGGTCGACGAAGGGTTCGGATAGCACTTTGACCGGGGCGGACTCGCTTGCTTGGGACGCTTTTTCCTAATCCCGTGACTTGTGTGCGCTTTTGCCCTAAGCGAGTCACCTGATCGTCGCAGCCCCCACTATGGTGCTTATGTCATCTGATAGCTCCTATCTTATCAGTCTTGGCATTTAGGGTACCCTCGGTGACATACAACGGAGTACTCGAGGGTAGTTCTTAGTACATCCACCTAGCTATGTACTAACTTCATCTCGGGGAACATCATGGAGCTATCCCGGAAACCAACCAACTCACAGCGGTTACCACCACCTGCACTCTTTCAAGGCCCGCCCTCCCACAATGCATCCAACGTCTCGCTCGCCGTTCCCCCAACCAACCCAACCCTCACAACACCAACAGGCAGTCAACCACCACCTCTAAATCGCACCCGAACCCCTGGCGACAAAGGCGACAACCGCAACCTTCTCTCCCCCTTCACCTCGCGCCGATTATCTAAGGATGACGTCGACGGATCAGACGCCATCTGGCAAGAAATGCAAAGCGCTCTCTCCGAAGTCGAACTAAGCGCCGTAACCAGCGAACATGTATTCGGAGAAAAGCACGCCGAGGCCTTAGAAGACCTACGCACCAAACAACTAGATCTCGCGCAAGCGTGGGCCCGCAGTGAAGCAGACGACGAGGTGGTGGATTCGAGTCGCAACACCGCAGACGGGGAGAGTGCGCAACGCCGGGGTTCAGCAGAAGCAACAGCAACAGCAACAGCAACTACAACAAAAGATACCACCGGAACCACGGCTGGTGAATCCACTCCCACGAGAGATCGCGTCTCACACCGCACGCTGGATGAGGGGACGGAAAAGGATATAATTCTAGCGCGGAAGCGCCGTGATGCGAATGATCGGTACTTTGATCGTGTTAATCAGGGCGTATTGGACGTTGTTGCGAAACTTGAGGAAGTTTCGCAGGCTATGCGAACAGTTGAGCGTGAGAGTAAGGATATCTGGAGTGACTCGGAGAGTGTGACAACTGCGCCGCCGTCAACCAATGCTGGGCCATAGTTGGTCTGAAGATGATCCCCGTTTGATTTATGCCCGTTACGACTTGCGCTGGACGCCCTTTACACTCTTGAACTCAATTTGTAGCCATGGCTACCAGCCTTACCATGGCTGCACTAATCAATGTACTGTACATACTTATATTATCAAAGAAACATACATCGTCAGTTATGCGATCAAAGTAATAATGCAACGCAAAACGCCAGGGTATCCAAACTCCACTGCTCCAAGCACGAACAAAACAAGGCCCATGATACTAATATACATCGTCAAGAGTTGAGTTGAGAAATCAAGAATTTAGCCCAGAGTAATCATTTACTACTCTTTCTTCACCAGACTCATCACCCCCCTCCATCCTTCAGCGGTAGCATCCCTCACATCCTCCCACCTCGTCTCATGCGCCTTCCTAGCCAACTTCTCGACCTCTGTGTTCCACCGATGCTTGAGAACTTCCTTGGTGGTAATCGGGCCCTCCCTCGGTGGGAAGCGATCTTCCAGTGTGCGGGGAATATCCTCAGGGAGATTCCGACGATCGTAGGCACCGGTCGACCTCGCGAGCCAATTTATTTGATCAACTTGGTCGCGAATGACGCGCCGTTGTTCGAGGCGGTTGGTGCGGTGGATGGTAATTGTTATGTAGAGGGCGGAAGTGGTGAGGGCGAATCCGCCAATCTATTGCGCAACAAATAAGGATTAGCTTCTATTCGAGGTGGAGGTCGTTAAAGTAAGTCTGGACATACAAAGCCTGTGAAGAAGCCCATGGTAGTCGTGGGTGAGTGCCAGTGGTGGCCGGGATTGGCTACTGGCGATGGGGATAGTCAAAAGCCGCGAGTGGAAGGAATAAGGAGACTAGCTGATCTGATTATCTCCTACTGGTAGAAATCCTGGTAAAAGGAAGCCCTTAATGTCCCAATGGCAAATGTCGTCGAGAAAGTCTGGCGGGTGAAGGCGGGCAAAGGCGGTGGCAGCTCTCCGATTGGCCGATACTCAACTCGAATCTTTTAGACCTTCGCGTCTCCGAACGACTTGCGATCTTCTGGAATTGTATTGACCGCCACAACACACCACACCTCGGACATTCTCGATTCCTCTGAATCACTTGACATACTCTCTCTTCGCCTTCACTTCCTCCCTACACAATGGCCGGCGGCGGAGGAAAATACCGGCACCTGGGCCGCAAGTCTTCACATCGTCAGGCCCTGCTGCGCAACCTGGTGACCTCTCTCTTCGAAAACGAATCCATCACAACGACATGGCACAAGGCCAAGGAGGCCCAGCGGTTGGCTGACAAACTGATTACCCTGGGAAAGAAGAACTCGGAGGCCTCTCGGCGACGGGCCCTGGAGATTTTCTATGTACGTGCCACCGAATCCCGGGAGTGCAATGCATTTAAGCGGATATTCCTCTGGATTTAATTGTACTGCATTGCATTGCATTGCCATGAATCAAATCCCCCCCAGCAGTGATATCCCAAGTGCATTGCTCTCAAGAAAACCATACCACAACCCCCCTGGGAAAAAAAAAAAAAGAAACACCCATGCTAACCAAACCCCAGAAACCACACCAAATCATCCCCAAACTCTTCGGACCCCTCCGCGAACGCTACGCCGACCGACCAGGCGGCTACACCCGCGTCCTCCGCATCGAACCAAAGCAGAAATACGAATACTACTCAGTAGCCCAGGGCGACAAGTCCGCGATCCCAGAACGCAAACCCTGCGACCAAGCGCCGTCGGCAATTCTCGAACTCGTCGACGGACCCAAGGACATTCGCTTCGCCATGACAGCGCGAACAGTCCTCCGCCAGCGTGAGGGTTATTCCGGCCAATTGAATAACATCACCAAGCTCAACGTCGAGAAAGTGACTCGGTTCCGGAAGGGTGGTGCTGAGGCGCTGGAGGAGGCTATTCGGAAATTGCAGGTGGGCGATAAGAAGGGCGCTGCTAAGATTGTGAAGGAGCAGGAGGAGTTGGCTGAGAGTGAGGATAAGGCTGCGGCTGAGGAGGCTATGAGGTCTGAGAAGCAAGCTGCTGAGTTGGCGAAGAAGGTTGAGAATTTGAAGGTTTAGATCTAGGCCTCCCTAGGGTCTTTTGCCTTGCCTTGCCTTTCCTTGTATTGCATTGAATGTCGCCGTCACCTCGCCCTCTTGCATGTATTCTTTCTCTGCTGCCGAGGTGGAGGGATGGGGGACTTGTTGACTATTGTCCTGGCCCCCCCCTTTTTGATATATTTTTTTACCTGTTTTTATAGGAGTTTCGCTTTGGCATTTTGTTCTGTTGCGTCTGCGCTCATGTGACATAGCCCGTGTACAGTATAAAGTATTCGATACCTTTCATCTAACTTATACCGTTGTAAAATATACTATAACTCGAACAACTTGAAGACTCGGAGCTTGGGTCGTAATGGGCAGGCCATTGTTCACCAGTACTAGTAGTAATGTCTTATCCGGCACTTTTAGTTAGTATCTGTCAGCTACTAGCACTCGGAACAGACCACTCTACAGATATTGCGCCTGGAACACAGACCAAACGTGGTCAAGTGAGAGGGTTCAAGTTTCAAGAAATGGATGCGAGCATAGATACTACTATTCCTATTGTTCTATTAAAGGTAAGTTCGTGATTAGTATGTAAGTCAGTACTCCGTAATATCGTGCAGCATGTGCATACACCCTGTAAAGGTAGATGAATGTGAATTCAAATAGATCCTATCTGTCTTCTCTAGGGTATGGGACCCTACCCCCGGACAGTGCGATAACGCTCAGTGATTGTCGACAAGGACTTCGCAAAGCCATCGACAGCCAGAAAGAGCGGTAAAGACATCGGGAGGAAGATATTATCCTGCTGCGTGGGCCCTAAACAGGCGTGAACCAACTGTGTCCATCTTAGCATGTATATTATGTGGGACTCGGGTGTGGAGGGTGCCAGTGTGGAGGCCTCCGGTTGAATGAGACCGTCACCGTCCAATGTAGTTATTTGAGGGACCGATAGAAATCCCTCAGGGTACTAGTCACAGTAGTATTCGTTCAAAGTGTTTGCAATGGCCTCTTTGGATATGTTCCTGATAATGCAGGAAAACACATGTCATCAGGAACACATCCAAAGAGGCCACTGCAAACCCTTTGAACTCAAATTTGAAAAGGCTTTCCTATACTGTTGTGAGCCCCCCTCGACAGAATTTTTTTAAATTTTAAATTTTTTCACGGCCAAATCTCTCAGCATATTGGCTCAGAGCAGTGTAGAACTCTAAGGGTTCATTTATCTCTGGCTCGATCATTGTCTTCAAGTTCCAGATACTCTCTAGGGCTATCACCAGATTTCGTCACGAAGCATCACATAGTGGGCTGGAGGTGCCGAGGATTGAAGGGGAGCTTGTGCCTAGAGATAGAAATCGTAGTGTCATGGGCGTGTCCAGTGTTGTGAAAGTATGCGCATCTGGGCAGGTGTCTGTCAGTGTCGGATATCTAGCTCTGTTAGAATATATTCCGGTCGTTGGAGTTGATAGATATGTCTCCATGTCAAACCTTGAAACATTGGTGCGATTGCAAGAAACTCCTTCTGTTGAGGATGTTTATGCATCACCAGCCATATAAATGAAGACGAGCATGCTCATCATCAGTAACGGAGACTAACGAGGTCTAGTGAAATACGACTGAGATGAGATCGGAATAAACGAGATGAGATGATACTAGCTAAAAATTGGGAACAGCCTCACGTTGTATCTAGTACTTCCTAGAATAAAACGACAAACGACGTGCAAACGGTATGCAAACGACTAATCAACGTGATGCAAGCAATAAAGCAATGCAATGCATGCATGCAGTGTGGCCTGATGGCCTCAGTAATCATAAACCCCAACGGACAACCTCACCCAAGCGTGCACTTCCCTTAACATCGGACAGTTCGACCGACTGTAGTGGAGAACCACCGTGACTTCTCCATGGATATTTAAAGTTCCCCTACAAGTACATAAATGTGGAAGAAGTAATCGAAACACATTATATAAAGCCTTCAGAAGACGTAGATCATTTATTTAGCTAACCGACAGTGAATCCTCGCACCGCTCCAGTATGAACCATAGGTAAAATACAAATTGAACCTTGGAGTATAAAGATAAAATTCAACTGAAACCTCTAAAGACCTGGGTAGGTTTATGACAACACATCCTTGGAGCAGCCGAGAAAACATTCAATTACAATAGAGGAGCAACGAAGCTCAAAGTCAGAGTCGATCTAACATACAAGTACGAATAAAAGTTCGGGCGTCTGAATCGCCATGCATTGTCCTAACTGTACAAGCTACTGAGCTGACATGCATAAAAATCATGACTAGACTACCTTTACTACCGTCCGAGAACCTGTATCACACACACGCACACCGACACGATGCATATAACAACTTAAGAGAGACACACACACATAGAGAGGGAGGGAAAGAAAAGAAAGAAACCCTATAAGATTGATGTCTTAATTCATTTTGGGGGCGCCGGCTCCACTAGAAACAACCAGAGGCCCATTCATACCAGCAGGTAAAGGAATTCCATTGCTCTGGTACGAAGATGGGCCCGGGGCCGGGCCCGTTCGACCGCCGAGGTCAAATTCGGAGGGGACTTCGGATGGGGGTGGTTTGGGAGGAAGATGTGAGGGGGTGCCCCATTTCGCGATTGAACCCCGAGAGCTTACGCTTGCGGTGCGAATTGTGTTGACAGATGAGTGATCTTGGCCTTGAACTTGGCCTCGGGCTTGCATCGGGTCTGAGTATCCATTCCATTGCGGCTGAGCGGGCAGATTTGCTTGAATATTGCCGTATGGCATTGGCTGCTGTGCTCCCCTGCTTGTATTTGCATGTCGGGGTAGTGGTGCCCCGCCCGGAATGAATGCCCGGGTCTGGGGGTTGAAATGGGATTGAGATCGCTCATATGCTCCTGGCATCCCAGGTCTACCGGCTTGGTTCTGCATGGCATTATTGAGATGCTGGCCAGGGAACTGGGCGTAAGGATTGGCAGCCATGTTGGGCGTCATGGACTGTTGTTGGGGGTAGTTGGGCCAATGCACAGGTGGTTGGTTCCGCTGAAGCGGGGATTGTTGAACACTGCCAGGGTAGGGGGTGGAGTTCCAATTGGGAGATTGTTGGTACTGTTGAGATTGGGGCATGGCGTAATTGTTCATTGTCGGCGAAGGCTTGTTTGAGGACTGTTGGCCCATCATGTTGGATGGGCTCATCGACGCGTATCCAGTAGAATAGGGCTGCTGCTGCTGCTGCGGCATGTTACCTCCTTGCCAAGGGCCATTGGAGCCCAGTTGCGGAGACACAGCCATCGGGTACTGGGGCATGTTGTTCATACCCATTTGCCCTGGGTGCATCGCGTTGTTCTGACCTGCAGCCACATAGCCACCGGGGGGTGGTTGTACACCTGGCCCAACCAGGTAGGGAACCGGGTTGGCGGAATACCCATCACCCATTGTACCATTGTATGACATCGAGCCATTCGTGTACTGGGCTCCTGGGTAGTAGGCATTGAACTGGGAACGGGCTTCAAAGCCGTCATCATTCGGATTTCGCTGTCTATGGTTCTTTTTGCGTCCTGTCGTAGAACTCGATCTCGACATATTGGGGTTTGAGTCGCCAGTGTCTGACTTGGCACTTTCTGGAAAATCGCGGAAGATTCTTTCGCGCACTTCTTGGTATTTGGCTTCGCGTTCCTCTCTAGTAAGTGCTAGTCGGTCCTTAGCAGGAGTGGCATCGGAAGAAGAACCCGCACGATCGCCGTCAAAGCCACTGTCCCCGGTCTCGGATGTGGCCTTGGATGGGGCAGACGAGCTCGCCGCAACACTGCCTTCACCTAAAGCGCGCTCCAAGTCCGCTCGGCGCATGATCTTCATAGCAGGAACAACTGGGGGTGGTGTGGTATTACTGGAGGCATGGATCTCAGATAGAGGTGTGGGTCTGGAGGAAGTCAGCACTCTATACCGCTGACTATACCAAACTCATGTTAAAAAACTTACAGTCTGCAGTAGGGAGTTCGATGAAGTCGAACAGACGTCACATTGTTATCCACAAAGTGTGTCAAATGGTAATAGTCTCCAAGTTTATGTGCAAGAAGGCGACCAAATGCATTTGAGGGGGGGCAGTTCCAAAGATTGTTCCCTGAGTATATGGTTAGCTTCATTCCAATGACCTTCAGATAGGGTCTCATATTTGCTGAAGAATGCTTACTCGGAGTCTTTGATGAAACTGCAGATCTTCTCCTCAAGTTGAAGAATTAGTAGTCGGTCCTTCGGGGATTTCATGGCTTCCACAAGCTTTTCATCGGGTTCATTTGGAAGGCCATGCAGGCTGGAGCCATCTGAATTGCTTCCAGAATTGGGAGGGACAATGAAATTGTTTGAAACAGAGTCTGGGGGAATAGCTTCCACACCCCTTTGACTATCATCATTGAAAAGAGGCCCTGGGACTGGGAGAATTCCACGAGGACGCAATGCACTCCCTTCGCGGAACTGGTCTCGAAATCCTCGTCCTCCAGCCTCGGACCCTGTGGTGGAGTTTGGAGCGCCAGATGCGGGGCCCGAGAAAGATTCCTCATCATCAATAGCTTGTACACTGGCACTATCATCGGGTCGAACTGAATCCTTCTCATCCATAGCAAATGTTGTAACAGAGGCTAGGCTCTTTGAGTCGAAGTTCGTCATCTTCGTCGATGAATTCGAAAGATGGGTGCGGTCATCATCAAAGGAGTTTTCTCGTTTGAGAAGGCCATTTTCTTGGCTATCCAACGATAAACCAGAACCGATTTGGTCTTTCCGCAGAGTGATATCGATATCCTGGACCGCTCGGCTAAGGCCGTCAATGCAAGGGTCACTCAGGGAGCTCGCTTGCTTCATGGTATGTGGAAGGTGGGGTTGGGGCAAAGGAACACCAGCATGGTGATTTTCTAGACCGACGGAGTTGATTGCAGGCTGAGAATTGATGCTGTCGTCGTAAGCCGGGGACGACTGGGATTCGAGGGAAACCGGCATCGCAGAAATCTGACAAAGACGGATATAGATTAGCCTTCAACCCCATAACCATAGGCAAAGCTTGTGCAAAGAACATACGTTTGCAAAGGAGAAATGGGCGTCTTCTCCTGATGTAGTGTTTGGTGCCATATCAACGCAGACCTGGCGGGATGTCACAAGTTTTTGGAAGGATTCCACGAAGGCAATGGAAAGTAAGACCGAGACGCCGTCTACTTCAATAAATGGCAGATTTCACACAAACAGAAGTGGACGATTGAATGGTAATGAAGTCACTGGTGTATCCCGCTTCACACAAGCTCAAAAAGAAAGACATATCTCTGGTAAAGGGCCTTCGCCATGAGGGAAAGCTGTAAGAAGGATATCGTTAGAATCGATTCTAGTGAGATGTTGTATGGCTCTAGGACTGTAGAATTGCCATAGGCCTAGTCGAAAGGGTAGATCTGGGAGAAACAAGCAGGCCTTACATATCAAAGCTGGCTCATAGTCTGGGCGATAGACCTTGGATTGAGATGGGGTTGGGTGTCCGACTCGGGTGGGGAGGGATGGGAAAATGATCGTACAGCACACCAGAAGAGAATCCGATGAAGATGACACTCGCAGCTGGAGACAACCAGGCGCAAATGGGATTCCTGAAGAGAAGGAGCGTTGGAAGTTTGGATTTCTTATTCTTCAAACGCCCGAAGGTTCGTGGGCCATTTTGCCGCGCCTGCCCGCCTTTACCGCGCGCCTGACAATTTCCCAGCGGAACAGCCGCGGGGCGATGGAATTAATTAACCTTCATCTCTCACTGTTGTCATCACTAGTATAAGATCTATTCTGCCGACGCGAGAGATCAGATTTACTGTTCGATTTGGGATTTGCTCGCCCGCCGATCGCGACTGGAACCAGCCGCTATGAACCGTTATCGAAATGCGCCGGGCATGCGAGGCCCCAGTAAAGCCTCGCCGACGACGCAATGCCAGAAATGCCTACAACGAGATATGTGACCCTGGCCCGCCTCGCCTCGGATTGCTGATGCACTGACATAATATGCACGGCACTACAGTTATGAATGCAAAGGAACCGCGCAAGACCGCCCATATAAGCCACGGCCTTCGCGCACCCAGCAATTGCTTAACCCCAAGCTGATGCCGAAGCTTTCAACGGAAAACCCCAATACTTTGCTTGAATCGTACGTCTTCAATTCAGCCGAAACCATGCCCACAGATCCGTCAATCGCAAAACTAACCCAGAACAGCAACGGCGTAGCGGATGGCATTCTGGCAAAGCGGGATGAGGAGCGCGGTCGAAAGAGAGATCTCGATGGACAAGGTAGTTCTGGACAGTCGCCCAAGCGAGCAAGATCGCTTTCTACACACTCGGTTGACTCGATTTCAACCATATCCACCAACCGCTCTGCTTCACGCTCACCTGCTCCTCGAAGCTCACGCGGTGGAGGCGACAAAGGAAACTCAGCGTCCCCAGCCGCATCTAAGTCTCGGAAGAGAAGATATAGTGATTCGGCAGACAGCTATTCCGCTTCTTCTTATTCATCGGGCGCAAGGCACCGATCCAGGTCTAGAGAGTGGACCGAGGATCGGAACATTCGCCGACGACGCCGGGAAAGTAGTCCGGAGCAGCGTGGAAGAAAGCGTGACTCGGAGGGTCAAGACCCTCGACGAGAAAGGCGCAGCCGAAGCGCAGAAAGTCCTCGGGCAGCGAAGGAGCGCCGTTCAATGACCCCCGAAGCCAAGCAGGACCACTCTAGTCGACGTTCCTACCGAAATCGAGAAAACCCGCCGACCCAAACAGAGGGAGGACGACCGAAACAGGAGCCTCGAGGGCGGCCGGGTCCCCCTCGTCAACGCAGCATGAGTCCATACAGCAAGCGTCTGGCATTAACTCAGTCCATGAATGTTGGACGGTAAGATATGAGTGGAAGTACAAAAATGGGAGTTTTAAGGCTGGATTTTTGGGAAGGTCTTTCATACGGCGCATGACTTTCATTCTTGGTGAACACATAATGGTTCATTTCATGATTCACCAATCCAATCAGTTGGAACAATTGTATTACTATAGCATATTCATACATCCCAATGTGCAATCCTTTTTCAACGCCACTTTTCATGTTTGCAGAATGGCCTGGGTCCTAATCAGAGATGCCATAAGAAACTTGAAAGATATAGATCCTAGATGGACATAGCTTAGAACACAAAAAATAATGGGAAATCATAAGAGCGGAAGATTCAACCGGTGCCTATCGTCCTGCAATATCGGGTATCACTTCAAATCGTATCCTCATCCTTATCCTCCTCCTGTTCACGTAGATGAATTCCTTCAACCAGCGCTTCGCCCTCAATCCCCACTTCCTCCCCTTGATCGCCACCATTGGAGCCGGCGCCTCGTTCCTTCGCCGCACGCTGAGCACCTTCTATCCGTTGTCGAACCAGCTTGGCAATTGCATTTTCGGTCCTCACATCGAGAATCTTCAGTTTCTCATCAAGATCTCGGCGCAGATCCCAGTTGGGTTTCTTCGGTTGTAATTTGAACAAGTCGATGGGTTGATCGGCCAAATCGTCCTTTTGTGCTTGTTGTTTCATAGCCTCTTCAATCTCAGCTGCTTGCGTTTCGACAGTCACTTGGCCTTCTTGAGGGCCTTCTTCGAAACCAAGCTTGGGGCCGCGAGTCTCGGCGTCGTAGTTGCGACCAGACAGGTATTTAGTCGTCATTTCCGAGGCTCCGGAGTCCTCGATATTCGTATCGCCATCGCCATCGGTGTCTGGCAATGTGTCGTCGGTTTCGGGTTGCTTGCGCTTCAATGCTGCGAGCTTCGCCAGGCGGGCTTTGCGATCGTTGGACGCTGCATCTAGGGATGCGTGGCTGGATGACATGATTGCGACAAGCTGAATGAGAAGATGGAAGATGTTGAGAAGTGGAATCGACCTTGAGTGATCCCCAGAGTCCTCCGCGCCAGGCAAGAAAAAAAAAGGTAGTTAGTGAAGAGCAAAAGAGCGGGCGATAACGATGGGGCGGCGGCGCACTGCAAAATCGGCCTCCGCTCTGCTCTCCGCTTGCCGGCTCCGTCCTTTCTTTTTCGAACTTGAACCTTGAAATCATCCGCGCATACGCCTCATGCGCGTGACAGCAGGCTCCTGAATGTTACTGTGTGCGCAAAGGCTCGCCCGGTCACGGGCTCATGGGCTACTGTGGCCGCGCTTGAGCGGTAGTCCTGGCTGCTTCCACCGGGGCTCGCAGACATCTCGCATAGCTAACATAGTGCATGCCTCAACATCTGCGCCATTGAACCAAGATTCCCGCCTGGAATTCCAGAAACTAGCGACCGATCAGTCACAATCGAACAACTATTCCGCTTCGCACACGATTACAGTACCCACTGGGGACGGGGAAGTACAGAATCTCGGGGAGGCGGAAACGACCAATACGACAACCGATCAACATGATCCTGACAACCGAAACCCGAGCAGCGCTTCACGAAGCCCCCGGAGACCGAGCGCCTGGTCGATATCCAAAAAAGCGACCCGAAAGATCCTCCATTCACAAGGCGTCTCGCCCAAACTCGCCCACTCTGTCACGCGCCGTCTCAATGCTCAAATCCGACTCCGACATAAACCATTGAGTAGTAGAGAGTTGTACCTTGCGACTGTCATTCAGGGCAATTCACTCTACTCGAGGGAACTGGGACTCAAGCAATGGAGAGCTGCCTACAAGGAAGTTTATCTGGCCAATCGATATGAACGTGAGATTCAGAATAAAAGTGTGCTGCCAGCATTGAGAGATGTTGGAAAGGAAATACTTGAGAAGATCCACACAGACTGCGATGGTAGCTTTCGAGAGACTTGGAACGCGTTACACCGGACCGAAAAAGCATCACATTGGCAGCGCTTGGCTATCTGGTTGTTGCAGCATGAACCCGAGAGACTTCCGAATTTCCTGATTGTCACAACCGAATGCAAGGAAAAACCAAACTTCACTATGGCCTATGACTGTCTTCGTTATTTGGACAACTTTCACTATGATGCCTGGTTGAAAGACTGGCAAAGCGGCACCCACAATTACCAGTCTCTGGTTGAGACATGTTTGGACCCGCGGGATTGGCCCCTTGTCTCTGTGACCCAGAAAGCCCCCCGACTTTATATTCGAAGAGCTAGCCATGATGGAGTTTTGTCAGCCCTCCGGATTGTTAAGGAAAGGTCCATCCGGATAAGTGCAGAAACGGCATTGTGTTTTATGTGGCGATTTACGGAATTGGCGGACGTGGAGCGGGCACTTCAAGCTTTGGAATTCATCCCACAAAAGCAAGACGACGGCTTGACGATACAGTCAGATGAAGTTATGCGACATTGCTGCAAGCTTTTGACACTGGATACGGTACAGGATGGCTCAGCTGGGCGCAATTTCAATATTCTTCCACGACTGTTGAAGATGGGTGTTCGGCCAGACCGTGATATGATGAACGTCGTCCTATCCAATGCGTTCAAGACTGGTGATCCCCAGCTTGGTAATGACATTCTGCAATTCATGAAGAGCCACGATCATACCTTCGACGCATACACATATACCACACTCATGAAGGATGCGGTTTCGCGCGGAGATCGAGCCAAAGTTGACTCCCTGATCCACGATATCGCTACAAAGGATGAACTCCGTGAGAATCCCTACCTTGCGAGCAAGATCTTCCATTCCCATTACATTTTCACAACCAAGTACATGGACGCCGACGCCGACCCTTCACGTGTTTTCTATGCGATGCTTGACATGTACAACCAACTCCATGACATTACACCACTCAAAGAGCTTCTTATCATTCCGCCTCACTATACACCGCACGAAGGGTCTAACCTCCCCCCCTTCCCCTATCGCGCTCTATATCATGATTGCGACATTTTTCCGCTGCCAGAACCGCTTTTCCAATGTGCAACGCATTTATGGCCAGTTTCGTCAGCTTGTGGCGCAGGGACACCCGTTGATCTTCCCCTTGGCAAAGACCGACCACACCTATAATGAATTTCTAATCGCGCTTCGGAGCAATCCGCGCGGACTCAGGCTGTGTATCCAAGTCGTGGAAGACATGTTGCATAGTTCGTCTGCGAAACAGAAGAACAAGACCCCCTATCATGTCCAGCCTTCCATGCGCACTTGGACTATACTTCTTAGTGCCTTCATCTTCAACAGACAGCCTCGCGCGGCGGACAAGATCAAGGAAATGATGGCCAAGCACAAAGTCAAATATAACGACGTGACCTGGAATGTCATCATCAATGGTTACGCCAATGCGCAAAATATTCCGCAGACAGCTGCCTCAATTAAGGCTATGGAACAGCAAGGCTTCTCCATTGATCCCTATACCATGAAAAGTCTACGCTATCTGCGCGATCCGGAGCGCCTTTGGGTTGCGATTGATGAGTTGGACGAGGCTGCCCCGGCCCCGCCCCAGGACAGCCAGCCAGCAGAAATTGAGCCCAGCCCAGAACATGAACCTGAGCTCTCCAGTGAGGAGCAGCGTGAGAAGGAGCTCGACGAGGGCCTTGGAAAATTGGGCAGCAAGATGAAGCCTAAGCTGTGATATCCGATACCCCATCCCTTCACCTTTTTGTTTATATTATAGATCATTGCATACTGGGACCCCGCGGGTTGGGTTCGGAGCAAGCGTTGGTGTTTCGACTTGTGTTAAATTTACTCAATCTCCTGTACTATACATTGAATCATGAATTTTCCCATGCGCTTAATAGCCATCGCTTTGTAGTGAACCGATCCATAACACCATCGCAGCCTCCTCTGAGCAATATGTCGTTCTATCCCTCGTTTCGTAATGACTTATCTTCCGTGAGGTGAATGTAAAGGTGAAGGTGTTTAGCCACCGAAGAAGATAGAGCACTGTATCAACAGTGGCATTAGCATCCTTCTTCCTTCCATGCTCTCTCTCTTCCTCGATCTTTGGTTTGAGGGAACTTACCGCCATCAAGAAGCAGCATATGCTGACATACGGACTCAGCCGTTCTCCTACACGAGCGCATTTCCAGAATATCCCGAACAGTCTATCCTCATCAGCTTGGTCTCTTCATCATCATCATCCTCCACTACCTTCATCTCGAACGCGATTGAGGGGCCCTACCCATTCTGATTCCGGTCCATGATACCGGGCATGATCGAGTGCGCATAGGTACTCGTACAGATGATCAAGAGGATCACCAGAAGAAGTGATTGGAAGTTAAAGAGGGCCGTCTAGGTAGGTTCCCAAATTGTTAGTGCTGATGTCGTCACAACAGTACACAGTATGCTGAGATGCCTCCAGTGCGCGCACAGTAGTAGCTACAGCAGTAGCCTGGAAGGCGCCTCCCACACACAATCCCGAGAACAAGAAGAACACAAACAAACTTACCATCTTGAACGACCACCGCACCCACAGGCTGGAATTTCAAAGAAAGAAAGACCGAACACGAACAAGGGCATCAAGCAGGCAGAAGACCAACACCGTCTCTCCAGCTGTCCGCAATCCCGCAATTCTGCCCACCATGTCCGCCCACCGCACAGACCAACTGCCTGGGCCTTCGCGTCCGCCGACGCCATCGATATCATTATCATTATCACTATCATTATCTCCATCTCGATCGCCATCACTTTCCCGGGCTTCACATGATTCTCCATCCTTCGTCCCACCTCCACTCGAAAAGCTAGACCCCGTTACCGCCCGCCAGAGATTTAACCAGTACTTGCAAGATAATCCGCAAGACGCATCTCTGATCAGAGCAAGCTATCAACCCGCCTTCGAGCCACCACCACTGCCAGCTCCACCTCCCACCGAACCAGAACCAAGAAAACGAAGTCACAAGAAACAAACCTCCAACATGGCGGAGCCCCGTGCCCGTGTCGCAAGACACAAGGGGCAAATGAACTTCTCTTCAGAGCGTACGTCCATCCCAAATCTCTCAACCGCAATTCTTGCCTCAATTCCCCGCAACTATATCTGAAAAAAGTCAAGAAACGAATTACGAATTATCCCTTCTAACATACCTCCACATCTAGTTCGCCTCCTCCTCCTCGCATACGGAGACCCAGCACCCCACCACTCCTACCCACAAGAACCCCTCCCAGAAACAATCCGAGTCCTAGACGAAATAGTCACAGACTTCATCCTAGAACTCTGCCACGGCGCCGCCCAAGTCGCGCACCACGCGCGACGACAAAAGATCAAAGTCGACGACTTCCGCTTCGCACTGCGCCGAGACCCGAATAAGCTCGGCCGTGTACAGGAATTGCTACGCATGGAGCGCGAACTGAAAGAGGCGCGTAAAGCATTCGATCAGAATGATGACCAGGTTGCCAAGGATGCGGGAAAGAAGGGTGCCCCCGCTGCAACGGATGATGCTGATGCAGCTGCTGCTGGTGGAGGAGGAGATACGGCGCCCCCGCCTTCTGCTACTGGTACCACCACTGGTGGCGGGAAGAAGAGTAAAGGAAAGGGGAAGAGGGCTGCGAGGCGGGAGTCTGATGCTACTGAGGACTCGTCGGTGCCGATGCCGAAGAAGAGGAAGACTATCGGTTGATTGAAAAGCTTCTCTCTCCGCCTACATATTTTCGACACCCCATTCTCATCATTCTTTTTTCTTCTTTCTTTGTTCCTTCCTTTTTTTTTTGTGGGAACTTCATTCTTGGCGTTTGGGAGGTTCTTATCATGATTGCTTTCACGCACATAATACCTGGCATGGTACTTCTGGCACTTCTGGCGTTCGAGATGGGGATATGACATACTTCACGGATCAGAATACCCATGGGTTTTTTTTTTACAAATTTCAGATATCGGACTCTTTATAAGCAATTGATCCCTAAAAATCCCTCTGACTTATATTTCCTATAATACAGACGTAAGATTATGTAGAGTCAGTGGAGATGTTCAAGTATGCCCAGGTGAGTGGGCCAAGTGCTTGTAACTTATCGGGGTTGATATGGACTACTCAAGGAGACGACCCCAGACCTTTGACAGTTCCGCCAATCTTCTCTGCCGAGATTAGTAGTATTCCTGCTTTAAGGCGTGAAACGGGTGAATTCACTCGAGAATTGCCTGGCATTCTGGTAACAGCTCTTGTGGAAATCCTTCTGGTCATACAACGTTCGACATTCAGACTGCCATATCCTTTGAATACTAGTATTGTTCTAGGTATTGGAGCTCGTCCATGCTGATACTTTTGTATCAAAGACCCATAAAGGATTTTTGGGGCCCGTGAGCGCAGATTTGGGGGTTGGACCAGGCCATGCCTGACATCTTAATACCTCGATGAACTAACTAGAATACTTCTTCATCTTAACCCAACACCCATCTGCACTCGACACAACCAAAGTCAGGAGCTGCCTCTCATGCCCAACAGGCATATTAAACTCTTTACCCTCAACCATCTCAATACTCTCATACGTCTGCAAAAGCCTAACAACAGTATACGCCGCTTCCAGCAAAGCAAATTCCTGTCCCAGACACACGCGAGGACCGCCGTTGAATGGCAAATAGCCATATCCTATATTCTTCAGCGTGCCATTCTCCCAACGCTCGGGTCGGAACTCCTCAGCGTCGGGTCCGTATAAATCTTTACGGCGATGCATAACGTAAACACAGTAGCCTACTGCTTCGCCTTTTCGAATGAGGACTGGTGCTGTGCCGTCCGGACCACCGCCTGTTGGCAGGGTGGTTGTTCGTTCGGCTGCTCGTGAATTCACGGGGACGGATGGGTAGAGGCGGAGGACTGGAAGTTAGTTAGGTTAGATAAATCGGAAACTCGGAGGGGAGAAAAGTGCTTGATACCTTCTTTGATGACTAGTGATAGATAGGGGAGCTTCTTGACTTGGGAGATGACGGGGTCGGATGCTTCTGGGCCCACGCCGACTGTTTCTTCGATTTCGCGGCGAAGTTTCGCAAGGACCTCGGGGTGACGAACGAGGAGGCGGCTGGGATTGTCAGTCTTGTATGTATGCACCCTGGAGGATAGTGATTTTTCTTACATGGTCCATGTGAGGCAGCAGGCTGTTGTGTCTCTTCCCGCTAGCAAGATATTAAGACACTGATCTCGCAATGCTTTGGGATCCCGCGTCTCCTGAATAAGTGCATCGATAAACGTGTAAGATGCTTTCTCTGAGTCGATAGTCTTTTGGCTTGAATATTCCAATGCCTTCTTCACCGCGCTATCAACAAAGTCATGACAGATTCGGCAGGCCTGTCGAAACTTAGGACCAGAGAAGATCCAGTAAAACTCGCCTAGACGACCTCGCTGGGCAAGATAATCTTGACCAGTGTTAAAGGCGTCCGAGAACTCTCCTTCCTGGTTGGAGATGCCTTCAGACTTGAGAGATGGAAGATGTTGACCGAATAGCAGGAAGAGCGTAGTTTCAAAAGTGAGCCGGAAGAAGAGGGGTTGTAGATCTACCACGCCATCCTCGGGAACATTCGCAATGAGATCATTCACAGCATCCTTGATCTGCTCGAAGTTGTCAAAGCGATTACTCATAAATTGGGGACGGAGAAGCTCGCGAGAGTGGCGCCACTGAGCGCCATCTTGAGTGAAGATGCCACTGCCCATCAAAGGGTCAAAATGGACGGGTCGAAGGCCCAGATTGAAGTCTGCGATCACTCATTAGGAATTGAATTAGCAGGGGGGGTTGGTTGGATTCAACTGACCGTTAAACTGAGAGGATAGCACCGCCTCGAGATTTCGAGGCTCTATTGTATTGACTCCTCGGGCAAACAGAAGATGCTGCTCGAATGTCGTGCCTGACTCGTTACAGACTTGGACGAACAATCGAAGGATCTGCTTCCTCGCATCGTAGCGGAATGCTCTGATCAACAGATCAAGACCTAGAGGCCATTTTGCACTCCAAGGCTTAAGAGGCTGGCATCCTTTCTCGGCAGCGAATTGGACGTCGACCTGCTAGGTCAGCGTGTGTTCAAGTTTTGTGGCCCTAGACTTGGAGGGAGAGAACTTAAAGGTCAACATACTCGGCTTTGTTTCCACGATGCGACATATTTATAAGCCAGGATCACCGACAGGGCGCCGATAAGAATACTGAGTGTCTGACTTGAAAGCACCATAGTGTGTGAATATATCAAAGAAAAAGAAAATCGAAGCCAGATTTGTATCGAAACTAGACCCCTGCCTGACATTCCAACAATACAAATCCCGAGCTACCATCACATCACACAATTGGAATTGATGAAGAGGCTCTGCGCCATCTTTCACTTTCTTTGACTGTATGTTACGGTATCTCCTTTTTCCCACACCCTATAAGACCGGGTAACGGGTACGGAATACCCCTCAATAAACGGCTATTCCAAAAGCATACGAAGTGGCGCTCACTAGAACCCTGTCGGCGCGTAACTTATGCAGTGAGAAAATGAGGACCAATGAGAAGGAGGCCGATGACTCGTGAGTGCCCGGGTGTACATCTCTCAGCCCCCTTTGCATTGGGTAGCTTTTCAGCTCAGCACCCAGCTCCCATCTATTCGTCTATCTGGATCCGCTACGTTCTTGACTCGTGCAAAGCGGCTGGGGTATCAATTCCTAAATCAGTCCGCCCCCGCCCGGGCGAACCTCCTTTCGTACAAGTTTTAGACCGATATGCAATGTCTGCCCCACCATATCGCTTCTTATCAATTATTGGCGTTGGCAGTTCGTTGCCTTGAGGTATTCCCTCGACGCAGCTGTAAAACGCAGAAGAGGGGGCAGAATGTGGCCTATGAACACACAACATGCAAAGGGCGGCGAAACAGTCTTGTAGTGATCCTAATCGTGAAAGGAGGAGACCCGGACAAACACTCTGCCTTGGATTTACCCACTGTTTGTGACCATATGCCGAGAGCTGTGATATCCTGAAAGCCATTTCGTAGGCCCTCCCACAAGATGGATCCTTTCTTGGTCACAGAAGGAACGATCGCACTGGTTAAGGCGTCGAAGGCGCTAGTGGTCTTTGTGAAAAGTATCCAGGAGGCCGTTGCAGATGCGAACCACGATCTCAATACACTGATCGCTGAGTTGGAGTCACTGGACGCGGTCACTAACTCCGTTCGGGATGTCTACAAACGAGAAATGGCAAGAGCCGAAGCAGCACCATCAAAAGCTGTACCTCTGGCTGACCAGTGGCACTTTTGTTGCCGGAGTCTTCGCGCTTGTGAACAGATAGCAGAAGAACTAACCAAACTGTTCGAGGATATTTATAAAAATAATCTCCAGGAGATCACCGGCAGAAGAAATGCTTTACGGATATCGCATCGCAGACATGACAAGGATGGGAAGCTACATCGGCTCCGTGCGGATCTGGCCATCGAGAAAAATAATTTGTCAATCTTACTGATGACAATCAACGTGTGAGTATTGCTCCGAGTTACTCTTTCCAGTTGCCCACTAATGAAAGTTCTCCTATAGAAACTCCCAAGGAGCCTCTCACGACAAGCTCGACAAGATATTCGCCCAACTCAAGGAATTTGAACGCGACTTCAAATCTCAATCTGAGACATTACAAAGTCGTATCCAACTGGACGAGCAGGACTTGGATATGAAACACCAATATGCCGAAGCTTTACACAGACTGCGCAAGTTGCAAGAATTCGTTACCACGGCATTCAAGACTAGGCATTTCTATACACCTCAGCCGGTCAGCACCTTCTACACCGGCCGTGCTCAGGACCTTAAGAAATTACAACATGTGTTTTTCAAGGAAAGTCCGGTACATCGGCAGATGCGTTTCGTTGTTCATGGTATGCCCGGATCAGGGAAGACTCAGTTCTGTTGTAAGTTTGCAGACGACAACCGAGAAAGGTGTGTTAACAAATCGAAAAGAATTCCGGCGTGAGAAGAGGAGTATCGCTAAGCTAGTCTGCTGCAGGTTCTGGGCCGTCTTTTGGGTTGACGGCAGGTCCAGTGAACTGATTAAACAGTCGTTTGCTGAGATCGGCAAATATGGAGGAGTGGAACCGAATCACGTTGCTGCGATGCACTGGCTTACTACCATTGAGAAACCATGGCTATTGATCATCGACAATGTCGACGACAAAGCTCTTAATTTGGACGAATATTTCCCCAAGGTCAATAGAGGCCATATCCTGATAACGACTCGAGTACGCGCCCACAAAGCATACGGCAACGTTGGCCCTGGGTCCTTTGGGTTCAAAGGTATGACTGAGGAGGACGCCGGTACGCTTCTTCTACGCTCAGCCGATTTCGACTTAAATGTGCCGCCGGATGCCGAAACTAAATCATGGGTGACGATGATTATCAAAAAGCTCGGCTCTCTTGCGCTTGCCGTGATTCATGCCGGTGCCGCTATCAGATCGTCAATATGTACTCTCAAGAACTATTTGACATTCTTCGATGACGACTTGCAGCGCTTGCGGCTTCAGCGCAGATCATCTAATGCGGATATTGCAAGTTTTAAGGAAGGACATATGAAAGCGCACGCAACGTTTGAAGTCATGTACAAAGGCATCGAACAGCAGAACACTGAATCATCTAGAGACGCAATTCAGTTGCTGAAGATGTTTTCGTTCTTTCATTGTGAGAATATCCGCCGCGAAGTTCTGGAGAAAGCAATATACAACTGCAAGTTTGAAATGGAACAGGGCCAATACAAAAGTCCCGAGGAAGGAAAACGTCCGCTAACATGGACTGAAAAAGGAAACGAGCTGTGGTTCGCCTTCCTGGCTTTTATCATGACGGACCGCAGTCCTCCGGCGTTACCTCAATTGATAATCGATGGTCGTGAGTCTGGGGTCATTGGAACAAGATTAGGATACGCGTTGGGAGAGCTCGTCAACATGTCTATCGTCACTCTTCATGAAACACACGGCGTTGAAAGATATTCAATACACTCTTTGGTCCACCAATGGGTTCGCGAGAGGCCCGAGATGTCCATATTGGAGCAAGATTTCTGGTCAAAAGCTGCAGCCACGACACTCACACACTCAATTCTCCTCCCTCTTCCACCTCACACCAACACAGCGGAGAGTGCACCATTCCGGAGGGAGCTTGTTCCACATATTAGACATGTTAGGGCTAGACGACAAGAAATAGTGAAAAGAATGGATAATCGCGGATGGTGGATTTCAAAATGGCTCGGCATCGCATCAAACTTTGAACCAGACCAGGTTCGCGGACCAGACCACGCTCGCCAATTGGCAAAGTTCAGCTTGGTATTCACAGAGACCGGTGATTGGGAACAAGCTCGCATACTCCAAGAGAATGTGAAAGAATGGACAGATAGAATCCGGGGCCTGGAGCATATTGCAGCCCGACGCGTCACCATGTTTCTGTCTCAGACCTACTGGTATCTGGGCCGAGGGGACGAAGCAGCAAATTTACAAGAAGCTGTTCTGAAGGCGTGTGAATCATACCTTGGTCCTACCAGCCGTGAGACGTTGGTGACCATGGACACTCTTGGCCGATCTAGGTGGCAACAAGGAAGATACACCGAAGCGAGGAAGCTACAAGAAGTCGCCGTGAATGGGCTTGATGGTCTAAATCTCGACGATGAAGAGCCCCTTCTCATTGCAAAGGCTAACCTCGGCCGAACTTTGGCCAAATTTTACGAGAAACGTGACCTCGAGGAGGCACGGGAGTTATATGAAGACGCTTTCAATGGCATGATCAAGAATCCCAAACTGGGCCGTACTCATATCCATACGCTGGAAACAAAGGAAAGTCTGGCAATGCTTCAACTGCAAATGGATGATGACAAACAAATGGTACTGAAGAGTATCCAAGAAGTTCTTGCCGACCGAACGGCTACATTGGGCAAAGAGCATCCTTTTACGCTGATTGCGATGGCCAGCCTGGCAAGAGTCTACATCGCGTTACAGGAGTTCAGCAAAGCTGAAGAGACTGTCTGCAGTGGGCTAGAAATTGCCGATCGAAATCTCGGCAAGAAACACATTGGTACGCTGATGGGGAGGGTCATTCTGGGCATCATCTACACCCGCCAGGGCAGGTTCAAAGAAGCAGAAAAGACATTGAAGGCGACGATGAAGGGACAGGCAGCTATTTCATCTCAAATAGGCGAGAACCACCCCGACCGCATCGGTACAATGATTGAGCTTGCAGAGTGCTATGAGAAGCAGGAGAAATTCGATGACGGTATTGCAATGTGTGATCAGATAATCGAAGGACTGCGCAAGATCAGCTACTCGGAGCATCCATTGGAACGAAAAACACAGCAACAGAAAGACAGATTGATCAAGGATCGTGATGCAAAGAAGGCTCAATAAGATGTTTATTGCGTTACCCTCGTGACATATTCCACTTGCATATTCCACCAGTGTGTATTATCTTTTGTATATTACCTATTTTTGAGGAAGTTCTTCAATCCTGCAATTTCTACTGAATATTAATCCTCAAATGTGATATTTAGGCTCTTATATAAAAGTATCTTCGCAAGGTTTTTGACATCACTGAGGATGAACTAATCATTTGAATAGTCAATTCAAGGCCAATGTTAAATTGACACCCGCTCGGTTCTTCACAGATTCTTTATCATACTCTTGAATTATGTTGTTTATATAACCGTCCAAGTGCTTGACCCCACGCGCTAAGCACTTAGCGTGGAGGGGTAATTAAGCAAATGTCTTGGTAGCGCAGCGGCCAGTAAACTCTTTGCAATAACATCCTCTGATCACAACTGTGCTGTGACAATGGTGCTTGATCCACTAAGTTCACTGTCTCTGGCATGTACCGTCTGCCAGTTCCTTGAATTTTCTGGTACATTGTTCTCCAAGTCTCACAAAATCTATAAGAGTGCCACAGGATACGACGAAGACACCGACTCTTTGCTTGGAATCACCAGGGATTTGCGCTCTTTGACAGATAAATTGGAGCCACCCATTCATTCAAAGTCCTTATCCGCTGAAGAAACGGAACTCGCCAATCTTGGCGATAGATGCAAAAAAACTGCCGATGAGCTTCTCCTTGTCCTGGGTGATCTGCAGGACAGTAAAACTTCAAGATGGAGCAGCTTTCGCGCAGCGCTAAAAACAGTGTGGACACACGACCGCATCGATGAAATGGCTAGAAAGCTTGAGTCATATAGATCGCAGCTTATTCTCCGCTTGACAATCATGCAGAGGTAAGTCATTGACCAAAAAGACAAACGCGCCAGCGATATTGACATGACTGTAGCTCCAATGGCAGCAATGTGCGCGTCATGAATAAATTGCTCGAAACCAATCACCTGATCCGGGGCGGATTGGCACCATCCATCGAAGGGTTGAGGATTACAGTAATGGAATCGATGGAAACACTGAGAGCTGACTTCGAGAGGCAAAGCAGACTGTTTATGCTTGCTCTAGAGGAAGACAGAAACGAGAAAAACAAGCCTCAGCTGCAGTTGAATCGGCAACACGAAATTCGACAACTGGAAGCGCTCCAGCCGGTTGATATCACCGCAATCACGCAGAAGATACAGAACACAGCTCTTGCCACTAATATGCTAGCCACGGAATTATTCATCATGCGAACTCTTCGTTTCGACGGTATGGAGCTGCGTAGGTCCCAAGTTTCAGAGGCTCACAAGCGCACGTACCGCTGGGCTTACATGTCGAACTTTTCGGAATGGATGGTTTCAGAAGACCCTCTCTTTTGGATAAGCGGGAAACCAGGATCAGGGAAAAGTACTTTGATGAAGTACCTAGTCAACAGCCCCGATACATATGCATATCTACGGAAATGGGCAGGGACAAGGAAGCTGGTAATTATCGACTACTTCTTTTGGATCAATGGCTCCGATATCCATCGCTCACAAGAGGGTCTGCTTCGATCCTTGCTATTTGATATCTTTCAAAAGTGTCCTGAACTCATTCAAAAAAAATTTCCAGAGCGATGGGGTGAATCTGTAAACATGAGTCTTGACCTCAAGGGGTCCATGATATCGTGGAATCGTCAGGAGTTACTAAGCGGCTTGCAAAGGATCACCCAACAAACGACTTTGTCCAATGCGTTCTGTATCTTCATCGATGGGCTCGATGAATATGAGGGCGAGCACGAGGACCTGGTCAACATACTTTCCAAAATGGCACATACATCCCCGTCAAGCTTTGTGTCGCAAGCCGACCTTGGAACGTTTTTGAAAAAGCTCTTGGAACGGATCCCAGTCGCAAAATTTACCTAGAACATCTGAACAAACCCGACATCGAGCTCTACGTGAAGAACACATTGCAGGACCGCGCTGACTTTCAAGCATTGGCAATGTCTGATCCAGATGCCACAGAGCTAGCATTAGACATTGTTCAACGATCCAATGGCGTATTCCTTTGGGTCTACCTAGTCGTGCTTCTAGTGAAACAGGGCCTAGTCAATGAGGATAGACTCGTGGACCTGAAGCGTCGCGTGAGCGCCTATCCGGCCGACCTCAACAATTTTTTCAAACATATAATGGACTCACTGGACCCATTATATCAAGCTCAAATCGCTACTGGGTTTTCTGTGGCATTGGCGGCGAGGGAACCGCTTTCAATCGTCAGCTTCTGGTACCTTGATGAATTGGAGCTGGATTCTAATGTTGCAATCGCTAAGAAGATTGACGAACCGGCCGTGAAGAGCAATAGGCTGGACAGTTTTTGGAGAGACGAGGTTCGTAAAATGGAGGCACGTCTCAATGGACGATTCAAAGGACTTCTAGAGATTGTGAAGATGCCCAAATGGGAAGTCCCTTCCGACATCATGGTAGAATTTCTCCATCGGACGGTGCGAGACTTTCTCACCACAGAAGAATGCCAGCGAGCACTGAAAGATTGGACTCCTACCGGGTTTGATGTCCATTCTGCACTGTGCAATATCCAACTCGCTGAGATAAAAGAGTTGCACCCAAAACTGGCAGAATTGAGCACTTTGAAGAGATTGGCAGAGGGTACATTTTACTCTGCACAGCAATTCGAGAAATATCATCAGAGGTCGCTCAACAAAGCGCTTGAACATCTCGAACGTACAATTGACAGTTATGGCTTGGGAATGTCCCCATGGGAGGAGCTAGAAGTTAGAAGCTTCACCATGTATGCCGTCATGAGTAACCTGACCGGCTATATCTCTCATCTTCTTGAGACGGGCTTTCTCAGCGATATGGAGAGATTGAGATGTCTTCGAAAAATCTTTGACACGACTAGAGATTTAAGCGCAGATGTTTTGCACGACCCCGAACCTAAGATAGCAGTGATTGAAAATCCCCTAAACATGATTATCCTCCTGGCGGAGACGCGCCCTCTAACGAAAATTCCATTTAACAAGATACTTACTGGGCTGGAAGTGTACGATACATCGACCATCGTCAGTATCTTGCGATGCCTTTGCAAGAATGGACATGTGGACATTGAACAGTTTCAACTTCTCGCCCCCCGAGTCAGAAGACTCACTAGTTCATGGGATGCGAAGGAGCTAGAAGAAATGATTCGTCCAGGAAAGGATCTAGCGACCAGAACCATACGAAGCGATCTATCTCGGAAGAAAAACAACACTAACACGAAAGAGAAGGGAAGATTACACAGTTGGTTGGGGAAGATCAAATATCGCCAATGATGAGCAAGGAATATTATCATACGTCTGAGTTGTGGCCAAGGGCTTTGTCATTCATTCAAGCGATGGATGACAACATTGAGACATACCAGGTTGATAGTATTTGACTTGTATTACTCTGTCATATTTGTCAACCTCCGTTCTAGAACGCTGGTACCAGTATTAGACGAGTATGAACCGACAACGCAAAGGAGGGCAATATCAAGCATGCCAAAAGCTTTGACTGTTTCATTGACATATTTCCTTACGTCCTATTCGTCAGTAACATCCACATGGATAGTAACTCTCAGTTATACAGCCGGAAATTAATTGCCGAGGTTGATTACTTGGTCGTAGTATGAAGTACTTGTTTCGACTGCACTAATTTCTCGGCATCAATATAATCCAACCTTACCTTAGCACGCTCGAACATATCTCGACGAGCAAATTCAAGTTCAATATCACCCGCTCTTGTAATCAGTGCCACCAAGCTCGCGTCGTGATTAGGAATTATTTTCTGAGGGTAGGGGTAACAACATCGTTGAACTTAAAAGTCTGACTTGAGCGCCATGAATCCAATCGAGTCAACGGGACCTTGTTTCAAGAAAAGGTATCCTTTACCCCTCATTTCAAGTTTGCTCGAACATATCCGTCTCCACTTCGGGTAGTTTTTCTAACTTAAAAGTCGAACTTTTGACCTCGGAAAATGGGCCGAACCTTTGGATTGGAATGCGCTAGGGCCTCGCCTGGAATGGATTGCGGGGTCGTGGGAGCTGTGGGGGTGTTCCAAGCTGGTTTTAGATGATGGTGTAGCTTTAGAACGGGCGGAGACGGCAAGGCGGTTAGGCGACAGGATACCCCTCAGCAGGATCAGTTCTATTTCAAACAAGAATTATGATACATCATGGTGCCATCATTGGATGGGCCTCTCGTATTGCCGGAGGACCCTCCTCCGTTGATCTAAGTTGAGTTGTGATTGAATGAAAGAAGACCTTTCCTGGTAAATACTTTAGCTTCATGATGTTACGATTATTTAGACGTTCACTGTCAGAAATTAGAAGACGGTTTTAACATTATGTCTCATCTCCGAAAGAGTAGTAAAATAATAAAAAAATCCCAGCTACCAAAATATACCAATTCACAAAATTCGTCACGGTCATAGAATCCCTTCGTGGTAATCACGAAGCTGTTCCGCAAAGGATTGCAGAGACTGTGACTGCGGTAGATTATACAAGAAGATCATTCACTCAATTCGGAGATTGAAGTCCGCTTTGAATAGCTGTGATGATCGACACAATTCCACAGGCACCTGGATCCGGAATACCCTTGGTAGGGTCCTCATCACCGCCGGCACCAACATAAGTCGATCGACCGAAGGACGATACCATCCACTTGGTGGACTCTGCACCGTCGCTAGCTGCCTTCACAGCTCTTTGTAATGCATCCGAAGAATTGGCATTATCAGTGAACACAGCCTTTGACAACTCATTCACAAAAGGAATCAATGCATCCATCAAAGTTCGGCTATTCTCCCGAGCGTTGGTGTAGCCCTTCAGGGTTTCCAGAGCCTGAGTCGCGCTCCTAGCAAATAGTTGAATGTTGACCTCCTTGAAGTCTTCGAAGTTCCGCTGGACAGCAGACACGAACGAATTGAGGAAGATTCCGTAGAGAGCACCAGATGTTCCACCCATACCGCTGCGGACAGCAGAAGCGATCTTCATTAACCCCTTGGCGAGGTTGGCGAGGTTCTCGTCATTTTCTTCAGCGATGCCAAATGCAGCCTTTGCACCCGCAAGGAGTGTAGTACCACAGTCTCCATCTCCCATGAGAGTATCGTATTCTGTAAGTTTTGGCTCATCGGTCGTCACCTGAGCAAGGATTTTCTGGAGAACAGCAGTAAACAAAATTTTGTCACCTATTACGTCACTGAGTTAGCGATTGAATGTTTTTGTTCAGGATAGGAACTGGCACATACAAGAGATATTTTGCTTCACGACCGGAGAGCGGGCGCGCTCTCCGTGTTGTGGCGAGTTCGATCTCTTCGCCGGGTTAGGCAAGGGATGGCAGGTAGCCCAGCTGGCCATTTTGACAGGCTCATCGAGCAATGAGAGCAAGTTGGTATCGGGGAATATTTTAGGTGTCAGGTTGGCGAGCGTGATGCTAAAACCTGGCGCATCCAGAGCGGTCAAGTAAGTATTGACATAGATACGAATTGGCACGATATTGTATTGGTTCTTCAGGTCCTCCAAGACAACGTTTGCAATGGCCTGCAGCTCGAGGACGGACAATCCTCCGAGGTTGTTCACCATCAATCCAAGCTCGGACTGGTCTTGGGGAATTCCCTGGAACTTCAGGAAACCGTGCTCTGGGTCACTTTCAGTCAATAGCAGCTTCAGCATGTTGCCGACGAGTTGTTCAATGGTGGGCTGCGGCGAGATGCGCTGGGCACCAGGTTCATTGTGGATGCCCATTCCCAGCTCAATGGCATTTTCGGGAATGGAAGGTTGATCGTGACCACCTGGGAGGTTGGCATAGTCCAATGAGCATCCAATGGTGGCCATGTTATCGGAGACATGCTGGGCAATCTTGGACACCTGGGAAAGATCCAGACCACGGAGTGCGGCAGCACCAGCAATTTTATGAACAATGACCGCACCGGCTAAGCCTCGACGGCCAACCAGCTTTCCACGCGAGTATGGTACTGAGACGTCGTCTGCAATTGTGACAATATTGGTGGGGATTCCAGTCTGCGCTTGGTATGTCTCTGAAGCAAGGCCAAAATTGAGCTTGTCACCGGTGTAGTTCTTGACGATGACGAGAATTCCTCGCGGCGTTGCAACACGATCAAATGCTGAAATAATCTGATCGAAGTTGGGTGAAGCAAACACCTTTCCGCAGACAGCCGCGTCTAGCATTCCCTTGCCAACATACCCAGCGTGCGCAGGCTCATGTCCGGAGCCACCGCCACTGATCAAGCTGACTTTCTTTTCGTTCTGGTCAATTGGGCGAAAGAGAACTGCAAAGAAAATATTCGTTAATTCATCCATTCAACCAATTGTCTTTGTTTAGCTTGACTCACCTTTATTTTCATCGTCATATCGCAGAGATGGGTTCTGAGCCGCCAACGAACCACACATGTGGTCGACAATCCGTGTAGGATCACTGAAAAAGGCCTTGGACTTCATATCGGCGACTATAGACTTTAAAGTATCAAGATTGACAAGTTTTGGACGTGAGAGAAGACGGGAATTGGAGGTAGCACGACTGAACCCCCTTTCTCCCAGGGTCGTTCCCCCCCTCTTTATACCGTGCCACGCATGCTCGGAATACCTTGCGATCCTCCGGCCGACCCCGCAACCGCAAGTGAATGGCCCCCGCGTACTCATGAGTGATCCTGGTCTGGAATTCCTTGGTGCAGCCACGCCCAGTAGTGCACAGACCTCAACATCAATTCGGGGCCCTGGTTTCTTGGTGGATGCCACACGGCTTTTCCGCTGGGGAGTGGATACCCGCTTTTTTCACACTCAGGTGACACTTTTGGCCACGCCACCGATTCCTCCTATCATACGACACCGTCTAGGAAGGTTTTCCGAGTATCAAAAGCAAGCTTCATTCTTGTCCTCCTTGTTGCTACCCCACAGATATAGAATCCTGATCCACTTCCACTACGCAAGGGCCGCGGGATCGTGCATGCGGGGCTCCATGTCAAAGGATCCAACCGGAAGCAAGGTTGATCTTCGTAGGATCGTCTAAAACTGGTTTCTCCTTTCTGATTTTCCTTGCTGCGATTCAGCCGCCAATTTCTCCATACCAAGGGATTCCACGTAAACATCAGTCCACTCCTTCTGTCGTGCTGCGTCACGAGAACGTTCTTTTTTTCTTTTGTGATTAACCTGTCTGGAAAAATGATCTCCACAGCCTCCTCGGAATTCTCCTCGGCAGGCTCCTCGGCTTACTTATGCAAATCCGGTCATCTTGTCCAGATTTGGAATGTTTAACCCTCCAAATCAGCCACCCCAACGTTTTGTGCAGCGGGCGCTCCAAGTTGGCGTCACACTGTTTTTCTGTGTGGATCATCGCTAGAAATCACAGTATAAATTATGAACAAATAAGTTAGGCATTGACCCGTACCTAGGTAGCTACGCTTATAGCGGTCAGTATGTTGAATTGAATCCACCAACAGGAATCCCATGTATCCACTTTCAGGGGCAGCAACTACATGATCATCGATGCACTGCAGAGTTATGTCTCCACTCTATCCATTCCTTGTGGATATCTCAAGTCGTCACATGGACTTCAGATTTTTCCAGAAATAAGCTTACATTTATCGACAGATCATTTGGTTGGAGGATTACGAATCATCCGGAAATCCAAGCTATAATGTTGAAACATGTCCACTTCTATATGGTCTAGAACATCACTAGTAGAATCTTGCTAGGTACCCTTTTTTTCAATCGACGCCGATCCAGACAGTAGAAAGCCTTGTAATTCGCGGCCTATAGTAAATAAACGTGCCCAAGGAGTATGCACATGACGGACATCTTTCCATTGCCCCTTTTCGATATGCGCGTACTTATTCCGGGCGGCTATTTGAGCTCAGAGAGCCTCGGTCAGTAAAATAACCGGAAGCTGCTAGAGCTTTACGCATTTCTGATACCGTTACCTATATTCGCTATTTTATCGAATAGGGCCAAAACGTAGAATAGTTATAGCTTCTGGCGGGTCGGCGGTTAGTTAACCGGTGCTTAAAGTTACCGGAAAAGGACCATATCCGCAAAACCATCACGAACACTTCTTCCCTCGGTTAATGCAACCGCCTGGAAAAATCGCTTGAAATTGCCGGGATTTCAATCACACGCGACTGTATATCATAAATAGAGTCACCGTCTCAGACTAGAAGGGGAATCGCGAAACCCTTATCTGAAGTCTTGAATGGCGAGCGACGCAAAGTGGAGCTGAGACCTTCAATCGTTACAGACGTTTCCTTTTTTTTAGTAAAGGTATTAATAGGTACTCAATTAATTTGCACAAATATTTGACCTGATTTGCCCCAGCATCCGTAGTATTATATTATCGTGGCTGTTTGCAAGTTTGTTGCTTGAGCAATAGAGTCTCACTCGGCACAAGAATGGTTTCTAAATGCCCAGCTTCGCTTTAACTTTTCGATCGAACTAATAGCAAGTTCCCAAAGATATAAAAGGTAATGATCCGTCGATAGAGAGAAAATGTTTATTAAAAATCATCGCATTTAGTTAAAAATTCTGTTTGTTTATCGAGTCAATCGAATAACGTAATTCCAAAGCGAATCGCCCACCAAAGCGAGTCGTCCACACCGCCTGATACTACATTTTTGAACTAGAATTTTACCACCAAAACGCCACTATATTAAGGAATCTATCTTTTAGGGCACCAGGTAATGGAATGGTCTATTCTCTGACAGCCGCTGCACCTTGCCTGCCGCCGTCTAGTTAGAGGAGGTAGTAAAACAGACAGTTCAACAGGCTCTGGTAGAGGTTCCTCACTATATTCAACTGACTGAATTGGCTGCCTAATAAGCTGTGAGGCCTCTTTAACAGTTAGCCCTCCTTTTTATGGTATTTATCGATTTGATCGTATACGCTTTTGTGTTTTTTTCTCAATTATAGCGCGTAAATCAGCATTTTCCTTTGCTAGGAGTGCAGCGTTATACATTGAGAGATAGCAGCCTTTAATAACTTAATCAAGTAAAATCTTAGATAGAGTTGGGGGGGGCTTTTTGAACTGTTTAAGCAAGGCCTTGAGTAAGGAAGCATACTTTTAAAGCTGAAAACCTGTTTTTGGTGTTTTTAGTAAAAAAATACTTGATTTGCTACTTAGTCGGTTTCCTGGGGGTATAGGTATTTGTAGTAATATATTAAGCTTTAAGAGTATACGATCTGGATCAAATAGTACTAGATCTGCTACTACAAAACTATTTTGAATAGTCTCTGGCTTAAAGGTCTCCGTATATACTTAAGGATAAGCTGCTAGAAAATCTAGCTTATCAATATAGTTATATCTTGTACGTACTTAATTCTCAACTAAACGTCTATATAAGCGTTTAAGAACAGTAAAACACCCAATATCAAGTAGCTAAAGAAGATATGATAAATGTGATAGCATACAAAGCAGTATAATTGAGTTTTCGTTGTAAATCTGATCAAATTAAAGTATAAGGTAACTGCCATGGCTATTAAGAATAAGAAGGCGATATTTCCCTTTTGTACGTATAGAAGTAGCTAGAATAAACAGCTTTTCAAGCCATCGTAGGCCAATTTCATCTGTAGTCCAGCCATTTTAAGAGACCACAAATCGCCAGTCTTTTCGAAGATTATCAAACCAACTTTCGATGTAGACTTTGCCTTTGAATATAATGCATGGAGGTAGTACAGTATTTTCGGAAATCGGTGACACCCTTACACTCTTTGGTTGTTTCCCGAACCCTAGTGCCAAGCCACGCCAACCCGTATTAAGAACGGAATAGGAATATTAAATTTCCGATATTCTACGAATACATATAATTGCAAAGCCAAGTTGCATACCGCGTGCTTGTGTGCGTAAGGGGTTTACTGTATATTACTGGAACCTTCCGGCAAATTAAACAACTTAAGAGGGGGCGGTGGATCTGGCGGATCTGAGCACCTGTTATCTTCTCCGTCCATACATCACGTTCGAGTTGCAATCCTAGCGTTTACTCGAAATCTTTGAACCTCAGAAGCTCTGCAACTGTACAACCCGACTGTGCAGACTAAACATGCCAGACCTCTCGGACGGACAGAAGGTCCAGTTTTGTGAAAGTGCCAGATAAATACCACATTTATCCAAAAAAAAATTTAAAGTTTCTTTTAGAATCCTCCGCAGGTCATGACGTAGTAGATCGATGGATTCCTTTTTGTAGACAGCCTATAACCCGTTCTTCTATTTCCCTTTCGATTTATTTATCGCCTAAATTCCGTAGCCATGAATCCAAAATCGCTTATAGGCTGAAACTTAACCGTTGTCAATTCATTACATTACCAGAGAGTGTAACCTTATACCTGAAATCATCGCATGCGTCATTAATCATCGAATAAAACCTTTATAAGCTGCCGCAATTTTGTTACAACTTACTCGTCAATCCTGAAAACGATTTTCAATGCAAAGCATCTCCAAGATGGCTCAAAGTCAAAATTCTACTTCGCCTCTACCACCCCCAGCCTACGACCTATTAACCCACTTGGCTATCATCACAGAAAGCATTGCAACGAATTTAAAAAAGAATCGTCTGGGTAGAAAGTCTATACAATTGCTTCTACGTGAGTACGCGTCAAGGGCGGAGTCAGACGGTCAACTCCTCTACACTGCTAGGGTCAATCAATGTGTTGATCATGCCCTATCTCTGGCACAAAGCCACCTTGAGCTAGTAATAAGGCTAGTGAGCGATAACTATAATCTTTCTTCGACCTCTGTGAAATGGTATAGTTACAAAATGCTTTTCCCAAGAAACCAATTACCACTATTCTGCGTTGGTTCGAAGACAACACAGCTTCGTCATATATTAAGAACTATTGAGAAGAGGGCGGACATAACATACACAGATCTCCAGGCAAACAATGTGAGAAGAGCCAGCATCCTCACTCATAGGGTCAAATATATTGAATTTGGTATATTTATAATAGATACCGATTCCATCTACAAAGATCGAGTACCGAAGAGTCTTCAGGCCTCCGTCGGCAAATGATCACCCTCTAGAATGTATGGACATATACTGTTACCCACCAAAGATACTCAGCTTACTAACTATCGATTGGCCAGCTCTTGAAAACATCATCCGTCAAGGCATTGTTCTTAGACAGGAGTTGAGCTGGCCTATCAGCCAATGATTTAATGAAACTCAGTCATGGTATTTATTGTTAAAAGGATATTAATGTGAATTACTGGAGGGCAAAAATTGCTCTTGAAGAAACCCATCATGAGAAATTATGATAAAATTTGAGCCTAAATCGACTGATGATACTGATGTTTGAGGTTAACCAACTCAGTTATCGGCATCGTAGAGCAGTATGCCTTAATTGAATAGGTAGGCAGATACCATAGCACGTTTGCCCTTTTTTGAGAATGTTACGGGCTCGCTGAGCATATTCACGCCCGTTGTTTATATTGAAATCACAGTAATGGGCAGACCACATCCTAGCTCTATTAGATTTGGGATGGCCAAAATATTCACGGATTAAGGTTCAATCGCGCTCGGCTGGAGATGCTTGTATTGGGCTCTACCGGATGTTCCTGTGCATTAGGGGAGACCGGTAAGTCGATCAAAATTTTGGCATTGGAATACCCAGTCCTACGATGCTGGTTACCCGGGAACTGGACCAATGGCTCCATTAATTGCGTACCAAACATTGTTTTCATGGTCATCAAATTATATTATTAACGGGAAATAGGCCGGAAGGGTCCGTCAACTGTTAAACCTTTAAACAAAAAGCTAGCATTTTGAATGGCGACAAATGTCACTCCTGGATGCGCATATCATATTGAGCGAGGATTGGACTTAAATTCGATAATGGGTCATCTCAGCTAGTATCGCTGTAGAAATTATCGTTTTTCAATTACTCTTCGTCTTCAGACGAGCCAACGAAGATCGTAAAACTTTATATTTCCTTTTTATTGCATTTGCGGGTGAGCGGGTGAGCGGGTGAGTATCTATACTCACCCGGTCGGCAACATCAAAAGAGATGCTTGCAAATACCAGTATCATAAACTACTTCGCGATATTTTGCATCCTAAAAGTTCGCATGAGCATTGCAAGCGTCGGGCGGGATTTAAAAAGAGAGCGAGTTCCGAAACGTGAATCTCGGCATGCCAAGCTTCAAGCTGCAGCTTGTAGATTTCGTGATCGGTCTCCAAGATTACGACGATCCGAACGGATCAAACCTTGAGTTTATAAAACTTATAAAGCTTGTCAAAACCTCCGAGTAAATTTAAAATCGCTCCTCTTCCACCCAACGCCAAGCAATGACGAGCATATCTGGGTCCAAGGCACATTCAAGTTCAGATGAGGTGCCATACTCTCCACCCACAGGGCTATGGAGCTATATCCCGTACTTCAGGAAACCTGAAAATGTCCTTCTCTTCAAACTGGACTGTTTGCTGTTGACATGGACTTTCATCGCTGGAATTTTGAAGGAAATGGACCAAACTGCTACCACCCAAGCATACGTGTCGGGAATGAAAGAGTCCTTGAGTTTATATGGCAACGAGCTGGTCAATTTCAACACCTTCTTCTCCGTGGGATATGCCATCGGTCTTATTCCGGGCCAGCTAATTCAAACTAAAGTGAGTGGTTTTGAAAGACCCGACCGGGTGGATATAAGCTAAGTGTTCCAGATTCGCCCTTCCCTCTTCTTGCCTTTTTGTGAAATAGCGTGGGGCATTTTGGTTACCTGGTTGGTTTTGATGAATGAACTACAAAATTAATTATCTAACATCCCCAATAGCATCGCCCAAGCTCCTAATGCTAAAACTGTATACGGATTGCGCATATTACTGGGTCTTTTCTCGGCTGTCTTCTGGCCCACTGCGGTCTCGCTGATTTTCAATTGGTACAAACCCGCCGAATTAGCCAAGAGAGTTGCATTTTTCAATGTCTCCAATGCAGCGGGAGGAATGTTCATAAGTGCATTGCAAGCCACTCTTTACAAAAACATGAATGGCGTCCACGGAATCTCCGGATGGCAATGGCTATTCATTATATCGGGCACAGTCACAATTGGGCAAGGACTTCTCGGTCTCGCCATTATACCAGATACCCCAGCTCTAAGTCGCGCTATGTGGATCACAGATGCAGAGAAACGCATTGCAAAGGAGCGCATGGCTAGCTTCGGCGCCGATACGTCGAAAATTCTCCCCGCTGCAGTCCTCAAACAAAAGTTGCGAAAGTTAGCATCCCACCCAGTGGCATACTTCTTTCTTCTAGCCTTCACTTTGCAAGCCTGGGCCAGTCGAGCAAACTCATATTTCCCCCTCTATCTGGAAGGACTGAAAGACTCGGCCGGAAATCTTCGTTTCAACACATATCAGGTCAACGTCATACCGATAGGAGGTTATGCACTCCAGATCGTCAGTAATCTTGCCCTGAACGCGGTATCCGACTGGAAATACTGGCGCTGGCAGATCAGCATAGCTCCATGTTTTCTGTTCGGAATTGTGCTATGTGTTTTGTGTGCCTGGCCTTCCGACTACAAAGTTGTCTTGGCCTTTTATTTTCTCACATATGCGACAAATGCAGGAAGTCCGTCACTTCTGTCCTGGATGGCCGAGATACTGAGAAAGGAGCCGGAAGCTCGTGCAATTCTCGTTGCTCTCACGGTTACAATTGTCTATGTTGGCCATGCGACCATTCCACTCAGGGCCTGGCAAACAAAAGACTCTCCGAGATATCCTATTGGGTTCCCTCTTGCCACTGCGTTCATTTTCTCGTCCGTTGCTGTCCAGCTTGGTATGCTGTGGTGGCAGCGACGCTACGAAAGGTCGGACGATTACAGTTTTGATGCACAATCGCAAGTATCTGTTGTCGCTACAAGAGAGGTCAATGCGAAGTCTTCAAGCGAGGAAGTGATAAAAGCACGAGGAGATTCGAAGAATCCAAACCCAGAAATCTCCGAGGTGTAAGAGGCCTTGGTGTTTATCAAAGCTCAATGCCTGGATGGGTCGCTTGTTTAGGCTGTATTGAAGTTTCGCCGTCTACGGCGCTCCATGAGCGCAGGGTGGTCAGTAGTTGTATCAAGGGGTATTTTATGTGACCGTCTTGAAAGCCATCTATAAACTTGGAACTTCTGACTCTAAAGTTCTTAGTGTTCAGACCGCGCTAGTCTCTATCCTTCTCAGAGGGACTACAAGTAATTACCCAAGATGGAATATATCGGCTAATCTAGTCTATTATGGGTAGGTACTAGTCTGCTATGGGCAAGTGGTCAATAATGGTAGACAATTACAAAGTAAAACCTTTTGTAGTACTACTGTAGTTTTGTCTAAATTCTTTTATGTAACACTGGTAATTTGAGACTGAGAAGTTACAGGGGGCTTGAAAACGGTCAGGCAATATACCTATATACAACTACTGACCAACCTGCGCTTATTGGAGCGCCGTAGTTGTCAAGGAGTGTCAAATGATGAATACTGATTATAGATCAGAAATTCCTCAACGAGGAACCAATTTTAGGTACTGACTTTGCTCCATGAGAGTGTATCACGTTGAATGTGGGAGTCGCGCACAGACTCTCAATTACCCCAAGTTCAGAATGGTACTCTTGAGGCAATCTCCAACTTTCATTGGCTGGCTCGGTCTTTTGCCGAGTATCCTCGTCAAATTCGGTCCAGCAACCTTGGAAATAGTCTTGTATGTACGCCATCTCTGAAGTCTGGATTTAACTCATCCAATATGAAAATCTTAATCACTGGTGCCGGCGGCTTTGTTGGACAATACCTTGCTAGAGAGCTACTCAAAGATCCAGAGAACAAGCTGATCCTGACCGACATAACGGTCTTCTCTACCCCGCCCTCTTCAATCCACCCCGAAAACGCAATATGCATCCAAGCAGATCTAGTCAAAGAGCCACAAGCGGTTCTTATTGAGAAAATGGATGCTGTATACGTTCTCCATGGAATTATGTCATCCGGCGCAGAGGCAAACCTCGATTTGGGCTTGAAAGTCAATGTCGACGCGACACGCCACTTACTGGACTGCATCAGGAAGAAAGGATGGCATACTCGATTTATTTATGGCTCTAGTATTGCCGTATACGGTCGTCCTTTCCCTCAAAAAATCACGGAAGATGTGTATCCTACGCCTGAGGGGTCATATGGCAGCGAAAAGGTGATATGCGAAACGCTCATCAACGACTATACCAGACGGGGGTATATCGATGGGTTTGCAATTCGCTTACCTGGTGTGATTATTCGGACAGGAGCCCCTACTCAAGCCGCGAGCAGCTTTCTCAGCGGCATTATCAGGGAGCCACTGGCAGGGAAGAAATGTGTTGTGCCGACGAAGGATCGATCAAAGACGTTCTGGGTCTGTTCCATCAATGACATAGTATTGAATCTAGTCTATATTCTTGGTTTGCCCAGCGATGTATTGCCTTTGCATAGACGAGTGTTGAATGCGCCGGGAATGGTGGTTACGATTCAAGAGATGAGGGATACCTTGGCAAAGGTCGCTGGTCAGGAAATGTTGGACTATATAGAGGAAGTGGAGGACACCACGTTCGCAGACTTGGTTCAATCGTGGCCATGCAACTTTGATGTGTCTTTGGCTTCCGGTGTCGGCCTCTCGGTGAGGGAGACCTTTGGGCAAGCAGTGGAGGAATATGTTCGTAGTCTCTGAGTCAACTATAATAATTTTATTGTTTTATGTGGCTTGGACAAGAAAGCGTTTAAAGCTCGTAGGGTCACAAGCAATAAATGGCACAATAGTATAAGATATACTACTAGTAGAACTTGAATTAAAAAGTGATTAGGCAACTTTGACCACTAAACACTGGCACTTCATTTTTGTACGCAAAAAACGATCGAGTGATGATTACCTAGGTCTTGAGAACTATGTTTTCTATACAAGAAAAAGCGATAAAGCGATCATGCGATGGCTACTACGAGCCAGTGTTGCAAAAGTTTGAACACCTTCGTTGATCGCTCCGGTCTCCGCCTTCTTAAGGGAGACTAGTAGCTACCTAAGATGGAATAAATTGGCCAATCTATTCCATCGTTCTGTACAACGGCCTCCAAGTCGCGACAATCGGACCAAAGACCGAAAAAGTCAAGTCACTGGAGTATAGTGTCTTAGGAACTGGAGGTGAACTCAAGCTTCCTGCGCTTAAGGGTGATTCGGGATCTTTGCTTTTCCGGGAAGCTGCTGCTGGGGGGCAGGTTGTGGGGATGGTTATTGCCGGCGCGGAGCACAGCCGGATTGCGTACTTCACGCGTATTGACGAGCTTCGCGAAGACATCTTGAAAATAACCGGTGCAAAGGACATTCGGATGCTCGATGCATGATTTTGAGGGAGGGATGATGATGGTGCTCGCCTTCAGTTTTGTTGCGGCGTTGCTCATTTGTTTCTCTTTTCATTATTAGCTATTCGACAGGAACTACTTGAATACAGAGCTATGAATATTCCAAGATTTATGAGGACTTTCACAGGCTGCTCAACAAAATCTCAAAGATCTGTATAACCTCCTCCTGCTCTTCCTTCGATAAATTCAATCGCTGCGCATGCGCATAACCCTCCCTTAACCTCGCAGCAACAATAGCCTTAGGAGTCTTCGTCCTAAACGCAGACTCGATGCTCTTCGAAATGCCATGGAACGGGTAGGCCATCAATCCGATACCAGCTTCAGCGAAAGGCAAAGTGTTAGCATTGCATTTCCTTCATCCAATTCCACGCGCAAAAGAAAGGATCCAACTCACCAGAAGGCATCTTCGTCGCCATCCCTAAAGCCCCCCCTAGTAAGACCCTTGATAGCACCATCCTTCCCTCCATCCAATGCACCCTTCAACGGCTCGGTAATCATGCCCGCTACGCCCCCAGCCATACCGCCAACGAAATTCTTCCCGCCAACCGCAATACCCGATTTCCAATCAGAGACATGTCCATATTCTTTAGGCTTCTCGCCGTAAAGTCGCGGTGCACGTCTGAATCCCTCCGCCGCCGCGTGTGGAATGTCAACGATCACACCTCGCAGATACGTGCCGGAGAATTTCCCAAAGCCTTGTAATCCTGCGCCGACCATTTTACCCGCTGTCTCGAATGAGTCTTGACGGTTCTCGAGAGATCGGGATGAGGATGAATCGCCCGTCGCGTTTGTGCGACTTCGTTTGAACTCTTTGTATGGGTTGTAGAACATTTCGCCTGTTGACTTTGCCATGTTTGCGCCTGTTGCTGTTGCTGCGGAGAGGACGCCTGTTAGAGGGTCCCAGCGTCGGTTGACGATCAAAATTGGGTTGGCTGGGTAGCTATTTTCCTTGTCATCAGTATTCGTTTTCGTTTCTGACATGGGACTGTTGGGGAGGAGGGTTAAGATTGAGCTAACCATTTGATGTTTTCAGGGTTAATCTTGTTGTGCTCGATTAGGACCTCTGCTGCTGTCTTCGACAAAATTAAACGGTGTTTCTCATTCTTATACTTCCACACCGCGACTTGATCAGGCATGATACTACATCGCATTCGATCGAGTGGTAGATTTCGGTGGAACGAGTCCACTGCTGCCGACACGCCTGAGTCGGCCTGCATCTTGATAGCAATTTCCTGTGCGGCTTCTGATGCTTCTGGCGTCAGGCAAAATTGCATTGCAGAAGCCAGGAGTTCTGGCTCAAGGTCTTTATGCGGGATTGGTTCGGGGCCAGCGCCGGCTTTGGCAACCATATCGCCCCAGAAGGGTTGGCTGGGTAAATGTTAGCGATATTTCAGATATGATCTACGGAAAATCAATGAAGGAAATAGAGTGTAAACTTACTCGCCGAAAAATGGTACAATAGTGGTAGGCTTTCCGTTTTGAAGCCCGCAGGCAGTCGTTCCAGCGCCACCGTGGTGGACTACTGCAGCCACCTGTTGGAAAAGCCATCCATGCGGGCAGTCGCCGATATAGTAAATATTCTCATCTGAAGTTCCAGCGAGTTCACTCCAACCCTTTGAAACAATGGCTCGTATGCCAGCCAGCTTGACTGCTTCAACGACTGTGTTAATTAGCTTTTGGGGGTCATCAACGACGATACTGCCGAAGCCAATATACACAGGAGGTGGCCCTGCTTGAAGGAATTCTGTCAGATCTGGAGGGGGTGTATAATCCGGCGTATCTGCGAAGAAGAATCCCACGACATCTGTCTCGATTAGCTGCCGATCATATCTGGGATCTTTTCTCTTTGATCTCAAAACATACCGATATGTGATGGCCAGTCAGTTGGACGTGGAACTAATGCCGGAGACCAACAGTAGGTGAACGGAATTTCCAAAGCTTCCGCTAAACAAGGGCCCTCTGTAGCAGGAACCGATGCAAGGTCAATAGACGACCTAAATCGATTAATCACATCGCCCAATCTGCGCAATCTGTCAGCTAACAATTCACCTTTCCTTTGCAAATGTAATCACAATATCCATCGATGTAGATTCAAACATACCCCTGCCACGTCAACCACTCCACAACCCCATAAGAAACCCAATTCGCCTCAGGCGTATTCATAATCTCCGGATTCAAATTCTGACTCAAATTCGCCAACGGATGAGGAAACGCCCTAGTCGTACTCCAAGGCATAGTAAACATCAAATGAACCGGGATCCCCAACGCCTGCGCACAATGCACATGGGCAAAACTCGGCGGATTGGCAATAATCGCATCAGCAACAAAGGGTTCCTGATTCGTCGGATCATCCGAGATACAACTTCTCCAGCACCCATCCAACATTTCTGCCACCATTCGCTGCTTCTTCTTAATCTCGCCATCACGAAGGGTTTGCATTTGCGGGATTAGTCCGGGATTCTTGACCATATATGCCATGAGTTGTGCCGGGTCGCCGCCAATAGGGAAGAATTCCAGGAATGAGTCCTTGACGAATTTCTCAAATACGCCGTGCGTGGCGATGCGGACTCGGTGGCCGTGTCTTTGGAGGGCATTTCCTAGTGCGATGAAGGGCTGGACGTCGCCACGACTGCCGACTATTTGAATGACGATGTTAAGCTTTACGTCGCAGACGGGTGATGGCTGAGGTTCTGTTGGCTGAGGCGGTGGTGGGTAGTTGTCTTTTAGCTCTTTCAGCTCTTGTTTTGCGATTTGAGCCAGTGATTTGGCGAGTTTGGAGTTGAGGTTGACATCGATACGGCCATCGGCTGTTGTTAAGTTAGCTCTGTGGCTCAATATAGGAATAACTGCGCATCCCACATCCTCCCACTTACTTTTGACATCGCCTGATTCGGCAGTCACTTGAGGGTCGACATATGGAGTGTATGGTGGGGGGCTGGACTCTCTGTCGGTGCCCGCGCGGTCGGGCAGTGGAGGTTTCTCCATTTTATTCAGAGTGAGGGGGACTTTCGCATGTGAAGAAAAGAAAGAATAAATCGACGTAGATCAGTAAAGAGAAAGTAGTATCAAAACCATAGACTACGGAGTAAGTTCCACGGTTTCAAGCGTCTTGTGCAACTTGTTGTTGGTGGCGAATCTCATGCCCCGCGATGTCCCAACGAGCTTTGGCTTTGGTTTTGCTTAATACATCACGTAGCTCCAGCCACGCAGGCACCAACGAAGAACCAATTATGACAGCTAAAATTAGATTAGCGGGTCATTTCCCATTTAATCCAGCCCCCTTTTGTCCACTTAAACGCCATCGTCAGTGGCAAACGGGCCGTGCTTAACGACGATCCACACTGCTTCCCCCTCCTTTCCACGAATTGTGGCTGTGCGGAAACTAATGAGACGAAGGTGGAAACCTGCTTTAATTATGACCGCATGTCTACGAGTGTTATCCTCAACCCACCGTCTTCTTCGCGACGATGAACGGCGCGATCCGCAATGGCGCCAACCACTCCTGCGATAGCCTCTCGCTGTCGCTACCCCAAGCCGGGGCTTTCGAACAAAATGACAAGAGAAGGCTGTTGTTGATTTATATCCATGGATTCATGGGCTCCGAAGCGAGCTTCCAGGACTTCCCCGCTCATATCCATGACATGTTGACCGCATTACTGAGTGATTCGCATGTCGTATACACGCGCATTTATCCTCGGTATAAATCACACGGGGAGATTCAGTCTGCAGCAGCCCAATTCAGTGCTTGGTAGGTTCTCCTAATATAAACACACACTGTCACATCGTCGCACCGGGCCGTCCCGTTCGTCCTGAAGCCTTTGTGCATGGGCTGATGTAGATCTATCCATCTAGGCTAGCTCCTCACGAAGCAGATGATCTCGATATAATCCTGCTGGGCCACAGTCTCGGCGGAATCGTCGCTGCAGACGTGGCCCTTTTGCAAAGACATCAAATTTTGGGACTAATCAACTTCGACGTACCCTTCCTGGGCCTTCATCCGCGCGTAGTACCGACAGGTATTTTCAGCTCGATGCCAAAAAAGCCTGGAGACGTCCCGCCAGAAGAAACGCTCGCAGATGAGCAAGCATCTCTAGGCATGGACCCCGCCTATAAACCGGCAACACCACCAAGACCAGCAGCGCCGGATCCGAATTTCGATCGGCCGTGGAGGAATGATATCCGACTACCTAATCGGGGCTTCCTCAAAGGGGTGATGCATTTTGTCAATAAGAATACCGACAACCTTGCGCGATCAGTCTTCGATCGGGTAGTATCATCTGCGAAATTCGCGGGCTGTGTGAATAACTATTCCGAGCTCCGACAGCGATATCGCGATCTTATGGAGTTGGAGGCTTCAAATCGTGTACCGCCTCACTCGGTCAAATTCATCAATTATTATACAGCCAGCACGGGTCGCAAGAAACCAAAGAAGGGCGATGATTCTACAAGGACGGACTCTGCCCAAGGAAGTCCCAGTCCCTCTCTTAAAATCGAAGAAAAGGAAATAGCCGACCAAGACGAGAAGTCCACGACTCCTACGCAGCAGACGCCTGCTCCGGAAAGATCACTAGAGAACCTGAGCATTTCTTCAGAACCCAGATCCCACGAAGCTGGAGCCGAAGCTGAAGCCGAAGAAAAAGCAATAAAGACCAACCCGGCCGAAGAATCACAGTCCAAATCCTCATCATCAACATTAGCAGTAATAGACGCCGAGCCCATGCCCGAACCCGAAATCGAAGACGAAACCACATCAGAACTCCAAATTCAAACCCCAGAACCCACAGCACACTCCCTCTCCCCAACAGAAACCCTCCGAGAAGCAAGCCTTCACCTCTCAGAAAGCACCATAAGCGGAAGCACAAGCATAACAACAACCTCCAGCACAAACTCGAACTCGGACCCCAGCACGCAAAAACTGCGGAAATTCATCCTATTGCCAAAGAATCATTGGAAATACCACGACAACGCACACTGGACCGCAGTCGTGATGCAGGACATCGACGAGGTCGAGGCTCATCAGTCTATGTTCATCCCGTCCGGTGCGCACTATGATCCTCTCGTTGGTGATACGGTTAGTTTGATTGAGATGTGGGTGCAGGATGAATTGAGTAGGAGGTTGGTTAGAAGGAGTTTGGATTAGATGAAAGTGATAGATGGCTACTAGGGTTGCTAGAGTAGTCTTGGGACATACTCGTGGACCTTAGTACTTGCAGGGGCATGTGGGGGGGGGAGGGAAGGGAGGCTTTCTTTTTTTTACGTCGTCAATCCGACTAGATTGCGTACAGTGCATACATAGCATACTACCCTAGATCAAAGACGCATCTAATCTTGAACGAAGTTACGCAGCAAACCAAGCTTCCAGTTCTCGGCCAATCCATCTAAACAGAATCGAATCTAAATCTAAATCTCATAAAAGTAATCATACAATCAATATAGGTACAAGCATATCTTTTTGGCCGTTAAAAAAGGGAAAGAAAGGCGTAAATGCATAGTAGGGCTCAATTCTCATTTTACCCCCCTAAACCCACCCACCCCCTTCGCCAGGACGATGCCCACTGGCAGCAGCCGAAGGGCCAAGCGTACTCAACCTCCCACCCGCACCAATAGAACTCATCCTAATAGTGCGTCTCCTAGCAATCTCAGCCTCGGTCTTAACAGCTTCAGCCCTGGTCTGCGGCTGACTCTCCTTCTCAGGCGTCTCGGTCTTAGGCTTCTCCTTAATAGAGATCCACTCCATGAAAATCGGTCCCAGAATCGAAAGACTCGCTGTCGCAACAGCCACATAAAGAGCTTGCATGACTGCATCATTATAAGCTGCCATGATCGGAGGTAATTGGCTCTTAGGCATGGTGTTTCTAAATCCCGTCGCTCCACCTGACAGGACAAGGGCAGCTGTCTCTTTCGACAACGAATTGAGCAGGTTTTTGATCAGTCTGTTTTGGAATACACTCTCCGCAATAGAGAGACAGATCGTTCCTCCGAGAGTTTGCACGAATGTCAGGATCGATGTCGCGATGGCCATATCCTCAGCGTCAACGGCGACCTGTGAGACTAGCATGACGTTCTGCACGCCGAAGCCGACGCCTGCGGCTAGGAGGACTTGGTAGCCGAACCATTCTGGCATTCCTGAGTTGACGTTGAGGGTTGAGAGCATTCCTGCTGCGATGGCGGTGAGGACGGAGGAGATTAGTACGAAGGGGGTGTAGTAGCCGATGACTGAGGCGAGGACGCCGGCTATGATTGCGAAGACGACGATGCCGATTAGACTGGGGAGATTGTCGATGCCAGATGCGGTGGCCGATACGCCTTTAATGGCTTGGAACCAGATGGGTAGCTGTGTAAAGTTAGTGGAGGGGTTATGTGATATAAGTGGATGGGATGCGGGGGACGAACATAGTAGGCGACGACGAACATGGGTGCCGAGATACAGCATGCATACCAAGAGGCGCCAAAGACACTTCTATTTTTCATCAGGCGGACGGGAACGGTAGCTCTGTCCTTTTGCCAGATTTGAATACCCACAAAAACCGCAAAGAGTAGGGCAAAGAGGATCATCAATACAATGATCCGGGCGCTCTTCCACTCATACTTCGAACCACCCCACTGCAGGGCGAGGAGTAGACAAATAATCGAAGGGATCATGGTCAAAGTACCAGGGAGATCGAACTGTTTGACCTGCTCTTTCCACGGGAGTGGGTGCACATCGCCAGCCCGAGTCGGCATAAGGAAGAAGATTCCAATAGCAGTCAACCCGCCGATTGGTAAATTAATCCAGAAACACCACCGCCAACTAAGATGATCGGTAAAAGCGCCGCCCAGAATCGGGCCAGCCACACTGGCAATGGAGTGCATGCTGGACAGAATACCGATATAGATCGGACGAATGCGCAGAGGAACCGTATTGGCGATGATAATGATAGCCCCAGAGAATAAGCCCGCAGCGCCAATACCAGCAACGGCACGGCCGATAATGAGTGAGGCCGAGTTAGGCGCAATAGCACAGACTAAAGAGCCAATCTCGAAGATGCCCAGTCCGCTTAGGAACACCCATTTCGCCGAATAAAAGGTGTACAGCTTGCCGAAAAATAGCTGCACGGCACAATTTGTAAACAGGAACGAACTACCATACCAGCCCACATCATCAAGCGAGTTGAAAGAATTGGTAATTTTCGGAATCGCAGTCGCTAAAATGGTTCCGTCCTGCAGGCGTGTCAGATGTCGCGTGTCGCGTAAAGGAAGGGGTAATATGCGGACGGATGTGATGTGATTGCGCCGCGCCAGGGACACCTATGGCGACATCGACACCAACAAAAGGGGTGAACGACGAAGAGAACTTACCAAGGACAAACAAAAGGTAGCCAGACATAAACAAATCGTTAAAGGCACCAGCTTCGCATAAGAGACTTCATCGGTAGATTTGCCGCGGGCTGTAGTGGGGTTAGGAGAATCGGGCGATATAGGCTCCTCCGCTAAGATCGGTTTCGTGTCGTAGTCTAAGGGGTCGAAGTGCTGCCGATGCGAGTCGAAACGCTGCAGCTCGAGGTCATCCTCCTCTTCTGGCGGATCCAAGAACGTATGCATTGGCATTGGCGCGGTGTGATAGTGGTCATCCAGAAGACGAGCCATTATATCGTCGAGGGGGGGTTGGAGTGGGTGTTGGGTTGTCTATGTATGACGAGCGCGTCTCAACTCGACTCGATTACGATTTTCCCGGACCCATCCCTTAATCCGCTTTGTGATACAGGTCCTGAAATTCAGTTCATCTGCAGGCACTCTCGTTGGCGCGCTGGACCCACAAGGGGTTCTTCGCATGCCGCGGGCCCGTGGACAGCGAGGCGTTTCCTGCGCGTTCGGAGCAAAGATCGGCGATCGAGAAGCGGACAAGAATGTGCCGGAATGCTTCTGTAAATAAATCTGCCGTCATCTTTGTCCATGATGGATGATGGTTGGTTCTTTCTAGTTGAAATATTCCCATTTTCTTCGAACAGTTCTCGTCTGTGAACTGTGCAGAGGTGTGGGTCAGACCCTTATTCTTAATTCAAGCCTTCGTCCAATGCCGAGGTGGGGGCGGCGAGCCAGGCACGTCGTGTTGCGCGTTGTGTTATGCGCACTTGATGCTGGGAATCTGTCGTCGTCCGGAGAATTAAAGTCCTCCATTCCAAAAGTCGACCTTGGTGGAAGAGGATGGTTTGGTGTGCAGGCCCTTTTATTGATAGATCAACCTTATCTGCTCCACCTAGCTGTAACCCTTAGCATACTTTCATAGAAAGGTTTCACGACGGCGGGTGTGACACGGTGGTGTGGGAGGGTAGTGGGGACGTCAAAAAAATTAGTGCTCAGGCTAAATTGGTGGCCAGATTTGATCGGAGTGATGTCAATGCGGAGACGGAGAGAGGGAGAGGTTGAGTTGGTGAGTTGCTGTGTTGCTTGAGGTTGCCGAAGGAAGGGATCTTGTTATATGGACACTACTTTTTATGATAAGTACACACTTCGGCACATGGGGCGGGGGTGTGGTTTCTGTATTACCATTGGTATGGTAATAAATATCCCATCGCCGCATATCTCTAGAGTATTCATGTATTGTATTTACACATTTCGGGCAGAAGGTGTCTAGTCAGTATTCCTGCAGTACATCTGTATTATTTCTGTAGTACACATAGTAGTAACTACTAATTGATCCTCCGGGGTGACTTGGAGTTTGGGTTGACCCAAAAATGAGACTAACGCCCACGGTTACTGTTGGATTGTTTTAGGTACAGTCTGAAACTTGCTACTTGTTACTTACACTACATGCATAACTGAAACTGACAAACGTCTAACATTTTTATGTCCATTCATCATAACTAACGCCGCGCCCAGTAGATGCGACTTCATAAACCGGGTCGGACCCGGTGACTACACAGTCGGCAGACTTAATACTTTTGGGGTCTGCTTCTGCTTCTGCTTCTGCTCTGCTGATCACATTGCTCCATCGCCTTGCCTTGCCTTGCCTCGTCTCTATCTCTTCTTCAAAGCAAGCTAAGCTAGATCGACTCCGATGCGCCAATTGCTTTTCAATAAAGGTCATCCACACGAGGCCAGTCTGGAGACAGAATGCGGAGGACAGGAAAGAACGATATGCCCGAGTGTAGATGTGTGTCTCGCAAATGGGGTAAAGGAGGAGGGGAACTGTAAAGAAAAAAACGAAAATGGAAAGTGGAAAATGGTAGGTAGAACAAACAAAGGACGAACCCAATAAATGTCGAAAGAGGTAGAAAGGGCGGTTCGGGGGGGGGAGACATAAAGAAACATCATCGGGCAGGTATAGCTTCACAGGAATTCACATCATGCATCATTTCTCCGTAGCTGTTTATGCGCGAGCCTCCTCGGCCTGGGCGCGGTCCTGACGAGGACGGTTACCACCCTTACCGCCGCGCTGGTTGTTGCGCTGGCCCTCGTGGCCACCGGTACCAGTGGACTCGCCGCCACCCAGGGTCAGTTGGGCGGTTGCTAGTCGGTTAGACAGCTCCATCTGTGTGCGGATGGTGTTGGCGAGGTAAGAGACAACCAGGACATCCTGGATGTGGTTGTTGCTGGAGGGGGAGAAAAAATCAAAAGTCAGTAAACAAGTTCAACCCAGCTCAATAGAATGCGGTGGCACATACAAGTCCTTCTCAATATCAGCAGGCTCGACCTTGGGAGCCAAGGCGAGAGCGTTGAGCAGGAATTGACCCATAGCGGTAGAAGCGGGAGCCTCCTCGTCAATCACAGACTCAACGTAGCGCGAAACACGGTCGATCATAGACAGAACCTCCTCAATGGCACGCTCCAGAGCCTCGACATCGGTGGCGATGCTGGTCGAGCGCTCCTCGGTGTCCTTGGCGTTGGCAATGGCCTCGAGACCACTCTTGTCGGCCTCGCCGTATCGGAGCTCGTAAGGGACGGGAATGAAGGCGGCGCTGTCGGCAGCACGCTCGGCGGTGACACCGACGGGGGCAGAGATGTAGGCGCGGGTCTCGAGGTCCTTGCCGGCCTCGGTGGACACGGTAAGGTGAACAGCGGGGTGGGGCCATGTGCCATCACCCTGGCCGCTGTAGAAGTTCTGAATCAAGGCGGAGAAGGTGTTGAGCTCCGAGGCAGTGGCGTACCAGCCGACCAGCACCTCGCGGGGGTTGGCCTTGAGGTGCAAGGCCAGCATCTGCTTGTGATACTCCATATCGACCTCGACCTGGTCCTCAGCCTCGGAGTGGCCCACGGCGAAGGCGGAGCGCACTTCGACCTCACTTCCATCTTCCGAGCGTGTTCCGAGAAGGGTACCGATGACACGGTTCTGGTCGGCATTGCGGCGCAGCGAGTGGTCGAGGATAGAGAAAACGGCCTGGAGGGAAGTTGTGTCAGCGATATGGCTGGCAGCGACCGGGGTTATGGATGTTGGATGTTGGGTGCTGGGTGCTGGTGTTATTGAATGCCCCTCCATATGTCACATACCTGGGGCTGGATGACCACGTTCAAAGGGGCGGTGGTCGGGGCAGTCCCCACGGAGACGGGACCCAGAGGACGGGCAAGGTGGAGGAAGGAATCGGCCATTTTGGTGAGGTGTATAGGTGGTGGATGGTGGAGGGAGTCCCGAAGCCAAACTGGAAGATCTCTTTCGGAGGGACAATTTTCCTCGACGTTGGCCTGAGGCAACCAAGTCTTTGTGTGTGGAATTTTCGCGCTAAGATAAGATAAGGCTACTTACTATGGGAAAGGTATAGTTACTCCCAGCATACTTGTGTAGTTCTCTGCATGTATGACATATTCATGTGCGATATATTGGATATCACGCATTGTGTGCTTTATATTATAGAGTATGCTCAAATTCACACGTCATCCGCTGGACTTAGGGCTATTCGTCCAATGTCCAGCCATATCCCTTGGAAACTGTACGATATACTTCACCAGATTAAGACTACGTAATGAGATCCTGGTTATGAAATTTATAGTTATAAATTAAATCTCCTGGTCCATTCCAGCCTTGGAACACTAGTGGCGGTACGTTGGGCTCCGAAAATAGCTACATTCAACTCCATTTAAGGCTTCATTCTGTCAAGACATTAGTCATTACATCACGTGATTGTTTATCATCACGCCGGGCACTTGAACAAGAGGAACAATGGCCTTGGAAGATTGAAGATGGGGAAAGCTCCAACTTAAACCTTGGAACTTGAACCCCTATTTACTTTAATGATGACGTGACGACCGGTGCCAGTGTTAAGCCTCCAATTTATAGCTCACAACCCACTGGCATTTGTTTCGGCTCCCGGGCTGCTCCTTACTACAACCTGTCAGATATATATCGAGCCACGGCCACTGGCACTGGCACCTGGGATGCGACTTGTTGAACTTGACGCGAAAATCTTACTATTACTATCACTGATAAAACATGGGCACCCCCCTAGGAATTTGGTACCTATGGGGTAGTATTGACTACCTGGCAACTTGAACCGGCGCAAAAGGTCGAAAAGGCTCCGGGCCGGGCCTGATGCTAGTTGACGCCCCGTATAATCATGGCGCAATTGAACCCCTCCTGATTCGCTGGATACGGACCATCCATTGAAAAAGTTCCTTCGTTCCGGTAGAATAGATTCTTTTCTCAAGGAATTTACGCAAGAGGCCTGTGGCTTTTATGTTGAGATGGCTGAGACGATGTATGACTATTTGAAGACACCCGTGGACTGAAAGCCTACGGCTGTTCGTAAAGTTCATCAATCAATCGTGCCATCTGCCGATTTTCACTTGCTTCTTAACGCAACACCTAGGTTGATGACACTCAGATGGATGGTTCGAGCATCACATAAAGCTTAGTTACAAGTGTCCCCAACAGCTGAAAGACAGTCTCCACATTGATCTGCTTGGGGGTGGAGAGTGGGCCGAATCCTCCACGAGCTGCCCAATCTCTTGGCCAATTGATATACAAAATAGGCTAGCGTGTTTGTATATTACTTCGCGAGGATAACTAGCTGCCGATCAACAAGGACAGACGGGCAGGATGAATACTGCGCCACGACTATATAGCCGCGGGCTGGGCACTGAGTGAAAGGATTCGGTCGCAAATATCGTAGAGGAGGATCGACTGGATGGCACGGATCGCGTTTCCAATTCAAACGCGATGGACTAGTACTGTATGTAAGACCAACGAAGACACTAGCTCCACCTCCCTATTCCCACATCGACGAGGCACAGGAAGGCATATCAAGGATACAAACCCCAGTTTCGATGAGAAAATACCTGAGTGAAAATAAAGACTTGCATAAACTCGAACTGAAGAATTGAATCCCATATTTCAACTTGGGCAGAGCGGGCATCTCGGCTAGCTGAGGGGACGGATTAAAGGCTTAGCATATTAGGGCTGAAGCTAAGGCCTAACAAGGAATCAAGCGCGCAGCCAGCGCCAACAGGGAGCCTCCACGGGTCGCACAGACTGCATGGGCTGCATAAGTGAGTGGTGCGCATCCGTGACTCGAGGCAGTTCAAACTCAGATGCTGATCAACATGGGTCAGGCCCCCTTTTAAACACTGACCGTCGCACTTGTTCCTCGATTTTTCATAAAATTTAGGTTGTGAGGCGCAAAAGAAGAATCCTTAAACAAAGGACGTTCTGCCGCTGCTCAAAGTGCTACCTGTCTCACTCAATAATCTGGCACTCGGCTGATTTCGCCCTTGTTTATCCCTTTTCCCTCCTCTCGGCCGCAGTGCGGTCGGTTTGTTTCCTTCAACACATACGACCACGTCGCAAAAATGAGTTCGACTCCTGGTATGTACTCCGACCCTCCTTGCTATCTTATAGACTGACCACTTATCATCAATAGAATATAATAATGATAATACCAAGCCGGAGCCGATCTTGAGTCAGCAAAACCACGAGGATGGCCACGAGGATGGCCCTGTTCCCCGTCTAACGTTGACGATGCCGCGCTTGTCCGCAAAATTGACATGCGTGTACTGCCAATACTATTTGTCATTTATCTCGTCGCGTTTTTGGACCGGTATGTCAATTGGACTTATGTATTCCATGACTTCATTCATGCTGATTCCGTCGATTCTGCCCCAGAGTAAACATCTCGAACGCACTCACCATGAGCATGCCGACTGATTTGAATTTGTATGGTGACCGGGCAAACATAGCCCTTCTGATATTTTACATTCCATACATCATTTTTGAGATCCCCTCAAATATCGTGATGAAGAAGCTTAAACCGCATATCTGGCTTTCGGGATGTATTATTGCCTTTGGTATTGTCATGCTCGGTCAGGCTTTTGTTCAGAGCTACGGCGGTTTGATCGCGACTCGCTTCTTCCTTGGACTTGCCGAGTGTGGTATCTTTCCCGGAAGCTTCTATCTAATCAGTTTCTGGTATAAGCGTGCCGAGGCCCAGAAGCGTTTCACTATGTACTGGTCATCGGTCATTTTTGCCGGTGCCTTTGGCGGCCTGCTTGCCTCTGGTATTGCCAAAATGGATGGCATGCGCGGTCTTGAAAATTGGCGATGGATTTTCTTGCTAGAGGGTATTGCATCAATCCTAGTCGGAATTTTCGCGCTCTTCTTCTGCGCTGATTTCCCCCAGCAAGCATCTTGGTTGACCGATGATGAAAAAGCTGCGGTGATTGCGAAGACTCGCAATTTCGAAGATGATGAGGTCTCGGTTACAAAGTCCGATTTGATTGCGTCTTCAAAAGATCTCAAGCTGTACCTGGCTGGGTTCATGTACTTCAGTGAGTTATCGTTGCCAAGTTGTTACGTTTTTCATGATCTGACCCGAGCAAACAGCGATCGTCGTCCCCATCTACGCTTTCTCTTACTTCGCCCCGACTATTATCAAAGCCTTGGGATACGGAACAATTCAGACCCAGTTGCACAGTGTGCCACCCTTCGCTGCCGCCGTCGGACTCTGCGCTGTAGTAGCATATTTCTCGGACCGATTGAATATTCGCCTTCCGTTCATTCTCCTTGGTCAGCTACTGATCATCATTGGCGTAGCAATCATGTTGACCACGCATGGAAAGGGCCATTTTTCAGCCGAGTATCTCGGCATTTGCTTCATCACCATAGGTGCATTCAGCTCCGGAGCTGTCATCGTCTGCTGGGTCCTGATGAACATGCAGGGCCACAAGGAGCGAAGTATCGGGTCTGGTTGGGTGATTGGTGTCGGTAATGCAGGTGGTATCGTCGCTGTTTTCTGTTTCACCAAAGACGATGCCCCTTTGTATCATCGTGGCTACTGGATTCTGATGGGTATCACGCTCGCCGGCGTGGTGCTTAGTTTGTTATATGCCTCAGTTATTCTCCGCGACCGCCGCCGTCAGATCCGTACTGAGGGCAAGGTCGACAAGGAGAAGATATTGTCTCTTTAAAAATTTTAATATCTGACCTCATTTTTGGGACTGGGATCTGGATTGCCGGTTTCCGATCTTTTCTGAGGTGACTCGAAGACCGTATAACGATCCCGAAGGAATAAAATCTCAGTGTATCTACCGTCCAGAGGGTTCACCGGGCAAGACTTTTCTGCTTGTATATTTGTCGAACTAATGGTAATTTTGAATCTAGAAATGCTATTCTACTGGTAACTACCGGCGATCAGGGTCAATGATTTTGCTCCCAGAAAGATAATAATTCCCTGACATGGAGATGAAGTACCGATTTTATATGAGGTGTTGATAAAATGAGCTGCGAACGCAAAGAAAAATTTAAGTTAGAGTTTCTAGTAACTAATAGTTGCCTAGCTGGCAGTGCCTGGCGAAATATGTAACCCGTCGGGATTCTATGTGGGAACCCCTCAACCCCGCATATCATTTCTTCAGAGAAATTATCTATTACATCCACTCACAGACAGGCATAGTTTCTTATTCTTATCAAGACTTCTAAAAAGACTTCTTTCTTTCTCCCATCATGCTATCTGCAAGAGGATCAGCCTGGGGAAAAGCCGATTTCGCCCATGGCAAACAAGATCTCTACGACCCTTCTGCAAACCCCAACGGCGTTGTCAGCTTTGCAAATGCCGAAAATGTATCCCACCACAACGCCTCTTACAGATGGGAAGACTGCTGATAAATAATAGTGGCTACTCCATGACGATCTGACCGCTTATCTCGATAAACAGGTAGCTGGCGCAAGCCTCAGCCCAGACACCTAGTCACGACTGACCATACAAAGACATTAGAAAAACAATGCTGTTCATACGGCGAAGGCTACACAGGGTCTTTAAGACTCCGATCCGCAATGAAAAACCACCTCAACACGTATTTCAATCCATTCGCACCAGTCGATGCCGAAGAGGTCACCTTCGCAGCCGGAGTCACGTGCCTAAATGAGCTATGCGCCCTTCTCTTGTGCGACCCAGACGACTCAATTCTTTTAATCGGCCCTGTATATGGATCCTTTACACGAGATCTCACCACCAAGACTAGGTAGGCAAAGCACGTCCCTACTAATGTCGTGACTATTTGGTACCAGACCCGACAAGTTGATGAATATGCTCCCAGCGTACACTTAGAGTACATACATGTCGGTGAAAAAGATCAATTCTCACCCGGCAGCATCGCCGAAATCGAGGCTGGATTCGAAGCAGCAAAAGCGCGAGGCAAGTATATCAAAGCATTATTCATATGCAACCCGCACAATCCGCTTGGAAGATGCTATCCTCGGGAAACATTGATCGAGCTGCATCGTCTATGCGCGAGGAAGGGTATTCATCTGGTCAGCGATGAGATTTATGCTTTATCAGTTTATGAGCGGGATGATAGGCCTTTGGAAACATTTACCTCCGTTCGATCGATTGATTGCACCGGGATCATTAGCCCTGACCAGGTTCATGTTCTTTATGGGATGTCAAAGGTATTCCGAATCTCCAGATACACAGAAAATGAACGACGGGACTGAGCTTTATGAAAAGGACTTTGCCGCATGTGGAATGCGATTAGGCTGTGTGATCTCGCAAAATAAAGAATTTAACAAAGCGATCCGAGCTCTTTGGTGAGACTAACAACTAACTATCTCGATCTGTCGCGAAAAGGAAATGATAATGAACTAACCCGACACAATTACTTAGCCGCTTTTCTTCTCCTTCCCAAATTTCTATGAGCCTCGCAGCAACATTGCTAGAAGACCAGGAGTTCATTCGAAAGTTCTTAGCAAAGTCGCATACACTCCTACTTCGGAATAGACTATTAGCAGAAGAACTCCTCAAACAAGCCGGTATTGACTTTTATGACAAAGGGTACGGTTTCTAACCAGCCTTTATTTCTGAAATTATATTGGAAAAGGTTTCAGGGTTCCAGTCAACTAATTTGGCGAATCACAACAGGAATGCAGGATTCTTCATCTGGATCGATTTGAGTCCGCATCTTCGCAGTGAAAATACTGAAGGAGATGCATGGGCTGCTGAAAGACTTCTTTCGGGTCGCTTCGCACAGGCAGGTGTCATCATGTCTACTGGTGAACAGTATCAAGCCCAAGAGCCTGGTAGATTTCGGATTATATTTTGTGTGGACGAAGAGACTCTGCGGGAGGGGATTAGAAGGTTAGTTCAATGTGCCTAGTATCTGGGATTCCCTGCGAAGAACTTTACTGAGAATGAGGCTTTTGCAGGATATCTGCTGTTTTGAAAAATTGATCGATGGGTAAATTGACCGCAGGGCATGATTTTGAAGATAATAATATCAGCATTTCATTTCACCACATTAGATAACCATTTGATACATAAATATGAATAATAGTATGTTCCGCTGGGCCTCCTTCCTTTCCTTTTTCTCCGGGTATTGCAAGAGGCAGACTGTCTCTCGGTTCAAAGTAACAACAGTCGCACGGTAACGAGAACAATGGTCCACAATGCCCCTACTTTTTCTCCTTCGTACAGATACAGATCTCCTCAGATTGTTGTCCGCCGTGCTCGTTGGAAATTTCAATCCGCTGATTAAGACGACTGATCCTTTTTCTCAAAAGATTGACTTGTCGGGCAAGAAGCTGAAGTGTCCCACAGCAATCGTCCTGTCCGTTGTTCAATTGTCTGCGCCATGAACCGAGATTTTCGATCACGTTGTTATAAAGATCGAGCGAGGTTTCATGGAACTTGGTCCGTTCTTTGAATTTTCTCTTCTGCAGAGCTTTAGGTCAGCGAGAATCTGACAGAGCAAGGTATGATGGGGGTTTCCTTGTACAGTACCTTGGCCAGCTCGCAGTAGCGGCAAACTGATTTATTCGCAGAACGATCGGCGGCTTCGAATGGAGCAAGACCTTTATCGAATTGGAGTTCGAGCTGGCTCACATCATCGTGCAAGGATAGGACCTGGGAATTGACTCGTTAGTAGGTATCCGAAGCGCAAGTTTCAGGATGTAGGACCGGCTTTTGTTTACCCGGGCTAGCCATTGCATTTCAGCGTTCCGAAGGCGGTCCACGTTTTTGAATCCCTCCAACTGATGTTCCAGGGCTGTAATGCGCCCGCTCTGGCTCGAGTTCTTTAGATTCGTGAGCGGGAATTCGAGATGAGGACGGGCCTCAGGTCTTGCTCTGGACGTACTTGAATCTGGATAGCCAGGACGTTGAAAGACGTCAGAAGTTCGATAGGGACCCATCCATTGATGAAGCACCAAGCCTGGTAAATCCAGCATTGTAGAGCTGCCCAAACACCCATGTTGAACAGAATGTTCGGTGGGATAGTTGGGGATGAGTTAGAAGACAGGAGTTGAATGTCAGACAAGAAGGGTTTTGAGGTGTGAGTTGAAGGTCGAGAATGAGCTGGGGTGAATGGGGAAGGTGCGACAGACCACACCGTTCCTTCTCAGACCGGACTCAGCACGACACAGTACACTCTGTACAGGAGTGGCATAGTCTACAGTATCAGAGAACTGTATTTTACCATCTGGTTGACAGTTATTTTGACATAACTGCCGTGAAACCTGCATATATTGGGGTACCAAGAGGAAGTGATATGCACAGGGTGACCCAGCTTATATCCGAGTGTAGTATACTCCGAACCCTAACTTCGCCTACAGCCCTAACATACAGATTTTATAGATAGCCAAGCATCAGAGTGTCTTCATTTCCCATCACACCTTACATCGTAGCATAAGCCTAAACTAACCAGCAGTAATAGCCAACATCCTCTTCCTCCTTCCCATCCCCATCCCCATCACCATCGGCATATCCACATCCATCCTATCCCCTCTCTCCCCAACAATAACCTCCCTCAAATCCTCCCTCAACCGCACAGCATCTCTGACCAACTCCCCCTCAACAACCCCCCTAGAAGCAACATCACACCTAGCCGTAACAGCAAGATCAAACATCTCCAACCCCCGAACCTCAAGCAACGGCTTAACCCACCCCTCACTAACATCAAGCTTCAACCTCTGCCCCAACCCGCCCCCCCACCAAAACCGGCCCGCCACCAACCATCAACCCCGTAAACCGTCCCAAATCAACACTCAACTTCAATGTCCGTAACCCAGGTAATTCCCTCGCAACACAATTCCAGAATCTAACCCAAAGCTCATCACTATGCGTATGCGCATATATAGACCCCTTATGCTCCTGCCCACTAAGCGGTGTCCAAACTGGCATCCACTGAACCGTCAGACTCGTGATAGCTCGTCTAGCGCGGTTTGAGAGTGATCCAGCAAAGGAGAGGAATGTGTATAAGTCATCGACGTCAATTGTGTTGTTTTTATAGAGTGCTGTTTGAGTTTCGGCATAGAGGGCTTTACAGGTTCGTAAAAGGGTGACCGGGGTGGTGGAAAGGGTTGAGGGTAGATCGGTGTGCGTGTGTGGGTAGAGTAGTCTATCTGTGTGGCCGGGGATTCGGCCGTCGTAGATGCGCCACCGGGCTGGGGTTTTGGGGCAGCAGTGGCGGTGGTGGGTGAGAGCGGTGTTTGTGCTGGTGCTGGTGGAGGTGCATCTAACGTGCTTTATTTTGTTTTTTATTTGGACGAGGTGAAGGGTATCGGAGCCGAAGACGTAGCCCCATATCATGGTGCGGATTTCGAAGGGTAATTTTGTGAGTAAGGGGGTTGTTTGGGGGGTGCTTTCTGTCCAGTCTATTCCGGGTGTGTCTAGTGGTTCTTCGGATGTGGGTGTACTAGTAGTATATGGAGTTGTTGATGCTGATGTTGATGTTGATGTAATGCCCGGTCCAGCAGGCGAGCAGATAGCACGGTCATGAATCAACTCGCAGACTTGGTCTTGCCATTTTCGGCCGGTTGAGTAGTAATGCCAGATGGAGTAGGGGTCGCGGACCAGCCAGGCGTCGAAGTGGCGCATGTTGGCTGTATGGCAAAGATGGAAATGAGGTGAGATGGAGATGGAGTCAATGGAAGATCTGCATTGTGCAAAGTCTGGGGAAAAGTGGGCTTCTGCTCCACTATATACTCCACGCTCCTTTCTCGCATCCCCATTCAGCCATGACGATAAATGGTAGAGATTTCCCTCGTAGCCTCTCCACAGAGGCAATTGGCAGCTGCAGCTGTGAGTGGTCGACGATGAATGCAGCGCGGGCAATCCCGGCGTGTAACCTTATGACGTCACGTGGAGCAGTGTGCTCCGTGGAGCAGCAGAGATACGAGTATAGTATAGGATAATTAGAAGATCTTGTTTATTCAGGACGAGTAGTACTAGTATAGTATGGTTATTATAGTTGATTGGCAGCGTGGTATACTAGTTGGTGGATTGTGGATGTAGTTACTAGTAGTATAAACAGAGAAGTCTAGATCTAGAGTCAAGTTTGTACACTTAGATATACCCAGATTAGCACCAATAGCCCTGGATATATGCCATCTACTGCGCAATACTTTGCACACTCTCCTCCTGTCTCTCCTCACCCTCTCTCCCTCCCTCACCCCCTCCCCCGCTGCACCTTTGCATCATCACCACCACCATCACCCCCCTTCACCCGGGCCCCCTCCTGCATGACAGCCACATAAACCGCACAGGCCAAAATAAGCCCAGATCCAGCCCAAGCTACCCCATCAAGCGTCGTCCCCCAAACTACCTTATCATAAAACAGCGCAAAAAGCATCTGCGTATACACCATGCTAGTCGCCTTAGACCCTTGCTTCCCCTTACCAGCTCCCCCTCCCCCTCCCATCACGCTTCGCGGCGGCACATAAGACAACCCCGCCGTAAGCAAAAACTGAAGCAAAAACCCACAAACACCCAATCCAACCATAAAACTCCACTCTTTGAGGGTGGTCGGGACCCGGAACTCCACGCTGGGGAGCACCAGCATAGCCAGCAGCGATATAATCGTCGTCACGCTGGAGAAATACGTCACAGAGACAAGCGGGTGTGCGCGACGACCTATCATTCGAATAGATGTGTATGCGCCCGCTGCGCCGAGAACGCCGATACTGGCTACTATTGTTGCGAGGACGTGGTGGTATGCGTCTGCTTTGTCGGGGCTTTCACCAGCGCCAGGTTCGCTGCGCGGTGTCGAGCGAAACGGACGCGCAATTAAAACAACGCCCACAAGACTAATAACCGCTGCAACCTGTTGACGGCGCGAGAACGTTTCACCCGGTATAAAGAACGAACAGGCGTAGCATGTCATTATGGGCGCTAGGAAGGTTATCACCGTTGCTTCGGATAAGGGTAGGTATTGGACTGAGTAGTAGAGGGCGTAAACGCCTGTGAAACCGCAGACGGCGCGGAAGAGGAGGAGCGGAAGGACTGGTCGTGTGCCGAGTGGGTGTGGGGTTTTCGCGATGAACATGTAGATGTAGCTTGCTAGGGCTGTTATGGACATTCGGGCGAATAGGATCTGATTTGGACAAAGAAGGGAAGAGAGGTTAGCATTAGTTTTGGCATGGCATTGGCATTGAGTTGTCAGATGCAAGTGCTGGCTGGGCTGGGCGTACCTGGAAAGGATGCATCGAACTATGAATCTCAAGAACTTGAGTCATGACATTCATACTTGCGCCGAACATTTGCGCCAAGAGCACGAGGATCATGCCCTTATTCCTGAGCCAGAAGATGCGTGCTTTGGCGGCGTATTTTGTGCGTGGACGGGTGGATGCTGCGAGTGCATCTGCATTTTCCTCCTCCTCGTCTTCTTCGATGGGTCGCGGCTCGTACTCGGCCAATGACTCGAGATCGGGATCATCGTGGTAGGGCTGGGGAAGCGGGGCATCTGGGTGGTTCTGATAATCCCTGTCCTGTCGTGATTGTGCTTGTGCTTGTGTCTGAGTTTCAGCTTGTTGGTGGGAGGGTGCTGGTTGGTGGGGGGGATTCTTCCGACATTTTTTCAATCTGTGATGTCGGGCAGGTCGACTCTGCGCCGGATGGTGGCTTTTATTGTGTATTTTCAAAGAGTATATCCATGAGAATATACAAGGAGGGAATAAAATGGGAAAAAAGAAGAGGCGAGGAGTGGCGAGTGGGTGAGATATGTACAATCAAGAGTTGGAGAGGGAAAAAAAAAAAGATGCGCGATGTCGGCGGGTGACTTTGACCGCTAACGAACTTGTACAACAAAGTAGTTACTACTGGTTAGTAGTACTGCTAAACCGATGATTCACGGTCATTCGCATATATACCAAATAATGTCCGGCAACTATTGGCTTTCCCTTTCTGTTTTAGTGCTCACCCCCTCGCCGCCTTTACTCACTCAGTAGAATTGAGCACGGCCCTGAGCGGCCTGAGCTGAGCAGTGATCATTATGTAATCAAACTGATCACTTAGTTATTTATATTTCAAGATTATTGTGGTCCTGGTGATTGCTATTCAGGAGATTGTGATGGCGCCAATGGTGGGCTCAGCCTAAACGGCGAATGTGGACCGTCTTTCCTGGGGAACAAGACTTGTGTTGGGACTCAGTTTGGAGACTGTTGCTCAACTGCGGGATACTGTGGAAGCACTGCCGACTGCTGTGGTGCCGGACAATGTTACGCCGGGGCATGTCTTTAGATTTCAAGTTCTTAGTGCAGTCCAGTAATACAAATCTTGCGCTATATCCGCTCCTGATAGATTTCTGGCAAACATAGATCCTTGTGTCTCCAGCTTACAGTTCCCCAGTTACGGAAATCAACCAAATGTTTAAGTGATATTCTACTATTATCAAACGATCTCACCAAGGATTGAAATATTCTCTCCAATGCTCTTCAGTGTCAGCCTCCTTAAACATGTCAATGCCACCGACAACACCGTCTTCATCCACCTGCCAATCACCCAATTCCACCCGCTCAGCCCAACTTTCCAAAACTTTGTGTAGATACGAGCCGCGGGAGTCCCAAGGTGAATAGCCACTATAGCCACTTAAAAAACCTCCTTTATAAAGCCGATCAGGCCCCCCAGCCCCCGCAAACATAGCATCTTTGAATGGAATCCCATTGCTACTTCGAGCAAACGCATTCCCGCCAACACTAAACGGGAGTAAGAGTCGGCTTTGGTTGTCAGATTTCCAGTTGTAATCTTTATCGGTGGGTTCAATGTATAAACCAGAGGGGATGTTCTCTGCCTTCCCATCGGGAAACCACGGCCGAGTCCAGGGTGACTTGTTTTCTCTCTCCCCTCGGAACAAGAGTAAGGGGAATGAAGATGTCTCCTGGTTGGTACTATATAAGTCTGGGATCAGAACATTATGGCGGCGGTCGGCCAGTGGTTGATTTGTGAATTCAGTCGGGGTTTGGAGTCGAATGCCAGGGGCAAGATGGCGAAATTTAAGATGGCGGATAGGAAGAGCAGCAAGAAAAGATCTGATAAACCAGTCCGCTTCTATGAAAGACGCATCTAGGACCGATTCTGAGTATGGGAGAACTATATCTTCGAGGCTTGATTGTTTGTGGTCATTGTCTTGCGTTGTATGCATCGAATTTGATGGAAGTCGAATCTCGATGGCATCAAGAAGACGAGTGAAGGCACCGACAGCCCGCTCAACGTCCATCACAGTATACTGGTGGGTCTCCCAAGGGAATGTCTCGAAAGAATAATCTTCAGACCTCTTCTGACGATCCGAATACGTTGTGATCTTGCCCTCATCCGCCATGTCCAGATAGACTTGTAAAATATTTTGCAAGGGCCGCCATGGCCACCGTCTTCTATCACACCAAATCATCTCTTCCCAGTGTGGGACGAAAGCTGCAAGTTCGGTCTCTTGATCGAACCTTTTTAGCGTGTAAATATTCGTCTTCACAGGTAGCAACGCTTAGGAAACTCACAATATGCCGACTTCTTCATCGCTCTGTATTCGCGTTGAGGGATACAACCAGACATAACGATCACCCCACCACCTGAGCATAGAGATAGAAGCAAAGAGATCATCTTTCCCATTCAACGCTATGAGGTAATAGAAGAGATTGAAACCCGAATCAGGGTCGAATATAATAGCTTTCGCCGACCGTAGGAATCTGATCAATTTCGGATTTAGTCGAGATGCGAGATCGAATGGGATAGGCGAGGACTCTTCCCACCAGCTCTTGGACGGGATTGAATCGGCATCTCGTCCGGCTCCAATCCATGCCTGTTCAAGGATCTGGTTGTGAAGGTGCGCCGATAAATCGGGATCAAATTTCAATGACATGGCTAAGACATAGGTCTGGGATTTTTGGTGGGGAGATGCGAAAAGAGAGATGAGTACCAATCGGCAAATTTCGAAGCGGGAGATCTCGATTTTTGAAGCTAGACCGGCATACCCCGACAACGCTCCACCGTGCACATTAGCCATCACCCAACAATCGAGGATTGCTAATTGAACGACCCCCTACCTTGCCACATTTTTGTTACTTGGACCACCCTCATTTCTAATCCAGGATTCGTATGTATTTAGTATATAATCTCAGATACACCTTTGCCATATTCAAAGTACCCCTGATATCTAGCTAAGTTTGCTGTCACCATCACTGTCTTGTACTAGTAGACATATACTGCCTTTAGGAAGTAAATTATATTAAGCTAGCCATAACCTACTAGTCCATCCTAAAAATTGAGGTCTCTACAAGAAATCATGATCCATCTGCCAACTATATTATTGCTTGGCGGATATTGTAAGCTGTATTACGGTCACTATCAGGTATTATGATCACTCCCTATTATCAACATCGGGATCGGTATTAGTATTAGTATTATTATTCATATTGTCGTCCCTATTATAAGCTGGAATTCAAATAGTATCAAGGTAAACAAGAATAAAATCTAAGACATTCAGGTAATAGTGATAGTGGAAGAGATAGACAGGAGTGTGTGGGAGAGAACAGACATAAGAAGGTACTTTGAATATAGCGAAGGTATATCCGAAATTTTTATGCGCTCCGACATCAGATTCTCGTACTCGTTAGATCATGCGCAACTTACACTTAAGCAGAGTAAGATGGACCGCCGCCACAAAGAAGTACAGATTGTTCTTACAAAGACAGGAGACGAAGCGTGCCTCGTAGACGCGCTTCAAAAGCTACTACTTCTCGACCCCAAAGGGCCCGATGCCCCGTTATTCTCCTTCTACCGAAAACCATTCAGTCGCAATCATTTCCTCTCTACATTATCTACTAATCTGAGAGCACTTAGAATACAGACAGACGGCTACTCAGGCCACAGCTTTCGAAAGGGTGCGGCTCAACATGCGCACGATAGTAGGATCCTCGACGACCAGATCCAGATACTCTGGAGATGGACCTCGGAGGCATTGAGGGTGTAATTCACGACGAACGCATCAGCTTTTTATAAGCTTAATCACTAGTTCCAGACAGGCTCACCGTCCCCTCAATCATCCTAGTTTGGCCCGGGTCATCTGGGCCCTATCTGATGCTACGGTCTACAACTGCAGCGATAGGTGACCCGTTATGGCCAAAATATACTCTTCTTGCTCCTCTTGGCTGCGTAAGGTCACCAATAAAATACTTTATATTACAGCGCCCTACACAAGTTCACCAATCTCTTGATCTAACAAATAATGCAAGCACCGCCAGAAGCAATCTACTCTGGTCGGGATGACCTCCTCACTTCAGCGAGGAACTTTGCCCTATCTCAATGGTATGTTGTGACAATTCGACGTTCAACAGCAAACAAGAATGTAATATTGGGGTGTGATATGGGAGGAGTTTATCCTGATCGAGTGGGGGCCCCCAACGGAGCAAAACGCCAAAAAACATCAACCCGTCGAATCGGTTGCCCCTTCGAGATATGCGGATTGTATAACAATGGTAGTTGGAAATTGATGGTACGTGATTCTGCACACACACATGGACCGAGCGACCTAGCGGCACCTCCACAGGCACGAAAATTTGCGAACGATCAACAAGCGTGAAACCACAAACTATTGAAACGGTCTTTCGCGAGTCGAACGCTTCAGCGTGTTTTACAAGGCGGGAAATTTATAACGCTCGTATGGCCGAACGGCGACGGCGATTAGGAGGAGGCTCTCCAAGGTGGTAGGGTAAAATACTGGTAGACATGAACGCCTCCTTTGCGCGACGTTCATATATTTGTACAATCAATAAAAGTATGTTCTTCTCCTAAAGTAATACTAGTATCACTCATAGTCTTTGTTAAGCAGTAGGCTATACTGACTAACTGACACTTATTTGCCCTGCTTCAAAGATCCACTTCTATACCTACTCTAACACATTTCAGAAACTTCTCCATGATGTCAGCATCTGGGTTGTACTGAACAAAATTCCAGTTACAGAGCTTTACGTACAAATGCTGGTTCCAGGATAGTGATGCCAATTGCTCTTCCTAAATCTCTTTCAATAATTACTAATCATCCGGTGCTGAATCGGCATGGAAACTATGTAAGTAGCGTCTCCACATTGGGATAGTCTGGCTCTGTTCTTTCGCCCTCTTGACTGCTAATTTCTTTGATATTTTCCGAGGCAGTCCCTTGGGCTTTGCGGCTGGAAAAATTCGATGAAATATAGGCTCCAAGCACAATGGAAGATGTTCATATCTCCCCCCCCCCGGTGCCCACACTCTCTGGTTCAATTTCCTGCGCTATTAATCTTCCATGGAGACGCATAGTAGGATTCCGCATCACTTCTCAAAGTAATTAATGCAGCGCATGTATTTGTCCTATAGAAAATTATCACTAGGGGAACTCCATACAGCCTCGTCTGAAATTCGACAAAAGAGAGCCCAATTCCGCCACACGAAGCTCAAATATTCTTTTTAAAAATGTTGCTAGCTCTGCAAGGAGAAGATGAATCGAGAAAGCTGTCGAAAAATTACTTCTAGAATCAAATAGTTGAGAGCAAGACTCTGTCACTTAATCAATACGTTAACGTGTAAGCTGAGCAGTAAATCCCTGTATACGACATCGATTTTCATCTATCCCTAACAGAAGCCAACCTAAGCGCCTTGTCCATTGCAACAGCCTGTGGATCTATATCTCCATCAACTGGATCCAAATCACTTGGCTCTTCCACATTGCTGAGGAGCCAGCTTTCGAGACCGGGAATATAGCAGCGATCGAGTCACAGCGTCGATATTGAGCGGAAATTAACTCGCCGAAGTTGCTTCTTCATCTCGGCCGATTATCAATCCCTCTGCCTGAAGCTACTCTTTAATAGATAGTTCCAGATCGGATATTACGTTCTCAGAATCAATCTCACACTGTTGTTCCTCCCACCATGGATACGCGGTATTGGTGAATGTATGCTCCTGAGAGGATTATGACACGGGTTGAACGATGAGTATAATTTACTAGTGATTTATTTTCATTTCCAAATATTCAAACTTGTGGCCTGATTTCAACATTCAAAGCTTTTCAGGTTAAGCGGACGCCGTATGATACGGGCATGGATATAGTCAACTGGCAGAACCGGATCTGGCGGAGCCGCATTCCAATGTTGACTGATCCCCATCCTGACCTAGGTTAGACGCAACGAGTCCGCATTGCTTACTCAGTCCCAACTTCCACTTTAAAAAGCGTTTTCAAAAATTTCCCAGGATTCCCAGACAAAAACTCGAGTTTGTAGAATTGCCACTCCTTTCTGCCGACATCTCACTAACTTTAGAAGTCATTGGCTTCATTTCCAGTGGCTTCAGTTGCTGGGCGGCCGGCCCCACCTACATCCCGATAAACCACCTTTTGGAATATTATTTAGATTTTTTAACGAGCCGCAGAACCCAAAATGGAGTGAGTAGGATGATGGGAAGCGCAATTGAAGTGGCGCCAAAAGAAATCCTGGTACGGAGTACAATTACTGCCGTCGACAAAAAAGCTGTGATTCCCTCGCCTTACAAAAGTACATGCATCCATGGATGACAAATGAGGATATGATTGAAATTGCTTTTTCGAGATGAACCAGTAGTAGCGGGATCTCAAGGAGGCGCTTGGAGCTGTGACGAAGCACGCATTTCACCTGCAGTAAGATGGGTCGCATGGCCCACCCCACCTAACCCCACGATGAGGGGGTTGGAGGGCAAAATTTCAAGCTGAGGCTGAATCTCCCACCTGGAAGAACCCCCCCTCAAATTTACGGGCAAAGACATCCGCGCACCCTTGAATCATGAGCAACAATTTCACATTCGGGAGTGACAATTCAGGGGTTCAGATTGGGGTCAATCATGGACATGTAAACTATGCCTCTGAAGCATACAAGCAGTCGACTATGTCTGAAATCGGTGGCTCTTCGTCAGGAAAGGGGCTTCGTCTGTTGTCTTTGGATGGAGGAGGCGTCCGTGGCCTCTCAATTATCCTGATTATCAAGAACCTCATGGAGAGAATAGACCAGGGTAACCCACCTGCGCCTTGCGAATATTTTGAGTTGATCGGTGGAACTTCGACTGGAGGGTTGATTGCGATTATGCTTGGACGCATGCGAATGACTATTCGTGAGTGCGAGACGGCTTACATGAAGCTATCTCATGTCTTTACCCAAGTTCGTGGCGACAGCAATACCTGTCAGTTCGACCACAGGGCATTTGAACATGCAATAAAAGTCATGCTGGCCGAGCATGGCATGGATTCGGAGTGCCTTTTGAAGGATACAAGTGCAGCGGCCTGCAGGACGTAAGTTGTTAGTGGAATGATATTGTCCAGATCTGGCCATCAACCTCCAAACAGCGTACCCACGCACGATCCTATATACTCTTTCTAACAATTTGACCTTGCTTCACCTAGCTTCCTTTGTGCTACAAGCCAAATAACATCCCAAACCGTCGTTTTATCGAGCTATTTCAATGACCGACGAGGCAGCGACCTATTAAACGAGACAAAAATATGGGAGGCAGCCAGGGCAACGTGTGCAGCGATGAACCTTTTCGAACCAATCACAATTTGTGATGAAACGTTTGTCGATGGTCAGACTGGCGCGAACAACCCGGTTCAAGAGACTTGGACAGAAGCCGGGGACGCATGGCAGTTAAACAAAGGCGAGCTCAAAGATAATGTTCAATGTTTGGTTTCTATCGGAACAGGCATTACTGGATTTACTGCTTTTACACCGCATCTTTCTGAGGTCGTAAGGGTGCTGGAAGCCATTTCTATGGAGACTGAGCAGACGGCAGATCGGTTTCGCAGGCAATACACGGATCTATTCCAATTAAGAAGAGCATTCAGATTTAACGTCGTTCGAGGATTGGAAAATGTTGGACTGGAGGAAGTTTCCAAGTGGGGTAGTATCAAAGCTGCCACTAGGAACTACGTGCAAACTGAAGAGGCATATGTTGCGATGAGAGATTGCACGAAAAGCATTAGAGAAGGAGGGCGCAATGTGTCTTTTGCTTAAGAGCTGTTTGTTTACTGTAACCGTGGGATACCCTGTTATGCCAACTAAAATCGTCTTGCTCAGGTCGCAAAATTTGATTGTTGCTACTTGTCTGCAATGTTGACTTCCTCGAGCACTAGTGAAACCGTGAGAGCAGCTTTCCTCTGAAGATTATCACTGTACACAAGAACCGGGATACATCCCCATTTGCGATGATTTGAGGTCACTCAGCAGAATCTCCCCGGGTAATTACAAGCCTTTCCACAACGCCTTACCGATAGAATTTTGGCTTTCTCACCTCTCAACAAATGTCTTTGGTATTTCCCGTGGCTCTCGCCAAGGAAGATCAAGATTTGGACGTTATAATACAGTAGCCCGTCATCCCAACTATCTGCAGCATAAAGAGATTCTCATTTGACAGATTCAGTGTCAGAACTTAAGATAACAATCCTCTGAAGCCTGAGGAAGGAAGGACCTGAGTGACTATGTTACTCCTTTACTGCATTATCTTGTGTGGTGCAGCTGCAATCACCCTTGGACAAACAGTCAGCCTCCTACTGCCGGGATTTCAAGGGCGTGAATTGGAAGCAAGGATATTATCACACGTATGTGAGCAAATGTTGAGACATTGGAATTTGAGAGTCTGTTTAACATTGTATTGAGTTCCAGCATTATCAGACGATAACATTTCTTGTGACTTGCCCCCGAGCCGTGGCAGCCTCCGACTGCGGCGTTTCCGAAGCAGGAATGACGGCTATCGCTAAGAAGGATTCCGTAGAGCTGATCGATGTCAACAAAAGAATAGGTTGGGTTTTCCATTTCATGTGAAGCACTTTCGATACTAATGGATCATTGCAGCACTGAGTCCCTGTCGTGCCGTATCACGGGAACAACGTACGCATCCTGCTTTTCTACAAACGGAATTTCGGTTCACGCCACACTAGCCCTAAAAGACCTCAACTGGATGGAAACACCTGTTATAAATGCTTGTAATAAGCTCCTCAAATTCCACCCAGGGAGTTATAACGACGTCTCCTACGAAGCCCCTCACATACCGAAGCGGCTGCCGCACCGGCGGCTGAGAGCCAAGGAGCATTTACGGTCAAGACTTCATGGGTTTTATGCAGCGTGATGGGATCAATTACGGTTGGCTTTCTTGGGTACTGTACACTCCGGCTTTTTCTTTGCTCGGCTGGCAGTTTCCACCCTTTCACTGGCCACAAATCTGGTAATAGCAGCTCAAATTGGCTTGAATAATACCCGTACCTCGGTTTCCCACGACGAGGCCAGTGCTATTCCATCAGGGACTAGCCTGTCTGAATGGGACTTGAGCTTTTGTATTATTGAGAGAAATTTATTGCCACATATCGACTCTCGGATAATCAGGAAAGCGAAATACGTGGAGAAGGACCATTTCCTCTCAAGCCGATACCGCTCTCTGGGGAGACACATCAGATACTAATGTAGGGGCATTGAAAGTGAAATAGCCTACTCTCCGATCTCAATAGTTCGCAACAGCCTGCAGCTTGCAGGCAAAGATCGACAGATCTCCCCGCATCCTCGGCCCATCCCCAACTATCAGATGCACGTAATATACATCACCACCACACTTCACTCCGTACACAGCCTACCCGTTAAACAAAAGTAAACGTATCACCTCCCCTCTCACGCAACATATTCCCCACCCTCGCCGTCCCCACCACACGCTCCAACTTCAGCGCATCCCACTTAGAGAACAAAACACGCACCCCACCCTCCGCAGCCTCAACAACCGCCGCTGGATCCAGCCCCAAAAAGCCCACAATTTCTCCATAGAAAACAGGATTCTCCGGCACACCATACATAATCACCCGTCGCACACCGCGAATCTGATTCCTGCGGAAATGATGCGCGCGCTCCGTATAAAGTAGCACCGAGTGTCTACCCGTGAGGAAGTGACTCCGCGCACGCGACGCTTCCCGCGGCTCGGTGTACTCGGAAATCGCGCCGAAGGAAACATTCGTCGTTTGCGCCGATGTGGCGAAGTGATTACGCACGCGGACGAAATCCAGGTACGAGGGGACGAAGATGAGAGTTCCCGCTCCGCCTTTGTTACTGCGGGCTGTGATGCTTTTCACCAGTGTTGAGAGAATGGTTGAGGTGAAGTGCTTGAAGCGAGCGTCGGGATCTTTGAGTGGAGAGATACTGTCGATTCGAGTGAATGTTTGCTTTACAGAGACTGGGAGGGGGAGGTCGGTTATGGCGCCGGCGTGGGTTGGGGTTATTTTGATGCGGCCGGAGGTGTTTTGCATGTGTGTTGAGAAGAGAGAGTTGATTTCTGGCGTTATGAAGGAGGCTAGTACGATTGTTTGGCGGATGTGGCGGGCGTGGTTGTCTAGGTACCAGTTGCGGACTCGGCTGAAGTCGCAGCCGTGGGCCTCTTTCGGTTGCTGGTTTAGATGCTGGAAGATGAAGGAGATGTGATCCCAGTTCTGCATGAGGAGGGCGTCGGCGTGGTCAACGACGACTACTTCAATGGAGGAGAGGAAGTCGTGGTCTCGCTTCTTGGCACTGTTAAGGTAGAGGTTAGCTTTGGATTTTATGGTGATAGTGGTGGTAATGCGGTGGTGACTTACTCAGCTTGGTCCATGATGGTACGTAGACCGAGCGGACTGGCCAGAATAACATCCGAGTTGTAGAATTGCGCAAAGTACTTCACAGTCTTGCGGGTGAACTTCAATCCCAACCGGAACATATCGTCGTCATTACCGCCAAACAGTTCGCGGAAATCCTCCGTCTTGTTCTCCCAAGAGGCATCATCGGGCGAGGAGAAGCTGTCAGTGAAGCGTTTCTTGTTCTCGTGCTGCTCAGCTTGGTAGATCCGGGCAATTGCATTGACGACGCGCACACAGGCTTGTCGTGTTGGGAGAATGTAGAGTACCTTGGGCCGGGTGAAACCCTGATCCCGGCACTCGATATCGGTATCGGGGTGCTTGGCCAGACGGGCATTATTCTTCAAAACTTGGTCGCGAGTCTTGATGAGATGGTTGACTGTGTGTAGTGCCGCGAGCTCGCGCATGCTATCCGCATTGCTGGCCGTTCGCGAGCCAAAGAGCAGATCCTGGTAATCGAAGATATATGGCGCAAGATGCTGGGCGGAGCCGCTGATCGTCGGCAGGAGTTCGGCGACGCGGGGTTTGAGTTTATTTTTGAGCTAAATGTGTTAGGTGCAGTTCATAAAAATTGCAGTGAAAGGACTCGACAAACCTTCAGGTTCGCAGTACTCTTGAGGGCTGGTAGTAGTGATGCGGCATCTCCCATATCCGGTATTGACTGCACAAAGCGCAAGCCGTCTACTTCTTTCTTGGCCGATACCCATTTGTTCGACTGGATTTGCTCAATCTTCTTGGGAAGATCCGACCCATCGGGCAGGTTGAAGTGCTTCTCGAAAGGACCAGCAGCATCGTCATCCTCGTCGCCTTGAGCCTCTTCTTCATCGTCTGACGGGGCCTGATCTTGCAGAGCATCGGCCTCGGCCTCGGCCTCTTCCCCGGGATCTTCTGCCGCAATCACCTTGGCATCACTGGTATCGTTGTCAACCTTTCTCCGCTTGCGAGCTGGTCCTTTAGAATCGGCATCGGTCTGAAGTAGTTGCAACAACTCGTTATACGGGCGCTCGGTTTGCTCTTCTTCGTCACTGCTAGAGGAGACATCATCCTCCATGTCGACATCTGCTGCAACCTCGATCGGAGGGGCGTCTTCATCGGAGGAGTGATCAGACCTAGAAAAATTTAGTTATAGACCAAGATTGCGATTTGTTATGCGATTGCGACTCACTCGGCATCGTGCAATCGCGACGAGTCGAAATTTTGTCGTCGGAAGCCGCCACGGCCACCGCGGCCACCGCGGCCACCGCGACCGCGACCACGGCCTCGGGGGGGCACCTCTTCCACCTCTTCCGCCTCGAGAGAAGGCCATTGTGGATTGTGTTGGAGGGGTATGGGGGTTCACGAGGAATATGGGGGAGCTGGGGAATCCACGCCGAAAATTGTCAACTTTTGGCGGCAGATAGGCAGAATCGTTTTCCTTATCACCTCGTGATGGGATGACTTGACCGCCTCCCCTCTATGGACGTGCCTGGTAATTGAACATCACCATTGTTCATTTTTAGCAGTTTAGCTGTCGGGACTTCATGGGGGGGGTTTTTTTTCAGGCAAAAGGGGGAAGTCAAAAAATGTTCTAGTGAACAGTTTGGGTGAGATGCTACTGTAGATTGGGGAAATTGTGTACTCCTGTGCCAATTAGCAGTGCTAATTGGACCTCCCTCTACTTGGACCATGGTAATTTCTAATCCTGAATTGTATACATTTGCCATGCAAATTTAAGTAATATTCCTGCCACATTACTTTTACCTAAAACTGATCGGGAATAAGCAGTAGAATACCTAGGTAGCGACCTTTCTTGGTGATAAAAATGAACGTTTGGACATGTTAGCAGGGCAAGATAATGATATGTAGTAGCTCGGGCAGGGTGATAGATACGTTGGCTTATTTTAACCAGCCTGCTTAAAGTAGTCTGGCCAACGAAAGCACACAAGATCGCATGACATGGGGCCGGGCATCAGGGGTACATAGTGCAAATGTGGCATACCTTGTGCCGGTGGAAGGACCAGGCCCTAGGCCTTGGATACGAACTGCTTATCTGGATTCTGCTCAAGTTGCAGACGCAAATCAATCTCCCAGGTCAGGATCAAGTTGAGGATGAGCAGTATGCTAACATCAATATCTGAACCTCGTCCTTGTCCCAAGTTTCCGCTAACGAATGCGAACCCACAGAGCGAGCTTCAAGCAGTGTGGAGAGAAATTTTGGTGTTGCAAAGCGAATTGACAGGATGTGACAACGGGCTTCGCCATATGTCGACCAAAGCCATCGCCCGAGCGAGCGAACATTGCCTTTACACCCTCAAGTATCTACTTCGAACACCAGCTGATACATCCGCAATGGATATCGCTCCATCACAAGCTCAACCAGCTCGAACTTCCAGTTAATGGCACCATGTGCCCCTTCGAAGGTGAGAATGGTCCTCAAAATGAACCCTTCTGCTGGCCTTGCATCGTGAACTTGGTAAATAAAAACTCAACCACAACAATCCTTTGATTTCGGAATCTCGCTCATACAGAACTTCTATAGAAGGGAGAGCTCGAAAGGTGATGCAACAGCTCGAAATTCAATTCTACCATGACAACCGGTTGGTCGACATGCGCAGTGCATTGGATAAGCTCCCGATCAAATGGCCAGACAATCGTGCTGAAATCACCCACCTGCTCGCCCTGAGGACCAAGAGCAACGATATCTGGACAATGGTTATTGACATATGTATCTTGACTCTCGAGAGATACGGCGGGAGAGGACTGGAGGAAATGTGCACCTGTGGCCGGAATCAACAGTCGATGTCTTGATCGTGACCGTTCTCGGGCGTACCCCACGCATCCCGACCCCCCTCCCCGGGGGGCCTGCCGGGGGCCCAAGATTTTCACGTGAATTAATACAACCCTGCTTCACTGCCTATTTCAATCGACAGCATTTCATAGCCGCAACTGACCTAGTAGAGCTGTCAGGGCTGTTGAGGCTGGTCGCCTAAGAGGTCTCACGTAACATCACTACTCCCTACATTCGAGTTGTAATCAAGTATCATTACTGAGGAATCGAATTCTTTGGAAGAAAGTTTAGTCCATACCGGGAAAAGAGGGATCCTGGCTCTATTTTTTGATTCTGAGCATCTCTCGAGTTTGGCCTCAGGATCGCTTACAATTTGGCTCGCCGCAGGGCAGATATTGTATATCAACAGGCCAAATAATTTCTATTGGTATATTGCATAATATGAAAGCAATGTATGTTTGTGAGCCCGAGAGGAAATAAACTTAGAGACAAAAGAATAAAAACCGAAGTACGTACTATATAATAAAGCAATCATGCACCCACCTGGGGAGGTATCTACCATAAACTATTTAGTATAAGGATCCACGAATTCTATACCAGAACACAATTCTATTCCAAAGAATCATCAAAATAAAATACTTGGGCTATATTACGACACTATCACTTTCAGAAAGATCTATAAATATCAGAGACCGAATTTTGAACTGGAGAATCTAAGACTAGCATTGCGATGACCAGGAGATATTCTATCTTGAATTGCTTGACTGCCATGTTAGTAATGTATAGCCCTGGAGGTAATGAGCTTCCTAGGAAAGGAAGGAGGGAGCTGTGGCCAGCACTTTCCCCATTCACCCGAGCTCATTATGATATTCAACTCTCGCCACTACACGCTCAGCTCCCTTCTGTACTCCCAAGTCCCCTTCAAATACTACTTCTCCACCTTGCTTCTGGCTTTCCATTTCGTTCTGCTTTACCATCAGCATCATTTTTTTTTCACAAACACAGAAATCTCGTGTGTGTTCTTGTCGTACTTAGCGCATCGAAACTAAGATGACTTATCAGTATGAAAGCTTCTTTTCCTTCGAAGAATAACTGTTCTGAGTATGACTTCCTTGACCCCTACGACAGAATAAAGCGAATGCTGTTTCCACTAGCTGCATGCATTGCATGCGCAACTCAGGGATTCCGAGCACCAGCCCTTCCTTGTCAAGGGACATATCCTTTGCAATCCACCTTATTTCGTGGGCAAATCCTGAGATAGTGGTTGAGTTTGGAAGAAATATTGAAGTCATTTGTTGGCCTTGGTTATCAATTTGGCCGCACCTTGCCGATGACAAAATGGAGCTACCTACCATCCATAGGATTACGGTACATCTAATAGCGCATTATCTACAATCTTCTTAAGTAGATAATCCTAGCACTCTTCTAGATGGATTCCTCCAGGCCACTTATTGTTGTCCGCACGTAGTAATCAATCACGTACATACAACGTCATGACTTTTAACCGCAAGATATATCTGATAACTTGTAGTATATTAATCATACTAGCGCTAGTGGTAGATCCTAAATTCTTTGCTGGCTCAGCGTCCCGCACTTATAATCTACTTCTCTTCATATCGGTCCTCCCTATGGCCAGTGACACTACTCTCAAACTCGCTGTTCTTATTGATGCGGACAACGCACGATTTTCCGTGATCAAACACCTCCTCTCCGAAGTTGCGAAATTCGGCACAGCTCACGCAAAACGAGCTTATGGAGACTGGAGTAGTCCCAATTTGAAGGGCTGGAAAGACCAGCTCCTCGAGCAATCAATCCAACCAATCCAACAGTTTGCCTATACCCATGGTAAAAATGCGACAGATTGTGCTATGATAATTGACGCGATGGATCTTCTATATACTAACCGGTATGATGGATTCTGCCTTGTGTCAAGTGACAGTGACTTTACTCGCTTAGCCGCTCGTATCCGCGAGTCGGGACTTATTGTTTACGGACTTGGCGAGCAAAAGACACCCAAACCCTTCGTCGCCGCCTGCGATAAGTTTATCTACACTGAAAATCTCGTGCACCTTGATCAGCTTGTTCCGCATTCCGATAGTGTTATCGTGCCTAGCTATCCCTCTTCAGACACAAAAGCTCAAAACGATAAACACTTGGCAAGTCAATTACGAACTACAGTGGAGGCGGCCTCTGATGACGAAGGATGGGCTAGACTTTCTGACGTAGGTCAGCTTCTCACAAAAAAATATCCGGACTTTGATTCTCGCAGCCACGGGTATCATAAACTTAGTGATTTAATAAGCGCCTCTTCTCTCTTTGAAATTTGCCGCCGTCGCCTTCAGGAGGGCTCATGTACGATCTACGTACGTGATAAGCGTCGGAAGCTTAAACATTCTGCTCAATAGATTTGAACGTCAGAGACTGCACCCATGCTATACTCCAAATCGCTAATATGCTCATTTAGCGCTCGAGAGTATTCCGCTTTGCTACCTGATGGTTCTATTCCAAGTGTGAGGGCTGAGATAATTCAAGAGGGACATATTACAAAATGCAAGCCCGTAGCGTTAAGCAATGTAATTTTAATTCATATACGTCTTTCAATAAATCTCAAATAAAACAATCCTTCAATACAATTCGCTACCTGAGACGTGGCTAATCCGGATATAGATTAGCGTGTTTGGCATACATCCCCAAAACAAATAAGGCTGATATAGCTATTCTGAAGGTAGTTTAGTGGATCTTGGGCATCTAGGGTTCGGGAAACAATAAAAAAGTTGCGGAGGTGACAATGATTTCTGGAAATGCTGTATTGCAGCTGTCTCAAACGAGAATATCATTTGATGTGATTTTTGTACCACAGGCTCTATCGTACCGTAAACTAGGCTTTCTGTGTGCTCCAGCTTCATCTACACGTGCTTACCACATCATACAACTTCGCACTGCTTTGATAACAATTCATTCAACTCCGATGGAATCCCATTCTGTATAACCCTTCTTGCTCCCGACGCCCTACGGGATCACCTCTTTATAAAACGTGCCCCACATACCGCCAAAAGCCCCAGTGACAATGGCCTCGTCGTCGTTCGCTTGCTACTACTGGCGAGGAGCCGGGGTCCCTTTCTAAAGTAGCATCACTGCCGCCGTCCACAGTTTTGCCCTCGCTTATTCAGCGCACGTACGCCCTGCTCGACTTGCGGCCGACTCTGGCAGTCCCACGTTTTAAGACATGTTGTCGCAGTCGCCAATGGAAACACAATTATCGCCGGCTCGCTACCGTGACGCAAAAGCTTTCCTCTACGGAGATTACTTATATGCCTCAAAACGAGGCATACCACTCTTCACCGATTCAACCAACAAAAAGTATTAGACAGAGAGCCCTTCAAACAAGGGTACCCCATGGGTCAGGCTGTCAATTTGTTGTGTAATGAGTACGACCTAGATGAGGTGCCAAACTTGCTAGGCCACTTGCTGAATGGTTCTTTTATTGTGGGACCATGCACGCGATCGATAGTTCACGCGGTATCAACTTACGATACACTCCACCATGCCCAGATGACATCATAGATCTCACCCCTACATAGAAGATCCCACACCGCTACCGGCACGATTGAACTTGAATTGAGTATACAATCCACAATCTCCATTGTAGATTGAAAACCAGCTGGTCACAAAAACTGATTAGTGTCCACTTTCTGCAATTCAGCGGTGATATCGCACCTCCTTGCTTCCAAAGGATTTTTGATTCCTCAGTATAAATAATAGGTCCATTTCCTACAATCAAACTGACCCCCCCCCCCCCAACCAATTTTACCCATGGTACTGAGATTTCGTGGATTTCAAGTGACTTCACCTTTACCATCCCTCAAACAATCTCAAGTATTGGATAATGCGGCCTTTTATTTTCATTAGTGCCATTTTCGTCAGCGTCGCAATGGCTGCTTCAACTGACTCGGCTGCGGGAATTATGCTGGATAAGCGTACCGGCCCTTGTCAGTCTGCTTGTGATGCGGATTATCATAAGTGTGTTTCTCCGCCGTCCACGTGTGAAGCGACCGTGAGTATTTCTCTCTGGGACGAAAGTCCATGGCTATGCATTTATTGGTGACTGACAGATATGGTGTATATAGTATCGTGGGTGTTCTAGTGTGAGTATTTCCTTCTTAGATGAATTTTCATGGCTATGTGAATACAGGTGGCTGATAGACGTGTTGGGTACAGCTCTGTTCCTGAATGGGTTCCGCATATACCTGCAAGGTTCATTAGAATCTTGATTCGAAGCCCAGAAGGTATGTGATCGCCTCACAAACCTATTGATGCTACTGTTATTTGATAATAATTATATAGGACTTCAAACCTGCACCAATGAATTCGGATATAACGATGGCTTCAAAGTGAGGGCAGTCTCAGTTGAGGGGGTCTCAATTTGGGGCTCCACTTTTTGATAGGGTTTCCTATATATTCGTGCAAAAGTAGAGACTAAAATATTATCTTTTTCCTTTTATTTGCCGAGTGCTCAGAAGAATGACGGACAACAAAGTTATAGTCCGGTAAGGCAATAGAGAAATCCTTGCCTAGCCCTCCTAGCTCCTAGATATAAGTCGTAAGTGTTACGGGCCCCTGCGACATGAGGGGCCGCAACCTACAGATGGGCCACCAAGAGCCAACGTTCCTAGGAAAACAACGCAGATCAGATCACGTGACCTTCGGCCGGAATCAGCCCCTACAAAAGGTTCCAGCAATACTCGTATCTGCCATACACACAAAAGCGGATGGTATGTAACTTAATTCTGTAAGTAGCTGTATTTGTAAAAACCGGGAAATTTACTATTTTTATTCATTGCTTAATAAGGTCTAGTGTATCTTGGCATTTAGGGTCTGGGGAACAATGAAAGAGTGCGGGGGGTGACCCCGATTTCAGGAAATACTGTACCCGTTGAGAGCCAAAACCAAAAGCTTGAATCTTTCCTACAGGAATACCCCACTGTCGACGCGATGGGCATCTGGGGAACGGTCAGATACTGGGCCAGCCAGGCCCTGGGCTTTATCTCCAAGGCGGCAACGCCTTTTCCTGGCTGGAGGGTCCGGATTCGCCATATAGTGATCTAAGTACGCCCAGAGAAAGATCTAAGCTCGGTCCCTTTCTCAAATGACTGCTAACAAGTTCAAAGATCGTACGCCCGGATATTCAATGGCACCACGGCAAAGCAAGCCGTTTGTTGAAAAAGAAAAAAAAAACGTTGAGCGAAATGAGGATGGGCAATGACCGCCCCTACTCTACACTTCTGGTTTTATCAGTGCTAATGACTCCACAGTTCCTCCACATGCTGACGGATTTTAGAACTCTTATAATCCCAGACCAATGAAAGGATTGAGGTGAGGTGTTTATGCAGAAAATTGAGAATACACGCAGTGACCGGCTCTCCTGCAATTTATGTGCCGATACAGAGGCAACGAGAATTTGACCACAACTAGTGTTCCATTTCAAAGAAAACTCTCGCTGATACAGGAACTTGTAGAAGGAGGTTCTGAATTTTGGGACTAGTTTTACCGCAAACAAATGAATCGTTACATCGAGCTTGCGGTCGAGCAGATTGAGATGCTAGAGGCTGAGAATTCGTATCCCGAAAGCTGGGTTGAAAACCTCTACGACACGCGGGAGGTTCCGGACAGACACATCGAGATACTTGACCTACGAGTCAAGCTTGCCAGGGAAAAGGCATATCATCTGGGGTTAGCCATGGAGAACCTGGGGTATCATATCCTCGGAAGGACCTGTTGTAATGTTCTTGTTCTTCTCCTAGAATCGGAAGCAAATTGCAAGCTAAAAAGATTACGCTAGTAATGCGACTAAAAACATTTCACTGTTGGCTGCTATTAGTGTGCACATACAGGAACCTTTCGCTTCTCCCTATTGTTGGCGTGCCAAGGCCTCCAGGGCTGCTCTTAGTGTGAGGTAGGGCGGCCCCCACCCTTGTGATCTTCGTAAACCCTCGACCGCCAACATATCCAACCCAGTTCGCTTGCCCATCAACCTCTCAAGACTTAAGACGGGTACACTGTCTCCCTTTCCCCAAGATGGCGCCCCATCTTCCCCAAGAGATATTATATTTGATCGCAGACCATCTGCAGGAAGAAGAAGCCTCTCTGGTTCCGTGTACTCGGGTATGCCGTCAATGGCAGGTCGGCTTTGAGCCCCTCATTTACTCTGAACTGATCCATGTCTTCAGCGCCGAGGACGTCAGCGGAGAAGACCATGAAAGGGGAATGTCACTGAGTCATTTCCAAAAAGTAACCTCTGGGGATGGGCTTGCACGACGACCTCTGATCCGTCGCTTGTGCTATCATATCGTTGTCCCTATTGACCTCCAAGATTGGAAAACCCGCAAGTACAAAGGATACACCCTTGAAAACGATGTCCGTCAGAATAATGATGTTGCTTTTCACTCGGCAATAGTCGATCTCTTCAACACTCTCACAGATTGGGATCCTAGTTTGCGCCTTTCAATTGAGTTGGAGCTGCTGGGTCGCGAAGTGGGAAAGGAGCCTTATACATGGGATTTCGACGATGCAGGCGACTACCGCTATGAATATAAAAAGGGAAGAACGAAGTCAGTTCCTGTCTATCGGGCACATTTTCTGAACAACGGGGCCTCTCTTCTCCCGGATGTCGCGTGTATCGATCGTCTTTGCTTTCATGATGATTTCCCTTCTCATCAAATTTGGGTCGGATCTGCTATGCAAATTGCTCAGCACTGTACAACCCTTACAGAGATGATGCTGGGCCTAGATGAATATATTCGCCCTGATCACATTGAATACATTCAAGCAAGGCGTCAAGGTAAGCAAATACCTACACAAAATTGGGAAGTAATATAATTGAAAGTCCAAACTCTGACACTCCGGTAGCTGTGGCTGACGGTCTTTTGACAATGCCACATAGCTTGAGGGTATTTAGGCTTCTTAACCAGAGGGAGAGCCCTTGGAAGGAAATGATGACTGGTTTGAAAGTTCTACTTTCAGATCATGACTTTCTTTCTCAGAACATTTTGCATTTGAGCCTATCACTTAGAGAATTGAAGATTAACAAGCTATCGCTCACACCAGACTTCCTGTTTCCTCTAGATACAGAGAGCCATCCCTTACCGACTACTCGATCTCTCTACTGGCCTTCATTAGAAGTCATAGAGCTGACACGTGTGGCTCCATGGCTTCCATCAGGTATATTCATCAAATCACTATAAACTGTTCGATCTTGCCCCCTTTTATTGTAATACAGTTTTCGGTCAGGCAAGGGACATAGTATCCTTCAACTTACTAACAATCTCATTATATAGGCCAGTGGGTTGCTCATCCAACACGCGAGGACCAAATCGAAATCGATGAAGTCGAAGACTGGGAGATGATCATTTGTGACTTAGAAGAAGGCACTATTGATCGGCCAATTTTCGATCGCGAACATTTTCACCGAACTCTCATTTCCCTAGGCTATGCAGCTCGTCATATGCCATGTTTGAAGTACATGCAATATCATCTCGACCATAGAACTCACTTTCGATTCGAATTTAAGCCCCATGGCTCGTCTGGGAAGGCAGAGTGGATGCTTTATTCTCACTATCGACCGAATCAACAGGTAATGGATGTGTGGGAACGTCCATTAGTAGGCTCGGAGCTAGATGCGAAGTTACCTGCAACGTTGATCAGGACAACTATTGCGGACTGGTATTAACATATAGCTGGATTTCGGGGGAACGCGAAAGACTGATGTGGTCAGAGAAGGCGATTGAATGCAGTAAATTCGATTTGACAATGTTTAGTGGGTGATACATGAAATCTCAATGGGGGGTTTTATCTTTTTTTGATCTTGACTAGACTTCTTAGTAGTGTCTCAAGAGAATTTGATTGTCATGGATGCTAGTGAATGCTGGCAGATCTCAAGGTGGCTATGTGGTCTGACTGAATCAGTAGCTTAAATCCCTACTACAAAAAATATTGACCTGTTCCAAACCCATCTCTCCCTTGTACACCAACCTCCTCTGAACTATCGATCTCGCAGCTTGGTTACTACTGCTTCTAGCTAGTACTAGTAACTACAACAGTACTTGAGATTATGTCAAGATTGACCATTTGATAGTTCACAGTGACACCGTGACAATACGATAAATTATAAATACCCCACCCCAGGCTTTTGAAATTCGTACTAATAGTTGCGGTTGATCTGCACAATGACAGGCTCACTACTAGTACTATGTCAAAGCAGATTTGACAAATTTCCTGTTCCTGTAACTCATAGTAATCCCATAACGAATCGGCAATATCATCAACGCCAGATCAAGTCAAACTCAGTCAGTCGAGAGACCCCGAATACCACAGGAACAAAGTGGAGAGAAATTAACACAAAAAGATGAAAGCTCCGATATATCCTGTATTCAGTGGATAAAGCAACGATGCACAAATCCGGAAACAGGCGTGTTCTAGCAAGGCTACCGGGTGGGCCTTTGAACCATGGAGAACTTCAGGTACTGGAGTGCCGCCCGCGAGCCAATGGGTTCATCATTTGTAGATTTTCACCCTCTCTTGATGATGGAGGAGGAGGAGGAGGTGGTGGTGGTGGGGGTCTCCCACATTCGAGGGCAAGGATCTTATCTTGCCGTAGAATCCGTAATATGAGATATTGATCTATACCATCGCTTCAAGCTCTTGGATGCTAAGGGGTTCTGGCCTATTGAGTAGCTCATGGAATTCCCCTCCATCAAATTCTGCCACGATGGGATAACAGCGTAGCGCCATTGTCAGATTTGATGCAGAAAGCAAAATCATTCATTGGGGCGGCGAAGTCTTCGAAGTCTTCCAAAGCATGCAAGTTGTGCGATTTCGAGATATTCGAATGAGCTCAAATTCCAGTGTCATCATCGGCAAATGGATTCGCGAGCTCGAATGCCAAAGTTCCGTCTGACACTTAGCAAAATCTATGGCTCTAAGTCGAACCCCCAATGCTAGGAGAATTCTTCATTGGCAACATCCGCTTGTCACGAGGTTTTTGATACATTCATTACTAGTAATCTATAACCAAGGAAAGTCCGGAAAACTTGAAGCTATAAGCGCTGGCAAATAGTAGAACCTGGAATCCGTTCCAAGCCTAGCCAAGCCCAGAAGACCCGAAAGAACCTGAACAGAGTAAAAAAGCACAATCTATACAAACAAAACTCCATCAATTCAATTCAAATCATATCCAGAAAAAGAGATTGGCCTATCTGTGTCACGCGGTGGTGTGGTGGTTACGGCACCTGCGATAGATGGATGCCCAGTAGATAATAGTAGTAACAACATGAGTCGGGACCCGAGAAGTAGAAGAACGTAGAGTAGAGGGGTGTGTGGGCGCGCAGGGAAGGGGAGGATAGAGTAAGGCAAGCAAAGCAAAGCAGAGCATTGCGGAGGGAGAGGAGAACGGGATTGGGATTGGGATTGATGGAATGGAATGAATATTAGGGAAGAAGATGAAGTGAACAAGTGAACCAGTAGATCGGATCCGGAACCCATCATTTTTCGTTTTCCTTTTTTGGTTCTGTGATGGGATCCGTTTCGCTCCAAACTCTGAGCCCGACGAATGTCTAGGATATATCGGGATATCACAATCACAACCACAATCACAATCACGATCGAGTTCAACTTCACCTTCAACATCAACATCAGGCAAAATAAACAGTCGAGAAGAAAAGAGAAGATCGAGGAAAAAAACACCAAGCGCCAGACAAAAGAAAAATCGCCTGCAATTTGGAGCGAAAGATTCCAGAAGTATAACACACGAAGAACCGAATGCAAATGGTGGGGAGGGGAAGGTGGGTGTGTGTGGGTAAATGCAATATTTGATCAATTCAATCCAGGCGAAGCAGGGCAGAGTAAAAAAAAGCGAGAGCGAGAGCGAGAAGTCTCAAGTCTCTACTGCTCCGCAGAGACGCCCTTACCCGATCGACCGCGAACTTCCTCATCGTAGCCGTTCTGCTCGGACTCGGACTCGTCGTTGTTAGGCGATTGGGGGTGACTGAGGGATTGGTGGCTGCGAGCCATCTAAACACGAAAAAGCAGTTAGCAATGCCATCCATCAAAACAACCATCATCAGAGGCTCGAGGGAGAGAGGGTTCTAAGCTCCGCTCCAATCCAGTCCACACTTACCCAAGCACGCACACCACCAATCAAACCAAGACTATACCCCGTCGCAAAGTCCTCATTCCGTCCACCAACGCCAGGACTCTCAGGACGATTGAGCGCCTCCACACGGGAAAGATGCGACTTGCTCCCACCAGTCGGGCTAGCCAGGGGTCCGCGAGCACTGCCGTAATCGATGCTGTTGCGGTTACTGGGCGCCGGACTTCCGGGCCGGCTATTCTGCCAGATCTGTCGCAGTTCACGGCCGAGTTCTTGGCCGGTCTGGGTCCAGTTGGTGCGGATGTTATCGCGGAGCTCGACGACGTGGCGTTTGACTTCGAGTTCGTTTTTCTTTAGCCACGATACGTTGAGTTCTTGGCGGGAAGCGCCGCGCTTGAATTGTCGGGAGATGTACTGGTCGTAGTCGCGGACGATTCTGGAAATGACAGAAGAAACCAGTCAGCCTGTGCTTGTGCTTGTGCTTTTGCTTCGGGCAAGCGGGAGCCGGGGGACAAAAACAAACCTCGTAATAATACCAGTCGTACTAACCCCCTCCGTCCGCTGAGTAACAAGGAATTTACCCTGAGCCTTAATAGGCTCATAGATATCATCACCCTCAGCAGCCTGGTAGGGCAAATCGTCATGAGCAACGTAGTCGATCTGATGTTCCGAGAGGAACTCAGGCGTCACAACCCAGGGACAATTGGGAATGACCTCATCAACCCACTTGCAGTGACGGATAGTTTCCGCACGCTCGGCGCCGCTGAGGACAGTCAGGCCTTTTCTCATGTGTGTCTCTTCGTCGCCGGTTACACCGACAATCAGATACGTGTCCGGGAAGGCTTTCTTGGCTTGTTCGAGCTGTCTCATGTGTCTGTGGGAGAGAAAAAAAAGGGATTAGCAATGATTCTGGCAAGGGAGGATTTGTCCGCAGCTGTCTGAGCTCTAGCTCCAGCTCGAGCCGAAGCGTCAAAGAAATAAGCCTGACAGGCTACGAGTACATAGCTCACACATACCCAAGATGAAACAAATCAAAAACCCCATCCGCATAAACCCGCACCGCCCTCCCCACCGGCGGCGGATTAGTATGATAACCAACAGGATCCTGCAATGCGCCGACCGGAGGCGGAGGCATTTCCTCATCCACGCCAGGCTTAGGAAGCTCAATATGCAAACCGCGACCGCGAGCCGAGCCTGAGACCAGTTCCAGCTCCAGCGCCGCCCTCAATATCACTACTAGCGACGGTAGTTTCGGACGGTTCGCCGGGATCCTCCTTATTGATCTCCGCGCCATTTGTGCTAGGGTTGGCGCTGGCGTTTGCGTCGGAGCTTTTGCGGGCGCGTTTGGACGGGTTTGAGTCCTTTGCATTGGAGGATTTCTTGGATTCGGGGGCGGGTGGGCCGGAGTCTTCGCCTTCTTCGCCCGACGCGTCGCGCGAGGAGGGTTGGAGGTCGGAGCCTTGGACTGGGAGGTTGGAGGCGCTGCGCTTGCGCTTGGTTGGGGGTGAGGATGGTGATGGCATTGTGACGGGGGAGGAAGGGGGGAAGGGGAGGGAAGGAGAGGGGAGATGGGAGGATGAAGATGAGGATGAAGATCAGGTGAACACGATGGTTGGGGAGGATGAAGGTGAAGGTGAAGGTGTCAGTTTGGTTGTTCCCCGTGCGCGTGCGGGTAGACCGGTTATTAGGGCGGTTAGTTAATTAGGGGGGGGGGGGGGGGAGCCACAGTAATTCTCTGGTGGGTGGGGACGACTCCTGACTCGTCGATCTATAGTTACTGCTATGTGCTACATGTACATGGTACATGGCTACAGTTACTGCTGAGTTTACTCGACTTGGCACTGTGTAAGTCTTTCTACCTAGCACTCACTACATGTATCACGTCACACCACTTCCCCTATGGGATGAACCATACCATCCCATCTCATCCAAACTCCACGGAAGCCGTCTACCTGCATTCTTAAGGATGCCATCGCAAAGATGACATGTGTCGAATACGCCACGCATGCGCAAGGTACCCTCGGTCCAGCCTCGATGCTCCTCCCACGGAGAAAGTGGAGAATGGGAGTGGAGAAGGAGAAGGAGGAGGAGAGGAGAGGAGGAGAGGAGGAGGAGGAGAGGAGAGGAGGAGGAGAGGAGAGGAGAGGAGAGGAGAGCAGTGGAGATAAAAGATATAGAACAAAAAAAGGAACAGGGAAAGCCGAGACGGCGGAAGTGTAGTAGTTCGTCAACGGGCATTGTGCGGTATCTCGTGGTGGCATAAAAGACAAACGTGTTCGTGAAGACCCCGACCCCGCCTAGCGAGGGCCTCGAATGATCTTTCCTTTCTTTTCCTCCATTGACCTTGACTTTGAGACTTCCAATTCATTCCGGTCCAATCCAATCCAATCCAATCCGATCCGGTCTCCTTCGCATTTCGTCCTTCACTTTGGTCCAGTATGGGGCAGAGGATGGCCGGGAGAACAAGAGCCCGACGATAACTAAAGATGAAAAAGAGAAGAGAGAACCCAGGCAAGGAAGCGAAGAAAAAGAGACAAGAGGGAGGAACAAATCGTGGAGAAAAAGAGAAAGAAAAAAGAGGTCGTTCACACAAAACAAGGTAATCAGGGTAGACAATTGGCAAGTAGGAGCGGAAGGGAAGAGCAGAACAAGTCAGATGAGGTCCAGTCCAGTCCAGTCGAGGGTAAAAAGCAGATGGCAGATGGGAAATTGGCGAGAGTAGGCATAAAAAGAAAAAAGAAGAAAAAGAAGAAAAACTACGGCGCTGCCTTATCTTTGTCATCGGTAGAAGCAGGCGACTCGGATATTTGCGCGCCAGTTTCCTTGCCCTGTGGACCGGGGGTATCTTCGCGAGCCCGCGTGGAATCAGTCGGGTGCACCTGGTTAGCCAGGTCCTGGTCCTCGGTTTGGTCGAACAGTTCCTCCTCATGCTGATCCGGGATGATCTCGGTGCCATCGCCTAGCAGAATGATCCGGCCGGACCGGGTGCTGAAAGCCCGCGAGCGCTCCATCTCCAAGTCATAGTCATCAGGCTGGTCCTCGAATTGATTCCGGATCCCGGGGCCGCGGAATTCGGCTGTGCACACTGACCGTCAGCACGACGAGGGATTGGACTCGGGTTCCTCGTGAGACTTGCCGTACTCGGGCGGAGCACAGGGCCCATCTCCGTTCGCAACCCGCTCTGCAATCTGGTTATACCACTCCTCCTTGGACTTTCCGTTTAGCAGGCCAATCACAATCATGGTCATGTTGTCGCATCCCACACCGCCGGTCTCGCTGTTGGAGGCCAGGCAGTTATCCATCATATTCTCGCAAATCTGAGAAAGTTGCTGCTTGGCAGCAATGCCTCTGCGGACAAACTCGACGACGGCTTGAGAGGTCTGGCAATCCCAGATACCTGTGAGAATGTGTTAGCGTGGGGTGTTTCTCGTTTGGTTCGGGGCATTCTGTGAATGAACTGCGAGCCTACCATCACAGGCGATGACAAGGAATTCATCGTCATCGCTCAGGTCGTGAACCGTCACATCGGGGAAAGCGGTGACAATCTGTTGCTCGGGGGCCAATTCGGGGCTCTTCTTGAACTCGAAGTCACCAATGGCTCGAGAGAGAGCAAGGTTGCCGTTGACACGGCCAAAGTCGACAAAGCCGCCGGCGGCACTGATACGAGCCTTCTCGCCTGGAGGGATATTAACGAGGTCCTCAGAGAGGAATGGTTGCGGCTGGGGAGGAAGCCCGATTCAACTTACCCTCATTCTGGGGCTTGTGGTCAAAGGAGAGGGGCTTAGCGCGGCCCTTGACACCGAGCACTGATCGGGAGTCACCAGCATTTGCCTAGAACGCGTTAGTTAAGATGGAACTGAACCCATCAATTTGATGATCCTTTCACATACCACCCAGATTTTGTGCTTGGAGATGATGCTTGTAGAAGCAGTGCAACCGGAAACCTCTTCCTCGTATTTGGGGTCTGGAGGAAGTTAGAAAGTGCCGAGAGAAAGATGCCAAACGCGATTGGAACAGGAGCTCAGCTTGCTCTCGCTTTCGCAAGTGTTGCCGCTGCTGCTGCTCGCCACACACCACCAGGAACACAACTCACCTTCCAGAATAGCGCGATCGGTAGCCAGGAAACCATCCTTAAGAGCCTGCTCGATATCACCACGAGCAAACGATTCCTGCTTGGCAACAATCTTGTGGAGGTTCTCCCCGGTGAATAACGCAACCTTGTCTCCACCGTGACCATCATATACACCAAAGAAGGCTAGACGCTTGCTCGGGTCCGTCGGTTGGTTCTCACCGGTGCCGGTGTACTTGGCTTGAAGATCGAGGACGGCGGCGTGGGCATCTTCCATACTAATACGCCATCCCTGCATGGCAGAGACTCCATACAAGCAGCAGTCATCTTCGCCGTCGGAGGATGTCTAAGAAGAAGCAGAAGCGATTAGCCTTGATTTTTCACTCCTCAGATTCAAATTCAAATTCAAGATCTCGAACGAGATTCGATTGCGTGATTGAAGCCAGAGTGATCGTAAACATTTTTTTTCTTCATTCGATTGCCAGGATGCGACCACGCGAAACCTTGTGCTCGATATCGCTATTTTTGTGTGCCCACCGAAGATCACAACCAGCCAGCCCCTCTCTCGGGTCAGCAGGGGGGGGGGGTCGCGGCCCCGCATGGCCGATCAAGCAGGTTTATGGAAAAAATCGACCATCGGCGAAGTTGCAATGAGAAAGTAGAGTAATGAGAATTCTCTGCCGGAATTGTCGACGATCTTGCCAGGGGGAGAGGGGGTGGTGTGTGTTGTTGATGTTCACAGGGCAGAGGGGGCACACGCAGCCGAGAGCCACCGGCGTCACAGTCACGGCGGATGTGTGGGGAGGGGCAAGGCAGGAAGGCAAAGGCAAAGGCAGATAGGGCAAAGGGGCACGAGATATGGAAAAGACTAACCTTCTCGACCACGGGCTCCGACAAGGTCTGACCCATATTGGCGATTGATTAATTCTGGGGAGAGAGGGGGGAGAGGAAGAAAGAGGGGAGGTGGGGAGGAGTTCGGAGTTGGCACTGGATGAATGGGAGAAGAGGAAAGATTGGGAAGTCACGACAAGTCAGGTGAGGAAAGGTTGGGTGGGGTATGGTATGGTATGGTGGTAGGGGAGGTATAGTAGGGTTGGGGGAGAGTAGGTTAAGTAGATGAGTAGCAGACAGAGGTGAAGAGTAATAGTAGAGTAATAATAGACTCGAAGAGAAGAGAACAGAGTTTGGATCTGTCAGAGTTGAGATGCCTGCGCAGAGATTTCCGATTTCAGGTCAGGTCAGCTCCGTATTCGCGTTACCTTTGTACTTGATGTCAGGTGACAGTATACCAGCGTAGTTGGTTATCAACGATAGCTATAATATTTATAAATATTTACTAAAGTATAATATACAACACTATGACTGAAAAATCCTATTCTCCTCTCGGTTGAATCTTCGGAATCTTGCACCCCTTCATCCTCATCCTTACCATTTCGGCCCCTTGTGACGCCAGGCAGCCGCAGGCACCCACCGGCAGAATAATGGGACTGACCAGGTGTTCTTTGAACTATAGCTGCCTACTAACATCATAAAAACTACCTTAAAATTTTAATAAATTTTTTTTTTTTTTCATTTTTTATTCACATTTCGAATTATTTTACTAACTTCACAACTACAATCGCCCTGCAAACTCGACCCCCACCTGTCAGGCACTGCACGTGCCATCCACTGCCCTGAGCGGTGGAGGGGATCATAGTATGCTCCATGCTCCATGCTCCATGCGCCATCCTTCATCCTTTGTTCTTGGCCTTTTGTCAATATTAAACTTTAATCACCTCTTCAGTAGAAAATAAGTAATCATTAATCAATGGATTACATTTATAACTATCACTAGCTCAACTAGCGCAAGATCAAGATCGAGATCGAGGTACCTAATGCACCAACCCAATGGATATCATGTTCGCCATGCCCAAACTCCAACAGAACAAAAATAAAGCCAAATGACTCAAAAACAGAAACAGCAACGACGGGAAGAAGGGGGGGGGGGGGTGAGTGGAAAAGAATCAAGGTAAAAAAGAAGAGGATGAAGAAGAAGAGCAAAGAATCCCCAAAAATCAACTCCAAAAATAACCCATCCTAAACAAAGGCAAGCTCCCCACTACTCGCAACCGGCAGTCCACGACTGCTGGCACTCTTAATCGGAGGCGGCGGTTCCAAAGGCACCGTACTCCAAGATTGTGAATCATCAGCCTCTTTCTTCGGCGACACTTTTCTCGACAAATGCTCTTCCAAATCAGAAGCAATAGACGAGCTAGGTGGCACAGCCTGCTCATTCCCACCCCCATTCCCACTCCGGACCGGCGCTTTCCCATGATTCCCCGAATCCAAGCGCCGAGCACTACGCAAACTAGTCTCACTCCAAAACCTCGGAAGCGGCGAGACGACATTGCGATAATCCTGCGCTAGACTCAACTGGCTCTGACTCTTCCCTCCCCCCCTCCGCGAGCGGGAAGAGATTCGGCGGCGGTTGGAGCGTCTGGTAGTGCGAGAAGCGATTATTATCATCCCCATACTCGGATACCGACATCGCGGTGGAGTAGGGTCGGCCTTGGATCGATTGGCGGTATTCGTCGCTGAATGTGGAGACGGAGACTGTATCGGCGCGGCTGCGGATACTGCGGGCTCGTTCAAGGGCGCGGAGACCGGATGATGTGCGGCGGCTGATTTGCGCTGAGAAGAGGGGATTGGAGGAATTGCGGTTTTTGGCCCGGTTTTGAACGAAGGCTTCGATAGAGTCGGCTTCTGAGATTGTGGATTCGTCTGGCTCGACGGTTCGCAGTGTCACTCGCTTTTCTGGGATGCTGGATGCCATGCTGTGGCGCGTTCTTGCGGCGGCGGGAGGTCGGGGGAATAGTGGGGTCATGTTTGTTAAGCTGGTCTCATCACTCATGATTGAGAATTTGTCCGTGTTTTGCCAGGACATTCGAACCATTCCGTGGCCTGGGGGTCCAATTCCGCCAGAACCGTGTCCAGCACCGCTTAGTCGCACGGGCAAACCGGTTGCCATTGTCGATATGCCACTAGAGCGCTTGGAATAACGCTTAGATCGGGATGACTGGATGGACTCGCGCTTTTTGTTGGCTCGGGGCTGGATCGACTTGAGAGGCTCACGTCGAGAACGTTGGCTAGTGCGACGACGCATACCAGGGCTATTCGAGTAGGAAAGGCGGTTCTTCTTTTTACCGGGAGACTTCTCTGGGGATTTCTTGTCCGCTTCATTGACCGGGTCTCGCAGAGGGATGAAGGCCCGCTTGGGGGAGCGCGGGGGTGGGACGGGCTCTGGGATCACCTTCATCGACTTCTCATGCTTTTCAAACGATGCCACGTTCCACTCTGGGCCCAGTTCGAGTTTAGGGATTTCCGATGCTGGTGAGATCGGGCTCATCCATCCGTCAGAATTATCATCATGGGATTCTCTGCCACCGGCACTAGGTTGGCAGTTCGGCATATCTGGTCGAACAGGGCGCGGCGGCGGCAACGACTTAGCCTGGAAAGGTTCCTGTCCTTCCTCAACAGTGGGTGTCTTTCTTCTGCGGCGCCAGCAGCAGAAAAGGATTATAGCACTGAGGAATACAACAACTGGAATAACAACTGATATGGCGATGATACCGGCTTTCCTATGCGAGGGGTTGGATGAGTCGGAGAAGGGGTCAGAAGAGGTGTTATGGGTCTGAGATGGTTTAAGAACGTCAAGTTCAAAGTCTTGGGTGTTCTCAGTCTCCCCTTGGTGTGCTTTCAAAGGGATGTTGAACTTCTGCGCCTTCATATCTGAGGGGACGTGTCCGTAGAGAGTTTTGTTATCAGGGAAGTAGGAGAGCCATGAGGTCAGGTCGTCGCTGAGGTCCACGTCCAGTTGTACCGAGTCATCAGTGACAATGGACTTGTTGAAAACAAAAGTAAAGTCCTCGCCGATAGTAGCTTGGCAGCCCTGGACCGTTTCAAGAAATAGCTCGTTGAACTGTAGACGAACCATGAGCTTCGCCGCATCTGAAAAACTATCGGTTGCTGTGATGGTTATGTTCTCATTCACAGCGTCCTTGGGCGGAGTCCCACTAAGCGAGAGTGTGTCTTCGTCCAAGGACAACCAATCAGGTAGATCTGCGTCAACTGTCCTGAGGTCTTTCGAGGTAACTGGCGAGCTATCCATAGAAAGAAGACTAGTAAATTCAGGACTGCTGAACTTGTCTCCTCTCAGTCAAGTTGTAGGTTTGCACAGTCTCATTGAAAGCCAGGATATGCGGGCCAATCACGAGCTGGAAGGTTGAGTTGACAGCACTATAACCCGCGACATCAGAAGCAACAAGCTGAAAAGTGAAAACCTCCGGCCCCGATCCGGGGAAAGAGGGCGTATTCCCGGAAAATCGGAGTGTGGTAGGATCGAAGCCCATCCACGATGGCAAGGGAGCGTTGTGAGGTGATGTTCCGTAGTATATCGTCGAAGGGTGGGTATTATGGAAGGTAGCCGGGTCAAAGGTGATGGAAAAAGAACGACCGGGGTGCAGAAACAATGCTGCAGGGTAAGAAACCGGTCCGATAGTCTGTAGCTGCGGCACAAGAGGCGTGCCTTCGGTTGGTCCTTGATCCGCGGTAATAATGAGGGTAACATCCATGCTGTCGGACTCCGGTCCATTGGATGCCACGAGCTTGAATTTCTTCGCACCCGTATCATCCGAATGTGGTGTTCCTTGCAGTGCGCGGCTGCCACTGTCCACTGAAAGCCATGACGGTGCGTCTGAGAGCGAGTACTTGGTGTTCGAGTCACTGTTGGCAAAGGTTCGCTCGGCGAATTCAAAACGGAACGGTTGTGATACTCGCGCGACTGGCGGGAGCTGTGAGTTAATGGGATAGTTCGCTGAGAGAGCCGCTGCGTTCACGACAGACAGGCAAGCCAGAACGATGAGGGCGAGGAAGGAAGCCATCTCCATTCGAGGCATCCGGATTGTAGTCCGGGAACGGGACGAGATAGTTTCAAGAATACACAGCTATCACGACTGAAAATTGATGGAAACTCGTTCAGCTGCGCATCCAAAAAAAAACCTCACCCGACAGATAGAGAACACGATCAAAGGAGATGAGAAGGAGGAAAGGCAACGATGAGGGAGCTTTCCCTAATCTCCAAAAAGGACACCCCGCCCTCTCGTGCCACAGGGACAAGGAGCCATTCAAGGCGTGCCCTTTGGTGAAAGCCATGCCTGGATATGCTGGACGTCACCGAAGTATGTAGCAGAGTGACAGGCCTGGAATGGGGAGGGGAGCGCGCAGCGCGCAGCGGGCAACTCACGTTTCGAGGCACCCTGCAAGGGATGCCCCGATTCCCTCGGAGGAGGGCAGAACATGCCCAACCACCACCACGCTTTCTTGCCCCTCGTCAAAAGTTGAGAAAGGGCAGATAAGGCAAGGAACATTTTCGAAGTGTGCAAAGAGCATTTCTTTCGCAGGCGGCCCCGAACTCGGATAGCCACAGGTGGCTTTTGCCGTCACGTTGTAAACCAGGGCCATTCTGATGCCGCTCCCTTGGCAGGGAGATTGCTAGGGTCATCTCGTCTCGAATTCAGCTTACTGTCGATATTAATGCCTGGAAAGTCCCACTCGCCCCATCTTCCTAAGGTCGAAGGACTACAATGGCAACCCTTTCATAAGCACTCCTGAATGTAGGGACTGAGAGGAGGTGCTGGCCTGCTAAGCTCCTTAGGTAGCACTAAGCTTCTCACGCTAACACACGAATAAAGCTGGCCCCTTCTAGGATACCGCTCGCACTGCGCTCACAATCTCCGATCCAGTATGCTTTCTCGCGTCGGACACCCGCGTCGGGTTGTCGCGTGCTGGGGTTGATCCCCACACGGTCCCTTGGGGCTGCATAGATCATTGGTTGGAAAGTGGGAAATAAATTCCAGCGCGTGAAGTGGTCTCAAGAATCCTGGCGCGTCGTGGTACTCCGAGAGTAAAGAATGAATGGTCGGAGACAGAGATCAACGGTGAACATTCCTAAGAGTTGAGTACGTTGAGATCTAAATTCCACTTCGTGTCACATATTAAATGAATGAAAGGTCGATCAATGGCTGGAGGTAGTCTGCCCCCATCACTGCGATCGAATTGTAGGTGTATACAGTAGTGTAAGACAGTATGCAAAAAGAAGAAGCGTACTCCGTAGATGAGGTAGGTAAACTGTCTGGGAGTAGAGAAGATGCAGTCAGCCCCTGCCCCACATTAATCAACACTCCAACACTTCAACTTCAACCTCCTCTGCTCCCTCCACCTCCACTATCAGCTCTACTCTACACTCCAAAGTACAAAATGCCCCCTCCCAACCCAGAAGATAAGCGCCAAGCTGCACGTGAAGTCATCGACATCCTCCACGAAATTTCCACTCTCCTGGTGCGTACATAACGCGAGCTCACCCTGCGATCCTCACCGCATCGCATCGCGTCAGAACTCGCATAGCCGAACATAGATATCAACGGACATCAATGGACTAACTCAACTCACTCAGAACACCAATCTCGACCGCCCAGAACTCTCCCTATGTGTCTCGCTCATTGAGAACGGAGTCCCGCCCGAGGGTTTGGCGGTATGTGCTTCGTTTCATCTCCGAATCAACAGCGGGATATCGCTAATTATACTTCTTGTAGAATGTGATCAAGGATTTGAGGAAGGAGGCTTCGGCTCCGGCTCCGGCTCCGGCTCCGGCTCCTAAAAGGGCTTCCTCACAGGCTTATGCTGATTAGATTTGGCGGAGATCAGCTATGTCCCATACTTGGTGCTTCTTGCTTCTTGCTTCTCTTCTGTTTGGCGTTAGGGAGGGTTCTACTTTGATACCCATGATTATGACTCTCTTTTCTTATGTATCTTCCTCCTTTCTAAATAGAAAATGATTCCAGTCTATCTGAGTTTCATCTGATACTAGTACTTATTACTTCTATCCCATGTTTGGAACTTAATGGGTAAACAATAATGAAATGAATCACTTATAGCAATCTACCCTATGGGCAGAGAAGTAGGATAATTGTGGAATTGGGGGAATTTCAATACACAGTAAATAAATCGCACGCAATAAGCACCGCTCCACTCCCCTACTTGGAAGAATCCTCCGTCTTATCATCCTTGGATCCAATCTCTCCCGACATCGCTTCCTCGGTAGCCTTCTTGATTTGCTCACTCTCGCCAGCCGCAGGTTGCTCCTTTGACTTAGTGTCCTTCTCCTTCTCCTTCTCCTTCTCATCATCGCTGTCGCCGAGGCTGAAAGGATCATTCTCCGCAACGGGGGAAGGCTCCACGTTAGCCAGCGGCTGCCATTTACTAGGCTTGCCACCTGTAGAGATGGGACGCTTAGAAGTAGACGAGGCATCGTATAGATTATCGATCTCGGTCGGGGGTCCGTCCTGGAAGGAAACTTTACGCCTATCAGGTGAGGGCGAAGATCCGGTCTTAATGTTAGGGCGGGGAGGACGGGGAGGAGGAGCTAGCGCAACGTTACGTTAGCAAAAAGTGTTTCCAAAAAAGAATTCATGACGGGTTGACAGAGAAGCTTACCTTCCGAATCTCTAAGTTCCAGCGCGGAGAAATCATCACCCAAGACCTGGGGGGTCTGCGTCGTAGCGCTCACGGTCTCCACTGCGACGGCTCATGTCGCCGCTTCGTCGAGGACGGCCGTAGGACGAGTGCTGCTGCTCATATTCCTGGGTGGATTGCGGCTGTTCCTCGTCCACATCTTCTCCATCAATTCTCTTCTTCAGGTTCGTCACCCACGAGTTCACCTTCGTTTGTGTCTCCAAGAAGCCCTTGCGGAGATTCTCGCGGATCACCGGTAGATCATCTAAAGGTTTAGATCAGCACAGGCGCAACGTTTGGCCGGGCAAACTTGAATGTGTAGGGGAACCGTACCGTCGAAAAAACTATACTCCTTGTCATCTGAGTCCTCGCTACCTCGTGGCTGGCGGTATCTGGGATCATTCTCCCACCCAGGGGCCGGGGCCCGCCGTTGGCCCTGGCCTTGGCCCGCGTTGTAGTGTTCCGCCAACTGGCGCGCGTACATTTCGTCCGAATCCATTTGTCGCTGCGTGGTCGAAGTAGGCTGTTGAGAAGGACGAGGGGGCTTCGGTGGAGGAACCATGTCCTCTTGGGCAGTGGGATCGGTCATACCTGCACATCAAAGATAAGATTAGTTAGTTGGCTGGTGTCGGCCCATCACTGGGGGAGGGTGGAGTAGTCTGCGCACCGAGAAGAGCATTGAACGCGCGCTCGACATTCCAATTGCTTGCGTTTAGAATAGCCTTGATAACTCCAGCATCGATAGAAGGGAAGGCCTCCTTCAGCGTATTCTCCGACTGCTCCTTGGGGCTCAGCGGGCGAGGCGGCTTTGGCGGGGCAGCTGGGGGAGTCTCGGTGGCGGTCTGCGGGTTCGCGGTGGAGGTCGCAGATGCGACACCTGTGTCTTGGGGTTCATCGTCGAAGTCCATGGGTCTAGCCGTGGTCGGCGACTCCGCGCGAGGGCTGTTGGGCGCAAGCGCAGCGGAGGGCTTACTGGGAGTTGACTGCAGGGTAAGTGTGAGAGTCTGTTTCGGAGCTGCAGATCGGGTAGGGGATGTACAGTCTTCTCTTCCTCCGACATGTTGAAGTGTTGACTCGGCCAAGCGGGAGAACCGGTCTGATATTGAATGGGAGAAAAGGTGGTGCCTGTCTAAAAGAATGGGAAAGAATGGGAATAGGCAGAACTGAACACATCGGGGATGCTCCAAACAAGTGACGTGGGGTGCGAGGCACGTGACGACCGACAGCTATAGATTAGGGTGTACGAGTACATTTACATCGGCTATTTCCCCAACACTGCCCTATCACTTACTGAAAAACTGTATTATGTACCAGCTTTATTTCGCTTTTCTATAACTAGACTCTTTCGAAAGGAATTATAAGTCGGAGCTCATGCAGTACTGAGATCCGGATTTGGGCCCCAAACGTTGAAACGTGATCCTTGTGTATAATGTGTTGGTTACTTTCTTGCATAAATCAAAATTCACCTACGGAGTATAGCCAAGCTGCTTAGACTTGATGTTTGCTGCTGGGATATTTACTAGAATACCCAGCCTGTAGAAAATAACAGGTGCTATTGTACCCTGAGAATCTCAAAGTGAGGCAACAACCTGATGACCTGGGACCAATGAATGTTTTCCTAGTCATGCGTACACTGAGAATCAAAACTCCCCGTCCCAATCTTCAACTTTTATCTTAAAAAGCATTAATCCCTGTGAAGATCCAGAAGTAGATGTGCTGTGTGCATGAATCATGCAGAATGGTTACTTCGGCGGAACCTTTATCCGGCAGGAGATTCACGGCCGCGCCTCGCCTTGCTTTACCAACGGCAACTGCTTGCCATGATTGATGAATTACCTCTGTGAGGAACCATGAACTCTTAACATGGAATTAATCAGCTCTTCCACGCCCGAGTAATACCGAAGATTCAATTTGCCCGTTCCCCCCTCCCAGGGACCCTTGGCAAAATGGCTTCGGAGCTAGATGTGTCAACCACTTTTATCCCGGCTCTATACAAGCCAGCGGCTTTGCTGCCAATTGCGCGACACAGAGAGAGCCTGTTGTACTTGGTCGAAAATTATTCAGTCACCATCGTGGTGGGCCAAACGGGAAGTGGAAAAACGACACAACTCCCACAGTATCTGGATCAAGCAGGTTGGTGTAAAGATAGCAAAGTCATTGCAGTGACGCAGGTGAGTTCTGAGTTGATTTTGTTTTCCCTTTTCCATTATATCAATTATGCTAAGCATCACGTCCAGCCTCGGCGAGTTGCTGCCACGACGGTTGCCACTCGCGTCGCGGAAGAAATGGGAGGCAAGATCGGAGAAGCAGTTGGTTACTCAATCCGCTTTGAAGATACCACGTCAGAATCAACCAGGATCAAATTCCTCACCGACGGAATGCTTCTAAGAGAAGCCCTGGTCGACCCGCTGTTATCACGGTACTCGGTGATCATGGTCGACGAAGCCCACGAGAGATCTCTCAGCACAGACGTCCTCCTTGGAATTCTCAAGAAAATTCGGAAAAAGAGACCCGAGCTGCGCATTATCATCAGTAGCGCTACCCTGCAGGCGGAAGATTTTCTACGATTTTTCGCGGACGATGAATTCAACGCCGACGCAGAACCTGCCGATCTGGGCGGGAGTGTGGGGCGCATCATCAGTTTGGAAGGCAGGATGTATCCTGTAGATACATTGTTTCTCGAGTCGCCCGCGGAAGATTACGTTGAACGAGCTGTCAAAACTGTATTCGACATTCACACCCAAGAAGCAGATGGCGACGTTCTTCTCTTCTTGACCGGTCGCGAGGAAATCGACCGAGCAATCCAATTGATATCCGAGCGGGCCGCGTATCTTCATCCAAAAGCGCCTTCATTACTCACTCTGCCACTCTATGCGGGCCTGACTACAGAGCAACAAATGTACGTCTTCGAGCCAACGCCAGAAAACACAAGAAAGGTCATTGTATCGACAAATATTGCGGAAGCGTCGGTCACGATAGACGGGATAGTCTACGTGATAGACTGTGGATTCGCGAAGCTGAGGGCCTACAACCCCGCCACTGGTATCGAAACATTGACAGCTGTGCCGATCTCAAAAGCATCAGCTACACAGCGGGCCGGGCGAGCGGGCAGAACAAAGCCCGGGAAGTGTTTCCGTTTGTATACTCAACAGACATATGAGCAACTTCCCGAAGCGACAATCCCAGAGATTCAACGGTCCAATCTCGCACCTATCGTGATGCAGCTGAAGGCGCTAGGCATTGACAATATCGTCCGATTTGGTTTCTTGACATCACCTCCAGCCGAGCTAGTCATCCGTGCCTTCGAGCTTCTATATTCCCTGGGCGCGGTAGACGACCACGCCAAGCTAACAAAACCACTCGGCATCCGAATGGCAGAACTAGCCGTGGATCCCATGATGGGCAAAGTCCTCCTAGCAGCGCCCAAATTCGGCTGCCTGAGCGAGATTCTGACCATCGCAGCCATGGTCAGTCTACAAGGAACAGTCTGGGTCCAACACGACGGCGACAAAAAAGCCGCCGAAAGCCATCGCCGCAAATTCGCAGTCGAAGAAGGTGATCATCTCACCTACCTCAATGTATATCAAGCCTTCATCACAAAGGGCAAGAAAGATTCAAAATGGTGTCGTGACAATCTATTGGATTATCGAGCTTTACTCCGGGCAGTCAGTATCCGGGGACAGCTCAAGCGATATCTCGAACGCTTTGGCATTCAAACCGACGAAACTCTGTCCCGGCACAATGCCAATGCTCCTGATCTAAGCCATACACCGGAACAAATACAGCGGTGTCTCACGACGGGCTACTTCGCTCATGCCGCGAAGATGCAGCCGGATGGCACTTTTAAGACTGTTAGCGGTGGCTTGACACTTCATGCTCACCCTAGCTCTTTGATGTTTGTAAGTTCTTTGCAGTTCTGATATCTTATTGCGCGCACAGCTTGCTAATATATTGCAGAATCGAAAAGCGGACTGGGTCATCTTCCATGAAATTATGCAGACGGGCGAGAAAACGTACATTCGCGACGTGACCAAGATCGAAAAGGGGTATCTTCTGGAATATGCCCCGGAATACTACAAGGTTTCTTAGATCATGTGTACTACTTGTATTTGCGCTGAACTACTTTGACTTTTAGCAGCAGCCCACTTCAATATACCCAGGAATTTAGACGGATCTAATACTGAATCTGTTGCCACCTATTATTGTATTCAAAAGCCAGTAGGCAAGCAGAAAATCTAACACGCAAGGAGGTCAACCGACAAACTGGAAGAGTGACGCATCGTCAATATCGTCAACACGAAGTATCCTTTCGGCGACTTTATAGTAGAAAAGGCCATCGTACAAAACAAACATGCTAGGTAGACCCCTTGGGACTAAAGACAAACACTCCTGCGGCTCGATACTGAATCCAAGCGTGTATCATCGCATGCAATGGGAGCATTGACTGAACTTGGTGTGTTGCTTGCAGCCTTCATTCAGGTGCTCATAAAGCCCGTCTTCCATCATAGCGGTCAGATATTTGCCACTATATGAGCGGATCTGTGTCTTCCCCTCATGTTTGGAGAGCTGAAAGGACATCCCATCACTGTACGGATTGGTCCCAAAACAGAGCGAGCTTTCAAATTCCCTAGCATCATCTAACCAAAGGCAACCGCCATTGATGCGATATAATGAAAACCATTTATCGGGGTGGTAGAGATCAATTCCGTCAGCGGAGATAGGATTGTCCGCATCAATGATTGGATCGGGAATTGACGGGGGAATAGGGCGCCCAGCCTCGCCGTAGTCTCCTCGGGATCAATTTGGACTTTGATGGCATCTTGCATGCTGTCTGACCACTGTCCATCCGGAGCAAGGTACTGCAATTCCTTGCTAATGTAAAATACATCTCCTTCGTAGTCGGGATAGTCGGTAAGATCGGCGACATAGGTGCGATTATGAATTATTTGTTTTCCGTCATTAGAAAGGTAAAACAGAGCACCACGGGTATGGTAATCTCTGCATATCTCAAAGCTGCTGCCGTTATAGCGAATAGCAAGATATTGGCCAGTAACTATAAATCGGAATGGCCTGTCAAAACCTTCGTCCTCCATGTCGGGCACTTCGTTACTAGAAAAGAAGATCTGTCCACAGTCAGCCTAGTCCTTCATCTCGTTGAGATGGTGTTTGTACTGGGAGACCGAAGCAAAAAAGAATAGCAGCAGCAGCAGGTAACCAGTAATGTCTAGTGTCCAATAAGACGCCAAGCCGCAGCAGGACCATAAGTAAGGGCTGGGATTAAGAAAGGAAACCGTACTACTGAGTCATTCCTATCAACTTAGCCCTGGTTGGCGCCTGGTAAAACGGCAGGCCCTCTATAGGGAAACAAGCGTGAGAGAATTGTTGACAGATTGCTCATCCGAAGTCCACCTTGTTTGCTTGGTTTGCATCTCGAACCCTCCAGTTAGAAACTTTAGATGAGAACCTTGAAAATGGAATGAAATGGTCACTAGCCTTATCAGGAATATAAAATGTCGATCTAAATTGATATTTTGAAATGTTTTTTTTTTGAATTGGGCAATTCTGTAATCACAAAATCCCTACTTCCTATGATGGACTGGATGATGGAGTTCAGGATGATATCGCATGGCAATGTGACTCATCCTTTTCATGTAGTTAATCATTGGCATACTTCTCTCTCTTTTCACCTCCAGACGCAATCTTCTTTGATTTGAAATCCGAATGGATTCTTGATCCTTCACCTGCTACCAGGGTACACTTCGAAGTTCCTACTTCGCATCTTTCATACTGGTATTATAGAATGTCTTGTATTATTACGTGTTAGTACAAATTGGTTATTTACGCTAAATTGTATTAGGTTTATTGTATCATGTGATTAAAGTTTGAAAGAGTCTCTGTTTCCTGACATGGAAGGCAATAACGGGCCCTACTGTACCCTCAGGCTCTATATCACTGCAATATGTGGAACGTTGGAAACGGCAATACAGCGGAATGAAAATCTAACGCTTAAAATTGAGAATCTTGAGGTCAAGCTCACTGGAAAAGAAGTGGCTGCTTGGAAAAGGCGCAGGGTGTAACTATATCTGGCCCAACAAGAACGCTGCTATGTTTGCTTGTAACTACAAGGTAAAGCTTTCCCGGGCTGAGGGTGTTGAACGATGGGAGGATGTGGTCGATGGGGGAATGCTGACTAGAAAGGCCATTGCTGGCGAGAGTTTCCTTTCGAGTTCGACGTTATTGTTTGTCAAGTGGAGGTAGTCTATAGTCAAAGGGTAAATGTAGAGCAAGTGTAGCTTTAGTTAATGGAGTACGTGTGGTAATAGATGGATGTATTGGGATACTAGTAGTTTGTGTGTATAGGCGAGGTGTGAGCTATGAAGACATGACTTATGAAAACTCCCCGCAAACCGACGATTAAATCGGGCGATTCGGCCATACCGTTGATACAGGATATCCTAGGTACCTCCCTGTCATACCGTTTGTGCAGAGAGGTAGTTTGTGTGTAGCGCTAGCAGCTGATGTTGAGGCAGGCGTTAGCCATTGTGTAGTTGTATGACAGTGTTAGCAGTTGACACCTGCGTTGGCCGTTGAGGAATCGAGCGTGTTGATTGCGCAGAGAGGCCGCTAGGGCAGCGGTGAGGCCGCTAGAGCAACGACGCCGCGAGGGGAATGAAGCCGCGAGGTGAATGAGGCCGCGAAGTGAATGAAATCACCAGGAAGATGAAGCCGCGAGGGCAGGTAGTAGGATAGTGTGTGTGTAGGTTAGGTGTGAGCTATGGACTCATTTCTTACTAACAGTAGCTGTTCCCACAGCTAGTAGTCGAGACGGTGTTGTTTGCTCTAATAGTAAAATATGTGGTATTTACACATAGAACTAAATATAAAGGAAATTTAGAAAATGCTTATTCTTCTAAGAAGCAGTTCCTAGCTCACCCGAAGTACCTGTTCAACACCCAGACGAGACTTCTTTTCCCTACGATTGGACATTTAAGACTGGCGGCCATACAAAGCGGACGCACGCTGGCGACATGGAAACAGTTGGGTCGTTATTGTTATTCCCGAGATCAACGAGCTGCTGTAGCTAAAGCCTACCAATCCCAACCGGTACATTTCTCCTGCAGATTTTCTCCTCTCTCAATTTACCACTTCAAATTCAGTTTAGGTCCTTTCTGCTTGCTTTTTGTGTTCAATTAAAACAGATAATGCAGTATCACTTGACTGCCAGTAGATATATACAATAAAGAATCATATAATGGTACATGGTGGAAAGACTTTGGCCACCGGGCTCGAGAGAGAAGTTTGACAACTTGAACAGGCTCCGTTCGAAGTCATGCACACCCCTCCTTGCAAAGTAGGCTCGGCACATCTTCGCTTCATCATCTGCGGGGTAATCGGTACAATGTCTTCCGAGTCTCTTGAGAGACACTCAATCTCGACAGTTTCCACGGACTTAGCGTGCATTTCGCTTACTAGTGCGTTATTAAGGCTAACAATTCCAGGGAATTTCTCCGCCGTTCGATGCGCGTTCGATGCCGTTTGTCAGACGCTCATGATCTTGCTGCTGACCACTGCAACTCATTTTTGTAACTGATATGTAGTCTAAAAGTTTTTTTGATCGCAAATTCTTTAATGATCGGCAATTACTCTTTGAATACTTCCCATACAAAGAAAAAGTAATCTTGAAACGGCTCGTACATGTTGGAAGTATAGATGGAAAAAGAAATAGCCACAGTCCGTCAATTCAGCATTCTCTGCCTAAGATACCATTGGCCAATTTTAATTGGAGGAATCTCGCATGTTTACTGTCGGCGACCACTTAAGATGGGCGCTCCTTTTGTGGAGTCAGATTCAATTGTGGAGAAGTGGAGAAGGCACACTTGAACAATCCGGGGGATGGGGGGCATCCCACATGTGGCTAGGAATTTCATTGCCCAAATTGAATTTAAAACTAGTGGAGATCGTAATATCAAGTTCCTCGGTGACTATTGAACCGAATCCATATGACCCTAACATCTCTCTCGTGGTATATGAGGGGGTGTTAGGGCCCGATTATCCCCACGTTCACAAAAGACTCTCGAGTGGTTGTTCCTTGGGGATTTCAAATGAAGGGTTTACTTCTTGCCGCCGCGTCATTGCTGCTTAGTACTATCAATGCACATCCCTCCAAGCCTGCCACCGGGCCATTCTTAACGCAAGTCGACAACACAACATGGGTCCTTGGAAATGAAATCTGGAATGTTACTCAGCAGCAGATCTATGGAGTCAAACTGATGTACAAGGAAAAGGACTGCGTTGGGGAGGCTGTTGGTCACTATGTAAGCTACAGTATGTGCGAGCTGTCCTCAAAGATCGAGTTGTCCCTCTTTTCACAGAAAATTAATCCGGTTACAGACGGCGCAGCGTCTAACTTGCAGTGGACCACGGCTTCTATCACCAAACGAGGTACTTACAAAGGCAAGACATATATCGATGTCTCGTTCACTGCCGCGGAGGGAGACATGCATTGGGTCATTTTCTCTGGCCTGTCCGGTGCCTATCAATATTTTGTGAATCACGCGCTGCCCACTCTTGGTGAATTTCGCACACTCTGGCGGCTGGATAATACGACATTCGTTATGGGGAGAACGAACATCAAAGACGAAGAACTGCCACCTTTGAGCGAATATCTGCCCCAGAACAAGATTCAGGACGAGACGTGGCTGAAGCCCGATGGAAGTGGTTATATCACTAAGTATGACTTTACTGCCTGGTCCAGGAACCAGGATTACTTTGGTGTATATGGCGACGGATTTGGGAGCTGGTACATCAACGCTGGAAAGGACTATTACAATGGTGACCACCTTAAGCAGGAGCTTATGGTAGGTTCATCAAGCGGACGGGATGTGACTGAGACTGAGACTGACTGTTATTCAAGGTCCACCGAGAATCATCTACCGGAGATGCCGTGCAGCTGAACATGATTCACGGCACTCACTTCATGGCCTCTTCCTCCGACGTATTCCCAGATGGCAAGATGTGGGGACCTTGGCTTTGGTATCTCGTATGTACATGGGTTTGCGCTCGAGCAATATTGTCCTACTAACACAATTTACAGAATGAAGGCGACAAGCAGGATGCAGCCAAGCGAGCCGCAGAAGAATTCAGCGCTTGGCCATACACCTGGCTGGATGACGAAGACTATCATAGCCGCGGCGTTGTGCAAGGCAAATTAATGCTTTCTGACGGACGCCCTGCCAGCAATGCCGCCGTCTTTCTAGGCGACAACAACCCGAACAAAACGTCCTTGGATATGGGCTCAACATACTACTACACCGCATACGCGGATAAGAACGGCAACTTCAAATTCTCCAACGTCCGCGCTGCTACATACGGTCTACAGGCCTGGTCCAACGGAAGTTCTATCGCAGATGTGACCACTTCATTTCTTCAAAATGATGTTATTGTGAAGAAGTCAGCGAAGACACACCTCGGCAGCCTCACCTGGGAAGTGTCATCGAGAGAGAAACTTTTCCAGATCGGTGACTTTGATCGCAAAAGTTATGGCTTCTTGCACGGCGGAGCACCTCACCAGCACGCCCTTGTTGCTTCCTGTCCGGCCAATTTAACATATACCATCGGCGTATCGGAGCCGAACGACTGGTGTTTTGGACAGACATACAAGGGCAACTGGACAGTGCGATTCAAGGCGCCGGCTGCTAACGAGGCTGCAGCTCCCAATCTGATCGTTTCACTGGCTGGATACTCCTCAGGAGCTAGCAATGATATCTTCGCCAATGGAGTTCAAATTGGCAATATGACTAGCGGTTCCTCGTTGCTGCCCTCCGACCCATGCTTGTATCGCTCTGCAACGGGTGCGGGGGAGTGGCATTTGTTTGAGTACTCGTTTGACAAGGAATTGCTGAAGGAGGGTTGGAATGAGATTACTTTCAACATGGTAAGGAACACTACTTGGCACGGGTTTATGTGGGATAGTGTTGTCCTGGAGTGGTGATACCGAGCCCAGCTCGGGTTGGAGTTAAGTGTGAATATGACGTAGAGTAAGGTCTTTGTACGATGTTGATTATGCAACTGGGATTTACAAACGATTCAATAATCTCGATAGTCTGAGGAGGGCAAGGACAGAGTATTTGAGTAGGGCAAGGGCAGAGTAAAGGAAGTGTCACAGGGGATGCCACGGGACTATTAGTGGAATAAGAGACCAATAGACTTAGTTTTGCTAGGCTCAAAGATTGGCTGAAAATAGTACGCAGAGCGCCTGCTAAGACACTGCAACGAACATAATTTGAAATAAAAGAGCAATACCAGGTACTTTACTTGTAATTTTGTAGTTCAGAAAATGAATTGTTATAATTCTAAAGGGAAACATGAGGCTATATATACAGCGAGAAGAACAAGTTGATTGGAAGTTGATTGGAAATCAACTTGGTTCTTCGTATACATACTTAGGGACTAATTTCGATGGTTCGGCTTGGTTCCTGATCTGCACCAGCCTCATATCACAACAGGTAATAGTCGAAAAAGACGTGTTGAAGAAGCGGAGAAAGTCTCGCGGTCCGCTAGCTGTATTGTAACAGAAAGGGCTTGAAGAACCAAAGATGGAAGTACTTATCATGGGACTGCTGCAGGACAGCATCTCATGACTTCTTGGTTCGATGGAATTCATTCAATGCGACAAGGCAGTGATTTAATTTCGATACAGGGCAGGAGGAGAAGCCGGTATCTATAGATTTTTCGGCTTGTCTTGTCGCCACCTGCTTCATATTCCAGCGGTGTAGTTTTGTCTGCATGTGTTGAATCTGAGGGGCATTGAAGATTCCTGTGCAAAGTAAGGCCTGTTGAACCTATTCCTTCACTGAGGTGATGGACTGAGCAACAATCATCTGCAGGCCGATGATTCAACAAAGATCCCTTTCCAGAGCCATGCCGTGGTGTTAAGTCTTTGCACAAACTTTCGTTGAAGCAACGTTTTAAGGCTCTCTCAACCCTGTTTTACCGTATCTGTTCAAGATCGAACGTGAACCAACGACCGCGGTTTTATTTACTTGAAAATGGAGTGCAGCGTGAATCGGAAGGTAGTAGCTGGTTTGGATCTTTTGGCGAGAACCATCTTTGCAGAAACTCAAATTACCGAACTCTAATTGATTTTTGGCTCATCGATTCAAGTTAATTAAGTTGTGGATAGGTAGAAGAAATTTACTGTTGATTAAACTGCGGAATGCCCGGACTGTAGACTCATATCGCGCTGTAGTATGTGACAAATAGGCAAATAGGCAGATAATAGCGACTGGAAAATCCCAGGTGGCTACGATATGTGTTTTATAAATGCATACTCGTAGAATACTATATTCTACTAGTAAAATAGAATATTAAATTGAATATATACTTGTAGTATGGTGGGGCAGATCGACGTCACGGGATGCGGAGAAGACCCGCAACAAACTTTCTCGCGGCTTCAAGTTCAGGTACCACTCGACTTTGACTTGACTTCCTCCCTTCAAGTTCAACTTCAACTTCTAGTTCAACTTCAAGTTCCCTGACCATCATGTCTGGGCATCACCATCATGACCATGGTGACGGTGGCCACTGCCATGCCGAGCACGACCACTCCAACGACATCACCCCCGCCGTTCAGTCCCTCCTCTACACCCAGATCGACTTTGATCAGATCAACACTCTCAACGGTACGCTTGTCCTGGGCCCGGTACACGGTCCTTGCGCACCATCGCAGGGAACAGAATACCTAGCTGACAACTATTTACTTAGAATCCACTCCAAAGGGCGGAGCTGCCATCGTGAAGAAAACATGGGCCGAACGACTCAATGATACCCCAGAGCTTGAGAGCGACGCCGATGAACAGCTGCTCATGTACATTCCGTATGATACCCTCCTTTCCCCTTACTTCCCTCCATTTCTTCCTCATTCCCCCCAACTTTGTTTGCTATTTGCAAGCAAACGGTACCAGAAACCCGCCGCGGAACACGCGATGCTGCCCCACGACAACCCCTCCTCATAACATTTTTACCCCTCATCGTCATCGCCGAAAAAAGCAATTCATGCCCGCATACTAACACATTTCCTCCCAAGGTTCACGGGCCAAGTCAAAGTCCATTCCCTCCTCATCTACACCGCTCCTACGCCCTGCGCCCCGAAGACTCTGAAGCTATTCAAGAACCGCGACGACATCGATTTCTCCACCGCCTCGGAGCTATCCCCTTGCCAGACTATCGAGGTCCCACAACCCGTTCCCGGAGAGGATGTCTTCGAATTACCTCTGAACCGCGCGCTGTGGAATACCACCACCTCGATTACAATCTTTGTGGAAGATAATTGGAGCGATGGTGACGAGGATGTGACTAAGGTCGGGTACATTGGCTTCAAGGGCCAGTTCATGGCTCTGAACCGTGAGCCAGTTAATGTTATGTACGAGGCTGCTGCCAATCCCAATGACCATGTCGCGATCCCTGGTGTTAGTGGCGTTGGGGGCCGAGTCATGCCTGGTCAGTAAGAGTGCAGAGGAAGGGTTTGAGTTATGAGAGCGATAATGGTGGCACAGAGGCGCTATGAAGTTCTCCTTTCTTTCTTGATGCAAGTCATCAAATGTATTATGAATTCTACATGCGAGTAACGACTAACGAGCAAAAACCGCAATGATCAAACAATGTTTCACCAAAAATGAACTGAATAGAGCAGAGCAGAATAGAACAAAGTCCACCAACGCCTATCCAATATGCTTTCAATCAATAGAATGCGAGTCGCGTCGCAAGATTCTCAGTGTGCTATCCCATGTGAGAGCAAAATGTATATGTGCATGTATAGTCAATATCACGCAGGAAGCGCAACGCGAGTCTCCACCTCCACCTCGGGCTCGGGCTCCTGCTCGAGCATAGGTTCCCGTTTCGGCGGTTCTTTCGTAGGAGGAGCAGGGAGATGCACCGGCTCAGCAACTTCCTGCCGAAGCGCCTCCAATTCATCTTCGACGTCTTCTTCATCCTGGGTAGACAGATTACCCTGCAACATCTGGCTCACCTCCTACAATAATCGTTAGCAAGATAACCCAGCAAAGCTCAGATCCGGATCCAGATCCGGATCCAGATCCAGATCCCATGGGGAAGGAACCCACCTCCTGATAAGCCCTCGCCTCCTCCGACTCCCCCATCAACCTCTCAACCCCCTCAATACCCCCCATCTCCTTATGAATTGTCTGCAAAACCTGCGTACCCTGCTGCAACCCAAACAGGACATCCTTCTGCACGAGCGCAAACTCCACTTGCCCGGTTAATTGCTCCAGCTGCGCTAGTTGGGCGTCCGTCTTGTCAAGGAGCGATTCTTGATATTTCTTGCGGCGCAGGGCGAGTAGTGCTCTTTTGCGGTCGTTGAGGGCGAGACATTCTTTTGCGATGGCGGTTTCCCGGTCTGTTAGGATTGTGATGCGTTTGCGGTATTGTTGGAGTTTGTCGCGCTGGTTTTTCATGTCTAGGATTGCGCTAGGAGATGTAAGTTTTGTTTCTAGACTCATGGGTATGATCTGTAAGAGTCGAGTGTGGGGGGTTGAGTGCGAGTTGTGGTTGTGGTGGTGGTGGTGATGGCGGGGAGACTGGACTGGGCTCGTGAGGGGAAACATAGTGCATGGGGGAGCTGCAGATAGGATATACAAGAGGGTGATAGGGGTGATCTGGGTATTTAGTACTCACCGATCCTGAGACGAGATTTTATGCGAGCTGTTATTATTCCCCATCTCGCATGGTGAACTACCAGTAGTCCATGGGAGTGTAGTAGATGGTAAATGTAGATGAGTAAATGTAAATGCGGATGACGTTGTTTACCGCCTGGTATTGCGCCCGTTAGATTACGCGTATCTTTGTAATTTTGGTAATTCCGAGGGCGGCGTCTTTTTCTGCCGCGGGCCTTTTTTTTCTTTCTTGAGGTTCTTCCCAGTTAAACCAGTTGTTGGTTGATATCACATTTGCCAATTCCAGGATGGGCCCGAGAAATCGTGGAGGTCGGCCGACTTTAAGTCAGGGCTTGGACCGTGAGGTGAGTGGACTTGACTTGGGCCATTGGGGGACAGCGGTGCGGTGCGATGCTAATACTTTCATACTCGGACAGGTCTACCAAGTCGTGCGCAAAATTATCGATGACCAGCCTGATGAGGCCCGTATACGCCTTTCGGTCCCCGCTATATACGAGCAGCTCAAAAAGTCCAATTCCAGCTTGAACCGCAAACCTAAGAAGTTGCTGGAGGACAGTCTGGAGCGGGTTTTGGAAGTCATGAAGAGTGAGGGACTGTGCGGTGAAGATGAGGAGGACTCAGTCGAGGGGGACTTTGAAGGGCTTGAGGAGCCACCTGTTAAGGAAACCAATGGTGTCAACCAGAGCATTGTTGGTGCATGGGCCACTACTAAAGCAACACCGTCCCGCAAAACCGAATCGGGCTCTTCCTCCAAACGAAAAGGAACCAGCGGGGAATCTTCCTCGAAGAGACGCAAGGCCGAAGCCGCAGTGGACCGATCCCCGCCTACACATGTTAATCTTACGGATTTGGGCGGTTTGGACGATGTGGTGCAGGAATTGGGCGATCTGGTTATCCTGCCCATGACCCGGCCGCAGGTTTATCTAGCATCGAATGTGCAACCGCCGCGCGGTGTACTTCTTCACGGTCCGCCGGGATGCGGAAAGACAATGATTGCCAATGCATTTGCTGCGGAGCTCGGCGTACCGTTCATCTCGATCTCGGCCCCCTCAATTGTATCCGGCATGTCGGGTGAGTCCGAGAAAGCGCTGCGCGAACATTTCGACGAGGCCAAGCGCATCGCTCCTTGCCTAATCTTTATCGACGAGATTGACGCAATTACACCCAAGCGTGAGAGTGCACAGAGAGAAATGGAGAAGAGAATCGTCGCCCAGCTCCTCACCTGTATGGACGAAATCGCTCTTGAAAAGACAGACGGCAAGCCAGTCATTGTACTCGCCGCAACCAACCGGCCCGACAGTCTAGACGCAGCTCTGCGCCGTGGTGGTCGTTTCGACAAGGAGATTAACATGACAGTCCCCTCCGAACCAGTCAGAGAACAAATCCTACGCGCTTTAACGCGAAAGATGCGACTGGCAGACGATCTCGACCTGAAAACACTAGCTAAGCGAACCCCCGGCTTCGTCGGCGCCGATCTAAACGACCTCGTCTCAACTGCCGGCGCAGCCGCCATCAAGCGGTACCTGGAAATTCTCAAATCTAACAGCGGCGAGGATATGGAGATGGATATGGACATGGAAGTCGAGGGCGACGGTCAAGATGATATCATCAGCCCTAAAGTCCGCGAACTCCGCCGTCTAATCACGCACGCCAAAGAAACTCCCATAGGCGAAGAAACGAACGAAATCTCCATCTCAAATGCAGATTTCTTCACCGCACTCCCCAAAATCCAACCCTCTTCCAAGCGCGAAGGCTTCGCCACCGTCCCCGACACAACATGGGCCGACATCGGTGCCCTGGGCGGAATTCGCGACGAACTCGTCACCGCGATTGTCGAGCCGATCAAGAACCCGGATATTTACGCGAATGTGGGTATTACCGCGCCGACGGGTGTTTTGCTCTGGGGACCGCCTGGTTGCGGTAAAACATTGCTGGCCAAGGCCGTTGCGAACGAGTCCCGCGCAAACTTCATCAGCGTGAAGGGACCGGAGCTCTTGAACAAATTTGTCGGAGAATCCGAGCGCGCGGTTCGACAAGTTTTTGTTCGTGCGCGCTCATCCGTGCCCTGTGTTATTTTCTTCGATGAATTAGATGCCCTCGTGCCTCGTCGCGACGATACGCTCTCAGAAGCCTCCGCCCGAGTTGTGAATACTCTTCTCACCGAGTTGGATGGACTGGGGTCCAGTCGCCAGGGAATTTATGTTATTGCCGCGACCAATCGTCCCGATATCATTGATCCGGCTATGCTTCGACCGGGCCGTCTGGAGACGCTTCTTTTCGTCAACTTGCCCTCGCCACTTGAGCGTGTCGATATTCTGCAGACGCTTGTGCGGAAATTGCCGATTGGCTTTGATGAGGATATGCGCCGGCTTGCGGAGGAGTGTGAGGGATACTCTGGTGCTGATTTGGGTAGTTTGTTGCGGAGGGCTGGTTACTCTGCTATTAAGAGGCGGGATAGTATCAAGTTCGAGGACTTTGTTGCTGCCAAGTCGTTTATCAGGCCCAGTGTTACTGATATGAAGAAGTACGAGAAGTTGAGGAGGGATTGGAGTGGTGGTGTGATTTGATGCTGTGCCTGGAGGTGGGCCGGAAGTTCTTTTCTTTTCTTTATTTCAGGTGTTTTCCAGTTTATACCAAGCTCTTTTGTTTTCCGTTTTCCGAGGTTATTCGGGTTGGTAGGACGGCCTTATGGATATAGATGGATGATCAACATGTGCGTGGATTCCAACTTGGAGGTTATGACATATTTGAATGATTATAGATGGTCAGCATCAAAGTACGACCTATACTGCATATATCAAGTTCCAAGCGAGTCTATATTACCCTCTACACAACACGAATATCTGGGGCTGAATGACTCTACTTCTTAATTGTACAGAAAAACTACTATTAATAGTAGTACTAGTTTGCAGCTTTAAAGTAATTACTAGTGAGCTTGAATCATGAAAAACTATAATGAAAGACCACTGGCACTACTACTACTAGTACTACTAGTGAAATAAGAAATTTAAACATTGGAATACTAATCAACAGTGACTAGTATATCAAATTCACAGCGGCAATTGACCCAGTGTTTCTACCAAGGGAGCAGCCCGGGCTCAAAATTACTCAGGCGCTGCCACCCTCTCAGTGAAGCTGTTCTACCATACGATTTGCTTGATCCTAACAACTCAGGGTATTGAGTAGTACTAGTATAGTACTGGGTAGGATACTAAGTTCGATAATGTCTACTACATCTCTAATGCTGCTTATCTACTACATTCCTCACGTACTAACACTAATCGAGTACTTACTGGTCGTTAATATAGGTACTCTGAAGCTATTTACGACCTCGGGACATACAAATTTGTATGGGAAATACTGGTAATATTAGGGGGCCCCCACCTTGGCAGAGACACTGGGTCGATAAGGCTATCAAGCGTCGTAAAAATAAAACATACAAGCATACAAACAAACAGACATAGTAGTGGGACTCAGTACATTACGAACATGCGAAAATAATCACAAAAAGGGCAGGAAAGGGCCCTAGGGGAAGCCACTACTGGCGCCAAGCGTCTCCGATGGACTGCGATCGCCAAACCTGAACTGCAATTTGCTGAATATCCTCCTGGCTCATATCAAAGTCGGCTTCATGTGCAGTAGGTTCACGAAGAAGGAGTTGGTTGAAGGGTATCGTAAACGATCCCGTAATGGTAGGATCTCCATTAGATCGTGGCTTTTCAATCGTCATGGATTGGATACATTCGGCGGAATAATGAGGAACCTGACGCCCTCGTTGCCTTTGAGTCCTTGCTCGTGTCCGCACTCTCCGCTGTCCTCGTTGTCTTCCAGTCCTTGCCCTGGTCCGCACTCTCCACTCTTCGATAGAAATAGTCTGAGATAGTTGGTTTATAAACGCTCCCATGGCAAATCTGACTTCATTCTTCGAGTTTTGAAGCCAAAGGCGTAAATCCTCTCCGATCTGAGACCGCGATTCGGTATAAGAAACTTCGAGGACCAGAGACGGCCATTTCATGGACCTTGGTGGTTGAACCGTGAAGGGGCGAACGGTTTGATCCGCTCGTTTGCGGATTATCTTTGGAGCGCCCACGTCATTCAGGACTTTCTGACCGGCGTGATTGATGATAAATAGAGCGTGGTTGGCGGTTCCCGTGAAAATTGCTTCATGATTCAATCCCATTGTCGTAAGCTTTCCGTCTAACCACCGTGTAATGGCCATTGCCAATGGTCCGTGGGAAAAGCTCTCCATTTTTGCAGAGATGATGTAGTCGACAGGGTTGTAGAGTAGGGTCCATGAATCGAGTAGTTCATGGTGAGAGTCCTGGATACATTTGAAGGCTAGTTCGTCCACAGAGGTAACAAGAATCCATGGCCCATTAGCGCGTTGTTCATCAGTGAAGCTGGTGCCTATTGATCTCAGATATGCAAAGAAAGCTTCAACATTCACGTAGTCAATTTGAGTTCCATCGATAGGCCATGGATCTATTAATTGCCCCCTTGTTGAACAGCCGAATAGTGGTAAATCGGACATTATAGCGGTCGTTAATAGTTAGATTAGATACTTGAAGCTATACTGAAAATAATGGCCTTAGCTTCGAGATAATGAAAACAGCAGAGTAGCTGAAGATACTGAGTTAACCTCTAGCTACCCGTTTAGAATAGAATCCACCAGGGAATGTTATTGTAATAATGACGAACTTTTCAGGGCTTCACACAAGGAATGGAATGCTCTCCGGGTTTACGGGGCTACAACCAGTGGCGCCGCAAAAGTTTCCCACCGCATATTGTCCGTCGTTCTTTACCGCCTTCTAATGGCAGAGACCAGGCCGGTCATCAAAGGGCGCCACTGTAGAGGCAACCAGCTCAGAGAACAAAACGATGCGCAGCTGAGGTGCTACATAAGCATACTCCGGACCACCTGGTCTGTTTTTGGTTTCAATGGCTTCAAATTTACACATAGAATATAGGGACCTGTGAAATCGACGCCGAAAATGACAACCTCTGGCGCCAGAAACGGCCGCCTTCTGCTTTTTCAGCCTTCGGGTGAGGGCGCGTCGGTTCTGCCAGGATATAGACACAGGATCATCCACCGAAACCCGAGTAGTGTTCTCCCCCTCCGGGCAATCCGATGAGGAGCTTGATAGTCTATATTTTCTTCCCCTAAAGTTAGACGAGCCCGGCTTAGCTGTGACTCTTATACTGAATCGTGATCTGGAGTTGCCCTCGCGGACCAATGACTGCACATCCGCTTTTGATTACCCCGTATGAGCTTCAACGACATGGCATCTCACCAGAACTCTGGCAGCGATTCACGCAAACTATTTGCCTTGAACAGCTCAACAGTAACGAAGCCTGATCGCTGACCTGGCCGGGGACCGAGGTGAAATACTCGCACGCCTCCTTTCACATTGGAATGATTCATTGTTCCGACCAAAAGGGATCGTTATTCGCCTCGACCTACTCCGTGACTATTAGAATTACTCGGAAGGCATGCGACCTTATGCCAGAACCCCGTCACCCTGCTCTGAAAGAGGTGGACCAGAAAATGTCGCTCAGATATCTGCCCGAGTTGTCGTCATTCCCTTAAAAACGTAACTAATCAATCTCGGTCTCAATTCGAAATCTGTTTGTTAGACTATATTGCTCTCTGTTTCCTGGTTGTAAGTTTATCCTGCGAATATCTTCCGGGGCATTGACGTGTGTGATGGTAAAAACCTACCGTGTATGCCATGTTACTTAGGGATGTACCTCACTACTCTCCCTTCGCTTGAAATCGGCAAGCTCCTTCCATATCTTGAAAAGGGAGAGCGTTGCCGACAGCCCCAACAAAACACAGTGTTTAGGCTTAGTGTGAGAGATGGTGGAGAGAGTGTTTGAGACTCATCTTCAAAGTAGAGAAAGGATTATATAACAACGGACCAATAACTAACCTTACTAGTTAGTTACTACGTCTACACTGAACCTTTGAAGATACGAGACAGAATAATACCGTCTTGAGTGTGTGCCGGTAGTATCTGGTAGTGCTGGCCTCGATGAAAATTTGACACTTGGACCGGTGTCACGCCGAGTGGTGACCAGCCAGTTCGCCTATATCCCACCCTTTTACAGCCGGAAATCGGTGTTAACACCTACACTCTTTCATTGTTTCCCGAACGCTAGCGCCAAGAGCTAATCTACTTCTACAATAGTCAAGAATGTCCCCCGATGTCTAAGCCTTGTTCCGTAAAATACTGGATAATTATATGAGTTGGGAATATGTTACTATTCTTGCTGGATGAATTCGACGTATCCATACCTAAGTCCGCGCTCAGCGACGCCCTGCATCGTAAAGGGGGTGGACAGAGAAGAGGGCTCGACAAAAAGCCAGGGAGCCAAATGCGGATTTACGTGATGATTACTGTCATCTGATCTTGGAGTTTTGCTAATACCACCTGGTCCACATAGATGAGTCTGGATGTGATAAGCGGATAGGGTTCAGACGGACTGGCTGGCTCCTCTTGGTACAACACCAGTCCAAGTGTCAAAATTCCATCGTGGTCAACAATATCAGATACTTCCTGCATATATATCTACTTCTCTTCTACAAGAATCAGTTCATTATCAATCTATTCTACTATTTCGACTTTCTGACCCATTCCAGATCTCATATCCTACCTGAACGATATGTGTTCTACCCTGTACAAGTAGATTGTGACATGCGAATGGGGATGCTGCTTTACCTCACTAAAGTGTCCTAAACAGGTGATAGCTTGCATTAGTGCAAAGGGTGCTTCAGAATCGCATATCAGAATGCCACATTTTCTCCTCCTCTGCAAATCTGACTTTGCGAGTGAAACTTAGGGGCGAGATACAGGGTCGGTGTAATACAGTACCAGGTTGGCTAGCTCTAGTCTTACTTCTCTTCCGCTTCTGCAAGAAGGTCGAAATCCAAATACATATTGAATACTTAGGCACAAACAAATAAGTGCTCCAAACACACGCCAAAGATGTTACTACCAATGTAAAGATTTGTCCAAAATCACTTTTCTCAAAAAGTAGAAGACTTGGCTTGGGCCAAGGACGTGATCATCTCTCTTCGATATGCCCGCCTGGTATAGGCTCGGCGAGCGCTGCCCGCCACGTAGGTGCACTGAATTTCTCAGCGAAGTACTGTGTCTCGTGCACCACAAGCTCGCGAGCAAACTGCATGATGGAGACTGAGTATGTTGGTACTCCGTCATAGGTGATGATGCATTCGCTCACCCATATATGGCCGTCGCCTGAGATTCGCAGCACCGTAAATTGCCGGTCAGCCGGGTGTCCACCACGCTGTGCAGAAATTGCCGCAAGACCTTTGAAACGCTCCCCTGATTGCGGGTAGTCTCAGGATCGCGTCTACGGCATAGATAGCGTATTCGGCTTCGGTATCACTGTCATCCGATGCCCGCCAATGTTCCTCGATTGCTTTCCTGGTCAGATTCATCGCACTCTCGTTTCCGATCATTATGACAAACAATAATATACTTTGAGCTGCTAGGAAAGGGATCGCTAGGTTGTGTATTCCAGCGGAGTTATGGGACACAGGCTATATCAGTTTGTCGCTCGGTGGATGAGCTTGCTGACCAATGCGGCCAATGACACCACGACTTCCCCCAGAGCCGCACAATATGCGTCCCCAAACGGACCCTCGCCGCTTTAGCTGGTGGAGGGCCTTCATCAGTCTAATGCTCTCGACCGCTAGCGGAGCAGCGGCCGAATATTAGCTCTCGGTAAAGCGTATGGACTGATCAAAGAACGAGAAGAAGCGGCAAAAACAAATATTTCCCAAAATCGGATAGTAGACGAGGCGATTTTACCTTGGGAGGGACTGGAGCTACTTCAACCGCTGACCAAACCATTCAAACGCGTCCAATCACCTCCGCTAGCTGCTGCTTAGTAGCCTGTATTACCACTTCCGCTGCCCAAACGCACGCAGCCTTAGGTGTAGTAGGTGCGGAAAGATTCGGTATGGATTAAATCAATGCAAAGGCAGCTGCTTATATGTGAATACATTATAGCGTTTTGATTGAAAGACGCTAATTTAGAAAATAGTAATGAGCGAAGTGAATGGCCCGATCATCCGGGTGGCTAACTCAGCCGGGAATTACGTTATTGATGCCTTTGAAAACCGTCGTGACGTCCATGATTTCACATCCCGACCAATAACGAAAGACCACGCAGCATTGAATCGGTGAATTAGTTGCCTTGTCGCTAGGCTAATACCTCTATTAAAGGTGGCTCTAGGTATTATTTCAGAACCTGCGTAGCATCAACTACTTACTCCTATTGACCTGCTCGAACCGGACCGACCTTATATTTTGAATCAGTTAGTTGTTGATGTTTCGTCGCCCGGCTGTCCTCAACTCGCTGAAGCACTATTGCAATATGGCGACAAACTTACAGTACGAAGTTATCATTATCGGCTCTGGCCAATCCGGCACGCCCTTGCCACTGCATTTGCGAAAGCTGGACAAAAAACAGCGCTGATTGAACGCGAGCATATCGGTGGAAGCTGTATTAATGAAGGCTGTACACCGACAAAAACGTTAATTGCATCGGGTCGCATCGCCTATCTAGTTCGTAAGGGACTAGATTATGGTATACACACTTGTGAGCACGAGACCGATGTGAATGTGGCCGTGGTCGATATGCTCAAGGTCCGCCAACGGAAACGCAACATCGTCGCCTCATTCCGCGGTGGTAGTGAGACTAAGTTAAGAGACGCTGGCGTGGATACCCTAATAGGTGAGGCGACTTTTGTGGACGAGAAGACACTCGAGTATAAAGATAGTGGTGGCAATGTGAGAACTATCCAAGGCCAGAAGATATTCATCAATGTCGGAGCACGACCTGCACCGCCACTCCTCGAAGGGATCGACTTGCTTGATCGAAGAGCAGTTTTGGATTCCACGTCAATTCAAGAGCTAGACGAGGTTCCTAGCCACCTCGTGGTGGTTGGAGGAGGGTATGTGGGAGTGGAATTTGCACAATTGTTTCGTAGACTAGGTGCACAGGTTACTATAATCCAGCGTGGAAGACAATTACTACCGCGCGAGGACGAAGAATTTGCTCACCTACTGCGAGATATTTTTCAAGAGGATGGACTTGTGGTACACTTGAACTCTGACCCTGTCAGAATTGCGCCGTCGCCTAGCGGGTTTACTCTTTATTTCCACGTCAATAATGGCGATCGAACCGTCGAAGGAACGCATATCCTATTCGCTACCGGCCGCATTCCAAATACAGACAGTTTAAAGCCAGAAGCTGCAGGTATCGACACCGACAAGAAAGGTTATATTGTGACAAATGAATATCTCGAGACTTCGTCTCCTTCTATTTTTGCAATAGGCGACGTGAAAGGACCACCGGCATTCACGCATATCTCGTACGACGACTTTCGCATCCTTCGGTCTAACATGCTTTCATTACCACCTACGAGGCTCTCTACCAAAGACCGCATTGTCCCGTACGTGGTGTTCACTGATCCCCAACTAGCGCACGTCGGCCTCCATGAGAAGGAAGCTCGTGTAAAGTTCCCCAACAAGAGGATTCAAACTGCGAAAATGCCGATGGCATACGTCGCCCGCGCACTAGAAACGGACGAGTCGAGAGGGATGATGAAAGCTGTCGTGGACGGTGATACAGGGTTGATTCTAGGGTTTTCCTGCTTGGGCATCGAGGGTGGCGAAATCATGAGCATCGTGGAAGTAGCGATGATCGGAAATGTTCCCTACCAAAAATTGCGAGATGCAGTCTTGGCCCATCCTACTCTAGCAGAGAGTCTGAACAACATTTGGGGATTTTTGGAGTGATGGATGGGTGAAGAAGCCTCGTGCTCGTGCGGACAGGAGGGGTTCGAGAAACAATCGAAGAGTGTAGGTGGTGACACCGATTTCCGGAAGTACTGTATCACATCCGGATTCATCGACAAACACAAGACGATACGACCGAAACTCAGATAGCTTATGCTGGTAGAAATCTCGTAGTTCAGGGTTCTGTTTTTTTGCTATCTGCTAGGCTTCCTTCTTTGTCCAGCCAGCGTTGGAAAGCGCACGTTTGATGCTGGATGACGATGGTAATATATTGAACTCATCCGATAAGAAGATAGCCATCTTTTCTATGGATAGGCCGGGCTTTTCGGCGAGGTGGTCATAGAGGGCGTGCAGCATAATAGGGGTGATGCTTGGTTGTCGACCGACGGGTTTCTTGCGTATGTTAGTGATAGAACGCTCACTACACTTCGTCACCTTTGGCATTTGTGATGTAGTGAGCCTGTTCTTGCTGCGTATCATACGGACAATCATCTTACGTTGCCAGGAATCGATATTTCTTGCCATTTTGTAAGTGATTTGGTCGTTTGCAGATGCTTGTTGGGAGGAGGGCGTGCGGACGACGCCATGGTGGGTAGGGGTGGGTACTTACTCATGTTTCATACGCTTTGCGTTATTTCCATACCATCATTGAACAAATTTTTAAATACTGAGGTAGCCATTAAGATTAGCGTATCCTCTGTTTAGGGTTTGAAAGAGTGTCTCTATGTTTCCCGACATAGAAGGCAATAACGGCTAGCACTGTAGCTCAGTAGACCAATGCATATGCTAAATCTCATGCCGAGAAGCTGGAGAAGAGCCATTGACTCGGGCTTCAGCTCATAATTTGCCACATCAAAATTAGTCGATATATTTTCCTCTTGCACACTCTCCTGTTGCTCCCTGGTGTAGTAAATCACAGGTCCCAATATTACAAAACCGATTTTACATGGCACCAAATGAATGTTGTAACAACTTTTAAGTATGGCTATACACAAAATACTATGCACATACAATAACGCCAGAAAGAGTATCATGCAGAAAAGAAAGACCAAAAACTTGAACATAATTACATCCACAAACGGCACGTTCCGTCAGCACCGGCACTAACAAGCCACGCCTCACGCGGATGCCAGTCAATATCCAGAATACCCAGCTCAGCAGTAACCTTGTGGCCCTTGAGAACCTTAAGAGGAACGATACTAGCATTGCTGAGCATATCGCCCGTAACGCTACCGTGGAAGATCTGCAACGATCCGTCGTCACTGGCATCGGCGAAAAGCGGGTACCGACCACCAGGGTGGAACTTGACGGCACGAATAGCCTTGCGATGGTAGCGGAGGGTCTTGTAGGGTCGTGGCGAGAGGTCCAGATCGTGCCAGAGCAGACGGCGGTCGTAAGAACCGATGATGATGTTGTCGCCGCCCGAGGCGCTGGATGAAGTCGGGTGAATATCGAAGGAGGAGATCCAGCGTGCACCGGGTTGGAGGATCTTGACCAGAAGCTGGCGGGAGAGATCGTAGCCGCGGACGGAGCGTTGGTTGGCGACAAACAGAATTGGCTTGGAGGGGTGGAAGTGGGCGGTTTGAGGGGGACCACCACCCTTGAGACGGCGGCGGAAGGGGAATTGGGTGAGATGCTTGGAGAGGGTGTGGATGGAGATCGCGACGGAGGCGGGGGTTGAGGCGCCAGAGCAGACACTGACGAAGTAGTCTCCACGACGGTGCCAGGAGATGGACTTGGGGACGTATCGGAGAGGGATGACAGCGCAGACACCGACATCTGCGAGGGTAGAAGAAGGTCGGATCCAAGTGGGGGGGTGCGCTCTTCTTTTCCTCGGGGTTGTTGGGGGTAGGGTTGGAGGCTGCGTAACCCCAGCCAGCATCAAGGACCTCGAAGCTTGCCTTCTCGATCTCGGGGTCGGCAATTGGAGGCACGGAGAGGAAAATGTCGTCGCCACAGGCGGCGGCCAGGACAACGGCATCCTTGCCGGGACGCCAGCGGACAACATTGACGGCATCCTCATCGCTGAGCTTAGCACTCCACAGTTGACGGCCGGTGAGAATCTCCCAGACACGGACGGTACCATCGTCGCCACCAGTCGCGAGCCAGATTCCAGTAGGATCCACATTGAGCGAGCGAACACGACCCTTGTGGCCGCGGAAAACAGTGGCGCATGTTGTAGGGAAGGGCTTGAGCTCCTCGGGGCTGGGAAGCTTGGGGAGCAAACTCTCTGGGTCGATGTTGAGCTTGCTGCGTCGAACACGGGGCGCAAGATACAGATCGAGACAGCGCTCGAACTTCTCCTGGACAAAGTTCTCGTAGCCAGGAACCTTGCGGAGAGAGCCAAAGTCGTTTGGCAGGAATTCCTTCTCACGGTCCTCGGGGTCGGCCTGCTCCCAAGCTTTGCGCTCCTTGCTGTCAGGAACATACTCGGCAGGAGGGTGATAACTCTCCTCATATCCGGGCGGCGGAAGCTTAGGTGCAGGGACATGCATGATGTGATCCGGACGCTCCTGCTCGTCGGCCCAGAGGTCGAAGTTGATGAGGTTTTCGTCCACCTCCTCGCGGTCCTCAGGAGCCTTCCAAGGTTGAATGCGGCCGTCGCGGATGGCCTTGACGAGCTTCATCACACGCTTTTGCTCGTGCTTAGACGGGACAAAGCGACGCTTGGGCTCCGGGGCAGCACTGAGGGGCATGATCTCCTGCTGGCTGGTGAAATATTCGACCAAGGGTTCGTATTGGTCGTAGCCTTCGCCAGGGATCTCGTTCATCTGCACCTTCTTCAGCAGCTCCAATTCCTGCTGGGTCAGGTTCAGGGGCTTTCCGGTGGCGGGGTCGGTCAGACCAGTCCAGCCCTTGGGGATCTCAATGCTGTCGAGCAAGGCATCGAGCGCCTCGCCCTTGGCAGGACGCATGATCTTCTTGCCGTTGATATCGTAACCGATGTGAGGGTACTGGTCGTAGAAGGAAAGAGGGATATCACCAATGGTGTTGGCATTCTCTTCAATGTCCGAGTAGTCCGAGTTGTCGTCCGGGTGGATTTCGTCGTAAAGGTAGCGCTCGTTGCCATTGGCGTCTTTCACGATGCGAACATTGGGCTCCTCGGGGTGCCATTCCTTGACGGCAGGCTTCTTGGGCTCTTTCTCGACATCAGAAGGGATCTCATCACTATCCAGTTCCTCCTCTTCCTCATCACCATCCTCATCACTGAAGTCATCAATCAGTTCAATCTCAGAGTCGTCATCTTCGCTGTCGGACAGGTCGTTTGCGTTGTCGGAAAGGGCACCATCGAGGTTCTCGGCACTCAATTCATCTCCAGAGAAAACACCCGCTTCCTCCTCGACATCGCGAGTGACCGCCTTGCGTTTCTTTGAGGCCTTGCGAGCATCCATGGTTGGCGTACAACTTGGAATGAACTTGGGGTTGTCTTGCGCGCGAACTTTTTTTTTTTCTCCGCTGGGCCAGTCCACCCAGTTCTCACCGCCCATATCACATGACCTGGGGGACCGTGACCGCTTCTTATCGATAAACGATGACCAAATCCCATTGCCCGCATTTTGGACAATTTCATTTCTGTCAGAGCTTCTTTCTCTCTCTCCTGTTGAACAAAGGAAATGCTCCATCATGGAAGCTATTACTGACAGTATACCATGCTCGGACATGGAGCCAAAGCTTCATGCTGCGTGCGACGAGTGCAGTAAGTTTGGACGAATATCATCCCATGTTTCCTTCCAACCCACTCTATAGGCGCCCTGCGGCATGCTGATTATATGTTCTTCATTTATAGGGAAAAGAAAGCTCAAATGCTCAGGGGACTTGTCAGGCTGCACTCGCTGTCTCAAGCAATCTATAATATGTCACTACTCTGTTCAAAAACAAATGGGACGACCAAAGAAGAGAGCACGAGCAGATGACGAGGGGCCTGAATACCCCCCCGCAAACGACCAACAACGTCTGGCCAAGTCCAGAAGAGACTCCTCCAGGGACATTTGCAATGCCATTCGAGTCATACGCTACCCCAGACTCCCACCGCCTCTGTCCACAACTCTTCTGGCAAACCGGTGCCGGCGCCGGTGGCCATTCGCCATCATCACAGCCCTACCCCGACCTACTAGCAGACGACGAACAACATAATCACAGCTGGCGACCAGAACGTCTAAAGAACCCCAATGTCCCTGTTCCAATCTCATCCAGTCCATGGCCTGACTTCTCCGCCGTCACCGAAGCAACAGCTACCCTAGCAATGCCATTCCCAACTCCAACCCCAAATCTCCTAGATGCGACTTCCCTCCCTCTCACCCCGCCCACGTGCACATCTTCCGACCCAGCCCCCCAGTGCACATGTCTCTCCTATTTATACCTCTGTCTCAGCCATATCTCCTCCGTCGCCTCATTCCCGGTCAATTCCCACACCATCTGCTCCCTCTACATCGCAGCCCGGACAGCTCGCGACGTGATCCGCTGTGAATCATGTCCCAAGGTTTTCGCAACGGGCATGCAAAATGTCATGTTCACCGGAACACTATTAACAACCGTCGCCGACGCCTGGCTACGTATATGGAACACCGACCCCGTCGAACTAGGCATGCAAACTGCCCCGCCAGCATTCGTCTCAAAGGCACTGCAAAGTGAAGACCCGGCGCAGTTCTGGAGTAGCTGGCTCCGCCAAATTGTCCGTCGTGCTGTTGTTGGCGGCTTTCTTGCCGCTGACGCGGGCACTCCTTGTTCTATACAGCCAGACTTGCTGTCCTTGATTAGGGAGGTTGAAAATCGTCAACGGCGCTGGCATGGGCCTGGTCAACACCCGTTTGAGGGGTATAATCCGCTCCGCCCTGGGCCTCTTGGTCCCCATAAGTCGAATGAGAATGAGGAGTGTGATGAGAAAGAACTGCTCTGTCTTCGTGTTGTGGGGAGTGCTAGGTCTGTTCTTTCGAAGTTCCATTTTGAGCCTGAGGATTTTCCGGAGGGGGTTATTCCTGATGATATGCAAAGCAAGTCGGGCCATTGATATATGTTATGGGTGCTGGTGTCGGTGTTAACTGCTTTGCATCGGGATTGTGGGGTGGATGTTCCCGTTTCTTGATACCAGTTCATTTAAGCCATGTGTTTCAAGTTATAGGTAGAAAACGAGCCGGAGGCTTAAATATACAACCTTGGAAGGACTCGAATTTCAAATACTATTTTACTTGCCCCTCCAGGGCTCCGAGTCCCTTTTCTAACATTGGCTACGAGGCTACGAAACGCATCGTGTGATCGTCGACCATTTCATTAATTTTGGTATATGAATAAAGTCCCTCAAAATTCCAGCCATGTAGATACGACGCCAGGCCATGTGCAGACCAAAAAGAGAAATGAAAAGATATTTTGTAGATCACTCGTCCTCATCATCATCGTCCACCACGTAGCGGTTCTTCTTCCGTTGCGGAGGAGTTCCTGTCTTCTCAGGCGTGGGCTTGCTACGTGCAGACTTGGAGGGGGCAACTTCAGTATCAACTTCACCCTCAGCATCCTCGTCGTCATCCAGAATTTCCTCCTCCTCCTCGTCATCTTCACCATCCTCAACATCTTCATCGCTACCAACCAGGAACCCATCATCCTCGTCATACTCATCTTCATGGGTACGTCCTCCACCGCGATAATCTTCCTCGTCGGAATAAATTTCACCACGGCGGTTAGGACGACGCTGCTTGCCGCGAGGACGAGTCGACAATCCATCCTCAAGAGCACCGATACTAAGACCAGTACCCATGGTACGAGTAGCAGGTGCACGACGACCACGATCCGCCTCGCGGTCCGCCAGCTGTTGTCGCCGACGCTCAGCGCGCATGGCTTCTTTCTCCGCGAGCTCTGCCTTACGCGCAGCCATTTCGGGATCTTCCTTCACGTCAATGACAGGCGCCGAGCCATCCACTGTCGTCTTCTTGCCACGGGTAGCAGCGGCGAGGGATTCTTGCAGTCGCTGGACCGCATCGTCGGTCTCCATGGCAGTCGGGAGAACGGTCAAGCCGTGTGTGACATGGGAAGTGAGTCGGAAGACCGATGCCGTTTCCACGGCGGCGGAAAGGTAAACGTGAGAGTCCAGCTTGGGGTCATAGTTGCCAGATTTGTCGAGGGGTGCGAGGGGTTTGGAGGAGATGCGGTATTGCTCGAGTGGGGCGGATGCAAGTTGGAGTGTGATAGAGCCATCCTCCCACTGAACGAAGCGGGCGTTGGATTGTAGCTGGGACTCGTCGTTGGGGTCTTTGCGCCAGCATAGTGATGTGGCAGCGGTGGAGTAGGGAGGAGCGACGTAGGTTTCCGGGTTGAATTCTTCCGCTTCAATGGAGAGGAAATCGGGGACACGCATGGTGTAGATCTAGAAGTGAGAATATTCTTTAGTACGCACACTCCGTGACTTCGTAGAAGAAACGCATTCAGCGTGATCCCCATACCTCTCCGTCACTGGTTACGGGCTCCGGCGCCCGCGCCAGGCTCACGTCCATGATATTGACCTCGGCTTCGTCGAAGTCGCCCGCATCAGCACCCACATCCATGCGATCACGGCGATCATCACGGCCTTCATCATCACCAGAATCTAGTTGTTCATCATCCAAATTGCGACGGTCTCGACTAGAATGTTGTGGTTAGCTAGCTTTTTCGTGATGCGGGTTGATAAGTCAGTCATACTCGTCGTTATCGAGGCCAGCATCGGAACCACCACCATCGGAGCCGAAAAGATCGGCATCGTCATCCTCGTCCATCTGATCACCAGCTCCGAGAGGACTCTTGTCTCCGTCGCTTGGGACAGGGCTTTGAGCAGCATTGCGGCCGGGGCGCCGAACTGCCTCCTCATCCGAGGACATCGTGTGGATGAGTGTGCGCTGTTTTTAAGGAAAAGGCCAATTGAAAGAACAAGAAATGGGAAAAGAGAAAAAAAGGAACAAGGAACTCCAATTCATCCAGATACTTACTAAGAGCTGAAGTTCGCGCGAGTCAAGCCTGTCTCTCTCCGCGCCGAACGGATTAATATATCCTCCGTTGACCCGGAACACTAAACCCAGACAGGACTAGTTCGTGTGAGGCCCCAAAAGGAGGAGGAGCATCACTCACCGTCACTCCCCTGTGGGTTTCGCATCTCTCTGTCAATTCCAAAGATCTTTGCACAATGGCTACTTTTTTCCAGAGTGTGTAAGTGTTATGCGAAGCTGTCAATGGCCAGTTTGCTTTTCTATTCCTCATTGGTTTCCCTCTTCCCGCGGGGGGGTTGCCTCTCGTTCTCCCCCCTCCCCCCTCATACTGCATCACACAGCACCCGGCGCCACCAAACAGTGCAGCATTCCGGCTTTCCCCCCCCAAAGTCTATTAGCCGCGCAGTGGCTGCTCTTATCTACCTCAAAACCTCTCCCTTTCATTCATTTTATCACTTCCAACCTCGTTTCGAGTTGTGCCCTGAACTCCGCAGCTTTGGTTGCCCCTCATACCTCTTTGACCGAACACTAACTTTCGATCTACTTGCAGTCGCCAAGGGTTTGGCCGGGGTGGAAACAACAAGAACAACCCTCCCAAGAGCCCCGTACAAGCTCAAGCTCCCGCCATGCCGAATTCGCATTCGCTTTCCAATAGCCTCACCATCGATAACATCGCCGCGAACGACCCGGACGCCCCCAAGTACTTCTTCCAGGAGAAATATGCCCCTCTTAATGTGAGGGGCAACTTCTTAACCCTATGTGCTTGTCCGAAGAATGTGGAATTGGGCGAGTGGTTAGCTCATCAGAGTAAGCGATAAAGAGATGGGGTTGGCTATGGTGTACCATACTTTGGATGCTGATCCGTCGCAGTTGTTGAACAATACCGCCTACTCCACGGCATGCTTCAGGTCATCCAGGAAGTGAATTCCGTAAATGGATTTCCCATTTGCAACGAGCAAACATGCCCCACAATGTCTGCTGGACGGTATGTTGAAATAATTTGGCGGGGTAATCGACGGCTAGATCTGGGGTTCGGGAGGGCTAACAAACTGGGATCTACAGATTGACCTACACCTGGCTCGTCGACGGCCGCGCAGCTAAGATCTCCGCACCCAAGTTCATCAACCGCGTCGAGAAGTGGATTGTCAGCAAGATCCACGACCCTGTCATGTTCCCCACCGAGAATGTCACCGGCATCCCCGAAACCTCTTCCACCCGAGACGCAGCCGGCGCCGCCTCAGGAACCCCCCGCAACTCCTGCCGACAGCACCAACCCGTCCGCAGATGACTGGATCGGCAAGTCCAGTGGATTCCCCCAGACCTTCTACAAGGACTGTCAGGGTATCATGAAGCAGATGTTCCGCTGCTACGCGCATCTGTATCACGCCCACTGGCTCAACCCCTTCTGGCACATCAACAAGCACGATATCCTCAACATGTGCTTTGTCCACTTCGTGACCGTTGCCAAGTACTACCAGCTCGTTTCGGACAAGGAGATGGAGCCGATGCAGCCACTGATCGACCTCTTCATCAAGCAGCAACGGGTTCCACCCGAGGCGCTGAACGGCGGCCACTGGGCTCAACAGGCCACCAACTGAAAAGCTCCGCAGGTTCGGGAGCACATATAGTTAACCCTGCCCTATCCTATAGGGCCCTACCATAAGCAAATCCTTTCTCTTATCATTACGACCATGACATGTTCTTCAACCCGGCGTTGGGCCGCGCTGTCTTGCGTTCGTGTTTCTGCTTCTTACTGCTGCCATTCGGGAAAATGGACGAATCGAATCCGCCGATGATACGACTGAGATCCGGGCTTTGAGCATTTAGCATGCGGTGTGAATATTTTCTCATATTTTTCTATTTTGTGTTTATTTTTTTTATCATGATCTTTGCATATCTCCCTCTTCAATTCCGGTATCATCCATCATTGGGCCGTTTTAGTTTACAGCATGATCGGGAGCGATGGAATAACGAGTCTAGTCCAGCAGCGCGCACATACAACAGTCTCTTTCTGTATGGTAATATGTATTCCGTAGTCGGGTGCCTTGGCTTGGAGCTTGGACTCGGACTTTGTTCTGGTATCTTTGTGGTAACCGCCGGGGTGGAGATCATGTCAATAGAATTATCAGCATCTGGAGCGTGCTGATTGATCAGGCTGCCACTGGTCTTGACCATGTAGAGTGTGAAGAAAGCCCCAGATCATCGGATGTCGCTGTAGTATTCAGGGCTTCATTTTCCATGACCATTTCACTCCAACCGATCAATCGATAGTAGTGAATGGCGGGGTAGCATGTAGTCCCATCGGTAGGGATTGATTTCCCATCAACCACACACTCAAAGATAAACACCCTCCTCCGCATCACCCCCAGGCTGGCCCGCAGCATTTGAACTCGAGTTCAAAGCTCCATTCGTAGCTGGCACACCATCACCCCCCTCCTTCTCCTCCTCCTTAGAACCATCTCCCTCCTCCTCAATCCACGACTGTCCCCTCCTCTCAACCTCAGTCCTAAGCATATCCAACCGTTCCCGCATAGACGCAAAAACACCCTCATTCTCACGAATATACCCCTCCATCTCCCTCCTCTCTTCGTCCGACTGCGACGCCTCTAGAAAGTCCTTCATTTCGGCGTTCGAGCGGTGCAGGTGCGCGATTGAGTTGCGGAGTTCGGAGACTTTGGCGTAGACGGCTGAGAGGGGGAGTTCTTTTAGGGCTTCGGTGAAGGCTTCTGGGTTTATTGTGAATATTTGGGCGGCCATTTTGGGTTGTTTGTTTTGGGATTGCTTTCTGATTGGTGTTTTGGTTGATTGCCGTGGGTATGGCGCTGTAGTTTGTGGACGGAGGAGGTTGGTCTGGCTGTGGTTGGTTTTGGCTGCTTTTGGTGATGCCCGCCTTTGTTGCGTCACGTGTGTGGGGTAAGTATAGTATAAATTGCTAATCACCACTTCATGGTTCTGAGCGCCTGTTATCATCCCGACGAAGTCTTACTCATCACTGTCAGATAAACGCTCTTCTATAGAGGTAGTCATTTCGGGCCTTCGTGGCAAAGAATGAGACATCGACGAAATACGTCTGCCATCTAGTGCGAGAATTAATGCAGCGTGCTCCCTCTGCATTTATATAATCATCACTACCTAGGTAATCTCAAAAATTTCCAAGTTTCTCCCCTTACTTGAGGTTCTGAACCAAACGCTTTCCAAGGTTTAAGGACTTACAACTACTCACTTGGACTCCAAGGTTATTTTTGACTAGGAATCAAAGGCTCGCAATGCTTATCACTTCCGTCGAACACGCATTTCCTCCTGAAATTGTCGTGAGCCAAACCGACTTTGACCGGCTATACAAGGGGCTCACTAGTATTCCATGATCCATGGCTCCTTTTCTAGAGTCTCTAAATTTTCCGCGGTCTGGCCTTATCAATTCCGTCCATTCGCGGTGATATCAAATTACTTACGTTGCAGATTGTGAGAGGTGCGCCGATAGGACAACCGGCTGCAACGTGAGGGCTGGGATGGGATGGATAATGTGGTTGGGTGCCTGGTTTGAAATCGGTGCTCTGGGGTGAAGAAGCCCCGGACAAACTTGGAATAGAGCATCAAGACGGTTCTTTTCTGTGCAGGGGGCATAGTTAACGACTGGCATGTTGTTGCCTTTGGAAGCCCTAGCACCACTGTATCCGCTTCTTCCTCTTCTTCCTTCTCGTGTGATTAGCATTTTCGCAGAATGTTACTACATGTTGCTCCTTTCGATCTTGATCGTACAGCACCGTCCAGTATCCCCTTCCATGTCGGAAGCATAGAGATGCAGTTTCAACCCCTCATAGCACGATATGAGAAAATAAGATGTCCTCTTCCGACATGTAATAATCCCAGTCCGTATTTATAGATTGTGAGGCAGATACAAGATCCTGTAATTAGAAACTTAGACTCTCTAGAATTAGGATGGAAATTTTAATATCAAAATGCCTTGGCTTTGGCCTCTTGGAAATGAAAGTGTAATCGAAGGAAAGGGGTGAGCTGCGGTAGCCTGTCAAACTATATGTACTGGAATACTGCCGAGGAAAGGGGTCAGGGTGTGTAACTGTAATACTAAGTATAGCGGTGTTTCGAAGAAGGATTCAACAAACAATCTCTGTGGAAGCGACATACCTGGTTTCTATCCATGTTCTATGTTTACAAGGCGATACACAAATCATCGAGTGCTTAGCCCTTGAACCCGAAGTAAGTTTTGCTTAATATTCAAGAATACAGCCGACACGTAAATACCGTACGGCTCTTGACGTAGGCACGGCCATGTGATCTGATTGGTCTTGACCCACTTGTCTGCCTGGAGGGTTGCCTTACCACAATTCACCCTATATAAACAGCCCAAATCACCCTCCAGATATGACAAGAAACATCTGCTTCCAATTTCATTTTTTTAACTCAAAAATACACCCATGAACAAAATGGCACCGCTTAAAGTAACTGTGGTCGGCTCGTCGAGCATCAGTCGGCAGGCTGAGCGAGGAGTCCTGACGGTCTCAGCCAAGGCTGAAGGACCAGAAAAGGAGCTTGTGAGCCAAGAAGTTACCTCAGCCTCAAAGGAACTCCATAGAATGTTCACAGAGCTATCTCCAAAGACCGAGTCTGGAGCTGCCACGGCAGATGCTCCGATTACGGTGTTTTCATCCACAATGTTGCGGACAGGGTTTTATGACAAAACTGATAAAACGCCTGAGACGAGAACCCGTGTCCACACTGCCACTTCATCGTATAGTGCCATCTTCCGCAATTTCGCCAAGCTTGGCGAAGTGGTAGGCAAGTTGATGACTCATCCCAACGTGAGCATTGAAAGGGTTGAATGGAAGTTGACCGACGCGACTATCAAATCACTGCATTCGGAGTCCCGAACGCTAGCCATGCAAAATGCCATTGAGAAGGCAGAGGACTATGCTAGGGTTGTTGGGCGGAAAGTATTTGCCTGTGAGATTAACGAATCGGATCATGGAAATCAGGTGGCGATGTTACAGCAGCAGCAGCAGCAGCAGCAGCAAATGGCTAGGAGTGCTGTGTACGGCAGTGGTGCTGGTCCTAGCCACGATGGATCTGTTGACATGACGCCGCAGGATATTCGGTACACAGGGCGTGTGACCGTGAAGTTTGAGTCTGAACCTGAGATGTAATTACCAGGAATGGTAGCTTTGTGGTATCAGTTGAGTTAAGTGATATATCAAATCATGCTCTCTTATTTTATATCTGTTATGCATCTTTATTACGCTGTGAAACCCCCAGGTGTGGCTCCTCAACCGAGTCAACTTCAAAGTCAAAGTGAATCAAATCCTCAGCAATGCAGGGCGGGGGGGCCAACTTCAAACTTATAGTCGATTACTGGGCTGCATCCTGTTATTATGCACGGGCAATATCTAATACTAGTACTAGATCGTCTTTCCGTTGTTGCCTGAGTCCATCTTAGATATGCCACTCATTCACATATATCCGCTACTTTCATGGCTCTGAGATTTTCACAATATACTAATAACAAATAAACACCCTCCTGAATCTCTTATTATTAGCATTGTGCGGCCCCATTACTATTCAGATATCTCTTACAATTCATTTCTTTATTTTTATTTTCATTCCGGAACTGGCAACTTTCTAAATGGGGCAAGCACGACCGCAACCGCGACTGTCCAGTCGAGTGTCTGCCTGTTCAGCGTATACTGCCAGTCCACCAGAACTGAAAACTTCTCAAATGTGGCAGGCATGACCATTAATTACTCGGAGTAGGACTAGCAGTGACAGCGCGCATTCCTACTTAGCTTCACCATTCTCTCTCCGATTCTCTTCATGGTGTATAGACCGTACGTCAGCAGACTCATCACCACACCTTGGCAGACCCCGCCTCTTGGAATAGTCAGCCCACATTTTCTCAATATCGGCATTTCCACTCCGTTTAGCCCACCAGAACACAGACCGGCCAAAACAATCGTGAAAGTCACAACTGACAATTCCCGTAGCCAGCAACACCTTTACCACCTCTATATGACCGTGTCGTACAGCTACTGATAGCGGCGTTGAGCCATAATGATCTTTCTGGTCCGGATCAACAAAATCATCGATGAGGATTGCCTTTGCAACAGTGTCACGTCCATACTGGGCCGCCACAAACAGCGGTGTCCGACCACAGTTATCTTTCGCATTAACGCAAACCTTCCCTGTACTGAGCAAAATCTTGACGATAGCATTGTGCCCTTTCTCTGCTGCCAGTGAGAGTGGAGTGTGCCCATATGTAGAGTCTCTGATATCCAGGCCAGCCCCTCTGCTCACGAGCATCTGCACGACCTTTTCATGATCCTTGATTGATGCGGCCTGGAGTGCATTGCCGAAGCCTCCACTTTGGGCGTCAATGTCGATACCTCGATCCAGCAGCATCTGCACCAGCTTTTCATGGCCCTTGATTGAAGCGGCCTGGAGTGCATTGCCATAGGGTCCACCCTGAGCGTTGACATCGGCCCCCCAATCCAGCAGCACCTGCACCACCTTTCTATGCCCTCCATCTGCTACGGCCTAGAGTGCATATCCGGGATCGGCCTGTGTAATTTCCAAGGTAATTGTAGGCCACGGAGCGCTGTAATTTCCAGCACTTTCTCAATGAGAACTGGATCTTTTCCGTTCAGACAAATCGGATGTTCGGCTTCCTGTAAGTCATCACCGAGACTCAGTCTTAGGTTCAGTGGATAGTAACAGATAGACCTTGTATACCTTAAACCCGCCGTAACAAGCATTTTGAAAGTATTTTGATCTAGGGCAAACAACAAGCCTATGGGCCGAGAGAACATTATCCTTGCAAATAATGGCCAAATAGCTGTAGTCAGAATTGAGATGCAAGCTATGCTATGTTAAAGATCTGGCCTTATTTGTACTGAAGTTGGAGTAGATGAGCTAGCTATTTCTTACCTCGCAATGAGCCCGAGAATGGTCCCTTGGCCCTCCGTAGTTTCTGCCTCTAGCGGTGGAGGGTTGGATTCCTCAGGGTAAGACTCTCTATACTCCAACTTAGAGGAGGACAAAGGCTTGCTCTTTTCTTTTTCATTGGAAGCGAAATGGGAGAAGCGAAAATGTAATCGAAGTAAACACTATTATTAGTGACTGGTTTTATTGCCATGAATTATTTAAGAATTAAATGATACTGTAGCCCATTGAAGGGAGAAGGCACGAAAGCAGACAAATATTCCTATCATACCACAGAGTACTACTCAGACTAGCTTTGAGCGGACGAATCCGGTTGCAATAAACATGCTGGTTTTAGATGAACATTTGCGATCCCCCCCGGGCATAATCCCAGTCTCTATGTACTAGGTGATTGTACAATTCCTCGTCAACTTCCCAGGTATACCTTGAAATCGATTCAATAGTGCTTCCCTGCCTATTCCCGAAGCTACTCCCGCGGGGACAACAGCTTGGATGCTCACGGGTTGAGATGCCTCCCAGCATCTATTGATTTTGATGCGCACTATGGCTCACACAGTTACATTGGGATCCCTATCCACCTCCTCAATCAGTTGCTCGGGAGTACGGAAAGCCAGTCCAGAGAAGTATTTCCGACGGTGAGCTTCAACTTTCTCCGGATCGAAGGAACCTGCACCAAGGGAACGAAAAGCTTGTAGTGAGAGAGGAGAACTTCGTCTTCGTCCGTTGATGACTGGATTGTATCAAGGATTTTGCCCAAACCAGAATACTGAATGTCACTCATTTCTGGATACCGGTGTTTTACCAACCGGGCTAGGTCATTATAACAAGTTTGGTCACCAGAGATGTATGTGTATTGTTCCCAGGACGGTGCATTTATCAGGAGGGCCAGAGCTTTTGCTAAATCGCGGGCAGCCGTGACATCGAAGACATCTTTGCCAGTTCCAGGAATGATGATAGTCTTAGAGGTGAGGTTGATCGGGAACGCTTCTCCAATGTCCGCGAGGTATCGATTGTTTTGGGGAACAACGTAATCAATCAACCAGCCAACACTGACAAGAGTCCACTCTAGTTCAGTCTGCTCTCTGAGAATCCTTCGAATGGGTTCCCTCGACTGATAGTAGAATAGTGGAAGATCAGGATATTCTTCCAGATTGCCACCGTACTCAGATGGAATAAATCGCTTGCAACGTGGACTGGCTTGACAGGCCTTGATCAAATTGACATGTACATCAATAAAATCCGAGGCATATGACAAAATCATGGAAATGAGTATGTCACAGTCATTAACTGCTGCTGTCAACGAGGCGACGGAGTAGTCGGTGATAATTTGTGTAATATTTGGACGGCCCCTGAAGAATTCCTTCTCACTTCGGGCTAGGATAACCACATCGTGGCCATGCTTTGGGAATTCTTCGGCGATGTATCTGGCCATGGCCCCAGATCCGGCGACAGCAACGCGCATGATGAAGACTTAATCGTAGAGGGTCTCAAGGTAAATGATAGATTGTGAACGAGTTTTTTTTTTTTTTGAGGAATGGAAAAGGAGGAATAATATATGTGAAGTGTCGCGTGGATGATCGCATTATATTATTGTCCTTTTCATACTGATGATTCATACTGATGACGACGTTGACTATGGGATCTATGACTAAACCTGGGTAGAATATGTTGTAATCCAAAGTTTTGCTTCATATTGCATGCGAGCAACTAATGGAGACAGATTACCAAGCGTCTAGTAGCGATTACATGGCAAGGAGAATGGTATGGAACATGACAGTCTCGGATCAAAACCCGCGGACTCCGAACCCGCGGACTCCGAACCTGCGGACTCCATGTGAATGAATCGGATCATCTTTTAACCCAATCCTCCGTCATCATGAAATGCTTATCATGAAACTTACTCCATAATTCACGAGGAATGTTTGATTTGCCATATAAGCGTGTACATTAACGACTAACAAAAGGTTCAGTTTGATTCATCTTTGTGCTATTTTCCCAATTTCATATATATCTATAGTACGATACAAAACAGAAACTGACCTATGCCGGTATGTAACATGGACTCCGTACAGTGGCGTCGCAAAAGCCTGAGACCCGTTGACCACCAGTTGCACCGCCTGCATATTATAGCCTACTAAATTTCCTCAGCGCGCAGTCGCGTATCGCATTGCATACGATGTTTAAATCAGTCGAGCGGGATCTGTGATCTGGAAAATTGAGGATTGTTGGCGCGCAATGGCCAGAGCGAGCGACCGTAGAAACTTGACTGGGAGCGGATAATTAGCCGTCCTTTACCAACCGCAACACATATTCTACCAGCGCCTGCTCCTCTTGAGGGGTGAGCTACTTCTGATTGGCAGCTTTATCGGCAATGGAAGGCTTGTTCCTGACCCGGTCGGATTGTGTACGTTGTCTGACTCTTACGCCGATCGGCAGGAGACATCGGTACTGCTTGGCATGAAGCCATCCAGACTGTGACAAGGCACAGCAGTAAATACTGGGAATTCTTCGGGAATAAGCAGGCAAAGGGATTCCAGTACATTAGTATTGTATCTAAGATTATTCCTTTTATCAATATTCAACTGTATATTGAAGAAGATTCTTTTGAGACGGCTTTCAACAGTCAGACGCGGCAAGTTCCATCAATATCCTGAGATGGGGGAAACCCACAAAATCTATATACATGGCTCACCACACCACGAATAACAATATTTGGGAATCCTGAAATCTTCTCACTCGTGGATTGTTGATGACTGTTGTTGAGTTCGCCAGACTAATCAATCACCGTTGATTCGTGTAGGTCTGTCGACGACAATAGTATGATATATCAACAGTCTGCTTAGTCGCATCGTAACCTGCAACCAGATACTACTTATCAAGTGCGCCTGGTAAAGTATGAAAGAATCTTCGGTCGGAGCACCAAGAGCCAGATGAGGTGTTGATCTCTCCAATAAGGCCTGTAAGCTTTTGACATTAGTCGCTACATACGACTGAGCCTGTAGGGCATGTTTCAAAGAAAGCAAGCGGTGGTCGATTACTGCCTTTTGTTGGAAAGGAACTGGAATTTTCCGGAGTTCCAATTCGCATCATTATATCTCAGACACATATATCCCTCTCTTCTGCATATGATACGCTACCATCATACCTCATCGAACCGCAGAAACATTATAAAACACATCTACAACTTGACAGTTAACGTTAAAACAGCGTCATTCTCAGGATGAATCGCTTTGAATCATTTACGACTTCTCTTAGGTCGACGGGCTGGAAGGATTGTGTCAGCTGACGAGCCGTCTTCCAAGCGAGTCAGTCGGTCAGCAGTTATGTCCTTATCGATGGATACGTCGTAGAGTTCAGATTCTATTGGAAGGCAAGCCTCACTAGAGAGATAAGCTTGGGTATCGTCGTCCTACGGTTGGGAATCGGAGCTCGAGGTCAGCGTCCGAGGTTTCTTTATTGGAGTTGTCGGGTTGGCACGACTGCTCCATCTATCTGCATGTTTCTGCTTTCCCACCGACGAGGTGGGAGTCACTGGACTTGCCATAATGGAGTTGAGATTTGGAATAAAATAAACATCATCCACGCCAATTGCGAGTCGAGGTGTGTTGGTAGTAATACCGAAAATTCTGCCAGTGATAAATATGCGGGACTGCCTAGACAGGACGAGAAATTTTGTCCAACAGTTTCCGTTCCTGAAGGCCACCAGCTGCAGATCTTAACGGAATTGTGGGGAATGAGCAGGCCGAAGGAGAGTCACTCGCCATATGGAAACCCTTTCCGTTATATCATGCAGTATACAAAATCGCGAGAAAAGAACAGTTCGGTTTCGCCGATACGACAAGGTCGAGTCCCAATATCGCTGATGGGTCTGACATCGGTGTCTTCGTCACAGGGTACGATATTTTCGACACCTGCAGCGGAGGCAGAATGCCCCCCCCGCACCGGGCGTGGATTTCCAGACTCATGACATGCTCAAGCTGAAGCTTAATCTCGATCTCGATCAATCCCTAGCTCGAAATCGCTGCTTCCGGATTCAGAGAAGCTCTTGATCGATACTCAGGCTGTCGGAAATGTCGAAGCCCAATCGCTGCTTCTTTAGGAGAGGGATAATGGACCGAAGAAATTGATTACATGGCATAAAATCCCCGCTATGTCTTCTTCAACCTCGATCATGCATATAGCCTGGCTAGGCTTTTACCCTGCAGTATGAAGGTGAGAGGGCAGGCATGACCCATGAATTATTACTGAAGTGTTCCTCACTACTTTGGTGGTATAACATTCACCTGCCCACTTTAATTTCGAGTTCTCTCCTTGATTTCCTCTTTGCCTTCAATCCATATCTCATCATTCATGGTAGGCTTCAAGGAAACGCCTGATACCACGATTTCTATCTCCAGGCACAGGCTGCCCTCCATGGTTGGGCACGTCCTGCTGCTCACTAGATGGTGCTTCAGGGCGGGTGGGTAATGTGGTGGTGTCTGTTGGCAGTTATAAGGCCCTTGGCTCAACGCCCTTCTTCCCTATATCATGTTATTTGATAACTTTGTGCACTTCTTTTTTCATTGTGATTCTTTCCTATCTCATGCCTTTTAACCTAACTGCTTCAATCATTCACAAATACTTCACTTCTGGATTTATCTTCTCCGCAAACATGGATACTACAATAAGGATTTTAGCAGAGGCAAGCGAGGGATGTGGAAAGATTGGGGACTGCGACAGGAGAAGGTGATTCGAAGGCTACATAACTTCAATTCCTGGCCTTGTCCAAGATTGGGTGGACGACAACCCTGGATATCAGGTCAAATATTCTGACCTCGTGAATTACTGGGAATTCGGATCTCCTCCATGCAGTATCCCACGACAATCCATTCTCAGTTTCCGTGGGGTGATGGACCTCTACTAGATAAGCATCCTTTGTTCTGCCAAGGCGACAAATAAAACCCTAAAAACATCAAGTCTCAGAATATACTGCCAATATTACGGCTCTGGCCGATTGGCAGCTCCGATTTTAGCTCCATCCCCGATCCCGAAACCAACCTCGAGACAGACAAAGGTCGAGTCTGTCCGAGTCCATTGATTGGTGTTCTTGGAATCGATCATCCCCCCTTTGTATATCTACACCCATTGTTAACGGTCATCATTCTTTGAGATACAATGCGCCATATCGCTCCCTGGACTCGTTACCATGGTTGAGAAATTTTTTGTGAAAGGGAAAATTCCGCTTTATTTCGAAATGCAAACGTAAAAGCCCGCTTCAAGGGAAAATAGAACTATTTAAGTAGTGACCCCCTACCACTTATTGGACAAAGTAATAGCATTCTTCTGTGCCAGTTATTTAGCTACCCTACCGGGGCAGTGGATAGATTGATCTAGCATCTATTAGTCCCCTTACTACTATTATCCCAAGGTCATCTCTCTCTATCCAACCGCTTGCTCGCTCGCTTGATGCAGTACCTCACCGACCCCGCGCTATGCCATCCTCATCAAAGAGCATCGACACCAACCTCTCTCGAATCAACATCGACGAATCAAGCAATTCCATCCATCTTGCCCGCGAAGAGAAGCCCGAACCCCGCGATTACTACATGTATCTCCTCCACGCCGAACAAGGCCGAGACAAAGACACCCGACGCTCATCCCTCCTCGCCCAAAAGTTCACCACCAAGAAGAACTTGACCACCTTCACCTTCGAACCCCTCCCCTACGACAAACTCTGGGAAGGCGATTTCCTAACCCACTTCAAAGCCCACCCCAAACGAATCGTGATATTCCAAGTACTCCCAATCCCCGACACCCAACCCTTTCGCGAAAAGAAACTCGTCCTCGGCTTCAACTTCGCAACAAACGAACTCGTCGGCTACACCCTCGACCCAACCAACCTTCCCATTGAAGAAATACACACACAACCCAATATCTGGCGAGAATGTCGCGACTCCCATGCACTGTCAAAGAGCTGGCCACGCCGCAACAAAGTACTGGCAATTTCCACAACCCGCTTCTACGAAATGATCGATTTCACTACGGAATATTTCGGCAAATTTGGCGGCACTATGCTCCGCGATGGAATTTTGCACTTCTTTAAGGAAATTTCCACGCCTTTGCATGCGAGTCTGGATATTGTTGTTGTTATTCAATTGGCGCAGTTTTTGGCGGACTTTGTCCATGTGCTTGAAGATGATTGGGGGCGGGCGAGAGCTTTGTTAGAGAAGTGTGATGCTTATCAGGAGCTTTTGCGGGATTTGTTGCTGAGGACTTCGGTTGATGTTTGGATGACTTCTTATGAGGTTTTGAAGGTAGGGATGGGTGGGGTGCGGGATAAGGATGCTTTGTCGAAGGAGGAGAGGGGTGGAATTCAGGTTTTGATTGAGGAGAAGGTTGAAGAGCAGACGAAGCAGGATAGACAGGACTGGGGCCAGAGCCGGAGTCAGAGTCGAAGTCGGAATCATCAACAGCCGTACGTACATGACGCCGAGGATGATGAACAAGATGCCGCACAGCAATACTTACAGCAGGGTGTGCAAGTACAGGAGGCTACGCGAGGACCTGGGCTGAGTGGCATTTACTTTGCGCCCGCTGGCGATGGCAGGGGACAACCAGATGGGGGGGATGGGTTCTGGACTTCAGCATGGGCTGTATGCGACGACTTATGAATGGCATTGGTATCCATGGTTTATTCTTGCGGTCGTTTTCATGGTTTGCGCTTGGCTCTTTGGCAATCAGATGTACTCGCATATCGTGGCTTTCATGATCGGTCTCTTTGTTCTGTGTTTTGTTGTGACCACGGGGGACGAGAATAATTTATTCCTCGCCCTCCTCGCGAACAAATTATTTCTTCCCAGTATTTATGCTTGGATGTCCGATTTTGTGGGTCGATGGGAATTTTGGTACCTTGATGTATTAGCTCTATTGGCTGCTATCGAGCTACTCATCCATAGACAGCGGGAGCTTCTCGTCGAAGAGGCGCTTCTGTGGGCCACGACACGGGTCGTCATATTTATATGTCGACGGAAGGGGGTGGAGATCGACTCTCTGCTTCAACCAGGGGGGATAATTCGGGTCTGGAGATGGGTGATTGAATGCATTCCTGGTTGGTTGTTCGATTCGACGGTGCACTGGTCTAAGTGGTATACACTAGGGCTAGATTGCATGGGGGTAGTTGCTGGTGCTTATCTCGTGTACACAAAGGATTACACTCCCCTTGCTCGAGGAGTGATTCTTTGGTATGTCCTGCGCTATTGGTTTCCCCCATTGGAGGATTGGAAGAACTGGTACCTTGAATTTGTTCTGCCATATTTGGAGAAGCACCGTACCATCCTGTATCTACCATTCGCCCTCCCTGTTCTCTGGGCAATCATACAGCAGAAGTTTAAGTTACTTTTGTCCGGACTTTCCCTGTTGCTTGTAGTGCATTGGGAGGCGTCGTGGATATGGAAGCTGGCTAAAAAAGGGTACGAGGCCAAAGCCTTCTTGATCTGGACATTCGTCGCGTGGAGGACATTCCGAGCCGGAAATTACGTTCTCGAACTCGAGGCGGGCTATTTTTTGCTCGCTGTGTTTGCGCGATGGATTTCGCGTGTCGGGGTGAAAGAAGGGTATAATTTTGTGTTTCTCTGGTTTGGCATCGTTCTTGTCTGGAGGGTCTACGCTGCTAAGATTGAAACCATGAAGATGCCCGTGGATGTTTTGGTGGTTTTCTGCATGGATTGGTTATCGGTTGTATTGATGGAGGCAGGTGCATCAACGGTGAGTAAGAAATCGTCAAAGTCGAGCCCTTGGAATGAGCACCTCTGGGATATCTATAGTACACCAACCCCTCTTAGGAGGGTCTCCATTCGGGGCGAGGAGATAGCCGATTAGGGCTCGATGGGGCTAGACATTTGACGGATACGGCCAAGCCATTAGCGGGGCTGCCGTTGCCTGTTTAATTATGGATGATGGATTTTTTTTTTCTTTTCCCGAAAATTTTCATTTTTGGAGGGGTTGGGATTTGGCGTCATTGTGGTGTCGCCATAAATTAGGCTGGGGGTGATGGCATCAATCAATCCTTGCATAAGAAACATCAAACTGAAGTCTTTTGGATTTTATTATACATACTCCGAGTGTGGTGACTTACTAAATAATCAAATTGGCGTTGGAAATTCCGATTGCATTTGTGGAGGCATCATATGCTAGTGCTATTTGCGGACCATACTTATGTACCGATCTCCATCCATAGGATAGCCACTCGATTAACTTCCCCTAATTAACTAGGGTTAGATAATGGGGTCCGTTCTCCCTCATGGCTGAGGGCCAAGAATTCACGCAATGTCCTTGCCCCACTGGACCCATAAATTATTTAGTTTAGCGCCGCGATCGAAGGGGCTAGTAAATCGGACGGGACAAGGAGGATGGGTATGGATGAGTAGGGTCGGGGAGGGAGTATGTGCGATGAACACATACCTGGAATGCATGAAGTTCTGCAGGAAGATGGGTCGTCCACGTAGGTGTTCTGTGATGTAGGGAAATCACTGCATATGTGTATGTAGGCTCTCAGCTACGGTGTAGCCCTAATGGGTATGCAGCATGCACGAGCTGTGCTCTAGGCAGCACTGATCATACCAGTGTACAGAGTACATGTACTCTCCATGTACTCTCCTAGATGCTAGATTCTACATCCTGAGTAAATCCAGTGAGAATACGTGCATGTACATCCTCGATCCTAGTAAACACATGCATAGCTACTCGTATACTTCTGTATGCTTGCACCGCCACACCGCCAAAACCGGTCTGTGTGGCTGGTGGCGCAGTCTGCCAAACTACTCGACGCTGATTGGTCCAGCAATTCTCCCTATTCCCTCGGCGCGTCTTGGCAGCGTCATCTCCGCCAGCAACAACCATGTCCGACGAAACATCAGCCAAGGAGGTCCTGCCTCCACTTGAGCTACCCAATCGCGCCGGCCATTTTCATGTCCGTATGCGTCGATTTCCTCCAGCTGATCTTCTCGCTTTCCCCCCCTCCCCCAGCCCTGCAGCCCTATAATTCTTCGCTCAGCCCGGTCCCCTTCTTTCCTTTGACCTGCGCGATCTGCTCTTGATCTCTCTTGATACCCCTTTCTTTTCTTTTTCTTTCGTGCGACTCTTGTCCACGGCGCTTTTCTTTTTTACCGACAATGGCTGACACCACCATTCAGCCTCCCATCAATGGTACGTGCAAAGTCCCGCGAAGCTGCCGTCCAGCCCGGAGACCCGGATTCTCCCTAATTGTCCTATGCGCAAGCTAATCAGAACCTTAGGGGTCTCTCATGATGGCGATTACGCCGCGCACGGTGCTAGCGATGTCACCAGAAACAACAACAGTTTCGAGCTCATTTCAGGCCCGCTCATCAACTTGAAGAACATGCACTACGAGTCCGCCCCCATTTGGCATGGAAGTGTCCTCATCGTAACGAAGCCCACCCAGCAGAAGCCCCTTTTACACCTACATCAGCTCGGCCCCGTGGGATCGCAATCCGAGTCGCAATCCCAATCCAATCAAACCGTCGATGGCCTCAAGCTCTACGAAGATCCCGATAAGGCCTTCTGGCGATTCAGCCTCGCGGTCCCCGTCGAGAGCTACGAGGCGCGTTGGGAGTATGATATTCCGGGCCTGTACAATTCGTCTGGGCCTGCCAAGGCACCATGGGAATTCGTGGTACCTGCAGAAGAGCAGTCGATGCGGATCATGTTTCATTCGTGTAACGGATTCTCCGTCGGCACCGACATGGACGCTTGGCTCGGACCGAACCTGTGGAATGACGTTCTGCGCGTCCACGGCGAGAGACCTTTCCACGTTATGGTCGGCGGTGGTGACCAGATTTACAATGATGGAATCCGTGTGGACGGTCCGCTGAAGGCTTGGACCGCCATCGGCAACCCCCACAAGCGCCGCACCCATGACTTCAACAACCAAATGCGCGCCGAATGCGATGAGTACTACTACGCAAACTACGTGCGCTGGTATAACACCGAGCCCTTCCGCGCTGCCAATGGCAGAATCCCGCAGGTCAACATTTGGGATGACCATGACATCATTGATGGATTCGGCTCCTATACAGACCATTTCATGAAGTGCGCTGTGTTCCGCGGCATTGGCGGCGTTGCATTCAAGTACTACTGTCTATTCCAGCACCACATGGCTCCTCCCAAGTCAACTTTCACTACCGACGCGCCCCAGACGATGCATGCCGTCAATGGTACTTCCGGCGTGGACCCGCGCCAGGTCGAGAACGTCTACGTTCTGGAAAACCAGGAAGAGGACGATAGCTGGATTACTGGTAAGCGGCCCGGACCGTACGTTGAGGAGCGCAGTCGCAGTTTGTACATGCGCTTTGGCAAGCGTATCGGCTTCGTGGGTCTGGATGCGCGTACAGAGCGCACCCGGCACCAGGTCAACTACCCGGACACCTACAAGCTCATCTTCGACCGACTCGAGAGCGAGATTTCCGCCTCCAACGGCGATATCAAGCACCTTGTCGTTCTACTCGGTGTTCCCATTGCCTACCCGCGTCTAGCCTGGCTCGAGAACATCCTCACCTCTCCGCTCATCGCACCAATCCGTCTCCTGAACAAGCGATTCGGTGTCGCCGGCGGCCTCTTCAACGATTTTGACGGTCAAGTCGATTTGCTAGACGATCTCGACGACCACTACACAGCCCGCCAACACAAGCGCGAACGCCGCGAGCTCGTCCAGCGTCTGCAGGAACTCGCGCGCGCGCACTCGGTGCGCGTCACCATCTTGGGCGGAGACGTCCACCTCGCCGCGATCGGTCGATTCTACTCGCACCCAAAGCTGAATCTCTCCGGCGAAAACGACCACCGATTCATCGTCAACGTCGTCAGCAGCGCCATCACGAACAAACCCCCGCCCAAGGCCGTCGCTAACCTCCTCGCCCGTCGCAACAAGATTCACCGCCTGGACCGAACATGCGACGAGACCCTGATGCCCTTCTTCGACAAGCAGCCCGGCGGTATCGAGAAGAGCGCCACTTGGAACAAGGTCACCATGCCATCACGTAACTTCGCCATCCTAACCGAGGCGGTAGCACCGACCGCCAACGGCGACGGCGTCGTCGGCATTGAATCTGCCAAGCTGAACACTCTCCCCAAGGACGGCCACGCGCCGCTGCACAAGGGCGAGGTTGAAGCAGGCTCGACTCACAGCGCTGCGGACGGTATAAGCAGTAACAGTGGCATGTATGGTGGACTAGATGTTGCGGTTCGTGTGGAGATTGACCCTCAGAATCGCGAGGGTGCTACTGAAGGATATGGATTTAGCAGTAAGTGGAGAAACAACCCCTATCCTATATTCTCGGAGATCCGAGTCATCATCATCACCCCCGCAAAAAGGCTAACCTCGTTGTTTCACCTTGATAGTTCCCCCTCTAACCGCCACCGAAGGCCCACCTGTCTCCTCGCGCCACAGTTTCCGATCCCGCAAGTCTCACGCGGAGTCGCGGCCGACGTCGCGCGAACAGGCCGTCGCCGCTGAACAACCCGGGCGTCCATCTACGGCCATCTAATCAATCCTAATATACCCCTAGATGGGGCCGGATATAATATTACTATATAATTTCCGCCGTCTTCAAATTATTTTCCTTGTTCTCAATGTTTTTGTTGTGTTCTGATACCTCAAATGTACTACTAGTACAGAGTATGACCAGATCTGCTGGGACGTGCACTTCCCCACATTCGAGACGCACCCCGCATTTTTCTAAAGTTATTTCTCTGTGTGCCTAGAGTATGCCTATGCCTATGCCTAATCAATGACATACAGTACCTCCAGTCATGCTGTCATACATGTATGTCATGGTATGCTGTGTAATGTAATGCAGGGCCCGTGTTCGTGTTCAAGGTGGCTTGTCGATCCGATGCGGAGGAGAGAGTTCCCCTCATCCCGTGAGTCCCCTCGTAAGGGTTCGGTTACTTATTATGGTATAGACTTATTTCATGCGAGTGGGTGGGGTTGGGGCTGTTCTTCCAAGGTTTTTTAGATGTCTCATTGTAGGGCTGAGGTCAGTAGGTAGTATTCAGTCGCTGCTGTGGTTCCTGGAGATAGATTCATGGCTCGGGCTCGGGCTCAAACTCTGTCTTATAACAGGAGTGTATACTAAAGTGGATTGCGGAGTAATATACTAGTATACTAGCATGGCCCTTGTCACTAGGGAATATTCTGAATTCTACTAACTAACGTGGTCGGTAAGCGAGTGAGCCATGTAAGCGAGCGAGCCGCACAACCACTTTTTCTACACATTTATAGAGATATAAGGTATCAACCACAACGCCTTTATATTCATTATTCTCTATTTGGACAAGCATTCTTTCTATGCCCTATTTCACTACAATTACCACATTTAGGTAGGGCCTGTGCCTTTGGCGTTTGCGTACCCTGCGCTGGCGGCACGCGTGGACCTGGTATTGTCTGAAAGAACGCATTATGAGCTTCCTCGAGCTCTATTGCTTCTTGTACAGATAGACCATCATCATAGGCTATCTACCTAGTCGTACGAGCACGCTCTTTCTTCTGTACAGTATTTTCCTTACGTAGCTGTTTGTTTTCTTGCTTGAGAAAGATACTGTTTTGCATCATGACTTGACAATCTTTGGTGAGCTGGTTTAGTGCGGTCTGTGACGGTGATGAGGGGCTTTTTGAGCGTTGTTTTAAAAAAAAATTTAATTAAAGTTGCTTACTTATAAACTTATCTACGTTTGTAGGCGTATGGGGGTAAAAATATTTACTTGACTACTGCGGCTTGGGGATGGTGTAGGTGTCTGAAGTTAAATATTGAGCATTGATAGTACTGATTTAGGATTAATAGATACTAATCCTGCTGTACAGAAGCTATTTTGAATTATCTCTAATTTAAATACGTCAGTATAAGTTTGTAGATAAGCTGTAAGGAAATTAAGCTTATTGATATGATTAATCCTAAGTTGTACTTTCTGGCTGACTAAATTACCATATGTGTGCTTCAAAACTATAAAATATTCGATATTAAGTAGTTATAACGGATGTAAAAAATATGTAGGTATACAGATTGGTATAATATTGTAGCAGTTGCCCGAGGGTCGCCGGGTTTCTGAAGCTGCACCTGGCAGGAGCTGACCTTCGCATTAATCTCGTCGATGAAACTAGGAAGCTCACTTACAATCTGACCAAGAAGCAGACCGCTAAGACGCGTTCTCAATAAGTCAACTCCCCACAAGTGATCGTGCAAGCTCCTCCCAAATTCCCTGGGAAAAAAAAACTCGCATCCCTGAATATTCCAGCCAAGTAAACTAGACTAGCCTTTCTCTAAATCCATATTTTTCAAAACATGCCATCCTAGACGAAACTCCATCTCTTGATTCTTAGCAAGCGAGACAAATAAAGCTTCACTCTCAGATCTCGGTACCAGTACGTCGGGCTTGGGGATAACGCCGAGAGTTCGGATCCCGGATGGATGAGCATACCGCGCTAAACGTAGGACGATCTGGTTCGCAAAGTCATTTTTTGCAGATACGATAGCAAGGGATGACACCACATGGCTCTTTCATGTACGACTGAACCACGTCCTGAACCAACTGAACATCTGCTGCCGACTGTTGGCGTGTTTCATAGTGAATGAGGTCCTGAAGATCGACATTCGTGAGGTGTGGCCTATCGGGGCCCGAGACTTCAACCCTCAAGAGATCATTTGAGAATGTTTTTCCGTGGGTCGATATGCCCATTGCCGCCTTTGAATTATCTATCAAATCCGCAAGTCCATTAAACCCGTCGAGTTGTTCACAGAAGCTGCCAAGTGAATGCTGCTCCGCCTCGCTGCGGGATTATTAAGGGACAATGGAAACTCGGACTCCCACCTACAAGTTCTTTCGCAGAACCAGCTCGGCTGGGAATCTAGTGCATAGGTTATTTTTCACGGGAAAAGAGAGGCCAGAAATAGTTTCGAGAATAGAGCTCTTTCCGAACAATTGGTCTCCACAGACTATTATCTGTGGGAGAGAGACATGGTGGCTGATACCCTGCGATCGGAGTGTGTCAATGGAGTCCAAGAGATCGAGCTGCTCTTGAGTGCATAGACCTTCAAGAGCCTCGGTTTTGAATTGTGCCAAAGTCATGATGAAACTGATGTTTGTAAGTATCCGATCATGGCAGTATTTTGCAGGAGTCAACGATTATATTCTCAAGCTATCACCTTCATCCGTCAGGCCACTAGTACGCTCATCTTGCGGTTCCACCGCGAATCTCGTGTTGTTCCCTAGCTCAACCCCTTCACGATCGGACCTCGCGTGGCTGGGCTCATTATGATCTCGCTCCTCCCATCTTGTGATCCCAAATGCATCCAGAGGAATAGGATAGGTTGGTCTTGACGCTATAACTGGCGTCCGTGAGGAATGGGTATCACTCAAGGAACCACTGTTCAACCAACTACCACCAAGTATCTGCCGAACAAGTGGCCTGAGCGTGGGGAGGGAGACTGTGATCGCTGAACAGCAGAGTTCTGTTTGGATTAGGATGACTTGATATTACAATCCAGTCAGGTTGGCCCTTAGGTACATAGTTTAATGAGGGGAGAAGGAGGCATACATCCTGTGGCAACATTCTGAGCCGAGATCATGATAACAATGAACCGAGCAAGGCCCGCAATGATCGTAATTAGACCGATGGCGAAAATCCCTGCTATCGTATAGAGCTGAGGTTGTGTTACATGCAGGTTAGGGAGGAGAAAGAAGGGCAGGACGAAGACTACTTTCTCAATTAGACGCAATCAAGGATAAAAGATTAGAGAGATAACCTCTTACGCGACGCCTCTCCCGTAAGGTTCAATGCCCAGAATAAACTGAATGTTTCTCTGTTTGCAAGTGCACTGCATGGGTTCTGTGGATTCCTAAGAAAAAAAAAAGGTAAGTACCTTCAGCTTCCTAATCAAATGGAGAGCAAACTAACCAGTTTATTCGAATCGGAATACACCACGTAAGAAGAATGATAAGCGAAGTAATGAATGCAAACATAATGTATATGGTTACCATCCATAACGCGATGCGCAGCCGAGGCATAATTGTGGGAAAGAGGTAAAAATAAAAAATCGCCATGCTGAATTTGGTAAAATATAGTCCTGTGATCCAGAAGAAGGCGCTAACATAAAGAAGCTGCATTCATGGTTAGAGCCTTTCGGAGCTTATATATAATGGTCTGCTCACCTCTTGCAAACTGCTCCGTGTATAGAGATCATTCATAAAACCAGTTCTTGCCCCACCATTCACTATAATAGTGTACAGGACGGTTGCTACAAGTATAGAACACCAAGCCATTACAACGAGGACCTCTGCGAGCAGATTCGGTGTCTTTCGGAGGAAAAGTCGGACATATAGCCGGGCTGTAACAGCGAGGGTGGCAAGGAAGAACAGAACCCAGTTTGTTATCTATATATTATTAGTTCTAAACCTTAGGTATACAGCCCGAAGCCCGAATGATAGCCTGGGACAGAGGAAATATGAAGTGACATACAATTATGGTACCTGACTCAGTGCCAGGCATGCTTTAGAGTGATCTGCTATTCGTATTAAATTAATAGACTGAGAAAAAGGGTGTCCCTTGTCCACATTGTTCAACATACATCTCTGCTATGCTTTCATCGGTGTGGGCACATAGTGAATGAAAGGAAGGCAGTTTGACACACGTGAGTATTTTTTGACCGGTCTGAGCTCTCCTAACCAATATTCAAAATCGTGATCGGCAATCTGCTGGATTACAGAATTTCACTGGCTGCTTAGCCTTTCTCATCTTCCGATAGGAGCTGTTATTGAGACTGTCCCGTTGACACTCAGCGAGATAAAGTAGGAAGAAACCGCGTAGAAGTCGGCGACAGGTTAACTTCCACAACCAGGTATTTTCTCTGCCTCGAGGTAATTTTGACGGTAGGAGATTCGATCCCCATGAGAGGAGAACTCCATGGGATGTCACTTTTCACCTGTTTTCCGCTCCGAGATTTGCCAAGAAAGAAACGGTCTTGATTGGTGGGAAACCCGTATTGTATCGATCAGAACAGGTTCGCAGCTACTTTCTGACTAGTAGTTGGTTAATTGCCACAAGATTCTCGAGATCTGCTCCACAAGGAAGGAATGGCCCCGTAGTGGTGATGTAAGCGGGGATCTAGATCTCAGGTAGCTATTGAGGGCTGTGACGCTAACCTTCCGTCACCTCCGCAGTCATGTTAGAATTTCGCTCCACTCAATAACATCTCGAGAATCATGATTGAGATCAAGAGATTGTCCAACTACTGCTAGACCAAGAAGCAGCTATCAACATGCAGGACAACTCTGATGGCAGTGCTATCCAGGCTGCCTCATCAGAAGGCCACCAAGAGATTGTAAAACTACTCTTAGACCAGGGAGCAGACATCAATATCCAGGGCAGACACTATGGCAATGCTCTCCAGGCCGTCTCACGAGGAGGCCATCAAGAGATTGTCAAACTACTCAGAGCACGGACCAGACTTTTTTGCATTGCTCTCCAGGTTGCCTTATCAGGATGATATAAAATGATTGTCAAACTACTTCAACGAAGGGGCCCTATCACATCGCCTACAAAGCGGTGTGGCACTATGATTCTAACAATCTAGTGAAAATATTTCGTCTTATGGGATTAGGACCTTCTGATCATACTCAATACTAGCCTCCCATGTTGTCCACGTACCATACTATTGCCTAGCTTCAGACCTTAATACTCTTATCACTTCACACCACAGGTATGGCTTATTGAATCATAAGATCCTGCAAACGCTACTATATATGGCCAGCGTTTATAATTTTATTCAGATTGTATGGGATTCTATACGGAAGAATATAACATGTTCCATTCATTAATAGCCATCGCCTTTTTCCTGGGTGATCGTCAAAATTTGAAAGAGGAACCAAGATCAATCATAAACTAATTCAAGAAAACAGATAGGATGACGGTTCTCTTGCTCCGCTTTCTATATTTAAAGCCCTGTACAGCTTCTTATCAGTAGTTTTGTATTGTACATATCAAGGCTGATAGGACGATCCTATCATGTGTGGCCAACCTTACTTTCACTGTGTCAAAGTGTCAAAGCAAAGCCACTCTGATTTTACTACAAGTTTACCTAGTGAAGTAGAGGTACAACGCAGCAGGTCGATTCTGGCGATTGCAGGGCTCACTAATCCAGGGAAGTGAGTGGAGGGTAGGCAGCAGGAATTTACTCACAAAAGCTTCACTACGTCTTTTGATGTGAGATAGCCAATCGGGGACCAAACAGTGATTAAGGCAGCAATGTAGTTAGCTCTCTAGACCGGAACAAGGCAACATGGCAGGGATTATATGCAATGACAAAAAGCACGGCGGGTTTAGCCAAGTGGCCATGTAATCCCGCGGGACTCATGGGGTTCAAATGAAGGGACAGAAAAGTAAAGCGGCAAGGGCATTCATTAAACCCAACGAATAAAAAAAATGGGCAAACAAAAACATACAACAGCAGGGATTCACATGTGGTCACCCACCATACTACTAACCTGCCGGCGTGTGGCTATCCTACAGTTAGTAGTCGGGTGGATGTCGCCCGGGTAAGAATAGGGTGAGCGCCGCTTTAGCGTCGCGCGACTCGAGTGATTAGGGTGATTAGGGTGAGTGCGTGATAGACACGGTGAAAACGGGATGAGCTTGTTGGGAAAGCTTTCTTAAAAGTAAGATTTTAGGAAGAGGTTATTAAGAATCCTTAAGTTATTAGAGTAAATTCTCAAGAATTCCTTCTTCTCAGAATTCTGTTTCTTGGCCAAAATCTTTCTTTAGCTAGGTTTCTTCATACCAGTAGGAAATATAAGACCTTAAGCATACTACCTTAGACTTCCGAAGCATCTTATTATGCATTGAAAGATGGAAGATCTCGCTGGCTATCAGTGTGAGCAAGCAGATCGATCTCAGACGCACAAAACAATACCCGCACAGTGCACGTATTGTATGTAGTGTGGTAAACGGGTCGGTCTAGCCGAGATACACACAATCAAATATCGCAGCCATACGCGAGCGAGCCTACCGACGGCACTTGGGTAGTTCGAGGGTTTCTATCGTGGTTCTCCAAGTATCCTCTACGTATTACCACCTAATCTACCCCGTCCCTCTACTCTGGTACATGGCTATATCATTCTTCAACTGTTGATCTAGAAAACAATCAAGTTTATATACAAAACTGGAAAAAAGATACCTTCCCCGATGCATGTCCCAAAGCAAGTTTGTTACCATTAATCTTGAACCGTTTAGGTCTGAACTCGACAGGTAGCCAGAGAATCCTTTCGCCGTCTAAACTTATCCATTGCCCATCCTCAATGGAGATGTCAGGACACATAGAATTTGTAAAAGACATTTCAACATCAAGGGAACTTAAACCGGCGTGTAGATATAAACCGTCCTGGAAAAATCCAGAAGTATCGTCTCTTATCTCGTAAGTCCAAATTTCCGAGAGTTCACCATTGTCGAAGGCCCAGAGACACACAGTTTCATCCATAGACCAAGACGCCAGTAGTCGGTTATCGGGAGAGAATGCCAAAGAATTAACCCAATCCGAATGACCATCAACTTCATGATATAATTCGACGGTTGCAACGTCGTAGATACACAATCTCCCATCCTCTGTGCCAACCACTAGTAGACTGCTATCTGATGAGAAGGCCGCCGAGTAAGTAGATTCCGAATTGCAATCAATAGTCTGGTATATTGTGCCTCTCGTGAGGTCCCAGACGCAGATCCCGTCATCTGTGCAAGATGCTAGTAACTTACCATCGCATGAGAAAGCCACCGAGTGGACTGAACCGTGTTGGGAACTCAATGTCTGCTTTAAGGTTCCAATAGGTAATTCCCAGAGGCGTGATGTTCCATCGCTAGAGGACGATGCCAGTATTCGACTATCGGGCGAGAAGGTCACCGAATTTACAGATCGGGAATGCCCCTCAAGGGTATGGGTAAGGGCACCGGTAGTTGTGTTCCAAAGGCACACTACTGGACTCTCGAAGGATCCGGATGCCAGGAAAAGGCCGTCGGGCGAAAATGCCATAAAATCCACCGGAGGTTCAAGGTCATCTCCATCAAGGGTTTCAGTAATCTCACCCACCATTGGGTCCCAAAGGCGGACTGTTTCATTGGCAGAGCAAGATGCCAGTAGCTGGCCGTCGGGTGAGAAGGCCACAGATTCAGACGCTGCCGACAGACTGAAGCCCAAGGTCATGTGGCCATCAATGGTCTTCTGTAGTGTACCTGTCACCAAGTCCCAGAGTCGTACAACCCAATTGGCCGAACCAGTAGCTAGTACCTGGCCGTCAGGCGAGAACACAACCGAGTTGAATGAGCTCGAATAGATATCAAGAATCTGTTTCGAGGCTCCTTTAGCTGTATCCCAGAGGCGTACTGTCTGATCTTCAGATCCAGATGCCAGAAGGCGATCATCAGGTGAGAACGAGACCGACAAGACCGAGTTCGAATGTCCCTCGAGAATATATAGCTCCTCGCCCGTTGCTAGGTCCCAGACCCGCAATGTGTTATCATCAGATCCTGTTGCTAGTCGGTGGCCATCAGATGAGAAGGATAATGAATTGACTGGGCCAGAATGGCCCTCAAGAATTTGTATGATTGCGCCTGTTGCTGGATCCCAGAGGCGTACTGTCTGATCTTCAGATCCAGATGCCAGAAGGCGATCATCAGGTGAGAACGAGACCGATAAGACCGAGTTCGAATGTCCCTCGAGAATATATAGCTCCTCACCCGTTGCTAGGTCCCAGACCCGCAATGTGTTATCATCAGATCCGGTTGCTAGTCGGTGGCTATCAGACGAGAAGGATAATGAATTAACTGGGCCAGAATGGCCCCAAAGAATTTGTATGATTGCACCTGTTGCTGGATCCCAGAGATGTACTGTCTGATCTTTAGATCCAGATGCCACAAGGTAGCCATCTGGTGAGAAAGTGACCGATAAGACCGAATCTGAATGGGCTTCGAGAGCCTGTAATTCTGCACTCCATGTCTCATTAACCAATGGGCACTGGCTTATCCAATGAGAATGCTTATCCGCAAAGATTGTACGAATTATTGATGCCCGGGGTAAGAATACAAGTCCTGCACGATAGACCTGAAGTGGAGCTTGATCAAATATATGTTGACTTTTGAGAACGAAACGTTTAGCATCGTGGAAAAATTGTAGAATCGGATAAGGGCCGTTCCCCTAAGCCTATTAGTACAGATGCAGATAATAAAGAGTATCTTTGAATACTTACCCCTATAGCTGTTTGAAGGAGGTCAAGGATACCCGATATCTCTAACGCACGGCCTAATAGACTCATTGCCTCTATCCAGAACAAAAGGTGTGTCTGGAGAAATGAATGAGCTTCATAGGCTATGTTTGTCAACTCCTTACATTGCACTAGGTGATGTGCCCAGTACCGGCAAGCATACTGTAACTCTGGAGGAAGATAATCATTGATAGTTTGGCGGTCAATTTCCACACTCTGGCTCCCATAATTCGGTAGTTGACAGATATTCTCCTCTAGTTTTTGACACATATGTAGGCATTTTCTGGTCAGCATATTATGCGCCTCGATCTCGCTTATACCGAGTGGGGTCTTTGTCCTGGTATCTGGATCAAGAAGAAATTCCCTGAAAGACAGATGAAAAAGCCGTATAGGTGTTATGTCATTGTCTGGCACTCTTAGTACTGACTGAAGCGGACTTAGTCGAAGATGTACAAGCCGCTGAGAAATCCCTAAAAGCCTCGATAGTGCGCATATAGAAAGTGATGTTTCTAAGACCACTATAGCACCGATGACCTGGTGAAATTGCAAGACTAGCTGTTCTTTTTGATTCTTATTTTGTCTGTCAAGAAGACGATCAAGGACTGGCAGATATGTCCCAGCCAGCCTTGTGCGATCATCTTGTTGAGTCAAGATTGAAGAAAGGCTATCGGCAGGGTCCCAATCAAGATCTTCAAATATACGACAAATAGTGGCAGCGAAGATGAATGATGGAATGGATAAAGTGACTAGCCTTTGGAGATCTCTCTTGCCTGGCCATTCTGTGGGTAGGTTATGTAGCACCCTAATTTCTGCAAGTCGATGATAGAAAAATAAGGTTATATCGTGCTCAATCACTTCTAAAGGAATATTGTGGAGAACAAAATCCTTATAATGATCGAGGTTCATCTTTGAGAATCCGAAGCGGGATAGATCAGGTCTACTTGTCAAAAGTACCTGTAGACACATTGTAGTTGCCTTTTGGAGTTGCGGGAGAAGTTGAAGTATAAGCTGTATGTCACCATCTCCCTCGCATTCGTCTAATGCGTCAATAACTATTACCACAGTCTGAAGTGAGGTATTAGATCGGGGAAGTTTCTTGAGTGGTTGAAAAAGGAGTTTATCGAATTGTTCCCGTAGTCCCTTTGCTGCAATGCCTGGATTATCATTGACTGCTTCATGCAGAATTGGCATCAGCAAGGGATGAGTAATTGCTAGTTGCCTTGCAATTGTTGGGAAGAGCTTTCTCGCATTTCCTCTGTCCCCTTCGCCTCTCTCAAAGAAAAAGCTTGCTCCAAGTGAACGTGTTTCGCTGAAAGATTTCGCGATTGTTCGAGAGATAGTCGACTTCCCTGTTCCAGCTATTCCATATAACCAGAATATTGCTTCCCTATACGGGGATGCAGCCCATTCTTTGATTTGATTGAGGATACCGGTCCGTGTGCCTGGGAGACATTCGTCCTTATGCTGATTCTCATAGGAGTCAAAGGCTGCCCCGGGCACGATTGCCAACTTATGGTCAAGATCTGCTTGAAAGTCAGCACTGTCGACACTGAGAAATTACTCTCCTCAGATACCTTGGGATATGTGAAATTCGTTCGTGATCGAGCCATGGTTTATCCCTATTTGCGATCCGTGATTGAAGCCAGAAAATGATATGTTTGGATCCATGATACTGCCTGTTAGCATTCTGGAGAAGATGCGGGGATTCCTCGCCCTCTGGGCACACTTGCTGCGGGGGGGCCCGAAGTAACATAGCCTCCCGGGTCGAATAATCTATTTTCCGGATCTCGGCCGCCTTCGCATAGCGCAATAATTCTCGGACCGCGCTCTCCACCCTGCCACTATTTACACAAGATGCTCACGTAATTTATAAAATAGAGCGATCGAGGCCACCTAGATAGCCTGTATTCCCTAGCTTGAGAACCCTCATACAATACACACTGTCCTACCAGTTCAATACCTCGCATGGGCTCATTATGATCAAACAGAAATCAACGAAGCCATCACATCGCTTCTTCGGCCAAACTCTGCAAGAAATCGCAATCGTGCGATATGATTCTAGGTTCGTCATTATCGGGTGGTCCTACCCAGCTCACCAATGAAACCACAAACACTCTAAGCGTTTGCTCTACCCTTTCCATGTTATCCGAAGAGCCTGTCTCATGACCAACTTATTTAGCTGTAGACTCTTCGCAATTCCTAGTGTTGCGGAGGCCTGTATTCAACCCAATATTTGCTTTGAATATTCTCCGGAAGGCCATCATTTCGAATAGTAAGAGATCAAATATCGCAAGGCTAGCAGATAGAAAGTTCACCTTGGAGTTGATGCATATTACAGCGAAATGGTATAGAGATAATGGAGAATTCTGTTACCCTAATTTCACCGTTCTCACCCTGCTCTCACCCTGTTCTAACCCGGTCTGACCCCCAATCTCCAGAATTCTCACCTATATCACCCGCACCCAACCTAGCACAAAACGCGACAATACTTCAAGTCCCAGGGCTCTTTAAGTATTGACCGCGTTTAGTACGTGGCTTAAGTACGGCTGAGCGGACGGGAAGCCCTGTTCTCCACACCCTATGGTCGTATGTACTAGATACAACGGGAAAGAGGAATATATAGAATTTTTTGTAGCCTTTAGAGCATAGAGGAAAGGAGCGACTCTGAACGCAACAGGCAGCGAGCACCTTCCTTATGTGCCCTCACCTTCGCTACCTTCAGACATCCACCGCTTCCCAAGAGTGCTCACACACTGCAATATCTACTACTCACTATCTTCATGGGACTCAGCTCTCACCATCATTCTTACCTCTTCTCAGGAATATCATGCCATCAACAGTTCTCGACTATAAATTCTGCCTCGTTGCGATGAAGTGAAGAAGCAGGTCAACCTCGAGCTGACTGAGATTCTTCATGAATGTTTGGAAAACCTCACCAGTCCCCATGTGCAGATCTTATCTTCCCAATTTATTGCGACGAAATTAATGAAGTATTTCGCATTCGTAGTGGGGTAAAGGGACTTAATTGGCACGAAAATAGATGCCTCGTCCGATTTCCAAAGCTACCAAGCTAATGTCGACCATCTTCGATGTCGAGCCGTCTCTTCTCACAGACTTTGCTCATCCAGCTCACTTTGTCGATTCAGACGCGCAGTTCGTCTGTGCTGTCACTCTTACCCAATGGTTGCCACCGGGCCCGTGTGCTCAGCCTTGGACCATGCTAGACGACGTCCGAAACTCCCAAACTTAAAACCAGACCATGGTGCTTCTGTCCTTGGCGTCAAATTAGATTGATTTTGATGCATCCCAGCTCACGCTCCTAGTCATCAAGTCTGGAATATTCGGAAGCCCCAGCAAGTGACCTTCAGTGAATGCACTCACACTGAATTGGAATGAGGAAGAATTGGTACCCCAACGTTCAAGAAAGCTTTGAATTATCGTTGGAAAATCTCGGGGATGTCACTGAAATCATTCCCCAGAAGGTTCCCAGCAATCCAATTGACACGGATAGCGGAACAGAAGCATTCTGGAGATCTCCGTAATGACTCCATTGAAACAACCACGCAAATAGAAAGTAGAATGAAGGAGTCAAAAACACTGCACTGTAAGCCGCCAACATCAATATCGAGCGCTCCTCAACGATGTATAAGCCCCAAAATATTTCACGCGATGAATCCTGTTCTTCAAGGTGACTGTCTCGCTTTGGAAGCTTTTCGCTAACAACATCTCCGCATCTTGCATTAATCGAATATGCCTTCCAAATTCTCTTCAATATACTACGTGAGATATGACTGTACCAAGAGTGATACAGAAACCAGTGATTGAACTCATGTGGGGACACTGGCGGGTCAGGGAAGATGGGCTTGGGGAAGAAATGATAAGACGCTTGCTGCGGGCCAGGAAACTCGGCGGTCAAGGGAGCATATGCAGCCTGTAAGAATCTCTCGAACTATTCCAAAATTAGAGATTGAGGTAGGACTATCTTAGTTCAACAAAGCAACCATGAACGTACCTTGAAAAATGCACAATGTGAATACTTGTAGATCCCAAACCAGGTTGGAAAAAACCCTCGATGGGCGTAGTACATCGATCGAACCCATGAAAAGAAATCCTCATCATCCATCAAATTGACTGAAGTTTGGGCAAGTCGTTTTGAATGTCCGAAGGGGGAAGAGTTCGTCACAATAAGAAACACGTGGCGATTAGGCCTATTTCCCGGGCCTGGTTGCTGTTGGGAGGATCCAAGTTGAGGGTTGCGAGGAACTGAATTGTGAGTTCCCCGCCGCCCTTGATTTAGGGGCTGGCCAGACTGGCTCATTCTGGTATTTAGGCTTTGTGAGACGAGAGTGGTGTTTGTCGGAGGTAAAATCTTGGTAGCGCCAGTGACCTTTTTTGCAAATGATAAAGGGACTTCGACCCATCGAGCTTCACCACAATCCTAGACAAATTGTATTAATATTGAGTGGCGATCATTGAAACATCATACAAGCAAAATCAACAAACTCACACATTGCCAGTGTAAACGAGCCTCATCGTTTGCTAAAGCGCGCATGTAGGGCCTGAGAGGCCACCAGTCCCATCTTTCCGCTGTAAATGCCTCCCATTTGCCTTTGATGGTATTTAAGATCGAATAATCCTCATCAAAGCTCAGTGCTATCTTATCCGGCCCGACGTGTTGCAGCTCACTCACTATTACTTCAAGATTATGGAGCTGTGTACTCGTAAATTCTCCACTCCTCCGCTTTTTCAAAATCCATTTAAAGAGAATGGATCGCATAGACGGAAAGACAAAATCGTGAAACTCTCTCTCCATAATTTGGAAAGCATTTGAGTGGAAAATGAGGTGCTCTATTCTTTGAAGATCGTCCACCAGTGTCTGTTCCGCGATCTCTGGGGCATCGGGAATGGAATCTGCCTCGGAGTCGGAGTCAGAATCTACTTCGTCACGACCCTCTGTCTTGCCCTGAATATGTGGCTCGAAATTAATTACATCGAATTGCTCATTTCGAATTAGCCGAGATGAATCTTCTCGTGTTTGAAGATAGTCCAAGACCTTGGCTCTAGAACTCTCTTCCTCGACTAGGCGAATATTGGATTCCTCTAGCCCGGAGGGCCTCGTTTTGCCGAGTGATTGCATAGTAAGGCTTGCTATTCTGAGCTGTGAACCACGAAAAAACTTGATGATATGAGGCTCGACTCCTAACTCAGGTTCGCGAGTCAAATGGGATGCAAAGCGGCCAAGGGCTTTTTCCAGGTTTCTCCGAATGCGCATCTTTGAGTAGCCGCTTTCCTCAAGCGCAAACCTGCAGACTTGTTGAAATGTTTCCATACCCAGGAGTGAGGCCGTGAAGACTTCAACAGCGGATGTGACAATTGAGTTATCGAGGGATGTACCTGAAGAACTACTGCCCGTAAAGGACAAGCTGCTAATGACGGATCCGAAATCGGAGATATCTGAGTCACCATCCTCGTCAGGAGATATACCTCGAGCCAACTTCATCTGAGAGATTTTCTGAAGTAGTAAAGTGGCTTTTGTTGCCTTCGGACCATGCTTTCGGAGCTCCTTTGCTCGGACTTGAGTGACTGTCTTTGCTAGTCCTTCGGCTTCTTCCCATTGACCCATGTCAAAAAGCAAAACCGCCAAAATCTCCATGCTATCTAGGGTGTTTCGATGCTCCATGCCAAAGATTGTCTTGCGACAGTCTACGACCCGACGTTGAACTTTTTCAGCCTCATGGGGGCGTTTCTGCTTGGTAAATATTAAGGCCAGGGTATTCATGCCTTCCAAAACATCGGGATGGTCTGGGCCAAGTGCATTCTCGATGACTTCGACTGACTCTTTCTGCAACAATTCCGCTTCTTTAAATTCCCCTTGATCGAGGAGAACTAAGGCCAACTTCCCTAGGCTCTTTGCGGTGCTTGTGTGGCCCGACCCAAGAGAGGCCTTGAGGGTCTTTATTGATTGGCGGTACATTGCATCAGCCTTTTCCAGTCGCCTTTGACTTCTGTAGATAGATGCTAGAGAATCCATGCTAGAAAGGACATCTGGATGCTCAAGGCCGAGTGTTATCTGTTGGCCTTTCAGGGCTTGCTCTTGGATTGCTTCAGCTTCATCCCACCGCCTCTGGCTCGAATATATTGCACCCAGGCTTACTAGGCTCATCAAAGTATCGGGATGGTTTAAACCAAGGATCTTTTGCCTTCCTTCAACCACCTGCGCACCGAGTACCTCGGCTTCATCCTCTCGACCTTGGTCTCGATAGATCCTTGCCAGATTATCAATCCCCACAAGTGTGTCTCGGTGTTGAATCCCGCGGAGTCTCTTATAGATTTCAAGCAGTTGGAGAGAGAGCTCCTCGGCCCGTAAAAATTCGCCTTGAGCATGATAAACCGAGGCAAGATTGCTCATGCTACTCAGAGTATCCGGATGCTCTGCGCCTAGGATATCCCTGCGTATCTCTAACACCGCTATGATGAGCGTCCTCGCTTTTTCCAACTGACCTTGCTTTTCGTAAATCACTGCAAGATTGTTTTTGCTAGTTAATGTGTCTGGATGCTCTGCACCTAGAATTCGCAAGCGTCTCTCGTGTACTTGTGAGTTCAATCTTTCGGCTTTTTCCCATAGACCTTGGTTATCATAAGTCGCCGCAATATTGCTCATGATGCTCAAAGTATCTGGGTGCTCCTCACCGAGCGTGCGTTGAGCTATGTCGAGCAACTTCAAACTTGGCAGCTCTGCCTCACGCCATCGACCTTGATACCATTTTGACAATGCGAATTGGCCTGTGACAAAGAGGGAAATAGGGTGTTCATCCCCTAGCACACGGCTGCAGCGTTCCGTCTGCTGTTCTGCTAAAAGCTCTGCTTCACCCCACTGGCCCAATAGCAGATAAGCTAAGATGACAGACGTGGAAACATCAATTGTCTCTGGATCATCAGGACCTAGCAATTCCTGTCTCACCTCTACCGCAGCCGTGGCCATTCGCTTCATGTCTACTGTTTCACCAATAGTCCACGCGTAGCGCGAGCCTCTGTGCAGTAGGGTTGCCCATTCGAGAAGTGGTTCACTCTGGCCCGCAATTGGACGTTGTTTTATCATAGCCTTCACATGCGGGAAGAAAAACCGCCAATCACTTGTACTCTCAAAGTTCATTTCTGGCAGCTGATGGCAAAGGCATTTGATAGACTGTGCTAACCATTGATTGGTTAGGCCTTCTAACTCGAGCCGACGTTTCAGCTCCTGTTGCACTAAGCCATGCATTGCCATTGTGCTTGAGTCTTTGACACATATTAATGATAAATCGGCGAGTATGTCGATGGAAGCGTCTAATCTTGCACGTGGCCAATGCCGTTGGTAGATTTGATTCAGTGGTTGAGTGGAGACCTTCATTCTAATGCTTTCTTCATTCTCACTGAGGCTTTTGTCTCCTCGTGTTTCAAGAAAAGTTTTAGGGATTTCCTGAGGTTCAAAGAAACACATCAATGACAATATCTCTGAGGCTTCCGGCATTGTTTGTCTAATGTGATTGAATGTACTGTTCAATATGCTATGAAGCGGATTAGAACGAGGAGCAGTATCCTGAATTGGCATATGAGCATCTAGCCGGTCACAAAGGGTTGATATGCTCAATTGAGGTTGAGACTTGATCAAAAGGGCTGCTTGGACAACCGCGAGTGGGTGAAAGCGAAGTCTTTTGACAAGTATGCTGACTCTCTCATCATTTGAGCTTTGACCGAGATTTCTATAGAAGAGTGCCATTGCGAGAGGCTCGCTCATAGGCTCCATCCCAATGAATTCATCATTTGTGGCTATTTCCTTAGCTACAAGTAGGCTTCTTGTGGTCAAAAGTACAGAGCCGTTGGGGCTCCGAGGTAGAAAGCCTTCAAGTGGGTTAGACAAAGTCTTTTTTTCGTCGTTCGTTATGCCTTCTAGGCTTCCTGTTGGGGTTGTCTGAGGAAGATCACAATCACTATCCATGCCATCGAGAACAATGATCCATTTTTCTTGCTGCTTCTCAAGCCAGTCATGAACAACATGAAAAATGTTCGTGTCGGTGGAATTTCGATATGGTATATCGAGATTATCGGCAATATCGCGGTAGCACTGATTGAATCGGGCCGCGCTATTCGCGTAAATCCAGAAAATCAAGGTCTCTGGCGATTTGTCACGAATGCGATACATGCATTCAATTGCTAGGTGGGACTTTCTTCTCTATGTGAGTATGCGGTCTATCCTTTGGGGTGGGCACGTCACTTTTGGAAGACCTACCCAATACCACCCAGTCCAGTCAGAGCCACTCGAGATCCAGGAATAGAGAGCTTGTTGCTGACTTGGTCCAGGAGCTTCTGGTCCACAATGAAGTCATTATCTCGTCGAAAAGGCACGGTAAAACTCGGATTCCGGGAAGTCCTAGATCTTGCTAGAATAGTATCGCCATTAGCAAGTGCTTAGCCAGTGGAACGAGGAGCGGGCGATGTGTTTGTTAGATCTTACCAGGCGAGAACTCAAATTCAGAAAATCTGATCTGTCCATTGTTTATGCCCACCTGGAACCCATGGTTCGAGTTCCCGAACGAGATAGAGTTCATGATAATGAGAGGGATTCATGTCAATTCGTGGGTGTTCGAGTTCGTTTGGTTTGAATGTTCTGAGCTGGGCAGCTGGAGGTCAGTGCGACGGCTGCGGGGTTTCTCGGTCGCCCCATGCAGCTCATCTCCGCTCAGCCACGTTCAAATGAATGATCTCTCAATTCCGACATGATGATCGGACAGGCCAGCGAGTGATTTTCATTTCTCAGTTTCAAGGGGCATCTGGTGCTATTCCAAACAATTTTGCATCTTTCCGAGGGTTGTTTACAAAACGATGGAGTAAATGATCATGACTAGGTTGGTCCTCGTACGCGTACCTGATGGGCCCGCACCGCAATGGATCTACGGCACGTTCCGTCCATGAAACCATGGACAAGGCACTTGAAACGTTCAAGAACTGTGCTTATCCACTCAGTGCAGGGTGGCCCAATGATTTTTTTTTTCCACCCTAAAGCCTACACTATATTCGGGCGTCTCACTTTTTTAATGCCGTTCTTAAGCAAAATTTGGAACAAAATTGTGACTGAAACGGTAAATTTGACACCGATTTCCCACGTGGTAACAGACGCCTGGTCTTCTTTCGAGCAATAACATATTTATAGCAGCATATTTAGCTGGAAGTGACGAAGAAATCATTGGCCAGCAATACCGTGCCGACAAAGAACTCAAAGTTGAAGTTGGCATGACTACTACGAACTTATTGAGACCACCATTATCTCCAAAGATCAGTCTATTAGCATTAAGAAAGCCAGGTGCAAGGTATCTGTCGGGTTCCATCAAATGCACTACCTATTAGTTCCACTGCCATGGGCGCAGGTGGCTATAAACTTGAATAGCGATTTGATACGTGGGCAAGATAAAGGAGCAGAATATGCAGTCATGGACCCGTACTGCCTCGGTGGTTAAGTAAGTATGATGGGGATTTTTAAGTAAATATGCACAGGGTGAGTAGTATGATGTCAGCTCAAGAATTCCTGATGAAGTAAAAAGTAGAAACATTGCTAGTTCGCTAGCGAAATATTGCAAACGAAACTCATGGCCAGACCCCGCTATTCTGCCCTGCAAGGAGCGGGAACGCGAAAATCGTGAAGCTACCACGTGAGCGAGGTGCTGTATTTTACCCTGAAGATAATATTGATGGCCGAACCCCGCTATTATGTGCTGCGGAGAGGGAACACGAGACCAATATTAGTTACCCTTTCTACGGCCGGTTTGGACCATAGACCAAATGCCGCCAGAATTTTGTGCTGAGGAATGAGAAGAAGACCACTTCTCATGAAAGCGAAGGATTTCATTCTAGAATATTACTGCGCCCAGGCGAAACATAATCCCTTCGTAGTGATACCAACAACACATAAACAGTAGATGTCATCACGAGGAGATGAAGCCCACATCAGTACTTCAGGCAGGTGCTGGATATTCAGGTGTAACATAGTGGTGTTCAGAGAATTCAGGGTGAACTGGGGGGGGGCGAACACCCTGAAGGGGTAGGGGTAGAATGTTAAGGCAGTTTTCCCGAAGAATCAATATATATGGGTAATAAATATGGGTGAACAAAAACATACAACAGCAGGGATTCGCATGTGGTCACCCACTATACTACTAACCTGCCGGCGTGTGGCTAAAACACAGACAGTAGTGCGGTGGGTGCCGCCCGGGTGAGAATAGGGTGAGCGCCGCTTTAGCGTCGCGCGACCCGGGTGATTAGGGTGAGTGCGCAATGGACAGGGTGAGAACGGGGTGACATCGGGTGAGAATCATACTTGTCATGCAAGGATTACGCCTTGACCCTCCAGACTGAAGTGAAATACACATTATTGGCCGGTATACCACCACCTGAATTTTTGTACACTATGAGTTCTTTCAGAGGTTTTGAAGAAATTCAATATGAAAACAAATGGTAGGATCTTGTATTCTTCGTTTCGTTCAGAGGCATTGATCTAACAAGCATTATATAGGCTCCGTGTTCATCCTACATAGGAATGGTGTGACCTTTATCAGCCCAGTACCATTGATAAACTTCAGTTGTTCTTTAATCGTTATACGAAAGATGTTCAAAATAACTGGGAAAAACCCCTGAGGGTTTGAATTTCCCTACTGTAATTCAACAGGGTACTAGTCCCTCCTTATATTCAAAGGGCCTTTTCTAAACTATACTCAGGAATTGATTATAAACGTCCTATATAATAACTCGCCGCTAGTATTAACTATATATAAAAAGCCGTTTCTTAGGGAGAATAATTTATTAGCAAAAGCTATACCTCTTAACAGAGGGAGTGTTTCTTATTAGTCTAATAAGATTAGCCTACAGATAGGCTCTGACTATAAGAAGCTCTCTTTCCAGTATATATTCCTGTATAGAGCCTTTGTTGTAGGCTATACTTATATTGTTCTATATATATTATACAACAACTATAATAATATAGATATATTTATATAAGTCTATAAGCAGACAAAACAGACTGGAAACTCTAAAATATAAATATCCCCCTCAGTAATTTAAATATAAATACTTCTGATATTTACACTATTAACCTGTTAAAATACCTCAGTCTAATAGGCGTCCTTCAGGCCAGTTATTATAATATTAAACTTAACCTATCTAATACAAGCTAGCCTAAATATAATTACAGTCAAAATTCCTCTGTCCCTCAGGAGCAAATTATCCGGATAGAAATCAGGCTTTGGTAAACTAGTATTATTAAAGTTACTTATTGGTCCCCTTAGTTAATCTGCCGTTAGGAGCCTATAAGGAGACGAAATTATATAGGACTTAAGCATCGGGGTTATAATACAAAATCAAATGAGTCATCCTGTATATTGTCCATATAGGTTTCGATCAGAAAGGGATTTGCCTTATGTTACAGATATACTCACGAACAAATACATCGGAAAGCGTAGTAGGAGTAGAGGTAGAATAATGCTGATCGCCAGATATCTCTTACCTTGAGAACCCCGCCTTAGAAGATGCCTTGAAGACTTACGGAATTTTACAATGTCTCATTTTGTGCTGACACTCAATACGATATGATTCACAATACGACAATAAATTTCTTGTTTGCTTTACGAAAGGCACTAGGCAGTGTCTCGGTATCAAGTAAGATCCTACCTAACACACTTGCTTTTGTACGTTCACTGTGGACCACAGGCACTCACCGCATGATGATTCTACTTTTAGCCTGGCGTATGCGGAGATATACCTAACCTATGCCAGACTCGTCCGCAATTTCAATATGGCAATTCATGATACAACTCAAGACGATACCGTTGTGTATCATATTCGACTCACTGATGCTCCAAAGGAAGGCAGAGAAGAGGTTAAGGAGAAAGTAACGGGAAAGCTATTATAGATCTATGACGTTGGCCAAGATGGGGGGAATGCCAAAAGTGGGTAGTGGAGTGCTCAAATGTTTTCCATTGATGTGTTTAGTAGCTATGATGTGAAGAGATACAGACTGGGAAAGGGTGCCGACAGCACCAACAAGCGAGCAAAAAAGGCCTTTTTCGGGGTTAACTGAAAGCTAAAGATGCGATGATTGGCGGAGCACAGAGAGTGACTTGATATTTGGTATCCCTTATTTTGCTATTCGTATCTTCTTTCAATGGACTTTGTGTTCTTTGATGGTTACAGAAATTTTTGACATTCTTTGGCGCGGGAAAACAAAAACGGCGGGAAAACAAAAACGCTCAGAGAGGGTATGTAAGTGTCATCAATTGAGCTAGCATATCCCTGTATCACTGACAGGAAGGCAAGAGTGATTCGATTATTCTATGGTCTGATGGCAACATGATATAATTGTCGCAGTTTAGGCAATCTAGCCACTTGAAGACTCATTCCCGATCTGTCAAATTCAAAAGCTGCCAGAAGATAAAGTTTGATCCGCCGGCGTAAATGTAGTTATGGGCCAAGGGAAATTACGTACTGTGGATACTTTGTGGTAAAAGGCCCCCGGTTCAAGATCTCAGACCAGGAGGTTCTCAAGTTGGATTCGTTGATTTTATCCGCTGGAAAATAAAAGTGGGCGAGAGCCAAGAGCGAGAGCGAGAGCGAGAGCGTGGGATCAGAAGACTGGCTGGCAGGGCTGTATGGTTGACAGGACATGGGGGCTATTTGCTTCGTATTCTTCCGCAAGCGACATGACGGGGCTTGGCATACGTAGAGGCTTGGCATACATAAGGGATCGGAGAAGTCAAGCAGAGATTACTTCTAGCTGCTGGGAATGTTTTATCGCCTTCGGCCAAGTCTAGCCATCATGAATCAGATTGCTTAGGTAAGTCTTGGCAGAAGACACTTTCCTGTAGGTATACTTGCAATGAAGTATATGTCTGGATAAGATATTCATTTAATTCTTGTGCTAAGCTTGAGCATTCGAGGAATGCCAATGAATCCTAATCCTTGAATCGCCGAATTCAGATTTAATATTTGTTCATATTCACGTGACTTAGAGCTCCTAGGATTGGCTAGCTCTGGGTCATTCATCGTTCGCCGACAGCTGGTGAACTTGAGGTGGTTGTAGGGATTGTGAAATAAGAATAATGGCCTATTTGAGACTGGATTCTGGAATAACGTGAGAGGCTAGAGTCAATGGGAAAAGTAGGCCAACTCGGAGCTACTACGGTGCTCCAACATCCTCCCGCGTTTATTACACTCTGAAGCTTATTTCACCTACTCCCCTACTCGCGGCCAGACTCGTAGAAGAAGAAATCTTTGACACAGTGAGTCCTGGATCGAGTGTCTGGCCTCAGCATCGCGTATTCTGGTGTTGGTCCGAGCTTGCTACAAAGTTCTGCCCCGCCGGTCGTCCAGCTTTGATAGGGGCTTTGACACGACGCCCCAGCCCCTTTGATTGATGTCCGAGACACGTTTTTGATCGAAGCTGACAACAAAATGACGTTTCCGGACTCTTCTTTGGCAACGTCCGCCTTAAGGGGATGGCTTACACTCCTTTGAATGCTGAGGATTCTTGCTGCCTCGAACAGACGCCCTCCTATGCCCCTACCCCCCCGATACCTGGAATCACGTATTTATGCCATCAGTAGTCTACCCCTCGCCATATCATGAGAACTCGGGTGACGAGCGTTCGTCCTCGTATCAAGGCTTTTCCAGGCAGTCAGGATTTGACCCATTCCCCGGGCTTGATGATAATAATGCGTATGATGAACAGTCCCCAGATTGTTTTCAATACCAAATTGAATGGAAAGCTAAACCGAATAATCGAGTTGTGGTGAAGGACACAAAACAGAACTTGGCTCTCCGGCCTAGTTCCTACTGGGACGAAATAAACAAGAGGCTGGTGATATTTTACGACGTAAGATAGCCCGCAGCCGGCGACTGAGACTAGATGATACTAATATCATATTGTCGGTGCAATTCCAACGGGATATTGACAAACGCTTTGAGGGCACGAGCGTTGATTGGCAAGTAGTAGAGAAACAGCAACTGATGTGGCAAAAAGATCCGGCTCCAGATTTCTACTAACTATATAGACGACAGCGGACCTCTTCCGTCTAGTAATGACAAGAGAGGGAAATTGTCGACTACAAGAAGGATGCTCTCCAATTTAAAATTAATTACATTGAACTCATGTCTACTTCGTATAAAACCATGGATTGAATGTATAGAAAAGCAGGGAATACGAGCTGCGCCTCGATTCCCCGGAATGGCTTGGCTTGGCTTGGCGTAGGTCAACACCTGGGCAATCTTGCGATAAAATACCAAAGTGACTGTGATTAGATGGAAATCTTGAGCACCCAACCTAATTGAGTTACAGTCAAAACCCTGTGACCTACGTTCGACTGGCAGACTGGCAGTCAAGTTGGCCAAGCTCCGAATGCAGTCACAATGCCATACTGCTCTACTTAGAGCGTAAATCAAATTGTTTCATTGCGATGCTAGATCAAGAACATGTTACAATAATGGAAAGCGAAAGATGACGTTGAGATCGATGTACCAACAACTTGTTTCGCCGAGCTTTTGTAAAAACTTTAGTTCAATAACATTGTAAAAGAAACCGCACTGTTTTCTAGTCACCCACTATTTATTGTAGAACATAATATGCTCGCTTTGAAGTGCGAGTACCCAGGAATAAATAGGCTTTAAAGTATTCAAGCACCTGTCGCTGATCTATCTCATTAATATTGCTCTGAGGTATAATATGAATCGATCTTTGATTCAGAGAATGAAAGCTTGGGTCGGTCTAAATCGGTTTCTCGCCGGAAAAGGAGCTGCCATCGCGATGATCTCATCATATATCTATTCTTGAGTCGAGAAGCCAAGACCTCATTATCAATGCAACGCATGAAATACTTGAAAATGTCGCCACAGGATGGAGTATAAAGCGAGTGAAGGTTCCTCTGTAGTCCTTTGAATCTCCTAGTATCCAAGATCAAATCATTCTCCGCCAATTTCCCTCTCATAAAATATTTCATTCTTGACTTTTGATCAATATGAAGTCACCTATCTATATTCTGGCAATGCTTCTTCCACTTGCTACAGAAATAGCTATGGGCTCACCAGTCGTGGAGCCAGACTTTGATGCGATTGAGGAGCGAGGTCAAGGAAACAACAAGCACTGGGACAAAGACTGGGATGATCACCACGGATGGGACAAGCATAAGAACCCATGCGAGGTCCAGCGATCTTACCCATACTACAAATATCCCTGCGATTCGAGCCCCTCGACCGGCATGTCGCAAGTCGGTGCTATTTTCACGCCTTCATGCAAATACCAGTGAGTGTATCAAGTCCCCTTGTAATTTCCATCGCTGATAAAAGTATCTATAGGAATGGCAACTCTGGCGTTTGGTACCTAGCCGCCAAAGGATGGGTTAAGGACTCAGACAAACCTTCCCGATGCCGTGAGTGACGCTTCAGTGTCGTTTAGTGCGTGAAAATATACTGATAAACAGTTTAGCTGGTACGAATAACCCTTGCCCTGCGTAGATAGATATACGTGGGCTTCGTGAACATCGAAGAGGAACGGCTAAGAAGGTTTTCTTTGCGATTCAACACATTATTCGACGTGGAAAAAAAAATGCTTTGGTTACAAGGTTAATTTCAGATCAGTTTTGTTTATTGTAATTGGTATCAGAAAATAGTACAAAAAGCCTGAATTTCTCAGGGATTAAAACAATTACGTGCTGTGTTATACTACTTTAGATCGCTCGCTCTCGTATTACGGTATCGTGTCCACAATAGCGATTAGCTCAATTATTGGCCTATCACAAAGCTTTGAAAGAGCACATTGGATCATCTCAGAAGATTGGCTAAGTGCGAAGCTATCAGAAAAAGATAGTTCGCAGGGAGAGGGCACACTCTTAGTATCAACGGAATATAAATTGCGCATTGAAAATTAATATTATCTTGATACATGGTCATGTTCTAGAGGCAATTATCACATTTCCTTGACACACTCTGTTTCTAGTCTGGCGTATAGAGATTTTGACAACATCTACACTGGCCAATGATGAACCAGAGGAGAACCGCGGAAGCCGTCGAGGTATATCCAAGGATTGAGTAGCTTCCAGTACCCTGGCGCCACCCTAGCGCCACCTACTTCGTTCCGTAGCTGATTACCTGATTATAGCCGTCTCTCTAACCAGTGTTCATAGTAAGCGAGACCGAGAGCGACTTCCGATTGAGACGATGTTTTCATACCAGATGTTTCCTTGGAAATATCTCTTGAATGCTTAGAAACTTGAGACATGAAAAGCAGATTAGAGTTTGAATGTTCCGAGCCGAAGACTGCTGAAAGCATCAAGAATTGAGGAATTCACCATATTCTCGCCCTTGGCGGCTCTCGTCGCATTTCATCCCGCCACCTCAAAAGCTTCCAGGTGATTTTCTTCTGTTTTCTCATCTGGCACGCAGATTTGTCATGATTAATCAATTGCTCGTGCAAGTTGCCTTGAAGCTGATGTACATAAGTCCTTTCTCAAAGACCACTAATAGTTTAAGTATTCTCTGCGAAGCCACTCCTCGTGGCCAGAAGATATATGGGCTTCAATGATAAGAAAAATCAAGATACTGAGATTCGAGGACGAAGTTGCATGGTTTTGTATTGTTGTAGGTAACGACTGTTATATACATAAGGAATTAGCGTAGGACGGTAAGCGTAGTAGACCTGGTAGGCAGTTCCGGGATTATATCCTCCCCCATCTAGACGAAACTTGCCCTGCAAGTTTGGAATTTACACGAAACCTGACGACAGTAGTATGACGTGGCTAACTGTCTTATAATCTAAATAAAGTATATATTGACACAGTATCCTTTGCTTCTAAGCAGAAAAGCGCTTCTAAGCAAACAATTACTTCCGGAGTCTTCTCACCTCTCTTACCCCAGTTTCCAGAATTCTCACCTAGATTACCTGTACTTACCCTAACACAGAAAGTAACGCTAATTTAGGATCCAGGGCTCTTTGTTTATTGACCGCATTTAGTATATGGCTTAAGTACAGCTGAGCGGACGGGAAGCCCTGTTCTCTACACCCTATGGTCATATGTACTATTAATCCCCTGAGACGGGGATATATGCTAAGTAATAATTTAGGTAAGAGCTTATGGGTATGTTATGGACCTCCATAGTGTCGTCGAGAATTTAGACATTCTTCGAAATCTTGTCTTAACAGTAAATCTTAAAAAGTAGGGGCTTGTAATTTGCATCAGGTGCTACGCACAAGCGGGACTTCTTCCAACGGTACCTTTACATGGCTTTCAAGAAATTTCAAAATATCCTCAATCTCGTCATTCACACGATACCAATGACCAGGTCCCTGATACGCCTTCCAAGTCACATTCATCCCAAGTCCAGTTAAAAGAACTCGGCACATTTTCTCGCCCAGTTGAACAGAAACCTTGGGGTCTTCTACACCATGGCCAACAAACACAGGCGTTTGTAGCTGACATAGATTTGAAATAGGTTGGCCACCCTCTGAGGATTGTTTGTCTGTTGAGGCCACTGGTAGATCAAGGATATCGCGGACATACTCAATGGCTTGAATGAACAGCGGTACTTCATCTTCATCTTCATTCAAAAAAGGATCGAAGTCATCCTGGGGCGGACTGGGCTGCTGGAATAAATCTTCTCCCAAGTCCGACTCATGACCTTCGCTCAAATCAGATTCCGTGTCACTACTTGAATCGTTGCTGGTTGAATCTTCATCTTCCATGTCGCCGTCATTTGAGTATGCTTCATGGTTGCTATCCCCCAGCGGTGTCCTTTTATCACCATCGTATCCGAGGATCTCGCCTAACTGCTGTTCGAATGGCAGCCATTCACTCAATCCGACAAATGCACCAATAGACCTCTCTTCGTTCATATCCGGCCACCCACCCAAAAGAGTGAAGATACCCGCAGCGCAGCCCTGACTGAGCCCCCACAAAATGACCCTTCGTATCCCCCTTCCCCCAAAATCCGGGCCTCTTGTGCGATTAAGCCGCGAATAAACTCGGCGGTTTCACATAACCCCTCGATTTGAAGGTCTGTTCTTTGACCAGGATCCTCAAGGGAATAATTGTCGTACCACTGGTTTATGGGAATTTTCTTAAGTACTATTGAGCGCCTCTTAGACGCGGTTGGGAAAACGAATTTGACGGTGGGCAGTCGCGACTGAAGGTTTGCAGATTCAAGTAATTCACGGCCATAACGCTCCGAATTACTTCCTTGTCCATGAAGCGAGATGATCGTATGGGTATGGTCTTTGCTCAAGGGTTGCATGACCAGCGGCGTGGGATATGGCCTTCGTGGCATTTTAACCGTGTCGGAATGTGAGAGATGAGGACAGACAGACCAAGGATGGGCTGAAAAGAGAAAAAAACCAAGGAAGAAAGAGCTTGCAGCCAGGGTTATTCCCTCCTTTTCTCTTCCGCGGCCTGAGTATATCTTTGCTTTATTTGTGATCACAATCAATCGGCACAAAGTGGGCGCTTAGGTAATCAACCAACAGATCAATTAGTTACCACTGCCTTCTCAATCCCTTTATTGAACGCCCCACGGGCTTCCCCGCTCTCATTCAAGTTCTGCTGGGGATTCCTGGTTTAGATATTCGCCAGTATTTCAAGATTCTTTTTTCTTTTTTTCGAAAAAAAAAAAAGGAAAAGAAATAGATTGCAAACTACCTTGTCCCCGGGAAGCCATTGGAATGGGGCTTGCACGAACCTTCCCTATGATTACTTGAAATTGTCTTCATTAGGCACGCGCAATCTGCTGTTTCGACTACTATGGCCCACTAACTAGCTGCAGGACTACCTATTTTTGGCCATATCCGAGTTTCTAGCAGCTTCTGGAGGCGACAATTGAAACAGTATCCCTGTTTCCCTAACCACTATGTGGTTTCTTGGGCTCAGTTGATTCTATCTCTTTTTTTTAGATCAAAAGCGAATCGCTGCTCAACCGGTTTGCGCCATCTTCAGCCAGTGAAAGGCAGTGCAGTAAGCGCCTCTCCTTGACTCAAAGAACCCTACCCTCCTATGACGACATTATAAGGAAAATAACGTCTTCGTAACTATTATTATCCGAGAGGATGTGACCGTGAAAACAGGGAGACGATATTGATCAAATTGACGACTAAGAAAAGCATTTTCATTGGGTCTCTGCTCAAGACTGAAAATACCTAAAATTCGAGATATATGACTTATGGAATCATAGTGACTAGTAGTAAGCCCAACAAATCAAAATACCAATAAATAAAAACAAAAACATACAACAGCAGGGATTCGCATGTGGTCACCCACCATACTACTAACCTGCCGGCGTGTGGCTTAAGTACGGCTGAGCGGACGGGAAGCCCTGTTCTCCACACCCTATGGTCGTATGTACTAGATACGACGGGAAAGAGGAATATATAGAATTTTTTGTAGCCTTTAGAGCATAGAGGAAAGGAGCGACTCTGAACGCAACAGGCAGCGAGCACCTCCCTTCTGTGCCCTCACCTTCGCTACCTTCAGACATCCACCGCTTCCCAAGAGTGCTCACACACTACCATATCTACTACTCACTATATCATGGGACTCAGCTCTCACCATCATTCTTACCTCTTCCCAAGATATCTCAGGAATATCATGCCATCAGCAGTTCTCGACTATAAAACTACCAAAAATCCCGGTCTGGTCGTCAGATTTAATCGGGGCACTATGGTTCCATGGTCAAGTCTTCGGAACATATCTACCACCAAAGTAGATACCTAAGGTAAAATTGTTTGGTACTGGCACTGGATCAATCTGTCAGGTCACACCTTGTCGTCTTTTAGCTCTTCATCTCCTGGAGTCTGGCTATATGTAACATACTTTACAATCCATAAGAAGCCACGATTCACACTGAGCCAATTCTGCTTGTGTCTTTTTATGATGCTCCCTCTCATGATCTAGTTTCTGTCAAAGTCCTTCCGTTTTCTTTCGAAGACTATCTAATTTCCTTTCCACATATCGATCGATCCTTGGTCGCATATTGGAGAATTTTTCGTCCTAGCCTGGGTTTAGCCAGCTGCACGAGACTGCACATAGTCACGTAAGTACCAAAGTAGATCCCTTTTGTTTACGGGGCTGTTCGTGCGCTTCACCCATTCCGGAAAAAATCCTTCTTGGCTCTGTGTCTGAATGGAAACATGTCTTCTCACTCATCATAATCTAGGATGACGATTGTAGTGTCGCTATCTGGGGTATGAGCCATAAATGCTAGCAGTGTTGTGCGTGGCTTCAATGGGAAGGAGAATGAAGATAGCAAGGTGTCCCTATATCAGAATTTGTGGAAGAGAACCAGGAACTGGATAAGAGGAGGGGAAGGGCCATTATACATCGGACCAAACAGCCCTAGTGTGCCAGAGACTGATGGTGATTGGTTTCCTGTGGTAGGCGCATGTTCCAGGAAATGCCAGCTGCATATTTGGGCAAGGGCCATCTCACAGATGCCCGCTCAGTAGATCTAGATAATTTCCTTTCTTCTTGATGGCCATGAAAGTCTATATGGTCTTATACTCCGTGCTCTTATAGCATCAAAGCATCTTAATGTATTCAAACTTGGAACTCCCTATTTGGAACAATAATAGCGTTAATACATATCTCCTATTCTCTTTCTATGCTTCGACCAGAAGAAGTATATCGAGCGCCAAAAGGTCGAAGCCCAGGGAACCAACTAGCGAAGTCCAAGACCACTTACAAATATCCTTGATATCGTTTTGTTTGTGAGATTCGAACTGGCAAAGAGCAAGGCATCAGATAATCTCTCCCCGACAAAGCAACTAGTAGACCAAAACCTCCTCATATTTTTCTCCCTCGTCCCTCCATTTTTTAAGCACCTTCTTCATATCCGCCGCAATATTCTGAGCATAGTCAGGCCCAGCGGCCCCGGCAGGCAAATCTGCTGGGTTCCCCCTAACCCAAGCAACAGGTTCTTTAGCAACACCTGCGAATTTCTTCTTAAGCTCTTCAACCTGCTGGGGCTCATAGCCGCGACCGAAGATTACCGCGCGAGGAGGCCGGCTGTAATCGTGGGTTCCGATCTCATTGGGGCTCTGAGGCTGAGGATCGCGACCTGCAAGCAGATGCGGGAGCTCAGCCTCTGCAGCCTCATATGACAGGATGAAGTGGATGACTGAGGAGCATTAGCACCATACTTTATTTATTTCAGGAATGTATATCAAGAACCTTCATATTCAGGCGGTAGGTGCTGGGAGATTGATTTCCCCATCGCGGGTATTCTGCCGCAGGCAACTACTGGCACCGGCTGAGTGAAAGAAGACATATTGCGAGAGCTATACGTTGTACGCTGCGGATGAAGGTATTTCAGAGTATTGGAGATAGAGAATAATAGAGTAAGCTGAGGTCGATGATTCGATTTATATTCCTCGTTCCGGCGCGCTCGGTCTTGATGATAAGTTGATGACGTTCGGACAGAGCATGAGATCTCCGACTCCAGCCAATTTTAGAGCCATAGACTTTGGGCGCAGTTCGGGCCAATCGTGGCGACCCACCGATTTTTTGGTTTATTCAACAGCCCCGACGCCCTGACCCCCGATAAGTAAAGCAACCCCGTCACGTCCTTTTCGCGTTTTTAGATTTTCCATTACATCACTGCATGTCTTCAAGATAAAGAAAAGGCCTCAAAAGCAATATATAATGGCCAAAGCAATGAATGACACGCCCGCTCCTTGCAAGAGAGGCCAGCCACAAGCTGGGATAGACAATCAGCAAGGTCCTAAGGTAGTTATATCCCGAACAACTACCCCCCCCACGCCACCCTTCTAAGAGCAAGTAATTCTACCGTTCAGAATAGTCTCATTGTCTCCGAAAATCCCCTTCTCATCTATCCCTAGTCCCACCTTAAAATTACCTGACTATAGTATCGCCTAATAGCCTCCTAAAGCAAGGGCGCTAGACGCTCTTATACCATCTAGTCCGATAATACTACAAGACTAATTACTATCTATTAACAAGATCATCTACAGACAATCCAAGGATCAAAGTAATCTTCGCTAAGTTGATTTCCAATCAACTTGGTTCTTCTCACACAGAAAAAACAACCTGGGAAGAAAGAGCTTGCAGCCAGGACTGCTCCCCCCTTTTCTCTACCATGGCCTGGGTATATCTGTGCTCTAGTTTTGATCGCAATCGATCGGCACAAAGTGGGCGCTTAGGTTCTCGACCAACAGATCAGTAGATCCCTAATTTAGATAACCGCCAATATTTTGAAGAAAATGTGAGGCTGAAAGTGGGTCCTGAGTCACACTGGATCAGTTCGTCTCGAAAATCTCTTGGCTATCTGATTGGGTTGGATCTGATCTAGATTGCTTTACCACAATTTCTCCTTGGGTTCGAATCATTCTAGTCATTGCAAGTGACTCGATTCGGTGCAGGTTAACGCACAAAGAGACTAGTAAGTAGTGAGTCACCCTCGTTTACAGAATCCAAATTCACCGGTAGAGCTAAAATATTTACCCGATGGGCTGAGGCTCTTAGGCTACTCGGAGCTGTTTGCCCCGCTGTGTGCTGCCTAGCGAATCGGCGCTATAAATTATCGCGCCCACATCCACCATTTCTCTACCAACATTTTATTTACAATATCCATTATCATCATCAAGAACAACAACAACCTCCAGGGTTGAGAACATGTCGAATTTCAGCGGATGTTGTTTCCACCAGGGCAACGGCTGGCATTATCTACCACAAATCTCCCTGAAAGCCCACGCAACAATCCTCTCATCCACATCCCGCACAACTCTCACACAAACATTCACAAATTCCTCAGATCTCCCTCTTGAGAAGGTCTCATATAAATTTCCCCTCTACGATGGCGTCAGCGTGGTCGGGTTCAAGTGTCGCGTCGGAACGCGATACCTGCACAGTAAAGTGGACACAAGAGAGCAGGCGAATGCAGATTTCGACAATGCGGTCGCGAATAATCAAACGGCAGCGCTTATGGTGCATGGCTCCAGGGAAAACGACGTCTTCGTAACTACATTAGGCAATATTTCTGCAAAAGAAACCATCACGGTAGAAATCACGTTCATCGGAGAATTGAAGCAGGACGCACAGTCCGACGGGATCCGATATACTCTCCCAAATGCCATCGCACCGAGATACCCTGATCCGAGCGCTATTCATACCTCTGGATCATTATTTGGAGCGCCTGAACAGGAACCAATCCAACCGCCCCAGTGGGGCCTGGTAAAGACGTCTGGTATCGATATCACGATCGACGTTCAGATGGAGAAAACTTCCATTATTCGAGAACTTCAGTCGCCGAGTCATTCAGTGAAGGTTTCTCTAGGGTGTACATCGACTACTCCTAGTGGCAGTAATTCAGGATCAACATTCGATCCCTCCCAGGCCTCTGCTTCAATCCGCCTGGCCAAAGAGAATGAACTCCTACTCGAGCGCGATTTTGTGCTCGTTGTCAAAGCCGACGGCCTTGATAACCCCACAGCTTTACTCGAAACACATTCAAGCATTCCCGACCAGCGCGCTTTGATGGTGACGCTTGTGCCAAAGTTCCATCTGCCACCCATCAAACCGGAGGTGATCTTCGTCATCGATCGAAGTGGTAGTATGAAGGCAAAGATCCCAACATTGCGATCAGCCTTGCAAATCTTCTTGAAATCGCTGCCCGTAGGGGTCTGCTTTAACCTCTGTTCCTTCGGGCGTGAGCATCGTTTTTTGTGGCCGCAGAGTAAAGTATATGATAAGTCGAGTCTGGACGAGGCTTCGGCGTACGTTGAAACAATAAACGCAGATATGGGAGGCACGAATTTGACATCCGCTGTTAAAGCTACCATTGCAAGTCGTCTCAATGATAAAGAACTCGAAGTTCTTATCCTGACTGATGGCCAAATCCACGATCAGCAGGATTTGTTTGATTTCATTCGGGAGACTGTCACATCAAACAAGTTAGACAAGGGCCAGTCGGCTCGTTTCTTCTCGCTTGGTATTGGAAACCAGGCGTCGCATTCTCTGATCGAAGGTATTGCCAGGTCAGGAAACGGCATCTCGCAATCGGTTCTGGAGTACGAGGAGCTTGACCGGAAGGTTGTTCGGATGTTGAAGGGTGCGCTTACTCCTCATATCGGTGACTTTAAACTCCAGGTTGATTACGATCCACCTGAGCAAGAGTTTGAAGTCGTTGATGCAGTCGATTCGACCACAAATACAACCACCGAAAGCGCTGATGGAAATGGAAATGAAGAACTTATTGTATCCCTCGAGAAGGAAACAGCTCAAATTTCGATCTCCCTCTTCGACGAATCATTCCAAGAATCCGATGCCGAGCTTGGAACACCCCGAGACAAAGACAACAAGAGCAATAGCAATACCTTGCCAGAGCTATCACCTCCAGATGTCCTTCAAGCCCCCCTACCAGATCCCCCCCTTTCCATCCCTTTATCCGGAGCTATGTATACCTGCTCCTAGACCCAAAGTCATCAGACCGGGTCCCAAAATCACTCACACTAAGCGCCACATCCAACGGGAGATTACTTCAACTTCGCATTCCAGTCAAAGACACTGTTCAAGGCGAAACAATCCATCAACTTGCCTCACGCAAGGCAATGATCGAGCTAGAGGAAGAGCACAGCTGGCTCGAACATAGCAAAGACCCCAATGGAAACCCATTTTCCCACTTCCACGCGGATACGAAGAGTCAGCTCGTGAAACGCGAATGCCAGCTTCTAGGACTCAAGTATCAAGTCACGGGGAAACACTGCTCATTTGTTGCATTGGAGGAAGAATCGACCAATAAGGAGAACAAACAAAAAGCGGAACACGGTCAGGATCAGGAGCAAGAAAAGGTCTCCAAGATTGGTGACAAAAATTTCCCTGTCAAAGCAACGACCTTCAACATCATACAAGCACGCCCAAGCGTGCTTGGATCTGGGGGAAATTCCAGTAAAGCCCTTTTTGGCGGTTCCAACTCGCCACGATGTGCGCCTATGGGATCCTTTGCACGTCAGGGTCAGCGCCAGAGTCAGGTTTCGACGGGCTCGGGACTGTTCGGTGGCTCTGTTCAGTCCATTCCTCTCTCAATGGGTAGTTTTGGCAGTTCGCAAGCATTTGGCGCAGCCTCTTCTCCAGGCCAACAACCTCCGTCTGGATTCGGAAGTACTCAATCTCCACCAGCTTTATTCGGTGGTGGTCAACAACACGCATCAGCCGGGTCACTTTTCGGAGGCCAACAGGCTCAATGCTCTTCTCCCGCCTTTGGACAACCATCGATTTCTCAAGAACGTGGAACTTTCGCTTCCCCCTTTGGCGCGAGTAATCATCAACAAAATCCACCTGCAGCTGGAGCACTCTTTGGCGGCGCTGTCCCTCGTCCTAACCCAAACCAGCCAGCTTTATTCGGCAGTGCCCCCAAACGCCGGAGCACCCCTGTAACTGGAGGGCTGTTTGGCAACGCTCCTTCAAAAGTTCAAGTGTCCTTATTTGGCTCTGCGCAGCCATCAAACGCCCAATCATCTTCTGGATTCGGAGCTGGAATATCTCAAAACAGCACAACGCCAAATAAAGGATCTCTTTTCGGAAGAGCATCCAATCCAACAAATCCAGCACCTACAAGCTCGGAAAAGACTAACAAATCAAAAGTCCACTCACTAATCGCCCTTCAAGACTTCCAAGGCAACTGGTCTCTCAGTCAGGAACTCTGCAACCTTCTAGATTGTGAGGAAGATACAGTTCGCCAACGCTTCATTGACCTGTTAGGATCTTCCTCTTCTCCTTCCACTGTCACTGAGTCCAGTCTTGAAGTCCTCGCTACACTCAAGGCGATGGGGTATCTGAAGCATCAACATGCCGAGGAGAAGAGTGTTTGGGAACTCGTTTTCGGTAAGGCGGAGACATGGCTTGAGGGTGTCTTGCCCGGGCTGGGAGAAGCTGGTAATAAGATTCAGGCGAGGAGAGAAGAGATCATGTCGTTGGACCTTTTTAAGTGAGTATTGAATTGGCTTGAGTGGATTCTAATCTTTTCAATAATAGTGCCGTTTAGTTTAATGTATCATCTCAATTTATTCTATTTTATTAATGACTCTCTCTTGGCCTGTGTAACTATCTCCTTGTAATTTCTTTCTTTATAACCGCGGTGAAATGTGCAAGGATAGTTCAGTTTACCAAGCCGAGCTATATTCAATCTATGCAGTAAGAACAAGGCCGTGATATGTACATCTCATTTTATCATTTTATTCCTGCTCAGGTGCTTACATAAATATCCAAAGGGATTTTTGTATCGATATAAGAGCTCGAAATAGCAATTAGAGTGGCATTGACTGAAATCATACTTAATTCGGTGAACTTTAAATGAGACTTTTGCGAGAGTACTTTTGTCAGACCCCGTTTACAAGGTTCTGTTTATTCAGCGCAACACATGACCTCTCGCCTGCAAGGAGTAAGTAGCTTATCACAACAGAATGCGAAACGATAGCTCGAATCGACTATAAACAAAATCTAGTGAATATTCACAAGCCCCCGCTACTAGCTCTCATTCCCCCTTTTCCCTATCCCGCGCGACTAAAACAACCAACCAATCCAACACCTCAAAAGATATCATCTAAACCAAACCTAAACAAGCCTTGGCTTGATTAGGCAGGAAAATAGACCTGTCCTGATTAGGAAAGAATATACGCGATCTGCGCCACAACTCTGCAGATGGGAATGCGATCCATAGATAAAGAGAGCTTGCAACCCCGCAGTTTCCAGCTGCCCTGTGCCCACCAGTAGAAGTTTTCAGTTTCGGTTCTCCAATGAGGAGAGGTCTTACTCTAGGTATAGATACCGAGATAGCATACCATAGGTCTGTTTATGGTTGGAGAAAGGGACAGGGGGAGGGGGCTGGGATCAGTAAGGTATACATGACCCTGTCGTACTACAGTGGCTGAAAGTCCTGATTTTTGTTAAATAAGCCATTTGCAACCCGAACCCTCCTGGATAATGGGAAAGGGCGAGATTTGCCTCTCTCACTACTACAATCTATAAACCCATCACAGTCAAGCCTACCATGGCCCTCGAAGCAGAAACCGATAAGCCCATCGCAGCTGGCGATGCACCCATCGACCACGACCACGAAGCAGGCTCACTAAAAAGCATCCACGAAGAAGGTGAACTCGAGGGACTAGGCTACAAACAAGAGCTCCGCCGCAACCGCTCCGTCGCAACCCTCCTCTTCCAATCCCTCGCCATCGCCGCAATCCCCTACGGCGAAGGCAGCGCCCTTCTCAGCGCAGTCTACGGCGGTGGCCCTCTATCAATCTTCGTCGGTTGGATAATAGTCTGCTTCCTAGACCAATGCATAGCAATGTCCCTCGCCGAGCTCGCATCCCGATATCCCACCTCCGCCGGACCCTACTACTGGTCCTTCCAACTGGCAAAGTCCAACAAGACAACCGTCTCCTTCATCAACGCCTGGATATGGGTCATTGGAAACTGGACCATCACGCTATCCGTGAATTTTGGCTTCGCCTCTATGCTTTCCGCCGCGATATCAATGTATCACCCGGACTGGAGCGCCAATAGCTGGCAGCTCCTGCTAATCTTCTACGCCGTCTGTCTCGGTTCGCTGGTAATTTGCACTTTTGCAAATCGCTTCCTGCCACAAGTTGATACAGCCTGCGCAGCCTGGACAGCCATAACCATCGTCGTGATTCTCATCGCCGCCTCTGTAAAAGCAGGCGCTGGCCGCCACTCCGCTTCCTACGCGCTGGCCCATTATGACAAGTCCTTCGCAGGCTGGGGAGGATTCACCCTATTCATCGGCCTCTTGCCAGCAGCTTATACATTCTCCGCCATCGGAATGGTCTCATCAATGGCAGAAGAATGTCCCCAACCAGCAGTGAAAGTACCCCGAGCAATCGCACTCGCCGTACCCGTCGGCTTCATCGCAGGCTTATTCTTCATCATCCCAATCTGCGTAACCCTCCCACCACTGGAAGATATCATAAACGCCCCCGGCGGCCAAGCCCTCCCCTACATTCTGCACAGAGTAATGGGATCACCTGGCGGCGGACTAGGCCTCGTCTTCCTAGTCCTAATAATAACCCTCTTCTGCTCGATAAGTATAACCGTCGCAGCGTCGCGCTCAACCTGGGCCGTTGCCCGCGACAACGCACTACCCCTAGCAAAAGTCTGGGCAACCGTCCACCCAACTCTCGGTGTTCCAGTCTGGTCTCTAGTCCTATTGACAATCATCCAGATGTTGCTGGGCCTAATCAATCTCGGCAGCACGAGTGCGTTTACGGCATTTGTTTCTGTAGGTGTTATTGCGTTGGCGATGGCTTATGCGATTCCAATCTCGTTGAGTCTTTTCCACGGTCGTGCGGAAGTTAAGCATGCTAAATGGAATTGTGGGCATTTCGTGGGGACAATTGTTAATGTACTCGCGTTGGCTTGGATTGCGTTTGAATTGGTGCTTTTTAGTATGCCGACTGCGTTGCCGGTTACTAGGGTTTCGATGAATTATGCCTCCGTCGTCTTTGTTGGGTTTATGGCTATTTCCGCCGTTTGGTATCTCGTTTATGCGAGAAAACGTGAGTATTCCATTCCAGTGGCTTCTAGGGCTTACTGTCCTTCGGGTTCATCTATTCTGTTCCCGTTCGTATATGCATTTGCTGATCGTTTTACAGACTACAAGGGTCCTCCAGAGTCGGATGCATTGGATGTAGAGTGAGGGCTCTAAACTATTTCTTCTATAGCATCAATCTATGGCTTTCCTTTCTTACTTGCAATCTAGCAGGCGAAACTTGTAGACTAATCTCACGTTCCAGACTCTAGAAGAGCTCGTATCAACGAGATAAAGCTGACTAAATAGTCTCGATTGAATCAAGTAAGCAAAGAATCTATAGATACCATCACTCAACACCATAACAATGTATAACAAGAGGGAGGCCAGGGCCCCAAAATGTAAAATGTAGAGAAGCGGGGACATGAATGATACCCTTCAATCGATTCGATTCGATTCAATTCAACTCATTCATTGCCATCCGTAACAGCCAGCTGCGCACCCTCCTCACCACTCGCCTCCCCCTTCCTCCGACGAGGCAACCCCTCATTCGGAGGATGACGTGCCGGAGGGATAGAAGCATCACTAGGTCTCCGTCTCCGAACAAGCTGATACCCCCTATCAAGTTCGATTTCAACCGCTTCGCGAACCTTCAGTGCGCTAATAGCAGGCCAAACGCCCCGCTCACCTTTCAAGGTCCAATCTGCAACGCGTTCTTTCGTCGGGCGCTGGAAGAGATTATATAGATCTTGGACAGCGAGGTCAGGCACCAGAGTTAGATTTGGGCCGGGGATTGTCTCGTCGATTAGGAGGCGGCTGATTGAGCCGGGAAGGAGGCCGATGTAGTCCAATTGGCGGACGCGGTGGCGGAGTTCGGCGAGAACGAGGCGCATTAGGGAGCGGGAAATATTGTTCCAGCCTGTTTGGTGGCGGTCGAGGAGGTTGAGTTCGGATCGGAGGAAAGGGATTAGGTATGGACGGGCTTGGGAGACGATGAAGTGGTTTACGTTGAAGAGTTCTGCGATTCGTGATAGTGGTGATTCGCCGTCGTTGTAGTTCACATGTCTCCAGGGCCGGAAGACGATGTCTTCGGTGTGGGGCCAGGGGATGATTGAACCTGTTTCGTCTTTACAGTAGATGGTTACTGGGGAGGTGATGAGTGAAGAGGTGGAGGCATTGGAGGCTGCGGCTGCAGACCAGATCAACACGTTCGGTGCTGTGAGGTAGTTCAGGAGATTGGGCGAGCCTGTCTTTCCTGCCGTGGCAACGGTGATATTTAAAATGCGCTTTGATCGGGCGTATGCTTCTTCGAATGTCAAATCGCCCACATTAGCGCGAACACATTCCTCCAGTAGTCCCATGTCGAAGAGATGACCCGTTCGAACAAATCGTATCATGCGTCGGAAGAAAATTCGTATCCAGCCCTCGGAGGCAGGATGGTCCTTTTTCCAGTGATCAAAAGCCGAAAGGTCAATGGTATCTCCGTTCAAGAGGGGTAACAGTTCATTTTCCGGATGAATTCCAACAAGAGCCGCGATCATGGCCCCGGTTGCCGTGCCAGTGATAATCCGAGGTAGAAGTCCTTGGAGATGCAACGCTCTCACAACTCCAAGATGACAGAGACCAAAAGCCGACCCGCCCTGCAAGAGCAAGGTCGTTCGTCCAAAAGCCTGACGTGTATCGTGGAGGAGCTCGAGCTTGGCCTGCGAGGTGAAGCTGGTCGCGTGCACGGGCGCAGGTTGCAGCGAGGTCACATACTGAATGGAAAGCGCAACCTGCGTGATATAGTCATCAATTAGAAGCTTGGTACCGGCATAGGCATGGGTGAACAGCTTTGTTGAGGTGATGTTGCCTAGATTGCGAACGAGTCCAGAGCGAAGCAGGTTGACCAGAGTTAAGATATCCTCGCTCTCGCGCGCGCCCATCAAGGCCTCTAAGCGGCCGAGGATAAGTCGATAGTCATAGTGTCGACTGACAGGATTCTGACGCCTGTGTGAGAGAGTATCAGCCAGCGGTTCAGTGGTTCTTTCGACCTCTTATTGCGATTCCCAACAAGAATATTTGTCAACACATACCACAGGTCCTTACTTAGAAGCTCGTCCAGTTCAAAGGCGGCTTCCTCCCACTCCTCGTACGTCTGTGCCGTCGCAAGAGTATGGAACAGTCGACTGCGCGGCGACTTGGATTTCCACCATGAAAACAGTTTCTATAGATTGTGAGCATGCGATTCATCCTAGATTGAGCAGTCGCAGCCAGGCAGCCAGCTAGCCAGCCCACTTTTGGCCCGAGGTCCAAATCTCACTCACCTCTCGCCAGAACTGCGCGACATCCATCAACATGCTGAACATTGCAGCCAGCATGCTATACAGACCGAGCCACCAAGCCATGGTGCACGAATGAGAAATAGAAATGCGATTCCAGGTCGAAAATAGCGGCCGGGAAAAAGCCCGGCGCTTTCACATGCTATGGCGTCACGCGCACTTCTCGAAAGGTCAAGAGAGGGGCGCTCTAATCGGACGCATCAGTATGGCATCAGCACCAGCACCCAAAGATAACACAACGCTAATGCTGGAAGTTGAGAGTTGCAGTTGCAAGTGAGGGGAAATGTTGAAGTGAAGTAAGTGTTGGGCGAGCTGAGCTACGAAGGCTGGCAGAACAGAACGGGTCGCACTGGCCGCTCTCCACCCATCAGAGCATCATCTTGCAGATAGTAGAAGTATTACAGGGTATACAGAGAACACACTACTCCAGCTACTTAGGCACAATACTAGAAATGGATTCGTACTTGCATCGCTACATTGCTTCGTACACGTATCAAAGGGAAATTTTGAATTTGCAAGTCGTTTGTTTTTTGTCATTCCGCTTTGCTTCCCTATATGCAAGTAGGCGAAATTAAAAAGGAACTCTCCCGGACACCCGAACCCAAGCGTCATTCTTTACTCCTCAATGATGTTGCCCCGCTCCGACACGTACAGACCGTCAAGGAACTGGAGAGGAAGAATTAGTATAATGCACGGATGGTAATTGGCGGGGGTGGGGTGGGCATTCAGCGAATTGTTGGTTGCGATTGAATTTGGATTTGCAAATGCCAATTCAATCGCAATCGCAATTACAAATCACTGAGCCCAAGTGAAGCTGATTACTCACCTTACGGATATCCTTGTTGCGAACACGGCAGATCTGCTGGATGTCGGCGGCACTCTGGGAGACACCCTCCAGGGAGTTACCGGAGAGCTGGAGCTCATCCTTAACGTTGGGAGAGGGGAAGATCTCAACACCGGGCTGGGCAGTGATGCGGCGAACGTACTTCTCACCGAGGAAGTTACGGATCTCAACCTCAGCGCGGTCGGTCTCGTCGTTCTTCTCGACGTTGACGTTGATGGGGAAATGGGCGTAGACGTAACGCATCTTGTACAGGAAGCCGCGGGTGACACCGATGATCAGGTTGTTGATGATGGTGCGGACGGTACGGAGGGTAGCGACACCCTTGCGGGCACCGTGGTGCAGCTCGATGGAGATGACCTTCTCCTCGGGGCGGCCGAAGGTGACGGCGATGTGGGAGAGGTCCTTGACGAGCTTGCCGCGGGGGCCCTCGACAGTGACAACACGCGAACGAATGTTCACCTTGACTGTAGTGAGAAACAAAAATTAGATCATCATGTCTCAGGTCAAAATAGCGTAGCATAGCATAGCAAGGAAAAAAGAAAAATTGCCCCAATGCCTTCAGACGAGTTAGTCGAATAGCACTCTGCTGTTCGCTGTTCTCGTCTGATTCCCCCTTTCTTGCAGAAACGGTATTTGTGTAGTCGACCTGGTGCCTCCTCTTCCATGTCCAATATCGAAGTCCACAATTCACAATTGTCTCTATCCAGTGCGACCACGCATATACCGTCTCTCGTCGGCGATCGAAAGGGAAAAAAGTCGTAGCTCACCATTGTCCGGAATGGGCAGCCGTTCCTCGGAGTGAATGTACCGCATCTTGACTGCGTGGGTGTTGTTGGCCGAGGGGGTTGAATTGTCGATGTCGGGAGGATAAAATCGGGCTGGAGGAGTTAGTGGACCATCTGCGAATTTGCACCAAAGTCACGGGATTGTGCGCCGGGTCGCTTACGGCCAGATCTGGTTAGCGCGTAGGGTTCTTATCGTTATCATCAGGTGACATTGGCACCCACTGGATGACATAAGCATGATATGGCTTGGCATATTTGTTCGGGTATGTTCAGTCACGTGGTTTGTTTGCATACATGCGCAATTAACTATAGGACGATATGTACACAGAACGCTAGATGATGTTTCAAAGACCCAGTATACTGCACTTTACTGCACTTCACGCTCACATCTGACCCTCCGCTGGCGGCGGAGGCGGCAAATGCCTCACATCAGTAACCCACTTCCCACCCATCGTTCTTAGCGCCGAGACCAGCTCGTCACTATGATCCAGAGCAGCAATATCATCACCACCCCCAATACTCTTCCCATTGACCAGAACATTCGGCACCGTCCTTCTCCCAGTATTATGCGCCAAAAGGTCCTGCAGTTTCGGACCGATCGGGTGCTGATCCAACTCGACGACAAACGGCTTCGGCGAAATAGCGTATCGCTCTAGCAGAATGTGCTTGGCCTTTTTGCTGTAGGGACAGTATGATTTGGAGAAGATGATTACTAGAAAGTAGAGCCGGGTTAGTCAGTCACTCACACCACTGTAGACAGGGGAACAGAACGTACTGGGAGACCGCTTCAGAATATCATTAAGTTCACTCTTCGCCTCCGTATGATCAACCACAACCTCTTCACCCGTCTTCTCAGAACCCTGCACCGCACCACCCTGCACAGCACCACCACCACCACCATTCTGACCCTTCATCTTCGGCACAGTCATCTTCGTCCGTCCAGCAATAGGAATCTCCTCCATCTCACCCTCCTGCGCGTGCTCGCTACTCTTCCCACCCATCGCCACCGGCACCGCGGGACGCTCTGTATCCGCGTCCGCACTATCACCAGGCCGCATTATGGGTTGTTGCGGTTTCGCATTCTTGGCATCTTCCTTCGCGCGCATGGCGTTTAGGGTTGTTTTGTAGAATTCTTGGTTTTGGATCTTGCTTGCTTCGCCCTGGTGAGATAAATGTTAGTTTGAGCGAGGCGAGGGGATTGATTCTCCTGTCCGGGTCGGGTACAGCACGACTCAGGTAAGTAGTACCAGTACCAGTACCTGGACGGGAGAACAGGGCAGGGCAGGGTAGGGCGACTGTACTGAGTAGTAAAAGAATAAAAAGACGATCGCCACGACGGCGATCAGCGCTACGCGGACGCGCCGTTGGGATGGCATCGCGGAGGGGTTGGCTGTGACTTATTGGAAGTTTTTCCGGCTAATGTGGCCCACTAACGCTGGCAGATGGTAAGTGTAGCTGTGGTGTGCCTTCAAGTTCCAAGACTGGCAGGATGATAAATGGAAACTTGAACTTGATGAACTCCCGAGGTCCGCAGCAGCAACGCGCCAATGCGAATGGCGCAACGTGACGCCAAGAAATCCGCTCAAGCTTAACGCTGCTTGGCTAGGTAGTCGTATCGTATACTCGTACTAGTGCTGTTGGTTCGAGTAATTAAGCGAGAGAATAATGTTCAAGTTCAAGTTCTTTGTACACGTCCAAGAATAGGTATTCATACGAGGGCCCGGGTAAGGAGGACCCTGTTCTGTTTTAAATCCGTGCCACTGGCAGTGCTCAGGAGAAGTGGGGGGCCCCTCCAGGGGTTTTTATCGGCTCTGGTGGTTATCCCTGGTGGCTTGGCATTGAGGTTGTGTGGGTTGCCCACTGGTAGTTATTACAAAGTCATGAATGATTTTGTAGTTAGTATTATGTACCTAGTATGAAGAGTAGCTAGTATTTACTACTGATTTCTCGAGCCTGCCCAGAGTGCCAGTGGGGACCTGCCAGTCTTAACCTTGGAAAAGGTGGGGGAGTAACTAATAGTAGTAGTTGATTCCCTCAATGTCTCAGAGATATATATGTACTACTAGTACAACCAGTGGGGGTCCAAACTAGTAGGTACTACTACTACCTACTCCAGGCCAACCTTCTACCAATAAACTTGAAATCTGCAGAATATTATTAAATATCATTAAATTAGATGCTAACATTGGGTATTATGCTAAATAACAGTACTAGTATTCTTGTCCGAGTCTCTCTCCACATGATAACTTGAATGAATCAGAACATCCATAGACGGGGCGTACATCGGTCAATATTAGGTTTATGCAGGGGTGTGTCTGGCTTTGTTGTTTGTATGTGGGTAGGGTAGGTCAGGGTGAGGGTAAATAGAGCGAATGGAAAAGAAAAAACAGGTTCAAGGTTCCAGCCATAATCCAGTCATGGCTGATGTGATGGGATGGGATGTCAAAGGAAGGTGAGATGATTAGGGGGGACGGCGACCGCCAGGGTCAGTCAATCAGATCAGGGTCGAGTGGGAGCATCACTCGCGCTGCTCTATAAGAGTTGCTTTTTGTTTTGTTTTGCGTTGTTCGCAATGCCAACGATCGATAGATGGCCATTATCGCAAAAATCAGGTCTGGATAGAAAGACCCGGTCGCGCAGCATGACTCGCAGTCGCTCTGCGCCGGCCCTGAACAATAGTCGTCCAATCCTCCCACTCCTTAGCAATCTCAGTCAAGACACTACCCATCACCGAAGCAGAAGCCATCAAGCCATGTCCCTCGCCTTCAAGAATGCGCACCTCACACCGACGCATAGTCTTGCCCAGCCATTGGACATTATCCACAGGCACGCGGGTATCCTTACTACCGTGTTGAATCACAACGGACCGAGTGATATCCACGTACCGGAACCCAATCGTCTGACGACGTTCCAGGCAAATCAACAAATCAACAGCCGGGTTCGCATTGGTAGTAGCGAGTTCCCAGATCCGGTGTGTAAGTCGAGTATCGTAGTCCTGTTGGCGTTCAAGCTCCTCTTCCGGAGATTTCGCACGCGAGCCAAGCGTGGCGTCGCTCTTTCTGGACGAAGCGTGGTGGGCGGGTGTTGAGTATGACCTCATAGCTCCTGCTCCTGCTCCCCCCAAGTGGTGCGGGATCCTCTGAGTGATTCTGAGAGACGGTTGCGATATTGGGTATCATGGGTACGGGTGGGATTTCTGCATTTGCCGCTGCCTCTTTGGCTTCTTTGGCTTCTTTCGCCGCCTTGCGCTTTGCTCGCTTGGGTGATTTGGGCAGACTTGTCGTGATGCTGGCACTAGTCGCACTCATGAAGCTTGTGTTGGCAACTTTCAGGAGGGAGGTTGGGAGGGCCCGGAGGATTCGTTGGGAGTAAGGAACTGCATTGGTGGGAGCGGGTTCCTTCTGAGATCCGATGGTAGATAATTGGGACGGAGGAATCCATGGCGCTAGAAGGTGGATGCGGCCGCGGATATGTTGAGGGATTCGAAGGGCTGTGGCAAGGGCATAGATTGCACCGGCTGAGTGGGCGAGGATGGAGAATTTGGTTACTCGGAGATAATTACACACAATAGCAACATCATCTGATACTAGGTTAGCAATTGAACATCACGGATCTCCCCCGAGAGGGGAAAACAAACTCACCAGGCCAGCTGAGGGGAGTACTTGGCTCATCAACTCGATGTGGTTCACTTTCACCAACGCCCGGGCGATCGAGAGTAACTAGACGCAGGTTCAAAGTCCGGGCCAACTCGTCGTAAAAGGCCATTAGGTACCGGGTGAGACCCATTCCAAGACAACATAACACAACGTGACCTTTGGGGTTGCCAACCTCAGAGAACGCGATGGAACGGCCAGTAGTCGGGTGAGGCACTCGTTGCGTCAACTTCGGAGAAAAGATATAATCGTCAACGGCCAGATCAATCGAGTCGGCACTGGAAGGCCGCTCGTTATTGAAGGAAGGGCGATGGGTGGACGTCGGACCCGACGGCGTGCGGCGATGGCCTTTGGTGGGGGTGACGGGTTCCAGTGATCGCCTATATCGATTCTCGTGCTCGGACTTTTCGGATGGAATCTTGGACATTTGTGGAGAGAAATTGGTGGGTTTTGACGCCAGTGGGGCCCCAGTTCGACCTGTGCGGTTCTTCCCTGTCATAATCGAGGGAGATGGCGCGCTGTCATTCACTGGTCGGTCGGCTTTGACTCCATTTTGAACTGCAACTGCAGGTCCCTGATCGAGGTGGCTAGTGCTGCGAGAGACCTCGACTGGCTTTGTGGGTGTGGGTGTTGCCGTCGCTGCCTGTACAGATTTGCCAGGAGTGTCGTCGGACTCGAGCTCGGTCTTGATCCTCTGTTGCTGATCCTTCAGCTGCTGTATCCTCCTCGTCACCTGCTCCGCGTCATTGCTTGAGCCCGGTAGCCCATTTTCCGCACTGGATGATTCTTTGCTGGCATTAGATGGATATCGACTGTGGCGGGCGGACCTCCGCTGCTTCGAGCCTGAGGATTGGCTGTGTCGATGTCGCAGAGAAGAATCGCGTGTGGGGATAATCCGACCACTCCCAATACCACCGGGGTTGTGATTATCAGGGGTGCTTGGAATCGACTGTAGCTCCCGAGGAGGAGTGCTTGCTGCCATGCCATCACTCGGCTCTTCCTTGAGCCCGTTCAAGCCCGCCTCCTCGGCCACATCCGCCATGGAATGCATGGATCTCAAACTAGCTCTGCTCCGAGGAATGTTGTGGCGCAGGGTATCGTTCAGACTATTCGTCTTGCGCAAGCGGTCGCTCGATGAGTCCTTATCGCTCCCGAATTCCCGCGAGGCCTTCTTCAACAGTCCAAACTGACCTAACGACCCCTTTAAACTTTTACGCCCCGCGGAGCTGTTCGATGCAATGCTAACGGCCGTGGACAGGCGGGGGCCTGGTTCGGTGCTGATGGTGCCAAAGGCAGTGTCTTCGTGTGTTGTTCTGACGGAGGTATAGGAGTCTCGTGAGGCCGGACGATTGACAGAGTCGTCCCGTTTGAAAGGTTTAAATCTCGGCGAGCGCGGTGATTTGGGAGATTTGGGCGAGGGCGGCGCTCTGGCCATGCGGATGACAGGGGCTGAAGCAGCATCATCCGGGTGCAAGAACGGGTTGTTGTCGTGGGGGGGATTCCTCCAGCGGAGCAAAGGAGCCCAAGTTCATGCCGAGACCATAACCATGGCCATGGCCATATTGTTTGGAAGGAGGAACGGAGAAACACGGCGCAGTGTGAGGCACTTCGGGCAAGCCAGGATCAGAGTCTTTGGAGTCCTTGGAGTCAATGCGCGGCACGTTGTCGAAATGCGAGTTGAGCGGTACGGAGATGGTTGACAGTGAGGATATCAGCGACGAGATCACTTCTGGCGAGGTTGGATCGGCATTGGAGCCCTTTGTGCGGCCAGGGAGAGATTTGCGACGGCGACGACGGTTGAGGAGAGCGGATTCGGCGGGTTTAGGCGCGGGCGCGCCTTCGTTTAGATGCATGGCGTTCAATAGTTTAGGGTCTAGGGATATGACTCGGAATAAGATAGCACGTAGGGTTTGTTTCCAGGATCGGGATCAACCAGACATGCAGGATGGTGGGTAGGTCAGGCGCATGATCTGAGATGAAAATTGAAGGTGGTCGGTCGAGTTTCTCGAGGCCCCTTGCGGTGGAGGGGTGGTGGTTGGTGGTTGGTGATAAGGAGGGCCCGGGGAGGGTGAGGGTATAAGGTATACTTGGAACAGGTGAAGGGGTGAAGGAGTGAAGGAGTGAAAAGTGAAAGGGGTGAACAGAGTAAAGAGTGAACAGTAAAGAGTGTAGTTAGTAACCTTGGGCCCTGGGTATTCAGGAGATCTCATCCCAAGTTTTTCATACGATCTGGGGGGCATTTTAGCGTTTGCGCCTTCAGCTCCACTCGAATGGATCCCAATTTCCCATTTCCTATTTCCCACTCGTTTGTGATTCTCCTAAAAGGGAAGGCCGGATAGCGATCGTTCATGAGATAGAGTATTTGGGTCACGGAGTAAAGGGATTTACTATACCTCCAGGGCTACTACTACACACTAACTGTCAATTGTAATACTAGTATGCTATATGCTATATGCTATATGCCATATGCTGTACTAGTCTGTCAGCAATCCACGTGGACTGCAGAATGCAGAATGACAACCCTACTAGGCCTAAGGCTGGCGATCGGCGATCTCGGAGATGAGCAGATAGCCTTGATATTGAGTACCACAGCATAGTATACACGGGGTGAGTACTACTGAATATTCATGGCATTCAAATTGATCTGCTGGGTATGTCTACAGTTAAAATAAATAGTAATACTATGCAGCCCTGGACCTCGGGAGTTGGGCGGAGTACTACTTACAATACCATCCAGACTTGAACTATATATTTCTACCGCTAAGGTGGCCCATACTTTTACCACCAAGTTCATGCTTGTTTTGAATACTCGTATATCTAATTACTAGTCACATAAGAATACCAACATTCCTATATCTACGTAATCCATATAGTAATCTACTACTATATATGTAATCCTAACGAATCCTTCTCCCCATTCCATCTATTCTACTACTAGTAGTATAGTATTCCCATAATCACCACTGTTTACACCACGCGATCGCGCCCGCGCCCGCAACCGCGACCGCCCGGCAGAATGTCTCCGATGCTCGTGGCAGCTTGGCACCGCATTGCTCCCTACACTCAACCACTTCAAGTTTCCCCTCTATTACTACACTCCTCGGTTTCAAGTTCCTTCAGATCAGCTCAACCAAGCTTAGATCAGTCCAGATCAGTCATTACCCATAGACCACACTCCGCTGGTCATTCGAAAAGAAATGCGGTGATCCAGCTCTCCAACTCAATCCCCATCGTCCGCAATGGACGCCTACCCAGACGACTACGTCAATCACAACCTCCCTTTGGTCTTGCTTTCAGGCCTCGAAGCAGGACCAGAGGGGGGGCAATGAATCCCTCCTCGAATACCCCTTGCTCGCCGAGCGGGGTCACCATATCTTCTCCGACTTCCCTCCGCTGAGCGGGGCTGTTGCGGAGGAGCTGCGGCGAGTTCTGCTGGCCGAGGATGGCTCACAGATGCCCTGGAAGGCGGGTCAGAGTCAGAGTTCCAATGGAAATCAATCTGCCCCACGCATTGGATATAAAATCAAGAGCACTGGCCGGGTGGGTCTTATCTCGGGGAGCACTTTGGAGATGCGGACTCTACTAACCTCATGTCACACTGTTAGTCCTATAAACTTCCACCGCGCAAAGCCGACCCCCCGCAAACTTCCTCCCCCGCTAGCCCCACGGTCAACTCAGAGACCAATGCCCACGGATCAGAAACACCTTATGTTCTTCACTCACCCATCTCACCGCTGTCCCCCGGATCGCCCACCTTTCCCGACGGCCTGCTCACCCCGTTGTGGGTGACGAAGCACCAGGACCTTGTCCCTGCAGCGGTGCTTAACTTCTTCCCTTTCTCGTTGGACCCGAATATGAACTCGCTGCGCGATAACCAACTGAAGATCGAAATTAATAGCTTGAAGAAGGAATGGGCAGCTTCGGAATACAAGACGCGATTTGTGGCTGTTTTGATATCCGAAGAGGGTGACGGAGGCTATGACGGCGAAATTGATGACCGAGTGGCCGGGATTCGGCGAGCAACAAATCTGGACCAAAAATCCATTTTTGTTATCCCACCGGATGCCACGACGTCGGAATTGAAGGACTTTGTGAGCTCCTTATTCTCTCTGCTACAACCAACCTTGGTGGAGTACTACCGGGACTTGTCAAAGCATGCTCGGCGGAAGCGTAATAGGAGTACGATTCCACCCCCGACTGCACCTCCAACTACTGGCACTTCTCAGACGCTCTCGCTACAAGGATGGAATGTTCGTTATGAATTCAAGCTTGGTATATTTGCCGAATTTCGCCAAGAGATGGACGCAGCCTGTCGAAATTACGAAAGTGCATATGAAACATTATTTGGCCAAGAGGTGTTTGAAAACATCGCGGGTTGGGATGCCCGCTTTAACGACGCGCGCCTGTTGGGGGATGCTCTTGCTATCCGCATCATCCGCTGTCTACTCTGGACGGGTCAGACTACTGCTGCAACTCGCCTTTGGGCCGACCACAGGATACAGACCAAAGGCATCGTCAACCGAAGGGGCAAGGGTAGCAAGAACTATGGATGGGAGGCCTGGGAAGCACGATGGTCAATGGTGATGGCCCAGCTTATCTGCCGAGCGGGTTCATCTCTCCACATCCCAGAAACTGCCATCGACCCGGCGCAGGCGCCGTTGATATTCAGTGTACCCGAAAAGTCCATTCCAAATCCTGAACGGGTCAACCCATGGGAACAACTACACCACGAGGGCTATTGGCTGTACCGCTCAGCAAAGCATACCATGATTCGGCGAACACTTGCGGGTCAGATTCCTGACGACGATCGACTGCCCCCCCGTCAATCCCCCGCCTCTCAAATTGGGAACAAATCTTACATGTACGATACATACCTCGCACCGGCTCCGAACCAAGAATACCCTCAACCTGGAGAGATTGGATTCGACCACTCAAGTTTAATACTAAGCACGCTGAAAGCGGCGCTTGAGGAGTTCTCCAAACGGCACCAAACTCGCAAAGTAGAGAGTTTGAGCCTCGAGATTGCACAGGAATACATTCGAATCGGCTCATGGGCCGAGGCCTACAAGGCTCTACAACCGCACTGGGCGACACTCACTTGGCGTCGATCTGGCTGGTGGCAGTTGATGGAAGCCTTTGGTTGGGCTCTGAGAGAAAGCGCTTTGAAAATTCAAGACCAAGAGACTGTCTTGAAGGTGGACTGGGAACTTCTTAACAAGGGTGAGTGACGACTAGGGATTTACCTTGACACACACAGGTACTGACTTGAGAATTTCAAGCCTTCCCATCGAGACCTGCATGGCATTACAATATCCATAAGAGCCTTGAGAGCTTTCCTTTGGAGAAACCCAAGCCCTCCGTCGTTCTTCGGGCCGAGGATGTCATGACTAGCCGTGAGTACAAGCAAGTCTTGCCCATGGAAAATGCATCTGCTGACTTCATCCAGTTACTGCGTCTGTTGTCTTCGAGAAATCAGAAGGCAATGTTGGCGAGCCCTTACAGGCCCAGTTAATTATTTCATCCTGCGCCCAGGCAAAATCAGCACCAATCAAGCTTTCCGAGGTCAAACTTGTTTTCGAAGGATGTCTCCGACCGGTGAAGATACAGTCCGACAACAATGAAGACTCTGACACAACAACCCAGTGCTGTATCTCATCGTTATCCCTCCGAGAGCCCAGCAATCCGAGCAGCTCGTCTATTCAATCTCCAACGGGCGGCCTGGCTACTCTCATTGGAATAGCAGATCTGACTATTGGGCCATCACAGATCAAGGTCTTCAATCTGACTTGCATCCCACGCGAGGCTGGAGATGCCCAAGTGGCTTCCATAGCGATGCACATTGAGGAGGAGAAATTTGATCTCGCATATGTGATCACGGATAATACTGAGCATCAGTCCTTTTGGTGGCAAGAAACTAAGAAGGGAGCATCTCGCAGAAGGATAGGCAAAGACCGAGACACAGGACGATGTAAAATCATGCCCAAGCCACCCAAGATTCGTATCTCGACCCCGAACCTCCGAACCACATATTATACCAACGAGCGGGTGATACTGAATATCGGCATTCACAACGAGGAAGATGAGGGCGCCGAGGTATCGACCGAGATCAGACTCTTCGGTGCCCCCGAATCTACAGCGAAGCTTGAATGGTCTGATACGGACAGCAACTCGGAACCAATAGAGTCAGGCGCAAGCACCCCTACCGAAGGTGTTTCTCACTTTATCAATCGAACCGTTGGTTTACTGGATCGTGGAACGGACAAAGAGCTTTCCATTGTGCTGGCAGATACCCAGGACGCCGCAAAGTTTTCTCTAGAGGTTTCCACCATCTACCACCTTGTTTCTGATGTGCAAACACCCATAATCAAGACAATCACAGTGGAACTCTCGTTCGTCCGACCTTTCGAAGCTAATTACGACTTCCTCCCTCACATCCACACTCTTCCCTGGCCGGACTTCTTCTCCGTCAGTGACGAATTGGTTGGCGAGACAGGCTCGAAGCCAGGTGGCTTGATACAGAAATGGTGCCTCAACTCTAAAGTGGTATCTTTCGCCCTGGAACCTCTCGTGATTGAAAATATGGCCCTGAAACTCCTGGACCTAAGCATTGGTGCCGTTTGCGACATCGAACCGGAAGTTCTCGTCAGTGCAGAGGCGCCCCATCTTTCACCCGAAGAGCTGCGCGAGTCCAATTTCTTCCTTGATATCCAGAAACAACTTCTCGGTGACCGCCGACCCACAGCTCTCAGCTTTGCTTTGGAGATCACCTGGCGCCGGGCCTCTCCCGAAGGCGTAAAGGAGTCCGCCCACACCACCACCACCACCACCACAACAACCAGTGTCCTTGAGATACCTCGGTTCGTTGTTCCAATGGGCGAACCGAGAATCCTGGCCTCGTCGTCGCCTTCGACTAAGCTGCCCGGCATGATTCATCTGGAATATACGCTCGAGAACCCATCCACCCATTTCTTGACCTTCAACTTGATGATGGAAGCGAGTGAATACTTCGCCTTTAGTGGACCGAAGACAACTGTCATCCAACTGGTCCCGCTAAGCAGACATACCGTGCGGTATAATATACTGGCAGCGAAACGTGGACTTTGGATTCAACCACAATTGGTGGTTGTTGATACATATTTCAATAAGACGCTGCGGGTGCTGCCCACTGGTGAGATGCGGGCTGATAAGAAGGGGGTTTTGGTTTGGGTCGATGCAGATGACTAGATAGAATTTTCTCTTCCCACCTTCTTGTTGAATATCATGAGAAATGTACTTAATTGGCAACTGATTCTTTCCTACAATAATATACTATAAGATCCACCATGGTCACAGTCACAGTGGCCCTACCCTAGTCACGTGGCCCTTATCGCAGCTCCGGAGCTTCGTCACTTCCCCGTGGAGGATTGTTCTGCCGCTTCTCTCCCAGTACGACCCTCTCAGCTTCAACTTCAACTTCCTACTCTACCTGCCTCTCATTTCCTCACTCTCTACTTGGAAGTGAACCCCCTCTTTGGAACCACATCAGTGGCATCTCCAAAGAATTCTTGCATTCACCGCCTCCCCCTCTTCCCCTCTACGCGCTGACCGACCGTGTCTGATCTGATCCACCTCGTGGGCAACAATTTCGCAACCATGGCGACACAAGCAGCCTTGATCGCCGATACAATTATCGGCATGAAGCGAGCCCTGCGCCGCGAGCGCGATGGTAAGTCTCTTTTTCACTCGCCGCAAAACCGCATTGTATTGGCATCGCTAAGATCATCTCTCCCCGGCTAGATTCGGGTCCAGATGACCCTATCACGCAGCCGACCAACCGCGGCAATAAAATGCATGCGAATGCGAAATTCGTCAGTGAAGGTGCGATGGGATATATCAATGCGGAAGAGTTTTATAAAGAGGTGCGTGGTGGTTTCTTTGTAGACTTCTTGACAGCGCGAGCGAGAGAAGACGTCTTGCCGAGCTGTCTTGAAAGAACTTGCAAAAGAGAAGACGCTGACAATACTGGATATGAATAGAAAATCGATCACGCCGGATACACACGTTACATCCTGCACCGGAATCCAATTCGCTATGACTCCGAAGGCGATGAACTTGAAGAGGAGGATGAAGATTCTGAGGCCGATGCTGCGGCTGCTGAAGAGAACCCGTTTTCAGGGATCGCGTTGGAAAGTTAGTTATACCATTGAAATACCCCGAGGGATAACCTTCTTCAAAAAAGAAGAGGAAAGCGAAAAGAAAAAAAAAATGACTGACCATTCTCTTGCGCAGCACTCCTCTGCCCTTTGAAACACCCCTCCGAACTCCCGTCCCATCCCTCCATGTCTCAGCCCTACACATCCGAAGCCCTCGAGCAAATGACCCTAGCCGTCGAAGAGAAGCTGCGACAGGAAAAGGCTCTACTCTGGCGGGCACGAAATTTGCATCGCCAATTCTTAGGTGATGGGGGATGGATCCCCTGCGGTATTGTTGAAACCGAGGAAGATCGCTTCATCTTTGAGCAGCGTGATGATAGGCAAAGCGCGTCCGCCAAGCAAAAAAGGCAAAATGGGACCGAGCCGTATGCGAACGGTGATCTCAACGCCCAACAAGACGAGATCCAACAAGCACAAAACGAGACGAACCACGAAGCCAGCGCGAACAATGAAGATGTCGAGATGGCGGAGATTCCTCTAGCATCGGCAGAAACCCCCCCTCAACGCTGATACGCACGAGCCTCTGAAGGTTCTGAAATCCGAAGAGGCCGATGCTACAGTTTCAGATCTCCCACAACACCCAACAGACGCCGAGGAATCGGGTCTAGAAGCCCGCGGGAAGAGGGAAGAGGAAATCAACGGAAGCAAGAGAACTGATGCAAACGACGTACAAAATAATGAGACCGAGGAGCAAGATGAGGAAATGCACGATGGTTCTTCCCCAGAACCACCCCGCCGCATGACGACACGCGCCCAAGCCAACAACGCAGACAACCCCCTCGAGGGAGGATCACCCATGTCATCCACAGAAACACTCAGCGGATTCCCCCATCCACACCCACTCTTCCTAGTGCCCGAAGACGTCCGACCAGACGCGAATTTCGGCCTCCCCCCCCGCCGAAGCCGAAGAAACGCGCCGTCTACTGTGGTCATATATCCAGAAACAAGAAGAGACGGTGCGCGGCTTCGAGCATATGCTCGATTCGCTGCTGCGCGCTTTCCGCATGAAGTCTGATGTGCTGGAGTGGTGTAAGGCTGAGGGCCATGTGGGGGAAATGAGTGATGGCGAGGACTGGTATGATCGGGAGCAATGGGGGTTGGCGGAGAATGAGGATCTTAAGAAGGGGACTGATGAGGATGAAGTTGAGACTGTTGATGAGGCGAGGACGACTGTGAAGAGGGGAAGGGGGAGAAGGCAGTAGGCAGGAGGCAGTAGCCTCTCTCTCTTTCTCTCTTTTTCCTCTTCTCGCACTTTTTGTCAGCTTGGTCCTATCTCGGCTCCATGCTTCTTCCATTGCTGGTTCCTCTCTTATTTGGTTCTCTGTCCCTGTCCCTGCCCCGTCTCTACTCCCTTGTTTAGCTTCCCTTCGTGTCTCATAGCGTGGTGTTGGTGGTGTTTGATCGATCTATGGCGGTGCATCTCAGGTACCCAGGAACTCCGCGGTGTCGATATACCCTTTTTTGGAGATGAAATAGTGAATGTATCAATCTCATCGTTATTATATTATGTATTGAACTGCTCTGCTCTGCATTTCTCTGTCTTGATCGTAAGGATTATTGCTGTCTGACGCGTGACGAGTATGTAGAGATACTACTATAGTATGTATTCGATGGAGATGGCACAAACTTGAATGTGTGGGAGCTAGTACTAAATACTAGTTACTAGTTAGTAGATAATGTACAGATGCAGTCAGTGAGAGGCAGTACTAGTAGATCCAAGGTACCCAAGGCCATTTTTGTTTCCGGGTAAAGAGCTTTTAGGCATATAAATTGAAATTCGATTGGGATTTTGGAGATCTTCCACAGGGTCCTCTAATTTCAGCAAAAACAACTTGAATACCCAATATATTGGCTGCGAGCTACATGCGTCCCCAAGTTTCTTAAAGCCATTCTATTCGCTTAGTCCATCAATTCATCCAAGTCAATACAGCTACCATCAAGTTCAGTTATCCGATGCAAAGGATAGAGCCATTTGAAACACGGCCATCAGATCTAGCTAGTCTTGAAGCCATCATACCACTGGCACTATACTCCAGCCCTTGGTACTTCCCCCCCAGGCCCTCTATATCACCACATTACCTAGTGACATTCCGAATTTACTTCTGCTTGCTCAAATGCCACACCTCTAACGCCCCTATGAAAGTATCTTGCCGCATGACCTCTTTATATCGCTGGTTCGAAAGATAGGAAATATTGCAGGAGCGCATAGCCTCCCATGAACGAGACGATGACTTTTCAAAGGAATCCCGCGCACTCAAGTCACCATCTAATTTCGACTTCGATTCCGACTCCACCTCTGGAAACTGGTAGACACCCGCTTTTAGAAACCCGACCCACTGAGGATCCTCTGGGGTTAACCCAGCGCCTAGATTCAACCACCTTGTAACAACCAGAGCTCTGTACAGGCCGTAGTCACAGGTTTCAATGCAGAAACTAGTCTTACACCACCCGCAGACACGATTGTAAGGAGCGGCTTTCTTTCCACGATAGAATTCCCTATCGATTCGGACATGCTCGCATATGAAGAAAGAATGGTAGAACGCTGGATTCCAATATAGGAGACTTTCATTTCGGATTCGAGTAGACCTTATCTCTTGTGTTCTCAATATTAACTGTGGGGGTTCGATTTGGGTGCATATTTGTGCTTCTATTGAGAAAAGAACGGTTATGTCTTGAGGGTATACTTGAACTTGAGTGTGAGATAGGGCCTCGGTGCTGATCCCGAATTGTGGTCCATGGTAGAAACTCCTCATAGCAAGCTGTAAGTGGAGGAAGTAAAATTGATATTGTATATCATGCCGTGATTCTCCAAAGCTCAACGCGAGACACTCATTGTCCTTCCACTTTGGGAAGCATGGAAGAGTACATTCGCTTTCCAGGGTTGAGCCATATAAGACTGGAGATTTATCACACTTATGGAGCCGGGGGCAAGCATAGCAGAGGAAGCAGCTCGGCAAATCTCGCTGTAGGAGTTCTAGAATAGAGAGCGTTTCATTCCGTGAAGGCAAGCAGTTTCTTTGGAGGTGAGAGATCCGACGTTCGAGCATTGCAAGGAGTCGGTGGTTGCAAAGAGAAAGACAGGTTGCATCACACAGGGAGAGGAAATCGGCTATCTCCAAGAGTAGTTCGACTGGGAGTTCAGCAAGTACTAGTGTCATCTTCTTGGGTATATCCAAGGGAAGAGTCTCAGAACTTGAAGTATTATTTTCAGTTGTAGGTAGTAGTGTATCGAGGGAAAGGGAAAGGGTCTCGAGGCTTGTAATATCATGCCCCGATACTTTGGATGCCATGGAAGGGAAGAGTGCACAAAACTTAGTATACCGGAGATGTTGACTGTAGTTGATGCAAATAAAAGAGATGAAATAGAAGTTGAATCAAAAATGTCGAGTCCTGAGTCAGAACACTAAGAGTGACGCCTTCGATGCCTGAGAATGGACAAGTAATTACTATGCAAGCCCATGGAACCGATTGAAGGGTGCCCCTTTTTATACCGCGCGGGCCGAGAGTACCATGGAATTGATATCTGGGTTCCCTGATACCATTTAGTAGATCGCAGCTATTTTAAGGCTTTAATAACAGGGATATTTCGGCAACTGGAATACTTTGAATTTGGTATTTGTTCTGTTGTATCTACACCAACAGAGCTTTCCTGATACTATTGTAATGACAAAATTTGATATGGAAACTTGCTTTACATTACCTATAGACATAAATTACGGACAGAGCCCTTTCCGCAGTAAGGCAGTTCTACTTAGGAGATTAACCAAATTCACAGTGTTGTAGTGAGCGAGACATGCAAAGAGATTAAACCAGCATCAGATGTTGAATCATGATACCTAACAATAAGTGCTTCCGATGTGGAACAGACATCATTATCTGTTAGATCTTCCACATAAACTACCGGGTATAAGACCTCCGACTCCCATTCCGGCGCTTTGCTCGGTGATAAGGGTAAATGCACCCATACTTTCAAAATCCGCCGGTTTAGTACAAGGGGACGTGTCATTCCAGACTTCGAGTGCTGTAAGTAATCCCCGTTCGCCTCGGGGGCCTGGCTTTTCTTTTACTTCGTCTTTCGCCATTCCTATCCATGTCTTGGCGAATATGACTTACATTTTCACACTGCAATTTTATCCTTAATTTTTCCCCGTGTAATAATATTTGAGACTATTATATGCCGATTTCCACTGACGTTATTCGGATATTGTCCTGTCTGACATCAATGGCGTGGGCGATGCCCAATTATTCGCTACACTTGTGATATCTGTTTGCACTTTCCCTTCTACTGAGGCCCCGGCCTGGTCATATAAGCCTACGAAAGAAAGTGGGGTAGATCTGAGCTCTGGCCCTATCGCACAAATTTTGATATCCTAAGTTGTGGTCTCACATTCCTAGGTACTAGTACAGGATAGTATATAAAATCGTAACCCCACCCCAACCGAACTCAATTCATAATAAAACTCCCCCTTACATAATTATTTTCGCCAATAATCTCCGACGGCATAAATCCATCCATCAAAAGCCCAGTAAACGAATCTAACCCAACTCTATCAGGATCAATCCAATTATCCCAAACGGGCTCCCCATGCTCATCAATCCAAAGCATCTTAACAAGCTTCTTCTCCAACGCCTCCTGATCAAGCAAATAAACAATCGCCTGGATCCTCAACTGAGCCCTATAAAGCGGCTTCGCCTCTTCATTTTCCAAATCTTCAACCTCCTGCATCATCTCCTTATCATTCAAACCGCTACAATAATATAGATCCAACCCATCCCACGACGTCTCACTCGGGCCATAGGAAAGTTGTCCAAAATCAAGAATGTTCGGAACACGGAGGTATACATCTCGCCAATCTTCGAAGGCGTACCGAGATTTATCATCCAGTTCTCGGTCTCCATTCAAGTTTATTCCGTGCCTCGGGGCACTGGCCTTATCGGCTAGTTCATTGTATATTTCTTCTAGATCGGGGTCGTAGCAGGTTCGTAGCCAGGTCATTGGCTTCCCGATGTTCGCCTCTATGCTGATATTTCGCTCGAAGATTGTTTGGTTAGGCCTGAATATCTGTGCTCTTTGAGCTTCTGTTGCTGGGGACGGAGGGTCGAGATATGCCGCGTCGTTGTAGGGCTGGTTTAGTTAGCGTTGACTGGACCGCTGGTTTGGGATATTGTATAAGGGCGTTGAGGAGTGGATGCGTACAGCACGCTCGATTAGAGTCTTCTCTTTCCATTCGCGGACCAGCTTCTCCCATTGTCGGGGACTTTCTTCCAGAGGGGCTTTGTTATCCCAGTGTTCCTGTTATTGTCAGAGGTGTATCTTGAAAGCTGCTTGAGGGAAAACTACTATAGCGAAGAGATCGAAAGGAAGGAGGCCCGGCTGAGCTTTCTCGTTCAACTCAGCTTCAATATCGGGCTTTTCCCACTCGGTTTCGATTTTAGTAATGTGCTCCATGGTGATGTGATGATGTGAGGAGGTGGAGATTTGGCGCCCGCCGAGGTTTGATTTTGGCGTCGTTCAGGCTTGGCGATGGGGGCCAAACGTGCGAGTACTGGGATATTTGCAAAATATTTCTTATTTTCAAAGAGAATTCCCATAGCTACTGGGTGTATTTGGTAACAAGCTCAATGGTTTCTATCTCTATTATGGGTATCATGACAGGTACCGCCTCTATCGAGTGTCTCTTGGGTGGGTCTTTACTTCAAGTTGATATGGAACAGGTCAGAAGTACCAGTGTTGATAATCATGTATCGTCGACGAAGGTGATGCCCAATGACCTAAACAGCAGCCACTACGACGACGCACGAAAGCGGAACTTGTGAATTTGTATGAACAACTGGATACGGGTGAACCCGAAGATCCAATGGCACGGGCAACTCACCTACCAGATATCATTGTCAAATGGCCAATTGTCGCCAAAATGCTCAATGGTGACGAAGACTGGAAGGATTAGGGGCGAAACTCTTAGCAATTTGTCTTGAGATTATCCAATTGAAATTCACTACCGAATGCATTGTAGCAATATCTCACAGCCTGGTAAACCTTAGACTGGATTAGATCTGCTAGTTGGGAATGTCATTTCAAGGCACAATTTCAGTACCGTCCGAAGCCCCTACCAGGCAGTCTGGGGAGAAATGGTTCCGAAAGTATCACACTCAATGTAGTCTACTGTTTGACGAGTGTGATTGCATAAAAGCTCGTGCACATAGTTTGCTTCCGTGTCTCTATATCTGTAGAAGGATGTGATTTCCACAGTAACTGCATTCGCTCGCTGTCTAGTTACTATATAGTAGCTCGTACTCCAAACTTCAAGTTGCAGCCCCAGAAGGGAAAAAATAGAAATTCAAAAAAGACAAAAACAAGGATAAGAAGAAATTTGAGATTCAAAGCAGCACTCAAAGCCCACCCGCCTTGCAAATTTTCTCGGCCTTCGAAACCTGCTTAGCATACCGAGAAGGATAAGCAGAGCCCTGAACCTTCTGGCACAAAGTCCCAACATCCATACTCTTCCACCCACTAATACCCTTCATTTTCTTAAAGAATTGCCCAGCAGACTTGCCCGCATCCATATCAGCCGCAATATCCTTATAGAACATAGCACGCTGCTGGAAGATACCGACGCTGTCGTGATCAGAACCCACTGCGTCGTGGGGGTATTTCAGAGACTCGGGGACGCCACTGTTAGCGTAGATGAGAATATTTGACTAGAATGTGTTAGAAACTGTTCTTCGAAATGTCTTGTGAAAGGACAAGGTATAGATAGTATTAAGGGAAAGGGGGTTCTATCATACCTCAACAATCGCAGTAGCAATACCAGCGGTACATCCCTGACGTCCAAGATCCTCACTCTTCGCCTCGGCAATAATATCCTTCGCATGCTTTGACTGAGTCGAGGTGAGACCGGGGAGGTTTCCGCCGGAACTACCACCATCACCGCCGTCCCCGTTGTCATCACCGTCGCACTTCGTGGTAACGTAGCTGCTGCTACCGGTCTTCACGTAGTAATCCGCGACATAGCAGCCGTCAGAGGTCTTGTCCCAGACCGAGTCACCCTTGACGTCGGTGCCGGGTGCTTGGCACGTAATTGAGACGTCGGCGTCTAGTTTGTAGGACTTGACTACGTCGTAGCTGGTGCCTGGGCCCGAGCGACAGTTCACGACGTCGCCGGTAATGGGGTAGGCGTTGGCGAGAGGCGCGGTGAGGAGGGAGATAGCGAGGATGGGGAGGAACTTGACGGAAGGCATAGTTTCTGTGTTGTGCTTGAAGTTGTTTTGACTGGAAGTATGTATAGGTACCAAGAATTGGAAAATTAGTCTTGGACTCGGAGTCGAGGAGGCTTTTGCTGGCTTGATTGGATGGCTGTTGCTGATGAAAACGTCAAGGATCGGAGGAATTGAACATCAATTTATAGAGTCGAGAGCCATGAGGGCCACGACCATGTTCTCAAATCTTCTAACTTGACTCTATTCAAATCCAGTCAAGCGATCGCCGATCCTCGTGAATCCCGTATAGAACCATCGCAAGAGGGAACTTGAAGCAAGTGATGCTATTTTTTGCCATCGTATCCGGGAAATGAGGATCTAATTCGCTCGATCGCCCGTTTGGTGTCGCTGTCGGAATGAAACGAAGTCCCTTTTGGCCCCAAGGTATGATCTTCAAAAATAGCCTCAGTCTCGTATGCACGCAATTCGGTTAAAGTCTACTAGTACGAGGAATATTCCGAAGTGGTCGTGTTGCACTGGATCTATACAAATGCTTGGCATCTCGTGTTCCTGGCACGAGGCCTAAAAATAGCGCAGTGAAGAGCGCCACGGGGAAATATCTGCGCTGATCTTCCGTATTCACTGCTAGGGCTCACTTTTTCAGTCTAGGAATGGGATTTGGGGTTTGCTAGTATTGTCATTCAAATTGACGTACTCGACATGCCCATGGATGAATGACTTGAATACTCTACCCTATAGTGGCCACGGAACTATCCTTAAAACAATATTTTGATCTATTATTAAATGGGGATTCCAGTCCCTGCATACTCGAGAGCAATATGTACAATCAAATTCAGTTGAACAGGAGTGTCGTGGATATCAAAACTAGCAAGAGTGATTACACTATCGATGGGCTCAGCTTGTCATGGTTGCAATGGAAAGTGTGGTGTTGTCTTGTCGCTCTGGGAGAAAGAATTCTTTTTGGTCGCGTAAGGGAAATAACAAAAGGATGGGGTATGCGAGCTCGCATGCCCATCCTGCAGCTTTACTCGGTGCCCGCCGTGGGGACCGAAAGCAAGGTAAGGTCTATCATTCTACTTTTCCAGCATCGTTGAAGATTCGAATGCGCAGCGCAGCGTATCCGTGTTGCTGGGAAACACCGTGTCCCGCCCCGGGAAATTCACTTGAAAGTTCGGGTCTGGGTGGCGTCTGCTTGTCATGGGATTCGGATTCGGACTCGGACTCGGTCTGACCGAAAAAGATTGCCATCTGCGGATTGTGGATGTTGAAGGTCCTCATCAACCCGGGATACATGCCCAATTTACAGCTTCTTGCCGCCCTGCTTCTTCGCGCGCTCGCGCTCGCGCTTGGCGTAGATCTCGGCAGTGAAGGGGCTAGGAGGGACATGTCAGTTAGCGTGGATTCTTGAGGGTGTGTGTGGTGAAGCATGAGCAAACTCACTCCTCCCACTTAAGGGCAAACCAGTAGAGCACAAAGACAAAAGCGGTCAGGAGGATTCCCGCAACCTTGCCGCGGTATAGAGCAACGCCGAGGAAGTTCAGAGTACTTCCCCAGTACATGGGCGATCCGGTCACGTTGAACGGGAAACCGGTGACCGGGGCGTCCATGAGAATACCGAAGTAGTCACCGAGGTAGGTACCGGTCACACCAAGAGCCCACATGCTAGACAAGACGAGGACGGAACCCAAAGCGAATAGAACACCGCCGATGATGGGCTGATGCACGGGAGCATAGAAGGGCTGGTCTGCCAGGGCGAGTTGGTAGACATGGTCACGGAAAATTCCAAGAGCGAAGATAGTGAAAGCCAAGAAGTAGCATCCTCTGTAGGGTCCCCCGAAGATGCGAGTCAGGATGTGGTTGTTGTACTCTGTATGGAGTGCCGTTGTTAGCCGAGTCACAAAAGTACGAAGTGGAGTAGAGGTGGTCGAGGGTGGTCGAGGCAGGAGGAGTCGACTAACCAGCGCGAGCAACAATACTGAGAACAGTTGTTAGTCATGAGCTTCACTGCAGATCATCAAATGCATAGAGCAGAGACTTACTTCCAGAAGATCGGATTGAAGGCAATCGTCGCGGCAGACACTGTTTAGGTCAGTCACATGTGAAATGCGGAGATGGACCGGGGTTAGCGAGGGGGTCTTTACCGGCCAGAGACGGGGCAGAGAGATCGACAATATCAGAAAGATTGGCCATGATGGATGGCGACGGCGAGTGACAACAGCGAAGGGAGAGCGAAGAGAGGAGTAAAGAAAGGTGCAGATGAGGAGGGGAACTGGCAAGTTGAGGACGATCGTGGCTTAAGTAAACAAATGACGTTGATCTGCCGCTACACACCGCCTGCCACAACTGAACAACTGCAGCGATTGAAGCCCAACCCAAACTTATCTTGCGCTCTGGACGTGGTGCAGTATTCATTTCGAAGCTTTGTTTTCTTTTTTTTTTTTTCCGTCGGTACTGGTGATTTTGGATTTCTTACAGAATCCCCCATCTCTCCAAGTCGCTCCACATTTCCTCACCGCCGTTCCCCAAGCTCTGTCGATCGCGTCAATGCCGAGTCGAGCTTCCCACTCCTAACTTGCGCCGAGTCCGTCATGAGACGTGGAGCTTTCATACGTGTCCGGGGAGAATGACCCTTTACCGTCGCGATCTGATTCTAGCTGGCGTCGGTGGATTTATCGCATGGGGCCTGGTAGTTCGCTGGCTGCCGTTCCTTCGATATCTAGGATGGGCCGTGGCGCTGGGCGCCGCCCTCTCATCCGCTGGTTTCCTCGCTCTCGTTGTCTTCACCGTCCGAAGTACTGCGAGAAGTGCTCGCAGTTCAAAAAATGTCTCAGTGGCGTTCATCACTCCCAAGAACTGGCGGAAAGAAGTGTTCAATGCGCGGAAGACGGCCCGATACCAAAGAAAACCATTATACCCCGAATCCTTTGTCGTGTCAGAAGGACTCGACGAACTGTTTTCGTTCATAACGCGAGACTTTGTATCGTCGTGGTATCATAATATTAGTCCCAATCCGACCTTCCCAAATGAAATCGATCGAGTGATCCGCGGGGCCCTCGAAAACCTGCGAGATCGACTGCTGGCAGAAGATTTGATCTCTTTGATCATATCGCGCATCGTCCCGATATTGACCACTCACCTCAAGGAGTTCGATGTGGCGGAGCGTTTAGTCCGTGGGCGAAATCTGGATCGAAATGTGACGGAATCCGAAGAGCTAGATCGCGCCATCGCCAACAAGTTCCGCGAAGGTCGTCTTCATCCTGCAGCGGCTCTTTCGGCATCTGATCCCAAGCTTGTACAGCAGGAGTATCTTCGAAAGATAGCCGTGACCCTCTCCCCGCAGCTGTTTCCAGAAAGCGTCCTCAACAGTAGGATCGTTTCGGTCTTGATCCATGAAATCATCTCGTGCGCGGTGCTCATACCCATCATGACAGCGTTGTCTGATCCGGATACGTGGAATCAGCTGGTGGAAGCATATGGACGGACCGCTTTGCAGGACCGAAAGACCGTTCGTAAGCTGCGCGCTGCGCTGGACGAGCACGCATCCCCAGCCCCAAAATCCAAGCGCGGTCAGCCATTTCCGCGACTGGCTGCGAATGATTCGGAGCGAGTCTTTGAACGGTTCGTCCGAGCTATCAGAAGATGTAACAATCTGTCAGATGCTCGTCGGTTCCGCGCAGCGGTTGTCAGTCAATTGAAGCGGGAGAGTATGGTTGCGGGACAAGATCCGGTCTATCTTAAACGCCTAGAAACAGGCAAACGAGTCCTCGACCAGAAGGTTGCAAATCTCGCTGTCCCTGGGGGTATCCCCTCCACCCCACCCATACCTCAGGTCGCAGTGAATGCGCCTCATACCAATCCCCCAATAGCGAAGGAGACAGCCCTTGCGGATGTGCTCCACCAGGCATCGGGCCTCTCCTACTTTATGGAGTTCATGGATCGCCAGAAATTGATGTCTCTGGTTCAATACTGGATCGTTGTAGATGGGTTCCGCAACCCGCTGGAGGACGACTTTGGGGACGAAGCATCGCCGTCATCTACAGCATGGAGTACTTCTGATCGAAATGACATTGCTCTCCTCAGTGAAACTTATCTCAACAAGCCAGAGCTGAAAGTGTCCGACGAGTCTCGCAAAGCAGTCAAGACCTTTCTCAGTGCTGGGAAGCGCGCGACCGCGGAGCAGTATCGCAAGGCCCGCAGAGTCGTGTTATCGACACAATCCGCCGTACTGGAAGAACTGGAGGCGAATTTCTACCCGAAATTCAAAGAGTCGGATCTTTATTGGAAATTTCTTGCGTCGGATGAGGCCTCTGGCTCAAACGCCGCGGCTAAACCTCCAACACCGACCGTTACATTCGAACCTCCCGAGCGACGACCTTTACCACCTCTCATTGTACGAACAAGCTCGCAGCCGGGAACTAGACCGCCAAGGGACCTTCGACGGGCAGCCGTCTCATCGAGCGACGTGCGTGGCATGGGCAAGCTTTTCGATGACGACGATTCCCGGCGACGGTCAATCGATTCCGACCGATCAGTACCATTATTCGACGATGACTACGACACTGACAACATGGCCATGTCTACCAATAGCTTGAATAAAGACTCGCCGAACGGGGAGGCTGAAGCATCCCAGAGCCATGTCCTTGAAACGATGGAGGCAGCTCTAAACGACATCATCACGAATGAGCCAAAGAATGCACGTGTGGATGACTTGAAAGGAAGCACCGATGCTACATCCTCATCCTCTCTATTTGGACCAGAGCGTCCTGAAATTTCACCTCGTAATTCATCAGAGGTCCCCTTAGGCGACAATATTCTCTTTGAGAAGACTGAGAAAAGCAAGAAGAGCATCGCATCACTCGGTCTTGTCGGCAATGGACGCTTCGGCGTTTTCGACGACGACCTTTTCCCAGACCAGGAGAAGTTCATCGAGGACGAGTACGAGGAGCCAGTTGACGACGCGGATAAAGATTCTGCAGACGAAGTCCATGAGGCGGCACCCGGTGATTTGGGCTTGACCGAGGCAATCGAAGCGTTGACAGTCGACATTGAGAAACTTACATCTCAAGACTCGGTCGTGGAAGCATTGACCCGCAAGGCCGAATTGACGAACAACACTGCCGAATTGCGCATCCTACGCAAATCCAAGGCGAGCATCCAGCGAGAAATCCACCGCAAGGAGATGCAGCGGCAGCAGTATATCATCCAAGAAGGCGATAACAGCTTATATGGTCGATCGACTGTGCGAATCAAATCAATCATGGTAGGCAACGAGCCAACTGATGGTCGGGAATTTGTTATGTGTAAGTACTTCATTCTCGCATAGGGGCAATATGCATCCCAACTGACCTAACACACCAAAGATGTCGTCGAAGTCCAGCGCAACGCAGGCGAACAAATGCCCGCCGCATCATGGGCCGTTCCGCGCCGCTACAGCGAATTTCACGAACTACACCAAAAACTCCGCAACAGCTACGCATCCGTGCGACACCTCGAATTTCCCCGCCGCCGCATGGTCATGAAACTACAAAAGGAATTCCTCCGCAAACGCCGCCAAGCCCTAGAATCCTACCTCCAACAACTCCTCCTCCTCCCAGAAGTCTGTCGCAGCCGAGCCCTGCGCGCATTCCTCTCGCAAAGCGCCATTCTCCCCCGCACAGACAGCACCACCCACGCCGAAACCGAAACAAAAGACCTCGTCTCGCGCATATATAGCTCCGTCGCAGACGGCATGGACGATTTCCTCGGCAACTTCGGCGTTCTGGATCAATTATCAACAGCAGGCCAGAATCTGATTTCCGCCGCTACAGCAACACAAGGATTGGCATCGGCGTCAGCGTCGGCGTCAGCAGTCCCACTAGGCTCAAGTGGCTCAATCGACCCCCCTAACCGAAGACGCCGTAACAAGCGCCGAAGCTGAAGCCGAACTCAACGCCTTCGAAGACAGAGACCTAGAACCCTTCATCAAACCAATCTGCGACCTATTCCTCGAAACCTTCGAACTAAACCGGGGCAACAACTGGCTCCGCGGCCGAGCCGTCGTCGTCGTTCTCCACCAATTACTCGGCGGAACAATAGAGCGCAAAGTCCGCGACGGCGCACGCTCTCTAGGCCAAAATGAAAATCTGCTCAAATACATCTCTCTAGCGCGTGATGCGCTCTGGCCAGATGGAACGTTACGCAAATTTCAGGCCCGAGCTGGTGCGGAGAAGTTGAAAAGTCGCGCTGAGGCTACTGTTGTGCTTGCTACGCTGCTCCCGGATTTGGCGGGGAATGTGGTGGGTAGGGCTAATGCGCAGGCTGCGGCTAGGCGGATATTTGCGACGCTTAATAATAGGCATCTTAATGCTCATTTGGCCTTTTCGGTTTTGGATGAGATTGTTTTGGTGCTTTTTGGCGCGGGTGGGAGGGGGAGGTGATGTGATGTGATGTGATGGTAATGGGATAGATAGGTTGCTGGTTCACCCCCTTGCCTCGGTCCTCGCGTCCCATTTTTACTTTTTCTTTTTGACATTTCCTTATTTTGATGCGTGGGATGATCCAATGCTTGTTACGGAAGACAGATACGTACGCCCTTTACATTTATTTTTCTCGGGCATCGATTCGCTGGGGTGTTGAGCTGTTATTTCCCGTGCGCACCTCCTTTTTTGTTACGAGCGGCGAAATGTTTTTGTATATAATCATAATGCTGTATATGAATCGTTGCGAAATAACTATTCCTCTACTCCTGGATCTCCAAGAAAAAAAGTTAGATATCTACGAGTAATTGCAACTGGAATTCGAATTGCCATGCACATGCGCAGTGCTAGGAGCTAGCGGACTCTAAGTGGGCCTTGTGTGGGGATCCGCCGTTAGTGTCGACCCGCCTTCATCCGGAGCGGAGTGGAGCTTGTATGTACTACAGAAGTGCCAGTGCAGCTATGCACAATGAACATTGATCCAAGAACAAACAACACTAGGATTAGGGATGGAAGAAGGAGTTTAGTTCAGAGGAAGTCCTCGAATTAGGGGGATCTGATTGATAAAACCGAGTAACTAAAGAACGAGACGGATATCGGGGTACCATACGGAACACCCTGCACCCGCACCCTCACCCTGCCATGGGCGGGTGGGAAAATGGTCACTCGGATGTAAGGGGGAAAAGAAAAGAAGAGAGTCCGGGATACAGGGTAACGGAGATCCAGCAGAAAGATAAGAGGCAAAATACAGAACAGAAAGAGAACAGAACAGAACAGAACCTCTTCGCTAGCCCATTGATCTTTCTAGCGCGGTAGAGCAGAAGAGAACAAGAAAGGAGCACAGAGTAGAGCAGCAGGGCAGGGACCGAACACATCAAACCGGTGATGGTCAGTATTGCTTGCTTGCGTGAAGAGAAGAGAATGGACGAATGGATACAGAGGTAGGGGGTGTGATGTGCGTTGGTAACAGCATACTTTGCAGTATTGGAGAGGGGGGTCAACCCTTGTCGTTTCGATCGTTTCATAGAAGGAGAAGCAGAAGCAGAAGCAGCAGTGGAAGCGGAAACAGAGGGAGTGATCTGGGTGAGCTGGACCCGACGATAGTGAAGATCAAATCAGATCCCATCTATGCCTCCTTGTTCTTCTTTTTGGACTTCTTGCTGCCTGACTCTTTGGGTGGGCCTGTGCTTGACTGGTGGACGATGAGTCGTGTCCAGCAATCTTCTTTGTCCCACTCGAAGCCTTTCAGGAAAGGCTCCTGGAGTTCGTCGTCCTTCTGGGGTAGTGAGTTAGCATGGTGTTATGGAATTGACTGACGGGGACGGGGCAGTGAAGGTGAATTCCTGGGCGATGAGTCGAGACTTACCTTCTTCTTGTATTGCTTGTAGATGGCATCCATGGCGTCCTTTATCGTCACGCCCTTCAGATTCCGGGCGGAGACTTCTAGACCCAGTGGGAAGTGGAGTTCGATTTTCTTGACGGGGGGTGTGACGAGGTACATCCCCAGGATGTCCTTGTCTTCAACTGTGCTTGGTGAGGCGTTTAACCGCCTGTGAGAAGAGTGAGTGGGGTGATTGGACGAGAGGGGGGGAGGGAGTGTTCACTTACCATCCGGTCTTTTGTGTTTCGATGGGCAGCTCGAGTTCAATCTTTTGTGCCTCTGGAGGGAATGATGAGTGGTGGCTAGTGATGGGGTGTTCAATGTGAGATAGATACCTAGGTCCTTGATGTTCCAGACATTGGCGCCTTGAGAGGAAAGGCGCTTGTGGCCTTTCTTGACCTCCTTTTCTGAGGGAACGGGAGGTTTGTCATCTAATGACAGGCCGGCGATGGCGGAATCAACTTTGGTTAAAGGGACTGACATGGTTGGAGTGATGGATTGAGTGTGAAATGTGGGAGAGGATGGAAGATCAGGGGAATCTGGAGAAGAAGAAGAAGAAGAAGGAGAGAAGAAGGAAGAGAAGGAGGAGAAGTAGAAGAGGGGAAGGAGAGAGCAGGTGACCACCCCAAAGTAAGTCATGGAGTCATGCCAGACCACAAAGTTACTCTCAGCTGTTCACTACTGGGTATACACGGTACCTTCCCTCTCTACTTCTACTTCACTTGACTTCTACATCTACTTCATTCTATGTTTTATTCCCTCTTTTCATTCACCCATCACTACTATCATCCTCATCAATCCACCATAACTATCACCATCACCATAACCACCTCCATCACTCCGTCACGCGACATTGACATCAGCGGCCACTTTGGACGCACCCCGCATTTGCTCCACCCGGCTTTATTTGAGATCGGCCATTAGCCAACATCAACATGCCATCAACATGGACACACACTTCCAGAGCACGCTGCACTTGTAAGCAACATCATCAAATTGATCTTTCAATTCCTCTCAATTATCAGCAATTCCTTCCATCCCATCCATCCATCCACCCCGGCCATCCCGTCTCTCCCTCTCTCCGTCGTCCCGGCCCGGGTCACCTGATCCATCAGACCACCATCATTCCACATCCCCCAAACTCTCGTATCATTCCATTCGTTTCATTTCCATTTCTACACCGACTCCTTAATGACACATTCCAGACTCCTTCCACCTGACAGCGCTACAATCCCACCCATCTCGCAGTACATCCATCCCAACCCACCTACTCGGCTCAAGAATGGGGTCGATGATCGCCATGACGAACCAAGTGGGTCACTTCCCCACAGCTCCGACCTCCCGCATTGTCCGGGGGACGTTACATCAAGTTTGAGTCCACTCGAATCACCTCGACTTGTCTATAGCGTACGAGTATCCTACAGCCTTGTCTACGAGTAATCTCGGTCCGCGGTTTCGCCCTCGAGAAGCGCTCATCAAATGAGAGAAACTCAAACTCAAACTCACCTGGACAGACGAGACAAAAGAGGGGAGGGGAAAAGATCATCCGGGCGCAGTGCAGCACAGCTGTCCCCGCCCCGGTTTCGAGTCCCGGCTCCCTGCCGCTCCGATCGCATCAGAATCGGGCTTAGACTCGTCTCGAACTCGTCTCGTGTGGCCTGATTGCTCAGGCGGGCTCGGTCTGCTTACTCGTACAGTACAGCTACAGCTACAGCCACCAACCATTTCTCACTAACTAGTGTGCTCCGCTCCTTGACTGGCTGACTGATGGGTAGGTATCGGTACATCGGTACATGCACCTTGGCGTGATCGGCAGGATTACACGTCACCACTTACAGGGATTGTATAGCACTGGACTGGACTGGACTGGACTGGGGAAGAGGGGAGGCCATTCACGACGTGGTTCGCGCGGGTATGGCTTTTGCCTGATTTAAGTTTCTTTCGAGATCGAGATTGGGTTCGCTATACGAGTACCTATATACGAACTCCTTTCAGCGATCCAGTAGCTTTTAGTTAGTACTCGTACCTTGTAAATAGTAAGTACTGTAGCTCGTATGTAGTCGTCGGCTATTTCCGTCTAATTAGCGCTTAAAATTCAACCCTGGGTATACGGTGATTGGGTAGAAAAAAAATCAATTCGATAGATCGGAAATAAAATGATTTGACCTTCTCAAATTGCGATCAATATAACGATAGGAGAAGTGCGCTAATGCTCATACACAATCCGAGCAGAACTGTTGAAGTCTTGGTGCCATCACAGCCACAAGACCACTAATCCCAAACTGCGACGTTTCCTCCACAACGGGCTGGAAACCGACCCTCGAGATTTCCATATTTTGCAAAGACGTACACCGGGAATGTAGGCCACGTAGACCAACAGTCTCGTTAAAGGGTTCTAGGACAGAGGCACCGGTTAGACACTTTGAACATACCTTGACGGTATAAAGAAAAGGCTCACAATTCCCTTCTTGCAGTTTGGGACACGACACAAAAATTCACCTGGATGAACCAGAACACCACCTTCGACTTCCAGAGTTCCTATTATTCAACACCAGTAAGAGACTTGAGATACCTTCAGAGTATCTGGGAGGGTAAATCTATAATACCAGTTGTTAGTAACAAGGCATAGGGAAATAATCCAGTTAGTGTGCTTACCTGATGGTGCTGCCTCTTCACCATCTACCCTTGGTACAGGTAGCCCCCCCCCAAGGTGATGTGCCAAGAGGTCTTCTATCTTGTACATGTACCGATATCTACCGGACCATTGAAAGACGTGCGATTTATTCGTAGCCTCGATGGCCTATATTATAAATATATGGGGATGATATGTAGTATCGAAGATGGCCGGGGATGGAAATGGAGATGACATGAAGTAGGTAGCTTTTAAAGAGGAAAAGATAGCTAGGAAGGCCCAAAGGCATTATATACTAAGAGACATAGCTCAAAGAACCACCTGGGAACACAACTGCACCATTTTAGCAAACACCTTCCCCTATTGCATGCATTTTAAAGAAACATAAAGCATCAACAAACGCCGCTCGTCCCCTATAGTACTAGTACCCAAATTCACAAAAGATCTGAGCAAACGCCGGAAAACTTGCTTTGAAAGCAGAGGGCTGTTCCAGGTTGATTGAGTTCGCAGTTCCTTGACAGTACCATGTAATAGTGGGTGAGTCTTTTCGTGATGCCCTATGTCGTACTAATATTCATCACGGGTTGGATTTCGAGAACTAGAAGCTCAGAAAAACACTGAGAAGAAGGGCGAGGAGGTCTGTTACATAATTGACCGTCTTCTGTCGTTCCGAAATTAGCTTAAAGATTCGAACAGAATCAAAACCGATGAACTAGATTGGACTTAAAGTATTAGGTGATTTATGATAAACACTTAGGTTAGGATGGCTGGCCCTTGGAGATTCTGTTGCCAATGTAACGAACTGGTGTTGTTACCATTCGTGGATGCCTTATGCCTACGGCACCACTCTAGGCATCCACGCCATACACCTGTGTATCTAGCCTTCTATCCTAGCTTCCTTCTTATTCTCCTCAAGCTATTACTTTCGTCGAACCGCTACTGCTTCCTTTGCTTCGTATGCTAGCCGTACGTTGATCTCTGTGAGTATCTGAGCATCCTCACAGCCAATGGCTACTCCCTATGATATAGTTAGTGAGAATTGTGTATGCAATGTTGATAGCACTTTGAATCGAATTGAATTTAATCGAATTTGAGCCACCAGCCTGTGTGCTGTACTCGATATCGCTTGACAGTGCCTTGATATGGCATTCCAGAGTCTGGCACAGGCCGTGATTGTGGAAATCCAGGTTGAATCTTCCTTCCTCAAGGCCATACGCACAAAGTTCTTAATATTCTGACAACGGATTTTGAAGGTAGGTTTTGCGGTGTGTTTCGAGTAGATAAATACGGGCAATTTGGGTCTCACTGCACTTTTTGGTTCTTAATCTGGTTGGCGAAAGTCTCAAAGCAAGCATTAAATCTCTGGATGGTTCTTTTGACACTATTGTTCAATGTATCCTGATCCGACTTGAACTGCTCTTGAAGTTCTTTGGCCTGACTTTCGAGTTTTTAATCCATATCGGTTGTTGCCTGATGATACTGAGTGATGAACCCAATCCTTCCTCGTTTGCGGCGACCTGATATTTGTGGTCTTCTCGTTCAGCTCGATTGAGCCGAATTAAAACAATTATTCTTCGGAGATTTGAGCCATCTGCCTCTATCTCTGTCTAATCATACAGCACTACTGCCATAAAATCATCGAGCAGACAAAGAAACAGGCATTCCCAACGTATTCCATCTGTTATTGCTGCATTTTGGTCTAGATCCCCAGTGACCCTTTGACGGGTTCTAAGACAAATTCTCGTCTTTCTCCTTCATCTTAGTATCCGTGTGCTGCCTGAAATCTGAGTTAAGGATAAGCTGCTGCTCCCAGACGGGGGAGGGGTCTTAGGGGCAGCCAGCCGAGCGGCTTGGGACAAAGGAGGGTCGTGTTGATTAATCTCTGATGAACGGTTCGCCGCCCCGCGACGAAGTTGGCTCTCCTGATCCTAAGAAAGCCGTTAGTTCTGGCAATCATTGGCATAGTGGTCGGCTTGGTTGCAACAAAAGCAGACAGAGTTAGTTAGAGTGCCCTGTAGTCAGCTGTAGCCGAGCTGAAGACCGAGGTGGTTGCCGCCACAGTCTAGGCTGATTACGGTTATTCAAGATGGACGAGAGCTTCCTACCAACATTTCGAATCTCGCCTGTCAACTTTTCGGTTCCTGTCAAGGGGACGGCAGGCCTACGGCCGATATGACCAATAGAAGTAGTTCACATATGGTAACTGAATACGTCCAAAAGGCAATCAGTGTAATTATTGAGCGTAATGAACAGAAATTTGCACTCGATGTTGATGTTTTTGATTTATAAGTTGTCAATGGGTATCGAGATTTCGATTTTCGAGTGTTGTTGAGAGCGATGGTCAACATAAACCTCCCTTCCACGAGGAAGATTTGCTGAAGGGGAAAGAGTATAGGAGGGCGTTTTGCCAGAAATGGTCGGCTGTAGATGTGAATACTGGCATATATGCGAAATCTCCGCGATCTTCTCTTCAGCGCCAATCAATTTTCCTTGAGAAACACACTCATCATGTTCTGGGCCAGCATTGGCCAGCGGACCCGGAAGTATTGCCGAGGTCTCCTCTTGCGGCTAGATAGCGATTCTCTTCCGCAATGACTAGTACCCCATGGTCGACAGCGCTGCTCGTACTTGGGGTAACTCTCCGCAGCGCCGCCTATTTTGAAGCAGGTCACAGGTTTTCAAGGCTTTTGAAGTCAAATTCCTGCTCCCATTCCAACCATCCGGCAATATCTTTTATATGTAGTTCGGGTACTTTGCCGATCAAAAATATGTCGAGCAAGGGAAAATCACCGAGTCTCACGCGGTCACAGTAGGTCTGGAGACGGCAAGGCTGACGCGCTGCCGTCCTCCAGTCGGAAATCCTGAGAGTCAGGTTCGGGTGTGTCTTTCTCGGATCAGGTGTAGCTTTGGCCCCGGGAAACATTGTAGGATGGTATCCCTCGAAGTCACACAGTCTCTCCAGAGCCCAGATGTTGTCGCATAACGCCACCAGAGCGCGTTGCGCATATCGGCAGGCCAGACACCCAGGACCAGCTTCACTAGAACGGTCGTCTTGGGGTGCTTGAGGTGACATTTTAAGCGGCACTCAATGTGACTGCGAGTCAATCGAAACAAGGAGGACTGTAGTTTCTCTGGAAATCGAATGGAGCTGACAATATTTTCAAGTCAAGATTGGCCTTGTGGTCTGAGGCAGGTTATTCGGAAAGACTATAAAAAAGGCAGGTGCGATTTGTTTCTTCGAGGCAAGAACGTTGTAACTTACCGCCAACTGGCGATCTATTTACACTTTGTACAGCGAAAATTACTCACAGGACTGAGAGGCTTCTGCCAACTGGCTCATAGGGCCGCGCATTTGGCTGGAGTTGCTTTCTACTGAGCGCTTTAATTATATTTAGTCAAAATTAGCCTTAGACTAGTACGTCTGCGTTCCCCCCAGGTAGGCCTCGGATGGGGGCTAGTGGCCTTGCCGGACGTTAACTAAATAACACCACGACCACCACGTTGTGTAACTTGAACCTTTACTAGTACGAAAATTGTTAGAAGACGTACAGCATTGAGAGAATCAGTGCGTTAGGAGTATTTAAAGCGCTATATAAAATTGGTATATTAATATTAGCTGACCATCAATCTGGAATGAATCGTGTTTGAGACTGCACCATTCGACCTCGGGACAAACAGCTATAGAATACATTTCTAAGAAATGAAAAGACCCAGGATACATCCTTCGCCCCACCAAAATCCCATAAATTATTCAAGTTACCAGTGACAAACAAATCAATCAAATGCTGAAGAAACAGCTTTAAAAACAGAAGGCCCATACTTCATCCCCATCCATCCCACAACGCCAAGCACCGGAACCACAAAGGCACCCATCTTCAAAAAGGCGGCAGTAATATGCGGCTGCAACCCTTGCTGAACCATAGCTTGGAACTTCTCCGGCTCATTTCGATCCGGATACTCCTCATTGGGAACAGGAACTCCCAGGAACGGACATATTTTGGACCAATCGAGTCCGTCTTCGAGCTGAATCACGCAGATCTGGTTGGCAGGGACGGTCTCTTTGACCATATTGATACTGATTCATATCAGAGTTAGTACCCAAGCTTCAATCTCACACTATGGATATCCGCGTCAACTTACTAGTCTACATAATATTCCCTCAGCAATCGCTCATTATCTGCTTCCCCGGGAAGCGTACTACCCGACCAAGCACCATAAACCGTAACATTGAGCGAGAAAAAGATGTTCAAAAACTCATCAAAATGCTTCAGGATACCCATGGGGAGCGAGTGTGCCATTTGGACCATTACTCCAGCGGTATTGTTTACCGACTTTGCCCATTTTGCTGGGCTTCGTTCTGTCAGAATAAATTTGACATCTGGGTCGGACGCGTAGGCCTTGATGGCATCTCTGCCGATGAAGCTTGCTACCTCGACGATACACTTTGAATAGACCCGGCGTTTTTAGTGGAATGATCTCATTATAGATTGGTCCTTCGAATGTGCATTTGAAACAAAAAGGAAGTGGGGAATAAACTTAAAAAGGCACGGGCGTCCACTTACATCGTAGTCCCCCAACCAACGATCGAAATCCTGCTTCTCAAATTTCCGCTTCCCAGAGAAACGGTTGTGCTGCGCGGTGATGGCATCTTGGAGCGTCTTCATGTGCGGCGTTCCTTGTACGACACAGCATTCGTACATGTGGTACGGGTTGTATCCTAGAATTTTCATGGCGTGGTAGAGGCCGAGGGTACCTGTTCTGATTTTCAAGGTTCTCAATTAGCATCTTTGATCTCCCTCAAAATTGAATTCTCAATTCACCCAAGAGGAGAGATACTTACCGGCTTGCACTTGCGACGACAACTTTCATCTTCTTCACCTCTGCCGGCATGGGCAATTTATCCACGTTACGGGACATGTTGATTTCGATAGATTGGAACCCGAAGCGTCGTATCGTATCGTGTCGTAATATATAATAAAGTAGTAGATTTTATGCTGCCCTACAACTAGGGACGAAAAATAGTACAAAATGATCTGCGAATAGCTCTGACGTGCTCCCAGGGTCCGATGAGCTGAGCGCTTAAGCTCCCTTTTGTATCCCAACCCGCGTAAGGCTTACTTGAGAGCGAAACAACGTGGCCATGGTCTTTCGATCAGCACAGGCTCCATCCTTTGCTACTCTGTACTCAGCCTCAATCAACTTCCAAGTGCATTTTCCCGAAACCGCAAACGTCCCCACCAAGCTAGGCAAAACGTGTGAACTGTAACTTTTTCAGCTTTCGATTTTCCCCAACGACGAACCCAATGGGAAGCGCTGGGTGGAGCCTTTGACGCTTTGCTCATCAGCTTACCATCCGTGCGATACGCGCTATAGCGGAAAGGGAAAATAATCCGGCGGCTGCAAACCGTCGCGGTGTCTCTGGGGAAGCGTGGGAGAAATGATTGGGGGCTTTTCTTTGCTGAGCTGGTTGGGCGCGCCATGTGTAGAGATTGGGTGTGGCTTTTTTGGGGGAAATGGTGAGGTCAGTTCACCTTCAGCCTCGACGCTTCACTGTGCGTCTACTCCACTCTATTGGGGGCGATTAGGGACCATTTCGATGTTCGAATAGGGGGTTTGCATGTGGTCTTCCTCTCAACTTTTAATTATAGTGTGGTGGCTATGTCCGAGTTGCTGGCGGAAATTAGAAGATTAGAAGCCCCATGTTCGGACGGTGATCATGTGTTGTGATGGGCCGGGATTGACCATTCTGTCTGTCCTACTCAACGAGACTTCGCTGGGGTTGCGGGTGCCAAGACCTTAGCATTGGCCGCTAAATAATTGGCAGAATACGAAAGGCATAAGGGCCCGGGGGTGACCGCCGCTTGTTGGTCATGGCACTTGATACGTGCCACCGTTCAGACCACTCGGAGACTGCGGTGGGTGGCCTTAACAGCAAAATGAATTTGAGCTTATTAATCCCCGAGAAAATACTCCAAGACTTCAATAGAATGGTTGGGATTTCCTGCAGCCAATGTGATACAGCCATTTCTGATGTAATCGTCTTCAACTTCGCAATACTAGTATATTTCATCAACGTGCGCGGACGTTGAGATTATCCAATCCCCACACTGGCAGACAACAGACAGCCCTGGAGCCATATATCACAATGTCAAAGTCCCAACCAGCAACTGACACTCTATTTATTCTGGAAAGTCCAAAAAAAACCCCATTTTCCTTTTTTCCAGCCGCGTCTGAGATATATACTAGTAGCATGTTTCGCTCGGGCGAGCGATAGTGCCAACGAGCTATCTCCTCAACTTGATGTTGTCGTTTTACTAGTAAAACTCGAGAAAAATGGAAATGTTTCCACGTCATACTGCTTGCTCTGATGGTTGAGCTTCAATTCACGAATGGAGCGGCTGATGGGTACTACTAAGCACGCATCAGACAAGTATACTGTACACATTTCGCTCAAGATGCCGAAATAATTGCTTTCTAAAGCGCTTTCTGTTTGTACATATTGCGGTTGTTGAGATACCAGGAACACGGCGAGGTGTCCATTTTAGGAGATGGAGTTGCATTCAAGGTCACAGTAACATTTCCTGCTCTCTTTCAATCTCTAGGATTACTCACCTCCATCTAGGTCTATCGTTGCTATGACCTCATTACGTTTCAACCCTCGCAAGACCCCAACGGCCATTGCCGTAAGTTTTCCATCCGCAGCTTCAGAAAACTTAAGAGGACCAGAAGGCAAAGATTCTTCTGGTGAATTCCATGACAAACGACCGCGAATATTTTCAACCAGTACGGGAAGTGATCCGTGATCAAAATCAAAGTCTCCCCCGAAAGAAGTGGGAATATTGGCAGTATCAATATGTTCCTTCAGAGCATCAGAAACTTCATGACTACCCAATACCTCGATTTTCTCCGCGGTGTTGGGATCTACCCATTTCTTCAGGTACTTCCAAACTGTCGCGAAATATGAAGGCGCATTGCAAACCTGTCGATGGTCAGAATATGCTCCATTTGGAAGAAAACATTCTTTCTCAAGACTTACAAAGACTTTCAGAATTGTTTCAGGGTAACATGTCGAGAGAAGCCAGCTTATCTCTTGGGCAAATGTTTTGAGGCTCCAACCTTGTTTCAAACCAAGACCGGATGCATCGACAAGGTAAATCGAGCTCGAGACTGGCGTGGATGGATTCGGCCGATCAGTCATCATGGTGCATAATGGAAGAACGAACCGAACGAGACTGTCATGAAAGACGGACGCCATTTGCAGCATATCAGGCTTTGGGGAGGCTCCGGTCTCATATTTCGAAAAACTCCAGCCGGCGGAGCTACGACTTTCTTCCCACGAATTCAGAGCGCCTTTGTCAAGCCTAGAAATATCAAAATAACAGATTGGAAGCCCTTGCTTATTTCTCCTTCCTGTCCAGTGAGGATACTGTATTATCTCAGGTCAGTTGTCTGCTATTGAGCGTCCGGGGGTCAGTCTTACAAATTGACGGGCTTGTTCGAAATCCTCAGTATCTACGACTTCGTATAATGGTAGAATGTCTCGATCTTTGCGAAAATCCAGGGATTGCTGTAACTGGTTTACAGCAGCATTAGGGTCGTTCTTTCGTGCGATAAAGAATCGCAACAATGTGGGATAGTCGGATAAGCCATCGCAGCGGTCGCTGGTTTCGATGCCTTTTGGCCGACTCAACAGATCCTTATCAGCACATAGGAGCATGAAAGCCTGGAAAGAAGCAGCATCCTTCTCGGGCAGAAAAACAGGGTCTGAGGTCATATTTGGGCAAATCGTAACTTAATCTGAAGGTTAAGTGAACCCTTAGGCTGGTTGGCAATGGAGGTTTCAGTGAATGAGCGTGATGGAATTTGTCGTAGTCAGGCCAGCAGGGCATGAAAGAGCAAACCCCCGCGTGTTTGTCGGTGGGTCGGAATCGTCTGAACTTAATGCAAAGTGGTCAAGATTGAGTTGCATGCGAACAGGCTTTTAGGCTCAGCTCTGATGTGATTGTTACAAAGTGATAAGGGGTCCCTTACTACTATCGAAAGTTCTCTTCATCTCTGTTGCAATATAAGATTTCATGTGATGTAAGTATTCTCGCTGAAGTCATCTTTCATTTCTACCGATGTGAAAGTTAAGCGATAGTAGTAATCTTGCAACTCAAGGCATAGAAAAATGACGAAACTGTGGGTCAATTTGTAGTTCATAGCCGGCTTTTATCCGTCGAACCATCCTCGCTTGTTGATCAGGAGAGATCCACTTTCCGATCGCAGCTGCATATCAACAAACTCGAACACAAGAAGATCCTCGTCTATCCTACTCCATTGAGTTTCCAGCGGTCTATATCTTGTTTTGGTTCGGATGTCAGCGATGAAGGGTAGGCCACGAACTCAATTTGGCGCCGCTACTACTGGCCAACTTCGATTGACATCTCCACCTGTGACCGGGTCCACAGGATGAGATGGGTTCCTGATGAAGTCACGCATTCATCCTCCATTATTCCACATGCTGGAGGGGCTTTAAATGCCCTGTGGCACCCGAGGACTGGCGCTGGGAGTTCGTCTTTGAAACCCACTATTCAATATGGATTGTCAACCACTTCTTAACGAGGAGGCCACCTCCTTCAAGCCGCAGAGAGATACAAAAAGCATTGGGGGCTTTTGTGATCAATACTCGCTACGTCGACACAAACATGAAGACAAGGCAGACCAGGGCAGTATCCGGCTGAGACACGATTGGCAGACATACATTGGCCCGATCGAACGCTGGGGGAGCTGTAATCCATTCGAAGGGAATTTTGGGTCGCTGGTAATGCCGATGTGCAAACCCGATCGACTCGCGCTGGTCTGCTATATCTTCGAATGTAAGTAATGAATTATGATCTCCAGCTCGAAGCGAGCCAAGTCACTCACATTCTCTTTTCAGACGCATTTCTCTACGACAACGTACTTGAATCGGTGTCAAAAGCGCAGGTAAGAGACAGCTCGCCGCCAACTCAAACTACCAAATACTGACTCTCATGCAAAGCTAGACTCTGGAACAGAAAATCTCGTTTTGAACGAAACGGACTACCGCACCGTGCGATCGGCAACCGGCACCAAACAAATACAATCGAAAATGCTGTTAGAGCTTCTGGCAATCGACAAGCCCTGCGCCGAAGTGTTCATTCAGTCCTGGAAGGAAATGGTTGCTACGACTGCATCTCGGGACAAGTCGTGCTTGTTCACTACGCTGGACGACTATGTTGACTATCGAATTATTGATACCGGTGCACCGTGAGCAGATGGATTCCGCAAAGAAAACGGAAAAAATGTGGACAATGCTGATTGAATTCATAGCTTCGTTTCCAAACTCATGTGCTTTGGCATGGGTATTCTTCTCACTGAAGAGGAATGGGAGATGGCCGCTCCAATAACCAGGTCTTGCTTCGCGGCACTTGGACTAGTGAATGATTATTTTTCATTTGACGTCGAGTGGGACGAGTATCAAAGAGAGGATAAATGCCAAAGCAATACGGCGATGACAAACCTTGTCTGGCTCTATATGCAGTGGGACAGTCTTTCAATACCCCAGGCAAAGGAAAAAACAAGAGAAACGGTTCGTCGGTATGAAGCTGAATACTACGAGAAGGTGAATGAATTCACCTCCGACCAGGAGAAATGCTCGACCAACTTGGCAAGATATCTGAAGGCCCAGGCATATCAAATCTCAGGCAATGTTGCTTGGAGCTTGCGCTGCCCGCGCTACCACCCCGAGCTCTGTTCCGGAGCACAGGAAGTTTTAGACGCCCAAGCCCAAGCCCAAGAAAAAAAAGCAAGACACCCAGGGAAACTCTGGACCCACTAAATCACTCGACGATCAAGAGAACCATGTTCTTGATTTCTCTGAGAACACTGACTCCGAAATCAGCCGGGCATCTTCGGGTGGTACGCCCGAATCGAGTCTGTCAAGCGCCTCTTCGGTGCAGTCTGATGATGACTCGATTGATTTATCTAAATTTGAAAGTCGGGCCATTCTTGGTGACGAGGTTAGATTTTCTCTGTTTTTTTTTTCTTATTCATGAAGAAAAGTGCAATCCTAATTGTAATAGCCTTTGCAAGCTCCTTTCAAATACATCACCTCTCTTCCTTCAAAGGGGGTCCGTGAGGCTCTAATTGACGCCCTTAATGTCTGGCTTGTGCTGCCAGACTCGATTGTGCAAACCATCAAAATCATCGCCCAGAAGCTTCACAGTTCATCTCTCATGTAAGTGTTCGAGATCAGATAATACTGATTTGTTGCTGACTGACATAGGCTGGATGACATTGAAGATTCTTCAGATCTTCGACGTGGCCACCCTGCAACCCATACAGTATTCGGAGCGCCTTCCACAATCAACAGTGCCAACTTCTTGCTCATCGATGTCATGAATGACATTCAAAAATTGAATAGTCCGCGCTCCATGGGAATCGTTATAGAGGAACTCCGCAATCTATTCATTGGACAAAGCTTTGATTTGCACTGGACACGACAAGGCGAGTGCCCATCCGAGGCAGAGTATCTTGAAATGATAAACCAGAGTCCGTCCCCGCTTTTGATGAGCATTTACTGCTCTGTGGCAAAGAAATACTGAAAATCTCCAGAAACCGGCGGTCTATTTCGATTACTCGCACGCTTAATGAATGAATGCGCATACGACCTGCATGAGAAGTAAGTTTCCCGATAGCAACCCAACCCACTTCTCTCCAATTCTGACCTTTTAGAACAATTCCATTGGATCTCATCACCGTCCTCGGACAATATTTTCAGATCAGAGATGACTATAAGAACTTGACTGACGATGCGGTAAGTGTCGAGGAATATCTCTTTCAGATAAAGACCCTGACATCGAAGTAGTATACCACCGGGAAGGGTTTCTGCGAAGACCTTGACGAAGGCAAATTCTCGTTCCCGCTCGTTCATGCTTGGAATTCTGACCCACAAGATCTCATAATGCGGGGCATTTTGAAGTCAGGAAGGTCCTCGGCCTCGTTGTCTATTCCACACAAAAAGACTATCATGGCACAATTGGACAAACACGGAAGCTTACAATACACATTGCGAACCTTGAAGGGCCTGGAGAAGGGTATTCATGAGGAACTAGGGCGCGTCGAGCGGCACTCCCGTTGCGAGAATTGGGTTATGAGACTATTAATTCAGAAGTTGATAGTTTAGAGGTCTTATCTTATAATAAGATGTCTTTATGAAATTCATGCTCGTTGAGTGAGCGTCGAAGTAGTATTGTAGAAATTTAATGTGGGGCCGGTTACACTAACCTGGCAAGACTTGTACATATTTGTGTCAAGACGCAAACCTTGGCATATTTACACTGTTTGTACATATTGCGATCCTCGCGGCTTTTGAGATATCAAAACCGCAACCCGCCACCGCGGTCTCTATCATGGTCTATTCCTACTCGAAGGATACTTTCAATGATTATTTTCACTCTATCTTTACGTTGACAACATTCGCAAAAACTTTCTGCTCTGTACCCTCCGATTTCCACTGCTTTTGAGCAACCTTTTTTCCGTGATGGCTATTCGATGGGGACTAATGCCGTCTACGTCACTGGGGGCTCCAGGTCCAGTGACCGCCTAGCCAAGTTGCAATGCATCCCCCCTCACTCCCCCCAGAATATTCACGCTTCGTCTTTTTTTTGTCAAATTTCAAAAGGCGGCCCATAACACGTTTTTTCTAATTTACAGTCACATGCGCTTCTAATGGAGGATTTCACAGAACAGACACTCTGCGACCATGAAGCAGACCGTCAAACTCGCGAGGTTTATCGTTACTTCCAGCCAGCAAATCCAGCAGCGCTAAATGCAACATGGTCCCCCGGTGAACATTCGACCACTTCAATCGGGGTATCTTCCATCGCAGATTCTGCCAATTTTATTGATCCAGTTGTGGATGAAGAGTTCCCCGAGACGGCCTCGATCGATGACAGCCCTCTGTACAGCCCAAATACGACTTTGACATCTCTTGCACAGCTAGCAGCTCTGCGCCTGAATGCGCAACGTGCTATAATCACGTAATTTTCTCCCTTATCCAAATGGGACCTTGGTCTGACTTATGTCTCTCAGAATCTTGAACCGCGACTCTCAGTTCGTATTGGCCGAAGCTACGAGAACGACCAACGTGGGAAGCTCGACATTATTTGGCGAGAAGGGAGACAACCTCTTTGCTGGAACATCCACATTATCGAGTACTTGGAATATTTGTCAGGTTAGAATAGCCTATGGACGTTGTCATATACCAAACACTCTCCTGATCCCGATCTATCTCAAATAGGAAACAGTCAAACTGCGGTCGGATGAACAAGATGGTGGAACATATCCTTTTCTTATCATCAACGACCTTGAACGTGAGGAGCACTTCAAGAAACTGCCCTTCGTACAAGGCGAGCCACACTCCCGTTTTTATGCCGGCACACCTCTGACGAGCGATAGCAACATCAATCTGGGATGCTTGTTTATATTGGATCCTGAGCCCCGTGAAGGGCTAGATGATATAGAGAAGGATATACTTGGGACCGTGGCAGCGACCGTCATGGAATATTTGCAGATGAGTCGCCAGGCCGTTGAAGGACGCCGCGCCTTGCGGTTATCGCAGGGCCTCCGTCTTTTTGTGGACGGAAATTCCAGTTTCGCCCAGAATGTTCCCTTGTCGCGCTCGAACAGCTCAAGCTACAGCCCAAATGCATCGCCATATCGTAACACCAGTCGATCTACGAGCTCTCTAAATAGGGGATCCAATCCTCATGCGGCAGAGTTTGACGAGGAGAATGCGCCCCTTAAAGATGGCGACCTACGATCTTCGAGTCGACTTTCTGCGGAGGATTCGGACATTGGCATATCAGCTAGCCCAGCTCCATCATCGCAAAGCTCGAGACAAGGCGACAACGGATCGATGGTGTCGAGCAACGCTGATTGGCTTTTTCAGCGAGCTGCGAACCTCTTACGACAAAGTCTGGACCTTGACGGTGCCGGCGGTGTGATGCTTTTGGAGACCGACGATGGTTCGCCGGACGGCAGTCCCCATAGCCATTCTTCTCTCGCCGATAAAAATACTCCTGGGCCGGTTCTTGCACTGTCGACCAGAGAGGATCCGTACTCATATCAAACGGACTCTGAGATATCGCACCCAGCTGTAAAACTCGACAATGCCTTTCTAAATCAATTATCTCGCCGCTATCCCAAAGGTCGGCTGTGGTCATTCCATCGTGACGGGAGTCTGTCTACTTCGGATGAAGAGCAGTCCGTTGGAGCCACTCGGAGATATAATCAAACTTCCAGGACCTTCGAAGCCAACAAACTGAAAGCCTACTTCCCCGACGCCAGCCAAGTCATGTTTGTTCCATTATGGAATGCTACAAATATGCGGTGGCTTGCAGGCTGTTTCTCCTGGACTCCCCAGTCGACACGAGTCTTCAGTCGGGCAGTCGATCTGAGCTCAATGTTTGGCTTCGCTTCTTCCGTGATGACCGAATACAGCCGTATGGAATCAATCGTCGCAGACCGCCAAAAGGGTGATTTTATAAGCAGTATATCCCACGAACTCCGCAGCCCATTACATGGCGTTTTAGCAGCCGTCGAGTTTTTGGGGTCTACTCATTTGGACGACTTTCAAGACTCTCTTCTCGAGACTGTAAATGCATGTGGTCGGACTCTCTTGGATACGATGAACCAGGTCTTGGATTTCAGCAAAATATTGTCCTTGGAAAGGCAGAAGAAGAGGCACAAACGCAGAAAAGATCCATGGAGGCCAAAAGTCCCAGACCGGTTGCCAGCGCGAATGGATCTACTTATTTCAACCAACGTTGCCATCTTGACAGAGGAAGTTGTGGATAGCGTGTGCTTAGGGCATTCCAATATCCAAACGTCAAAAACGACAACAAACCATCCCATTGGCGAGTCACAAACTGCATCATTCACCTCATCCACATCATCCACAAAGAACAGCCAAGTTGGCACCACTTCAGGTGTGGAGGTTTTCGTCAATATTAGTGATAATGACTGGATTTACAACGTCCAGCCCGGCTCAATGAGGCGTTTAATCATGAATATCTTCGGAAACTCACTGAAATATACCAAAAAGGGCCAGATATCCGTCTCAATTCAGGCGACCGATAACTCAAAGGGCCGTTCTCGGCGCCAGGGTCTTGAGGACGTAGTGACGTTAACCGTTTCGGATACAGGTAAGGGCATCTCAAATGAGTTCCTTCAGACACGTCTATACACCCCATTCGCACAGGAGGACACACTTTCAGTGGGTACTGGCCTCGGTCTATCAATCGTTCGCGAAATTGTGAGAACGCTCAATGGAAACATCAGAATCAAAAGTCGAGTCGGCGAAGGCACTACTGTCAAGGTGACAATTCCCCTCGAGCGTCCAGTAGGGGGAAAAAGCCGGTCATCGACACCTGGCGTCGAGAAGCCGGAACAGGAGCCACTTACAGCATCTTTTAAACTACGTCAACTGGACTTGACAGAGAAGCGTGCCGCTATATGGGGAGTAGATCCTTCCCATCTGGGCGAGTACTCATTCTGGTCTTCAATTGCGCAGTATATTACAGACTGGTATGGCTTGAAGCTAGTGCCCTGGTCCGCCAATGAACCTATTGATCTTTTGCTTGCAAGCGAAAGCGATTTGTCTGCAGAAGGATATCCGCATTTGCACCCCACATTGCCACGAATGCTTATTTTTCGCAACTGCCTAGGCAGCTCGAGTGATATTAGAACACAATGGCCGCACCTTGCTGATTCTATGGTGGTCATTCGGCGACCATGTGGTCCACAGAATCTTGCCAGAGGAATCTTGAATTGCCTTTACCCAAAACCAGCGTTTTCGACATCACCTGCCCCATGTTTGAATCCTTCTGAACAAAACCTTGTGCACCGTCAACGATCGCGGCTCTCAGATACGAATCCCTCAACTGGGACCTCCCCGACAACGTCGTCTGAACAGCTTGACACACCGGGTACTCGATCATCCGATCCTATGCCAGGTTCCTGCTACGGCCTAGATCCTGCAAATCGGAATACTTCTAGCCAGTCTCCAGATACAGAAGGTTCATATCGCCTCACATCTGGAAGCGACTCTTCCATCCCTCATGCACCTTCTTCCACTTCCTCCACCTCCTCCACCTCCTTGCCCAGTGACTCAGCTCATATGGCGACCTCATCTGGAGCCCAAAGCAAACCTCGGGTATTGCTAGTCGATGACAATGACATCAACCTTCGACTTATAAGGGCTTTCATGAAGAAATGTGATATCACGGCTGTAGATACAGCACAGAATGGCAGAGAAGCCGTCAACTTATTTGAACAGATGTTGTTGGGATATGATCTCATTTTCATGGACATGTCTATGCCCGTGATGAACGGCTTTGAAGCAACTCGCGCTATACGTGCGATTGAAAAAGAGCGAGATGGCTGCATTCCAGCCAAGATTATCGCCTTTACTGGACTCAGTAGCTCGCGCGATGAGACTCAAGCATTGGACTCAGGAGTGAACATTTTCCTTACGAAACCTGTTTCGTTCAAGGCAGTATCGCGGCTACTTGAAGATTGGGAAATTAGACTGCCAAGATGAATTTTACATGGCACAGGCTTATGGGAAGGTCAAGGAAACGTTATAGCCATCTTTTCGGCGGCTTGGAATAACCAAGAGGGAATACCAGTTACCTGGTGGGTAACATTGAATTTACAAATCCGGCAAGCTTTGTCAGGAAACAAACAAAACATGTCGCTCTCGTACATACAGGCAAGGCGTCAAATGTGATATTGGCCCTACTATTGGCAGTATCATATTGACTGGCTTTCGCGTGTCTTTCAGTTGCTGACCCTGAATGCAGGCCTCGTACTGGGAATAAAACCCCGAGAGCAATGTGATCCGTCACAATATCTGACTAAAGGCATAATATAGCCTTTGTGCGGATTCTCACTAACTGAATGCTTATTCTTCGAGTTCAATTCAGGCCATGACAATGATTGGGATTACATCCAGCTATGTGTTAGGCTACTCACACTTGAAAAGGCAGAATTTGCGGACAGAGACCTTCGAACACTATCGACAAAATCGCTAACTAAATCAGGCTTGCGCTTCTACTTGTACAAGGACAGATGATGATAGTTATACTACGTAGTAGTTTGCTCATCCTATAGCAGCAGAATGAATAGAGATCAACTTTGAACCTAGCCGCGATAGTAAAGATATTATCCGATAAACGATCTTACGACTTGAACCCACCTTGAATAATTGAAAATTGAAAATTGGATCAATAATTCAACCCAATATGTATACTTATATTACTAGAAGTAGTGCATACTAGTAGTATTGGTACATGGGATGTAGTATCTAGTACACCATCGGTAACCTATAGTTAGCGAGTACCTGATTTAGTTAGGGAAGGTGCATACTGAAGGATGTACCTCTGATGCGTGCCTGCCTTCCAGGCTTCTTCCCTTCGACCTCGCGGAGTCTTCTCTTCAAGTTCTCTTCTCATTCTTTTCTTCTCCCCCCCTTCAAGTTTCCTCCTACGCATTCCGATTATCATATTCAATTTCATCTTTTTCCTCTCAACATGCGAATCTCGCTCCCCCGTATCGTGGGACTTTCCATTTTGGCAGGATGCGCGGCTGCCTCTGTCCCCAATATCGAAATCAAGGTCTGTCACCCATTGCTTCGTGCCATATTCTGTTGGATCGTTGAGGATATTAGCTTCTGACATTTGCATATTCTTCTTCATAGGGATCGAAGTTCTTTTACTCCAATAACGACACCGAATTGTGAGCTCCGTGGACCCCGAATTCCTGACTCTTTGCTCATGCACTTTTCACCAGTTTCATTCGAGGCATTGCCTATCAGGGTGAGTCAGAGTCATATGATCCTCTCATCTTTCAGATTTAATTCTAATCTCAAGTGAATAGAGAACTACAGCGGTGGAGGCGCCAAGGGAACCGGCGAGACCAGCAAAAAAACCTACGTCGACCCCCTCGCGAACGGCGACCACTGCCAGCGCGATATCGTCTACCTCCAACAACTGCGCACCAACCTCATCCGGACCTATGCCATAGACCCATCCAATAACCACGATGATTGCATGCAAAAGCTTGCCAATGCCGGAATCTATGTCATCAGTGACCTCTCCTCTCCGGATAATTCGATCAAAGCCGATGAACCCTCGTGGAATGTCGATCAATACAAGCGGTATACGTCGGTGATAGATGCTCTGCAGAAATACGACAATGTCATCGGATTCTTCGCTGGGAACGAAGTTGTCAACCAGCCCAACCAGACAGCCTCGGTTGCTTTTGTCAAAGCGGCGGCGCGAGACATGAAGGCATACATCAAGAAGAAGGGTTACCGCAAGTCGCTCGGAATCGGCTACGCGGCGACTGATCAAAAGAATATCCGTCAGGACATGTCGGCCTACCTGAACTGTGGATATCAGGACAGTGCCATTGACTTCTACGGTTACAACATCTACGAGTGGTGCGGTGACAAGACTTTCTCCTCGTCTGGGTACGAAGAGCGAACTGATCAGTACAAGAACTTCTCCATCCCGATCTTTTTCTCTGAGTACGGATGTGTGACCAGCGGGCCCCGAAGCTTCCAGGATATCCCTGTCCTGTACAGTGACAAAATGAACGATGTTTGGAGCGGCGGAATTGTGTACATGTATTTTGATGTTAGTGGAGGCGGCAACTATGGCCTCGTCTCTGCATCAGGTAACTCCGCAACCCCCGGAAAGGACTTCGCGGCGCTTTCAAAGCAGATCAAAAGCGCGACTGCAACTGGCATCAACAAGGCTAGCTACAGTCCATCCAACTCCGTGCAGGAATGCCCGACCGTCAACGCCAATTGGCTGGCAAAATCGAGTCCACTACCTCCATCTCCCAACGGTGACCTTTGTGACTGCCTCGTGAACACCTTGGAATGTGTCGTCGAAGACAACGTGGACCTTAAGGATTACGGTACTCTTTTCGGTCAGGTCTGTGGCTACGGGGAGAGCATTTGCGATGAAATCGCCCATAACGCTACGACTGGTCACTACGGCGCCTACAGTGCTTGCAGTCCGAAGGAACAGCTTTCCCAGGTCATGAACAGCTACTATCTGAGCCAGAACAAGAGAGAGGACGCTTGCGACTTCGAGGGCAAGGCAAAAGTCCAGGTACCGAGTGGCTCTTCGAAGGACTGCAAGTACCTCATGGCGGGAGGCACTGCAACTGTCAGTGCTGGAAGTACTGGGGCAACATCTACCTCTAAAGGTGCTGCTGCCCATGTGGTGAACCCGGCTATTATCCTTGTTGGTGGCTGGCTTGGTCTGGGCTCTTTAGCCGCAGCAATTATCATCGGTTCTCTGATGATCGTTTTGTAAACTTTTTAAAAAGTGATGGTTATGAGTTTGTTACATATTATCTTCGTGTCATTCATTTGAAGTCCCTTCGACTTCCTAATCGAACAGTACAATTCTCTCAGTATCCGGACATCGCTTAGAGATAATTTATAGAGAAGCTTTAGTTGGATAACCCTTACTTATAGAAAGCTAGGACTGGAGTCCAAACGATTTATGGGAAAATGATACAAGAAATGACGATTCGATCTCGTCGTCATTTTCAGTGGCAGAATTGCGGTTCTTTGTTCGTTCATTTGCTCGCTTAGTTTCACCCGGCCGACCGAAGCCCTCTTCTCCTTTAAAAATAGTATCTTCCTCTGCGGTAATGCCAGCTTCGCGCCTTGGCTTCTATTTTTTCACCAATGTGCTCCATTAATCGATATCGCAGGGATGCACATTCGATCGGTTTGGATCCGGTGATGCAACCTATTCTGACGCGCCAGTAAATTGACAGTCTCCTTACTTAAAAGTGCATTTAGAGACGGTGTAACTTTCTGGGTCCATGTGTTTCCTTGGAGCTGGAGAACGAGCCTCTTGAAATGGAATGATTTCGTAAATGCTGTAGCGTTTGAGCTTTGACTGCCCCTCATTTTTGCGAGAGCTCCGAGTCCTCGAGAAAATTAACGGTTTATCATTATCCTGGCCAATCAATATCCGCCTATAGTAAGCCGTAGTTGAATATATATCGTATGGCTGCTTACCTGCATGGTCAGACTTTCGGTCAAGTTAACATGCATGTCGTTTGGATGTCGCAATTTGATGTCTATAAGCTATCTCTGTAAATACTATAAAGTCAATGCCTATCTCCTATTGAATACGTAGATCGCATTCTTTCCGAACTATCCTCCAAAGTCCATCAAAATCGACATGCCCCTCCCATCTGATCCCGCAACCGTTGATGTCGGCGCCCAACTCGTCGACACCCTTCATAAATTCTTCGGCCCTCACCCGGGTTTCAGACCAGGTATGAAATGGAGTCCAAATACTACCCTGTATACAGTCGAGTCTAACAGAAAATTAGTGCACGCAAAGGGAATCCTCCTGGAAGGATCATTCACCCCAACCCCCGAAGCATCAGCCCTATCATCAGCCCCACACTTCCAACACGAGACGCCCATCCTAGCCCGCTTCTCAAGCTCAACAGGTTTCCCAGAACTACCAGACACAGATCCAAACGGGAACCCGCGAGGCCTGGCGATAAGATTTGTCCTCGCCGAATCGCCTCGACGTGTCCACACCGATATAATCACCCACTCGACGCCATTATTTCCTGCAAAAGACGGACCCGATGCCCTGGCCTTTTTCAAAGCCTTGGCAAACGGCTCGATAGTAGAGCATTTAGCGGCCTTCCCGTCAGCGAAGGAATTCGTCGAAGCGCCCAAACCATTCCCAGTCAGTTTTACGACGGAGAATTACTACGGCGTGAATGCTTTCAAACTCATCGCTGCCGATGGGACGGTCACGTTCATTCGGTATCGATTCGTGCCCCGAAGTGGTGCGGCGCATCTTGAGAGCGGACAGGTGGAGGGTTTAGGCGCGGGTTATCTTTATGAGCAGATTCGGGATGTGCTTCCCCTAGGACCGGCTTTTGATCTTGTGGCGCAGATTGCGGAGGAGGGGGATGTTACGGATAATTGTACTATTCGTTGGCCGGAGAGTAGGAAGATTGTTACCCTGGGTACGATTAGTCTTGACTCGGTGAAGGATGATAATGCCGCGGAGCAGAAGAGGGTTATTTTTGATCCTGTGCCGAGAGTGCAGGGTGTTGAGTCTTCGGATGATCCGCTTATTGATGTGCGTGCTGCGCTTTATTTGATTAGTGGGAGGGAGAGGCGGGCTGCTTAGTTTATTCAAGTTGTTTTTGGTTGCGATGTTGGTGTATTTCTCTTGCTATCACGTTTATGTGGGATGAATTTTGAATTACGTAGAGGGTTTGATTTTTGGCAGTCTACACTGGTCGCATGTACCGCATGTAAATTACCCGCTTTAACACGGTGGGAATTGAAAATCTCGCTGTGGTTTCATGCCGTGACCTTGGAAGTCTTTCACTAGATCGATGCATCAGATGCAAGGGATGGAAGTTTTCCCGATACATCCATCCCTTGCACCCGCGGCACCTTCAGAATCAAATTCTTCTCGCGAACGCATTTCGCATGATCAAACGCACCCATGACTGTTCTACCGGAGCCCTCTGACTGGTATGGAGACCCAGGTGGTCTTTCTTACAGGAGCCACTGGTAAACTGGGCGGCTGCTTGTTACCTAGATACAAGCTTGCCGTTCAATTACCGACGAGTAAAATATACTATGTGCTGTGTCGTTGCTCGATGCGCAATGCAATGACAAAATGGGAAGCTTCCATGCCAGAGCAAATCGAAGATATCCTCGACACGGGGTCACAGTGGTGATGCATTCAGCCGCGAACTTCTCTCTCTTCCAAAATCTCACTGAGTCATTTCGTGTCAATCGTTGTGGAGCTGGAGCGTCTCTTGGGTTCTTTCAACAGCATTAAAGCATTTTTACATATTTCTACTATCTTGACCCAAAGCCTTTTGTCCGGAGGAGTTGTACTTGAGGATGCAAAGAAATCTTCACCGGATGAAGAGCCATCCGAGAAGCAGCTTGAAGAGATTATTGTGAGTCCGGATGGACTGGCCCGCGCCTAAGCAGATCATCCTAACATGGTCCCTCACTGTTTATTTACCCCTGCATTCCGGTAGAGTCCTCACCCATTCAACCAGTTAAGACCTGCTATTTAATCGCGATCAAGGATAATCCTCTGCGTCAATTCTTCCTGTCTCATTGCTCTAGCTCCATCGCTCTAGCTACTTCCCTCCTTCCCGTACGATTCGCTCATCATGCTCGTCACCAAAATTATCGCCATTGCAGCTATAGCAGTTGCCAATGTCTCTGCAATCGCGAACATCGACCAGACCGTTTCCGACATCCACGAAATTACCCATAAGCTAAGGGTCACTAAGCGTTCTATCGATAGCTTCAACGGCGGTGTCCCCAGCGCGTTAAGAATCGCCAATGCTGTCTTTCAAACCCATTCAGCCGCGGAGGCTGCACGAGATCACCTAGGGGCCTCGGACCCATTCTCGGGCCCTGATAGCGAGCAAACAATGGACGCATACAATGATATGCGACCGGTACTAATGGCTGCTCTACAAGCTGGACAGGATAAGGTACGTGAAGATAGTATTTTCGTCTATGCAAAGTGACCATGAAGCTAATTTTGACCACTTTCAATCTTTCCAATAGGCTCCTCAGCTGAAGAAATCTGGATTTGGTTATATTGCCCGCGGCATGATGCATAGCTTGTATTTGGAGAAGGGCCAATTTGAGCAAGCGGTGCGCGGGCAATTGTCTAGGAACCATACCCAGATGCTGGAGCCATCAATTAACGATGTAGATGCGGAGTTCAAGAGAACTCTTGAGGCTTTTGAGAACTGAGCGTTTACCTATAAAGGGGTTTTGCGCGAACCTTCGGATCTATGCGAATTTACAAATCATGGGATCTACTCATGGGCTGTAAAGTAATTTGATTCTTCTTCTCGGGTCTTTTATGCACCATATAAATTATATTATCTCTGGAGGCCAGAATTATGTCCAATTGGCGTCTCGTAAGTGCAGCTCTTAAGCAAGTATCCGTCCTTTTATCTATATTACTGGATGCTCCTTTTAGTTCAGGCTGCTACAGTGGGGCACTAGGCTCCAGGGGGCCAAACCAACCGTCTCCAGTCATGTTCCCCTCAACCTTTTATGACTACATAAACTCCCGTATCTCGCGTTAAATTCATCAAATAATAGTTAGATAGTTACATCAATATGCCTCCAAGTCGACATTCGAGAAAACACCATCGGGGAAGCTCAGTGAATATTCCAGACCTTGTCCCGCGCCTCCCTGCAGCCCCACAGACATCATGCCCTCTCTTTAGCGTTATTCCCGCTGAAATCCGCAATCGTATTTACGCCCTCTCGCTTGAATCCGAAGATATTACCGTGGATAACAGCCCGCGGTCACTCTACCAGCGAAATGCATTTTACTATCGACCCGGATACAAGCAGCCTAAGCGTATCGAGAGCGGTCTCCTCCAGACATGCCAGCTGATATACGCCGAGGCATCGCTGCTCCCACCAGGAATCAATGAGCATACTTTCTGGTTCTATCGATCTCCACCGCATGTTAGAGATGCATCATCGCCGCTGGATTACTTCCGCAAGATGACGCCGAAACAACGAGCGCAGGCGAATCACATCCATCTCTTCACACAGCAGTTTTTCTTGGAGGATGATCGGTGGTCAGATATCTGGAATGGACTACAGATGGGTAATGATGGTCGCAGGTTGCGCGGCGCATGTAGAATTGCGCCTAGGAAGTTAACCATTACTCTTCGCCACACGGACTGGTGGTACTGGGAGAATAACGACCCCCTCGGCATCGACCCGTTTCGACCCGGCAGAACCCGCGCGAGCCAGATGGGCAAGCCCGTCCACCACTGGCAGAATAATCCCTCCAGGTCACCCTGGGGCACCCAGTTCAACTCGATTCCTAGTCTGGAAGAACTCGTGATTGAATTCGAGACCATCATGCGAAAGAGAGACCAGCTCGATGCCATCATCCAGCAAGCGCTCCAGTGGAAATTTCCCCTAGACGCAGATAAGTCGATTTATTTGGTTGCCGAACCGATATCAATCAGCGCATATACCTGGGTAGGGGCGAAAGAGGGAGATCTGAAGAAACAAAGACCTGCTATGCGCATCCCGCCTTTGTTTCCCGGAGCAGAGCTACATTCTTCCCAGATGCCTGAACAAGAGCCAGAGCCAGAGCAAGTCCATCTTGCACCAACTCTGAAACCATTTGATCCTCAATCACATTCCACAGCTCACAGTGGAACCACCACTGGCGGCCGTTTGGCCTCGGAACCGGACACGGAGGAGTTCTATGTCGTCTTTTTGACATGGAGGAAGCAACTGGTCAAAGAATAAGCGTATTCCTTTTACTTATGAGCGAATGATCTAAATTTATTCAGCCGCGATCTTCGCGGGGCGCTTTTATGAATGATTTCATTAGGGACTCGGTGTCTCCAACTTGTACCTAGCTTTTTACCCAGACTGAAATCGACCCGTTCCTGCCATGGCGACAGCGTCCCGAACTTACTAGTTTCCCCTAATACAAATTTAGAGACGGGTGTTTTATGGCGCAAATGGCTTTAGGATACCCATATTTAGGTCCGAGAAGTACTTAACTAGTTGACACTAGCGTGTTAGTAGTGTAGGTAGCCGTTAACTATGGAAGTTGGTATTTTCCTACCCAGTTTTATAACTACTCAGTACCCTGAAATGTTCAAGTTAAGTTCAAATTCTATTAGCAAAAACCCTGTGTCACTGTTGCTACAGGCCATAAATACCTACTACCATACCTTAATCGGCTCCGTTCCGAACTGAGGGGTGCTTTACAGAATAACCAACATTTCTATCGCGAATACCATCACCGTTCCATGGGTCGTACTTGACAAATACAAAATGGGAATAGTAGCTCTATCGGGACCTGTTTGGTATCGAAGATCCGAATTTACAAATGTCTAGATTTTCTCCTCCCTTCGAAAAGCATATCTACTACTTCCCAACAATCCCTCCATTCTTTCCAGCGATCAGATATTTGAAAATATAACTCCTCAGGCCGGCAGAATGGAAATGATCGATACATCGAAACTGCATCCTCACTGGAAATCACCAGCTAGTATGTTACGTCTTTCTTTCAGAGCCCGCATTCAAGATAGCATTCTAACCAAAACTCTAGATAGTTACGTGGTTCCTGGTCCCTCTACTGACATAGACTCTGGTGATCGGGAATCATCACAGAGCCACCAGGAATTCAGTAGCCCAAATGCGCCCGGGGATACTTTCGTGAATATTGATTTGGCTAATACCTCGATCCCGCCTCAGAAGGGCAAAAGCAACGACCAAAAAAAGAAAAATCCGGGGCGAGTATGCAGCAGACAAACGGCATGGAACTGGGTTATGATGCTCGTTGTCTTCGGGGGAGTTGCAGCAACCGGCTATTTCACATGGAACGAGTTCCATCAAGAAAAGCCCGCTAAGCACGAGCCTGGTCAGAACACTACCCAGGGGAACGGCACCAATGTGATTGTGACAAGGCGCTATATGCCCAAAGTCATCTTGCCACTATGGGATGATTATGACGATGAGATCACGGCAGAAGATATACCAGGCGGCTTATTGCCGGGCGAAAAGCCCGAGTGCAGTATGAGGTCCAAGAAGCCCCAGTGCTACACGGGTCATCTTTGTTATAGACGAAAGTGTGTTCCTTGGTGCAAGACCAAATGGGATACTTGTTATACCGGACATACCTGCCTGCTCAATGATACGAGTAACTGGCGGATTTGCAGCCTCGAACTGGAGTACCAGATACCCTGCACCGAGAACTATAAGCCCTGCGAGGGAAATGGTGACTGCTGTACTGGGTCTTGTCAACGGAGGGGGGAGTTTAATGTGTGTGTTCCACCGGGGAAATTTGAGCATCGGCCTAATGGTTGGAAAGGGGATTATTGGCCCGAGGATGAGGTTCAGCAGTAAATTCGGCTGGGAATGGATGCAGAGGATGCAGGGACTCTCTGATTTATTTCACTTCTGGGCCTATTTTTTTTTTCTACAGCAACGGCTTTCTGGTCGTGATATTTTCCAAGGTTCCTGAGAAATTTGTTGTTGTTTATTGCGATTTGATGCTGGTTCAAGTTTATGTATACTGATCTGGCATGCTTGTTGACCTTGAGAACCTGCCAACTGGTCTATTGCTATAGGGGAGCATTGGATGTCTCTAACTTGCTCTATTGACACCATGATGTTTAGAGTTGAAGTGTACGAGGAAAAAATATTTTTAGTCAAAATTCAAGACTGAAGAATGCAGTAAAATGGACGCGTGGCCACAAATTTATGTGGTGATTAGCTCGTAAATTAAAAGTGAAATGATCCACGATCGGGTCACGTTTTTTCCCCTTGTAGGTGATATATAACCTTTTAAGGTTCAGGTTGGAACTTGAATTATCTTAGATATAATTTCCCTAGTCTACTTGATGCATCGGTGTCAGTATTTTATTCAAAGTTATTTCATGAGCTCTGATTTGTTGGTTGACAAAGCATCCGCACATATAGACTCAGTGGCATCATTGCTAGGCATCAGTGACAATGGAACTTTATCGACTGGATGCCAGTGGCAGCTGAGAGACTCCACTTGTGTTCCTGGTATCTTTGGTCTTTTGGTCTGGCCACAGTGTTAAGTCGGGACCCGCGGGCCACTCACAAGCCCGAACAGACACGTGAAGCTATGATCGACAGATGGCCGGTGAATTACCAGAATTTACAGAATTAACTTGGTGCCACTAAGAGTATAATATACACACGGCCGGAACAATGTAGATCAGAGGAATTGAGTGGTGAGCGTGGTAAGAGTGGATATAAAATGCGTGGCTATACACTCCAGTGCGTGGATATTGGCAGTGTGTTTCAGACCCCTCCACAAACATTCCCGTCTTAAAAGGAGCTCCCTCGCTTCACCGTCCTTTCCCTCACCATCACCCTCAACCCTCAAGTACCAAGAACCCTCCTCCTGACGAGGGATCAATTGAAAATGGGTGCTAAAGGTGCTGAGCTCACCAGCGATATTGATTTCATCAAGACTCCTGCTGCTAAACCCGCCGAGTTCGCAACCGGCGAGGACTGCGGAATTCCGTTGACCAACGTCAGTTCACTTCTTCTTGCCATTGACCTTCGAGCTCTCTAATTTCAAGCTTGCTAACCCTTCCATAAAGTCCGCAGCTATCCACAATGCCCCCCTCCCGGCTGATGGACCCGGAAACGAGGGTTTCTCCAACTACCTCCTCGCGGCCGTGTTGATCGGTGTCCCTGCCTTCCTTACCTACCTGATCGGCCAAGGATGGAAGACCTGGACCTTCTTCGCTATCGTTCTGGTTCTCCCTCTCCTGGTCGCCTTCTGGACCTACCACTCTACCTACAGCCCCCGCACCAACAGCAAAGTCAAGCTCCCCGGCCGTCCCGTTGAGCACTACATTACCTTCAAGCGTGAGGAGGACAAGGCCAAATGGAGTGGAAAGAACAAGGTTCCCCTGGTCACCTTTGCCGAGATGTATCTCGACGGTCACGTCACCTTCAATGGTGACATCCTCGAGATCCTGGAATACCGCCACGACTGGGCAAACTTCTCCTTCACCCCGGAGCTGTTCAAGTTCATCGTCTTCACTTTCTTCATCGACGTCCTCTTCCACACCAAGGCCCAGGACGACGCGCAGATCCGTCCCAACTACGACAGCGGTAACGACCACTACGCCTGGTTCCTCGGCCCTCGCATGATCTACACTTCCGGAATCATCTCCGACACCGAGAAGGAGGAGACCCTCGAGGAGCTGCAGGATAACAAGATGGCCATCGTCTGTGAGAAGATCGAGCTCAAGGAAGGCGAGACTATGCTGGACATTGGCTGTGGCTGGGGTACTCTGGCCCGCTTCGCCAGTCTGAACTACGGCGCCAAGGTTACTGGACTGACTATTGCTGAGAACCAAACTGCTTGGGGTAACGATGCTCTTCGTCAGGCTGGTGTCACTGAGGAGCAGAGCCGCATCGTCTGTATGGACTACCGTGATATCCCCCGCACCAAGTACGACAAGATCACCCAGCTCGAGATGGGTGAGCACGTCGGTATCCGTAAACTCACTACTTTCTTCCGCCAATGCTATGACATGCTCAACGATGACGGTGCCATGTACGTCCAGCTCTCTGGTCTGCGTCAGGCCTGGCAGTACGAGGATTTCATCTGGGGTCTGTACCTGAACAAGTACATTTTCCGCGGTGCTGATGCCTCCACTCCTCTCTGGTATTACGTCAAGTGCCTCGAGCAAGCTGGATTCGAACTGAAGGGGTGAGTCTTTATTCAATGAAGTCAAGAAAATACTCGATCGCTAACATGACCATAGAATTGACACTGTCGGTGTTCACTACTCCGGTACTCTCTGGAGATGGTACCGTAACTGGGTCGGCAACGTCGAGGCCATTAATGCCAAGTACGGAGCCAGATGGTACAGAGTGAGTCTATCCACTAATCTCTTTATTTACATCCCACGTCCTAACAATAAATAGATCTGGGAGCTTTTCCTTGCCTGGTCTGTCATCGCCTCTCGCGAGGGTATGGCCACCTGCTACCAGATGGTCGTTGTGAAGAACCTGAACTCGACTCACCGTGTCAACGGCATTGCTTCCCAGTACAGCCTGGAGGGTGCCCTTGCCGCCAGCCGCAAGGCCGGCAAGTCGAAGCTGCCCCAATAAGCTAAGCTGCCGCAGTGACGCTTGACTTGGGATCTGGTTATCTCAACCCTGATGTGAAAACTTTCCCATCTATCCCATCCTCGGCTTCAAGCCGGGTAAGACCTAGAGACGGAAGATGAGAAGTTGTAAAATACAGTACGATGGATTTTATGCGATTACTCATGGATGACAATGAATTTCTTACGCTGAGAACGGAGTTGGCAAAATCGGTACGCGGAGGTGGCTTTTTCAGTGCGCCACTCGACGAACAAAGCACCAAAGGATGGTGCGTCGAGTGTCGAGCACTTGGCCGCGATATAGAGTCTTTGTTTTACTTATCTCTATTTTTGTTTCGTGTTTTCTTTGTCGAGGCTAGCGGATTGAGATATTTAATTAACTTGTTCCTCCTCGATAAAAGAGCCAAATATAAATTTGAATTCATTTAGCGGGTATCCGAGTCAGTTCTATCCGAACTTGCATTTTCTCATCTCGTTGATCCTACTAAGGCTGGTAGTAGTCATTCACAATGGCAGAAACGGAGATATACACCGATGAAGACCTCTCAAATCTAAATTCACTAGATTTAGCAGCGCTCTGGGCAGAATTGCACCAGCGCCTCAAACCAGAGAATCACCGACTGACACATGGCGAGTTCTGCGCGTTCCGCGGAGCTCTAATACGGAACCCGATCGTGGCAGCAGCCGCAGATCTAGACGAAGATTATCCCGGACTTTTCCAAAAAGTTCAATATTACCTGAGCGACCCTCTTTCCAAGGACTACCTATATCGCGCGGCAGGATCTTTCCCAGACCACGCGACCGTGCTTCAAAGTGCCGGTAACTTGGACAGCGACGTCGAGTACAACAATGACAAACTTGAAGACAAAGACAAAGACCCCGAGGCCGAGGCCAAGGCAGCCGAGCCAGATCTAGTTACCGGCGCTATTCTTGCTGATTGTGAGTACTGCGTGACTTGGCTTTATGAATTAGATGTTATCATGTCTGGACACGTTGGTTATAATGAGCATGGCTGGTCGCTTCTGGGTGTGGCTGTCAAAGCCGATGCGAAGAAGGTTATTGAACTATTGATAAATCACTCCGGCGATGAGCCTGGGCCTATTCAACCGCATAGAATATGGTCTGATAGGAAGGAAGGATGCTCGATATTGAAATATGCCGCGTCGGCGCAGTATCCTAATCTAGGGCAAGATAATTGTTTCTGGGCACTGCTAGATTGGTGTGATTCTTTTATGGAAGAGGACGATTCCCGAATTCAGGCCGAGCTAGACCAATTGGACAAATACAAAATTAGTCAATTAGGCTCAGTTCGAGTTGCGAATCGTTTAAAGGAGTTCGGCGTCGATTTGGCTCAGACTGCTTCGGGGCCGCAGGGACAGGGTATATGGCATGCTGCGGCGATTCATCAGAATATTATATTCTTGACATGGTTGAATGAGGTTTATCGCTCCGGTATCACTGATCGCGATAGTCAGGGTAGAACACCTCTAGTGTACGCGATCCGACGTGGGAGACTGCAAGCTGTGCAATGGTTTCTTCAAGCATTGAGCCCGCATGAGTTCCTCCTGAAGGGGGATGCTGGGCAAATTCTACCCTCGCCACTAGATAGCGCAATCGAGTCTTTGAATGTGCATTGTGTTGCTATTCTAAGATGTGTCTATACACACCATACCCATGAGCATTTATCGAATGATACAAACGCCATTATAGAGAATATAAACCGATTGATAGCCAGCTCAGCGGCACAAAAACGCAAGATTGAGACGCGATTTCGAAATGGTACGCTCACTGACGGGCAGCGTCGCATTCTTTGGAGAAATGCTCGTGAATGCGCGGGAGGGAAGTGTCAAATCCTTCTTGAGGGTGCCTCGTCTATAATTTTCTACAATGTGGCTTTTCGGAAATGTTTAGAGACCGCTAAAAAGAGCAACGTGGGGTTTCTTCAGTATTATTTAACCGATGATAAAACAAAGAAAGGTCTTCGTTCGGGTGGAAGTTTATTATTGCCTTGATGGAGGGCTGTGTTCGTGAACTCTTATACAATGAAACTGGTTTTTTCCTATTGGTATATCAGTGTTTATTAAAACTTTTATAGCCATGGCCGTGCGCCATATTGATTCGAATGTACTTGTTCTATAACACAAAATTATTCATTCTAGAAGCGTAGAAATACCCGGGACATCCTACTCCACACTAGTGTCCACTGTGCCCCTTGCCCTTAGTCTCTGCCAGCCCCAAGCATTCCGCCATATTGAAGAAAATATCAATCGAGTTATACACGCCTCCGAACAGTTCCTGGCAAGGACCCTGTGCAAAGACCGGTACGTCTGTCAAGGAGTGGACACCCTGGTCAGCAGCGACAGGAAGAGTGCCATTAATCAAGAAACCGGTGACAGCATCTTTGTAGTTGACGTAGTAACCGTTCTTCTTGTCCTTTGCCGCGATGGCAGGGGTGCGTGGGCCCTCGCTGTGCACCTGGTAGTTCTCCCGGTGATCAGGGAATGCAACCACGCCAGCGTGTAGTGTATACCGAGGATCCCATCGAGCAGGGAAGTGGACGCCCTCGGAGTATCGCAGGGACTTGGGACCGCCAACGGTATACTGCGACAGGCCCGAGTTGTGGTAGTAACCCACGGCGTTACGCTTGCTGCGATCGTCCTCCTGCGCATCCATGTAATCAGTATCAACAGAGCCAGTGACGTCGAAACCGTGTCCGTGGTCGGCGGTGACGATGATCAGCGTATCCTCTAGTTCACCGAGACTCTTGAGCTTCTCAATTGTGGCACGGACAGTATCATCAAGCTCCAGCAGCTCACCAAGCGATCGATCGTAGTCGAGGGTGTGCATTTGCTTATCGATGCTGGCGGCTTCCGACATAAGGAAGAATCCATCATCACCGTGACGCTCGTGCAACACATCAATAGCCTTCAAAGTCATGTCCTTGAGTCCGGGGAGGTCATCGGCATCCCGGCCCGAGCCATCAGGGTAATTGCTCTGGTTGACAAGGTTACCCTGGTAAACGTTGCGGTCTAGCCAAGTTTCCAGATTTGACGTCTGGAAGACACCCAGAAGTTTCTCGTCATTCGGAGCATTGTGCAAAGCGGTGTTGTTCCATGCTACATTGTATCCCTTCTCGGAGAAGAGGTTGTAGTAATCGCGAGGGCTGTCTTCACTTGTGAGAAAATTCTCAGCACCGGCACCGAGCAGAACATCCGGACCGTTCCACTTCGTCCACTTGTAGTCGGTAAGACCCTCATAATAAGCGCTGATAACATGATCATATTCGCCACGGTCACTGGTGTGCGCCGCCAGGCCTGCGGGAGTCGCATCGGCCAGGAAAGCAGTGGATACAATACCAACACCACTATCGGGATACCGGCGGCGGAAAACCTCGGCGATATTTTCGAACTTCGGATCATCGAAGGGATCCTCGGAAGAGTCGACATACACGTTCAATGCATTGACGGTTGTCTTGTGGCCCGAGTAAAGAGCCGTTGCAGAGTTGGCGGAATCAGTGATGAACGAGTCCATAGAGTGTGTCATCTGGTGGCCCAGAATTGGGAACTTGTCCAAGGCCATCTTGGTCATGTATTTGCCATTGATACTCCGGTGGGCCATGAGACGAGCTGCGGTGATCATGTTGGTAGTCATTCCATCGCCGACGAATAGAACGACATTCTTCGCGCGTCTCTTCGTCGGCAGATCGCGGACGTGCCAGTTCGCCACGGTCTTTTCGTGGCCGTAGTAAGTCAGCGTCGCCTCGTACTCTCCTGGCTCGTAAAGAGCGACTCTTCGGTAGGCCTTGGCCGTGACATTGACAAGCGAAGGTTTGTTTGCATCCTGGGCGAAAAGGTCTATGCGAGCAAACGTTAGTTTTCTGGCAGATGAGGCAGGAATTGAGCAGATACATACCCTCATACCAGGTGAAGTTCCACCTTTCAAGCTCGGGTTCCTTGATCTTGAAGTATTTGGCAGCAGAGACGGAGTGGCTGCCCTTCTTGGTAATGGTGAATTTGAAGTCTGAGTCTGGAACGCCAACACGTGCCTCTGAGCCATTGACAGGAGAGTGGACTTCGAGGCGGATATCAAAGAATTGGCCTGGAAGGAAGTCCGCCCTGGTGAATTATGACTTGTTAGTTGGTTGAGTCTGTCTCTCGGAGTAAAGACATACTGATCCGGTGGAAACACGCAGCCCAGATCGGGACAACCACCCAGCCGTTGAAAGGTCTGGGCAGCTGCACACGACAAGGTGCATGCGGCTGCTAAGATTGACAGGCCCCGCATAATGATCGGCAGGTCGGTTGAGACAGATAATGCGAGATCGAAGTCAAACGGAAAGAAAACAGCTTTCTTAAGTAGATTCAAGAAGCTAAGCGATCGAGGCACAACACGAGCATCTCCGTGGTGAATTCCCAGTAATCTATTGCATGCCAAGGAGCTCTCTTAGGGATTTGGGAGGTCAAATCTCCGGTATATCTTGGCTGTGGAAGTTCCTGGGTTCCGACTGGAAGAGGAGATCCAGAACAGCCCAGGTCGGCATCGTGGGCGTTGCATCGATTGTTGACCAGCTCATTCTGCACAGCAAATCGAAGCAACGCTTCCTCTGCACGTGCGGTGCCGCCGAGAGATGTTTGGGAGGCTTAAGAGTCTTGGTAGGCGTTTGCCAAGGGATAAACTCTTGGCTGGCCAAGGTTGATGGTCTCGCGTTGGGGTGTTGTTCAGTTGTCCGATAGCGGAAGGTCCCGCATCGGACCTGGTCAACATCCGGACTATAATGTCATATGATAAGATATGCAAGATCTGATCGTTGACTCTGTAATTTGGGGGCATTTTAATCGGGTGGCTTGTTGGCTTGTTGAATCGAAAGGGGTCAACTCTTGGCATATGCACTGCCCCGCAAGATTCCCGCCGGGTACGCACTGCTTGCTACTGAGGCCACACTGCTTTGTGGTTTCCATGTTGCCTTTGTCCTTTGATAGTAGTAGTATTTAGTGCTAGCTATTTCCCTGGGGGCTTTTTCCTCCATCATCGCCATCATCATTCAATTTTATCTCCCGCCACTAGTTGGATATCTCATCGGGGATACGGTAGCCATGTAATCATTTCTTTTTCTTTTGCCAATGATTGCTGTGCTCATTGCAATTCAAACAAGTATTAATTAAATCTGCGAGTAGGTCCGGATACCATTTATGCTTCCGAAATATCCAAGCTTTTATCGAACTCCCTCAAAATCCGGGCTGAGTTCGCGTATAAGGTAGTAACCCTAAAGCCACCTGCCCAGATATAATTATCACATTTTCCCGAATACTAAGATTACTCCTACTAGTAAGATCCCCAGTGTTCATTGAGCCGAGCGCATCTACCTCATTACGGTGCCTGCCCTAGGGATGGCATCAGGTACCTGGGCATCCAGCCATTCCTTCCCTTCCCACAGTAGATAACTTCGCTCTTACCTTCTTCTTTTAGTAGCTACCCGCTCACCACCTGGGAGCCTACTGGTATTGTTGTTTCTCTATCCCATCTCTCTCCTTACTTTAGCACTGCCTCAGGGTGCTCCATCAGGGAGGGGGAAGACTGCTATTTCATCGCCAATCATTCGCTATTGCTATGACGAAGAACTTCCGATTTTGATTGTCTGCGCGTCTAACCAAGCCCTCAATGTTGTTGCCGGGCGCTTTGCTGATCGTTTCACGGATAAGTCCTCGAGTCTGGAGCAGGCATATCGCTTTGATACGGAATTTGCCGAGTGCACCGACATCGCTACGGATGACTTTAAACGTGGAGAAATATCCAATATTGATGCATGGATGCTCGATTATTTTCAGCACTTGTATCCTGAATTTGCCAACAGCAAAATATACGTAGAAGTCCTCCAAAGCCTGGCCGCCGCAATAAGAGGCTTAGGTACGTCCGTTGATCCACTCTCACTAGGAAGGCATATTATGTCCCGTATTAACCAACTGAGAGTAAATAGACAATCTCTTAGCCCAGCTGAAGCTGAGTTGATTATGGCGTTCGCCAAATGGCAGTACTTCCTTGAAAGGGAGGGGTTTCGGAGATACTCGAAGACAAACATAATAATCCAGTACCTGGTTTCAACAAAACCTAGTCTCCAGTTTGACTGATTTTCTAAATTTCGGTGTATGTTAAAAATGAATGGTAACAATATGCATGGCTATCGCTGATTGGACACATTAGACGGTCTGATTGGCTAGTAATACGCTGTGAAAATGGCGCTCCCTGTCTTACTAATGGCGTGTACGCTGCAGCTCTACTACGAATTGGTACTAGCGCTCTTTTCGAGGATCTCAACGTAACATCACTCGGTAGTCAGTAGTTACTAGTTATGCCTCAGATGAGAGATAAGTTAGTTAACTATCTAGCTTTCGCTTACTCATCCATACGACACTGAACATTCGCCCCCATATAAATACGTCGCTTAGGTTGTTTCCCTTATTTACTCCTCTGCCCTTCTGCTGTATTGTGATTTTTGCAAACACCAATTTTTTGGGAAAGCTCAAAATCTTTGCTATAGTCAGGTAAGGCTATATATCAACTCTGTCTCTATATGACGAGTATTAAATCCTAACAGTCATGTGGTGAAGCAGCATCATGACATTCAGAGAGCGCCTAAATGCTATCATCAGGCCAATTCAGATGATCTGGTTATCCATCCAGTGTAAGCCCCCTCTTTTTCCTCACAACGACCAATAACCCAACATTGTGAGAAAAAAGTACACTACAATGCTTTCAAAGAAGCCTTTCGCAAAGACGGCCTCTCCTCGCTTACGAATCTGCAACGGATCCGAGATGATGCTACGTCAAAGCTCTTTATCACACATTGTGAGTTTTTTCACCCATAACTCAAGTAAAAAGAAACTAAATCTTCCCTCTAGCGCATGGTTTTATCACATATGAAAACACGACTGTTGTCCCCTCCCTTGTTCACTCCGCTCGTGGTAAAATTCTCGAGCTCGGCCCCGGGCCAGGAAACCAAATTCACCGCTTCGATCCATCTCAGGTAGATTTCATATATGCCATTGACCCTAATACATGCTACAAGGAGGAAATCGCTGCAAGGGTTAAAAGGCTTGAGCTCCAGGATAAATACAAGCTCCTAGCTTGTGGTGTCGAAGATAGTGATATCCTCATAAAAGAGGGCATCACTGAAGGAAGTATGGATACCGTTCTCAGCATTCAAGTATTGTGTGCGGTCGGAGATGTGAAGAGTGTAACGAGGGCGGTGTGGAAACTGTTGAAACCCGGAGGCTGCTTTGTCTTTTGGGAGCATGAGAGGAATAAGGATGCTGGAACGGCAATAGCGCAGGGTAAGCATTGGACATCCTATTCGTGATTTTGAGTATATGGACGAGCAGACTAATCGATAATAGCTTGCTTGAATCCCGCTTGGAGCACTTTTCTTGGGTGTTCTTTGAATCGGGATATCAAGGCGGAAATTCTTGGTGCGGGGGAGTGGGAGAACCCGGGTGATATTGAGATGGTTGAGGAGCCGTATAGTTGCTTGCCTAGAATCTGGGGGGTACTCAAGAAGAAAGCATGATTGGAGCCTCGGAAGGCCATGTTTATCATGTTACCTTCCCAATTTTCCTCATTGCCTCGATACAATCTAAGTCGTTGGATTTTCGAGAACGAAGATGGTCGTTGCTGGTAGGATAGTTTACAACGGATCTGGCTAGAACATCGTAAATATCTGACTTTACCTAGCTCAAAAAATCCACGAAACCCGACGCAAGGAGAGGAGTCCAGTCATGAGAATAATAAATTTTTGTCCAAATAATAAAAACCGATCAATTGCTCGTTTTGAGAAACTCCGTTCCTACCTTGATACCTTAGATATTCCTTCGGGGGAGAATGGAAGGAAGGGAATGACCCTGTCGAAAAAATACCAGTAAACTTCTAGCAACGAACAGAACTTTTACTGGAGTGTATTTGCATCCCTTTTCGCCTGATTATTTAATGCCTGGACCCTACAAAATATCCATGAAAGTTCTCACTGTGTCGTGCGTGTTATCCAGTGTAGTAGTCGAGTATCATAATCGTGGGTCAGAATGCCGGAAATATTTGGAGCGCCTGCTGTTGCGCCCGAGTCTGTGATCGGGGCCTGCTTCTTAAGACCCCGCTTAACGTTCGATGCACCGCTGCTACTTTATAAGTGGAATTCACGAAACCTAATTTTCCGATAATTGAATCTTCATCTTCGTTCTCTACTGATTCAAAAGCCGAGTGACAGTATGTTGATCATCCAAAAATTAGAAAATATGTGATTGATATAGGCTAAGAAGTCCAGACATTCCCAAAATGCGATCCACTCTTATCACTCTTTTGACCACCATGTTCGTGGCTATGGCAGTTGCAGCTCCCATGCCAAACAACAACCTTGATCTTGATACCTCTGAAGTCGAATTTGAGAAACGAGTGTCAACTCCTGCCGAGCCCATCGGTGTTGACAGCTCTGGAGGCATTGGCATCGGCAGCATTCTCTAAAATCAGAAAATGCGAGTAGAAAATGGAGTTATCGCAGTCCGGAATCGAATTAAGAGTAAGACTAGGGAAAGTAACCTCGTATTTTGTGTCAGGGACCGTTTGTGGAATTCCAATCCTGGAGGGCTTCCTGCAAGAGCTTGCAACGCCTCACTTGGCACTTGTGTACTTGTTCATGTCTGATATTTCCTCAATCCTCTTAGTCAAATAATTTTCGACTCCTTGATCAATCTTTATTCCAACTGAGTTTCAATAAAGCCGACACGTTCGCAATTAGCTTTGTGCTTTCCAGAACACTGGGCGAGACTTCATCGCCGGGGATGTACATCCAACGCGTAATCAATCCGTTGATGTGCGGACCAATTTCAATAACTTGCTGTGATATGAGTTGCCTCAGGGAGTGAACACGAGATGCAGCTAGTGTTATGAGCACAACGGATGCCATACTTACACGGGTTAATAATCTGAAAGAAAATGAACAAATACAGGGAGGATAGAATACTTACGAGAGCGAACATATCCAAGTATCCACCATGATTGTATGATGAATATTTCGTAAATTCTGGGCATGCATCCAGCATGCTTCCAAACAAAGTCGCGATCCCTCAAATACAATCGGGGGGGCATTCGACTACCTCTTCCCCATTTGACAGCGCCCATGTAAGATAAGGCCGGTAAATGACACTCTTGCAGGTCAAATACCGCTGACGAAGGAATGCACCTTCTGGAGATTTTGTAGTGTCGAGATCAACCGAAAACTGAAAGTGAAATGGGAGAAGATCCTTCCACTCTTCCAGTTGATGACCGAGCTCCGAAACCACGGAGGGGAATTGATTATTGTCAAACCCCACTCCATCATTACGGGCATAAAGAAGATCATGAACACGGTTTAGGAGTCGACGCATTGAGATGCAAGCGAGAAAGTAAAGAGAAGATTGTTCCTGGTCGCTCTGTGACTCCTGGGTGGAGTATTCGCCCGGGAGAGGAATAAGGGATTCGATCTCCGCAATGCCTGTTTGTGGAAGGGCGGATAGTTCAGCCAGAAAGTCACTGGGAATTTAAATCAGCTCAGCTTTACTATACAAGCAGCGTCAAGTGCCTACCTCTCGAGTATATAACAGGACCAGAATATCCTGCGAAGGCACTCTAATCTCTCTGGAGGTTGGTCGGAGGGTGTATAGGATAAAAGGAGCCTACACTTAGTTGCAGCTGCGCTTATGAACGACCAAGCCTGGAGCGGCCTTTGTAGAAAGGAGAAATATAGGCTAAATAGTGTTGTTAGACACGTAGGCAGCGGAGACTCGTCTCAACAAATAACGTACCCCGTGAAAAATAGGCACTGGACTGCATCCGCTGTGAATTCCGCTTGTGCCAACGGGATTTTCTTAAATGCGCATTCGAAGTACATCGAAGCCAGAAATCGTTGTTGAGTTTCTATCTCAACCGAGTGTGTCTCTGGGGTTTCCTTGGTCGTGAATAATCCCACGAGCTCGGAGGAACACCCCAGAGCCATCACTAATAATGCTAGGCATGAGCGGGTACTCTCTTTTACCGCGCCTGACAATAGATATTCCTTCAAGCTTTTTGCAGTAGATCTCGCCATGGTGGGATACCAGAAGTTGATTCCTCGCTCGAAGCTTCGAATTGTTTTTTCTATGTCGCTCTTCGTCATAAATGGTTGAGGGGGTGACGGCCTGTGGGACAGTGGCCTGCGCGCATTTTCGAGTTGGAAAACAGAAAATTTACTCTCTTTGATCAAACTTCGGAATTCACCGAAATGCGGCCACGATAAAATAGATTCCGTCGTTGACGCATGGAATGGTGACAAAATGGCGTTTGAAATATGATCAGAGGGCCCCTCTCCGCGACCAAAATTACTAACAGTGCTGGGGGAGATTGCATTCCCAGGAGATGCCACAGAGGAGATATTAGCTGGACTTCGGTGGGATGCTTGGGCCTAGAAAAGAATGTTAGTCAAGCAAAGTAGGCCTCGGGTAGGGTACGACGAACGAGCTGGGCGGATAACTGCTGCAGGAGACTTTCCGACCGGATAGCGACGTCCAGAATCAAGTCACTCTTGCTCTTGCTATCTTGAATATCAGAGTTCGTTCCAAAGATACAGATTCGTGGTGAAATAAACCAACATACTTGGTAGCTTCAGCCCCATATACACAGTCTGTTCCCCCCCTGGGTACAAGTTGTACAAGATGGCCGACGTCCATCGCATCTAGAAAAAACATGTTAGCGCCCATTTTGATCTCAACAGGGTGGGACCATGCATATTGACCTCACTTTCCGATAGCGACAGGGGTCGCACTGAGACCTGCTTGTTAGCGCCACGCCCATGTAAAATGAGAGGAGGCAAAGGACATACTGCCAGACATGTTCGTTTTCTTTTATGACTCTCCGTTTCTCTGTCAGGGGACATCATATTGTTGAATCATAAAGTCTGTCAGAGGAGAAAGACAGAGCAGGAAATCTGAGAGTTCGGAAGTGACCTGGGGCCCCGCATTCAAGGTGGCTTAGTTTAGCCGACGAAAAGTCATTTTGGATACGCGGCATCGGTTGATTTTCCGAAATTTGAGTTCCAGACCAAAAAATAAGAATATAACCTCAAATATTTGACAAAAGGGGCTTGGTGGTATATATACTAGGTTATTTCAAAAATTCATAATGCATCATTCCGATTTCTCCCAGATGGTAATTGTGCTACTAGCTAACCCCTATTCATTCGAATTGACCGGTCGCTTGACTTCCGGTCTGCTTGATCGAAGATAACATTATTACTGCGCGAAGACTCTCAGACGCCATTCCGTGTATTATGGTCATCCGTGACCTCCAAAGTCCGCAAAACAGTGGTGATATCGCGTTTTTCCAGACTCTTCTTCACTGGATTTGGCGCGGAGAAAACTTCTTCGAGCTCCTCCAGGGTGCGCTCTTTGGTCTCTGGGAACCAGAAGTAAATCACGACCATTTCAATGAGATCCCAAACGATGAACACCGCGTAAAAGTAATACTTCAGTTTCGCGAACGCTGGTCCTGAGCTGTAGGAGATAATGGCGCTGCTGATGTTGGATAGCAAATTTCCAACTGCCGTGCCCTTTGCTCGTGTGTTGGTGGATAGCGTCTCAGCGATATACATGCTCTGCAACGGTGTCCAACCGAAGGAAAACACGATGCCGAAAAGGTAAATGAATGCAACGGAAGTATTCGCTGCACTAGAGTTGTCCGGGTTATCGACCGACATTTTCGAAGTCCCGAGAATAACTGCAAAGGCGATGGAACAGAAGAGAAGCGAGTAGATCATCAGCGGTCGTCGGCCGATACGATCTGTGAGACCTGCACCAGAGATGGCGGCAAAAAAACAAATGACTGGATAAATTCCATTCAGCATCAACTGCGTTTTGACGGAACCAATACCCGCATTCTCCACCATCACTGGAAGATAGTACCCAGTGAGACTGTTTCCAGACAGTTGGCCAAAGCAAGCCATGCCGGCCACGCAGATGAAGCGACGGCGAGCTGAGTGTGTGTTGAAGAGCTCACGGTACTCCCACCACTTCTTACTGGAATCATCCACCGTGACAGAAATCTGATGTTGCATCTCCTTGACTTGGAGAGTCACAATCGGATGGCTAGAATCACCTTCGCCGTGGTACGTCGCAAGGACCTGGATGGCCTCGTCAACGCGGTCTTGTGCCATGAGCCAACGTGGAGACTCCGGTAGGAACCAAGTGGTGCAGGCCACGATGACGGATGAAACCAATTGGCACCAGATTGGGATGCGAAAGCCGTTTGCGGTGGCGATACTTTGGCATCCATATACGACCCAACTAGCAACGATCGATCCGATATACCAGGTGCAATTATAGAGACCCGTCAGCGTACCACGCCAGACTGGGTGTGCCATCTCAGAGACATAGCATGGCGCGCTCACGCAGCAAAAGCTGACTCCAAACCCAAGGATAAATCGACCAGCAAGGAACATTCCGTGATTAATAGCTGGTGCTTGGACGCAAGTTCCGACAATGATAATCGCAGCTCCGATAAACATGCCCATCCGGCGTCCCAATATATCATTTGCCGGGCCGGAGAGAAGGACAGCGGGTATGGATCCAATATTGTAGATGGCAAAAACCAATCCAGTTCCCGAAGACGCGGTTTTCCTGTCAAATAGTGTTAGGTTCAGGGTCTTGGGATAGGAAAAAAGGCACTCACATATGGAAGTATTGCTGATATGAAGTCATCGCATTCACTCCTCCCATGAGCGACCCATCGTATCCATTGAGACAGCCACAGAGATATGCGACCATTAAGCAGCCGTACAGGCGAAACATATTGGGAGTCCATGGGCTACATTTCATGGACTCGACGGCTTCAGCCAGTTGAATCGCCTCGCTGGTCTCCTGCAAGGCCATTTCTTTGGATTCCACGCCATCCTTGCCAACCTCGACATGTTCAAGGGACGGCTTAGAGGGGTCCATGGCCGTCATCGCAGGTTTGTATGCCGGAGGACGCAAGTCTTGTTGCGGACTTCAATCGAAAGTTGTGATCGTAAATGGCGCGATGAATTGGAGAGCTGCATGGAGCTCAAGGATCAGCGGTATATGTGGGTATTTAAGACATTTGGGTCGCATGATGGCCGGCATGTTGACAGATTGAAAATCCGGGGTTAACTAAATTTTAACTCTAGGAACGACGCCAAATTGAGGGCTTTCGCGGTGGCACGCGCTTTCGGGTCGCGTTTCCCCGACTGGCTTGTGACTGGCTCGCCAATGCGGATGCTGCAGTTTTGGGGCATGAACCGAAGGACCTACCCCCTTCCTGGATTCAAAGCTATGCACTAGCTATCCCGAACGGTCTGTGTGGATGGTCTAACGTGGGTTAGCGAAATTCTTTCAAGTGATCACCCCGCATCATCGGCTCCGTTACCCCCGAGCGAAGAATGAAGGGGCTGACTTGGAGGGCCGAGACGCCCCCCAGTCTAGGTCGGGTTTAGCCTGTTTTGATTTAACCGGTGGCCTCGGCTCCAGCCGAGAATTTACCGTAGGAGCAAGTGCGAGACATTAAGTATTCGTCAGATCTAAATTGATACTGGCAACCTTCAAGTTGGAATACATCTGATGGGATTCGGAACACCATCTTTGAATTATCCTCCAGGGCAGTTGAACTAATACTTCTACACCCGGGGAGTTTTCAATTTTGAGATACAAAGATATATTTAGGGTGCCTCCAGGGCCAGAGAAGCGATCAGCTTTTCTGTATGAAATGATTCGACTAATACCCTACTAAGCTGGGAATATGAGTTCTTTTCCATCTCTAATCAAACCACGGAGAATGACCCATCCCAGGAACTCAAGGCTGAGAATATATAATCAAGATTTTTCCTGATTTTTAGAAAACCGCGCACCTGGACAGGTAAATACCATCGAATTGGCCTAGCACAAGTGGGTCCATTAGTAGGTCCGTCGGGGATGTCGGGACCGAAAAAGGCAGATCAGCCTGGAAGGTCAAGGGTTGGATTGCGATTCCCCTGTACGCGTACATACAGAGTAGATGCAGCAACACTTGGAATCGCTTCACTTACCGGAAGAAAATATTTGGGGCTGTTACGTTCACAAGCTCTCGGTAGAGCGATATCTCAACATGTGCACCAGACGATTATCCGCGAATCACGGATCGCATGAGCACCAAATGCAAGCATCGTGTCCAGATGAGCCCAATATGCCGTGACAGTCCACGATACATCGTACTAGTAGCAGAGAGGGGTAAGTACAACGTGTTCCACGATCCCCGCACGAGTGATGATCTGTGTTTTTTTTTTTTCCTTCCCTTTGCGGGTCCTTGTCTTGGTAGCTCAACGGATACCATTTAAGGGCCCGACTGCCGCTGAAACAAAAGAGCAGAGAATATATTATTTGCGGGAATTTATCCTACAAAAGGCAAGTTGTGATTTCGACTTTTTCTCTCTTGAATAGACGATCGCACCATGTCCGAGGCCGATAGCAGCACCTGCGACTGGGAGAACCCGCGCATCTTCCAGCGAAACAAACTCCCCCCTCGCGCATACTTTCTTCCAGAAACAACACTGTCGCTGAACGGCCGATGGGACTTCAATTACGCATTGTCACCCTTATTGGCCCCGGAAGTTTCCAATGACAAGAAGAGCGACACCCCGTCTGAACCGGTGCAGTGGACAACTATTTCGGTTCCTGGTCATTGGCAGCTACAAGGCCATGGAAGTCCCAACTATACAAATACCATCTTTCCATTTCCTTGTGACCCACCTCGTGTCCCTAGCCAAAACCCGACAGGTACATATCGGAGGTCTTTCGACGTGCCACCTGATTGGGATTCATCCGCGCAACTGCGGCTCCGATTCGACGGGGTAGACTGCGCCTACCATCTCTGGGTGAACGGACACGAAGTCGGATATGCACAGGGTAGTCGTAATCCAGCTGAATTTGACATATCGCAGTTCGTTGATCGGAAGGCTAAAAATGATCTTGTCGTGCGTGTCTACCAGTGGTCAGATGGATCGTACATCGAGGATCAAGACCAGTGGTGGCTTTCGGGTATGTTTTCTTCACAGAGACACTTGCTGGAAGCTAACTATATTCCAGGAATTTTCCGCGATGTTAACCTACTTGCATTTCCTTCCGTTGCACGGATTGAAGACTTCTTCGCGAAAACCGAATTCGACGAATCCTACGAGGACGCTGTTCTGAAAATCACAGTCCGTCTTACAACTAGCAAGCCCGTGGTCTTGGAAGCTACACTTAGCGATCGAAAAGGGTCACATGGAACCATCGGCTCTGCAAGCGTGTCACAAGTCGAGAATGGGGATGCAATCTTGGACATTCCGGTGAAGCGCCCCGAGAAATGGACCGCAGAGACACCATATCTTTACGATCTCACCATTAGTCTACAAACTTCACCGGATAGTACAACTGTTCAGAAAATACACCATCGTGTTGGATTCCGCCAGGTCGAAATAAAGAAAGGGAATATCACCGTCAACGGCAAGGCGATCCTCTTCCGCGGTGCCAACCGCCATGACCACCATCCCCAGTTCGGTCGTGCTGTTCCCTTGTCATTCCTTCGTGAAGATCTCCTTATCATGAAACGTCATAATCTCAACTCTTTGCGATGCTGTCATTATCCATCGCACCCTCGGTTATACGAGCTTTGTGACGAGCTTGGGCTATGGGTCATGGACGAAGCAGATTTGGAATGCCACGGGTTTTACGATGCGGTCGCACGACCTCTCGATATTCCAGAATCAATGGACTACGAAGAGCGCAAGAAGCTGACTTTTGAGAAAGCCGCTCAATATACTAGCAACAACCCCGAGTGGAAGGATGCTTATTTGGATCGTGCTATTCAGATGGTCCAGCGTGACAAAAACCATCCTTGTATCGTGATTTGGTCTCTCGGAAACGAGGCATTCTACGGCCAGAATCATCAAGCTATGCATGATTATATCAAGTCTATCGATCCGAGCAGACCGATTCACTACGAGGGTGACCCGGAGGCACAGTCCGCCGACATGTTCTCTTACATGTACCCCTCTGTCAAACGAATTGAAAAATTGGCTGTCGCAGAGGGTGATGATTTCAAGAAGCCAATCGTACTCTGCGAGTATGGCCACGCGATGGGAAATGCACCAGGTGCATTGGAAGAGTATATGGAAGCTTTTCGAACCCATCGACGACTGCAAGGCGGATGGATCTGGGAATGGGCAAACCATGGTCTCTGGGATGAAGAAAGAGGTTTCTACGGGTATGGTGGTGACTTTGACGATTACCCCAATGATGGTATTTTTGTTATGGATGGGCTATGTTTCAGCAACCATACCCCGACTCCTGGTCTCATTGAGCTACAAAAGGCCTACTCGCCGGTCCACGCCTCTTACGCCAACGGGTCAATCTCCATTGAAAATAGATACGACTTTACGGAACTAGAGCATCTCCAGGCCTTATATCGCATTGAATCACTCGGGGAAGAGTAAGGATTCACATTGACATCTCTGAGATCAAGCTAACAAAAAACGCAGGACAACCATTATATCCACCGGTAGTTTCAAAGTTCCTTCCGTGAAGGCTGGACAGAGTGCGAGCATCGAGTTTGCTCAGGATCTACCGAGTCTTCCCGAAGGTGAAATTTGGGTCACTGTCAGCTTTCAGAACATCCAATCTACTGCCTGGGCCCCAAGTGGCCACGAAGTTGCTTGGTTTCAATACCCTCTCAAAATTTCTTCGATCAGCCCTTCTCTTTCTCCTCGGTTCCCTGTTCAGATTAGCTCCAACCGTTCAAGCTACACCGTGACAGGGTCGGACTTTGATATCTCCTTTTCACGCTCCACTGGTGGCTTGACAAGCTGGACCTCTAAGGGGCACCAGCTTCTGGATCCTGATCTCAAAACAGCCACTGCATTAGCTCCAGGCTTTTGGCGACCTCCAACCGACAATGATACTATGTCATCAGATCTCCAAGAAAGGAAAAGATACGGACTGGATGACATGAGAGTCCAGCTCAGAAGCACCAATGCTTCTCAAGTTGAGGGCGACTCTGTGAAAATTTTGACGGAAACCTGGGTCGGTCCACCTGTTCTTGCATGGGGCTTCCAAGTGACAACCACCTACACTGTTACTGGAGATGGAAAACTTTCTGTGTCCTCCCATGTGAAACCTCAAGGATCTCTCCCCTCAGATCTTCCACGACTGGGCTTGGACTTGCGTCTCGCTGACGAATTGGACAACGCCAAATGGTTTGGTCTAGGACCGGGGGAATCATATCCTGACAAGAAACGATCTCAGAAACTCGGAATCTACAAGGCCAGCACTGAACAGCTTCAGACGCCATATGAAGTTCCCCAGGAGGGTGGAAACCGGTCCGAGACCCGTTGGTTGCAGCTGAGCGATAATCGTGGCTGGGGCATCAAGATTTTCAGAGATTCCGTACATACAGACAAGGACCCTACAATCCATTTCCACTGGAACGCATCTCGTTATAGTGCGAAGCAGATTGAATCAGCAAGGCACCCATGTGATCTTGTTCCTGGAAAGACGGTCCATGTGCGACTTGACGCTGAATGTAGCGGAGTGGGAACTGGTGCTTGTGGGCCAACTACCCTGGACAAGTATCTTGTCGCTTGTGAAGAGAGGAAGTTTAAATTTACTCTGGTACCTTGTTTTAGCGACGGTTTTTGAGTTAAGGGTTTGTTTTGCGAATAATTTTAGAACAGGAATGGATACAAGTTAAACGTAGGTTTCAACAACTACTTTTATTTTTTTAATACGAATTATTGAAATTCACTGTGTGCCAGTGTTCAGATGATGGCGGGGACTTCATTATGCGGTCGATTTTTCGTCTCTTAGGCCAAAGAGATTAGGCCCTTCGTCTGAGTTTACACCAAAACTTGAAGATGACCGCGGCAGGCTTGAAGCTGCCCGGAATCCAGCAGGGTCTAAATAGAATGAAGCCTTAGTTATCTTCCGTGGCTGAAAGAATCTCAGAGTGCTTTGAATAATCAAGTTGTATATTAGTATATGGTGTATATCGGTGACTCAATTCACATGTAACATCAAAATTCCTCTATAAAGGATAAAAAGAATCAGAAATATTCATTTCATTGTCGTAAATTGGCCAAGGCCTCCTTTCGCATTTTTGGGTTGAGGACCCAGTACCTGGACGCACAAGGCCTGCTATGTATCAGACCAATTCATTGACATCCAATCATAATTTCGCCTTTCAATGAAATTGGAGTCGGCGCCAAAAGTTCGAAATTGCTGGAATCCCTGTGTCTGCTGCACCGGCGGAGGAAAATTACCAAAAGAATTAGGCATAACAAAATTCTCAGCTGAAGTATGATTAGATCGAAATCACAATGGGAATTAGTAGGGACGGCGAGACCCACGATTAATAAAGCCATCATTGACTGGCCACATCATTTCCTCATCCAGCCCAGATCTGGAGTTGTCTCCATCGTCCAGATGAGCATCGTTGTTCTGGGAATCACTGCCACCGGGCTCTTTAACAACTTGACTCGATGGAGTCCCATAATTTTGACTATCAGCTGACCTGGCAAGGACGAAGCTGACAGTGTCGGCCGCCTTCTTTGCATCCGTCGACGTATCGCTCCTTTTCATCCAAATGGTTCGGCATCTTTGGAGTGTTTCGCGAATATCTGAGTCTCGTTGCACTGGATGTGCGTTATGGAGCAATGTGCATAGAATCATCGTTGCGGTAAGAAATTGATTATGCATTAACGTGTTTGCTCTCAAGTGCATTGTAGCAAGTTGCCCCCCTGGGCAGGTCTCTTCATCAACCAGGTGTTGAATATCCAAGGTACCGAGACAAGCCTCAAAACAAATTTTGTGCGAGTATGTAGCTGGGTTGCCATCTGCATCACGATACTTTGAGCAGAGAAAGCGGCGATGCAGCGCAATCTGCCCCTGATAGATCTTATTGGATAGGAACAACCGAGACATGATTATCTGCGGAGGGTCGGTTAGGCTAGCTGCCATGGGTTGTGGCCTCAACGGCGGGGGGATGCTTCCTGCCGCCTGTTGGAGGGCGGCGTCGACGCGCATCACATCTGGATAGCTGCAAGGGTTTACTGCGTCTACCAGCTCGACCACAGCCCCAAGCGCGGTCATAGCACGCCTCATAGCAATTATTCCAAGCGCACTGGTGCGTTCGGTGAGCGGGCGGGATGGAGGTAATTCGGTCGTTGTCTGGTCGAAGTCCGTATCGTTCAGATTTCGTGGTTCCATGGTATCCCATTTGGAGTCAGAAATCATCCGCGGCATGCCCATTTGGCTTGAGACAGTTATGTCGGCCATCAATATCATCACCCATAACCGGCGACGCATCTCCCCTTTATATGGCGAAATTCCGGGGAAGTGGCTGGGATCACGGTGACAGCCCATTCGCATGGCTAAGTTAACTTCCAAAGCCAATAGAAACCAAATATCCTTGTCGGTATCGTCTCGAATGTAGAACTCGGCGTATGTGTAGTTAATTACTGTTTCCAAAACGTATGGCCCGGATCTTGTATATTCCCCCAGAATCAAACACTGGACAATGCTTTCCCGAAAATGCTCGATCTGAAGTGAGAAATCTTCTGTATTCTGCTCGGACGTCTTGCCTGATACTAGGCATCCAAGACAGATCATGCTGAACAGGAGACCGATCCACATGATTGGTACTGTTGACGGATCATTCCAAAATGTCTCATACTACTGCGGTTAGTACAGGTTCTCGAAGGTGTAGCCATGTGAGCTTACCTCGCGTAGAAAGCTTGGACCATGGATCGCGGCTATATAACAATCTAAGTTTGGAGATTCACCGTTAAAGAAGAACAGGAAACTCACATGACGAAACAAGGTCCAGGTAGTTGAAATACCGAGATATATGGCGATCGACCACCGCTTTTGGCGGTAACTTGGAGAGAATCTCTTCTCGAGAAACTAATCGACGGCCTCCATATAGAAGCATCGCATATCCAGATTTAGGTTGTGCAAAGGTGCTCCTATGTTCCTCAGTGCCATGGTTTGGAGGGGTATTCGCGAGTCGAAGCTGCTCCTCACGGTCAAGGTGAACCTTGAGATCTGCAATTCCATCAAGTAGAATCGCCCAGTGATCACGTCCCACATAGCTAACCTCTGACTCACTGATACGCATACTGCCACACTCGGGACTTTCGTCCTTGGCATCCATTATCGTATCACCGGAGGGAGCATAAGTTGTTTGGGACAGGGCAGCTATTTCAGAAACCGTGTTGGCAGGAACTTTACTCCCGGAGTCGGCCATCAGTGAGACGACTAATTGCTCTAACTGTACCAAACGGTCATGGACTGCACGTGGTCCCGAAATCATCGAAGAACCTGGCAGGCCTGGGCTGTCCACATAGGTGCATATTTGGCCGCGTGAAGAGCAGCAGGAACATGGCTGCCGACGGTCACATCGTGATCTAAAATCGCGTTAACTCTTCAGCCTGACTAGTTCAAATTGCCGAGACCCTTACTTGCGGCGTCAACAGGGATTGCAGGAGAGCTGTGGCTTGTCTCTTTGCCGACTTGGTTTTGGTCGAGCCTGCAATGGCTGAGACGGCTGCGACGACTGGGATGTGATGTCAAGCTCTTGGCCAGGTCCGCCTGGGTACATACCGGAAATATCTCGGGACGGCGCAGGACAGGATCAATGAGACTGAAGGTGTATACGGACTTTATGCAGGCTGGGAGGCTCTCTCTACATTCTCAGTGCCGTCACCTCACGTGATTTCCTCGATCGGGCCCCTTGAATCGTGACTCTCCAACTTGTCGGGCAAAACCCCCGAGGTTTGACGCCACTCGATTTCCCCACGAAGACCCACTGGAAAGAACCCCGAGTCTACTCCGCATTTGACAGCTGCTTCTTGTTAAGGCGTGGGTGCCTCAGGCAGAAATTCAGATCGCATTATTCCGCGTTGTGGCCTCTCTCTCGCGGGCATTGATAGTCAGCACATACATCACCACTTTCATGATTCTGAGCTTCTGTCGCTCCGTGGTGAACTTGTCAAATGTAATGCGGGCAATTCAATCTGCTCGCAGGGAGCCTCGTGTTTTTTCCGAACAAGTAAGACATGTCCAGCCTCTGGAACACTTCCGCCTCCAGACAGCAGTTTCGAAAGAGAAAAAAAGAAAAAGAAAAAAGAAAATTTGTCGAAACTTGATTGACCCGAGAGCTGTTTATCTTTCATGATTCGGTTCGTACAAGCCGACTTTCGCTATTGCAAAAAATGAAAAAGAAAGAGGATCATCTCTGACGTTTCGGACTAGCATTTACCCCAGGGAAACTGTGCAGATAGGTTATCCTGTTTGGATGCATGTAGATCGTCAAATTTCCCTTGATAGAAATGGATCGGCCTGACTACTAAGCGACCACCTCATCTTACAGCTATAGCCTTCTATAGCCGTACCTGCACTTTTTCTTGTACATTCATCGCCTCACCTCGATTCACCTTCTACCTAACCACTACTACATACTCTCGCCGACCACCTTCAATTTGCACAGAATTCAAGTCATCGTGGTGCTTCACTCACGATATAGGTCAACTTGGAGTATTCCACCAGGTCCAGGACAGAATAATTGGGCGTCTCGTTTGAGAGAGTGGAAACTCCATGGATACTGTAAGCCAATAGCTTCCTTCGTGATTAAACAGGCCCGTTCTGATCTAGTGTTTGATACGATAAAGCTGGGATTGAACTCAATCTGAACTTCGATGGCAAGCCCATCGAGAATCAGAAAAATACCCGCCACCTTTGTGACTCCGAAGGCCTTGAAATTGCCGTGGTGTAAGTAATAATTCTTTTGATATGTTGGCTAGGTTTTCATTCCAGTAGGACCAATAATTGTTAGCATGTTTTCATCTTGGCCAAAGGATGCAGGATCTACATCCGGCCTGTCAGTCGAAGCTCATATAGATTTCTACAAGGCGCAGCTTAAAATTGCTTCAAATTTGAGACCAGTTTTGATTACTGAGAAATCTGGATCGTGGGAGCACCTCCGTTCTGAAAATCAAGGAATCCAAGCTGACTTCAAAACATAGGGATTGTTGGACGCTTGACGAGTCTGTTCAGTTCTATAAAGACACAGCAGATTGATAAAGAGTTTGGACTTCAAGGAAAGATATGCCATGAACCCCACAGAAAGCGATCTTTATTCAATATTCGGGTCGCGGCCGACATACTGCATCAGGTGCCAGAGTCAATGTCACTATTTGTGAACGGATTTTGGCTATCACTAACGAAAAGCAGATTAAAAATCACTGCAGATATTTCCTATTGGGTCCTTGTCGGCGAACGCCTTCTAAACCAATGGGATAATGATATCAGGCTCCTGGCCTCTATTATCCCCCATGTATGCTGCCCAGTTTTCATTTCTTTTCCCAGAAACTAACATCAAATAAGATCCATCATATACATGCTCGTATGGGAACAACACAGTCCCCACAGTGCCCAGAGCCTCTGGATCCAGCTTTCGCAGCCGAAAGGGAATTTTTCGAGAGATTTTGGCTTGATGTTATTGAATACAAGCAGAATACCAACTCTGGATCCTGCATTACATGGGTTCCTGAATACGGGTAAGATCAAAACATCGTACCGATAAGCGCTAGAATTCTAACATTCGGTTAGGCCATTTCCATATCATCCGAGAGGATCTATGCAAGCCCATGGTGATCTTGCAGATAGCGAGGCCGAACGACTCGAGAAGCTCTTCAACGACAAACTCTAAATAAGGCGGCATACAGAGCGTTGTTATACTCGCCGCCCTACACATTAACGTCCGCTCCCTGGTCTAAGAGCAGTTTGACAATTTCATAATGCCCTCTCAGCAAGGCGGCCTAGAGAGCGTTGCCATAGCGGCCAACCTGCACATTTACGTCTGCTCCCTGGTCCAAGAGCAGTTTAACAATTTCATACTGCCATATAGACAAGGCATCCTGGAGAGCGTTACAATATTCACCGCCCTATACATTAATATCTGCTCCCTAGTCTAAAAGCAGTTTGATAATTTTATAATAGCCTCCCAATAAGGCAGTCTAGAGAGCATTGCCATACTCACCGCCCTATATATTAACGTCCGCTCCCTTACTAATAAGCTCACATACAGGCGCTACCAGTCCATTAAGGTAAGCATAGTAAAGCCTAGAACCTTCCAGAGGACTAGGGTCAGAGTACCATCTCCTATTAGCCTAATACAAACAACTCTATTATCAAAATATCACTTCCTCTTCCAGGAACTTTACAGTCTCTTAAACTATATCTTTAGAATCCTAAGCAAATACAGTATAGCACCCGCAGAAAAGTCCTCCCAGATAGGTTTGTACGTAACTCAGAAACACCAAAGAGTTTATGCTCTGTATAATAACTATATTATAGCATATGCTATATGGCCTCAGGATATTGAGGAAAGATTGAGGTGACTTCAAGTCTATCGTTTTACTCGCTATATAGCAGGCTGCTCTTTGAGACTTGGTCTAAAATCCTAATATTACATTAAGGTTACTAGTTAGCTTCTGCAAGCAGGTTATAATACACTAGAAGCTATAGTCACTCTAGAGCAGCCAAATATCTCCGGGAGCAAGCATGCTCACAAAAAGAGGATAGTAAATTGGCGACCGCTATAAGCTGATACGTTTGCCTTAACTTATTCTGAATATCCAAAAGGCATAGAACGAACACAAATATAACAATACTTCAGGTCTTAGCAAATAGTTGTTGAACGAGTTTACATACGTTGTTACAAATAAGATGTTTTGGTCAATTTTGTTCAAAAAAAACAACGCACCCTTGCATCAGCATAATGCTGCTCAACGCATAACGCGCCGGACCATGGCCGGAGGGTTCGAAATAATAGTAGATCTACGCACCATTCTCAGAAGTTATTATTTTCGGCTTTAGATTTTATTTTTATTCCTATTTTTTACATTTTTTTGGCGGGCCTTAGCTTCGTACTACAGCTAATCTATAGTAATATAGTAAAGGTAGTAAAAGACGATTCAAAAAAAGAGTCCTCAGGAAAATAAAAACGCTTAACCTAGTGTAAGGCTCTAATTCAACGGCTAAGAGAGGTAAGGTTGTTTCCTCGGGCCTTCCTCACGTGCGTTTCCTATTAGTTTGAGTGGCCCCGGGTTAGTGCCCTAGAATTATTTCCACTTCTGTGGCACCTTAGATTTTTGGCGAGAACAATCTGAACCGGTTTAAGCCGAACCAGGCGATACTTAATGATCTAACTTAATCGCTTACCTCATCAAACTGTGTTTTATATAGAGTAATACTAATTTTGCCAACTAGTCGTTTCCGATCCCCAGGTTATTTTCTAAACTCGTCGTGTCTGAGTTCTAAGGAGAAGTTAAACGTAGAAAGACAAAATAGGCAATGATACTATAGGGAAAACATCCTCATGTGTTCATACTAAAAAAGCCTACTTACGAAAAGGCTGCTACTGTAAAAGTCGAAGACAGATGGCCTGTACGTCAATATCCAACCCGAGAGGCATTATAAAAGTGCCGGGACTATCCACCGTTGCCGCACCCACCGTCGTTGCACTCACTGGTCTGCAAATAGTCACAATTGTTTGTCTTTTAACGACGACCGTTGCACCTATGGATCACTTTCCACATAACGTTGTCAGGAAATCATGTTTATTTTTATTCTATAGTTGATCTATCCTATCTATATACCTAAGCTTTCACCGCAGGTACATACCGATCTTGGCCATTCCTAGGGAGCAAAGCAAGTCATTTAGATTAAAACGCCATCTTGGCTTCTAGCGGTCCATAAGAGCGACTGAAGAAGGGTGAGACCGAGCAGTGACTCGCAGAAGTCGCACCGTGCTTTCTACTCTGTCCTGACTCTGACTTTTCAAATGAAAACCACCCATTGGAATTGCGTCAGTGAACAGAAATGCGAGAGAATTCTTAGAAAAAGAAAGCTAATGAATAGGACGTTGAACTCAGTTTCATATGTATAAATAGAAACAACCAGAATAATCAATCAGACAATAATTTCTGATGGTACTGCCATATTCAAAAACAGATTCCCCCATATACACTTGAGAATTGATTCCCGAACCCTTTCTTGGAACGCCCTAGTCTATATTTGGTTAGTCTCTCAACCACCCCCGCTTCGTGGTATCGTATCGCCTGTTAGTATCGAATGAGTCATTGTAAGATACTGTTAAACTCCATAGAATCTTGTAGAATGTTCCTGGCAAACAGTCCAAACATTTTGGAAGATCTGGCAAGGCAGCCTTGCTGAACATCATTACCAGAGTGGTGGAGTTGATCCAAAATAATTGCCTAAAGAGCGAGAAATATGGCACGCCTGTTGGATCTTCCAGATGAGGTGATTCTAGAGATCATTGACCACCTACAAACAGGCACTAAGCAAATCAAATTGTCATTCTATGAGCTTGGAGACGCCTACCGCTATGCGATCGACCATAATCCATCACAGAGAGCTAAATACCTGCACTCTTTTTTACTCGCCTCCCGCCGCTTGAACAGTCTTCTAGCGCCAATATTTTATCGTGATATCTTCGTCCGTGAATACTGTCGCGTTGGCGCGAAGATCCCGCTAGAGCAGCTGAAGTGGAGTCTGGAGAAGAACCCGAGTCTCCAGGAACATATCGTTTCAGCAATCATTCCATGTGGCAGCTCCTGGCGTGACCGCTCTATTCGTGATATCTTTCATGTTTTTTGGTTCACCAACATACAGACCCTTACCATTCACGGGTTCAAGGATTGGGAGCCCATGCAATTTGAAAACAACTCACATGTTGGGACCTCGCCCGTGAAATGTCTGAGGCTGGTTGATTGTGGGGCGCATGAGGAAGCTTTAGCCACTGTATTAAGCTGGCCAGCAGCTTTGAAAGTACTTCACTACGATGCCCAGCAAGGCGAGTGGGAGGGCCATTATGGAGATGAGGCAGTCAAAAGCTGGACATGTGCTGCTTTTGTGCGCACACTGCGATCACAAAGGAGAACGTTGGAAGAACTGACGATGACAAGACCGTGGCTTGACCATGAAGGATTGGGCAATGGACCTCGCATTGATCTAAGCGAGTTCACAGCCCTTAAAACTCTACGCATTTACCATGTCTTTCTCTGTGGGTGGGATGATCCGTCTGGGGTCTGGAAAGGCTTACCTCATAGTCTGGAGGTGTTAGAGGTCTTTTACGATGACACAAACCTTACTCAATTTTTGTGGGAGAGTGACGATGAGCCGTACGATACTTTTCTTCTTGATTTAATCAGGTATAAGAGGGCGCATCTTCCACATTTATGCACGGTGACCATCTACTCATTTGACGAAGTCTATGATCTTGAAAGAGAAGAGCATCTGCCCGCAGGACTCTGGACGCTACCGTCTTCACTGGAGCGCGAGGCTGAATCCGCTGGTATAAAGCTAGATGTGTGGCTGGGATACCTGGATGCTCCAAACTTCGAGGAAGCTGACGTTTTCGGGTCACTGAAAATTAGTCAAAACGAACATTCTAGTCGATCCAAGCAAAGAGTGGCGGCTAGACTGAGCAGTGTACCACAATGCAATTTCTCCCAGGAACCTTCAGCAGGGAGGGTCAAGGCCTACGGACGCTATACCCAATTGCAGTTCTAAGCGGAGAGGATGGAATTGTCAAAGCTGCACTACACACATATATTTGATGCCGATCAAGAACAATCAATAACTAGGGAACCGCCACAGCAGAGGTTTCTGCTATAGCTTATGTCAAATACCCCTCCACAAGTCCCGATATACCCTAGCGATACATATGTACAAGCCACAAAGAGCAGCGGTTGGAATTTAGGGATAAAGGGGAACACGCATAGCTAAGCATGCGTCTCTGAGCAGCGTAAAGAGAAGCACTAACCCCTTTCAGCCCATTACGCCCCACATCCCAGGATACTCGATGAGAAAGTGAAAGCTTGGCTAATAAGATCCAGAGGCATAGAACATTCGCGTCTTCTCCAAATGATGTTAAGCTCCGGGATCAATAGAAATCTTGAAGAGCACTTGCAGTAGGTACTTCCTTGTCTATCTTAGATGCGAGGCCCTATACAATCTTTCACATTCCATTCATTACCACAGTAGATGATTTGTGTCTAGTACTGGCCCAATTCCAGCTTCAACAACAGGCCATGGACCAGACATCGCTATGGAGGCAGGACTCAAATCTCTCACGGAGAGAAAAATTCCATAATTATTCAGATGAGAACTGTACTCAGTATTAAATTGCGCTGTCTGCTTTGGTCAACCCCCACTTTATCTGGCAAACTAAATATTAGCCATTCCATCATACACGATTTCAGTCTGCCGGAATAGGATTGGATGGAGGGCGTGGGGGCACCGGAAAAGGAGTTACCGATCGGGTAATGGATTACTTCCCCGCACACTCTCCCCGCAATTGTGAACGCGGAAGTCCTCCGAAGCGGTCTGGGGTATGCTTTGAGTTTCCATACTCATAAATTTTCCACAAATGAGAATCTAATTTCGTCCCTTCAACCTCTGGGGGTGCCGTGGGGGTGATGGCTGATCAAGCCATCCCGTGCCCAGGATCCCTAGCGCCGTATATGAATGGGAAACCCCGATACTTCGCGTGGATTGATTCTCAATGATCATCATTTCAGACATATGAATCTCCCACCCTCGAATTATGGATTCTAAACAAGATGACTTCACAGATTCCGTGGCAATTGAAGACGTACGAGACCTCAATGCAGCACAAGGCGACTTAAAAGTCAAAGCCGTGATTGACCAGGAAAACCAAGCGATTTACCTGGAAGCGCTCCAAAGATATCCTGAAAATGATTCTATTGACCGGGATGCGGAGAAGCGTCTCGTCCGGAAGCTCGACATGCGCATTATTCCTGTCCTAGGTATATGCTATTTCTTCTACGTGTGTACTCCCTTGGCTACGTACTATCAACAGCCTTTCTAATGCTTATCCTTGAATTCTGAAGTATGTCGATAAAACAACCCTTTCATATGCAGCAATTTTCGGAATCAAGGATTCTCTGCACCTTCAAGGTGCAGAATATTCTTGGCTGTCAAGCATATTCTACTTTGGTTGGCTTGCCTGGGCTATCCCTTCAAACTTGCTCATGCAAAAGTCACCTCCCGCATATTATCTGAGTTTCAATATCTTCATGTGGGGTGCATTATTGATGTGCCAAGCCGCTTCCAAGAACTTTGAGGCCCTTGCCGCTCTTCGAGTACTCTCGGGTGCATTCGAGGCCATCGCAGACCCGGCTTTTATGCTTTATATCTCGACCTACTATACCAGAGAGGAACAACCATGGAGAATAGCGGGCTACTATCTCTGGAACGGTATTGGTGTGGCTGGGGGTGGTCTGATCGGTATGGTTCCAACATTCTGCTTGCAGCCTGACTATTCGTTCAATTTCTTTTCGCGGCGGACTTTCTGACGCAATTTCCGAACTAGGCTACGGAATCGGTAATATCAAGGGCGCCCTCGACTCCTGGCGCTATGAATTCATCATTGTTGGGGCAGTGTGCTCAGCGTGGGGTATTGTTCTTGCCTTCCTGCTCCCTAACTCGCCTACCTCCTACCGGGGCTTCACACATGAAGAGAAGCTCATAATGATTGCTCGTCTGCGGCAAAATCAGACTGGGTCAGAGCAGCGACGAATTAAGTGGTCTCAAATCAGAGAGGCATACTTGGATTATAAAATGTGGTTATTCTTTCTACTTGGATTCGTTGCCAATATCCCGAACGGCGGCATATCTAATTTCTCGACACTGGTTATCCAAGGTCTTGGGTTCAATACACTCAACACGGCCTTGCTCGGAATACCGCAGGGTGTCATAGTGGTGATCTGGATTGTTCTAGGAGCGGTGATCAATCAATACCTTCCGAAGAACAGCCGCACTTGGGTTTCGGCTCTGTTCATGCTTCCAACTATTGCAGGTGGCCTTGGATTCCTTCTTGCCCCGGACGATGCTTACGTTGCCCGGTTGATTTGCTTGTAAGTTTCAACATATCTGACAGGGATAGTTCTTTTCCCAGATCACTGACCATTTCTCTTTAATTCTATAGCTATCTCACTGGCTCATATCAGGCCTCTTTCGTGATATCTCTTTCAATTGTCACATCAAACATTGGTGGCCAGTCAAAGAAGATGATTGTTTCCGGCATGATATGGTTCGGTGTTTGTGTTGGTAATATTGCTGGTCCTTTCTTCTACAAGTCTGAACAAGCACCAACATATCGCCTGGGTATCGGATCTTTGTTGGTCTCAAATTGCATTGAGCTTGTTTTGTTTTTTGTGATCCGCTACACCTTTATCTGGGAAAATAAGCGGAAGGAACAATGGCGACAGACATTGCGAGAGCAAGGAAGGGAGGACGAGTTGACTTTGAACGCAACAGCTTTTGCTGATTTAACCGATAAGGAGAACCCAAACTTTGAGTATGTTTACTAATTTGGGTGGTCGCTTTAACACTTCCCACCTTTTCAACGCCATTTCCAAATCAATTATTTTTTGACTTTAGCTCCTATCCATCCCTGTTCTCCGTTCGACACTGAGCGGAGCTTCCCCATGAATTAGTCATGGGTAGGTAATTCAAGTTATCTGAGGGCATAGGGCTAGGTAAATTTTCAGATTCATACTAAACTTGATGATAGCAACTTCCATGTCATCAACAATGTAAAATATAGTACATATTTCGGGTGACGACATAAATCATTCAGGTTCGCGCGACCGTATCTTAGACCTTGGGAAATGTTCCAGTGAAATCGATTAGCATTCGCAGATTCTCCGATTTGAGGCTGAAACTTTTAAATAGCGGAATCGAAACCAGTAATAATCGGGTTTCTGGAACCCCCACGCGGGGAAGTCTCCGACCTTCAAGCCTCAATTTTCCCCTCTCTCCCTCTCCATTCGGTAACCCTTTATTTCCTATTTGATTTCTCAAAATGGACTAGACATTCTCATTTCTGATAATAGCTCAATATTCACCAACCGCGCTTCGCCGCAGGAAAAGTATGAAACATCACCGAGCTAGAATTGGACAGTGCTAATCAAGTCAGGAAAATCCACAACGCATGTGTAGCATGATGTCACCCTTGTCGTTGCATGATATATAGAAATTTCGAAATAAGCATTTAGGCATTTAAAAGACGAGGTAATGTAGAAAACTTGAGAAATCCTGAACTGACTTCAAACCTTCGCTCTTACTTTTTACTATCTTCATGGTTCGGCTACGCCAAATTCGATCATTTGAAGCTTAAAACAAAAAATATTAGAACAATAGAGATATCTTGAAAGATTGGGTTTGAATTATCTTTAAAATATACATGTTCGGGTAGAAATCAATTAATCACACAGAATGAATGTTCACATCGGCAGCCATAACATAACACCTTGACTCTCTGCTTTATATATCGAGAAGAACCGGTTGAAATCCCTCAGGAGTCAGCCTTGAGATCACTCAGAATCTCATCCGCGGCCTTCTCTGCAACCATGTAGGTGGAAACAGCAGTGAAGGTACCCGGAATCTTGGGGTAAACGGAGGCGTCCACGACACGGAGTCCAGAGACACCACGGACACGGAACTTGGAATCAAGGACAGCCATTGGGTCATCGTCGGCACCAATAGGGCAGGTGCAGGAGGCGTGGTGGCCCCAAGCTCCGTCCTTGACATATTGCTCGACATCCTTCTTGGACTGGACGGCGGCACCAGGGAGAACCTCGGTGATGTTGACAAGTTGGCGATCGAAAGCGTCACGGGCAAGCTCAATGGCTTCGTACAGGGCAGTGAGATCAGCGTCGTAGTCACCGACACCAGTGTCGAAGTAGTTGAAAGTGATCTCGGGCATATCAAGGGGATCGGCGGATTGCAGAGTCACGGTACCGGCGGTGTTGCGTGGGTGAGCCTTGAGGATTGCCCAGGTGAACCAGTTGTGCTCGTCGGTGGCGTTGATGCTGTAATCCGGGAAGTATCCGCGGAAGTTGACAGGGCCTCCGAAGCAGAAGATATCGAAGTTTTCATCGGTGGTAGAACTCTTGTAGAGCATAGTAGCGGCAAGACCGGGGGATGAGTAGATACCACGGTCACCCAGAATAGGAGACTCCCACTCGTTGATACAAGGGTCTGCCTGGTCGCGAATGCTGAAAGTGCACTTGTCCAGGCAAGAAAAGTCCTTCTCGATCTTTCCCTGCACAGAAATTTCGTAGTGATCCTGGAGGTTGGTACCGACACCAGGAAGATCACTGATCACCTTAATGCCGAACTTCTTGAGTTCCTTCTCAGGGCCGATACCACTCAGCTTCAAGAGCTGGGGAGAGTTGTAGACACCACCGGAGACGATAACCTCGCGGGAGGCACTGGCAGAGCCAGGGATACCATCAAGGGCGTACTTCGACAGCGGGCTAGCGCGGTACAGATGACGGCCATCCAGGAACTCAACGCCAGTGGCACGAGGAGGGGTGACGGTCTCATCGAAGACAACCTTGGTAACGTGCGTGTTCATGCGGACATCGAGAGGGTACTTTTGGGTGCCATTGGCTAACTTGGCATCACGAACGGCAATGATAAATTCGCGAGCACCGTTGCGGTGGGCATCATCGGTCGAAATGGGGATTTGGTAGTAGCCCGGGTCGGTGTCGCGAGACTTAGAATCGGCATTAGCATCGCCAGCCAGGAGAGTACCAATGTTCATAACATTGTCAGTGAGGTTTCCGAGGGCAAAAGCACCACCAGTAAGCATGCTCAGAAGTTGAGGGTCCTCCAAAACAATGCTAAGGGGCGCAGTCTCGGTAGACAGCCAGCCGTCATAACCGTGACCCTCTTGTCCTGGGAGCAAGTAGTTGTTGTTCTCGAGTTTGGTGAAGTATTTGCGCATGTTATCCGGGGTCCAAGAGCTGTCGCCGGTGAGGGTAGAGATGTATTCGAAGTCGGATTGGTGAGGGTAGACGGCGATCAGGGCGTTGTGAGCAGTGCATCCTCCCAGGGTACCGGTGCGAGGATAGAGAGTTCCCTTCATCTTTGAACCGTCGGGAGGGCTGAGACCAGTGTATAATCCGCCATCGGGGGTATCATAACTGGTCTTCCAGTCACGAGCTTGACGCTCTTCGTCGGAATAGTGGTTGACGAAGAAATTCCACGCAAGCTTCTCATCCTCAGAGGATCGGGCAGAGTAGGCCGGGATGGTGTAGTTGTAGTTTTCACCCTGGTCATCACCAGCCTCGAGAAGAAGAGTCTTGTGGCCAGCCAGCGCAAGACGTGCAGCTAGGGGACCACCACCGGCACCAGAACCAACGACGACATATTCATAATCTGTGATGTTAACCGCCTTGGCCACGCTGGCTGTGGCCGCCAGCAGGCCGACGAAACGGTAAAAAAAACATAATGTTGGTAAGGACTGACTGAAAGAGCGACTGGTTTGTTGAAAAAGGTACCAATCCTTGCTTATATACTGGGGTCGAAGGTTTTCCCCTGAAACAACATAGCTCGCATAATCCCCACGTACTCTGTGCCTTCTGGCCCAACGCCGTTGAAGGCTGTCATGCCGCGGCAGTGGGGTAACTAGCTCGTGAGTTATCCACCCACTTATAGTTTAGACGAAAACGTTTACAGCAACACTGCCCGAACGATCGGCGATAGTTTAATGCCGACTCCACTTATTTCACCTGCCATCCCTGCTCATCATCAAAAGGTTCCACACAATGCATCGGCGGTTTATCCTTTCCAGATTAATCGCGACTAGCAGGGTCCGTTCGTATCCGTCTACCAAGGCAGTCTGAATTAAGTTGTTTCAGGGGCTAATGTGATGGTTCCTTCGTCTTTTCCTCGTACGATTATCTACGAGTATGAAGAGGATCATTAAGCTTGCAGCCTGTCCCTAGTGTACACAAATGCCATTTCCTTGAATGGGGCTCTCAGTCGAATCGTGTCACACGCAGCCTAGCCTCTATAGTTCTCATGATATCTGATCTTCCACAAGGACGGCTTGGTATTTCAAATGCCCCTTGACCGAATGAGCTGAAGTGGCCGAGATAGTTTTTTTGGTTCGACCGTTAGACCCATATTGATTGCCCCAATGATTGAAGCTCCCAATGTGGGTGTAGCGAGACGGCCCGGGATGTTGAACCTTGATACTAGTCCCCACTAGCTTTCTTAGCTCTTTTTACTGCCCATTGACAACCGAGCGGGGGCTCATCACAACCCCGGTGCCTCCGAAAAATGCCCCTCGGGATCTGCATCGTGCAGTTATCTTTGTCCGCTTCGTTTTCTCTTCAGTTGAGTTTCCCGCAAACATAAAGCCAGATTATGAATTCAAACCGAATTATTCAATCCACAAATCCCGTCGAATATTTCTCATCCGAAGCCTGTTACATCACAACAATCACAATGCGCAATGCGCTTAGAGCAATCATACTAGTAATATGGCAAACTCCCAGGGCTGGGCCCGATCAACACGAGCGGTGTGGCGGAACGGTGCCCCGGGCGTGAGCCGGCCCACTGCGCTGCATGCCGTCTCCACGACTTCGAGAGGAATTTTCATGATCAGCAGTATTCCGATCGGATGAAATGCGTACCTTGAGCCGTTCGCCGAGTTGCTCCTCTGTCTATTTTTAAAGTGTACCTCCGTTCTTCCGATCTAGTCATGGCATAACTCCGATTATGAAAATCATTCCAAGACTTCTAGCCACCTTCACCTTGAACATGGTACCTTGGGACCTTGGAATGCCAAGGTTTTGGTGATGTTGAAAATTTTTATTTGATAGGTAGGCAAGATATATATGCCCAGGTGCGCAATGTGAATTATCAATGAAGGTTCAAGGATTAGTATTTTCAAGCAGACCGAGAGTTCGTTAACAAAAGATCAATACAACTCCAGGCAATCAAGGAAGATTTACTACGGAGTAGTGCTAGTACCAATGCATACTCCTGTCATTTCTTCCATCAAACCTTGGCACAACTTAAAGCCCCGGAGATCAGTGTACGCCTCTCAGATGTCGGATAAGTACTGTATCCATTTTCGTCCTAGTGGCTCTTGGTCCCTGCATTTCACGTGATGTAAACAAATGATCGGCGCGCTGTCAGAATTGACCTCACCCCTTTTGTTTTGCGCCATTCCCTTCCTTGAATTGTGGGTTCGATGGCTTTCTTCCAATTTCTCTGGCTTCTTGGTGACCATCGATTCATTGCAACAATAGGGGCATAAAATAATCCGGCGACCCCTCGATCTTGACGCGCCACGTCCGTCAGTGGATGCGGCACGATGTGGGGAAATGAGGTGGAAGTCCGTTGCCACAGCAAATTCTCATTGGTCAATCGCGACGGACTTCAGCCTCCGCGTTGATGAGCATGAACATGGGCGATAGAGAACTGAGTGAGTTGGTGAGTGAGTTAGGTGTTGTGCTCTACGGCTTTTGATGGGATATAAAGAAAACAAATGGTGGAACGAGATGTGAATCATAGGCGAAGAATTAAATCACAACTTACTAGATTGATTATACTATCCTCTCAAAATGGCACCCTCCGCAGTTAATTCGTTGATCAATGAGACTAGCCAGACGACCAAGGATCTACTTCCCTGTCATAAGTCAAACGTGTGGAATTTCGATATTTTCCGACATCTGTTCCCCTCGTCGCTTGCGAAAACCTAACCCACCTCAATGCCTCCTTCCAGCCACCCTCTAATGTCATCATCCACGCCGCCATCAACGATTTCAAGTCCCAAGCCTTACTTTCCCCCCACCCGAAGCATCAGTGGCAACAGAACACCGAAAAGGACCGGCAACTGATCGCCCGGTAGATCAATGCCGATCGCTTCAAATTCGAGAAAGGTGATGATGCCGTCAGCCTATCCGCCCCACCTGAGTCCAAACGGTGATTTTGGACCGGACAGTTCAAATACGCTGGACTGCATGGCCCGCTGCGAGATCTTTTCATACCGTGGGCCAGAAATATGGAAACAGCAAGGGTATGCTGTATTTCTATTTGTTTGGCGATCTCATTCGGTCATATCGAATCCTGCAGAGCAAAAGGGCGTGACAGAATGACATGCTCGGATATGGGGTTGATGTTGAAGCGGCGGGTGCCTCGGCACTAAATATCGACCTATATCACAGTGACTCTCTCCTTTGTCCACATATAACCATCACACACTTTCATCATTTCTCTCATGCCCCGCGATGGAATTTGGTATTTGAACTCCTCAATAAAATATTGACATTATTTGAATCATATCTCTTTGCTTTCCTCAAGCCTATCAGGCTTTTTAGATAGCCTCCGTCTCATCACTCACACATATTTTAACCCACATCGGCATCCCCATACTACGTACTCCGCAGTATTCCCTATATAATAAGTTAATAAGAGGTTATCTATATAAGTGACGACAGGAGTTAAAATGGGTCCTCATAGGGAGTCAAAGGGGTGGAGGAAGGTTAGAAGAAAAACCAACAGATGCCACGGAGAACTCTCACCTCCGGCTCAAGTATGTTTATGGCATTCACTCCTCCTATTTCCTCTCGTTTAGGCTCAGACTTATCACCTTCTCATGCCCCATACTCCCATACTCTTCTCCACTCTCTTCTTGACCTTCTACACTCTTACTCCTGACCTCTCATTTCGATATTGTTTTTCATCCTCTGATTTGCTCACCCACTATTCCGTCATGAACTTTCTCCATTTCGTGGAGGAAAAATCCGCCGAACACAGGTCAAGGCCAATATTCCCAGCAGCAGCACGCGCTGACCTCCCTCTTTGCTCTCGAACCCGACCCAAAAGTCTTGTAAGTTCTTCGTCTCGGTTCGTTCACGCTCATACTGACCATTCTGAAAGAAACCCAGTCGGTCCTCCGTATGAGGAGTATGTATCCGTCACGATCGAACACCAAAAGGCGCTGCCAGGTCAAACTAAAACCGCCAGCCCAAGAATCATCCCCATTGCGAAGCTGGGCTGGCGAAATGTCGCACCAGCCGAATGGGCAGCCCATATCAAAGACCTCCCCTCCCATGTATCCGTGCAAATGCAGACCAGCTACGCCAAATCCGCTGTCAGTGCCCTGATAGCCGCCCCTTCATTACTAGAGCCTCTCCTCGGGCATCATAAACCCTCTTAGGTGACCGGCTTGATGAAATTATCCGAGGAAAGCGCTGCAACTTGGAGTCGGCATTTATCCAAGTTGTTGGGATCATCGAATCCGAGGAATGCATCGGCTGTGCTCAAGGCTGTGGCCCATGGGCAAAGTGAGTCATGTTTTACGACATGACCGGAATGGTGTATGGCTGTGATAACTGCCACTGGAGTAAGAGATACGGAAATAGATCAACGACCCGTTCAATCTGGCCCGCCATCAGCCTGTCTAGGCTTCCCGGTCTTCGTCACTTCGTGCGGTCACTAGACACAAACATTCATGATTTTGCCTCCGTCGTTGCTGTCTGTATCTTTAGTCTTTGAGCTCAATCAATGGACTTATGAATAGATACCCTCGTGTCTAATGTAAGTTTGAAACTCCACAGCGACCTAGCTACCCCAGGGTGGATGCGGCTAGTTATAGCAGGTTAGGTAAGCTCGGCGCGATTCCCCGAGATTTTACCTTCAACCCCCACAAATTGCAGCTCCCAACTTGCTCCCACCCGATTGCAGCATTCTCGCATATCTGGACTACTCAAATATTGGCCGCCGCGGATCTCATCTCCTCTTCCCGATTGTGACTGGTTCCCAGACCGGCAGCATACACGGCTTCGATGCAGCGGCTCGCCGGGGTAAAGCGGGCAATGGCCACTCAGGACAAAACCCCTACCGCGTATGTCGACATAATGATCTCTTTCTAAAGCCATAAAAACAGATTGATTAACAATTCGCAGATGTACGTCTTGCCGTTCAAAGAAGGTGAAATGCTCGGGTACTATTCCCTGTGACTACTGCCAGGATCGGCGACTAGAATGCCGCTCCGCCAGGAAAACCCAGAAGAGATTCTATTCGGTTGAGTAAGCTAGCCCTCTCAATTTTGATTTACCATCATCTACTCGCCAATACTCACACACACTCCTTACAGATATGTCGAGGGACTCGAACGCCGCCTTGAAACATGCGAAAATGCTGGACGACTTCCGGCTTCTGTCCGCTCGGGTAATGCTGTTCAAAGTTTCGTCTATCGCGTAGGCCCTACAGATTCTGATTAAAAATTTAAACAGCGGCATCTGCCAACGCCAATAATGTTTACTTGTTGCCACACGCGTGCTCCGGGGATCCATCACCCAATCGCAATGAGGGAACCAGTGACCCAGCGTGTCTCAGTCCGATGTCAAATCCAAGCGTGGTAATGTCCAATTGCAGCCCAGAATCATCGAGCCCTTCCAGTACGTATCATCGGTCTACAAAATTTTCGGAACGTATTGTGAGCTGAATTGCCGCTTTAGCCATGAGGACGGACACATACATAAACTCCAGCCATATCCCTACATCACGGGTCAGGGAATTTCTCTGGAAGAGGACACCGGTCCATCCCAGTGATTCAATTACTGGGTCGGATAACAGCTCTTTACCGTGTACGACACGTGATTTGATCAAGATCTGGTCCCATCCGCAAGACACCTTTCTGGAAGCCCCAAGCCTTCCTGGTAGAGGCGATGCTGATCACCTTTTGAGATGTGTTAACTTTTACATTGGTCAGACTCAGCACCACTTCGACGTCCGGGAGGTCTCTGATCATCTAGCACTTTTCTTCGATGGTTGCCTGTCCTCTTCTCCCATCCCAAAACTTTGGTACATCAAGTTGGTCTTGATATTTGCTGTTGGGAAGCTTGTCGAAGGCAGATTCGATGATGATACACTACCGGGAGATCGTTACTTCAAGTACGCCCAGGCTCTCCTTCCAAATCTGAGTAAACTTCTTGCGTCAAAAAGACACGGCGTAGAGGTCCTTGGTCTGCTAGCACTATATCTCCAGAATGTTAGCAGAAGTGAAGAAGCCTACTTATATGTAATCCCCCTTGGCCTTTCTCAGTGCGTGTTTAGATTCTAACGTCCCAGTTATAGGTTAATTCAGCGCTGCGGATGGCTATTGCACACGGGTTCCACGTTCATGATCGATTGAAAGAGTATTTACAATCTGAGAAAACCCACCTCAACCGCCTCTGGTGGACAATATACATGCAAGAAAAGTAACTCATCCCTTGTTTTCTACAAAAGCCAATTAACTGACATAATTATGGCTAGACGTTTGGCCGCAGCAACTGGCAATCCATCCAGCATCAACCGGGATACAATCGAGCTCGAGATGCCTACAAATGCGCTCGGCTTTCCTTCCCCGTTCCCGATCTGTCTCAATATTCGAATTGCGCATATCACAGGCCGAGTTCTCCAAAGTAAGTATTGATCCTCTCTATTGCTCGCTCCTCTCTAACTGAAATAGCATTGTATGTACAGAAGCCCGAAAAAGATGGAAATTTGATACATAGTGTTCAGTCTATTATCCAAGAGCTGCATGAGATCTCCGCGGAACTCCCGCTGGACTTTTCAGATGGAAATCACAATCAGACCCCTAAGCAAAACATCAGGGTCTTTGCTTCCATTCATATAAAGCTTTATCAGGTGTGACATATCCAGGTGGTTGCCACAGATACTCCCCGTTCAACCATTTGACCTTTTCGCTGCAAACAGGCTATCCTACTCACCATTCGGCCAATAATGCTCTACGTCGCACGGATTATACTGACAGGAGATGAAACAAGTCGCTCCACTATTTACAGCTCTTCCCTGGGTCGACTATCTCGAACATGTGCAGAAGCAGCGCGCAGGATGCTTTCCATTGTCCTAATGCTGAAGAAGGAAAATATCATTGGTAAATTAACTCGATATCGACCCGGAGATAAGATGATCAAGATTGCTAAACTACATTTCCAGCCATATTCGGATTCTTCGACCTCGATGCAACTTTCTCCAGTGCCTTCATCATGATTCTGACTGCAATATTCAACATCATATGCAAAGATGAACAGGCTATTATTACTTCTCCGGGGCTTGATGAAGCCATTCAGGTCCTGCGCCATCTTTCACATCGTGGAAATCCATTTGCGGGTGAAAAACTGCGAGAGGTTGAGCACATTTGGGCACAGTTACACGTCGACAACAACTTGAACAATGGGCCATTGGCAGGCTCCAATTGGGCGGGTGTCTTCCCGGACACCCAGGAGTCGAACCACCAACAGCCTAGCTCTGTGCCATCGCCGAGGGTTCTTGAAAGGTCGAATGGACCGCAACTGCAGTCCCCGGACTTACGACCCGATCAAGGATCAGCCGTGGGGCATAGCCAAGCATATCCCGCAAGCCATCGCAATTCAAGCGGCGACTCAACTGGTGGTGGCCAAGCTTCGCACCACCAAGGGGATCTGCATAACGATGGCTTTGATGAGTTCCCTATCGGAGATTGGCTTGTCCAGGATACCAATGAACAGTACAATGCGATTTTGGGAAGCCAAGAGTGGGCACTCACTGGGCAGGATTCCATCGACTTTGCTGAATTAGCGACTTATCTTCCCGGGTTTGGAGAATAAGGGATTGCATTTATCTTGTTCATCGGGCAACTCCCTTTCTTTTGAAATTCGCTTAACATATAATTTAGAAGTTTGATCAAATACCAGCGGGAAACTCTTTACCGCGCAAGGAACATACTACTAGTACTTGATTGAATCTGCATCTGAGATATTTACATACAATTGCTATTGACTGCAGGTACTGCTTTCACAGCTCGGACAGCGCCCTGGGATAGGAGTGAAGTATCCTGCTGGACCAGCATAAATTTTACTCCCAGATCATTGATTGCCCACGTATGAATTTCCGGAGAGTCGTATACTCCAGCCAAGCCCATGATTTTCCCTTTCGCCCTACAAGCCTCGCTAACTTTTATGAGCGCATGTCTGTATTTCGGATGATCGAATTGACCTCCCACTCCGAGATCAATAGACAGATCCGTAGACCCAACCAAAACAACATCAACGCCGTCCACAGCTGCAATTTCCAGGACGTTCTCGACGGCATCTGCACTTTCGATCATGACAAATACGGTTGACAAGGATTGATTTGCGAATTTAATAGTGGTCTCTATGGGCATTCCCCGAAGACCGAACTGGGGAAGCTGACCTGTCATTGACCGACAACCTTTGGGTGGATATTTGCATATGCGCACTGCATTCTTGGCATCGTCTGTGTTCATCGAGAATTAGTAAATGTCACATTACGACATAACGAGAAAAAGCGCAGGAATAAGCTTTGAAAACAGCAGTCTGGCACTGTGGCATGTACCTTCCGAATGGATATGAGGGAAAATAATCCCCATCGCGCCTCCATCAAGAACACGCTGAACAAACCCATTGCCACATTGATGAGGCACACGAACAAAGGGCGTTATCCCAGACAAAAGTCCAACGTGGCAAAGGTTACTCACTTGTTCAAGGGAGAGCCAGCCATGCTCCATATCAATGAACAGCGAATCAAAACCAGCATTTTTAGCCGTTATTACCACTTGTCCATTCGCCGAGATTTTGATCCCCAATGCTGTACAGACTTGGTTTGCGCCAGTCTGCACATAAAGTGAATTTGGGCTGGCGTGGTCCATGGCTATCATTCAGAATAAGAGAAAAAAGATATGAAACCACCAATAATTCGAAATCGAGGCCTGGCTTATCTTTCAAAATAGTTAAATAGGGTTATGTACTTCGGCCGCGGGCAGGGTGGGGGCCATTTCGGTTGTTTGTGTCCGAGATATAATCTCAATGCCGAGGGGTCTCGGGGCCCATCCGCCGAAGTGACCCAGCTTCGCCGGCTGCATGATCGACTGAGACCGATTTGTCATTCAATTACTTTTTAGTAAAGAAGGACCAAGGGTTATTGCGTTATCATACCTTACATTCTTCACTATTGACATCGAATATTCGTCTATGAGCCCTGATACATCCACCTAAGCAATGCCCTTCCCACCTGGGCAGGCTGCCCCTTGAAATTGCCCTGCACCTGGGCATCAGAAATATATTGATGCCAATACCAGTAGTCCGTGACCACTTCGTAAACTTTGAATATTCCAAGGATTGAAAATCAAAATTAGCCCTTGGCATTTTACGCATATTCAAAGCTTGGGACTTGGTTTTTTTTTTTTTTTAAAAAAAAAAAAGAATTTCGCATAGCCCGTGACAATATGTGCTCTTTGAGTCTACAGCAATGCAACCATTAATTGATTAACTTAGTACATTTTGTTTTTTCCCTTTACTTTAGCGTTACGGAGGCCCTCGCCGAATTCGGGGGCCTTTGAAGTAGCCGAGTGAGTTCATTTGCGAGTTGTCAGCCGCCCACCAACCCCATTGGAGGGACTCAGCACATAAATTAGCAGAGGTTCCTTTGGATGGGAGGAGTTTTAATTCCGTTTCTACTTGTTGAAATTGACTTGATCAAAAATGTTCTTTAACTCCGTGGAAGCCGGTCCAGCGGACGTCATGTATGGGCTCAAAATTTCAGCCGATGAAGACAAAAGCCCACTGAAAGTAGACTTGGGGGTTGGCGTCTATCGAGACGAGCTTGGAAGTTACAATGAAATGGGTGTTCTTAAAAAGGTATGGTTGGATATAATATTGAAAAAATGAAAGAAAATGTCGTTCTAACTCTTCGATGTTCCAGGCAAAGGACGAGTTACATGCACTTAACCCAGGTCATGACGTGAGAGCCCCCGCATGGAGCAAGGAACGGAAATAACTCGGAAGTTTTCTGACACGAGAGAAATTCAGTACGAAGTGACTACTGGAAACTCCCGGTATTTGGCCAACGCTGCCAAGGTCGCATTCGGCGGCGACTCAAGTGTCTTTGATAGACAAACGGTATGAAATCCATGATCTGCAAATCCAAAGACTATACTTATTAGATGGCAAAGATTGCATCAGTTCAAACGATTTCTGGCACCGGGGCAGTTCATCTTGCACTGCTGTTCCTGTCTCGTTCTCCCGAGGGCACTAGTCGCCAGGTTTATATCGGAACGCCCGCATGGGGGAATTATGTACCGATGTGCAAGCTAGTAGGTCTTGAAACCAAGACCTATGTCCATTACGATCCAGTCACAGGAGGTGTAGACTTTGAATCCGTGATCGACGCCATACGTACAGCCGATGAGGGGAGCGTTTTCATCCTGCAAGGCTGCTGCCACAATCCGACCGCAGCGGACTTCAGCAGGGAGCAGTGGCAAACTCTCGCCGCCGAAATGAACAATCGACATTTACTACCACTCCTTGATATTGCATACCAAGGTCTGGGAGACGGAATTGATGAAGATTCTTATGGCGTTCGTCATCTTGCGCAATTGGGCATTGAAATGATTGTTTGTCAGTCCTTTTCTAAAAACTTCGGTCTTTATGGTGAGCGTACTGGCGCGTGCCATATTGTTTGCGCTTCGGAGACACATGTCCAGCCGGTTCATGATCAGTTCCGCTGCTTGATACGATGGGAGTTCTCTTCCTCGCCAGCATACGGTTCACGTTTAGTCGATCTGGTGCTCTCAGATTCTTCAAAACAAGTAGAGTGGTATGTGACCTCTGTTTATATCTGAAGATCTTCATGCTCTTTAGCTTGGAGACATCTAAACTAAGTCTGTCAGGAATTCCGAGCTACAAACTATTCGGAACCGTCTTCGTTCTATTCGAAAATCATTCTTCCATCTTCTGAACGATGTGCTCAAGGTAAAATACGCATCAAGTTTTGTTTCAGAATAGAATATTTCAACTGATCATTGATTGCAGGTTCCGGGTAACTGGGGCATTATTATGCAAGGGAAGGGTCTTTTTTGGTGAGTGAAGTATCACTCGACCGATCCGAAATTCTCATATTAATATAAAACTAGTCTTTTGCCGCTGTCCCCTGGGCAATGCAAGGTTCTGCAGGAAAGACACCACATCTATATCGTCCCTAATGGCCGGATCACTTTATCAGGTCTTTCTAATAGCAACATAGAGTATGTAGCGCGGTGTATCAGCCAGGTTGTTCAAGAAAGCCCATGATATTGATAGAACAAAATAATCTCAAGCATTACATGGTAGCTAGACTAATCATAATTCTGAGTAAAATATCAAATTTCCATTCTAGAATATATCACAATTCGTAATACTATATCGTAGGCCAGTTCTGGAGTACCAATTGCGCGCATTGTCATAAATCAATGAAAGGGCCTGAAGCATTTGTTCTTTTACAAATAATCATGAATATCCTCTCTCGGTTGCTGTGAGATTTATAACGGAAATTATTTAGAAGTTGGCTTTTTTTGGATCTGGTCAAATATTGAATATGGGACAAACTGGTAACTATGCGCGAAGAATCAAGGCGCCAGAATCAGCAAGTTTTTCAAACCCCTGGGCCTGCCAAGAGCTCTCGGTGGCCGTTCGGTTATCTCAAGCTGCCATCGGAGGGTACTCCCCGAAGCTATTTGGGGCTCCTTCGCCCCTATCTCCTCTGGCCTTATCAGCCAGAATGCGGGGTCTGGGGTTGGCGGGAGGTTTCGGGGCCAATACACCGAAACCTCAAGGTTTTGTAGCGGGTACTAGTAGATTAAGGGAAATAAACTACAATTAGAAATGGCGGTTCATGCCCCCCTCGACATTTTCTTCTGTCAGTTTCACAGCCTCTTTCCCACTTGATACGACATGACTGAGGACAAGATTGAACTACAACTAGAACCGGGCTCTGAAAATGCCGGGAGTTATGAAATGGGCGATGCTGAGGAAGTTAATGAGCTGCGCCGTGATTTGCGACCCAGTCATGTTTTCATGTTCTCAATCGCATGCTCCATCGGAACAGGTCTTGTCATCGGGTCCGGGCAGGCCTTAGCCAGGGGCGGCCCTGGCGGCGCTCTGCTCGGATATATTACCATCGGCTCGGTGGTCTTTTCGGTCATGACGGCCCTTGGTGAAATGGCAGCTTTTCTCCCCATGAACAAAGGATTTGGTGGATATGCCACTCGCATGGTTGATCCGGCCTTGGGGTAAGTTCAACTTCAAATTTATTATATCCACTTGCCGATCCCAGAGAGCTAATTCCAAATACAGTTTTGCTACCGGCTGGAACTACTTTTTCAAATATATCATCGCAGCTCCCACGAATCTCACCGCTGCTGGGCTTGTCATTGAGTACTGGAGACCCGACTTGAACGTGGCGATCTGGATTTCAGTGTTTGGTGTTATTGTAGTCACTGTCAATGTCAGTAAGCCCAACGGCTTTTGAGATGAGAAATGTTACTAACGATCAACATTCAGCTCTTCAACGTTCGGGTTTTCGGAGAGATTGAGTTCTGGGCTGGAGGGATCAAGGTCTGTATCATGATAATTCTTATTCTGACCTGCTTTATTATTGCTGTTGGCGGAGGACCGAATCACAATACATCCGGATTTGGGTATTGGAACAGTCCTGGTGCATTTGCAGAATATCTTCTGACCGGCCCAAAAGGTCGACTTCTGGGTTGGTGGGCGTGTATGCGTCAAGCATGCTTTGCATTCACTGGGACTGAGGTTGTCGGTATAACATTTGGAGAGATGCCGGATCCTCGGAAAAATGTCCCTCGTGCTGTCAAGCAGACCTTTTGGAGAATCTTTTCCTTCTATATTCTTGGGATCCTCGTGCTTGGAATGGCTCTTCCTTACGACAGCAGTGATCTCCTCAGTGCAACCACAAGTTCAACCAATGCTGGTAAGAAGGCTTGCATTATCTAAAAATTATATTTTTTCTAATCTCTAGCAGATGCAAGTCCGTTCGTTGTTGCTATCCGAAATGCTGGTATCAAAGTTTTGCCTGATTTTACCAACGCGTCTCTTTTGGTTTTCACATTGAGCGCAGCAAGTTCAGGTGTGCCTACAGTCCCTCTTTGAAGCTCATATAGTAATACTGATCAAGACAAAGATATCTACTGCGCATCTCGATCACTCTACGGACTTGCCCGCGACCGACAAGCCCCCGCTATATTTTCAAAAACAGTCGGAAAGGGAATTCCGATATTTGCAACCTCCATCTCAGCTGCCTTCATTGCACTTGGCTTCATGAATGCAAGCAAGTCATCCTCGTCGGTTTTCGACGACCTCGTATCTTTAGTCACGGTTTTTGCAGCCTTGAACTGGCTGGCCATCTTGGTATCCCATGTGGGCTTTCGCCGAGGACTTGCTCGACAAAATATCGCAGTGTCCGAGCTTCCATATGTCGGGTTTTTGCAGCCATATGCGAGCTACTATGCTCTCGCTGTTACGATGACTGTCCTTTTCTTTAATGGTGAGTAGGCTACCCCCAGGCGAGCAATTTGTCTACTAACGAAAACCTAGGTTATAACGCATTCATCCCTCACTTCAAGATAGAAATTTTCATTCTGAGCTACCTTGGGATACTTCTGTTTATTCTTAATATCTTCGGGTGGAAATTCTGGAAAAAGACAAAGCGCGTGCGCGGATCAACAATGGACCTGACTACAGGTCGTAGAGATAATTAGAGAGTTTGGATATCATCTTTTTTTGACTTTCATATGTGTCTATCAGGACTATATTCAAAATATGTGTAAATGAACTTTGGGAATTAAAGTTGGCCCATATTTTTCACTAGAGTCACAAATACAAAGTGGAATTTACAGCTTGCAATTCGCAGGGCCGCAGGGCCACTCTGCCAACATTATGGGGTTACTACTAATTACTAGTAATCACGGGCAAAAAGGCATATATACACAGAAATAGACAAAGGGTTCAGGGGTAGTGTAAGAAAATATAGCGCAATTAATACACGAACTTATAACCTACCCCTGCGAGCCTTTCTACTCATAATTACTAATAATTACTAGGAGTCCCGTAATGTTGGCTCTGCGGCCCTGCGACCCTACGAGCTGCGCGCCGTACAAAGGTCGTGGATGAGGAGAGAGGGGATGATGATTCTATTTCCTAGCCCCGAAGTGCTCTAATAAATATCACCAAGTCCCGCATAGAACCGATAGCCTTATACAAAGATAGCACAAAGCAAAAGACGAAGACGGACAATGATCGTGGAGTACAACTGGTTTTATTGGCCGAGAAAACGCATGGACATGTGCATAGCCACCCAATTGTGGTTGATCGGCACTCACAGGGGTTTCGAGAGTAATCGCCTACATTGTCATGGTGACCTCTTCTACCACCCCGCCTTCCACCATAGCTGACTCCTATTCTGAGATGGAGAACGGCATATCTCCAAAGCCTGCGCCTCCATGCAAGCCAAAAAGCCAGTAGAAAGGAACCCAGTATTTTGCGCGCTTGGCCCAGAAATCATGTTTGTCGACATCCTCGCCGACGGTGAATTTGGGTAGTTGATAAGACTGGCGGCTCCTATTAGAAAAACTGTATAGCGTCGATATGAGATCCCATCTGGTACCTTTGGGATCAAACTATGTACCTTTTTCTTCACTTGTCGATTCCTGATGAGGGATATTTTCAGAGGGCCAATTGACTGTCTGTGGCGGGCGCAGTGAAATTTTCATATGATGATAAGTATTTGAGCATGCTTATGAAGTGAGGTCTGTAGAGGTTCTGCGGATAGTCCGCAGCAGAGAGGAAATTGAAAGGTGTTCAAGTGAAAATAAAGCGATGTTGAAGATGGGGAGGGGATATATGTTAGAGCTGACTTGACGAGGTGAGTGATTGTAGGAGTGCCGGAAGGTAGCTGGTGAACGAGAAGATTATTAGTACTAGTATCCAGAGAAATACTTAGGACTTGTCTTCATTAATCTGGATCTCTGAAAGACATAGGACCGGAGGTAAGAGATCATTCTGGATGACTACTTATGGGACTGCTAAGAATGAGTAGAGATATGTCTATTTGATTTAAACTGAGACTATAGGGCTAACGTGTAATGGGATGTGGCAGAAACAGAAAAAGTGTCTCGCCCTTTTCTAGACAGACAGGGCGCTTTCTTCACTACTGCATGGAATTCTCGAGTTCGATCATGCGGTCGCGGATGTTGGTAAATCGGCCCACGATTTGGCTGCGGTCCATAGGCTTGGGGAGAAGCCGGCGAAGCGCTTGGAGGCACTGAGTGTCGTCAAGCTGGCGATCGTGGAGAAGGGCATGGATGTCCCGGAACTTTGCTTCGATCTCCTGCATCTCCTCGCGAGCTATCGCGAGGGTAGCTTGCATTTCGGCGCTAATTCCAGCGAGAGTGTCGGCAAATGCGGTGCTTTGGCGTTGCGCTTCAGCAGGTCGTCGTCTCCGGTTGGCTGGCTGGGGCTGGGGCTAGTCGGCGGGCGCGTGGTGAAAGTCGCACTGAATATCGTTCTTGGACCAACGACAATTGCCGCAGGCTGTAAGACTTTTCACACCACGTACCTCGAGGCACTTTGCTCAGGGGCCATGATCATTCTCACAGGCCTTGCATTCCAAATGTGGCTCGGTCCCAACAATCTGAATCATTGCTGATTCTTCATTGGCCAGTTTTTTCCCAATGGCTTGAATCAGGTCATCCGGAGCCGAATATTTCTTTGATCGGAGCAGTGGGCCTCGCAGCATGGTTCGATGGTGCATCTCTTCGATGGCTTTTGATTTGTATCTTTCATTCTCCATGGCAACGTTGAAAGGCAGTTGCATAGTGAGAGCGGCCATTTCCCCTGGAGCGACATCACCTTGTCCAGCTTGGGCAACATGGGCAGCGGGGATAGTCATCGAGCTGCCATAAGCCTCATTCTCAACCTCGGAAGGATTGCTTTTCGTTGGATCAGCATTGGGATGAAACTTCAAGTTGGGATGAATCAGTACTCACAACGCCGGGAGTCTAAAGGAAGTAGGGTTAGGGGCACGGTTTTCCGCCATTGTATAGGTTTGTAATTGGTGATGAGAGAAGAAAGCCAAGAAGGTGAAGGATTCCTAGGAATGAAAATGAAGAAAGCCATCGCTCCTGCCTTGCTCAGTCTGTATCGAATTCGGCGTAGTTGCCTGGAGCCAACAATAGTCTAACAACGCAATTGGAGTTCCGTTGTACCTCCCTTCCTCTTCCTCTTCCTCTTCCTCAGCTAGACGCTTTGGTGCTGGTCAAGAATAAGCAGGTGTGTATCGACTATACACAGGCTTATCGATTCTGGTGATATGCCGGATCATGATGATCTCGCCCCAAATTCGGAGACATCTATATATTTTGACCACTCTTTCCTGGCGACTATCGCAACTAGTATAGTTCCAAGCTTCTCAGAATCCAAAATTAGCATGGCCCTGCTTTGGAACAGATTAGCGTTGTTTATAGCCATGTAAGTGTCCCCAAACTTGAACTTCGCACACCCGCGTCTTACAATGTCGACAGACCGAATGACGATGCCCCCACTGGGCCTACCAATAGCGTCAAGCCTCCATCACCCCCAAGGATATTCGGCCAGAGAGGGTGTCCGGGAAGATATTCCGCAACCCATCGACGTTCTACGTACTCCCTTTGCTTCACCGACACGTTCGCTTCACCAAGTCAGCCCAGCATTGCCCAGCACGTCTTCGCCCTCCGTGAGATCAGCCACGTCTACACGTTCAGGTAGATCAACCAGGTCTATACCTAGGTACGTTCACGTGGATCCAACAGCACATTATGTTCCGGCGATTTCCCAGAATCGGTCAAAGCAGCAACGAGGTCTCTTGCCGGAGACCTTTGTTGGATATGCCGGTCTCCGCTGACGCAGGTTTGTCATGTACTGGCATTAAGGATACCCAAGTATGATATACTTCTGTCGGGTAGGAAAATATACTGAACCGTCTCTATAGGCCGAAATTTGGCAGCGGTGCAATCTCGTTGACTTGGATCTCCGATCGACAGCAAATTCTGTTTGCTTATGTCCATTCTGCCACCTGGAGTTCGATCGTTCCACCGACCCATCACTCTTTTTCATTCCAACAGATTTAACGTTCTTCATCAATTTCGGAACAAACTATCAACGCCAGCGACTCCCGGCAGGGGTCGAGGGTCCGTCTCTCCCAAGATCCCCAACGTCAGAACAATACAAGGATTCACCACTACAGTTGCTTGGTGAACATCCCATCGGCGGTTTATACCAAACAAATTTTCTTGCTCTGTATCTTCTTCTCATCCCACCTGACAAAGTTTTCCGTGCCCCCGAGATGTCACAAGTATACACTGCGCCCCGCCAATGGTACGGGGTCCTCATCGGGGCTATCCGCCGAGCGTTTGCAGCGCTGCGGAGCGCGAGAATATTCCTTATTGACTCATCTGTACGACGTCAGCTGCATGACTTGTATGATCTTTATTCCAGCCAAAGCTTCGCAAGCCTTTCTACGTCCAAGCCAGACGTCAATAGCCAAGACCAGCCAACAAACCAGAACCGATGAAGGTCAGATCATCATATGACCACTCTAGAGCAAGCAAGGATGTTCGAGGGACGTAATCAATATACAAACTGGGTCTTTGGCCCAGAGGGAACGTCAAAGAAGGCTATAGCACGATTCACCCCTCTCCTTGTTCCTGACAATTGTCGTTCGATGTATTAAGATGTTACGTGGCTTCCCTGTCTTTCGTCATATTGAGACATTTGCTTGGCTAACCTATCTTTTATCATGTTGAGATGTCGCTTGAGTCGTGCAATGCGATACCCTTTGCCCCTTTCGCACTCGAACGGCGAAACCTGTCTCTGGTTAGATCGGAATCGTTGGCACCGAAGAATACTATCGCTTTCTGATCATGCGCCGTATTCTTTGTCACTAAATACAAATCCTTCTCGTTTGCAAATTTTGCTGAGGCCTGAATGTCATCTATATTTTGGGCACCAACTGAATAACTTGAATATGGTAATATTAATAGAGTTGGTAATGAAGTAGTATTCTCTGCAAGCTACTACATCGGGGCTGCGACATCCAGCATTTCTATCATCACTGTGGTTCCTCTTGGCCATGTTGCGACCAAAGTTCATGAACCTGTCCCATTCCTTGTACCGGCTGGATCCATGGATGCGGCCGCCCATGGCCTCAACAACACCGCTGTCCGCAAAAAAAATTGGATAAGTAGAGCCAAAAGAGATAGTATCACATCTAAGCTTGATACCGGATCCCGAGTCATGTCTCTTCATATTGTTTTGTGGGTAGAGCTGCTGTAAGGCGATGTCTTTAACTCTTCCCCCAAGAAAGACACAGAGACTTGGATGTTGGTAGCTCGGGTTTGGTAGTTCCTTGACTAATGCTCTCAACCGGCCATGATCTCGTATAGAGCATCTTAGGTTGTGACAGGTGCTTATATCAAGCCAGCCAGCGCGGTCTGTTTGTCGCATCGCGGTTTTGTAGACATCATGAGCAAATTCCACCAACCCAGTATTTACAACCAGGTTTATCTTGCATTTATAGTACTTCAGGTCCATCGTGCAGTCACAGGTCTACCCCGCTTGATACAAGATGGCTGGGCCCCATGGGGGCTTCCCATTTGGAAGCTTACGCCAGAGAGATCTCACTAACCCTGCATAATTCCCCGGTTTGGGTGGGATGGAGAAGGGGCTGTCGAGCGAGACTCGTAGGTGATCATGCCTTTACTGTAGCCAGAAATGTTCTAATTGGGAAATTCCTCTATAAAATTTATGGCATAATCTAACAACCCACCACATTTGAGCAAGGGAATAAATGGCGCTCGCTATGACTACTCCACAGTGATTGTAGATGCATGTGGCACTGAAAATATTGGGCCAAGCGCGTGGATTCAGGTAGATCGAACTGGCCTGGTCACCTTTGTTAATCAGAATGGTGATGAATCAGCGTGCACTCTCGAAAATTCATTCAAGGTTGGCAGTTCGTGCACGGCATCTGACTTAAGACATGGGCCTTCCACCAGCACTTTCACCTGCACTTCCACCAGCACTTCAATCAGCATCTCAGTCACTTCGATGTTTGTGTCGATGCCGCCACCGACCACTTCGTCCTTGCCAGACCCAACATCGACTTGCACATGTCTTGGCTAGTTAACACGGCCCAGCACGCGGAATAATGTAGGAGCCACTTCTGACATATGGCCTGTTGGAAGATCGCCAGTCCTTTTGCTTGCCCGTCTTTGCAGTAACTCACCTGTAGTTCTTACCTTGTCCACTTTGCTCAATTAACTTTTCGTCACTCCCGTATCTCATGGCTTTCTATCATAGTTGGAATCTACAGACCTTTCCAGTACACCTTTGCACAGCTTGCCCTTTTGATCAAATTTCTAATACTGTTACACTTGGAGACTGCGGAATGGCCCAAAATGACTGGGGCATCGAAATCGGCCTTGCAGGCCCCTGGTTATGCCAAGATGTATGTATGGCTTGTCTTATCAGTAGCCGATCGACGTCATGCGTTTGGTGTACAAAGGTGACTAGTTCCAGCATAGAACGGGATTGGCTAACTAAATTTGAAATCGCACTTGGGTGGCTTAGGTTACCTGCAATCGTTTTGGGCAGATCCCTGCTAGCGACGCGACTACTGAGTGGGTGATTTTCGTGCTCAGGATGGAACGGCGAGTCATACTGAACTAAGTGACGACGAGTCTCATCCAATACTCGGAGCTGGTAGAATTTTATAATCGATCCACTATACTGTCACCCGCACTCCACCGGATACAAAGTACCGCGCCGTGCCGTGTTTCCGCGACCACCAAGTATCTAAGTCTGCAATCAAATATAGTTCACTTGTTTATTAGTAGCAAGCATCTGAGGACACTGTCCGAGCCAACCAGAGCCGCTGTCTTGACACTGTTGGATAATGGTGTAGCTTCCGGCGTTAGTAGAACGTCTAATCGACAATAGGGGGGCCGGACGGATTTATTACCGGCATCACATGATAGGTCGATCATGCAGGAACCCTTGCTAGCCCCTCAAAATAACGATTTCAAATACTCGATCAAGAGGACGTTTTGTGAAAACCGTATTGAAATGGTAATACAACCAAAACCAGCAATCGGCTAGTGGCACAGTTCCTCGTTCTAATATTACTCGATTGCGCTAACTCAAGCACAGTCAATTCACTTAAAGGGGAATTTCCCAGCGTCACAATTGCTGGCATACGCTATCGCTCCTCCTGGTTCCTATCCATTGTTTCTAGAACTCTGAGATATTGTTCGCCATTATACAAAACAAATCACCCGGGCTGGCCGTAGCATAGAACCGAGCCTATTAAATCACATTCTTAGTATCCGTGCTAGGCCCTCGAACACCCCCACACTCGGCCGAAGTCTGGCTTCCGCGAGAGGATCTAGGGTGAGGAGGCTCGTGCTCCTCGAACTGTGTTCTGAATTCTGTTGTCACGATGATGTCTGTATCATTCAGAATCTGACCTTTGCTGTCACTTGAAATCCTCCTATCTGGAAGTTCCACCCACTCCAACTCATCCGCTCCGGGCCTGAGCGTTTTGCGGTCTCTCTGATAGTTTGAGTGGCTAATAACATGTGACTGATTCCTACCATAAGTGGCGTAGGCACTGGGCCTCTGATCATTGTGGCGGTATGAATTTTCCTTGTTGGTGAAGCCGAGATGTTGAAGGACCCATTCCATTAAAGGTCTAATAGGCGGAACGCAGCCGACGACGATCACAATCCAAGCTTCGGTTGAAGCCCAAATGAGAAGCCGGGACAGAGCGTCTAGTGGAGGGAAATTCATGCGTTAGTACTGCAGATAGAGAGTAAAGGTCGAGATGTAGTTACGCACAAGTGACATCCTTGGTCTTGGTCAGAGTCCTTAATTCGTAGCATTTGAACGCGGAGCACACTGCAGCTCTGTTCTCCGGGATCGTTTTGGTCAGCCCTGGCAGTTTTATGTTAGGGTTCATCAAAGCAGAAGGAGCACGCACATCCATCCTAGACCCATGAGAGTAGAGAGTGCGACTTTGATTCGCCACTTCATCTGAAGACTCCAGAACAGATGGACCGGGTATGTAGCCAACGCAGCGTCGCAGAAAACGTTGAAACCTGAACGAAAATTGAGCCTCACATGTTCGGCTATTGGGAGGGGGATCAACTGACTAGCTTGAAAAAATGAATAGTTCTGGTTCACCTTGCGTCCTGGATTGCATGTCCCTGGAAGATCATCATTCCACAATTTCTCCATAGGGGAACACTGGCCAAGAATTGTTCCCATCACAGTGATGTTGATCGAAAATATCAGCAAACCAAGTATAATCAATAGCCATGGTTTGGAAAAATGCCGGCCGCGAAGCTGCATCAGAAATGCCAGGATTGCTAGCTTACCGAGCATACTTGCGGCAATAGCTAGCAGTTGAAACACCCAACCCCATTTCAATGCTTCGACTAAATTCGCTTCTGATAACTCCGCAGCGTGGTCGCCCATGCCTGCGTTGACTGACAGTTGAAGAAAGATCTGGGCGACGGCCTCGGTTGCCTGCATTCAAGAAGTGGGTTTTTAGCATGGATCCGAAAACCAACTAATTCCTTTCTTCTCCTTCATGCCGCGAGAAGAGTTGTCAATAGTCGGGTTCTGGAGGCACTCACCACCGCTAGCGTTGCGATCCAAAAATCCCATCGAAAGCGGCCGGTAAACTTCCAGCTGCTCAAAAAGCGCAGCGTCAGAAATATCAGACCGACACATGTCTCTGCCCATGTAACCACTAAAACGGCCACTGACAACCCAGCTGGCATCTTGAATAGAGGACGGTACACCTTCGGAAGCTGTCTCCAGGCTTTCTCCAAATCCACGCTCAAATAACGATGAAGTCTAAAGCAGGGGGAAAGCGAGGACAAGAGATGAGCTTCGTGTATTTGATTTTAGTGGATGCTGACTCGCATATTCTTTTTTTTCAAGTTTTTGGGTCGAGGAGCTATGTCCAGGGTTGTGTGCCATCCATCTGGGCTGGCTGGATTGATCCGGCCCTGGCTGTACATCAACTTTGTGTCCAGGAGTCTACATTGTGACCACACACCAGGAACCACGGAAGCATACGCAAATAGGACTTGCAGGCCATGCCAGTCACAAAGGCGCATTTGATTCCACGAATTGCTATGTTGAAAGGCCGGCTAACCTAGACTTTTTTTACGGGGTCTTTCGGAGCCGAAGCGGAGTGCGTCTTTTTTCCCACTGCTCCGAGAACAATGCCCCTGTTCCTTTAGTAAAACCTTCTCTGGATTGAAACAGGGATGCTGGCCAATTGTGGATTCTCACCCTTTTTGCGCTCTTTCCACAGCGCCCACGGCGAACTTGATAGACTTCCCAGACAAGAGACCAAATGCCCCCTCCTAGCTGTTCAAAAGTAGTTGACCGTGAACGCCAGCCAGCGGGCACACCCCTGAGAATCCATTGGCTAAAAATTATGCTTTTTCTGTTTTATATTATTTCAGTACTTAATCCGAAACCTTAAATTTACGCTTCTGGTATGGCTGGCAAGATTTCGGCGCAGCTATTGAACAGCGGTAGTTTGAGTTTTAAGTAGTCAATTTTCCTGAGCTGATGACGCGGCTCCACCAGGGTGCAAGGATCTACGGTGGACCAAAAATATACAAGAGAGGCGAAAAGGCAATCCTTTCAATTTTCAAGGACCCAGACTTGGCCGACGGCCACGGGAGCTTGAATTAGCGCCTAGAATAACCCCGAAGTATAGAACAGATGGCCTCAATTAGGGACTAGTCAACTAGTGTCCACCATTCAATCTGGCGAGGCTGCATCCCAATAACCCTTTACCCCACATCGGCATTCAGCCTCCGCTGTACATTGACGCGTTCCCATCTCCTGTCATCTCGCAAAATGACATGATTGGTGTCGAGCGTGCGCCTAACGGATTACTGCAGGCCGGTGGCTTCGAACAAGTTCGCACGGTGAATCCACGTTCGAATCTGCTTGCCACGGTAGTAGAAGGGGATGTAGATTAGGTAGATAGCCACATTGATAGCAGCGACTGTCATGAATACGGATAGAGCACCGCTTGCAGTGAGGAAGTCGTTAATCACCCACGTCCAGATCCAAGCGATTGCGCTTTTGAGTGCGGCGATGGTCACCATGATCTCGACCGAGAGCTGCCGTTCGCGAATAAAGTTAGCCCAAAGGATTTTTCTTCCATGTTCTAAACAACCAAGGATGGAAATCAAGAGAAAACAGAATTCTGAATATGAACACATACCCCCTGGTGGCAGTCGAGGGCGTAGTTCATTCCGAGCGTGGTGCCCATTTGGCTGCCCACTGACAGGATACCAGCACCGACGACCGGCATAGTCCAGTGCATCTGATGCTCGTAAGACAAACCAAACCACAGAGCACCGAAGAAGGTAAAGAATGCTGCGACTAAGCAGGTCGGCAGGCGCATTTCAGGCTCACGAATACCATGGTTGCGCTTCGTAAAGAAATTGGCAATCCAGTCCCCACAAGGCCCAGAGAAGTACACTCCAAACAACGAGCCAATGAAGGGGGACAAGAAAAAGAGTCCCTGAGCTTTGGAGTCAAACCCATAGGGTGCAGGTGAGAACAGTTGAGCCACGGTAGCGCCGAGAATTACGTTCCAACTCAGGGCTAGACCGTACACAAAGCATGACCACACCACGGTGGGATAAGCGAGAAGAACAAATGGGCGTAAAAAGACATGGAGCAGGTTCACGCCCGGCTCACCCTTGCTCCAGAACTGGAGTTCTTGTAACCACGTTCCCTTAGGCACCGCCTGGGGTACCTTGCTCACCGAGACACTCTTCTTCTCATTGACAGCGGTTGCACCGGGGGATTGATCGGAACCGGGCCGAGTAAACCTATTTGATAGGACCTGCGGGCGGGTTCCGATAAATTTGGTTTCTGGCATGAAGACAAAGATCGAGATGAAGTTCGCGGCAATGAATATCGTCACGATCCAAAAGGCCCAGTCCATGCCTAATGCCTGGACAATCAACCCGGAAAACATAGGGCCGAGTTCGTTGCCACCGAGCACTGCCAATCCATACATCGAGACTAGCTCTCCGCGGTTATGTAGGAAGAATATATCCGTGATGGTAGAGGGCACGATCGACTCGATTGGAGCTTCCCATGCACCTAGGAAGGCACGACCCACGATGAACACCGTGTAGTTTTGATTAGAAGCCACTGCTAGCCAGATACAACCCATGATCATCAGAAAACTCGACGCCAAATATACCGGGCGTCGACCGTATTTCACAGCGAAGGGCATCCAGACTATGTTCCACACGCCCTGGTTGATCAGTGTAGCACCGTTCGCGTAGGTCAGGACCTGCAAGGGCTTGCCGAACGTCTGAGCCAGCTGGTTCATGCCTGTATCATTTTCATGGTAAGTGCTGTGCCTTCGCATGGTTTTCGAGGGCAATATATTGATATACCTGCAGCCATGATGGGGCCAGTGATAGCCCCCATAAACGCATACCAGCAGCCATTGAAGAAGATCACGCTCTTCTTCATCGTCGTCCAGTTCAACGGGTCATTTGGGTCATTGGTCGACGGCTGGGGAACAAGCAGGACGCGCGAGTCGCCCTTAGTCCGATGCTTCAATTGAGATACGTCAACGAGGACGCCGGTGTTAGAGCCCTCATCGAAGAGGATTTCTGTTCCAGGCACAGCGCGGAAGTGCGCGGCAACGTCTTCGTACGACTCATGCGACATGAGGGGCAGTGATCGGGAATGTGTGATGGGAGATGTCGAGGATCTATGAGAAAGAAGACGGACTACTAGAAAATAAAAGGTAAAAGGTAGCGGGACAATTTGCTGGTGTTAGTGAACGGCTGTACAATTTATAATCGGAAATTAAGCCCAAACGCATTGTGAGAACAATCAAGGAAGGACAATGTCTTGGGTAGCTTCCAGAGAGACTCAGTCGTCCAGGGGCCGTCGCATCAAGGGACATGTGCGTGGCGCAAACGGTCTGGCGAAATCGCCCACAAGCGCTAAATTCTTAGGGTGCTTTAGTGCATAGTCACAAAAGCCAGCTTAGGTCTCCACTTGCAGGGCGAGACCATGAGCGGTTTCCAGGGGTGAATTACGGCAGGAATCTGGGGAGGCATTATATCCCAAGACTTACTCTCGTACCCCACGAAACCACTGTCGGTCAACAAACTTTCAATGGCACCATCAGAGGACTTTGTGTCTCATGCAGCGGCTGCCCTACCCGAGTCAGTTCCCGTCATGATCGTTGGCGGTGGACCGAGCGGCCTCTTGCAAGCATTGCTTCTCTCTCGCCTGGGAGGTAAGTTTGGCCACCTCTTTGTGTCGAGATGGAAGAAAATATGACGAAACGACATTTTCTCGTACTAACCTCCTCCTTCCCAATAGTTCGATCTTTGATCATAGAGCGTTATTTAGATCGTCTGACGGTACCCAAGGCCCACGCAATTAGTCCGCGCTCGCTAGAGATTCTACGCCAATTCAGGCTGGGCGAGGAGCATGTTCGAAAGCTGGGAACGTCACGTAAAGACGGATATTGGGTCAATTTTGTCACCAATCTCAGCGGTGATGCCGTCGGAAGGTTGCCTTATGAGCGCATGGATCCTGCCGTGCTAGATGACACACCGGAGGTAAACCAGGGCCAGTTCCATAACGAGGCAGACAATCCAGGCTGACAGCAGTGGACAGATGATCCACAATATTCCTCAACCAGCGCTTGAACAAGAGCTAACAAACTACATTTTACAAGACTCAAATATTGCCTTGTTCAAAGGTTTCAGTATTCACGGGATAGAGCAGGTATATACGGACGGCTCAGAGCCTACATTACCAGTCAAGCTAGCGGGCTAACTGTGTAACCTCTTAGATCGACAATCATGTTCTAGCTACCGTTCAGGAACGCTCAACGGGACGCCTACACTCTGTTTGGGCTCGACATCTTGTGGCATGCGATGGCCGTAAGAGCAGAGTCCGTGAAATCATGGGGATTCCTTCCGAAGGCGAGGTATCTGACGAGACTATGATGACTATCCACTTCAATGCCAATCTACGATCCGTAGTGGGTGATCGCGCGGGCATGCTATTCTGGATTATGGACCCAACCGGAGCGGGATTTATTATTGGCTATGACCTCGACGGCACGCAGGTTCACATCAGTCAAGTAGATGCGACCAAGCAGCCCATTGATTCCTGGACCGACGACTTATGTCAGGCCAAGATCCGTGCTGCTATTGGACAGGATATTCCTTTTGATATCCTTAGCGTTCGACCCTGGGTGTTCCGACGTCAGATCGCGCAGACTTTTCAAAGAGGCAATATATTTCTGTGAGTGTTTCGCTTACAAAAGGCCCGCTCGATTCTATCTCCTGACTTTCCATCTTCAGTGTCGGCGATGCCGCCCATTCATTCCCGCCAACGGGAGGACTAGGGTTGAACTGTGGTATAGCAGACGCCCATAACTTGGCCTATAAACTTGCTTTCGTTCACCATAATGTGGCTAATCCATCCATTCTCTCCACATATACGGAGGAGCGTAGAAGCGTGGCTGATATCTATTCGCGGCAAAGTGTCAAGAACGGTCAGCAGATATTCGCTCTTTTGCGCAGCGTCAACACAGCAGGGATCGACAACCCTGACCAGGCACGCCGCAACATGATGGCTGCACTGGCAAACCCGTTGCAGCGAACGAAAGTCAACGAGAGCATTGAAGGGCAGAGAGAGCACTTTGATAATGTAAGTGAATTGGGGCTATGGTGACAACGAGCAAAATTTGTTAAATACTATTAGCTTGGGCTGCATATTGGCTATGTATATGGAGCTATTAAACCACCTCCTCATGCCTCATACTACTCGCCCCAGTTCATTCCTGGGGCCCGCCTGCCACATGATTGGATCTCGTTTCCCAGTCAGCTTTCAAAGGCTAGTCAATCTGCACGGTCTTCACTGCCTTCTGCACCAATCGATGTGTCATATGTGATCGAACTGGATGAGAAACAAATTGAAGAACGTCGATGGAGTACATTAGATCTCTGTGCACCTGATGCCTTCACTCTCATTCTCAGCGCCAGAGATATCACCCTTCGTTCTGATACAGCGAAGATCCGAAAATACTGTGAACCTAAGAATCTAAGTCTGAATATCTGGAACCTCGGTTTAGATTTTGGGGTAATAAGGCAGAACTGTTTTTCGATGAAGTTAAATGAGACCGGCGGAATTCTCGTTCGGCCCGATCAACATATCATGATGATGATTGATGCCACCACGACAGGGAAGAAAGTGATTTCGACAATTGACAGTCATCTTGGAGAACAATAGAGAGATTCGGAAGTTATTATACAATGGATACGACATTATTCTCTCTTTTTAATAGGTTTCAATGGTTTGTGTACTTCCAATTCGGGTTAATAAACCGATCAGCCGTTAGACACGTCTCGACGTAAAGGTGGAGTATCCGCTCTGAATGTTGAATATGTCAGCTTTATTGGGGATCTTGTCGGGGAGCTTGTTCGTCATGAAATTTCCCAGGACAGCATACTTGTCCTCTCATACTACAATGACGAGCGTGCGGTGCTACAAAACTTGTTCGAAAGTCTAGGCTATGGAGCAGTTCGCGTAAGGAGTGTGGATTCGGCCCAAGGGTCAGAAAGTTCGATTGTGATCCTATCTACAACTCGACCTAGCGGTAATCTTGGACTAGGATTCTTTACAGACCTTCGCAGGGCCTGTGTGGCCCTGAGCCGAGCCCGGGACTCCTTGATCGTTGTTGGACATTCAGAAATGGCCAAGCAACCTTACGGAGCTCCACAGAGCCGAGGCTTCAAGATATGGGAAGACCTGGTGCAGTATCATACTGCGAAGGGAACCCTACGCACTGTCTGGAAAGATGGCGAATGGGATGATCTTCTCAGGAAGAAATTGAATATCTCCGTGACCAATCCTGACTACGTGAGATTTTCCCGATAGACTGATCGATGCATTCCTCTTCGACATTCAATCCTGCTATCAGATTCTGGTACTGGCAAGCTCGAATTGGGGCCAGCATCCATGCCCGTTGGTCCCCCCCCCCCCCTGCTCTCATGTACCCTGCTTGTCGCTGCTCTCCCGCTGCTCTCTACAATGATCGCCCTTTCGACCTTTCGACACCTTCTCCCTTTTCTGTCCCTCGCCCCCTATATGGATGCCGACCTTGTCCTCCATAACGATTTTCGGCCGTTGTCCCTTTTACCCACATCTCCTCCATTACCACACACACACTCTTTTCAACTCTCCCACCCACCTCGGTATTCACCTCAAGCGTAACATATATCTCTCGTCTGGGATATATCGCTTGGGGTAGACAAGAGCGATTTTCGAGTCGCTCGCAGTTACTCTTTGACCTCTTCTGCTTTTAATTCTCTGTGTTTTTCCTGCCCTGTATTTCCTTTCCTCTTTTTTTATCTCTGTCAGCCCTGGAGTGCTTTTCATTTCTTCTGATTTATGTTACCAGTGAATGCATTACATCACCTCCTCTACGTTTTGTGCCCCGGTTTTATGCCTTCCAGCATCTTCCCTCCTGCAGTCTCGATGCGTTGTTTTAATCTGGTTCCTTCAAAAAGTCGCTAGGCTCCTCCACAATTCAAATACATCCTAAAGAAATTCCTTGTGCGTCAATCATAAAATGGCAGTGCTATACCATTTCCATGAGATCAGGTTACCAGACTATCCTGCGCCAAGAATAATAGCGGTATACCATATATACTACACCAAAGCGACATCACGGCTTCACCAAGTGTGCAGTAGGGCTATAAAAAAGCCCCCGACCGTATAATTACCAGGTGCATTATCGCGCTCCATAAGCGCAGGGTGGTCAGTAGGGTACCCTCCAAGCTAGTTGTATATCGGGGTATTTTACCTGACCTATTGTAATGGCAGACTAGTAGCTACCTGAGATGGAATAGATTGGTAACCCCAATCTATTTTAGGTTGCAACTAGTCCACCATTAGGAAGAGGGAGACCGGGACTGTCAACAAGGGCTTGGAAATTTTTGCGGCGCCATTGTAAGAAACCTACCTCCGTATACAACTAAAAGTGGGAGAAGTAAACAAGTTCGCAACGTTCTCATGGCAGGTACGGATGGCAGGTACGATAGTGAATATGGGAGTCGATGACGTCCTTAGCTCATCACTTACGCGAAGTTGAACAGATTGGAGATGACTAGTAAGGTAGCAACATCCAAGCTTGTTTTTGTTTTGTTTTCTCCCATATCCCTCTCCCCTCATCTCTCCCTCTCACCCACTACGGGCCGCTATCACACAACCCTCCACAGCACAATAAGTTTTCCCGATCGAGCCAGAACAGCAGAAACCGACGTCGCCCTCGATGGACTCGAAGCGAAAGAGATCGGAATCCCCAGGCCAAGTCTCAGCGTCACTACCACCAATGACTCGACGGCGTAAGAAGGCTATAGATGCTCTTGCGGAGAATTCCCCTATGGCAATACCATTCCCCCCCGCCGCCGCCGCTGCAGCATGCCATTACCAACCTCTCCGAAGACACTCAACGTTCAGAACATCAGATAAAAGTCGACTCGGCCAACGCAACTTCTCGAATCGATGCATACGAATCTGCGAATCGAGGTGTCCATGAGAACCTGGTGAAAGTTGCCCTCCGTGTCTTCATCACGTGGCTCCCACCAGAGGGTAGTGCCAACATCGTCAACAGAATTAATGACGCAAGTTTGAAACGTGGTGACCAGGGTATTTACGAAGAGTTTGCCAACCTTTATACTGGCCTACGGGCTCGTAGTAAGTCAATTCGACCGTCCTGGCTGATCTCATCCATTAACCTCTTTGTTTTGAGTAGTGCATGCTCAGTCTAAGCCACCCACGATCACCGAATCACACAACGAGCGATCCATGCACAACGTGAATTCTATCTCGAGCCAGCTCGATGAGCCTGGTCGCCGCCAAATTAACTTCCGTAACGGACTACTCAACCGCGACCACCATCGCTGTGTTGTTACGGGAGACATGGATGTGATGGAACGAGAGCGACGAGGCGATCCACCGGAGATCGAGCTATTTGGCAAGGTTGAAGGAGCCCACATCATCCCCTTCTCGTACGGTACCTGGAAAGGACAACTGTCAGCCTCTACGTATGAGATCTCCAAGGCGTGGGAGGTTTTACTTCGCTGCTTCCCGGCAATCCAACAGGCTGGGTTTGGCCCCAACGACATCAACCACCTTTCCAACGGGATGGTTCTCCGCTCATGGTTGCACACTGCATTTAGAGAATTCAGTTTTGCTTTTAAGGCAACGGAGAATCGGCACGTCTACGAAATCGACATACTTGGTAAATTTGACAAACGCGAGCTGCCATACTTCCCGGCAAAGGTCGACTTCCGAGGCTGCGAGGGTCCGGTCGAGGATTACCCAAAGCCCGAGCTGCTAGAATGTCACTGGCGCCTGGGGAAGATCCTCCACGCATCAGGTATGGCAGAGGCGTTCGAGAAAGACTTTCGCGAGTGGGATGAGTTGAAAGGTCTGCACCGGTTGAGGCCTGATGGCCAAACCGACATCGGGGATGTGCTCTCCCACCATCCGGACCTGTGGGCGTATGTCTGTGCGCAGGAAGCCTAGGTTAGATAGTAGTTTTACAATAAACTGAAATCAGTCGTATGATTTTATCCTCTCCGTAAAACATGAATTATATATTGCAGTACACATGGGACATGGCACTCTCCGGAGGTCACCAACGAGGTGCTTCTTTACAATGCGAGTACTTTCCCTTTGATGGGGATTGCCATCTTCGTTATCCATTTGGGTGTTTCGGTGTCAAGTTGCTGGGATGCACACACCGATGCACGTATTAGTAATCGATGTAGATATTAGTTCTAGCTCCCACGCACACCGAGGAATACGAATCATCTTCGCCCGGGCGTTCTCATCGCCCATACTACACTATTGTCGAAAATATGCATGGAGGAATACATTCTACCTGATCAAAATGCTAGTCCTCTGTCCTGTGCGACGGATATGGCTGTTATGGTGTTTTGCTCGGGTTTCGAGCGGACACGTCAAAGTTGGGAAAATCTGCTAATATCTAATGGTCTACGAGCAATAAAGTACTGGACACGCCAGGGGGAAGGCCTTGGAATTATCGAGGCCGAACTCGCTGAGTAAAATTATCAGCTGATGCTATAATTTATGTGCAATTCACTAGACCTTAGAATCTTTTTTTTCCGAATAAATAATCTGGCTTCGCTGTTCACGCCTGCAAAACTTGGGATTCCCATTTTTTTTATAGATAACGGCGCCCCACAACCCGCAATTTCCGTCGGGCCGTCGGGGCGAGACATGCCCCCTGGAATTCGATTCGTTGTCTGCGGCGCCATAGCGGTAATCGACCAAGTCTTCCTGTCAGGATGACAGCATCCCAAAATTACTAATGCTCTAACATCCCTCAGTGAAGCTCTCATGCCCAGGTGCCTTCATAAATTTTTTGATCCTAATATCCCAGGGTAGTAAGTACTAGTATGAGACTGGGTAGGATACTGGGTAGGATGCCAAGTAACTACTAATAGTACTAGCCAGCCGTCGGAGCTTCCAGTTAGGAAATAGCGACCTTCAAGTTCCAAGGTTTAGTCTATTGAGAAAGTGTGAAATGTGGGTTATGTAGCCTACTACCTTCTTCCATAAACACCTACTGCCTAGACTGACTAAAGATACAATACTGTCAATTGAAGATCTCAAGTTCCTATTCTGAAAAGAAAGAAAAAGAGGAAGAAGCAGAAGGAGAAGAAAATCTCTCATCGCCAGGTGGCCGTAACAGTCGCTGTTGCTCCAGTGCATCCGTTGGACACAGTATAGCTTCTGTTGGGATCACTCTCCCAAGTAAAACTACCATCTGTTCCCTTCTTGATGAATTTGTACTCAAAGCTTGTGCCGACAGGAAGATTGACAGTTGCCGTCCATAGTGGGTTGGATGTTGTATACGAGCTCGCCGACAAGGCAATGGCCGATGACGTATCCCAGGAGCCCAGCTGACTGATAGATCCAGCAAGGTAGATGTTTTGTCCATAGGTTGTTGTTACAAGTTCATTGAAAACCACTGCAATACTTGTTGCCGCTGCACACGTGGTCGTAGTGGTGGCACTAGTAGTAGTGGTCTTGCTGGTAGTGCTGCTTGTTGTTGATGATGATGAGGATGAAGACTCCGAACCAGACCCCCCGATCGCAATATCCGCACAATGGAGATACACCTGCGCCGTTTGGAACGAATTCCATCGGAAGCGCAGCAAGGTATGATCGGATTCGTAGTTCGGGATCTTAATCTTCTTCGTAACTGTATAACCACCCGCGATCGTAGTCTCGCAAGACCCAAGCGCAGCCCCATCAACACCTTGGCACGCGCGATTACTCGATGCTGAGAATGCATTGCAAGTAAACCAGTCATTGCGATAACATGCTTCGCCAGAAGAACAATCTGGGTTATATCCGCAAGTTTGACCGGTCACATCTGTACACTTGAGCTCCCCGTCCAAAAAGCAATCTTCAGCGGCTTGTTTCTCTTCTGTCGTGGGAAGGTATCCGGGTGTCAGGAAGAGATCGACGAGAGTTTGATTTTGACAGATTCCGTAAGTGAACATTCCACCGTGGTCACCATTGTTATCGACACACCACTGGACTTCAACAGTGTCACCTGCGGTATAAGTTGCGACCACTTCGTTACCCCAGTAGTCACCGGGTTGGTTGTAGTCGACACCGACTCGGGCGTTGTACCCGCATGGTCCACTTCGTCCCACTTGGGCTTCTTCCAGGTCGGGCCAGGCGGTTACGGGCTCGAGAATGGAACATTCGGGGCAGGTATCGATCCCAGCCTAGCCAGTGTTAATTGGAGCGCATAAAGTTGAGATGCTTTCTCGGCGGGACATGGTAGAATATGTACCTCGAAGCCAAGACGGGTCCGGCTAGATGGGATCGTGAGATATCCATGGGCATCCACCCAAGTCACGAGACTGGCAAAAGAAATGAAAGTTTGTAGCTTCATAATCTCTACTAGATGTCAATGTCGGCTCAGACCAGCAATTAGTAGTATTTAATTATTTGATAACTTGAATCTCTGCGGCAATATATCATCAAAGGATGCATTTTCATTATATACCGAACTTGATCAGTATGGCAGCTGAGTATACTATTCCTGAAGAAAAACGGAATCATATCCAACTTGCCTTCCAAGACCTTGGCATTTCTTGGTTACGGGGTAGACATCAACCGATTCGCTTTTGGGGGGGGTTGTTTGCCGACAAATTTCCGGTAGGGCACTCCTGATCCCGCCCTACATTCACATGAAGGTCACGCTTCAAACATTGATAGGCTTTAAAATCGTGCCGACTCTTGTGACGAAACGCCTCAAAATAATTGCCGGTAAGAGATGAAGCAATAACAAGGATTTATTCATAAACGAGGTCTTGGCGAACCCGATGAATCGCCGCCACTCCGCTTCCCCGCTTAGTTATCTGATCCTCCGGTCTCCGGGGTAATTCTGATTCGAAGTACAGGTCACAGACTTTGCATAGTAGCCTGAGATATACATTAACCTTTCTTGAAACTTTATTAAGTTGAATTCACTCCTCGACGGCAGATCCAAGAGCTAAACAAAGTCAACTTGGGTTTCTTCAACGTAATGAGACCAGCCCCTATCGTCCGGACTGTAAAGAGGATTGGCCGGCATTGCTAGTACTAGGACGCGTGAACTCAAATAATGATGATCCATCCCACCGCTCCGGTGAAACATTGGAGCCGATGATTTATCTCCTCGTGACTTACAGGGGATGTAATATGATGGCGATTCACTGATCCAGATATCTCTATAATATGGGACCTGCCTATATGCCCTTTGTATTATGCAGACCACTAACACACATTACCCTGGTCCCAATTGGTATAAGAGTGAAGGGTACGAAGGAAAGAAGGGTAATGCAAAGTGGTCGATTAACAATGTGGATATGAGTGCGATCGTAGCACTTCCAGTAGGGGAAGATGACAAACGGGCTGCAATGGCCAGGTAGGATGGTCCCCGGCCTTCGTTCCGACTCAATTTGGGATAAATATGGGCGTGAAGAAATTGGAATGAGCTCCTTCACCGGCTACACCAATTTATTCCGTCTCAATCATCGATCCGCATTATCAAGTACATACGACCATAGGGTGTGGAGAACAGGGCTTCCCGTCCGCTCAGCCGTACTTAAGCCACACGCCGGCAGGTTAGTAGTATGGTGGGTGACCACATGCGAATCCCTGCTGTTGTATGTTTTTGCTTTTAGATTTTTTGGATTGGTTGAGTTTACTGCCCTGTCGCACTACCACTTCAGCCCCTTTACCTGAACACCTGAATGCCCCGAACACTCAAATTGATGGCTTTATTTGTTGTCAGCAAAGATATTACTTTGGTTGAGGTCTATGAGGTTGAAAAGAAAAGGCCCCTGGAAAAGCTCCCGGTCAAAGAGACAAGGCCAGATGCTTCTCATGGCCATTAGCGCAGATGTTTGGTAGAGTCCGTCTTCAAGTGTTGCCTTGCTAAGAGGAATAGTCAACGGTAACAACGTGGCTCCTCAATAACGACATGCCCTAGCAATTGGCCTGCAACAAGCGATAGGTAACTGCGCGGGAATTGTTGCAGGACAGGTGTACTGAAAATCTCCTTATGTTCTTGGGAATTCTTTCTCATTGGGCTCATTGGTAGTGTCCCAGATTGTTGATTTGGTGCATGGGCTTCACTTACGCCGACAGAACAAATCGAAAGAGCAGATTGAGAGCGGAGAGAAGGAAGATACCCGGTGTATTCACACCAGAGTACTACTAGGCTATTTTATTTAAATTAGTAGCAATAAAAGTCTTAGCCTTATAGGATATTGACTTACTTATATTGTACCCATAAACTTGGGATAATAAATCGTGATACGATAGCTAATTCTGTCTCATTATTTATCATTATATTGAGATAATTAATAAAATGTGTAGATTCAACATGAATAGCTGAGATACATGCATGTGCCGGACCTAGTTTGCAATTAACTGAATTGTCTTGCACTCTTTTCTGTAAAGTCCGTAATGGTCCATGAGCTCACGGTCCATTTTCGGTCCGAATCTTGACTGAGGGCTCCACATCGACTGGACGTTCCCATCCTTGGTGATGATTTCGCGAGTCGCAATAATAATTGTTCCTAGGGGAGTTTTGCAAGCAGTTGGATAGTAAATAGGCTTGGTGACGGCCTTCAAAGCGTTATCATACACCAGGGGTATGCCATATGTCTTCCTAGATTGGGATGTTTCCAACTCTTTCATCGCCCTGGTTTTTGTGAAATGTTAGCCCGGTTCTCTCCTATGCTAGTTAGGCGGATGTATTGAATGACTTACGTGGCTTTATACCCCACAGGAACACTCTTTGGATCTGACACCATCAGATCGGCCAGCATTGGAGCGTGCTGGCCGAGCAAATCACTCTTGTCGTAAGACTTCAGAAGCTTGTATGACAGAACTCGCCCAAAAACATCAAGTGTCAGTGGCTTTGCTTCGGTGTCAAGAGTGCCCCATGGTGCACTGACATCATATCCTTTGTCCTTGCCAACAAGGTAGAGACCGCCGTTGGTTCCAGTAACCATTATACTTCCACTATCAGCGGCCATAACGATCTTGAAACCTTGAGCGCCTTCAACTTTTTTAAAGTTTCGAGTGGCATCGGCAATGTAAGGCTTTCCTGCTCCAGAGTCGCCGCTCTCGTCGGTAACCTTCTTGATAAGCCCCTTTGCTGGTTTTTCAGCTCCAGGATTGAATCCGTCCGCGCTACAAAAAATTAGTGTTTGAATCTCTGGTGTAATATGAACGAGATAGCTTACTTGACACAGCCAAGGTCCTTTTCAAAAATCGGGATATTTGCGATCTCGTATTCGAAAACGTCGAAGCCTGCAACGTGGATGCGATTCTTCGCACCAACCTTCAACTGAACACCATTCTTACAAGTGCTCTCTTCGCGGGTCTGGAGGTCCATACTTTCCTCACGTGCTTGGAGTTCCAAACTTGCAGTTGCCTTAACATAGACGGACGGAGTGTTGACCAGCCCAACGGTTTTCTTGAACTTCCCATCAAGAACAGTGAGTCCAACTTCAAGCGCCACAGGCAATCCAATATCACCAGTAAGGGAAAATTCACCCTTTGCACGAAATACGGGATCGAATTTTGGCTCAAATCCTTTGACTTCATTTTTACCTTTCAAGCTGGCAATGGCGTGTCCTGCTCCAATGGACACAATACCTCCAACCAGTATTTCCACCTTACCTGCAGCCTCAAGGCCGACCGCTACCCCGAAGGTCACCTGAGGGCCAAGATTGAGGATGCCCGGAATGGATAAGCCACCGAAGGGAATGCTTTTTAGATCCTTTGTCTTCTTTGACTTGATAGTCTTCGATTTCCCCTTGGATCCGCTCACTGAGGCGTCTGCGCTTATACCAAACTGAGCATCCAGGGTCAAAGGATCATTGTTGATAAATGAGATACTTCCTTCGGTGATACCGTTTTTGATGCTGAATGCTAAGCGGCCATCTATGTCGATGTTGACATGAACACCACATTTCGCGCACTGTACTGTCCAGTGGAACTCATTTGGATTGTAGTAGTTGTCAGAGCTGGCGAGCTTAAATCCATCTTTGATGCCGAATATTTCTGGTGGCCGGTCTCCAATGTTGCTCCTGAGGTATTCATGGATCTTGATGTCGTTGTGATAGGTGTGATCAAATGGGACACCGAAAGGCACTAGCACCAGCTTTGCAGTGATGACTGCGATCTCAATAAGCGCGTCGCCAACCTTTTTAATGAAGGTGAATGAATCCCTGAAAAAATTTCCAATTCGCTTTTAACAAAGTAAAATAGGACAATTAGCCTGCGTTTTGAAATATCTCTTCGGAAAATAAGTCTCTTACCCGACCTAGGTCTCTGAGTCCATTCCAAATATCAGAAAAAATATCTCGTCGAGAAAGTTCGTTTGAAGAGCGTTTTGAGATCTCGGTCGTAGTTCTCTTGGTTCTCTCAGTACGAAGACGCGTGGTTGACCGTCGAGTCATGTTTGTAGGTGGCTCGGGGACCTCAAGATCTTCCATATCCACAAAGTTCATGGGGTCAATCTTCTCACCCATATGTGTCGTATCTATATCAGAGCTGTTGAAAAAGTTCTTCAATGCCCAGGGGTTTAACGCGACATCCATAGTGACATTGCTAGCATATTTATCTGACACATTGCGCGCTGCTGGGGAATCGGGTCTGCCTCCATTGAAAGAGTCGGCTGGCTTGGTGACACGAACATGGCCCTTGGTAGGGGATCTCTTTCTCTGTTGTGGGTCTTTGTATGTACCCCAGGTCATGACACCCGAGTCCAGTGCATCTGATTCCTGGATAGGAGTAACCGACACCACAATGCACATGCCCGCTAGATTGATGGAGGGCTGAGTCGCATGGAAAAAGCTACGCTTTCCCGAGCTCTCATCTCCACAGCCTTTATGGTAAGTTGCCACGTTGATTCCACCTTGAGTCAACCAAGAGGCCTCAACTGTCGCCATAGCAAGGGGATTGTTGAAGCAGATGTGCATGTCATTGTCATCACAGGTAACGCTACTGACGTAATCGGACTGATCTAAAACAACCGTATGCCGGACAAATTTCGCCTCGAGGGAAGCGTGTTTTGCGCCATGAAGAGCGGCTATGAAGCTTTAATTAACATAAGGACCTCGTATTATTGGAACGCATTAGACTTACGACGATGGCCCTCTTGGCTGTAATGTAGGATCTTCTCCAGGCCTGCAGAGAGATGCTCCAAGTCAAGCAAATTGTGGCTGGGGCTCAACCCAGGATGCAATGCTATATCATCGCCACCAAAGGAAGGAGTGACTTGTAGCAGACCGTCCAACGCCTTGTGAAGACCAATGGCAGATGTAGTGGCCGCTATGCCGAAGACGGCGAAGATGCCTTTGAGGCGCATGGCTATGACAAATGAGTGACTTAATAAATGAATGAATGAATGAAAGGTAGGAAAATGAATGACAATGAATGTTTGACAAAGAAGATCGAGCCTACTCATTGAATACTATGGCATTTATAGTCCATTTTTTGTTTCTTACCCCTCTTCGGATGTTTTGATCTTCAATGTGATTCGGAGTGGAGTATAGATCGGCTCGGGACTATCACCAATAGCACCCGCCGATCATCTGCAGGAACACGATAGATCGACCAACCCCCCCCCCCCCGATTTATTTCCCTTTTCCCGCTTGCCCCTCATTTATACTTTTAAGATTAGATGTAGACCCTGACATGGGACGTTGATTTTTTTTTATTAAAGTTCAGGATATAGTTCCATTTATTTAGTAGTGCCGTCGGCGCCACTTAAGGTTCAGCGGCGCCACATGTTCATTGACAAATACTTGCCCTGCCTAGTAACTAAATAGGGCTATCCCATACGGAGTTCTAATAGCGACCTGAAGAAAGCCTAGATAAACTCTTAATATGAAGTCCAGGATTCATCAACAACGATCGACCCTCCAGCTGAACCGTGATGCCCGATCGGTTGCCGAGGTATGTAATAGTACCTGCACACTATATCCACTATCTATTGGGCATGCATTTTGGGTCCTTGACACGCGACCCACATATTTGCCATTGGTAAAGTATTACACGGTGGAACAGTAAAGAAGCTATAAAACACACAGAGAAAAAGGGATTTCCGTGGTGGGCGTACTGACAGTACAGAGATGCTAGGCCCAAGGAGATAAAAGTGTTGTACGGGTCTTCACCTGTCAAGGACGAAAGCGCATGTCCACATGAAACCCCTTCGCCTAAGAAGAATGATGTCCTCGCTAATTGCCGACGATTCTTTTCCTCATTTAGCCTCTCCTCTATGTTCGGGGGCGATGGTCTTTTTGGTGTCGGCTATTATAATGCCCGCTCGATTTCATGTGCTTACACACGATGTACCCTAGGGGAGTGGATAACGGAATGGCCTAGACATATCCTAGATATTAGGACAAATTGAATTTGCTACCCTCAGTTTATTTATACGTAGGTTAGTAAAGATTAACGATAGTGTTGCCAGTCACGTCCCCTGTGATCCCCAAAATATAGAGCACTATGCTAAGAAAGGAGTTCAAACAGCATCTTAGGAGCTGTTAAGGTAGGCCTTTATCTCCTAGCTCCCTCGTAGTGCCCTGCTAACCTACTAACTAGTCATTCTCTTCCAAGGTGTACTGTTCGTTTTCCCTTGGATACTACTACTCCCAGTTCCCTCGTTCAATTAGGTCCTTGTGTATTACGATCCTAATCATCCTTTCAAGCGCTTATATTTTCCCCACCTAGATCAAAGAAAATCGGCAAACTTTGTCAGTTAGTGTCAAATCATGACAGAGCAAGCTGAGGCTCAATTCAATTCAATACAATTCAAGGTTCCATAACCTAATTCAGCCACACATTCGAACGTAATAGCTATGTAGGTGTTCCCTCCATCGGGAACCAGAACTATCCTAACGCCACGCCATGGTGACAAAAGACAAAGGAGATACGGCGTATTGCCATAGAAAAACAAGTAACAACTCCCACAAAACAGTAACGAAACTCCCACAATGATTGTAATCGGCTACTGCCAGCCTACAGCGCCCCCTGCAGCCACTACCACCTCCGCAGGTTCATTCTCCCTATCCTCGCCCTATTAGTCACAACCTCAGTTATATCCTGGTTCCTCCTATTGCTGTTCCTTTGTTTAATATTATTCCTTGATTGCCGACCTCTTATAGCTATTGATTATATACAGTCATATCCTTTACATACCTTTAAATTATCTTATGGCTAAGAACTGCACTTTGGAGCAATTTCCCTTTTGGGAATTTCGGTCTACGCTAGTCCGCATTCAAAATTTCGGACCATGACACCCCCGCCTGGACCCAAACCTTCAAACAACCACAACAATCTGAATAAATTAGATAAAAGTAAACCGACTTTACAAATATATCACCAAGCCTAGGGAATATAGGAAAAGATAGAATTGAAGTTAAAAAGCCTCACATACCCTCCTCCACCGTGATAAGCAATATCCGCGCTCCAGCTTTAATCCACCACAATAGGCCTCCCTTAGCCACTAATGAATCTTGTTAACCGCTGCTACTGCTTCCAGGGAAGCCACCATCCTCGCAACTAGGCGAATACGAAGGCGGTGCAAGCTGATGAGGCTCGACAATATAGACCAGATTCGGTTTCCCCGTGATATACCCCCAGCCACTATTTTGCCCTAGCGACGGGCATGCGTCAAGAGTCTCTTCCAGGGACTTGCCCATCGTGGCGCGATTCACGCTTTGCGTCTTGACGCTGCAGCTGGCCTTCTGCTGGTTGCGGACGGTGAGCTTGCATATTTGGTGACTGGTGAAGAAGTCTTTGCTCTGCTCGGGCGCGAAGGTGATTGTCGTGTGCGAGCGCTCCATAGTGGTGAGCAGCAACTGGCAGTCGTTCTCGTACGCTTCCTGCTGCGCGCGACGGGAATTGTAATTTTTACTGTGAATGTCGTTGTCCCAGCATTCCTCGTGCTGGCGCTTCATCAACGACGAGCGTACGCTAGGGACGAAGCGCGTCGGGTCGCTCGGCGGGCTGTCAACCATGATTATGTCGAGGTGTGGCTCGAGGGCCTCGGTTGTGGTTGGGACGGTAGTTGTTGGCGTCGCGATGGTGAGGGCTGCGAGTGCGATGACATTGCCAAGGAAGATGTCGAGGGCGACCATTATGGCAATGTAAAGTGCTTAGCGGCTTAAGGCGTTTTGGAGGAGGAATTCACTGACGGACCCGATTGCTGTTATCGATACTCCGGGAGGGTGTCAGGATATCTTGGAAAGCACTTGATAAGCCAATATATACCTTGAATCTGTCTCGTGTTTAAATAGCGCTCCACAGAAGTCTATCCCGTACTCCTTAAAATAGAGCTATTCAGATACGGTTAAGAACAGAGGTGAATAGCCTGTCTTTGCTGAACTATAATGATTTTATCTACTCGGGGCCCTTTTCCCCATTTATATCTCATAAGTCTAGCTTTTATGAGCGAGGAAATGTACTATCTATAAAGGCGTGACTCTAATCTCCTTCGTGTTGCTGCCTAAATTATTTTATTTGTGCCGGAATCTTGTATAAAATATCTCTGCTAGCAGACCCTAAAGTTCAATTGGTAATGATCGGCGAATTTCAGCCACTTCTATTGTTTACGAGAAGGTTAAGAACCAATCAATGGTAATTGATTCACTCTGTACGCGAAGTTATGAGTCCTAGCTGAGTCATATATTGAGAAAAAGCCTAGTATCGAGCTGTATACCGTAATAGCTCTAGTACAAGGGGCCTGAGCCAAAATAGCAATATGCGGGAATTTGCTACGAGATAAAGATGAAATCAATTGACCGATCAAAAGCTAGCTAACACGGAAGGATTATACAGAGGATAAGAAAAGTCAACTGACAGTACTATATGTTACATAGCTCAGGCACGTAGAGGATCAATCAACATGGTAGCATTCAACGAGGCAACTAAGTATTAGGAAGGAAGATGGATCAAGGATACAGGAATGGAGATCTAAATACGCCGAGGTAATTAGGTGATATGAGTTCAACGGTAGCAATACTATTGAGGCAGGAATAAGTAAACCCGGCAGAATCAGGATTATTGAGTATGTGCCGGCCTGACCTCAATTCCCTCCCGCAGAGTGGGATCCTCGGTGATGGGATAGGATATTAGTAGGGCGGGGTATATCTACCTTCAGTTTCGCGTATATTGTGCCATACCAGATGCAGCAAGAGAAGTGTGTAAATAAAACCCCGGGGGTGCGTTTTTATCAGTCCTCGGCGACATAATTGTGGAGCTCATAGAGTAACGTAATGAGGCATTGCTGTCAAAAATTACACTGTATACAGTTAATTGATACGTTTCGATGCGTTTATGCGTTCTAATCGCAATTCCGTGAGATGGATAACTTAGGCAACCATATAGGTGGATTCTATAAAGGTAATCTTCATGAGACGCCATCGTCAGCAACTAGACTGAATACGGTATACGTTTCGATGCATTCGGCCGGTTTCTAGCAGTTACTTCTTCCAACCCAGGTTCGTCCAGCGACATAAAAACCGCTTACAGAACCCAGTGCTCATCTGTTTTAGCTTCTACACTTCACAGTCATTCACATTTCCTGCTACCCGCATTTCCGCGAAGATGCGTTTCACCAGCCTTCTTTTCATGGCTTCGGCCATTATTACTACCGCTGCCGGCAAGGGAATCAATTGCCAGGGTAGTGGAGAGTGCCCTTTTTGCCACGCCCAGACCAATCTGAAAGAGCTACAAAAAGTTTGCGAGAGCGTCCCGGACAACACGCAATACTACAACGGCCAACAAATCTGTTGTGTCCAGTGCGACGAGGACAACACTGAGCAGTACTCCGTCTGCGCATTTGTGCAGAACACAAAAGATGGCGCTCCAGGTCACTCGGTCAAGGCCGCCATTCAGCAGCTGGTTGATCACAACTGCGGTCTTTGCGGCAGTGCCCCGTTCTATAACAACGACGTTACGGAGGGTGAGCTTACTGTGAATGTCGTCGACTACACCAGCTGTCATACGGTCATCTGTTAAGAGAAATCGCGTGTACACGTGCAGCACTTTGTAAGTTTTGACTATCTCCAATGCGTTGAGATCCTGAGCATCATGTTAATTGTATTGGTAGTTCAAAAAAGAGCAAAATGACGGCCGTGGATGATTGTCGTGTGGAGAGGGATTGAGAATGCGGCACCGCAAGTAAGGTCTAGTTACTGTTAGCACTGCTATGCAGTCTAAGAATTATCTTCTTCGTTTTGTTCAATATGCCTAGACCTTGCCAAGTCTCGATAGTCACTATAATCTATCTCATATCTCGTTCATACTAGCAAACGAAACCACCGCGAGCCCACGGGGCTCATCCTATCTATAGAAAACTCACCCTGTGTTACGAGCCAAGCAAAACCAAGAAAGTTTTTATTCAGTGCATTTAGCGAAGGAACCAAGTCATCAGGAGAAAGATACGTAGAGGGAGCGCGAGAATGGGAAATGGCCTTTTTGTAGGCCTCCGTAGCCTAAGACACCTGAGGAATTCCCGACTTCTCGATTAGGCAGTACCGAATCTGAGCAAACATCTCTACGAATTCGCTAGTCGTTTCATTGCCAGCCATCTTCATCAGCTGAGGAAATCTGTTTAAATTCCTGGTCACCAGTCGTCCCTACGATCATATGCAGGATCACTTTCGAGCAATCACCGATTCTTTCCCACATATGCATATCAAGGGCAAGGAGCAGAATGACCAAATCCATGAGAAGATTGTTCTGGTGGTGAGTATTCGGTCGCATAGAACAGAAATCAGTTCAGGTGAGCTTATAGGATCCTCAGATAAATATGAAGCTTTCTGAATTGCTATACATACCCCTGACTTCTGGCAATTTATAGCGATTTTATAGCTAATTTGATAAACAAACAAAACAAATATGGTTCTCAACCTCATTTCTAACATCATACCATGTGATAGGTGGTAGACGCAATTTTGTTGTACTGTAAGCACAATGTTTGCCGGCATTGTCATATTCAGCGTCACAATTTTTTATAATTGACTATAGAGTAACAACCGCGCACTAATGTCTTGGAATTGCGGCCGCAGAAAAGAAAAAACAATGTCTAGGGCGGAAGCTGATTTCGCTAATGACTGTACCCCTCGGACACACTGGCTTTCTGACTGTTTAGGTAGGACGGTCTGTGTGGCAGGCCTCGAAGGCAAGAATCACCCACTCTCGCCCAGATTCTCACCCTGTCTATTTCACACTCACCCTAATCACCCCAGCCGCGCGACCATAGAGCGGCGCTTACCGTCTTCCATGTGCTACATGGATCTATTCCAAGCGGTAACTAGCACATACGACCATAGGGTGTGGAGAACAGGGCTTCCCGTCCGCTCAGCCGTACTTAAGCCACACGCCGGCAGGTTAGTAGTATGGTGGGTGACCACATGCGAATCCCTGCTATTGTATGTTTTTTTTTTCTTGGATGTGACTTCTTTTTTCATCGAACCAAGACGGCCTGACTTTTTATTGAATTGTGGTGTCACTTCCAAGTTTGATAAGCAGTTCGTGTCACTGGCATCAGATGCCGCCTATTTTTCCTGCCTATGACGCCAGTAGTCCCTCTTATCGAGAGGATTTATACGGTTTAGGATCGTGAAAAGATGAAGAATAAATTAGAAGCGTAGTAATCGTAGTATTACCAGTTGTCTGGGGACTTGACACCTTGCTATAACTACCTCACTCAGTCACCAGTTTCTTCGTCTTAGTATTCACCCACTTGTCAATACCATCCACCATTCTGAAGACATACTTATCGTCGGTAAAACCTGGGTACAAAGGCTTCAACAGTGTCAAAGCCGTATAAGGGCCTTTGAACCCCTCCTTTTTCAGGATCTTATCTGCCTCATCTGCGTCCATATTCACAGGCCAGTCAACGTTTGCATTACCCACAATAATGCCTTGTTTGAACTGCGCTGCGCCAAAGGTGCCAAATCCAGTAGACCTGACAGTAACTGTACCCTTCTCCACACGGAACATAACACGCATATGTCCTAGCGCGCTAGGGGAAGTTACCCCCTGGCGCTCTGTCGTGTTAGCTTCAGCATTGTACAGAACAGCGTCCGGATAATGTTGCAGTACATTGCGCCGGGCAATATTGACGCGACCGAGAAAACTGAGGATAACTGGTTCAACCTCAGCTTCGCACTTGCCCTGTGTGATCACTGGGCCGGGCTCCAAGATCTCAGGGAGCACAAAGATGCGGACGTCTTTGACGATCCGATAAGTGTATTGAGCAACTCCGCCGTTGACACTGATGATGATTTGAGTGTCGCCGGTTTCGAGGGAGTTGAATTTCCAGACGATTTGCCCATTGTCAATTCCAGCAGCTTCGAGTTCGAGGAAACGCTTGTCGAAGTCGATATTTATCAGACCCATTTTGGGGACCTCTGATGCGTGGTGAACTTCGAACGGCTCCTTGTACAAGACATTCAGGGTGTTTTGTGACGGAGCCGGGAGTTCTTGGAAGGCCTGCCCATCACTGCTTGACGGTGCGGCAGGAAGAGGCTTGCTTGTAGCATCTTTAAGGCCTCCAAAGTGGATTTCAACTGCAACTCCATTGGGATTATTTGCATCAACAATGATGACATCCTTAGGGAATGGAACCATAGAGACCTTGAAACTCTGATCAAAAGTGTAAGGCTGAACGTGGCCACTTAGTGGGCCAGTCCAAGCTTCGAGATGGAATTTGAAACCTCCCATCCAGGGGACTTGTCTAAACCGGAAATTGCCTGTATATTCATCCACGGGGCCTTCAGCTGACAATTTCAGTTGTTGGGTCTTGGGGTCGTAGAAAGCGGCGAGCTTGGATGCTGGGATGAGGCCAAGGAAGCCCATTGTGATTGTATCTTGCGGGAATTTCAGATATTTAAACAAACTATCCTAGAAGTGTAGAATGATGGGATGGTCTGTTGACTTGCCGTCTGATGCTTGAGCCTGGTGCAAGAATCGACTGACCTATGTCAGGTATTTATAGCTATTTTCAGTGGTAGGATGCGGGGAAAGTAACTTGAATTCTGCAGGTTTCGTCCCAAACCTTGAGACATGTTAGGTTTCACACGGTGAAAGCACATTTGGTGCCGGGAGCTGAAATCTCTAGATAGGTGCAGCGGTATTCAATTGTGAAGTGTAAGCACTAAGCTGAAGAGTATTATTATCAATTTCGATTATACTATTCACTCGTATACAGCTCGATCTTGTGTCTTTTCGTATATTTTAGGCGATGCACCTTACAACACCCGCCTATGAGAGCATGAGCCCGGTTCCAGACTTTGGCTAACACACTCAAGCCAGTCAGCCTTATAAAATTTACTTCTAGCCTTTCGACGACAGACATAGATGGCGACTGGGTGAGCGGCTTTGAGGTAAAAGGGAAACACCGCTTCTTGGAAAGAATTCATACTAATTGTTGCTATTATATTAAATATACCCATAAAAGGAGTAGTCGGGAATAATTTCCTGTGTCTCCCCCAACTTAAAAGGCAGTGAATTTAAATTGACAGAAGCCTGTGTTAGAGCCGTCTGCGTTCTCGATATTGAAACAGCTGGCCCGGGAATCTACGGACTTCGCACGACAATGGGTAGATGATTGAAAGCGGAAATGCAAGCCATCAATCCAATCCTAGGCTTGGCATTTTCTCAACTGAACCACTGAAATTGGGGATTTGTTCGTAAGTCATTTCGAGCAATGTGCTAGCTGATATCTAGCAAACTTCACCTGTGCACAGGAGCAATACGGAGTCACCGAAGAGGAATAAATGCCGATCAACAAGCAAAGAAGCAAAAGACCCATTTGAATATTGAGGACCTTGGCGCGACCGAAGAAGTGGCGCTCGGCCTAATAAAGTATAACATTTTTATTGATCCCACACCTGCATAATAATAGGCTGAAATTCAGGAGAGCGTGGCGTTCTCCAGCTCGGCTCCATATGCCACAACCAGTGCATGCTGTGATACCAGCTGAGAGGGGCGTTCGTAAACCAAGCTCTTTCTTGCGCCCTATCCACATGCTCAAACAACTCTAGTGCCTTTCCGATCTGCCTATCGGCTTTATATACCGCAGATCGTGCATGCTGGAATACGAGCTGATCAGGATGCACTTAGCAAAATGAATGTCTTCAAATCGCCAACTCTCTTCCAGGCACCTATCAGACCCCTAAATAATATGTATTCTTCTGATCTAGGATCAGTGAACGACTCTTGAATTGTTTTCGCCAATTAATTTTCAAGTTTTACGTATAAGGAATAGGTGACAACTGCTGTTTCTAGCCTCTCTATGGTCTAGTAGAGACTGACGATTGGCCGAGCCAAAAGAATACACAACTTACAAAAGCATCAATAATGAGGTAGAAATCTTTCGCACGGTGTGGGTCATGAAGTCCACTGTAGTCTTTGTGCCAGCAAGAAGGATTCATCAACTCCAACTACGTGAGACTTGAGGATAAGGCAGAGCATGTCAATACCGATATATCGAATAAAGGGAAAGCTAATGAGAGGAAATTGGATTTTCTTGAAAGTCAGAACCTAAGTACAGAGTGCGAACAGAGAAGCTTAAACGGAAAAGCAAAGGGGGGGAGGTCACGGAGTTGAAGTATCAGGAGGTCGCATGGCCGAAGGGGGCCCTGGCGCGTAATCATGAAAAACACTTGGGTTTCTGTTAGGGGCTACGCGAAAAAAGAAACGAACAAAAGTGATCATCAGACGAGAGAGCAAAGCTATTTAGAGTCGGAACGGACGGTACGGTGCTCGAGGCTGCGGATGCCCGAGGAACCCACGCTTGAGCAATTTTTGGCCGTCTACCCATACTTGCGTAGTATTATTGTTCACATTGTCAACCTTCTCCCTGTTTAGTGTTGTACCAGAAGAGTCAATCAGCTGACGATAAATGTTGCGCTTTGTCGACGCTCCATCAGGATCTGTCGGGATGAAGACTTGCGGAGCCTTCCCCGCCAGAATGTCCACGAAACCACTCCCAGGGCTGATGGTCGATGGGCCGTTGTTGTTGACGAACTCAACGAGATATTGTACCTGCTTTCCCCGAAGGTCGGGATCTGGGGTCTGTTTGAGCCATGTCTGGACGTAGTGATACATTAGCTCGACACAACTTCGCAACGAGCGAGAGGGAGAAGAGAGAAGGAGCAGGGGGCAAATATAAAGCATACAGAGATGGTAGGGGCGGCTGGCTGCTTTGGAGGCATCATCGCTTTCACTTTGCTTAAGCTCGCGTTCCACTCGTCAATAGTCTTTATGTGATCTGCGTATTTGACTTGCAGAGCCTTGTCGAGATCCGCCAGGTAATTGTTGCGAGCTGCATTTACCTGGTCCACGAACGTTTCTGTGCGTCAAGTTTTTAGTAAGAATTTCTATATTTGTCGAGAATGAAATTATCAATTCGTGACTTACCACAATGGTCATTTTGGTGACAACATCCGCTCGTCCAACGGTTGTTTGGTCTATAGAAGTAGATTCCAAGTCAGCCTATGTATTGACGTCCACGCAGGAAATTTATGTGGCTAACATCATAGCTGCGATTGTGCCAATGAAAGTATCTTCGCAGTCATAGCCGTCGTTACCTGATGTGTCGCAGCTAGTTCCGCCAGCGGGCCCACCTTGACTGTGGCATTGGGTGCTCCTGTTGTCGTAATAATGCACGGCTGTCACACAATCTTTGCGAGCTTTGACTAGGTCGTCGAGTTTTTTCTTCAGTGTGCCGACCCAGGTTTGAAGAGTTACCTCAAATTCGGTCGTGAGTATGTAAAACTCGCCGGCGTTGAGGTCATATTCATCGGTCTTATTTTTGCTTTGCGCGAATGATGCCAACAATGAATAAAGCTGACAACGAAGACGGTAAGAGAAGAAAAGTGAGCTTGCCGCCATGAAAGCTAGGCTAATGACCTCATCTCTCTGAATAGTGCATAGCTCGGGGCTCGTGAGGGTGATGAGATCATTTAGTATGTTACCGGTGAAACTAGGATTATTCACGTCACCGAGAGTGTCGAGTGTTTGGTTCTATGGCGGAAATGGTAGTAAGTCAGCGTCTGCGCTGTGGCCCGGCTTGAGCTTTTAATTTCCATCAACTTACAACCCAGATTTCGTTGTCTGAGGTCAGGTTGTCAAGCCCAGTTGTAGCAATGGATACCCACTCAATGAATGCGTTGATGGAATTCGTGGCCAGGCGAACGGCGTCATCTAATAAGAGATTCTTCATGGCTTGGACGGTTTGCTCGAGAAGATTTTTAATAACCAAGGCAAGATTAGGACCGCTTCCGAAAGCACCAAAGATCTCATCGAGGATCTGAAATCCTGCAGCACTGACGACACCCCAGGGCGGAGGCAGGCCGAATGCTAGCGTCTGCGCAACAGGGCCTATGTATGTCTTGAAGAAATCGGCTTCGTTCATGTAAAGCTTGTTAAATCGCACCGTCTTGGTGATTAATGGTTGAGAGGCCTAGAAATTTCTATCAGAATTCGAACGTATTACCCAAGTACATCAGAGGAGCAACGCTCACCTGCCTGGTCTGCCGATACACAAGTGCGGGATGGCCAGTAGATACGTCAAACCGCACTTGATGGGCGATAAATTTTGTGTCCGCATAATTTGTCGTGCGCGCGTACGCAATAGCTCCTGCGACGGCGTAGCGGTATGGTGCAGTAAGCATTGCGAGGTGATGTTCAGTGATGGTTTCTCCAGGAAGTAGAGGATACGTTGTTGAGCACATTGCCAAGAATCGATCAATTATTTGTTGTATTTTGCTTCTTACGGTAGTGTCAGGGATTTTCGACAATACCTTACTGGATTTTTCCATTTTAAGCTCGTCGTTGATAACCTGCTTTGGTGGATTGTGGAGGAACAGATCACGCGTAGGATCATTCTTCTGTGAGATGTGCATCGTAGCGTTCCAAGCCTTGGTGATTAGTCGTGCGTAATCCCGTAAGTCCAAATCAGGATCATGAATCTTCTGGAAGACGAAAATGGGCTCGAAGTGCTTGGCTGGGCGATCGGTAGCCTCTCGAGTGGTCCCGGCAACATCAGAACGCAGGAGAAGTGTAGTTCCAGTTTTAGCCTGCAGGTGTTCAATAACCAGCGCGAGTGCGAGTGAAACACAACCTAGAGCAACGACTCGAGGAAGTTTTTTACCCTCAATCTTGTATGAGGTCACTGAAAGATACATTGCTCGCGATCCCTAGGGTCACCCGAGCCTCAGCCGATAGGCTCTCCATAACGAACAAATTAGTAAAGAGTGTACTAACCTTGTTTATATACGTCTTCGACAAACCCCGCACAACGGCCAGCTTCTCGGTCGCGTCCCATCGAATGACAGGGTTCAACTTGGAGCTGCCCCCAGCGACGTACATCATCATTTGGGCATTGTTGATCTGCGCAGTTAACGAATACTTGGTCTTCGGTACGTAGTAAGCGGCCTGTCTAAAGCGGTCAAAATTTGTCAGCAGCAGCACATAATGTATAAAATCAGAGGACACCCACGACTTCCAAAACGAATCTTCGTCTTGGTTCACCCATTTAATTACCGCCTGTCGATTCTTCGTGGCCGGATCGTCTGTGTCGTAGAGGGCTTCGATGGTTTGCAGAAACACCGAGCCTGTTGCAGCAGCTTGTAGGAAGCTGATGATTTGGAAAGTGTCCGACGTAAATGCATAGATTGCCAATCCCCCGCAGCCAGATACTTGGCCCTTTGCCAATTACGAGCTGAGATACCCAGCGGACCCTCTGGCTGCGCCTGGATCACTTCGTGCAAATAATTGATGGCATCAGTGAGTTGCTGTATATCTCCACGTATGACCTCGTTTGAATTGTCTTGTTGTTGGCGGTCAACCACCACTTCGACCTCAAACGCCTCAGAGGCACTGATATCTCGTTCGAGCCGCTGTCGCATTACTCTACTCAGAGTGTCAGAGGATCAACACAACACACACAAAACTAAAAGGTGAGTATTACGAAACCTCGGTCTTGATCTCTTCAGGATCAACCTCCCTCTCGTTAACATCTTCTACAATATAATGAAGGTTCTCAGCCTCATCATCGTCATTGTCGTGCTCTTCCGGATCGTCGTGCCATGTAACTTCGTCCATGCCATCCATCGCTGAAATTGGGACACTTGTGTCCTCAGAAAAAGCTGTAACTGAGCAGAATGATCTCAGGGACAAAGCCAAGTGAAATGGGAGTATGAGTCTTTTTATATGTGCTTCCTCTGGCACATGAATCCCAAGATTTTAACAAAGCAGATCGCTTGTGGTATCGGGAGACGGTGCGTCCGTATCTGTATCCTCATAGGCTGGCAATGGTTGCTACATATTATTCAATGCAGGGTTTCAGCTTGCCTATCACCCAAATTTTTCACTATTGGGTCTGCAGAGAACGCTTGGGATCAATCACACGACAGAAGCCCAATACGAGTCTAGGCACCTAAATCCACACCTACATCATGTTCTACAGAAAGTGGTGTAAAGAGTAACGGTTTGGCAGTTCCATGCCAGTTATTATACCTATAATTTCTTACATCCACCCCCAGGCCCACTGAGCTTATTCGCTGGATTGGAACTAGTATACGGAGGGCTTGAAAGAGCTCTCATTAATGTCCCCCATCGGAACTTGAAACACAGGAAATGGATGCACTGACTAGTGAGAAGACTATATCTAAGGCAGAATGATATACTTTTAGGTCTATTTAAGATTTCCGGTCGGCTAAATAGCCATGTCAGCGCCAAACTCAAAAGTCATGCACAAATACGAGCCCCGATGTCTGACGGCTTAGGAAATGCAAGAGAGCGGGTCTAGATTGCTCAGATGGGGAGTTTCTGGCTATCGCCCCAGCAGAGGATGAGCTGACAAGGAGACGCCCATTCCCATTCAGAACGCGGGAGTTAAATACGTTGTATTTCTTTTCTTCTATGTTATCCCCTTTTCAGTTGGTACGCTCAAGGGTCGGAGTTTGTACATCCCATGCAAATCAGTGATTCGGAGCATCCTTTTCATTGACCATATCTTCTTTATAGTTGCATAGTAAAGCTGTTTGGGCTCGACGTAGGTACCTGCATTGTTAGGGATCTAATACAGCTTTCGTCACAGCATGGGTTCAAGTTGCCGAGAACGAGCATTTCAAGTGTAACGATGCGAACCAATGGTTCTACACCGTTGTTCAGCTGAGAGGGTCCGTGAGGCGGTTGTACGACTCTGGTGAGTCTCACCCTGTCTCTCACCCTGTCTACTGCACACTCCATAGGGCGGTATTCTCACCCGAGTACCAGCCACCGAAATATTAGCCGCAGCTGTCATAAGCCACATGCCGGCAGGTTAGTAGTATAGTGGGCAACCATATGCGAATCCTTGCTTTTGTATGTTTTTCTTTTTTTTTTGCTCTTTCGGGTTTTGGTCTTTCATTCACCATAAATCATGTTCTCAAAATAGTTGCGTATCTCGGAGTTGGCAGCTATCATTTTATCCAGGGCATGGAAATACCTGAAGCTGACAGTTTGCCAACCTCTCTTCATAGCATCTGTCCTATAAGAATGGGTGTGGTTCATCGGCGGAAACTACTTCTCTTTTGCCACAAAAATGCTCCCAAAGTACTCATGGGCATTCTCGAAGGATTAGATGTGGTCGCTTGTGACTCGGGGGTCATCCGAAGTGCGACTTGTCAACCAATATGGAGGACGTAAGGTTTCGGTCGGTAGTGAACAAGCCCATTCAAGATTTATGACCCTTTTGACATACCAATCTTGGGCAACGAAAATATTGCTCGGGTGGAGACCTTCAAGTTTCTATCGATATAGCAAAGGCCCTTGGCAAAAACTTGAAGCTCTCTGTGAACGCAATGCGGTAGAAGCGCTCGGATAACAGTCACTCTAGCCATTTGGGCTCTCTCATCATCCTCATAACTCATCAAGCTCGGTTTCAACTTGAAGGTTGGAGAGTTCAAGTTGCAGCTACTAAGTAGTAGCAGTTACTAATAGTATTTGGAGCTATATATATGTGGGGGGGAGTCAGGCCCGGGGCCGGTGGGAATGTTCAACTAAAACGGCAGTTTTTTCCTTGGGGTTCGTGTTATCGTGCTTAAAACTCTCCAGAATTGCAGAACCGTCAATTCGACTTCGGACAAACTCTTTCTCATCTCTCCTGAAAATCCCGAATCACCCTGCAGGAAGAACGTTGAACGTTGTCGATCGCCGGCGGTGGCACCGGCCCTCCGCGGGCGACATCCGTTTCGGGCAGGCGGTGGCAATAAAAATGAGGGGTGACCGGGTGAAAGAGGCTTAGCGTCCCGTGATCGGATTGCAATTGCGCCAAAAAAAAAGTAGAAGTCATCAGATGGTGACAGAATTGAATCTACAAGGAGTCTTATTCCTCAATCATCCTGCTTGACCAATTCCTATCATCTGTGTGTCTGAATCCTCTGCCCAACCATCATGGGTTCCGGTTCCCCCCCATCGAAGCCTTCGGCAATCCCGTCCCACATGATCAACGGCAGCTCCCCATTACAATCGTCCTCGGCCCCAGGTGGTGGAACTCGTGCTCGCGATGCTCGTGAGCGAGAGAGTCTGAATACCTCCATTCGATCTTCCTTTGCTCCCCGCGTCCCAGTTGGTTTTGAGGCTGAAGAAGAGGAGGAGGACCCTGAGTCAACCCAGCCGGGCCCCGCCCCCGCGGATGATTCTCCCGCCAGTGCCAGCCAAAATACTCCTACTCCTGCTCAGCACGGCGCCTTGTCGATTCGGTATGGATAGCGGTTCCATTGATATTGTTTCTTCTGTACCTCCTGCTCACAAAATATCCAGTGGCCGACCCAGTCTAAATGACCCTCCCCGTGACCCGCGGGATGAAGGTGGTCCATTGACTCCTCCTGCGACAGCGAGCCGCCCAGCCAGCCCTTATACACTGGCCCCTCCAATTGACTTTGACGGACTGAGCTGGCCTTGTGAGTGATCTCAACCAATTGGTCGAAGATGAACATCCAACTAATCATTTACCGAACCAGGCCCCGGAACACGGCAGCGATTGGAGTCGACCCCGGAGGAGAACGAAGCACGAGTTAAGAAACTTGCCGGTGCCGTGCGAACAATTCTGGAGTGTGTTGGTGAGGACCCAGAGCGTGAGGGTCTTCGTGAAACCCCGGAGCGTTATGCCAAGGCTATGCTCTACTTCACCAAGGGCTATGAGGAGAATGTCCGGGATCTGGTCAACGGTGCCGTTTTCCACGAGGACCATGACGAGTTGGTCATTGTGAAGGATATTGAAGTTTTCTCTCTATGTGAACACCACATGGTTCCCTTTACTGGAAGGGTAAGTTGTGCTGCTCTGCTCTCCTTCTCCTACCTTCCCTTCCCTTCATGGTGCTGATCGCTAGAACAGATGCATATCGGATACATCCCGGATCGCCGTGTCCTCGGCCTTTCCAAGCTCGCTCGCTTGGCTGAGATGTTCTCTCGTCGACTGCAAGTTCAAGAGCGCTTGACTAAGCAGGTTGCTCTTGCCATCTCGGAGGTTCTGAAGCCCCGCGGTGTCGGTGTCGTCATGGAATCCTCCCACCTGTGCATGGTTATGCGCGGTGTGCAGAAGACCAGCAGCACTACGACCACTAGCTGCATGCTGGGATGCATGCGCTCGAGCGCCAAGACCAGAGAAGAATTCCTGACTCTCCTCAACAGGAGATAGGCTATTTTCTTCACGTTTTGTCTTACCATTCAGTATCGAGCCCAAAGCTCGATTTAAAGTTACACATTCGGAGTTTTGGCGGTGACCTTTCAACAGGTTTTTTTCCTTCTTCTTTTTCTAATCTTGGTTCTTTCTTGAAGATATCCGTGATTTAGCATTTATGGATCTTCATGCGCTTTCAACCTTTCAGATTCTCTTGCATATACCTTGGCGGTTTCTGTTCAAGACCCATTCTCTGGCCCTGGTGTCAACTTGAACTGACCCTTTGCACCTTTTCCGATCGCTCTAACTGGAGGGCCTGGACAAAAGTCCTCCGCGTTCCTCCCTTGTTCTGGAGTTTGAACCCTCTTTCATTTCATGACCTTTAGACTAACACCCCTACGCGGGACCTTTTTCAACCTGTGGAATTTGTTGGAGTTTGATTTTTGGAGACTCAAAACCTCTTGGCGCGCCGGCGAGGCTATTTCAACACATGATGTTTCTCATTCTTTGTACTCTCAACACTCTGACGATAGGCTAATTCTGCCTATTTTGTATATGTCTCAACCCAATATACCGAACACATGTAAAGATCAAATCTTTCTAAAACAAAATGTGTCCAATTATCTTTATGCAATAAAATTAACTCATTCAGGATCGACTAGGCTTTGGAGATAAGAAGTACTCCGACTATCATTGATCCCAACGGAGTGGTTCTTACCCTAACCCTACTTTGAACCGGATCAAGGTGACTCAGGGATCGACCATTCACTCCGAGTCTTGCCTATCATGGGTATCAATAGGGCAGGTAGCCTCTGGGGCCTGTCATGGCGCAATCGACCACGGCCGCCACTAACTGTTGAATTATTCTTGCACCGTAGCCAAGTGCTAGTAGAATGTCTCCAAAGTCGCATCGCTTCAAAAGGTCCGTCCTTGTTTCTGATCTCATCCCTGACCTCTATTTACGTCGAAATTCAAGTCCAAGCTCACTGAAACAAAGCCTGCCGGATCTCGTCAGATCCTGCCCACGTTTTCCCTTTCTGATGTTCCTTATATGAGTGGTTCGAACTGCGACTTCGGTGCTTGCAGAATCAGCTACTGAAGAACATCGCCAGTTTCCTCCCTTGACCGAAATAGCAGCCTCGAAGAACGATACCGGGAATATCCAGAGCTTCGACAGATCCCATTTCCAAAGGGCAAAGTGATTCAAGGGCTACGCCGTTCAGTCAAGATTTCCATACGGCTCACCCCTAAGTACTACTTCAATATCGGCCAACGAGGAAGAGAAATTCACTGACTGCTTCATTTAGTTCAAATTCTCTTGAACCTCTCTTCGAGCCCACAGATTCCTGGATATCACCCGCCTTAGAGACACCCCAGTACGGAAAAACACATTTGACGCCAAACACCTTCTCAAAATGAGCAGCTCCCTTGAGACCATCGGGCACGGCGTCCCAAATAGCCATTTATCGAGCCGCTCGAGTGCTGGAATTACTTCCGGGGCTTCAAATCATCCATCCCGTACGAAGTGGTCCTTCAACGCTGCAAAGGTTGCTCTGAAAACGATGCAAAGACTCAGTGATGAGCTCCAGACCCCGCGAGTTGACATTACATCCATGAGTCCCAAGTTCGCTGATCATACACCGGGGACCTGGAATACCGGAACATCCCCTCAGAAGCAAAATGCCAAACAGATCTTCGGGAATTCGTTTAATGTCCCGATAGTCAAACTAACATCTCCCATGGCTTCAAAACTCCCTGAACCTGCTATCCATACACCGGAAACTTCCACTCTCGGCCTTGCTCCCAAGACCCAACCCCAAGGTCCTGAAAATCAATTCGATATCATAAAAACGATCCCCACACACGAATCGCCAGACCCAATGAATTTAAACGAAGGCCTAACAACAAACCAGTTCGATTTCATCTTCTTCGACCGAATGCTCCTAGAACCAGAACTCCACACCGCATCTATGGACGCAGTCCCCCGCTTCCTCGACTCACTCGAGACAACGGTCCGCAAAATGGAAGACACAGGCCTTTCACTACAGACCTACATGATTCAGCAACAGCTCGTGGCGGGAATACCACCCGATAAAGTCGAGGCTATGTTTTCAGAAACGCCGAATGTGAATGCGAACCACCACTCGTGCAGGGAGCTGACAGTCGATGCAGATGAACTTGAAATCAGTATCACTAGTCCCGGTCGTATCGATCGTCCGAGATATGAGGGTATCCCGCCGCATCTTTCTGACCGTGTTCTTGCTTCGATTTTGACGGGGTCTCGGACTGCGGCTAGTAATATGGAGCGGTTGCGTCTGGTGAGGTTTTATTATGAGAGTTTCCGGAATCTTTCTGGGATTGCGCCGGTGGTTGAGCGAGATGGGCTTACGGTTCTGGAGGGAAGCACTGTCAATGACGACTTTGTGACTGAGAACTGCGACAGGATCGAGGATTTTCATCGTACCGAGGAACTCAATGATATCGAAGATCTCAGCAGCATTAAGGATCTCAACGGGGCCGAGGAGTCCAACGGGATTGAGGATCTCAGCGGGGCCGAGAAAGACAATGATATTGAGATGGGGGATATCGACACATCCGATGACCTAGGCTCACTTTTAGGGGACGATGGAATAGGTTGTGGATGATTACATCATTGTACGGACGGTGGTACATTGGGCATGACGGATAGTCATGAGGAAGGTCAGATAGCCCAGACCTTCTAACGGTACCATGTCAGTTAAATGATGATCGTGGTTAGATTTAGCCAATACCAAGCTATGACAAACGACATTCACTCGAAAGTCTAGATATCTTATCCTCGTAGGTCCATTTGATCAAGCGCCCAGTAGTGTACACTCCGCCTCAGATACTAACATGAAAACTACATCCCTTCATTCCACGAGGCATAGCTTCTCTGATGAGTGATTCGAAGCGGGGTATGCGGTTAGATACCTCTAGAACCGCTTGGACCTCAAAAGCAATAGCGGTAACCACCAAGCTTTCTAGCCAAGCTCTCCATTCGGAATAAAGTCCTCCAAAATACCCGTTCCGCGGGAGGAAATGCAGAGGCTGATCTTACTCTCGGTGCGCCACCCGGCGGGGAAAACATGTCGATCCCAAGCCATCCCCCCAGATAGAAGCTGTTACTTGAGGTCCAAGCAAAATATCGGCTTCTGATGAAAGGTTGGCTCAATAACCGCTCTTTATTGATATATGAAGACCCCATGTCGGCAATTGTAATTTGAAACTTGTCAAGCGCGATGTAACACAGCTTTCGAGCACAGACATGCTGCTATTGATATCAACCTTACCCTGAATACTACCCCGTGGGGAGACTGCTAAGTATTTAGAGCACAACTATAACCTTACCTCGCTCTTGGCTTGGAAAAAGACTGAAATCTTTCGGAGCAAGAAAACGTTTGTCCTTCGAGATAATCAAAACTTGCAGTTTAAAGCGACTTATTATTGTACTATGAAGCCCTGGCTCCTGCTTACCTGGGCCACGGCTGTGGCCTCTTATGTTGTCAACAACAACAACACTTGCACATTATATCCCGAATCCCTCACCCACAATGGAGAGGATGTCGATGATGCGCCCTCGATTCACCAGGCATTCGACATTTGCGGTAATGACGGGACGGTGATCTTTTCCAACCATACTTTCAACATCAATTCCATCCTAAACACCACCAACCTCGTCAACTGCGAAGTCCTGCTTCGTGGCGAGCTTCGCTTCTCAGACGATATATCCTACTGGCGCTCTCACTCCTACTCGGTTGTTCTGCAAAATCAATCGACAGCGTGGCTTTTCGGCGGTACCAACGTCACTCTACGTGGCGAGGGAGGCTGGTACAACGGAAACGGACAGGCGTGGTACACAGAGAACCGAAATGGTGCCAATCAGCCGGGCCGTCCTATCAGTATCACTTTCTTCAATTCGACGAATCTATTGGCAGACCATTTGACGATTATCCAGCCGCAGTTCTGGGCGACGTTCGTCTGGCAAAGCAAGAATGTCTCGATAACCAACTTTTTTGTCAATGCTACGAGTGATAATCAGTGGGATACAACCAACACCGATGGCTATGACTCCTGGAATAGTGATACTCTGCTCGTTGAGAACGCATTTATCACTAATGGAGACGACTGTATCGCTGCAAAGGGGAACACCACTAATCTGCTCGTCAGAAACGTCACTTGTCACGGTGGTAATGGTATAACTATTGGCTCTGTGGGCCAATATCCAGATATGCCTGATTACGACCTCAATATCACCTTTGAAGATGTCAAGTGCGTGAACTGCATGGACGGAGCCTATATCAAGACATGGCAAGGTGTCTCCGCCGACCATGATTCAAATGGTGATGTCGGAGGTGGAGGCCGAGGATTGATCAAGAATATCACCTTCCGGAACTTTGAGATGGAGAATGTCGGTCTTCCGATTCAGATTTCTCAATGCATCTATACCGAGGAAAGTAACAAGTACTGCAATACGTCGAAGATGCAGATTGAGGATGTGACCTGGGCTAACATCCACGGTACCTCGAGATATAACATTGCTGCCTCGATTTATTGCTCCGAAGCACACCCGTGTCCGAATATTTCCTTTGAAAATGTGGACCTTCGAAGTATCAACCAGACAAAGGGACTGCCGGCGTATGGAACAACTTTGCAACATGAAGTTTTCCAGTGCACGAATATCATCGGAGAGGGCAGCTCAGGTATTCCATGCAATCATATCGCGCCTAACAACTTTAGCCAGGGCGTTTATAGTAATGTCAAGAGCTAAATGGGCGACGGGAGCAGTTGGGTGGGGCGGTTCTTTGGCCAGGACTTTGAGGTCTTCTTGTATCAAATAGGATCTAAAATATCAAATATCTAGATATTATTCGTACTGCAGAATCTATTCCATCAAACGCACACTACGTATTTAAGTTTCCATGCGATGCTACTAGTAGTTGATGCAGAGGTTCTAGCCTATAGTTCCTCGGATCGGATAAACTATCTCCAAGGGTGAGCTTGTAGATCGGCGTCTCATCACGTGAATACCCCTTCCTCCCGACACCTCAGCCTGACGTGACATCTAGCAGCAACTCAACTACCTTCATCCGGCCCACGGGCTGGTTATATACTACTATCTCGTACTGCCTAACCTGATATCCAGAACTTTTGAAGCCGGCGACACAGTACCCTCTGCTTTTTTTTCCCTTGCCTGATACGATCTCCTCTAGCATCCCATATTGACGCGCCCGATGGTGGAACCATCGTGACTGTTCGTCGTGCTCGGTCGCAAGTTGACGTCGAGATTTCGATTTTACTACTCAGAACCTTTGAAGTTGCAGCCTCTATCGTATACCCCTCTCTGAGGCTGGGGAAACCTATCCATGTGATCCTCACCCGGAGGTCGCTATTGACTTGCCTAGAGCGGGGTGGATGGAGGTCCATCAAATCGCCGAAACACGAAACAAACCCACAACGCAAGGACTTCTAGAGTTCGGAGTTTAACCTTTGCTTACTGAAAGAACACTGGTTTGCCCCTAATATTGTCCTGACACCGTTGGCCATCGCTGCACCACACAAAGCCTGGGCTGATAGCCGGTACTCACTGGTCTGAGAGTCCCAAGCGAACATATTGATTAGGATTGGGCTCGGAGTGATCAGCTTCGGGCATGGCTTGATTCTGAAAGATCGAGACAAGATTTTTGGCAATCTTCCTCGCCTTATTTAGCCGTGGTGCGGTACCTGTCCTCTCTTCTTTGGAGGGACTTGTACGAAGCAATGTCCATCTACTGTAAAACCATCAGCCAATCCGGCGAAGCAGTGATTCTGACTTCGGATTCCGATCGAGCAAAAGCACGGTTGGGGAAACCGGAGCTGTGAAAATCGCAACCCTCAGCGATCAAGCGTCCCAGACACCTGTCACAGGGAGCAAAACATCACTCACAAGGGAATCAGAATGGGGGATAGCCCCTGGACCATGGTGCCATCTCATCGACTACTGCACATGCTCCCCACACCGTGATGCAAGGAATATCCTGCTTGTGACCAGAGGCGGCAAATGATTGGATGGAGCTTGTGTTTCCAAGCCAAGGCCGTTACTTGGAAGAAAAGGCAATGCTTGGGTCTTATTCAATACGTAGATAGATGAGTCTATGGGCTATCCAGTGATCCCATTCAGACTTGCAGTCGGAGAACCGGCAAGTCCGATACCAAAACCTTGGCCCGACTTGGCCATAGGAATGAGGCTCCGCCAGGGCGACTAACTTGGCCGGCCTTGTGTTCGTGCTCGTGCTCGTGGCTCGAAATACCTACTCGGAGAGTCAGCGACATGCGTCCAGCGCAAGCAAAAAGCTGAGCTGAACTGAACTGACCTAACCTGACCTGAACCAGGCCTAAATAGAGCAGTTGGGGCTGTCGTTCAGAACTCCGTTGTAGAGCCGCATCCGCGCACCCGACTCGCCCACCCACCATTTTCTTTCTAACGATGATCAAGCCCAACTCGTTGAATTCCCTATTCACACGAGCTGGAGAACCTGTAGTCAGGTATAATTTGGACTTGAACCTTTCTTACTACAAGAATGCAAGAATGCAAGAATTGGTGCGTCCATCCCAAGTCCCTTTCTCACATTGACAGAACCCGGAAAAAAGCTCCTCCGACCTCCCCTCTCCCCCCCAAACCCCAAAAGAACTTCCCAAGAAGAAGCGCGGACACGAGAATCGGCTCCACTCACTTGCGACTACTACCTACGTCCTTTATCAACTTACGCCTTCAACACCCTGTCTTTCTACGAGCGAAAGCCAGATGCTGCTGGCGACTTTCCTATGGCTGGGTCCCGTAGGAGTCCGTCACTGAAAGACCAGTGGAACGCCGACCCAGACCGCGATCATCGTGATCGTGATCGGGACAGGCGTAGAGGTCGAGGACCAAACCAAAACCGGGGTCGCGCTCGCTATCGCGACAGAGGGCGTCACTCGCGTGGTAGTGACCGTCGCTATGACTTTCACGGAAGGTCGCCTCCTCCACGCGCCTCCCGCTTTGGGCCCGATTCGTCTCACGATTCGACCGGGTTTGCCTCCCAACGCTCTCCACCGCGTGGCTCACCTGGCGCTTCCCCTGGATTCCATGGACCTCAACGTTCAAATAATACACGACCGCCATCCTCTACCGATCGGAACGCCCATTCAGTCGAATCTCTAGATAAAGACAACCAGGGTCCTCGACGAGCAGACTCCCCGTTCGGACCACCATCAAAACGCCAAAGAACACGGAGTCCATCGCCCCGTGGTCCGCGTGCGCCATTCGCCAACCGACGATCTTCATACAGCAAACATAGTGACAGACGCGATCGAAGCCCCCCTTTTCGAGGACGAGGTCGGGGATTCTCAGGTCGCGGTGCCCCTAGAGGACGCTCTCCACGTCGAGGTCGCGATCGCCGAGGAGCTGACCGTCGTCGTTCGGACATCCCAAGACACGGCCAATCAAAGTCCCCCCGTGCGCGACAGAGGCTTTCACCCATCACCTAACAGACGTTCTCGCTCACATAGTGACGGTTACAGTGATCGAGACTCTCGATATCGTTCTCGGTCTTTATCGAGGAACTCGGTTCGTTCTTCTGGGTCACGGGGCTCTGTATCTCCTTTCAATCCACGTCCCGAAGAACAAATGAATTCAACCCGATTCAATAAACCCGGCCATAATGATACGACCCGGTCTCCCTCCCCCTCACGCCCTATTTCAAGTTATGACTCTGGAAATGTAAGCGGCCCTGGAGATGGACCAGCCAACGTGCGCGATGCACTTCCTCTACATGGAATGCGAGGGTCAGATGTCCACAAGCAGTATCCACGGTCATCTCGACAACATCTGGATACACGGCAATACTCAAAGTCCCCACAATACGCAACACCGACAACCTCTCATCGGGGCTCACCTCCACCCGGCTCCCCATATCGCAGCGGACGAGGAGGTCGCAATGGTGAACAGTCTGGATATTCAGGTCACGGGTCAGTCGGATCTTACCCAATCTATCACACTATCTTAGAAATGAACTCAACTAACCTCACATGCACGTTTAGTCACACATCTCCTTACCGACAAGACAATTACTATTCGAAAAATGGTGACCAGGGGGAACCATATGATCACAGGCACGGTGCCTTTGATAACCCACCGAATCCCTCCTCCCAACACCCCCAGGGTACACCATCCTTCCGTGGAAACTACTCTAGCTCTCGCGGGAACCACGCCCATCAGGGTCCCGACCGTCGTTTCTCGGGCTCGGGTCCCTCTTCGAGCAACAACAACATCAATAGATCTTCACATATGGATGACAAAAACCAATTCAATAATTCACAATGGACAGCCCCGGGGCCCCGTGGCCGCGCTGGGCAAGACAGCCCGAGAATGGGACACAACTACCGATCCCAAACCCCTTCCACACGGCCTCCATCTGCCAGCGATCCACAATCTCCAAGGGCAGTGGATAGTGGTAAACATCTCCGACCTGCTCCCAAGGCATTCTCAAGAGAAGAGGATCATGCCCCGCCAGGACCCGAAGGCGATGGTGCACGAAACATGCCTCCGCCTGCCCGTGATGCGCCACCCACAAGCCCAGCAGAGAACCGTGGAAAAATCAGCTTCACCTTCAAAGCCAAGAGCACACCGGCGCCTGCTCCCAAGCCAGTTCCTGACCTTGCACAGCGTATGCAAGTCCGCGAACCGCCACCCCGTGCTCTTCCTCTATCCGAAGTACCTTCCCCTCGCAATCGTTTGACGAATGGGCCATTGCCCAAATTCAAACCTGAACCACGTTTTGATCGCTTTGATCGAGACCGCGGGCGGGATCGGGGACGGGATCGTGGTCGAGACCGCGGACGAGATCGTGGACGAGACAGAGAACGAGATTTTGACCGACGAGATCCTCGAGATCACAGAGACCCCAGAGATCACAGAGACCCCCGAGATACCCACGGCCGAAGAGATGATCGTCGATTTGACCAGCGTCGTGATCGCGGAAGGGGAGATCGACGCCCAGACTTCCGACAAGAGCGTCGCAGAGACTTTACTCCAGAGCCACCGAAGGAACTCCCACCGAAACAAACGAAGATTGTCCTACGCCCTAAGCCACGTCCCAAGCTGTCCGAGGAGTTTGCTAAAGCCGATTCTGTCTATTATCGCAAACCGGGCAACGAGTCCGTTATTGGCGCAGGCACGTACGGAAAGGTCTTCAAGGGAATACACGTGTATACCCAACGCAAGGTTGCATTGAAAAAGATCCGAATGGAAGGCGAAAAGGATGGATTCCCTGTGACAGCTGTGCGCGAGATCAAACTCCTCCAACATCTCCGAAATCACAATGTCGTGAGCCTTTTAGAGGTTATGGTTGAGAAAAACGAATGCTTTATGGTATTTGAATATCTCTCGCACGACCTCACTGGCCTGATCAATCATCCCACCTTCGCACTCACTGTCGCCCATAAGAAGGACCTGGCGAAACAATTGTTCGGAGGCCTGGACTATCTCCACCACCGAGGTGTCCTTCACCGTGATATCAAAGCCGCCAATATCCTCATCAGTAATCAGGGTCTCCTGAAATATGCAGACTTCGGTCTAGCTCGATTCTTTTCAAAGAGTCGACCACTGGATTACACTAACCGGGTGATCACTATCTGGTACCGTCCACCTGAGCTTCTCCTCGGTGAAACTCGCTATGGCCCCGCTGTCGATGTATGGAGTGCCGCATGTGTCTTTATTGAAATGTTCACGAAGAAGGCCGTATTCCCGGGCGAAGGAGGCGAGCTCAGCCAGCTCGAGAAACTTTACAATTGCTTGGGTACCCCGACCCGTGCCGACTGGCCGGACCTTGTCGAGATGCCCTGGTTTCAGCTGATGCGGCCAACCGAACGGAAGAAACGAGTCTTTGAGGATGTGTATCGGGAGATTTTATCTCCCGCTGCACTGGACCTGATTTCTCAAATCTTCCGATATGATCCAACAAAGCGACCGAGTGCGGAAGAAGTCCTCCAGCATCCCTACTTCATGTCTGAAGAACCCGCTCCACAACAAGCTCTCGAGTAAGTCTAAGTCTATTATCCCCTCTCTCCCACACCTCAAAATAAGTCACGGCACGATACTAACAAGCTACTTAGGCTGGAGCACATTGAAGGGGATTGGCACGAATTCGAATCCAAGGCTCTACGGAAGGAGGCCCGGCGCGCAGCCGAGTATCAAAGTCAAAAAGATCGTGAAAAACGCAAGGCCGATGCATCGGTGACGTCGAGCGATCGAGATTCCAAACGCGTCCGGGAGACTTAGTGCGGACAAGCAGAGCCGAGCAGAGCAGAGCAGAACAGTGGCCATGATGTTCATTTTGATTATTCTTCGCTTATAGCATGGGGCATTGGGTAAGGGGGAGGATTGCATTCACCTTCCTGGGAAGCGGGTGGAATGGCGGGTATGGCTTACTACGGGAGATATCAGGGCCTATTTATTGTGACATATTGCCCACAAATTTATGAAAGAAAATATCTTTGTAATAATTCAATGAAAAGAAGTCGTGTACGGGATATGGCAGTGTATTTGTGGATCGGAAGAGTTTTCCAAGTTCGTATGGAGGGTGGGCTAGGTTGATTGGGTGGAGGTGCAAGTGTCAAGTGTCAAGGAAAATCGGGGATGGGAGATAGCTACCGCTGCAGGGGCCCGGGGGTATCAGAGCTAGAGCTAAGTAGTAGCTGTGAATACATGTTAGCAGGGTCTTTTATAGCAAAATGCCCATGTGTTTCGTTGTTCTTTCTGAGTGGGTTCATATCAGACTTTGCCAATCGACCTCACGCCCGACCAGCCAGTAGAAATGGAGGCGGTTGGGGCCTCGGATTACCAGAGAGCTCAAAGGGTATCATCATTTATAGGGAGAATGGAGTGGGATTGGAAGTGGAAGTGGAAGTGCAATGGATATGAATATTGGATTGAAGCTATTCAGGACGTACCCTACGACTAAAAGAAAATAACAAAGCAGTTAAGCAGTAAGCTTGTGTCTCGTCAATCAGGTCATCAACGTATCATGGGAAGCTGTAGAGCCCTCGTGATGATGGTTTTAGATGCGATTGTTAATCTCGACACACACATCGGAAACACCGGAGCAGGAGAGTAGGCGAAACACCGGTGTTGATTTGAGTTGGTGGTCTTGCGTGAAGAAGAAAAGAAAAAGAAGAAGGAAAAAAGAAAACGGGGGCTTTTCAGCGGTCGTCGGGAAAAAAGACGGTGCGGGCAGTCAGGCGAGACTCAACCTGATTGGCTGATCAAGCAAAGATGGAGCTTCTTTCTCGAGTCTCCAATTCCACTCCATCTTCACTCGATCTTGACTCCCCTCTATTCACTCTACCTCCCACTTTCCCTCGACTACACCCCCTACTACACCTCTACTACACGAATTTCCTCCTCTTTACTATCTATTCAACATATTCTTACGCCTTACTCTTTCATCCCTCCTTCCTAAGATACCCCTCCCGCCACCTCATTCCACCACCTCCGCCCTCTCCATCCCGATCCGCCTCTTTTTCTGCGCCTACCTGTCGCACTAGACTACTCTCATACTGCACTGATTACCCAAAGCTGTTTGTTCTGCGCATCTCAACGTTTGCCCTGTCGTTCATTTCGTTTTCCCACCTCTTCCTCTCTCCCGGATGACCGCTCGTGTCCCGGGCCGTCTAACCCGCCGCCATGGATAATGCCAACCTGTGGACTCGTCGAGCAAAGTAAGTCTCATTGAAGCGATCGCCTAACCAGAATATGTCCCCCGAAAGACTCAAAGGAGCTAACGTCTTCTCTTTCAGCTCTTCCAAATTGTCCCTCTCCATGTCCGGGACGGACGGCAAGGACGGTGCCCGTGTCGACCTGCCCCGCTCATCCAAACGCTTCGGCCCTGACAGCTCCCACGGCCGCTCGAATCCCTTCAACGCCATATCCCCCATGTCCGCCGGTGTCTCCTCCCCGTCTACGAACGCCACCAACGCCTTTGGTCTGGGATCTGGCGCCTTTGCCTCCTTCGGCGCTCCCAAGACACCAGGCGGGAGTACCTCAGATGTGAAGACCCCGGGAGGAGAGAAGCGAGAGTTTTCCGGCGATCATGAAGAGGCTCTTCGGGCTAGGGAACTGGTTGCTGCCGCAGTATCCGGGTCCGGGTCCGTGTCCGGTGGTCCTGGCGAACATCCGCTCAAGTCGACCTGGATCGTCTGGTATCGGCCTCCTACACCGAAGTACTCCGACTATGAGAAGTCTACAGTACCGCTCGCGTCGATATCGTCGGTGGAGAGTTTCTGGGGCACTTATTCGCATCTTAAGCGGCCTTCTCTGCTTCCGACTGTGTCGGATTATCACATCTTCAAGAAGGGCATTCGTCCGGTGTGGGAAGATGAGGCTAACAAGCGGGGTGGCAAGTGGATTGTTCGATTGAAGAAGGGCGTCGCCGATCGGTACTGGGAGGATTTGCTGTTGGGGATGGTGGGTGATCAGTTTATGGAAGCCGGAGATGAAGTCTGCGGCGCTGTGCTGAGTGTTCGCGGTGGCGAGGACGTCTTGAGTGTCTGGACACGAAACGACGGTGGGCGGAACATCAAGATCAGGTATGTGCATGTGCATGTGCAGCAACATTTTCCTTCTTCCATGTCCATCTCTCGCGGAGCTAATTCTTTTCTTTTCCCCCCCAGAGAAACCATCAAGCGGCTGCTTGCATTCCCTCTGGACACCAACATAGTCTGGAAGAGCCATGACGATAGTATCGCCCAACGCTCCGCCATTGACCAGGCACGCCATGAAAAATCGACTGCAACCGGATCCACCCCTACTGGCCACCTAGGAACCGAACGACGACGCAACACCGGCCACGACGACTCGGACAAAGTCAAGGGCGTCACTCTGTCATGAACTCTTTTTCTTACATATCCTCGACCTTGGCCCTTGGGCCCTGTACAGTAAAGCCATTCCAAAGAAAAAAAGGAAAGGGAAAAAAAGAAACCATGCACAATTACTCATTGGGGCGCGTTTGGGTCTGGGGGACTGGACTGGTGGCGGGCATCGAGGCGAACTTGAACTTGAACTCAGCGGTTTGATTTGGGATTTTTATGTCTTGACTCTTGAGTGAACTTATTCATGTCGGGTTCCGTTTTTTCTCAAGTTTTTTTTATGTGCCTTCAAGCTCACGCGTGATGTTATTTCCTCTTCTCTTTTTTTCAGCTTTTCTATCTATGCGAAAAATGCCCGCATCTGCAGATGGCGCAGATGTCAGTGTCCATGATAGTTGCTAGCAAGTTAGCCTAGTTGCTAGTACATGTGGGGGATGGCTCCTAATTAACCATCCCTGACTCACATGTCAATGTACTTGATGATCTATATTGTACTACTAGTATCAACTGACTGGAATCAATAAATATCATAAATATCATAAACTACTCTCCTACTCCTACCCTCTCTCAATGCGGCAAAAAAGACCTTATCACTGACCGCCCACGATAAACCAACACGGCGAGTGGGAGACTCCAAATCCACCGCCAAATCCAATCCAATCCCCGCAAACAAAGAAATTTCTATAACTAGGTATTCAGGATGGGACCAATGCTGCGCATGGTCTTGGTCCTGTCATAGCTGAGGTCACCATCTGAATGCCTCTCTTTGACAGTTTTTCCAAAATCTTCGCCAGTCTGTCTCCGCATCGCCCGCGTCACCGTGACCCTCTGGCCGACGATCGCCAACGAACTCAGACCCAGCGCCGTCATCTGCCCTCACGACACGATCGCTCTCTCGCCCAGACTCGCGACGTTTCTGCTTCCCCGTCCCCGTCCAAAGGAATACCAAATCGGCAGAATCAGTTCTCTTTACTATCCGAAGACGAGGACGAGAACGAGAACGACCTGGACGAATCTCCGCGCGATACTGCTGCGCTCCCGCAGGTGTGTTAGCTTAGCAAGCTCCCCCAGCTTCGACTTTGCTTTGCTTTGCAAACTGTACAACCCTTGGCATTTCTGGAACCCTTTTCGCGCCATCCTATCCTTGGAGACCAAAACGATAACCCTTAGGGTAATATCCCTGTGTCGATTACTGTTCTTATCGCCGACAGTGCCGCTTTTTTTGCTTTTTTTGGCAGCTTCCCTTCTGGCTGGATCCGGGCTGATCTGATTTCCCGCCTTCCCTCAGAGCCCTCAGAGTTATGCGAATACTTTTTCCTCCCATCCTGGATCTACATCTACACTCAACCGTGGACAATTGCCACGGGCTTCGCAGTCTGTCATTGATTCCAGTGACCGGTAGATATGCCCTCTCACCACGGCCCCTCCAGCGAGCCAAAGCTGATTTCGATTTCGCGCCGCGCCAGCTCGGGTGACGCCTCGCAGATGTTAGCCAAAGATCAGAGCCGGAAGCCTCGTGAAGAGCAAAGAGAGGAGGATCGCTTACTTGGGGGTGGAAAATACCGGTATGTTGTACAATCGGTTTGGTATCGGGGGGGGAGGTTGAAGCTTTGGATGAAAGTTATTTGCTAACGAATGTGCTTCTTTTTTGACATAGTGATAGCAATGCTGTACGAATCCGTCCTGGTGAAGGGAGGAAGAGGATTGTTCCTGGGGTATGTTTTACATCTGCTCTACTCTGGAACTAGCATGAGCATGTTTCTGACTTGTGGACGACAGAGTTCAGCCGCATTCAAACCGGCGAACCACCTTAACCGAAATGGACGGGAAAGCGGCCCAGTTCGTGCCCAAGGCAAGACCCAGCCAACTGCATTACCCGAGAAGAATCGCCCTCGTCTAGATGAGCCATTCGATTTTGACCAGGCAACCCGTCCGAACAAACGGCCACGCAATAATGAACACGCCAGACCTCGTGATGCAATTGGGAAGAGGGCCACTCAGTTGTCTCTTCAAACTTCTCCCCAGCGTCGAGTTTCGCCTGTATCAAGTGAGACTTCAGGCAAAATAGAACGAAACGTCATACCACGCCAACAGGAAGAGTACCGTCAAGTGGAGGAATACATGAAAATGCACAGAAACCATCCTCGGAGTCGGCACAATCGACGCAGACCCAACCAGTCCGAAATTCCAGACGAAGTGTTCACCTCACAAGCTGCCAAAGAGAGACGTGCCGCAGTGGAACTTGCAGCGGATTTTTCTGAACGGGAGCACGTGCCGAAATTGAATGTCAGATCAAAATCGCCGCAGAGAGTTGCACATTCACGGGAAAGTCCCGATGTTTTACAAGGCGATATCACGATCCCAAGGTTACCGAAACCTACGACCACCAAACAAATATCAGGTCGCCAGAATCCGAATAATGAGCCGTCTCCGTCCCCGTCTCGAAAACGCTCGCCGAGTGATATCCAACCTACCGATTTCACCAGTTCCCCCATTCAAGGCTCTAAGAGGGCCAAGCGCAGTCACAAATTTTCCACTAGGTTTGAGGTTAAGTACCTTCGATTTGGCCCTTTCAAGAAGCAGCCCCATGCAGAGGAACCGCTGGTCTTTCATGTTGACCAGAATCAGGAGAAGATTCAGCTGGGTAGAATAATCTGCGACTCTGATGAACATGAAAATGCCAGTATCGAACTGCGCCGCATCATTGGGGCACTGTTGGGGGATAGTGAGAGTCATAAAATCCGCTTGAAGCTCGCTGTGAGATCTGAGCTCCCACATGACACGGTGGATATCGAATTCAAGACATTGCCAGAGAAAGAGAAATTCTCAGCTTTGGTCCGAGAAAAAAATCAACAAGATCCAAATCAAACCCTCTGTGTTTATGGACCGGGCTTTTGATCATTATGGAATCAAAATGGCAGAACTCAGCAGAGAACCCAAAATGTCTTTTATCGAAGCCGCCCCCTCTGAGCGCGAACGCACCCGGCAACCGCCTACCCGTCAAAAAATATCATCTACCCTACAGGGAGATAGCGAAGATCTCCGAGAGAAGACGGATCACATCAATAGGTACATTCGGTTCAATCTGAAATCGTCGAAATGAGCTGACAAAAAAACTAGGAACAAACTGGCTGAACCTCTCGCAAAGCGTGGCGTTGAGGACGATGCTTCGAAAATCCAGCGGGTCGAAAATGAAAAAGGAGAGGAAATTCCAGTTAAGAAGTTCCAACCAAAACCTGAAACAGAGAGACAGACACGTTCGACGGGCCGACGCTCGACTCGACTTTCTGATCTATTTAAAAACGACGACGACGGCAGCACCGACTTGTTCAGCAAGTATCCTCTCAAAGAAGACCCTTTCCGAAAGGAATGGAAGCAACCATTGGTATATCCTCAAAATGGAAAGAAGAAAGCCGAAGTCACGGTCGAAGACCGCGATCGACTGCGTGATGACGAATTCCTTAACGACAACCTGATCGCATTCTACATGCGCTTTTTGCAAGATCACATGGAACGAACGAATCCCGAGGCCGCGAAACAGGTCTACTTCTTCAACTCTTATTTCTACGATACGCTCACGAAGACACCTCGGGGTCAACGTGGAATCAACTATAGCGGCGTCGCGAAGTGGACACGAAACGTCAATCTGTTTGAGTATAATTACGTCGTTGTACCTATCAACCAGAGTGCGCATTGGTATGTTGCTATCATTTGTAACCTGCCGAAGCTACTGGGTGAAACCGAGGCAATTGAAGCCAAGCCCGACGTGGAAGAGTCTGCATCTTCCAACGACAAGAGTCCCCTCAACCAGACAGAAAGCGAAGTTCATGAAATCCTCGAATCGCCGGAACCCGAGGCTGGACAGAGCATGAACCAAGCAGGAAGATCAACGGAATCTCCAGCTTCGCAAAGTGCACGTGCTTGCCTTGCCTCTATGTCCCTTGAAAATGAGAGTGGGCCTGGAGCAACCGAAGACTCGTCAGGAGAACCGGGGAAAGAACCTCCACGAGAAGAGAAGCAAGCCAACGAGACCGAGACCGACAAGGGTACAGATTCGAAGGAACCCAGTTCTTCCGACGAATGGCCTGCAGAAGACGACCACCACACCCCGCCCCCCCAAGCTTTCCACAACTTCTCTAAAGTCGAAACCCACCGGTCCCACACCAGATCCTCTCCCCGCATCCCAAACCCCAACAACCAAAAAGAAAGGAAAAGGCGGCCAAAAATATGACCCGGACCAAACCACAATCATCACATTCGACTCACTCGACCTAGCCCGCTCACCCACAGTCCGAATACTGCGCGATTACATTTGCGAAGAATCCTCTTCCAAACGAGGAAAGGGCGTAGAACCAAAAGACATCAAAGGCATGCGAGCCCGTCAAATCCCGCTCCAGCCCAACTTTTCCGACTGCGGCCTCTATCTCCTGGCCTACCTGGAGAAATTCGTGCAAGACCCGGATCAATTTATCACGAAGCTCCTTCAGCGCGAAATGGATGAAAAGGATGACTGGCCTCCATTGGGCTCGGGTTTGCTTCGACAACGTCTTCGCGATTTCCTTGACCAGTTGTATCGAGAGCAGGAACGGGTCAAGGCAGGCAAGTGTGGTGCTGGTCCTGCTGGTCCGAAGCAGGAATTTCTCGCAGACCAACAACCAATCTCACATCTACTGGGCCCGTCAAGTTCCAGTGAAGCGGACGTTGAGAAAAAGGTCGACAAATCGCCAGAGAAAACTAAGACTGGTGATGGTTCTGAGAAAAAGGAGGCGAGCGAAAATCTTCCCGAGAAGTCTCGTCGCAGCGATTCGGAGAGTGACTCGGATGACAGTTCAACGGTAGACCAGCTTCAATTGGTACCTACAGGTACCGCCCCGACTGTGTCGATGACTATATCATCAGCGCCTTCTGGTAAAGATCGTTCCAAAAACGACTCGCGTCAGAAGAAAGATGAAGAAGTCGTCGAGGTACCAGACAGTCAAGAAGCGAAACGGGACCCTTCTCCCATCCCCTCCGAAGCTCAACCTCCAAAGACCGAGAAGAAGAAAGGGAAAGCAGACGAGCCTTCTAAAGGCAAGAAGTCTGATCTCAGCAAAAAGAACCCGACTCCCACTGTAGAGATCCAGATTCGGGCAACACCTCCTCCGCCCTCCAGCCCTGGAAAAGTAAGAAAGAGTCCTCGCGGGGAAGAGAGAAACGTTGATTTCATCCGATTCATTTTGAATCCCCCCCTTCTCTCTCTTCTTTCTCGTCAGCTTTCCTCGGTCCACGTTCGATGTCCTTTTTTAGTTTTTTATTTCCCTCTTCATTTATTTCACATGCATCACCGAATTTCAATTCGGTTCTGGATAGAGGTGTTGGTTAGCGACGACCTAACGTGTTTTCTTTTTTTGTTTGTTTCTGCTGTTTTCTTGGGATGCATGAGATAACCTTAGATACCAGCATCTTCAGCACAATACCATTTGTTTATTTCTATGCACTTATCTAGAGCTTCAAGTTCAACTTCATCCATCACTTCAAGAGCCAGTTCAACTTCAATTTATCTCTTCCGAGGTCATCCGTTCACATTACTCTCAATCTCAGGCTATTCTACCACATACTCTCATCCGCAATCCATTTCGCCATCTTCTCCCTCTTTAACGTCTCAAGATCCCACTCCACCCCTTCAAGCTTATCCACACCAGCAATCCATACATAAGTAACAGCAACAACTTCCTTCCCCCCTTCAAGTCCACATTGAGCACCACTACCCCCCGAGTCAACCACACCACTCAATACATCCTTCAAGCTATCCTGACCATTTTCATTCCCATCACTCCGCAACGTCCGAACAGTAACCTCCTCCTTGCGATACGGATCTCCCTCGAAAAGATCCAGTCGGTAGATATCTCCGTCCGTAAGACCGGAGACTAAGGTGCCCAGCACAGAAGCCTCGGCATTGGTATTGGCATTGGCATTGGCATCGCCTACCATAGATTCCGATTTCGCAGCCACGATCGCGGGATAACTATGATTCCGGACGCGATGACGCTTGAACCCGTGTAAGATTGCGGGTTGGAATCTCAGTAGCTCTTTTTGCCAGGGTTCTGGGTCTGGACGGCCGTAGATGACGCGGTATAGGATTTGGGGGGCCATTAGGGTTCCTGGTTTTTGTTAAGTGAGGGTTCAAGTTTGTAGGGGGGTGCTGGAGTGCGCTGGAGTGGACTTACCGTAGAAGAAACATACGTGGTCGCCCATTTTGTGAGAGGGGGTTTGTATCCCTGCTATGTTTTCAAGGTGATGAACAAGTTTAAATTCAAGTTGACTCACGGGGCGAGGTTGTAGATGTTAGCATGGTTGATTATCATCGGTTGTCGTTGGACTGCGGGGTTGTTCAGATTTCCAAGGATCGCCGGGTAGTTTAACGTGTCCGAGTCTGTTCGTAGTACTACTCCAGTACTACTCAATTCTAGAATGATAGAGGTGAGAAGCCTAGTAGTTGAATCAGTCGATCTAATTCTCGAAATATATGCATTTCTGCTAGTATTTATTTTGAAATCATAGTCTCACTAAAAGCAAGTTATAAACACTGTGCCTACTTATTGTGGGCCCTCGCGAGGCCTAAGAGAGTTCCTAACTTCCTCAGTAATGGGGTCTTTCCCATCGAAAGCGTACTTTGCGCGCCTCTCAGAGGTCCATGTTGTCATATCTAGCTTATCACCACCGACCGAACCTGACGCGAATCCAGCAATCGACATGCTGAAGTTGCGTTCATAATCCTTCAGGGCCTTGGCCCAGTTCCAAGGGTCATTCTTCTTAGAGTCAGGCGCAGGAAGCTTAACCTTCTCAGCCCGCGGTACCACAACTCCCTTGAGGGAGTCCAGGTTTCCTGGATTCGGGAGGGAAATATTATATTTCATGGCATAAGCCATGATAATACTTCCCAATCGACGAGTTCCAGCAGATTCATCCAAGACCTCAAATATCGAGCTGGGATCTTCTGAAAGTCGTAGCCAGAGCGCCATCATATGGCCAAGATCCTTAATCTCGGAATCCGGTTTCAGAACTGAGTTTCGCTCCAGTGTAGCGAGCATGGTCAAGAACATGGTCTTGATAAGCCGAGAAATTGCTTTCGCGCCTTCCCCATCGTCGATTCTATTTTTGATGGGGGTCCTTCGCATTAAATAATGTGTTGGGAGGGATAGGGGCAAGGTTTCATAAACTTACTGCATCATTGCATCGGCGGAACCATGACGGATGAATAGACCCAGCGCTTCGCAGAGTGCCCACTGCTCTTTCCAATCGCTCTTCGCCAGGTCAAAGTCCAGCATGAAATTCTCAACAAGCTCCAGGGTACCGTACCCATAGTGATCGTTGAATGTGTACATTGCGAGCTCGTCTGGGTCGCGGGTTATACCAAGACGTTGGGCCGACGCACACTTTTCAAATCCAGCGTGGGTGATAATCCAAGTATGATCTGAGCTTTTGACCAAGGGCTTCGCGCCAAGGAAAGTATTCGGATTCGGATGACCCTCCTTGGATTCTCAATTAGATGGGTTTATCTTTTCGTTGTTCAGGGGGGGGGGCTAAAAAACACACCTCATCTTCGTCTTCGTCTTCGTCTTCATCCTCGTCTTCAGATTCCTCACCCCCATCCCAAGGGGTGCTTTTGGATCCGTAGTGCAATGGAGCTATAGATACGTATTCAAAAGCCTTGGCAGGGTCCTCCCAAAGTTTGGCCCACGCGATATCCGCATCTGCAGTCGTAGACCCGGGGGTCAGGCGTGCGTTACGGGTGAGTTTAAGCTCGAAGGGAGAGGTGTCCTGGCCAGATCTGGCTCGTTTCTGGGTTTCCGCAGACTGCGCTACTTCTGTGGATTTTCTCTTGGGTGGCATGGTGATGACAGTAATAGTGGTAGTGGAAGAAACAAGTACCTAGCGCAAACAAATGGTACTGCCCGTAGTTATAGCCCCTGAGACTTCAAAGCTCTGAATGATATTATGCTATGCATACTCCCAGAGCCTACCCTATTACTGACGCGTCGTTATCTTATCGGACGCGTTCTGTTTTTTTTTTTTTTTCTCTGGATTGGACACGTCCATTATGACGTTAAGTTGTGGGGTATGTACATTCGGTCACTTGGGACTCAAGTCGAGCAATATACTGTAGCATATGTGAATAAATTGGCAGCCTGGACTGTTGGCAACATTGGAACTCAATGCGTTAACTATAGTACGCCAATGTGGAGTAATAAATACTCGGTTTTCCTGATTCGCAGTTGATGCATATTGGCTGAACATACACGAATACGTCAAAATTTCCCAGGTGGGTTAGTCTGATTTTCATTCAGGGATTGATCTGCAAATTAGGTCGATTTGGGCAACAGTACGGAGTACGAGGTTGAACTTTTCAATTTTAATTGGAGATAATACATTCATTGGCCGTATATTTAGAAAAATCCTGGTTTGGATCTTGGGGCTTTGGAATTACCATAAAAAAGGGCATGTCTAAGCTTGAATAAAACCCGTTTCGCAGGATTAGATTCGGATTCTTTCCATCAGGATCTACTATTAATTGAAATACTGGGCTAAGTTGAACGATTCTTTATATTAGAAAATTGTCAACGTTCCTCATTTAAAAATCGCATAGATAACACATGGCAGCTCTGGGCATTCCGCGAGTTTAATATTAGAAATTATTATCTATCACTCTGTCTTTTTGGTTCTTCGCTCTAGTAAGCAATCTGCCGACAGACACCTACAAATTTCAAGGGGCTCCGTATATATCAAATTTATCCAGCAGCCTATGGTGTAGTCTTGAATTACTCCGTACTTAGAAAGTTCTAACTTGATATAATGTGGCGGGGTCTTCTGACGAATGTGGACCCTTGAGCTTCCGACATGGTTCCAGCCAGTTCTCAGTTCCGGAAACCTTTTATGCACTTTACTCCAGGGGGTCATGAAAAGCAAAGGCAATACATTTGAAGTAAAAAGTTAAAACGAATACGCCTATGAGTATCCACATGTAGGCGCACTCATATAAAAGGGTCCTTAAATCGTCATCTTCCGGGGCTCAACCCATTCAATTGACAACTCACGAACGCCTCGATCTTTTTTCCAGGATGCGGGGTCTTTCTTTCTCAATCTTATGGCTGTTGGCACATGAAGTGGTTGCCTCTGGCCTGCAATGCAAATGCGTAAGGCTTTTTTCCTCACTTTTGACAACAACGTGCGAATACTCACCTAGAGATAGGTACCCTCCGAGCCCTGCTGGCCGTCTGACGCCGAGTGGACCTCCCTCAATGAAACAGTCTCCGGTAATCTGATCAAGACAGCACCTCCCGGCTCCGTCTGCTATGCAAATGAGCCTAACTACAATGAATCTGCCTGCGAGGCTCTGCGAAAGGAATGGGTTGACTCCCAATACCACTCTTCCAACCCGGTTACAGTTTCGGATCCATTTTGGTCTAACAGTAGCTGCACCCCGATATACCCCAATGGCACGAGTCTCTCTGGTGATCCCCTTGCCGGAGAGAAAGGGTGCTCTTTGGGATATCTGTCCCCCTACGTTGTGAATGCGACTGCCGCAGAGCATGTGCAGGGGGCTTTGCACTTCGCAAAGAAGCACAATTTGAGGCTCAATGTCAAAAACACTGGCCACAACCCAGAAAAAAGGTATGCCACCCCGGCAATACTCTGGAATAATAAGTACTAATTGCCCATCGTCTAGTTCGGCTTATGGAAGTTTGTCGTATGTACCTCCACCACGCACAAAAGAGACGTTGTTTGACCGAGAAATCTAGGATTTGGACGCATCACATGAAGAATATCAGACTCCACCATTCTTTTAAGCCCTCGAAATGCGACCTTGCTGAAAGTCACCGGGCTGCAACTGTTGGTGCTGGGGCCCAGGGTGGTCAAATCCTTGATTTTCTAGCGAAGCACAACCTGACAACTGTCGCTGGATCAAGCCTGGTACGAATTTGCCAGAAAATATCATCATATCCCATTTTCACTAAGCAATACTAGGATGTCGGTATTACTGGGTGGTCCATGGGTGGCGGCCATGGCGTTATGAGCGGATTCTACGGCATGGGAGCTGATAATATCATCGAGGCCAGCATTGTCACCCCTCAGGGCGATCTCGTCATTGCCAACGAATGCCAACACAGCGACCTATTTTGGGCCATTCGCGGAGGCGGAGGTGGCAGCTTTGGCGTTGTCCTGGCTCTCACTCTCAAGACCTACTCTATGCCTTCTCTATCGGTAGCTAACGTACAGATGAGCGCTCGAAATGGGACATCTTCCACAACGTGGTGGAGGATAATTGCCAGCATTCATCAAGAGATAGTCAAGCTCCAGGATGCTGGTGTTATGGGCTATTATACTGCAAGTGGACCACCTTACAGTTTCCAGTATACCATGTTCCAGCCGAATACGACCAACACGAGCTCGATCGATCGCCTGATTGCTCCCCTCAAGAAGCATCTTGACGCGCATAATGAAAGCGCGAAGTCCTCCTCGTTTACTACTTGGGTGCGTAAATGGGTTTCTATCGAGAAGCTGTATCCGACAGGAAATGATACTGGTACAAGTCGTGGAGTCAGGGCGACTCGTCTTCTGCCGCGGAAGGCCGTCGAAGATGCAGATATGTTTTCGAAGACACTTAGACTTATTGGAGACCGAAGCGAAAGCTTGCCGGTAAGGCATTTCCTTTACTGTGCCCAATATACGATGAAACCACTAACATTGACTAAAAGCATGGGGTCACTAACCCTTCTCTTTCGGGGACTATGACGATCAGTCACAAGAAAGTCGACAGTGCCTTGAATCCGGCCTGGCGAGAAGCTGCAATTCATTTGATCAGCAGTGTATCATGGGATGACCAGCTATCTGACTCCGATGCTGAGAAGGCAATTTCTACCGTGACCAATGAGACCGGCTATGCTCTGCGACAGCTCGCCCCAGACTCCGGAGCATACTATAATGAGGTATACCCGATCTTTCCATGTCTTATATCTGTAAAATAAAACGCTGACTCCGGCCCAGGCCAATACCTATGAGCCCAACTGGCAATGGGCATTTTGGGGCCACAACTACCCCCGGATCCTGTCGATCAAGCAGAAGTATGACCCGGAGAGTCTGCTGTGGTGCCACCACTGCGTCGGAAGTGAGCCTTTCGCGCAGCAGGATAATGGCTCTCTTTGTCATGTTTTCTAAATGGCTAGCTCAGGAATCCTTTTTTGTATAGGAGAACATACTAGTTGTACATTTTTTGAAACTTCAATTCTAGCAACTTTGAAATCTTTCAAGTCTGAGGTTGATTGTTAAAGGATCCTCAACACTCCTAGTAAGAAAGAGATGATCAATGTCCCTAATTTTCCACATCGTGTATCTATTTTTTTAGTACATCCCCGCCGGCCCAAGCCACGCATTCAACATCTCCTCAATCGTAACATCTTGAAGATTCAGCCAAGGAAACCCAGCATCAGGCTCATCCGGATCATAAATATTATTATCAGAAATCCCACTCGCAAACACAATCCCATTATTATTCTCCCCAGCACTATCCGAGTGTGCAAGTCGATACTGCGCCTCAAACCACTCACCAAGGTGCTGTAGCCACTCTTTGTAAAAGAAAATTTCGTGCTGATCCCATTTCTCCCCTTTGCATTCCTGGTCAATTGTGTTCATGCGTTGAATAAGTTTTTGTATTTCGCCGCGCATGTTCAATGCTTCTCGCAGTCCCATTACTTGATCGTGATGTCGAACGGTTGGCTCCAACGACGCTAGGACCAGTTTGCATGAAGCTGCAACGCAGAATCCAATACTTGTCCATTGGGAGTAACTGAATTTCTTCTCAATGCCTACTGGTAGCTCGTAATACCAGTCTAAACATTGTTTCGCGGCTGCGAGACCGTGGCAAAGAGCATCGACTCGTATTAGGGCTGCGGATTGGTCAATGGATATGGTGGATGCTGGGAATACGTCGAAAACGACGGTTTGGTGGAGATGGATCTCAAACGTGTGTGACTGTATGCCGATGGTCACTAGTCGAGTGTTAGAAACCGGATCTACCGGGCAAATGATACATTGAAGGATCAACTTACAGTCACGGTCAAGTGCCGTATTAATAGGAAAATGAGCTTTGCACTCTTGCGCATCACTTTGAAGAGAACGGACTATGGCTTCTATATCTGCGGGCCTGGCTTGGCTTTCACTGAAACCTCGCCTAACGAGAGAATCAATTCGCTCAAGCATATGTTGAAGCCGAACCTGGCCTAACAAATATCGATCGGCGGGGAATTCGCATTCTTGCGACAATTTTTCGGCGCAGGACTCTATGAACTGCGACCAAGGCATTGTACCGGTCCGCTGACTTATGACGGTGTGACTAGAAATCGTATTGGAATTAAGTAAGACACGAGATTTTCACGTCCTAAAACTGACTGCGAAATAGAGAAAGGAAAACTCACGTGGAATCGAGGAAAAAATATCCAATTAACGCTCTCATTTCCTGATTTTGCGTGGAAATCGATTTCGCTGGTGGTTCTGGACACTCCATGATATCGAGTCTTTCTCTTAACGCTCGCAATTTAGTCGGTTGATCCATTCGAAACTCCCTAATTATACTATTTGCAAGGTGCAGGTACACCGAAAATCGCATTAGATGAATCTTTTTCTTAGTTCTGTCTGTTGGTCAGTAGTTGTAAATCATATTCAAGACACAGGCACCTTGTGTGGGACATGAGCATACCCTGCTATCGTAACAAGCAACCCTTGCAACAAATCGAGAGGCTGTGGGTGCTCTCCTCGTAAAACCGGACCCCCAAGGTAAGCGACGGAAACTTCCTCGAGAGCCAGATGGAGTGGGACATCCTGAAACGAGGAGACTAATAGAATAGAAAGCAGAAGGAACGGTTTCTCCGATCTGAGATCCTGGCTCGTGATCTCTCTTGGAAGCTGCACATAAGGAAAGTAGGGCGTTGTATCGTGAAATCTGTCTAGCAGGCGATTTGCTTCATCGTGGGTGATTAATCCCTTCCCGATCACATCGCACGGATGTCGACTACTATTAGGGTCGGAGCTCTGGCTTTGTGGAGACGGCGGCGTCTTTTGCGGGCTCGCGAGAGGTCCATGATTTATTTGACCCAGAATTTGATCCACTTTGTCTTCAAGCACGCCTATTCGACTGCATTAAGATGCGCGGTCAGTTTGGCTAATCATTCAGATCTGCTTGGACAGGAGTTGTGCATACGTTGCCCGCTTCCTGGGATTACGAGCCTTTGTTGGGCGGAAATAACAATCTTTATGCAAACGTAGACACCTTTCAAATATGAAATAAATTAGATTTGTCGTGTACAGTAGTAAAAATAGAAGCAGCAGTAGAAGCGGACGTCGGAATATTCTTACCGATCGCAGCTTTGGGCAGGAGACGCACGCGAGCACCTAATTTTAGCTCGAACACAGTGCTCGCAGGTCTTGACCCGCCCTAAACTATCCGATTCCGATACTGACATCGTGAGTAATTGGAAATGCAAGAGTCGGAGGGCAGCGGATACGGCGTGGACTTTAAGTGTCCGTCGGAGTCGGAGTAAGATTGGATGACTCGTCGGTCCGCGGAGTCGGAATTGCTCGCAAAGTCCGTATCTTGGCATGGCCCCGCCAAGACGTAATCGTAAGCCAGAAGTATACACAAGCCAATCGTAGCTCTGCATTCAATTGGTTCCCTCAAAATCGTAGGCTCGGAGATAGCTCAGCCTTAAGATGACAACTCGAGTTTTCATTTAGGTACTCGTAGGTCGGACGGAGATGACACAGCCTCATGGGTTGACTTTAGGCACGAGTTTTGTTTTGGTTCAGAGTCAGATTGTAGTCAGATTGTATAAAGAGAATGAGGGTTGCCGTAAAGATGTAGGATGTTAAGTTATAGACTAATCTAGCCCTATATTTCTATCCACCATTGTCTTTCATTTTTTTATCTCATTGTCCCGACTACAAAAAAGACAAAGCTGCCAGTGCGCTCAATATGTCAGAAATCAACCCCGACGACTGCACCTTGGCCACTTGCCCAATTGACTTGGCCTATATCAATTACCAACCTAACTTAGCGGCAAATATCCTCTTCTTGGCTATTTTCGGTTTATTTCTCGTCGGACAGCTTGCCATCGGATCTTGGTATCGAACATGGACTTACATGGTCGCCATGTCAGCAGGACTTATCCTGGAAGTACTGGGCTATATCGGACGAATCATGATGCACAGCAACCCATTTGAATTCAATGCATTCCTTCTGTACGTGCCAGTGACCTCGACTCCAGCCCTCAGACTTCTTTTCTACCTTTCAAAAGAAAAGCCACGCTAATCAAATCATCTCGTTCCTAGATACCTCATCTGTCTAACGATTGCCCCGGCCTTCTTCACGGCAGCCATCTACATTTGCCTAGGAAGAATCGTCATTATCTACGGCGAAAACATTTCCAGAATTCGCCCACGCACATACACAATCATCTTCGTAACTTGCGACATAATCGCTTTAATCCTCCAAGCGGCCGGCGGCGCCATCACAGCCATGGCCGACTCCGACCAACAAGACCTAAGCGATATGGGCGTCAATATTATGATCGCAGGATTGGCATTCCAGGTCGCATCTTTGACGCTGTTTATCGCGATGGCCTCGGAATTCGCTCTGCGGGTACGCAAAGCTCCGGAAGAAATGCGGAATGCATTTACTGCGTCTATCCGGTGTGGCTGGAAGTGGAGGGCATTCCTTTTTAGTGAGTTCATATCATGTCCTGAGAACTAGGTACTCGAGTAGATCCAGCTAACACGATGCCAGGTCTTGCGGCTGCCGTTCTCACGATTTTCATCCGGTCTTGCTTCCGTGTTGCTGAGTTGAAAGGTGGATTTGATAGTGATTTGGCGAATGATGAAATTATTCTGATGGTTCTGGAGAGTGCCATGATTACCATTGCGTGCTTTTGTATGACGGCTGTGCAGCCGGCATTCGTCATGGGCCGGCGATGGGGTAATCTCAGCGCAAAGTCTGCCCCTGAGGAAGCGACTTCAACCAAAGCCTCGTTTGCTTCTTCGGGTTATGAGATGAACTTGATCAGTGTGCCTAGGTATGGCCACAGTTAAGATGACACGAAAAAGGTGCTAGTAAGAAGGGCCGGCATATTCATGGACAAGATAGAATATTATATTATAAGCGAGGCTTTTTGGCATTATGATTGGTTTTGATATCGGCGTTATGTTTCATCTGAACATTTGTTACCGGAATTCATACTTTGATCTGCTGGTAACCCATGTTAGCATACCGAGGATAAACCCATATAGTAGTAGTGAGCAATGTATCGGTCCCAAAGTTAAGATATCAAACAAGTCTCTCTGGTAAATAAGCCTCCGAATGGTCTAATGGTATTGGCCTTAACCATTCGGGGGAAAGAGTGAGGAGGCTTTGAAGAGGCGCACAGGGACCGATGCGTGCCTACCTTGTCTTTTTGCTTTTTTCCAGGTCAAAAGGTCAAAACCAGGACAAGGTATTCATTTAATTTATTTTGGGTCCTTTCCCTTTTTACTTCGTTTGTTGTTGTGCATCTACCTAGTCCATCGCGCGTCCAATGTATCCGTTTGTATAAGCCCCACCTTACACTGAGCGGGTAATCTACAGCGTCACAGGACTAAGAGTTTGCATGAATTCCAGCGATAGGGAGTCTATTGCAATCCCGTATTAAAGTAGTAGTCTCCGAGTCAAGACTTTCTGTTATCTGACAAAAGAAAAGTTTCGTCAAGAACCTTTTTTTTAGGAATGTAGTAGATGTTAGTAGTTAGTATATATCGCCACATGGAGCCAATTCCAGGATGATATGTGTCAAAACAGGTACAGATCATACCCTAGCTGCTCAATTGAATATAGCCCAGCCCACCAAAGAACTTGAAACCTGCTATTGACTCGGAATGAACAATAAACCAAATATTCATATTTCTATGTACCCTAAAAATAACGAAGTGCTCAGATCCAATAGTTCCCGAGGCCGCCCCGGCCGCCAGGGCCCCATAGATCGCTTATCGATAAGCCAAACACGCCCAGCTGGCTTCATCGCCCTGCCTTCACCTGGGAACTCCGCCGACTCAACACCTCCGAGTTTCCACGCGCAATGCATTCCTCCCTCAACCGCGCGCAGGCCGTCTTCGGCTTCTTCACCACCGTCGCCCTGGTGGTCGCCGGACTGGCCGCGCTATCGACCCTCTTCTTCCCCACAGATGCCACAACAGCCTCCGTACAGCTGAAGAACGTCCAAGTGTAAGTGCAGCCAGCAAACACACGAGCCAAAGAACAAAACAAAACAGAGAGGCGAGCCAAGAAAGACAGCGGGAGAAAGATATCGGAGCTAGATCCCTCACACAAGACAAGACATAACATAACGCTAACGCATAACATATGAAAACAACAGCGTCAAAGGCCGACCACACTACTACTCCACAAAACGAGAAGAATACGCCCAAATCCGCTTCGACCTTGACGCAGACCTCTCCCCGCTTTATAACTGGAACACAAAACAAGTCTTCGTCTACGTTTACGCAAGCTACTCCTCCTCCGACAACCCGGACAGCTCCCTCCGACAATCAGAAGCCGTTATCTGGGACGCTATCATCCCCGCGCCCCCATCACCATACTCCTTCGACGCATTGAAGGAAAAGGTTTTACCGCATTTACCGGCTTCGATAACCGGTTCGGCTGGAAAGAAGGCTAAGCGGAGCTCGAAGGCCAGCGCCAAGAAGAATCAGAACAAGAAAGTCGATGAGCAGCCGGGCGTTCTGAGACTACGCGGTCAAAAGGCTAAGTATCAGATTAGTGATATTACGGGGCGTCTTGCGGGGCGTCAGAATGTTACGTTGGCTGTTGGGTGGAATGTTCAGCCTTGGGTTGGGGCGCTTTGGTGGGCTCCTGCTACCGGGGCGGTGCCGAGGACGGAGGGGAATGTTGGGAGGAGTGAGGCTTTTGAGTTTCCCGCGTTGAAGCAGAAGAAGAGTGAGGCTGGGAAGGAGGGTGCGGCGACTGCGGGTGCAGGTGCGGGTGCGGGTGCGGCGTGATGGGATGGGGTCGTGGTGTATTTACATCTACCTAAGAACTTGATGTTATCTCTTTGTTTTTTACTAGGCTGGGATGGCATTGGCTGTACTAGTGTATTCAATGCCTTTTGTTTTGTTCTTTCAGGAAGTCGATATCAAGACTCGAATACAAAATCCCTCCCGGTTTCAAGTTCAAGTTTTTTAGATTCAAGTTTGTTCTTGGGACAATGATATTAAGCTTCGGGTTCATTTAATTTCAGTATTGATAATGCGATCGCTTGGCCAAAATCAGCCCATGTCATCTCATCGGGGTGCTGCGCCGCTCCGTAGAACACCGTTTGACACTAGGTATGAGCGGAACCAGAAAGACTATTTAAGATATGAACATAAACACGGTCGCTGAGAACAGAATAGACGCGCCATGGCCGGGGGTATATCAGGAATTCATTCGCCAATGAGCTCTGCGGTGGACCGGGGTAGCCCTAAATGGTACCATAGGTCTGCTGAGCGTATGGCTGAGCGGATGGCTGAGCGTATGGCTGAGCGGATGGTTGAGCGTATGGCTGAGCGTATGGCTGAGCGTGCGGCTGAGCGTGCGGCTGAGCGTGTGGCTGAACGTGATCATGGCCGTGACCGTGACCGTGGCCTCCATTCTGGATGCGATCCGAGTAGACGCCAGGAGCCGGACGCTGCGAGGCTCGGGTCAAGGGATCCCGGTCGCGACGCTGGTAGTAGACGTATTCGAGGTAGAATGCATGGATGTGGCCTGGGAAGTACCTAGAGAGAGAAATGATGGTTAGATCCAGATTCACGGTCGCGGATCGTAGGGTCAGGGTGGAGCTTTGTTTGGAACTTACCCAAGGATCGTGAGGAGGACGTTGATCCAGAAGTCAACGCCACAGCCAGAGATGAGGAAAACGCCAAGAGGAGGGACTGGATGGTGTGTTAGCGGTGGAAGATATGGGACGTCCCCTCGCGTGGCGTCAAGGGGGTTGCCCTTGCCCACGCTGAGAAATGGAGGGACGGTGTCTCATCAAAAGTCCCTGGTCTGCAGAGTAGAAGAGGAGAGACGTACTGAAGATAGTGATGATAATCAAACACAGCATGGAACAGGCACCTGCCATGGTGGAAGGTGGAAATAGTGGGGTAGGATGGTTGTTGGTTTGTTGGTATGTTGGTACTAGTGGTAGCTAGTGAGAGAGGTCGGGTTTGCGAGTGCGTTTGCTGTTGGAGAAGAGGTCGGTGGTGGCCAGGAAGCTGAGGAGGAGGATGGTGAAGAGGAGAAGAAAGATATAAATAGGGATCAAGTCGTCCTTGGCAGAATTAAGACGTTTCATGATCGGCAGTAGACGTCAGCACCGATCATGATCTCTGGAGTGGGTTGAGTGGGTTGATTGGGTTGATTCACAGAGTATCCAATCTCAACGAGGGAGAACCCGCTGGTAGGGCTGGGCCTGACGTCATTCGGGTCAGTGGGGGGAGCTACCACCAGCTAAACTCCCAGTTTACCAGCACAAACATGGCCAGGCATGGTCAGGGAGTACATCGATGGTGGCTTGGATGGGATATGCAGGTTTTCACACAAAAAGTACCCTCACACAGCATCAATCGCCGCCCGAGTGGTCACCTGCTCGTTCTTGTTGCCTAGCTTGGAAATCTGCAAAAATGCATCCACCCCATAACCCTCCAAGCTATGAAGCTCGAGACTGCCCGCCCAATACTCAGCATAGACCCGACTCATAGGCAATCCCATCCCCAACCGGAGATTCGGGTGCCGCGATGTCAAAGTATCCAGCGACCCCTCATGCCAGGTCTCACGATCATGCTTTCGCTCCCGCTCCGACACCTTGAGCTCCTGCATAGTCGCAGCCATGGCGGGCACCTTGCCTAGATTCTCCAGCCTTGTCTGCGTGCGCGGTCCCTTACTGAAAGACCACAAATAAGGAAGAATTTCCTGGGGGATGCCGCCGCCCTGGTCCGATATGCGCATGATCACGTGTTGTGGGGTTTCGCAGACAAGAACCTCGATGGGTGGCGGCGGTGACGACGAGTCGTGGTATTTCTCGACGACCGCTTGCACCGAGTTTCGCAAGAGCTCGCCGATGATATACTCCAGGTGACTGAGTATATAGGGGAAGGTGGCCTCCACATGGCCCCGGACGTTGATGGCGGGGATCTGGGCGGATTCGGAGGTTTGTCGCATCAGTTCCTGCGCGACTTTCCCGCATCGATCCACTACTTCCTTTGCTTTGCATTTGAGGAATACTTCGCCGACGAAATCTGCGTTCATGTCGGTTCGCTCGTGCGAGTCTGGAAAGTGCCATGGTGAGTTGAAGGTATCGGTGAGGGCGAGGTGTTGCTCGGCAATGACTCGGCGAGAGATCCTCTGTTGATGAAGGTGTAAGGTGTCAGTGTCAGTGTCATTTAGAAAGAGAGGCCCTTATTTTTCGATCTCGAAGAGTGGGGAAGGGAAACCTACCGCTCGCAGTAGAGTGTTCATAAAACGGTCCATATCGTCCGGTGGCATGAGTTCTTGGCATTCCAGCACCCCCATGGCGAGATTGGGGATGATGACCAGGTGCTCTTTGAGCGTCTGGCGGAGAATATCGCAGAAACGGTCATTATCGTCGAGGCTGCATATTTCGGGCACGACTCGGAACCGCTCAAAGGCTTTATAGTACAATTCGTAGACTAGGGACAGGTGCGGGTTGGACACGATCACGTAGGGGAGCTGCTGGATATCACGGAGGCGATGCGCAAGGCTATAATTACCGGAAAGGGGTTTACATTAGCCACTGGCCTCCTCGCCGAAATTCTTGTACAGCGTGCAGGGTGGGGTGGGGGAAGCTGCGTGCTGACGCTGCTGCCGCTGCGGCCGCGGCTGCGGCTGGATCGTGACATACCGGGTGGGCAGCTCGGTCCGCACATAATTTGCGGAGCTGATGAGACGCGGTTCGGTCAAGGTACGGCCAAAAAAGGTCAACTGGCGAAGACTTATGGGGCGGATCTGGCGTTCAACCCATCTGTTTCAGGTGCGGGCAAGGTCAGCATTGGGGCACACGATCAGATCAGAGCTCTCCGAGTCATCATACTCGTCTAAGGCGGAGACGGGTCGCCAGGGTGGGGGACCGGCGGAATAGAAGCGCGGCTTAGGAGCACATCGTGAAAGCCTTTCAGCTGAGCGACTTAGCAGCATTGTGCTCCATGTAGTGAGAAGTAGAGGAAGTAAGAATCATGAGACAAGGTTGGCTGGTGTGGTGTGGTGGTGGTGGTGGTGGTGGTGCCGGTGACCGTTTTCAAGCATGTGCTTGGGCGGTGAGTGGTGAGTGAGTACAGTGATGGTTATTGAGTGAATAGTGAATAGTATTCTGTATTTAGCATTTAGTATTTAGTATTAAATATAAATTAAGTATAATCTCATGAATACAAGTGTATAGAAGTAAATCAATAAAATGGTACAGTATGTTGTATGGCCCTACAAGAGCAATCACTAGTATTAAGTTACTAAATTACTAAACTACTATGGTCGCGTATACTTTGGGGACTTGAAGAATCTGATCTGATGGGACCCTGAACCTTAGGACGTATGAATGACTAGTAAGGGAATTAAGATTACAATCAAAAAATAAAAATATTTGAGTTGAAAGTAAATTAATTTAAGCTCAAGGCAAAATATTACGCCCATAGCCAGTACTAGTATAACCTCCCACCACCACTAGGCTGACACTGACCAACAGCACATGCTTAACAATGAACCCCAAACCCACGAATCAAGGTGAAAGTCACCAACATCAAAGAACATATCCATTTGGGACAAGTTTCAGAAGATCCAGAATCGAGTCCACTAGATTTTTATTTTTATTTTTATTTTTCCAACCCTGTTTACCCTGTTTACCCTGTTTACCCTGTTTACCCTACTACCACCACTCCCTCTTTGTTGCCTGCCGAGCATTCGAGGGCTCCGCCACCGCTAGCTCCGGTCCTCGTCAGTCTGCGGGTTCAGAAGAATTTCAAGTTCCTCCCGACAACGCCCCGGGCCCTTCTTGAGCCTCCTCTTCCTCCCACTTTCTTCACCACCTCTCTCCTCACCATTTCGAACAGGTGCCTTCCGGCTGGACGGGAGGGCCCCTTTCGCTATGGAAAACGTGCGTTGCCGACCGTGCCCCTCTGTGTGTCGTCATTGCAGATCTAACCGTTGTTCAGCTCGCGGAGAACGATATGCTCGTCGATGAGTACGACCAATACCCCAATGAGAAGACCACCGATGTCGTTGTCTCGAGTCCCGGCTCCGACGAGCCCACTCCTCCCTCCGCCGCCGACCGTACGTTCCTATCCAACTCCTCCTCCCCTCCCGTGGGGACCACGAGCGAGCGAGAATCCCAATCCCAACCCCTACCCCGGCCAGTGGAATCATGCCTGGATGCGATCAGTGGCCTTTCCAGCAGCCCCTCTTTTCCCTTTCATGACCACTCTGCTTGTTGTGATCCTGCGCAGATCCCAGAGAATGTAGCTGACCTGTCTTCGTCCGGTCCGTTAGATGAAGCCATGATGGCTCGAGTGCTCCCCAAGAACCCCGATCATGAAGCGGTAGAAGAAGTCCACAATACATGGCATATCCAGGATTGGAGGAAGCTAGAGAAAAAGATCCATGGCCCCGTTTTCAAGTGCGGCGGGACCCCTTGGTGAGTAATAATCATTGATATCTTTGTCTTTGCCAGTGCGGTACGCCACTGAATCATGCCATGCATGTGCTGACCTGAGAGTCCAGGCGCATTCTCTTTTACCCCTACGGCAACAACGCCGAACACGCTTCCTTCTATCTGGAGCACGCCTGGGATGGCGAGCCTCCCGAGAATTGGTATGCCTGCGCGCAGTTCGCCTTGGTTCTGTCGAACGTGAAAGACCCGTCGATCTACGTGTCCCATGGTAAATATACCCCGAGAAACTACTTTTACCAGCGGATTTGGACCCGTCGCTAATCTTCCTCTTTCTTCTCTCACCTTTAGTTGCGACTCACCGATTCACCGCTGAGGAGGGAGACTGGGGGTTTACCCGCTTCTATGATCTTCGAAGTCTCTTCAATGAGGCCTGGGAAAACAAGGGCGTCCCACTGGTCCAGGATGATGAGGCGAATATCACCGCCTACGTTCGCGTTGTCAAGGACCCGACCGGTGTCCTCTGGCATAACTTCCAGAAGTGAGTCAATGATCTTATCTTATTCCTTCAATCGCCAATAGCTTGGTCCTAATTTCACTCACAGTTACGATTCCAAGAAGGAGACTGGCATGGTTGGACTGAAGAACCAGGGTGCTACTTGCTACCTGAACTCACTCATCCAGTCGCTCTATTTCACCAACGCTTTCCGCAAAGCTGTGTACCAAATCCCCACTGACGAGGATGCCTCGCGGGAGAACAGCGCCTGGACTCTTCAGAGACTCTTTTATAACTTGCAAACTAGTGATTTCGCCGTCTCCACGACAGAGCTGACCACGTCGTTTGGCTGGGACTCGCGTCAGGCTTTCGAGCAACAGGATGTCCAGGAGCTTTCCCGAAAGCTCATGGAACGTTTGGAGGAGAGGATGAAGGGCACTGTCTCCGAAAAGGCACTACCTCAACTGTTTGTTGGAAAAACAAAGACCTATATCTCTTGCATCAACGTTGACTACGAGTCCTCCCGCGTGGAAGACTTTTGGGATATCCAACTGAATGTGCGCGGTAACAAGACCCTGGATGACAGTTTCCGAGATTACATTCAGGTGGAAACACTCGAGGGCGAGAACAAGTACGATGCTGGTCCCCCCCTATGGCCTGCAAGACGCCAAGAAGGGTGTCATTTTTGAAAGCTTCCCCCCTGTCCTGCACCTTCACCTCAAACGATTTGAATATGACCTCAACCTCCTGACCATGATGAAAGTCAACGACCGACATGTTTTCCCGATGGAATTTGATGCTGCCCCTTACCTGTCTGAAAATGCCGACAAGTCCGAGCCATGGACTTATGAGTTGCACGGTGTACTTGTTCACAGCGGTGGCTTGGACGCTGGTCACTACTACGCTTTCTTGAAACCCACCAAGGATGGTGACTGGTATCGATTCGACGATGACCGTGTGAACCGTGTTACGGAGAAGGAAGTGCTGGAAGAAAACTACGGCGGCGAATACGAGAATGCGAATGGCGGAGTGCGTCAACCTTATACGCGCACGTATTCGACCAAGCGTTCAATGAACGCCTACATGTTGGTTTACGTCCGAAAGACGAGATCGGACGACGTACTTCTTCCAATTGAAAAGGATGACGTACCTTCTCACATCGGTATGATCTACAATGAACTCTAATGCCTTTTCTTTTTTTAAAGGAGCTCACTAACATTTCATAGCTTCCCGCATGGCCGAGGACAAAGCGGAGATGCTTCGCAAGAAGAAGGAGAGAGACGAGGCTCACCTCTATATGAATGTTGGCGTCATAAACGAGCAGACTTTCCAGTCACACCACGGATTCGACTTGTTCAGTCCAGAGTCGCAAGATGACGACCCAGCCTTGCCTGCGCAATACCGTGTCCTGCGGACCAAGAAGATCAGCGAATTCGCAAAGGATATCGCGGAGGAGCGCGGTCTCAACGAAGAATCAATCCGATTCTGGGCCATGGTCAATCGCCAAAACAAGACAGCTCGCCCTGATCAAGTCATTCGCGATTCGGATCTTACTGTGGAGGAAGCCTACACCAAATACGGTACAAAGGGACACTTTTTCAGACTCTGGATGGAGGTTGTAGCGCCTGGTCCTGATGGCCAACTGGCCCCTTCGGAAGAAGACACAGTCCTAGTTTTCCTGAAGAATTTCGATGTCGTCACTCAGACATTGTCTGGCGTCGGCGCTGTCTACGTTCGCAAGAACCAAAAGGTGTCGGAGCTGGCATCCCCTATCCTCGAGAGAATGAAGTGGCCCGCGGGTACAGAATTCACACTGTATGAAGAGATCAAGCATAACATGATCGACCTGATGAAACCCAAGCAGACCTTCCTACAGTCCGAGATTCAAGACGGTGACATTATCACCTTCCAGCGCGCATTGAAGGAGTCCGAGATTCCCGCCACGGCGCTTTATACCGATGCCAGGGAATTCTACGACCATCTTCTCAACCGCATGGACGTTTCATTCGCTCCCATTAGGAATGGCGAGGGCGGTGAATTCTCTCTGACGCTGAACCGGAAGATGAATTACGATCAGGTGTCAAAGAAGGTTGGCGAGTATCTGCAAGTGGAGCCGACTCATCTGCGGTTCGCGCCTGTGATGGCAACTAGTGGTAAACCCAAGGCGTTCTTGAAGCGGTCCAACACCTCAACCCTGAACCAAATTCTCAGCGGCCAATACGGAGCCTACGGCTACTCCATGCATCGAAACGATGCTCTCTACTACGAGGTTTTGGACATGAGCCTCAGCGACTACGAGAGTAAGAAGAGCTTAAAGGTGACATTACTTCCCGAGGGAATCACGAAGGAGGAAATTGTCGAGGTCTTGGTGTCTCGCAATGGAACCGTCGCCGAGCTTCTGGAATCGCTCCAGAAGAAGGCCAATCTCGACGATGAAACCACTCGCGATCTGAGAATCCTCGAGGTGCACAGCGGGAAAATCTATAAGGTGCTGCGTGAAGACGCCAATGTCGCAGCTATCAACGAGTACTCCACACTTTACGCCGAAAGGATCCCTGCCGAAGAGCTTAACCTCGAGACCGACGACCGGGTTATTGGAGCCTTCAACTTCGACAAGGAGCCTACTCGTACTCACGGCGTCCCTTTCAAATTTGTTGTCAAGCAGGTTCGAAATCCCATCCCCTTACTTTTGCTTCGATGTAACTTGTTACTAACATGATAAAATAGGGTGAGATTTTCAAAGAGACCAAGGAACGCCTGTCTAAGCGGACCGGCATCAAGGGCAAGCCTTTCGAGAAGATCAAGTTTGCTGTTGTGCCGCGCGCTTCCTTCTCGACCCCTAAATATCTTGAAGATGGTATGAATTTATCCTCCCTTTTCATACTACCACGAAGGGAAAAAAAAAAAAAAAAAACTAACAAACGTGACCAGACGACATCCTCTCCGACATGGCGGGTTCTGATGACTACCTTGGGCTCGACCATATCAGCAACAAATCTCGAAGCTTCTGGTCCAAGAGCGAGAGTTTCTCCATTCGATAAAGTGATTAGCGGCGCAGCGGGGGGTTTCTGTAGGAGGGCTTGATGCTGCAAATTCGGTACATGAGCAGTGACAGCCTGATGCGATGTTTATGTTTTCTTTTCCATTTTTTCCTTCTTCCCTTCACTTCTTCAATCATCCCATTTTTTGTCTTTTTTCCTGTCTCTCTTCCTTTCCACCTTTTATCCCAAACCCGTGTTAAGATCGAATTGGTATTTTAGTATTTTCCATAGTTGGAGTAGAGAGGATACAAACGCAAAATGCAAATGCAAATGCAGTTTCATGTTGTTTGAGTGTAAACAGTGCAAACAATGCAAACACCAACTGGCCCGATGGGAACTCCTGACAACACGCGATTGTCTCCATCTCCGTAGACCACCCCAACATCACATCACAACTGCCAATATGCGGTTCGCTCTCCTAGCCGGTCTGGCCTCCCTGGTCTCCTCCGTTTCCGCAACTGCCTTGACATACCGGCTTGAGGCGAACGAGAAAGCATGCTTCTACACCAACATTGAGCAGGCCAATGCCAAGGTGGCATTCTACTTTGCGGTTCGTTTCGTCCCCTTAGCTTAGCTTCTCCTCGTGATCTATTTCCTATTGCTATTCAATTCGGCACTGCAATTGATTGATTGATTCGATCTAACTCTCACTCTTCATTAGGTTCAATCTGGCGGCTCCTTCGATGTCGATTACTCCGTGACTGCGCCGGGCGGCAAGATCGTCCTGGATGGAACGAAGGAACGACAGGGTGACCACGTCTTCACTGCCCAGAGCCACGGCGAATACTCTTTCTGCTTCAACAATGAGATGTCTACTTTCGCTGAGAAGATGGTTGACTTTGAAATCGCTGTATGTGGTCCTAGCCCTGGTCCCAGTCCCAGTCCTGGCCCTTTTCCCCGCGAAACCAACACCCCAAAACAAACCCGCCTCCGCATCAATTCTCTCCCTTGTCCAAACAAACTTTCCAAAAGTTTACTTGACTTACATTATTCAATTCTGCGCCCTCTAGGTCGAAAACGAATCCCGCGCCCAACTCCCCTCCCGCCAAGGCGCCTCCCCAGAACAAACCTCCAACCTGGAAGAATCAATCTACAAACTCTCCGCACAGGTGTCCACCATCTCCCGAAACCAGAAATACTTCCGCACGCGCGAGAATCGCAATTTCAGCACCGTTCGCAGTACCGAGCGTCGCATCTTCAACTTTAGTGTCATCGAGGGTCTGATGATGGTGTCCATGGCCGCGTTGCAGGTCTTTGTTGTGCGCTTCTTTTTCCAGGGCGCGAGAAAGGGTATGTTACCTTGTCTATACTACCTTCAGAAATGGAGGGGATGGAAGGGGGAGGAAATTTTGGCAATGTACAGCATTGGCTTTTTCCTCCTTCTCCTCTTCTTTTTTCCCCTTCTCCCTTTTCAGTGGACGGCCTCGCTAACAAATAACTTCCAATAGGTTACGTGTGATGAGCATGAGAACGAGCATGAAGTCTATACGATGCATATTTCACTTTTAATTTTCCTAAATCCAAAATCTTTGGCGTCGTTCCAATGTATCAGTTTAATCAGTATCAGTTTTGCCATAGGCTAGAAATCGCATGCCCATTGGTTCGAAAACAGGTTTCATGTCTTTGTCTCTCCCTCTTCACTACTACATGTACTACCTTAATTTAGGGAAGTCACTACTCCATACTTTATACTTTCGGACATACACAATCCACAGCCAGCTCTTTCCTTTGCGTCAATTGCCACCTCGTATGATGCGAGCGACGAAGGTGCGTACTGTAGCAGGTTTCTGCGACGCCGGGGACGAGGTTGTGGATGCGGTCTAGGTGGCGATGGCGATGATACTAACACCTTCGTAGGAATGAATTGCACATCCTGATGCGCTAGTACGAGACAACATTGTACTCGTAGGTGGGCGATCGGGTCACGCATTGCCTCGTCATGGTGAATTCAGGACAAATCAGGGATCTCGTCCATCTCTAGCTGGTGACTTCAGTCCGGCTTCAGCTGAGGTCGGGGGATCTTCCCATCCTATTACCTTCTTCTTGTCGACATGACAAAGTCGAGACCGATGAGGGATTCAGGAGACGTTTGCTAGCGACATCAAAACCGGCTTTGAGGTCGAGAAACGGTGCGTCTGCACCAGTCAGCATGGTACATCACATCAAATCACATCCATCCTGTCTTTGCTCTTCGTCGTCATAACGAAGTCAAAGCCAGGCCGATCAAGTGTGCAAGAATATGTCCGTTCGACGGCCTCGAAAACAGGTCCGTCGTCGGGATACTGTGCACAATATCATGTCGAATCGAGGTCCAGTCTTCACGCCACTGCTACCCTGTTATCCTCTCTTACAACACAGTACTTCTCTTCTTCGTCATAGGAAGTCGAGACCGGAGATGCATGCACTATGTATGCAATTCGCCGCTAGGTGTCTAGAGAAACCGGCTTCGTGATGGGAATACGGCGTTTCGAGGGGAAGGAAGGTCGAGACATCGAATATATCGCTAGTATTATGTCTCGGGCGTCCGGGCCGGCGAGTATGTACTCGTACTCGTACGGAGTAAAACTCGGAAGCTCTGCGATTTAATTCAGCTCAATGGATCAAAACAGGTTTGCTGTACTTTCCTGCGTTCTAGAACTTCGCTTCATTAAGGTTCACCACCTGAGGTACATAGAGTTGGACCCACGACTGTCTGAGATGCAATGGTTCAGGGTCCAATATACGTTCCATCAGGCCACAGGAGTCTCAGGGCAGCAAGCAGCACTTGAGGAATCCATAGGGTGTGTTTCCAAGAGATTGCCGGACGGATACGTTACCAGGCCTATGATGCAACAGGGGGGGGCCTCGGTAAGGACAGTCAGACCAAGGCAAGCACATCGCATGACGTTGGATGATGACGGCAACGGGTCATTTCCAGCGTAGCGGTAGGTAATTCATTTTTCAGACTAGGGAGAGTGTCTAGTGAGTGACCGATTAATGCATTCAGCGCCTTCATCGGCTAGTCGGTTGCCTCGGTGGAGCGTACTTCTTGAAAACCCAGTCGGGATGTCGCCGTTGAGACTGGAAAGAGGAAAGTGATATCATCGCAATACGGCAGTGAGGGACCGCCGTGGTCTACGAGTACCATAGGGGGGGGAAAGAATTTTGGCGAGATCGACAAGATTGCCTCATGAATAATTCTGCTAGGTCCTTTCAATTCCTGTGCTCTTGAATTTGCTCAAATTTTGGTCATTATGCGAGAACATACTAGGAAACTAATTCTTTGAACGTCAGACTGTGTTGCCATCGTAACACGAGCTTAAGATTGTCAATTTAGATGATCAATACTTCCGAGATATCATATCTCCAGGTGTGGATCTAAGGTCCGCGGCAGCATTGCAATCCTCGGAAGGATCTTCTAGCGCTACTCGGTTTTTCCCTCCCTGCATGACGCAGTTTGGGGAGTATGTATGCGCTGTGCAGCGATCAGACCCTCCGGAGTATGTACGATACGTGCTTACATCCCATGCTGCTGGTTTCCACGATGGCCTGGACTAGATCAAAGGCTCGGGAGAATTGTCTCCGCAAGGTTTCTTCCAATTGATGACATCGTGCAGGGCATGTGTCGACATTAATATCATACATCATGGGTTGATCGGTTGGAGGACAGCTGGCTGGCCCTCTTTTCTTTTTCCTGACTCACCCGACACGATAATGGTTGCTTCTTTTGATCCATTTTCTCCAATATAAAGTGGGAATTTGATAGTATCCCTCGATCACGAGTGGTTAACGACTGAATGAATTTTGCAGATCCTGGGCTTTGACTCTCGGGTTTGTTTTCGTGGTTCCGTAGAAGTTCCACATCGTGTGCATTTCTGCGCTGATAGCCAATCTCTGTAGTCTCTGATCATCTCTGACGTCTGTACATATAGGCCCCCAATGTCATGAAATATCTGTTTGGTCTACATTCGACGGGGACTAAGTTCGCTAGTGTCAGTACATACTGTTGCTGGGGCCACTTGGAAATAACCGATCTTCCTTCAAGCCATTTTCAGTGGAGAACTCGGTCAAGATCCTTTCATGGCCCTATCATTAGCGACGTATCTACTTTGTTAAGGCGGGTGGCCTACTGGATTCCGTGTGGACACGAGATTCATTTTGCCTCCCCCGCTGCCATGGCAAATGAACGATCTCCCGACCCTTGGTGCTGTGCTCCGCTTGGCCCGTGATCGTGCTCGTCACTGGTTCCGAGATTTCTATCTAATTTCCATCCCCGCCCTGGACGTTGTCTGTGTTGGACCATGACGGGGGTGTTCTTCAGCGAAAGCCTTGGGACCCATTGTTTCGTCGACCCCATTAGGGGGGGGTGCCAATGATGGTACTTTCGCCACATGTTGTGCCTTTCATTTCATATATGACATGATATGTATACGTACTTCGGTCCTTCTGCGCCTAAACTTTGCTGCTTATTCCATTTCGAGGATATGCACTGTCTAGAAGTAATCTTCAGCAATCAACCTCAAATTAATAGTCTGCAATAATATATAGATTTGGGAGTGATACTCGAGAGATCCATACATAAGGTAATGGCCTCTCTTCCCGTTGAGGGCTCGCTGACGTCAGGTGCCCTTGCTGCCTGAGGCCCTCAACCGTAAACTGTCTTTTAGGTCTTCTCCGTTTGCACAACGCTGGCTGGCTCACACTTCTCAAACAGATCCACTGCGGCCATTGGTTTCGTTCCCATGGCGTTGGGACAGGCCCTCGTCTCGTAAGAGGGGTCGGACCTGATGTTAGGGTTATGGAGTTTGTTTTAGTCGACTCTTTGTATGGAGACACTAGTTGATATACTTTACAGAGAACTGCCAGAAATGATACAAAAAAGAATGCACATAGCGCCTGTACGCCAGCCGATCCTTCACCCACAATAGGTTCAGCCACAAAAGTCCCTAAAAATCAGGTGGGGACACCCGTAGTGGTTTGATGCCGAATCAGTCCAACAGGAAGCTCGGATCGCCCCTATTCCCAAAGCGATGACGACATGGCTGACTCCACTTCCGAGAGCCTCAGCGCCTTTTCTCTTCATCTTCACCCCCTCCTCGTATCACCTCCACTACCAACAACCTACTCTTGTACCAGATAGCCCAGGTCACATGAATGCCAATTCCAATCGCTTTTGAAACATATGGGGATGAGAGAGAGGGAGAGAGAGAGAGAAAATTATATATAAAAAAAGCCACGATCGTCACCCTCCAGGATCGTCCGAGGCTAGTTCTGTCTCTAACTGGGTCGACTGGTCTACCCCAAGCTCCATCACAATCACCCAGGCTCCACTCACAGGTGCAATTTCTCCACCAGGAATATCCACTTTCGCATTCCGCTGTCGTTACTCCGTATGGTCAACCTATCCCGGCTCGATGAAGAGGGTTAAATGGGCCTCGACGTTCGCAGACCTCCCTTCATCGACAGGATGATTCGTTCGCTAGACGTCAGTCGAAGATCTGCAGGGGACCGGTCAAGGGCACTGCCGATCTTACCACGCCAGCGAGTGTGGTCCATTCACGCATTCCCCAGTGACCTCATCGGGACTCCCCCCTAGCCCAGTCGCCATGATAGGAGGCGGACCAACTGATGAGGGAGTGGAGATCAACTGATGCTACCGGCTGCCCCAGCGCACCAGTCTCGTCGAAGTTGTGGAGATTGGTTATTTCATGATGATTTAACCTTCCCACCATCCACGAGCAGCAGCGACAGCGGTTATGCACACCCCCTCGCCCAGCCGGTGGATTCCCCTCGATTTTATGATGTCGCCCAGCTGCGCCCCCAGCCCCTCTCTCAGCCAATGATGTCACTGCACTTCTCTGTCGTCTTATGGGTTCCATCGATGATCCATCCGGCCTCAGGAGAAAACAGCCTCTGTGCGTGAGCCTATCAGCCGTCAGCCGCGCCCCGGAGCACCTTTTGCCATCCGCGAACACAAGGATTTCATACGCTGAGAAGTGGAGAACCAGCCCTGTCCCATGTTCTACAATACATACAAATCCAATTGGGAACTCGGTCGCTCATCTGTTTCATATAAGTACCGTAATTGCCCTAACCCTGTCTTTCCCCTTCCCCATACGCAGTACTCTTTTCAGCCCAGACGCCCCATCCCATTCTTAAACAATCGTGCGGGACCTCCCATAAGCAAGAAACAAGAATTTATCCTCCCCAGAGAGATCGCTTGATAATATTCCTTCCCTGGTTCTATCATCCCTCGGACCCCTACATTGATATACCTAGTTCACTATTACAAAGGTAAGCGCGCTCTCCTTTCCCCACTTGTGAACTGCCGCCGTTATTTCGGTTGCTTCCTAGCCCAAGGGGCTGCGCCTGTCTGGCCTTTTGTGTGGGATCTTGTACACCCAAAAGACCTCACGAAGCGCTTTTGAGAAATATCCAACCCTTCCAACCCTGCTAACATACACCTCCCATCTTCTTAGA